CCACTCGAACCATCGTCGGCCATTGCACCAGGATAGAGAGATTTGCATCGTCAAATGTTTGAACGCCTGTTCGCAACGCTCTAATGTAGCTTCCGTGCCCCTATTTTCCTCGGGTTGCGGATGTTGTAGCTGAGACCCTGCCTCGGATTAGATTGGTAGCACGTTCTAGAGCGGCAGAACGATCCCGCAGTGCATGATCCGATATCAAGAACGTTCGAACTAACGAACGGTATTGGTAAGTAGTTCCCAGATGGCAGCCGGTAGTCTAATTAGCTTGATGTTCGATGATATAACATACTTCAGAACTTACATACATTGGCTGCAGCGTACACGTACATACATACACACATACATACATAGTACATATCTGACAAGGGTAACCGCCCCGATTGGAATCGCGATTTGAGGATAAGATGCCATCTTGTGTTTGTCCAACAGGTCAGGTTAGAATTAAGCTGTGCTGCATGCATGAACTTGCTCAGCTCAAACCCCCAGCTGCCCAAAAATGTTGGAACTCGGTTCCATCAGGCTTTTAGGGAGATTTTCCTTTCGCATAATCGCTAAAGCTAACAGGCCTTTGATTTTTAGTCTAACAAGAAAGGATGTGCAACAAGTTGACCGATCAATATTAATTAGCAATTGCATATTCGATTCCGGTTTGTTTTGTTTTGATATAATATTACTTTGCCTGCCTAACAGATATCAGATGTCTGGATGTACATGTACATACCTAAGCATCGTCGACTTTAGTGTCACAGCTAGTTAGTTAGTTAGTACGGAGTAGCTGGTTCACATGGCCTTTACCCGAACGGGTCCAGCCCAGGGCCACGCAGCGTCCATGTCCAGTATTTTTCGGCGGCTCGGTAGCCGTCCCTGGACCTAACAGGGACCCGCCCAACCATGGAGTTTTTCTGCAACACCGTCCCTTGCTAACGAGACGAAGAAGAAAGCAACAGTCCCTAATCTGCAGGTAAAATTGATGCCCCGCCAGAGCTGGGCGGCACACTATGCGATGCTTGCTCGTTCGCTGAGGCACCTGGTTCTTTTTTTTATTTTTTATTTTTTTATTTTTTTATTTTTTTATTTTTTTTTATGATCACCATAAACCTTTCCGAAGGCGAGCTTGCTTCGACCTCGAGGTAGCCATGATTTGTCTAGGCTGGGGGCGAGAGACGACCAGGTTTAACATCACATAATATTTGAAAAAGCCTTAACTTACAGGGCATCTTCGCTATGAAATTAAGGAACATGGTCGGGTCTTCGTCGAGGCTGCTTGTGGAATGGAAGCTAGAATAGTTTACAACGATTGATAACCGAGGGGTGGAACACAGACGATAGATAAACAATATAATACTACTGAGTACTTAGGCAAGGTACCTACTTACCTCTGTAAAAAGAGCGTACAGAGGTACACAGTAGACAATACCTCGAAGAGGTTCTTAGTTCGGCCAATCGTTCCTTTTTGCCATTCCTTTGTCTCGCTGTTGCATTTTGGATTGCAATTGTCCGTGTAATAACGAATGACTTGATTTAGTTGGAGATATTTTTGCTCATTCTTGTGCTTCCTTTTTCAAATGAAAAAAAATGGTATGCTGCACGTCTGTCTGTCTTTCTCACGCCGTTAAATGTTAGAATGCACGAAGATATCACAGCTGAATCTCCTCCTATCAGACTAATTTGCGCAAAGTATCGGGTTTCATCTATTGTACCTGCACATGCACCTACACCGGACCAAGAACTAGAAGCCTCACCAACACTTCTTGGGATATGGTAATTAAGTAATTAACGATGCGCGATGGTTTATTCCGGCATGTTGTTTTTGTTTCTTAACTCCTCGGCTCTGGCAGCCTACCGATGGAATCAAATCGATGGATCGGATGGGATATGATGATATGATATGATACGATACTAGATACTTAGCTCTGCAGCCAGTATAATGCTGCATTGCCGTGCAGAGCCTTATATTAAGATTTATCTGGTTCTGATTGACACCAATGGCAGCAGGGCATGACGTGAGTTTTAGGGCAAATCTGGAGATAGGATGCTAGTTACTAGACATGCCGTGCAGGGAAGGGAAGAGGGATAAGGGAAAAAGACCCGGGTCAAGAAGTTTAAGGCCGCGAATGTGGAAACGATGATCACAACCAGCCGTTGGCCGACTGCACACTGTCACTTTTTCTTCTTTTCGAATGGATTCTTATTTCGAAATTTCGGAGGAAGGAAGCAATTAGTTGGCTGGATGGCTGACTGGCTGGATGGCTGCCCAGCCATGTCAATTGATTGACGGATTGACTGATTCACTGATTGATTGATTGATTGATTGATTGATTGATTGATTGACTGATTGATTGATAGCATAACATGATCATATGCATAGGCAACGAGCTTGAAATAGTGAATGGTTATGCCCATAATGAGAATATTCGAATATTTCTTTTCTTTGCCGCTTGATGTTACAAAAAAACCCCGAGAGCTTGACCTGTCCTCTATTCTGGTATACCTTTTTTTTATTTTTTATTTTTTTATTTTTTATTTTTTTTGTATTCTATTAATTATTATTTTCCTATTATATTTCTTCTTTTTCTCGCCTGGGCCTGTTCTTGTGCGTCGCGATGGTTTTATTTTATTTTTCCTCGTTTCTTTTCTTTTTAATTTAGTTATTTTCTCCAAGTTCCGTTGAGCAGCCCTCAAAATGCAAAAATCCAAAGTTGTTTTTTTTTTTTTCCTTTCTTTCTTTTCCTTTTCCTTTTCCCTCCCTTCCCTTCCCTGGCTCTGGCTGGGCTCTGGTGACCTACTGTGTGGTGGGGAACCGACCGTGCTTGTTAACTGGCATTAGTGGTTAGTTCCACCTTTTTCCAATCAATAGTGCGAGTCAGCTAGGCTGAATCGGCTCCCCATGGTTCCCGGACACCCACCCACACCCAGGTCGCCAGGACAGGACAGGACAGGACAGGACAGGTCAACCTGCCTGCCTGGCCAGCCTGCCATGCTCGTCGTTGGCTCTTCAACTCGATCTGCTACCTGGTTGTCAATGACCCCCCTACCTCCCACACCTCCCACACCACACACCACACACCACACACCACACACCGCACTGCACCGCACACTACACCTCACTTCTCTCCCACACACAGACACCCTTGAATTCCCTTCCCTTCCCTTCCCTTCCCTTCCCTTTCCCTACCTTTCGTCCTGACATGGTTCACTTCCTCATATATACTTACATACAATACCATACACGACCACTACTATTACTACTACCACTGCTACTACTACTACGACTATCTTAGAACCCCCCCTTCCAAAGGGAAAACAAAAAAACAAAAAAACAAAAAAGAAAAAGGAAAGAGAAGCAAAAGGGAAAAGAAAAGAAAAAGAAAAGAACCAAAAAAAGAGAGGCCCAGGGAATAATAAAACATACGTAGAAAGCGTTTCTTATTTTCCGAGGCCCAGTTCTCAGTCCCCTCGCTCCTTCCCGCTACTTTTGCTAAAAATGCTCTTCACCTCTGACATGCTTAAAATCCCACACAATCCTACTTAAAACGGCCTCGTTGCCCACCTTTTTTTTTTATATTAATCGAATTGAGATGCGCCTCAACCGTCTGACCCAACTATACGGATCTATCACACCCAAACTTCTTATATCTGCTGCTTGTACATCTCCAAAGTAGTCTATGAAACCTACCTACCTTTCTATTTATTATATAACATCATCACCATCACCACCATCATCACCACCATCCTTCGAACCTTTCGACCCATCTTTAGGCTAATACCTGCTGCACAAATTTCCCCCATTACCTTTCTCGTCACTGTGCGTTGGTAGCTAGGAGGCCCAAGTTGCGGATTATCACATTACGTCCTTCGTTTTTAGCCTGCTCCGAATACCAGAAGAGATAATAAATAAGACGAGACGAGAGAAGAAGAACCCGAATATCAGTAAAGAGAGAAAAGAAACCTCTAACTCCAAACCAAATACAAACCATCGATCCACCTGCTTGCTTGCTTTGCTTGCTTGCTTGCTTGCTTGCTTGCTTGCTTGCTCTCTTGCCAAAAACTGCGAGTCATTCTGCAGCATCATTCCAAGTATCGGGTACCATCACGGCCCCGAAGCCCAAGCACAAACCTACCTCGTTTCTGATCTGACCTGCTGTAGCCCACCCGTTCCCCCTCCACAGACGGGAAAACAATCCTGATTAAAAAAAAAACCAGTGATCTTCTTTTCCTTTTGTTTCGAGCTCTGCCAGAACAGTCATTTTGTGTACCCAAAACAATCACCAGGATTTCTGTTCCGTATTTATTCTTTCTGGGCTGTCCTAAGGTTCTCCTTCACGGGCACTCGGAATCTTTTCCTTTTTTGTTCACATCACACACTCTCTCACTGGGTTCCTCGTTCAAGTCGACAAGCTGGATTCCCACGGCAGCACCTCGGAGCGTTGTGCGCTTTCTACAGTGCAGCCTTCAGATTTCCATTACGGCTGGTCTGGTAGGCTACGAACACCAGAGTACAGTAACGAAGGCATCAAAGTAGAACCAGGTAAGGAACAAAACCATCATCCATCCATCCATCCTTTTCCTCTTCTTCCCTTTTAGCCTCCCTTTTTATTTCATCAAATACTCTCTATAAGAAAGAGAGAAGCAAAATACATCGTTTTCAACAACCAACCTTCGAGTTTTCCAGCTCGACTTAGCTTGTTGTATCAGCTTGATTGGCTTGGGATGTGGGGATTGTCCCGAACTATCCTGCAGCCGCCTTTTTTTCCCTCCCGAACTCGAAAACACCCCCCAGCTAGCTGTTGTTATCTTCTCTCTTAGCCTTTTACTTGTATTCATTTATCACATCTACATCATCACCATGTTATGCATTCGGGATGTAAAGCTAACACACATGTTCAGATACCCCGCGAAGTGAGCGGGAGCTCTATAGTCTGGGAAACCTGAAGATTTCTACCCGTCCTCTCACACTAACTCCTCCCCCATCTGTTCACTCTTCTCCACAGATGGAGGAACAGGATCCCGGAAATGAAGCTAGTCCTGTGGAGATTTCTTCCACGAGTACCTTGCCTCCTCCCGTGAGGGCAAGCATTACTCTACCATCGTTGATGGAGGTAAGAATCAAGCTTCTTCTTCTTAACAAAAAAATTTCAAATCGTGTGGCAGTATTCTAACTTTTAATTCTCAGGCTATTCCTGAGTTTCGATCTCATACTCCTTCCCGGAAATCTATGAGCAAGCCTCGTGGGTTGACGAGTATAATCTCGCCGACTGCCCTTCCACCTCATCCATTTGGAAGCCCGGTGTCTCCAGGAAGGACGATCCCGAATGCAGAGGTTAACCTTGGAACACTTCAATCACCTAAGAGAAGAAGACTATCCATCCGAACATCGGTTGGGGTCCCTTATCCACAGACTGAAGCCCAGCGTGATGAACTCCGTGAACAACGAAAGCATGTTCCACTTACTCCCCACAGCCGGGCTGCTTCTGTCTCAGGATCTTTTCAAATGAATGAAAGAAGCTTGAGTGCAAGCATTCTTCCATCCTTCCCACAGCTTCACCAATCGTCGATGGCTGGACAAAGGCATTTCTCCATGGTTAGCCCACGAGCGACAACATACGATCTTCCAATCACCCCTGCTTCTTCCGACCGACCGCCATTTGGAACTCCTTATATGTCCGAACAAACTCCAATTTTCACATCACCTTTCGAGAAGGATAGACAATACCAATCTGGTTCTCTGAACGAAGTTCTTCATGGCGCTCACCAAAACCACAACATTTTGCAACACAAACTCAGTCCGACATCTCCCAACCACTCCCTCCCATACCCAAGCTCGATGTATCCTAGTTCCAGAATGGCGGCTCCCTCGCAAGACAGGTCGCCGTTTTCTAGCAGTCAGATGCCGCATCCATCTCAGATGGAACACTCTGATCCATATGATCAACTCAGAGGCGGCAAGCGACGAAGAGGAAATCTACCAAAGCAGGTTACAGACCTTCTACGAAATTGGCTGCACGCTCATCTTCATCATCCTTACCCTACCGAAGACCAAAAGCTTGAACTTGTCAACCAGACCGGGCTCACAATGAACCAGGTAAATTGCCCTCTTGAATTCCTAAATATAAGTTTTTCTTTACTAACTTTGTTTGATATAGATTAGCAATTGGTTTATCAATGCTCGGCGACGAAGGCTGCCGGCTTACAACCCTCCAAACAATTCGGCACGCAGCGACATGGATGCAAAAGGGCATTTGGCCTATCTGAGGCCCACTGATATCCGCCCCAGCGTAAGCGGGGCTCCATAAAATACTTCGGAGTTTTTTCCCTTCTTCTTTTCTTTTCTTTTCTTCCTTTCCTCCCTTTGATATTATCAAGTATGATATTGTATGCTGTTCTTAGCCTCAAAACAAAAGAAAGGGTTGTTCTTGTTACGGATATATCGTTATTTCATGGGCATTATTTCGGCGTTTATTCAGGCATCTTTTTTGGAGCAGGTGGCGATGTAAATGTATCCTTTTTCAGCGGAGCTATCTTCGATTTGTTTGGTTGTATTTTTTATTATCATTTTTTCTTTCTTTCCCTTTTCCGTCTACATGACTGGACTACTGTTACCCAATTATTCCCTCAAAATATAATGAACCTTACCATACATATCATACTTCCCTCTCAGCTCTTGATTTCTTTTATTATTTTCCTCCCCTTGTATTAAAAGCGGAAGAGTTGTTACTCAGGGGGTGGATTTCCCTTGTCCTCAGCACACCAGCGTACACGAATTATGTATGTACATTTTTTACCAGCAGATACAATGATATCTTCAGACCCTAGCATTATCTAATATTACTGGTTCCACGATAAAGCCGCCCACCCTGTGACCGAGCACCTTTTATTTCTAGCTTCCCAGCTTCTTTGACTCTACCTGAGAACCTTCTCTGACAGGTTTCGAGACCAAAGGAAAAGGGCATTGTCGGGGGGGCGGAGCAACACAGTTTCTCCAACAGGTTTCCCATCATGGAGCATCTCGGAAGGTCCAGTCGAGGACCCAAGCGGACGGAAACATTGGCCGAGGAGATGGGAAGGGAGAAAAGGGCTCGAAAGACGACGTGCATTTATGGGGTCGTGTCATAGCGCCTTAGCGGCCGTTGTCTGCTGATTATTCTTAGCAGCGTCTCGCCTACAGAAAAGTCCATGGCGTCCATGCTAAATGTTCGCTGTCAATTTACTGTGTGCGCTCGAGCCTTGCACTGTTCCGATCGATTTTTCGCTTGCTTCCTGTCAAAGAGTAAAATGGCCGCCCTCATTCCGATGCCAGATCGGTTTCATCATCCACGGGAATGCTTGCAAAACAACAACCCTATCCAATAACTTTTTCCTGGAGCCATAAGAAGGTATGGATGGACATCGTCATCGTCATCATCATCATCACTTTAATATGTATGTGTACAATACTAAACAAAAATATTATCTGCAAGCTCGCCGAAGAGAGATGGCAAATTGACAAAGGACAAAAAAAAGGTTCGAGATTCGAGACCGACATATCATCATTCGGCAAACGGTTGACAGACACACATTACCACGGACACGGACCAGGATCATACAAGGAAAAAAAAAAGAAAGGCTACTATTTTTATTAACAGATATTTAATTTGCTATTTGTGCGTGGCGTGGCGTGTATAAAAAATGTGGAGATTTCAATTCAATTCGCTTTCCTTTCGTCTATTCAGCAAGGAATCGTCCCCCCATCGACGTCGGTTACAATTATTGCAAGTGGTTTGCTTGACCAGATATGCTGGTTCTCTTTGCTTGATGTCGCACCGACATGACCATCCCAAGGTTCTTCTATGGTACCAAGCATTCCGGACAGCTAAGCAAGCAGCATCCGAGAAAGGATTCCCATGTCGATGGATCGGTCAGGGTTTCCCGGTTTAGGTGTGTCGAGGCTCCTCGGGAACGTTCGATATTCCCCCATGTCGGTCTGGTCCAGCTTGGACACGAATTGTACAGAGCACAGATTACAGTTACAGAACCTAGTAGCTATAGCACCCGGGGAGGGTTTCTTCCCGGAGTCGCACGAATCATGCTGCTATCCCCGAAGGTTCAACCAATTTGCCGGGACGCAATATGAAAAGAAAAGGAAGGGACTGGGGGGGCTAGATTCGCTTAACCAGCCCTTGCTGTCATGACACAAACCTGCCAAACCACCGAACCAGCGACATCCTGGCCGAAACCAACTAAAATCCAGGCAACAGGGGAATCTGCAGTTTCCTATCATCTGCATCCTCGGGTCGACCAGACGACTTGGTGAGTACAGGCCATCTATGGTATACTCGGTTCTGAAAATAGGCTTATCGAATTTACCTAGGTAAGGGAGTACATTTTTTGTTTTTGTTTTTTTTGGGGTTTTCTGGGGTTTAAGTTAGTAAAAATCGTTACCTGCTTAAAAGAGGTCAACCTGAAGATTCTAGTTTGAAGGACCATTGTGTCAAAACGATGGGACTCGGACCACTTGGTTTGATTACGGCAGTTCCCTCCCATGCGGCACGTGGAGCTTAGTTTCGGCTTTAACACCGCCCGTTATGAAATTTCTCAGCTCGTTTACATACATGGCAAGACAAACTTTTTTTCTTTCTTTCTTCTTGAATGTGGAGCTATCCACTTGCATTTTTTACCCAATTGAATTCCACATGTTAAGGTTCGAAAATTCGAATCTTAACAAAAAATAATCTCGCAAGCGCATTCTGTCTACAATAAAAATCATAATGACAGGTAGCCCAAAAAAACCCAAGTGCTCCAGGGGATTGAAACTCCAGACTAGTTCCGAAACAAGCTTGAAAGTAGTTTAGCAAACTATAGAACTTAGCTCGAGTAACTACCTACCAACATAATACACAGGTCTCTAAATATATATATTTTCACCAGCTTAATAGCCCTTTCCAGCCAACTCCGTCCCTAATATCATATTCACCTCCCACTCATCCGCAGGTCGATTCCTATCTTCTTCCCACGTAATCTCCAAATCAAGCATTACCAGCTTTCCACTTTGTTTATCCCACAGAACGTTATCCGGTCCCGGATCGCCGTGTTTGATACCAATCGAACGTAAGATTTTGGTAGCTGATATCGCTTCTTGACGGATTAAAGTCTTTTCCTCTTGTGACATCTTTTTTATCATTTGGTAGTCTAATGTGACTCCTTTCTCTTTAGTGAAGACGATGATATGACCGTTGCGGTATTTCCCGGATAGGATTATATCGCCGAATGCTAGCATTTTTGCGAAGTATCTTGATGGGGGGAGGAGGAGGTAGCTGTTCTTTTCGTGGGTATACCTATATCAAGGTTAAACTAAAGTAGGTACAATGGTAATGATAATAGGGATGTTTATAAATACCTTTCAACGAGATCGACTGGAAAGTATTTGGCAATACATTCATGATCAATGCCGTTAAGTGTTCCGACGAATATCTTCTTCTTGTGGTTCTCGGAGTACTCGTAGAGATCTTTCTGGATTTGAAAGAGATGTTGGGAAATTCCGTTTTCACCGAAGATGATTGATTTTGGCGTGAGGTCTTTGAGGCGGAGTGGTGGTGTTTTTTCTTGAAGGGTCGTGGCTGTGGTGATTGGTGGTGGTGGCTCAATCGGGGGAGTATCGCCCTCCTCTTCTTCCCCCTCCCCCTCCTCCTCTTCTTCTTCATCATGCGGTGAATCCCCGGTCACATTCGAACCTTCATGGAATCTATAACCCCCACCCGCTCCGAGCGTGCCCATATAGTAAAAACACTGAAGAATCGTAGGTTCCACATCATCGAATTTTATCGGGTCCGTAATGTCAATCTTTTACTACCCGTGCGTTTTACGAATATAGTGCATTCGTATGTTGAGAAGAACCCATATCTACAATTTTCACGTATCATAGATTGGGTTAGATGACCTGGTGGTATCGATATCATGATATATGCGAGTTAGTATACGATATATATATATATATATATAGTTAGAAGCGTGAAGTCTGCGCAGGGGTTAGAGAATACTCCCGTACCAATAGGTCCCTTTAGGCACACCTGACGAAACCACAAGCCCTTCCGTACCTCCGAGGCCTTTAAACCCCCCATATACCGATAATCCGGGTTCCAAAATACATCAAAAACCCCTACTACCCGACATTCGACACTAGAAGTTTGGAGAAGTGGTGATTTCATAATCATGATATCTGCATCACCATCGTACCCATCATCACCAGCACAATGGTGTAGAACTCGAGAATCACCGAAACGGAGATCCCTCAATCCCTCATCATCGGCGGAAGTGTTGAATACGGCTCCTAATACGGCTCCTACATTTGCTTGGAAACGATTTGCAAGGCTATATCTATTCCCGACTACGATCGTCTCACCGCTTTCTTCGGAGGACTCCGTGCGCGTGGCGATGAGTTTCCTGCTAAGGTCGGTTTTGTTAAGAGTATCTTTGACATTTTTTGTGAATTCTTTCCAATGGCCGAGGTCCTCTGCGTCGATTGGGCTGGTCTTGAAGTTTCTGGGGCACTTATCAAGGTGGCTGTTAAGCTGTAGGTTAACGTTGTCTGTTGCGAATAGAATACTGGGGAGAGGACGGGAAAGAAGCTGTTCGATGGTCTCCATGCGTATATATGGTCGTCGTTGTATTAATACTATATTAATCTGCGGTTTGTTGCAAGTTGGTTAAGGTATTTTGTTGGAGTTGAAGAGTTGGAGTAGAGCATTAGGGATGGGGCTTAAAGGTTATTGTATTGATATTCATGATCGATTGAGAATATTTTTGGCTCGGGAAATTCCTTTTTCTTCATGGATCGTCGTCGACGTGGAAGCCCATGTGGCATTTGGAAGTTTGTAAAAGTATAATAGCTTTTGGAGGTAGCTCTGTACTGTGTTGCGTGGTTTTTCGATTCGCCAATTGCTAATTACTATAATTACTACATGCTACAGTTCCTACCTAGTATGTATACCTAAGTACCTATCCAAGTGCAAATACTTACTTAGGTAGATTGAATTTTTAGACCAGCTTGAATTCGATCATGAATTTTGAGATCTGATGGTCACAGATGATAAAGCACGCGCCTAGCTAAAGGTTTACTTATTTCGGTACTAGGCACAAGTCGAAATCCCGTATAAAATATAAAGCAATCGCCGAGTCTATCGACATCCTAGGATGATCCCGCCGCCCCTTTCTCAAGTTGATTGAATACGAGCCATCCCCGTAGAGACAATTAAAATAGACCCTAGTTTGATTTGACGGTTTGTTCTGAAAGATACATCCACATTCTTCAGCTGAACAAAACACAAAGCAGCTCTTTTCTGCATTGTACAAAATGTGCTTCGGGTAGACCTGGTCGATCCCAGCGACCAATGGCCAGCCTCATGCTCACCTGCATGGTTGCAGGAGTATCCTACGGAAGCGAGTCTGCGCCGCCTGGGTCTGAGATTGAGACAGGAAAGGGAGCCCATTCAGCCGGAGAGCCATGCAGGCGCGCGAGCGGGCCCTCGCTTTGTCGGATTTATGTCAGTCACATTTGTCATTTGTGATATGATATAGGCGGATATATAATCCGCAGATATAATATATACATAATAGCTCAGCTGAGCCCCAGGAAGCGAGCTCGGGGGCTCCCAAGTAGTTCGTGGGTGTGATACCACACTGGCTAAAATTAACCAGAGGGGGGGAAAAAAAAAAGAGAATGGCCGTATATGCTTGTCTCTATCTACACGATCACGCCTATATGCTTGGGGTAACATATATTTTGCGGTATTATATTATACGGTTTACTCGCCGTCTTGGATGCAGGAAGATGCTTATCTGACGGATTACTATTTGATCTGACGATTTGAAACCGATATAATGCACAAATGTCTCTCCCTACGATAGTTACACGGATATATGAGAGCGGAATGACTGTCGATGCATGGTGTCAGAGCCCCGACAGTAGAAGAGGCATGGTAAAAGTCTAAACGAGTAGAGTCCTCCCGAGGAAACGACTGGACATTTGCTCGACGGGGTTTAACTCTAAATGCTGTGTTACTACCTTCGGCCCAGATCAGGTAAAATACGAGTGTCACGTATAATTTAAGTACTTAGCTATATCATGCTACCTTCAGTCCACTTTGTTCCACGCCCCGCCACATGGGGGGGGGGACAGCACATCGATCATATGAAGCTCTCCTAATCAGGTAGTGAACATACACCATTTGTATAGTTTAAGGCTTCCGTAATTCATATTCCTGCGTAAGAGCTTGCTCCCAATGGTGGTCTATGACTCTGTGGAACGTTTCCTAGCAGAACATTTGCCGGCAGCGATCCAACTGGTAGCTGGGTTACGCAGAAGGAGAGAGCTGTGGTTGCACAGGAACCACGTACGTCCAATCGACCTTTCTCAATATGCGATCTGAGTACACTTGGGATGACGAGCCATTTCCCCATAACCAACCACACGGGATCGCTGGGGATAACACAAAGTCTATCTTGCCGCTTATTCACCTATTCCGTCGACCGCATTGATTGAATCTATGATAGTCAAAAACGATTGAAGAACAACCCCATGTGAGTTCCAAATTGTGCATGTGAGAAAGGGAGGAATCTCCACATGGGTTGGTACTATTGAGCTGCAGCCGTGCCATATCTTTGTTACCATCTTCTTTGATAAGCGGTTGGACAGGTTCGTGCCAATTACCAATCTACTATCGAGTATTAATACATTCGAGTCTGTGGAACAGCTTTAGCGAATATAAGCATAATTCAAATTATGCAAAAAGGGAGGTGCTTGTATTATAAGCAAAAAATGATATTGACGCCTGTTATACACCCTGTTCGTTTTCTTAGCCAAGCAAAATGGATATCTGTCATACCAAAATGGTGTCTTTTGAGGAGAGATGCAATCGGATCGAAAAGATCGGGAGATGTTGAGATGCAATGAAAGATATGGACCCGGCCCGATCTCTCAAATCTAATTCTTTACGCCACCGGTTTCTGAAGCTTGTGATCCTATTGAACCTTGATAACCCGCAAAATAGCTCTTGGTGGAACCAAGAACACCGAAGCCATACACCACGTACGCACCCTCGATGGTGGGTGCAGGAAAGTCGATGTATTAATCGTATTCTGAGCCCATTTCCTTCCCCCCTTGAAGACTTCTTCCGTACCCACCTCTCCCCGCGTCATAGTCTTCCCTGTACTCGTCTCTCACCTGCCCACCGCTCTTGCCACGCCCGTACTGTCTGCCTTCCTTAAAGCCAGGGTCGAGATCTGTTCGTACGATTCGTTCGTCGAGTTTCGTGCCACCGATGTACTTCATACAGTCTAGCGCGTCCTCGTGCGTATAGTATTCGACAAAACAGAAGCCACAAGGTGTCTTTGCAAAGCGGTCCAAGCCCATCACCAATCGTTTAATTTCTCCACATCTAGAACGTATGTGAATCAGCATAAGACTATTCCCATGTGATAATAGAGGTCTGGTCGTACTTCGAGAATAGCTCGTGGATTTGCTCTTCCGTTGTGTAGAATGATCTGGGCCGTAGTCTTGTAAGAACATGTCCAACGGGCACCTATTTTCGGAGGAAAACCTTACAGATTACCAACGTAGAGTGTCGTAGCATCCTTTAAAGGGTCTTCTTTGTTCGCAGCATCGTCTCTAGTCCGTTTCTATAGTCCAATCCAAATCGCTTGTCAGTCTCTAGGTTTCCATCATATAGTAATTGTCGCTAGATCATACACCCGATTTGTCGTAATATGTGCTCGGCCTATCTAACCGCTCGACGGTGCTTTGATGTTGTTGATGGTGCGACATATCTGCTGTTGCTGCTGCTGCTGATTTAGTTATTGAGGTAGGGAGTGTCGGTGAGATGGTGAGTTCGAACGTTTGTCGGCTGCAGGTTCCGGGAAGACGCGTTTTCCCTGTTAACAAAAATGCGATGCGACCAAAAGTCACCAACCCAGAACCAGCCATTTCTTCAAACCTCCATCAACGTCACTTCATCACTTCACCTCTACCCCCCACTTACAGCTCATTGACAACGACACATCTTTAAATACTACTCTAAGTTTATTCGAGGGTTTTATATGTGTCGTGCGACCGGGAAGTGACGGGAAAAAATCAGTTTTATTTTCTGATACACCGCCGGTCCTAACATCCACTGTTTTCGATAATAACGACTTCTATCCTCCAGATCCTCAGCGCTAGGACGCGTATAACAACACCCAGTAGCGCCAATGCCAGGTCCAGTTGTGTCGCCGATACTGCCAGAATGGCTACGTGAGAATTCGCTAGTCTCAGGACTTCTTTCCGAACCATCGTCGAAAGCCGGCTTCGACAATAGGAAGCTACCTAAGAAGCTATTTTCTAGCCAGAAAAGGACGATATTTTTGCGTGAGACGGAGCTTTTTGTTGTTCATGGGAAAGAGCTCAGATGCGCAGATCTGAAAGATCTCAAAGCTGGTTCAGATAAGGGGGAACAATATGGTGGTATCGCTTATCAGGTAGGACTTTGATACCGTATTTGCAGGGTGGGACTGGCCTATGCTGACCTTTGTGACATATAGAGCCTAGAGCTGCCACACCTAGACTTCGAGATTTCTCAGATCATTAGAAGTGCGGATGGCGAGACCGCGGTAGTTGTGGGGGAGTATGATGTTGGAGTTGCCCTTCTACCTGCCCCCGGGGTTATAACTCTGGGAGCTCGATCGAAGATTGCTCTCAAGTAAGCCTTTTTTGTTTTGGCTGTAACGATATAATTCGCCCGTATGCTAACTTGGGTTCTTAGATGCTTCAAGCTTGAACCCGCGCCCACTCAGACACCTTCTCGCGTCTTAAGAGCCATTTTCCACCCTTTGGGCGCCCGACCTTGTGTCGTTGTCCTCACAGAGGATGCTATGATAAAGTGAGTATATTGGTATTTCTTTCTAACGGAACATTGCTAAGCGGGTAATAGTGTCTACGAGGTTGAATTCAACAAAGAAAGTGCCACCGTTGAACCTACTGAAACCTTAGACATAAAGCAGATGCTCGGGATCGACAGGAATAGCAGCTACCTGATGGATGATATCGAGCCCACTTCTATATGCTTTGGTGGGGTTGGCTCCATCTGGTCCATTTTCACACTGTATATTTTGATGAGGAACGGCGAAATATATTCCCTCTGCCCGTTCCTTCCTTCGAAATGGTAAGTAGAAATACCATTGGGGTTGTACGGCTCTAAAAGCGTATACCAACTAACATTTTGGTAGGATGCTGGATACCGATTTCTTAGACGAGCTAAAATATGAGCTGCAGGCGCATAAGGAGATCAGAGACTCAGGGGACCCCGCAATCCCGGCCTCTGACAAACATAATTCCAAGCAAATTTGCTTTTGGATTCATGAAATATCTCGTTTGATCAGGGTCCAGAGCCTTGCGAACGGACATGACGAGTTTGACGAGGAACCTGTGGGCTATATCCTGTCAAGGCCAACTCTGCCAGATCTTATAACCCCGCTGCTACAAGGGCCTTATCTACTACAACCGGCTCCGGAGGACAATTTTGATGAATCGATCTTCGCGTCGGACATCGCCCGTATCGGTGCTGCCCATTATGCCGTTATCGCGGTTGCGTGGTCCTCGGGGAAGATTGATTTGATGCTGGAGTTTGAAAGTGTAGCGCCAAGGTGGCACTCGACCTCCTTGAAATACAAGAAGTTCAACGAAAGGACACCTTACCCGGTTATTTCTGGTTACGAGACTATTAATATTGCTCTGCCCGAAGCTACAGAAGGCTCTTCAGCAATCCATCCTAGTTTCACAGTCGATATCAATTTCCCGAATACATTACTCTTTAGCCACGGATCTGGAGTCGAGATGCTGAACCTAGAAGATTGGATGAATAAACTCACAGCGGTCATTGACCAAGAGGAAGACGAGAGAGCGATTGAAACCGCTCTAGCAAAGTCGGAGCGAACGGGTGTGATCCACATGATTGGCGGCCAGAAGAATGCACCACGATACCCTGTCGTAGGAACTGCGATGATATATGATGCGTACCTGGGATACCTTCTCATCGGTGCGACGACTTCAAAACCAGCCTTCGCCGTCCTACAGCTTCCTTCGAAATACCACACCCAGATGCTAAAACTAAAACAAGAAAGAAGCGATCTCTCCTCAACCTCATCGAGGCTCACACCCCGTCCTCCAATCCCGGTATCTCGCACCTCCCACGAAGATGCGATTGCCAGTACCGAACAAAGAATCAGGGAATGCCGACAGCGACTCCTTCTAGTCAAACAAGTTATCGACCCTCGTCTTCTCAAGATGGAGATTCTCGTTAACAACGACCATTCCATGGTGCTTAAGAAGCTTAAAGACCTGTTATTTGATGAAATGGACGCTAGATACGAGAATGCCCAGCAAATCCACGCCGCGGCCATACAGCAGCAGAAACGGTTCCACGAACAGATAAATAATATTCGTCGGTTCCAGAAGCAACTGTTGGAACGCGAAAAACAACAGCAGGAGATTCGCGAGAAGCTTAAGAAGGCGACGGATGCGCAACAGACGTTGAAGGATAAGGTTGATGGGATTTTGTCCAAGTTGTCAGCTATCAGCAGGAAAGGAGGGTACTCCTCAATGTCGCAAGCGGAGCAGGAGTATGTTGAGGAGCTGGATGGTATCGAAAAGATTACTAACCAGATCGGTGTAAAACAACGGAAGGTATGTTCTCTTCATCACATTGGGGGGTTTTGTTTGAAGAACAAGTTTTTTTGATAATATTATGATGCTAACATTCTGGAATAGATAATGTCATTTGTAGGAACACTGAGCAGGACGACTCCTCTTGCAGGCGATAGCCAGCAGGCTAAGCCGAAATCCGAGGAGGACCAAGAAGCGCCTGATTCGAATCGCGAGGAACTGACGAAGATGGTACAAAAGGAGCATAGGTTGATAATTGAAACCAAAAAGAAAGTTGAACATCTCGAGCAACAGTTCCAAGAGATCAGATTGAGCACTTGAATTGGTCGTTCATAATTTTTAAAATTTCTCTTTCTCTATATTATGACTTTGCACTTATTACAAAGATGTTATGATACTACTTTTGCAATTAAGCGACTGTTAATTACTTAACTGTGGAAGCAGCTCTCTTTTTTTTTGCAAATGTGGGTCATGATGTTTTCTTTATTATTGGTAGTTGTTTATTTTTTATATTTTTTTTATGTATTATAAAGCGATTTTAACGATCATCACGATGATGAAGAGGAGGGATAAGAAGGAGGAGGAGGAGGAGGAGAAGAAGTTTAGTGGAACTGTAGACATCGAAAGCGGAAGATTAGGTATGCAGTTTGGTGCCATGCATTGATCATGACGCTAAAACATTGTAACAAGATACCCTCCCCAATGAAATATATACACGTCGACTTTTGTGGCGGTTAACGACCGATTGAATAAACGCTTGAAAGATAGAACGCTTGGTAGGATTACAAATGCTTAATTCTGCGAGAGAGAGAGGGGGGGGGAGAGAAAAGAAAGACCAGACTCCGGATGTAAAAAAAGATGAAAAGGGCAATAAGCGGGAGGTTCCTCCGGTTGATATATTTTCGGGGTGCAAAAACATGCAAACGTCAGCTTTTCTTCCCCGCGAGGCAGTACCGAAAACGAAGAGTGAAAGGGAAACTCCAATTTGAAAAAAAAAAAAAAAGAGAAACTTGTAATAGATGTCGATATCAAAAAAGTGGCGTGATTTGAACTCCTGGGATTTCCAACTCAAAAAAAAAAAAAAAAGGGAAGTCGTCGATAAACCGGGATATCGAATAAAAGAGATACAAAGAAGGAAAGAAGGGAAACGTATCACAATCTCCCCACGATCACCTATCAACCCACAACAACCGCCTCCTTACTCACATCCTCCCCCAATATCCTTTCCCTCTTCCTCACACCATTCGTAGACCCCGGATTCGTTTCCGACGTTATGGACGATAAATTCGATATAGACGTCGACGTCTGTCTTATCGGTTTCTTTCGAGATATCGATGATGGGAGGTAATCTTCTATGACACGGAGGATGTATACTAGTGGTTCTAGCAGGAAGAGGATGAAGATTGGGAGGATGCAGATGAGACCTAGTGTTATCTGGGAAGGGGAAAAAACGGGTTAGCAGGTTTATTCCTGATGTTTTTTTTATTGATTTATCTTTATATATACCTAGATAGGTATCTTTTAGGTATGAAATTTGGAAGGAGTTAAGGGAAAAGGGTGGAACGTACGAAGAGACGAATGATTATATAGCGTATACTGTCGATTATGGGGTACAGGTCCATTATTAAATATATACTTAAGTATATATATTATATATAAAGAAGTATCCTCGAGACCGCGGGCAGCAAGAATGGAAGTATCGAGGGTTGGACACCAAACCAAGCCACGATGTCAGCTGGGCAGGTTAGGATAGGTTAGGTAATCGCTGTAACAGGGTTGGATCGAATAAGATGTTGTTGGGTCGGGAGTTAAGTTGGCGGACTGGCGGATCGATCGACCTTTTCTCTTAGCCTGTGCGACAATGATGACGATGAAGTAATATTATTGAGCTTAGAATTCAGCTCAGCTCGTGCGGTTTCACGGGATCCTGGGGTTTTTATGGAATATGTGTGATAGACCAGATCTGGGAAGGTTCACGGCACTTGCAGATGTGGGAAATGCGGGTTATAAGCTTTCGCTGAAGTATGCGTATATACAAGTAAGTAGGTACTTGATACTATTTTGGATCGGACGGGTGATAGGTTTCTGGTGGGAGGAGATAAATAAATAAATATGGAATGAGATTCAGAATTCTTTTCCTATAAATACTTAGGTACTAAATAGATGAAAGAAATCAAGAGTAAAGATGACTCTTGAGTTTTAAAGAGATATCATGATTGTCTCGATACAATACTAAAAGCGAAATTTTTAATTGAACGGCTGCGCCGATATTAGCATTTCCGCTACCGAGACCGAGACCGAGATCCAAGGAGTGTTTGCTTGGCTAAGAATAGCAGCTTCAACCGAGCCTCACGAGTCCACGTAACAAACAAGCACTATTCGTTAGTAAAGGGCCAAGAATATTAAAATGTCGGGTTCACATGCAAGCAAGCATTTCTTGGACTCTGCGTACGACGTATGTACGAAGTATGTATGTAAGCTTGCTTGCGTGAGGTCGAGTCAGTGGAACGACTTATAAGGGGGAAAGAATAGGCTATGGTATTGCATGAGTTCCAATTGGCCATGGAAGAGCTGTAAGTATCAGTTATCGGGTTATCTCGTCGATAACAATATGTTTCCTGTCAGATTTGAATTCGAAAGATACCGTGAAAAGAGAACGTTAACTACCTTCTGGATAGATCTGTAGAACGATGGGTATAACAGGGGGAACGACAATTATACCCCTCGTCGTAGCCTTCTTTTGCGCGAATTTTGTGATGAATGTAATATAAGGTAATGTAAGGTAAGGTAAGCTGGAGCGATGATGATGAAGGGACTATACTATAGTATTGCATGTTCGAAGGCACGAGCTGAAGGTAGGACGGACGAGGTTGAGCAGTATATATCATCGGAGGCCGCGCACCGAGTACCGAGTACCGGGCCACACGATCAACAATCTGAAAATTTAGGGCCAAAGGAAGCGATGCCATTTCGCTCAAGTAATGGAGGTTACCTGCTAGGTAATTACAATTAGATGATATTTGGATCGCGAGTGGGTCCATGCCATAGTTACTTAACTAATAATATGTATGTAGGTAAGTATGTATGTGTGCGTGCAGCAAGGGACGCGGACAGTCCACAGATAAAGAAAGAAAATCCAACCAATAGAACATGACGGATTGACTGCAGGAATGGACCCGCTTTGCAGAGTCAGCGAGCAGTTCGACAGCAGCTGCTTTGACCTGTTGGTGCTCGTTTCGTGGGCCGGAGAGCGTCCACCGAAGCCCTTTTGGCTGGTTACCCTTTGCAGGGGGTTCTGTACGAGCTGTACCATGTTAATGTTAGTCGAAGGAAGTAGGCAATGAAGTAGGTACAAAACTATCGCCCAACAAAACGCCATTCTCGCCGGCCTCGCTCGATCGCGGATCCGAAGCATTGGGTTATGAGCATATGAGCATATGAGATGATATATAAGGAACTTGTAAGGCCTGCGCTTCCCTGGCCATCTTCATTTTAATCATCACCTCCAATTGATTGTCTAGTTGTCTACCTGTCTACTACAAGTCTCGCGAGTTATCCCTTCAACGTTTAGATCGTCTAGAAAAAAAGCGACTGTCGGCTGCGCACTTTTTTTTTTTTTTTTTTTTTCGCTCTCGTTCTCCCGGAGCCCTTGTAACACCACCAGCACACCACAGCTGCACCGCTGCCACCTGCATAGACTTAAACTCGACTTGGACTTAACGTAACTGAGCTTTTGCCAGCAGCGATCGCGCCCAGCTTGTTAGCTACTAGCTACCCTCCCTGCACGTTACCAACTAGCCAGGAGCCCTGATACCTTTTTTTTCTCTCTCTTTCTCTCCTTCTCTTGCTCTATTTAATTGATACCCTTCCCATTACCCTTCTTTCCGGAAATCAATTCGCCCTTCCTCTTATTCGAGATTTCAAAATATCTGCATCTCTCAGTTTAGAAATCACAATACCATCACAAGATCACAGACATGGCTTCCAGACCACAAAACGTTGGCATCAAGGCCATTGAGATTTACTTCCCAACCCAGGTTAGTTAGCTAGTTTGCCCATCTTTCGTTTGTTCGGTTTCAGGGGGGGAGAGGGAGAAATCAATCGAAGCTGGAAACTGACCCGTGTTCACCTCTGTAGTGTGTCGACCAAGTTGAACTCGAGAAGTTCGATGGAGTCAGCACCGGTAAATACACCATTGGTCTCGGCCAGACCAAGATGTCATTCTGTGATGACAGAGAAGGTACTAGTTTTCCATCTACCTTTCCAGAAAACTCCTGCAGAGTTCTAATTTCCAATGCCTTCCTGTAGATATCTATTCCCTCGCTTTGACCGTCACAAAATCCCTCCTTGAAAAGTACGACATCGACCCTACAAGCATTGGCCGTCTCGAGGTCGGAACGGAGACTCTGCTGGACAAGTCGAAATCCGTCAAGTCTGTCTTGATGCAGCTCTTCGCTCCATCTGGCAATACCAACGTCGAGGGTATCGACACCGTCAATGCCTGCTACGGTGGTACGAATGCGCTCTTCAATGCCATCAACTGGGTCGAATCCTCTGCTTGGGATGGCAGAAACGCCATCGTCATCGCTGGTGACATTGCTCTGTACAAGAAGGGTGCCGCTAGACCCACCGGTGGCGCCGGTGCGGTTGCCATGCTCGTCGGTCCCGATGCCAAGTTGGTTTTGGAGCCAGGAAAGCGTGGATCTTACATGTCCCATGCCTACGACTTCTACAAGCCCGATTTCCACAGCGAGTACCCATACGTTGATGGTCACTTCTCGCTACGATGCTACACCGAAGCCGTCGATGCCTGCTACAAGGCCTACAATAAGCGAGAGGATACTTTGAACGCTGCCACCGCAGCTCCAGCTGCTAATGGCAATGGCGTCCACTCCGCTGCCAAGGAGGGAATCGACAGATTCGATTACATGTGCTTCCACGCCCCAACCTGCAAGCTCGTCACAAAGTCCTACGCTCGTTTGCTCTACAACGACTTCTTGGCCAACTCCACCAGCGAAGCCTTCTCGGAAATTCCGGCCGAGTTGAGAGATTTGAACTACGAGCAATCTCTCACCGATAGGAACATCGAAAAGGCCTTCATGGGACTGTCCAAGAAGCGATTCAACGAGCGTGTCAACCCAGCCTTGGAGGGACCAACCAACTGCGGTAACATGTACTGCGCTAGCTTGTACTGCGGATTGGTAAGTTTGATTGCCAACAAGGGTGGCGAGCAGCTCGATGGAAAGAGAGTTGGTATGTTCAGCTACGGTAGCGGTCTTGCCAGCAGTTTGTTCAGCATTCGTGTTCGCGAGGGCTCCCAGGATTTGAAGGACAAGCTTAACTTCCACGAGAGGTTGGCTGCTAGAAGAATCGTTGATCCTTCTGTTTATGACGAGGTATGTCTCATTCCCCCATGATATCTATACGAAATCCGGAGATTTTGATGCTAACTTATTTTATTTAGACTATGCTCCTCCGTGAGAAGGCTCACCAACAGAAGGATTTCACCCCACAAGGCCCTACCGATACAATCGAGAGCAAGGCTTACTACCTTGTTAAGGTTGATGATATGTTCCGACGTGAATACGCTCGCAAAGAGTAAAACGGTTCGCTACAACAAAAAAAAAAAAAAAAATCAATTATTAACTCCGATTCACTTCGGCCCCTTTCAGTTTCTTTTAATCGGACCCTTTTTTGGCATTTTGTTTCTTTCCTTTCCGACCGGCGTCCATGATTATGATTTGAGACGGCATATTTAGAACTTTTCTTGAATACCTTTTTTTTTTAAAGTTGTAACACTATTATTACTATTACTACTATTGTCACGGGCATTCACGGGTTTTTCTTATTAACGGATAAACTTTTGGTATCAGGGAGTTTTTTTGAAGAGGAGAAGATCTAAGAGGAGGATGGGCCCGGTCAGATAGATAGCTAGACGCATCGTGCACAGTGCATATCGCGCATACAATAGAGATATTTCCAGATTTCTCATATTGAACACCGCCTGCCTTCTCGATATCTGCGTAGAAAGATAATATCTAGATGCAAACATCGATCTTAGTTTATGACATCATTGATCTTCCGAGACTCTTTTAATTTTTGCCATGAGAATCCCGACGGTATATAGACGATTTGGCAGTGGCCACATCTATACATCTGCAGTCTGTATACGGTTTGTGCGCATGTGCATGTGCACCATCCATGGTCTGGCCTGGCCATGACGGGGCATTCCGATTTCTCACAAGCCTCTTCTGTGGCGCCATATCTATCTCTGATTGGGCCGTAGTATGTGGCGCATGAGATGACAGCCCAACGCGACTGTGGGGAAGCGAGCAGGAATTCGAACAAGGGTAGCTGGTACGTGTATCTGACATCATCTGCATTAATATTTTGCATTGTTTGAGAACCTTTTTTTATTTTTTTTTATTTTTTTGATGAACACGACAAGCTTCCACTTCGGCGTCCAAGACTAGTGGTTTGGTTTTTTCTTTGTTCTCTTTTCACGGAGGGGCACTAGAGGTAATTGCACATTGATGGCATCGATCTAGATCGATATCTAACAAAGGGATATCATATATCGTAATTGATGTCGTAACTTGACTTTGCTTTGCCCGGCGCCTTTTCGAGCTATGCATATGGTCGGTCGAGAGTACATAAAGGATCCAAGTAGTCGTATCGTATCTCCGTTTGACTTCTTCAAACAGTCGGAGCAGCTGTTTCTATCCACAAGCTGAACACCTCTAAACTCCGCAAACGTTAACCCACCTAAGAACACTATTACTATCACGACATCTAAGATTCATTCCGGTTCTCGCATAACACTCAAAAGTTCCCTTGGTTCAAGAGTTTTCCATACCGTTCTTTGACTGTTAGCGATTCCTATTCGAGGTGGATATTACATCATTACGACGTACCTCTGATCAATCACGCTCTCAGCACACCCAACGGCACCCAGCTTTTCCACTGTTCTTGCTTTAAAGCAACATTCCCAGTCTTCCCTATTACTCCATCTCTTAAACATCAAAACATCAGAATAATCTCTCCCCACTACCCAAAGGATACAGCTTTGACTACTCCCAATACTACTACTAATTCTACAGTCTTTGCATCATTGAATACGCTTCACCATGAAGGTCACCGTTCTGGTGCTCTCGATAGCACTTTTCTCTGAAAGCACTCTCGCCGTCTGGGGCTTGAGCAAGCACCGTAAGTCTCCTGGGTTCTCTTCAGATTTGCTGGATATTTATTATCATTGATGGCTAACCTACTATTTTTTTATTAAAGTCTACAATAAATGGCATGAAACTGAACTTGAGCGATGGCTCTCTGACCACAATGTCCCATATCCCACCCCGGCTGACCGTAAAGACCTCGAAAACTTGGTCAAGGAAAACTGGGAGGGATACGTCGTCACACCATATGACCGTTGGGACACTCAACAACAAATTGAATGGCTCAAGCAAAAAGGTGTCGAGGTCAACCAAAAGGAAGCTGAAAACGCGGACTGGTTGAAGAAGCAGATTCAGGCCAAGTGGTATGAAACTGAAGCTACCGCCGAAGATAGCTATGGAGACGTCAAGTCTTGGTTGTTTGAAACGTGAGTCAAGTTACATCATCTTCCCCCATGAATAATATACGAGAAAGCAAGATCTTGTGTAGCTGACACGAAGTATCTCGACATTAGCTGGACCGACTCCCAACTCAAGTCGTTCCTCGATTATCATCACATCCCAAGCCCTAAGCCACGAACTCGTGATAGCCTCTTGTCTACTGCTCGCGCCAACTACGCTACTATCGCCCAAAAGGCCGATGAAACTGCCGCCTACCCTGGCGACTGGGTCTTTTCACAATGGTCTGATAGTGACTTGAAGAAATGGCTTGATGAGCATGGTTACCATGTCTACCAAGGTAGCAAACGTAATGAACTTATTGCTGCCGTTCGTCGTAGCTCCCGTCAAGCTAGCTTGAAGACCACCGACATCAAGGACACTGTCGCCCAGAGTATATTCAATTCCTGGTCCGAAAGTGAACTTAAGGAATGGCTCGACAAGAACAACATTAAGGCTCCACAAAATGGTAAGCGTGATGAGCTAGTCGCCCTCGCTCGTCGAAATGTTGCCAGTCTTACTGGTGATACTTTCTCTGCTTCGGTTACTTCTGCCTATAAGGCTTATGGTTCTGCTACCGGATCCTTGGGAGCTCGTGTCACCGCGGCTACTGATGCCGCCGCCGCTTCCGCAAAGTCCGTTGCAAATGCTGCTACCAGCGTTGTTGCCGATTATACTGCCTCAGCTACTGATGCCGCTTATGACTACGCCATTGGAGCCCGTGACAACATCTACGACGGTGTTACTGGCACATACCACAGCGCTGCTGATAAGGTTCTCGAGTCTTGGTCTGATAGCCGACTCAAGGCTTATCTTGATGCCCGTGGTGTCCCTGTTCCACAGACCGGTAAGAGAGACGAATTGGTTGCTCTTGCCCGCCTGCACAAATATAAGGCTGCTCGTGGTTATAATGCGTGGACTTTTGATACATGGACCGTTGACAACTTGAAGTATGTGGTCTCTCTCCTGTAGCACAGTCGTTAAAATACTTGCTAATCTGAACATTGATAGGACATGGCTCCAAGGCCAAGGACAGGCAGTTTCTGAAGGAGCTACCAACTCTCGTGACGAACTCGTTGCCTCTGCCCAAGCTGCCTATGCCTCTGCCTCTTCTGCCGGTGGAGACGCCTACGCTACTGTTACTTCCGCTCTCGCCCAAGCAACCGACTACGTCAAGGACAATACCTTCGAAACCTGGTCTGACAGTGAATTGAAGGCTTACCTCGATTCCTATGGTGTTCGTACTTACCAGGGTTCTAACAAGAATGAACTTATCGCCCGAGCCCGCCGATGCCGAAAGATCTTTGAAGGTGGATGGAGAGAGGAGACCGCCTTCGAGAAGTTCCAGAGGCTTGGATGGAATACCTGGGGTAATGCTATGTATTATCTTGGAGTTGGAAAGGGAAAGGCCGATGTCTACGCTAACGAGGCCGCTGGAGCTGCAAAGAAGGCAGCTAGTGCCGTTAAGGAAGAGTTGTAAACAACTTAACGCATGGTGCTTTTAGTCTTTTCTTAAAAAGAGAAACTGTCTATTTTAGTAACTTCGGGTTCTTTTTCGCTACTACTAAGGGAAAGATTGGAAAGGGTTTCTTTTGTACTTCTACTTTTATAGGGAACGAGACAATGGTTTGCACTACTGTGTAGGAACTGGCGGTTTCTTCTCCCCGCATTGCTTGATTGATTTTCTCTCTTAATTAAGTCTTGCTTTTGTTTCTTTTTTTTCCTTTTAGGTATACTCCGTATTATCTCTTTCCTTGCGTCCCATCCCAACTCAGACTCTGGTGATATCCTGTTGTATTTTTTTTCTTTCTTCAGAGCCTCGGGAAACCTACAGCATAAGAATTATATTAAAAGTTCAAGAAAAAAAATAACCCGAAGTTCTTCTGTAAACCAACCCTTCAACCGAGCTAAAAAGGATAATTGATTGAAAGAGAGAGAGAGAGAAACAAATTATCCACCCGCTTTTCTTTCGAAAACTCTCTCTTTTTCGTGGACCATGTTATTCGAACGGAAGCATGTGATTAAAGTAAGTAAAAAACTCGGGGATTCGGGGAAACCCAAGCACTATGAATATTCGTATACCATAGACCATAAACTTCTGATTCTAGAACCCGTTTGGCCGATAATTTATCTTTCCCCCGCCCCACAATTCCCCCCCCACATGCACACAACAAATATCTTGCATATTTTATAACAATGGGATGGGGGGGGAGGGGGGAAGGAACGGGATATTCTTTTTCGTGCAGAAGCGAATAGATGAATGCACACACACACACACACACACACATCGGAATAGCTCAAGTCGCTAGGTATCTAGCTCCAACTTACATTTTTTTTTTTACATATAATACATAATATACATCAATTAAGCCTTTTACTTTTTGTCAATTGACTGGCTATGGTCGAACGAACAAAAAGAAGAAGAAGAAAAAACTTGATTTGGTAATTTTGGCCATTTTAGCCGGTAATCATTTCCTTAATAGATAAGGGCTGTCATTTGCTAAAAAGCATGAATTAACGTTTGGGGAAGAAAGAGAAAGAAAGAAAGAAAGAGGTACGTTCTCTCTTTCTCTTTCTCTCTTTCTCTCTCTCTCTTTGTTTTTTTTCGCCCCGTTAGACGTTATACGTTATCAAACGGGCCCACCCTTGAATTTCGCCATATGATTACGATAAATTGCCGGAGAGAGAGAGGGAGAAAGAGAGCTAAAAACATGACATCATTCGCTAGATGTTATCATTATCAGCTGAACAAGAACAGACAGAAAAAGATGGCGAAACTTTGGGGGGAGGGGAATATTTGCCTTTTGTTTTTTTTATTTTATTTTATTTTGTATATACGGATCGATTGCAATTGCATACGTATGTGGGGGGGAAAAGAAGGGAAAGGGAAAAAGTAACTCAGTTGTTTTTCCTTCTATGATCGAAAAAAAAGCACATGTTACAATCCATCTAGCCTTCGGCCGGGTCTATCCTATTTCCCTTTCCTCCACCCCCATATCCCCCCCCCCATCCTCTAAGTTTTCGATGAACCCTTTTCCCTCACCCCGCATTTTCGGAACGGAATTTAACTATTTATTTATTATATATGATGAATTGATCCTCCCTTCTTATTTAAATGTTACTATTATCCTTTTTTATCATTTGATTTTTTTAAACCAATTCATCGGGAAAAAAAAGGAAGGTCATTGACGGGTTAACGTTCTGTACTACATATTATAAGTACTTACGTTCCCTCTTCTACAAAACCCAACTTTTCTATCGAAAGGACTCAATCCAATTCCACCTTTATAATCAATAATACCCATTCTCACCCCCAAATTAAAAACCAATAAAATAAGATAATACAATTACAATACAATACAATAAAATAAAAAAAAATGAGCCACCTTCAATCCCTCACCCGTTCCCTCCCTCTCGCAAGAAGCAGAGCTTCAGCCCGTGTCGCCGTCCTAACCCTCACGAACCACCATAATCATCAACTACAATACTCCACAGCGACCCAAACGTCCGCACGTCCCAAGATCCTCGATCCCGCTGCCGCAGGATTCGATGCAAACCCACGAGATGTTGAGAAACATAACAGAGAGTTTGAACGTAGAGGGGAAGGTGGACATCCTGGGAAAGTATCTGAGGGAAAATCGGCTGCTTCGGTGAAGAAACCGGGGCCGAAGATACATAATACTGCGGGTGTTTTTGATGGGGAGAAGAGGGATGTTGAGAGGCATAATAGGGAGTTTAGGGAGAGGCATGATAGGGGGGAGTGATAATTTTCATTATTATCATTTGTCATTATTGTTATTTTTTTTGGTTTATTTTTTATTTTTTATTTTATTTGTTCGAAGTGAAGGGTTGGGTGAGATGCATGCAGGGTGCGGTTGGGGGATTTGTTGAGAATGGAAAATATGAGTGCGGTGGGTGTGTGAGATTTGTAGGATTTCTTTGTAAGATTGATGGCGGTGCCTTTTGGGATTTTTTTTTTGTTAAATTTGTTTTATTTCTTCTTCCTTTTCTTCTCTTCTTCCTCTTCCTCTTCTTCTTCCTCTTCTTCTTTCTGATTGTTATAGCGTGTGATGTATGATTTTATTGATGATGATGATGCGAATTTGGGGATTCCTTTTTTCCTTGTCTGTCTTGATTTGTCTTTTGTAGTAGTAGATAATAGGACAAAATTGGGTATCATGAAAATGTACTTGTTAACTTACAGAATATCAAAAACGTAGACTTCGCCAAAAAGATCGCTTTCCAAATGCATTATGATATGCGGCTAGGTTGTAGACACCAGTCTTGAAACCGAGACCAGAGACCTGATATAAAAGACCGCACTCAACCGTGTCTCTCTTTCTCAAATGCCAGGGCCCTATCTCAATCATCACCACATTCCAGCACTAACTCTCTCAAAACATCATCTTCAGCCCAATCCACCCCGCTCCCCGCAATTATCCCCTGCAAAACACCCTTTAAAGTCCTACACTGCCTCTGGGCCTTCATCGTCTCTTCCTTCGCAGCGATAAGTTTTTCATTGGTAGTGATGTTTTCCGAAATCTCGTGTTCGAGTGAAAGTTGTTTCAATTGCTCCGCTAGCGATTTATTCGACTTTGTGAGAGATGTTAGTTTTGCGGAAGAGCGGTTGTGGGCTTCTTGGAGGGTTGAGAGTTGGGAGGTTAGGTGGATTAGGGTGGTGGCTAGGAGGTCGCGGTTTGTGAGGAGGGGGAGGAGGTCACTATTGTTTTTATATAGTATGTATTAGTATTCATGTTACGAGTGGAATATATAGATGTAAGTGGAGATATAAGTGGAGGTATACATACGTTTCCATGTTCGTCCGATGTGGTCCTGAATGAATCGACCGAACTATAGGTCTTGTAGAGGCTAACTGCGTGACGACTAGGTCTTTGACTATCATCTTCCCTTGGATCTCTCTTGCTTCTTTCTTTATAGATTCGGTGTTCTCGGTATCATCGAGGTCCATTGAGTCGTTTGTAAGAACTATGGATTAAGAAAAAAAAAGGTACTAGAATGTTATAAGGTGCTGTCTTTAAATTGGATATAAATAAAAAAAAGAGAGATAGCTTTTTTACCATCATGTAAAGCCTCCACCTCTGCCTCGAGAAGATGTCGTTGATAAGTAAGTTCTTGGAGTTTGTCGTATGTGGATAGGTTGAGGAGATCGTTGTGGGTGCTTAGATCGCGCAGAGCATTGAGAGTGCCTGAACTTGTGGGAGGCGGTAGGATTGGGAAACCGATCTTTTGGTTCATTAGGTTTGAGATGATGGCGATACATGATTCTTTGAGTTCTGCCGCCATGGTTGGGAGAATTCGATGAGGCTGTCTAGCCTCGAACCTTGGAGATGGATGTATCGTGGGGGTGGTGGTGAAGTCGGGATTCAAGGTTGGGTTTCTTGGGTTGTCGCGTGGTTTTGGCGTTGGAGGTTAGTGCTGCCCAGATTGGTAGTATGTTATCTGTCAAACGCGGCGCTGGTGTGGCACGAAATAGAAGTGCAGGCGCGGCCGAACCAACTTGGCGAACTTCCTCGATCCTCAGAACATCCCACCTTACAAAATATCCCCAGAATGCGCCGCCGATGACATAGCAAACCCGCCCCCAAGAAATCATTCCAAGAATCCATCAAGGACAATGTCAAACCCGGCCGCCAATCCCGAGCTCTACGGCCGACCGAAACCAAAAAACTCCATCCCATCCAATCTCTCATCAACATCCGCCCTAGCTCTTTCCAGCGAACTCGCCCGATTAACATCATCAGGAAAAACACAAGGTCGTAAACGACCCGCCACGTCTTCCAAAGATGATATCTTCCGCAAGGGTTCCAATAAAGGTGTTTCCAGCCGAGCAGCGAAAGATCTCGCAGACGGAACTACTCGGAAAACCACAAGCAAGGACATCGGTTACCTCGATGACGCTCAACTCCAACGATCTCGAAAGATGATGGAAGAGAAAACGAGGCTATATAATGCTATGAAGCGTGGGGATTATGTTCCTCCGACTAAGAAGTTGAAAGGCGGCTGGGCCGGTGCTGAAGAAGACCGAGCGGGAAGTTTGATCGACTTCGATAGGAAATGGGCGGAGAGAGAGGCGAATAAGGAGGATGAAGACGCGGAAACCTCGAGCGACGATGATCTCTCCGTTCGATCAGACGACGAAGAAATGGTAGAATACGAAGATGAATTCGGTAGGACGAGGAAGCAGACTAAAAGGGAACAAAGAATGTTACAACGGGAGGATGCGAGAGCACGAGTTATGGCTACGGGCTACGATTCGGATAGTGAAGATGTGAGAAAGAGGAAAGTCGATCATAGTCGACTTATCTACGATGATACCATACAAACTGGTGCTTTTGATCATGAAGAATTTGAACGAAGGGGCAGAGAGTTGGAAGAAGAAGCACGAAATACCGCGCAAGACACTCATTATGACGCCACTAAGGAGGTTCGAACGAAGGGCGTTGCATTTTATCAGTTCTCTCAGGATGCTGAGACTAGACAAAAGGAAATGGACGCCTTGAAGGTTGAAAGAGAGAATACACAGAAGGCTAAGGAGAAAAGATTGGCTGATAAGGAGGAGAGGAGAAAAGAGGTGGAGCGGAGAAGGGAAGAATTGAAGAATAGACGACAGGGAAAACAGGGAGAGAAATGGCTGCAAAACTTCTTGGAAGAACAACCGGAACTCTTGAGCAAAGTCGATTCCGCCCAGAAATCGGAGCGTGACGACTGACTCGTCCAAACATCGAATATCGCCCGTTGAATTCTGCCTCTAGCCCCAAAAAAATGAAAGATACGCCCTTTCGTCGAAACCCGAAACAAAACTCAGCATAGACGAGTTCTCGGGGGGAAATTATACAAGAAATAATAATATATGTGCAATCTTTGATCAAAAACCTGTAAGTTTTATCCGATTGAAACAGCATAGAATAAATAAATAAAAACTCCCAGTTCAATGCATACTAATGAAAAATAAAAATCAGAGCGCCGCCCATGAATGCAATGCAAAATTTATCAAAAACTTTTGTCCCTTTCGAACTCCATGAGATGCTAAAATAGATTGCAACTCCACCATAATATCGAATGTCGACCTTTCATTTAATAGTCGGGTCCATAATTATCTCTTTCTGGATAAGTCTGCGCAACGTGGATGGCACCGATATGCTTGAGGAATGCGAGAATATGTTCGGTTCTGCTGTTTCCGGCGTCGATGCCAAAGAGTGAACATAGGTCTTGGATCTCTCGAACTACTCGCGGTAGAGGAACCATTAGTCACATTATCTACCATGTCAAATCTGCTGAGAGTACTCACGATCCATATGGAAAAGCTGATGTGCATTTTCCGGAAAGTCTGGGGGGACATCATAGTCCCCGTTGCCCCAGTTCACAGGTAACGGGCGGAACTTGTCCCATTCGCCGCTGATTTCGGCATTATAGGCCCTAGCAGCTCGGACCCACTCGCTCGGTGAGTGGAAGCCGCCTCTAGAACTAGAACCTGCCATTCTAGGAATGTGGGTTCTCTGCTGATAGTGGTAGTGGTGAGGGTACTGGGCTGCAGCTAGTGCGGATTGACGATGACTGTGTGGGTACTGGTATGAAGATCTAGGTTCGTGCATTGTATCTTCTGAGCTGCTGTTGCTGTGGTAATTGCCTTGATGCACGCGGCCACTTTGGTGTGAACCCCAGGTATTGAAGCTGGACCCCGATCGTCCAGTCAACGACTGTCTAGGAACTATATTTGGATCGCACATCCCTATAACAGCCGCCGTGAAATAGTTGATTCGTCGAGACATCTTTGGGAAAGAGACTAAGTTTGAATAAATAGGTTTGGAAAAGGTCTTTCGAAACAAAGAAGTTGGTGATTAGGCGGCTGTAGGCCTAAGGTTTGGAAGCTCTCCAGGCAAGAGCTTCTGCTAGCTCTTTGAGTTTTGCAAGAGGATGCTATCGGTCTACAAGTGTAGATGTAGATGCGTCTGGGGTATCAAATTGAGCTGAATATTTATGGCCGGGCATTGCTCTAGATGAGAGCTGTTCCTCCTATGTCACTCTTCCCCACGACGCCTTCTATTCGTTGGAAAAGCTCTTCTCCAGTTACACTGCCGAGATCTCTTGCAAAAAACCGCCCTGAAATCTGTCGAATAAAAGATTGCGGAACAGACCATTCGATGGATAGTTTATCTCTAGATTCCGTCTTCGTCTCGACTAAATCAAAGTTGCGGAACCCGAGAGCCCTACCGCGTAGTTTGCCGTCGTCTTTCGGAATTAAGCTGGTGCTGATACAGTCCTGAGGGGTTTTTCTTCTAGCTTTATTGTAAGGTCTGCTTTGACGAATTAGAGGACTACACACGAAGAGCTTCGACAATATATAATCTTTTTCAGCCAATGTACCTCATCGGGACCTACAAGGCGAGTCGGGATATCACACATTGCAGGTAAGGTCCCATGTTGTCATGGTACGTAGCACAACGGCCCTACAGAACAAAAAAAAACAAGAGGTAATCTTTTATTATTCGGACTAAAGAGTGGGATGCCAGCAGTTACCAGGCCTTCCATAAGATCTAGATCTATGACGATGTGTCTGGGCTGAGCTCGGTAGTACTACCTACGAGCTTCGACATTCGGTTATTTGGCCATTATTATGGCCATTAGTGCTAGGTTGATCAAGTCTGGGTACTAGACAAGCTAGTAGTTCTTTCGCTGAAAAGAATCAGCTGTCTTTTGCTGCTGATAATGAGACTACTAAGTTACGGCACTATAATTCCTACAAGCTGGTTAGCGATGGAAGCTCAATGTATTAACACACCTATGCATCGAATCACCGTATCCCAGCTCAGCACTGCTACAAAGAAAAAAGTAACATATAATTGGGCATATGATCCGCGGAAGGTTGGCGCAGCAGGGCATGAATGACCATGGGTAACAGACGATTTTTGTCCCTGACCTAACGATACGCTTCGTGTCGGACAATCTCGTAGAGTAAGTAGGCGAAAGACGATGTTGAATCGCAAACTTTTTCTTAAAAAGGATCCAGTAACTTTGAAAACTAGCAAAGAGAGAAAAAATATCTGCGAGAATATCATGTCTTTTGAAGGAAATCTCTTTTTTTTTTACCTAGAAATGATCTTGGATGATTAAACCGCAGCCGGGACGTAAATTCTTGTAGCTCCGCAGGGCTTAGCGAGATGCATGCATATGCGGGTAACCGTTATATTCTACGCAGAAATCCTGGAATTCGAAAGAGTTTAGAGTAGGGATCCTTGGTGTCACATTTCTTAACTCGTTAATTTGACTAGATATGTAGTATCTAGATTTCCCTAGAATATCCATTGCATTGTTTCCTTCTAGAAGAACCCGATTTAAACCCCTTCTTCTAATTTATGACGAACTGATTCTTCCAGCAGAAGAAAAAAAGAAGCCCCCCACTTTCAACTCGTTTTCCAGATATTTCCAGCATTTCAGTGGTCCCGTGGAGCACGAGATCACATTTAGCCAATTACGACCCGGGAAAAACACTTAGCTACTAAGATATTGTTGGCGGTGGAACTGTCTCAGTAATTGTACAAGTTCCTGTTGATTCCGCGAATTCTCTATGATGGCGGACCCGTGATTGGTGGCCTAGCGCGGAAAATGAAGCGGTAGTAAGTTTGGGGTAGTACTTCTACGACTGACACTTCAGCAAGCGATCCATTGTTGTAAAACACCCTTCAATATCCTTCTTAAGCCGGTAGTGTAGACTCCATGAGCCCCTTTGAAAGTTCGGAATCGGACACCTCCTAGATCCTTCTGTAGTTCTTTTTATCTTGCAGGCGGCGTCCGTGTCGGGGCCGGCCGGTTTATTCGTGAATAACCATATTGAATAGCTATATATATTATGAACACAGATCTTTTTCTGTTTATTGGTACTAGCGATAATTTAGCAATCTCAAAGACGGCGGTACATGGTGATTCAAAGACTTACTAGACGCTGCAACGCTCTAGTCGCTGATTGATCTCTTAAGAGGTGGTGGATAGATATATGTATCTCTTCCTTCGGTATTCTTGGGTATATGTAAAAATCTATGGATAGCTAGTTAACTATAATTCCTCGAAACCTGATTCCTAGTTCAACGTTCGGGGTACTAGCTACTAGCTGGGAGAGTTTAGTCTAATGAGTCTATATTTACGCGTTTAACACATACTCTACTACGTTATCTCCTTCTCATGGGGGGAGATTAGCTCTTTATATAAACGGATATATCAAAGTTAACTTATGTAGTATCTTATCTGTACCCTTCGAATCCCTACTCAAAACCGATCCTGCAGACAGCCCGGCCAACTCATGCCAATACCCAGTTCATGTCCGGGATCGGAGTACTAGTACGATTGATTTTGTTCAATATAATACTGAAGCAGTAACAATTTTCACGTCGGAGTATTCTCGATACGGAGAACTTTAAGTATTGGTTGATCTAAAACCAAATGTTAGTAGGTTCCTCGCACGCGGTGGTTAGTGTATCTGTCGCAAGATGTGAAATAGATCGAAGCGTCACTGATCCTAATCTTAAAATAGACTTTTGAATATAGTAGAGGTTCTTGGTACCTCTCGCCATAAAACGGAGTAGATGAAAAAGGGTAGCGGATAGCTTTATGACGGATTTGTTCTAGTAGAACCTAGAGACTGGCTTCTTCCCTGCCAAATATGAGGCAGTCTGACTCGCATCGGATGATTGGTTCGCGTTGCGAACCCATGTTAAACGTTGCAATTTTGAGGTGACACAAAGATCCAGACGTCTGCGTTGTCGATGTTTGGTACCCCAAAAGGCAATCAAGCCAAGAAGCAAGCGTCGACCTCTCGAGCTCTAGATCTTTATCCAAACTTGTCCGCATTGCATTATCAGAAATCGTTTCTCCACTAATTTGAACCCGCATCCCCCGCTCTCCCACATAATTTTTCGCATAGGCTACTTTGGTTCATCCTTGCTCATTATAGACAGTGCGGTGTGTATGAGATTCACTGTCTGGGTGCGAGCTCGCGCTCACAGATTAGCGTCACGTCACCACGATAACTGGCAAAATTCGCCAGAGACGGGATGAGTGGATATTTACATACAAGCTTTACCGCTCGCCTCGCCTTTGGCTCCTTGTAATAAATGTATTTATCCGAATTCTTCCCAGGAGATCTATGTATTAAGAGACAAGGATGAATGCAGGCCTTCGATATCAATTGAGACAGACGATCGAAAACCGAACAAAAAAGGCGACCCGCAAAATCACATTCATACCATGGTATAGACTAGTCTAGCTCCCACGATACCATTAATCCACTAGTATACTGCTTCTTTGACACCGATTAAAACCTGTTTCCGTAATTTATCAGGTATCAGGCCATGGCTACAGAGGGGTGCTCCAACAAAGTTTCTCCCGGAGCCACCACCTATTCTAGAATCTCACAATCCAAAACACGACTATAGCACTCCAATTGAATACTAAAATCGTATACTATTCGCAGTTACTAAACTCTTAGGTTGTATTTCTAGGTACTTACATACCTTCGGCCGACCCTAGGATCCACCCTTGCGAACCAAAAAACCCCACACCTCGGAGTGTTGCATCCCGAACTGCAGGCCGATACAACTATGATCCATGTCTACGCCGTGCCCGTTTAGCCGGAGCTACCCCAGTTAAGCATCCAGATCTGGAGCACGGCTCGAGGTGGAACGGAAACCTGAACCAAGGAACTCATGATTAGATCTGCTTTAACGATAATCCAAGCTGCTAGGGTCTGTCGTTTTTAGCACTTACAAACCGAAGCGCAGGGTCTCGGAAAGATTCAAGATTGCTACGAAACTGGTTTGCGTTGACAATAGGCTGCCTGTATGTAGACCAATTTGATCACCCAGGCCAGCTACTACGCAATACTTAAAGAAAGGTCGAAACCACCTTTGTATTCGACTATCTACATAATTGTGTCATTCGAAAACATTCCATAGACTACAATAAAATGGCGGACTTGAAACCTCATCTCAAGGGCGTCTTGCGGCCAGACTTCCAATGGGGATATGCCACCGCCGCCGCACAAATCGAAGGAGCTTGGAACGCTGATGGAAGAGGTGAAAGCATTTGGGACAAACTCGGCCACACACCCGGAAAAATTAAAGACTCGAGCACCGCAGATGATGCTTGTAGATCTTATGATTTTTACAAAGAGGATGTTGCTTTGATGAAGTCATACGGGGTCCGAGCCTACAGATTTTCTCTTTCCTGGTCTAGAATTATTCCCCTTGGAGGGAAAGACGACCCAGTCAACCCCAAAGGCATCGAGTTTTATAACAGCCTGATCAATGAATTACTCGCAAACGGGATTACCCCATTTGTTACTCTATTTCACTGGGATATCCCCCAGGCGTTGGAGGACCGATATGGGGGTATGTTGAATCTGGAGAAATACACCCCAGATTTTCTCCGATATGCGAGGGTCTGCTTCGAATCATTTGGAGACCGAGTCAAAAACTGGATCACATACAACGAACCCGGCGTCTACTCCCTAGCTGGATACGCTGCCGGGGTCCACGCTCCCGGTCGTTCTTCCAACCGAGAACTCAATGAAGAGGGGGATTCGTCTACGGAACCATTTATTGTCTCGCACACGGAGCTGGTCTCTCATGCGCATTGTGTGAAGATGTACCGTGAGGAATTCAAGCCAACTCAGAAAGGCACTATTATGATCACACTCCACGGTAATTATTCCGAACCATGGGACGCAGAAGATCCACTCGATATCGAAGCAGCCGAGAGAGCCCGGGAATTTGAAATCGCGTGGTTCGCCGATCCTATTTATAAAACCGGCGACTACCCAGCCTCTATGAGGGCGCAGCTTGGTGATCGATTACCCCGGTTTACAGAAGAAGAATCAAAGCTTTTGCTGGGGTCCTCCGACTTCTATGGTATGAATACTTATACCACCTTCTACGTCAAGCACAAAAAGACTCCACCGGAGCTCACAGATCATCTGGGAAATGTCGAGAAGCTTGAGAACAACAGCAAGGGAGTGAGCCGCGGAACTGAATCGGATACCTACTGGCTCAGAACATGTCCTTGGGGTTACAGGAAGCTCTTGAACTGGGTGTGGAATAGATACCATGTTCCCATTTTTATGACCGAGAACGGTACGACAGCAAAGGGCGAACACTTAGATACGCCACCGGCAGATCCCTTGAATGACACCCACAGAATTGAGTTTTTCAATGGTTACTTGAATGCGTTGGCAAGTGCTGTCAAGGAAGATGGAGTTGATATCAGATCTTATTTCGCTTGGACATTTACTGATAATTGGGGTATGTGATCTCTATGCTATTAAGGACTTACTATCTGGTGGTTAAAATGGCTAACAAATCGACTTTCGCAATAGAATGGGCGGCAGGCTACACTGATCGGTTCGGTGTTACATGGATTGACTATAAGAGCCCGGAGAGGAAAAGGTACCCTAAGCGATCAGCGGGTGTCATCCGGGAACACTTTGAGCATTACATTGCAAAGGAATGAGAACTGTAGATAAAAAATGGATATACTGAGAATCTATATTTTACTACATTTTATAATATCAGTTGCTTTTATAAGATTTTCTAAATGTCTGCAACCTGATAAAGTTTTTGTTAACTAAAAACAATTTCGTGATGCCCTTGACCCTCAATTTTGGCTTTTGACCCATTTGGTGAAACTATGATGTATTTATTGGAAGCAAATTCAGATTCAACTAAAACCGGGCCTTCTATTCTACCATCCCGCCACTCGAAGGTAATTGCGGCGGCCCCTCTTACCCGAATCCCCTCAACCCTTCCATTCCCCCATTCAAGAGGCCATGCAGGCAGAAGCCTAACGACCCTTTCTCCGTTCACAATTTCGTGGCTCTGCACAATCATTTCAATGATTCCGGCAGACCCGCCAAAATTTCCATCGATCTGAAATGGAGGGTGGTCGTCAAGCAAATTTGGGAGTGTACTTTTGCGTAATAAGAGTTCAATGTGCTCCTTGGATTTTTCTGCTTGGCCTAGTCGGGCGTGAAGATTGATTAACCAGGCTCTCGACCAGCCCGTATGGCCGCCGCCATGAGCAGCCCGGCGAGTCAAGACCGCAGATGCTGCTTCCGCAAATTCTGGTGTTGACGCTGGCGTGATAGAATCTCCTGGGTGAAGTCCCCAGAGGTGAGAAGTATGGCGATGACCTGGTTCAACCTCTTCATAGTCATTCCTTCCCCATTCCTGAAGCAGGCCTGTTGACGAAACTATCACAGGTGGTAAACCAGCAAGAGCTTTGTTTACCTCCGCCATATCAACGGTACCCAAGCCCTCTAGAATGTGGCATGAAGTGATGTACGCTTTAAAAACAGCAGTGAGGATTTGAATATCCATAGTCGAGGCTTCGCAGAAAACACCCTCCTCCCCTCTTTGGTTTTTGAAAGTGTTTTCTGGGGACAATGATGGGTTCGTGACATAAAATCCATGATCGTCCTTGATCAAGAAATCGAGTAGAAACCGCACACACCCCTCAAGTACTGGAAATAACCTTTGCAGGAAGCTTTTATCTTCGAAAAACAGATACCTTTCCCAGATATGGGTGCACAACCAAGCGCCGCCGAGTGGCCATAAGGTCGCCGGCATCCATTTATCTTGAGGGTTAGTGTCCGCCCAAATATCAGTGTTGTGATGGGCACACCACCCCCTACAGCCGTACATTTCTTTCGCAGTCCTCGCCCCATTGACCTGAACTCGCTCAAGGAGCTCAAACAGAGGTGTTTCACATTCTGGCAGATTTGAGATATTCGCGGGCCAATAGTTCATCTGGGTGTTAATGTTGATGGTGTATTTGCTGCCCCACGGAGGTTGAAATGAAGGGTTCCATATTCCCTGTAGAGTGGCTGGGAGGGCTTTGTCTCCAGGGCGGCTGCAGGATATGAGGAGATACCGCCCATAATTATGGTACAAACCGACAAGACCAGGATCTGGTTTGCGCTGGAGGCGAAGGTCTGTGGGGATGTGGCTGTCATCAGAGCTAAGTTTAAGACAGACTCGTCCGTATAAGTTTTTATAATCTTTCAAATGACGGTCCAAAATTTGAGTCCATGAACCACATTTTTCTATATCACCCAAAGCAGCCAATTCAGGATCTTCAACACGAAATGTTGTCTGAGAAGCTAGTAGTATGGTAGAACTTTTACCAGTAACCACTAGTGTATTACCGAGAACCTGGACACGGCCATCCGGATCATTGGATCGTGCAGAAACGACACAGCAGAGCCGACTTCCTCCGCCCCCAGGAGTTGCATGCATAATGATCTTCCCGTCCCTTGTCGTCAACGTATCCAGGAATTCATTTGTCTCATATTCTCGTTCGCTTACTCTGTTCAATCGGATCGTATATTTGGAACTTTGGGACGATGATAAGTTGATCCCGATAACCTGGTCTGGGTACGATGCAATAGCCTCCCGTTGATATTGTATACCATTACAAGAATATTGTACCCTTGAAATCGCTTGTGATATATCGAGTTCTCTTCTATAATCACGAATATCGATGCCTTGATATCCGTAGTCGAAATCGAGGTGTAAAGTTCCAAGAGGTTCAGAATGACGTTGACTTGATGGGTATGCAAAAAAAGCGGCTCGTACTAGGGCCTCTGCCTCTTTTTGCCGTCCTTCCCGAATCAATCGGCGTAACTCGGGAAGATTTTGCAAGGCAGCCTTTGGTAGACGGTCCTGTGGCCCACCGTACCATACGGAATCTTCATTAAGCTGAAGAACCTCGGTTGTCGTTTGGCCATAGACCATAGCCCCAAGCCGTCCATTCCCAATTGGGAGAGCATGGGACCATTCGGTTGCAGGGGAATTATACCATAACATTGTACAAGAGTGCTTTGAAAAAAAAAAGGGAAACTGGCTTGCAGACTCTGAAGAATCGTCGACACGACAGAAGCGACTGAATTAAACCGTAGAATTGCGTTGTCGGTAAAAGTTGCAACAGAGAACAAGCCTCCTGGGCGAATGGAGGCCAAAAGATCTAGTGGTCGACCAAGTGGGTCGACAATATTTCCACCAATTTGATGCTTTTCCGAGGTGAGGGATCCTGGATAAATAAACCTTAGCAAGTTCACTAGTTGAAGCTTGTAGTTAGACCGCGATCATTCAGCCTGAAGTTTTCCCATTTAGCCAGGACTCGCCTCACCTTTAGCCATGGTAGTAGGCTGCAGTCCACCATGGTTACTACGGCGCCACACCCACCGGTTATCTACTTCGTCAAAGATATATATGAATTTACCAAGTCTAAACTCTATATGGAGTACATCAAGCTTCAACTCTGGATACAGGTTAGGTATACGTTAGCGGTTTGGGCTAGCGGAATAACTCCAACTTCTGTACCCACAATGTCTACTTGAAGTATCGGAATCAATACGGACTTCCCCACCCCCGCTTGAACTCTCGAGTTCTAGTATGATCACTAAACCCAATGTTACAAAATTGCGAAGTTAGGTAGCAGAACTAACGAAGTAGTTCGACGCCCACTCCACAAAACGCAACATCGGAGTTCAATGGTGTATACGGACTTCCCCACCCCCGCTCATCTATATGGTCAGATTATGAGACATGGAGATACTCCAGTGGCTAGCGCTAGGGTTAGCTGGGGATAAAGTGGGTACATGGGGTACATGCACATGTACTAGCTTTCAGACGGTGATCAGCGCGGAATTCATCCGGCATGCCCTCCCTCGGCTGTTATCAGGTTCTTTTTTCAAGATCTCGCACCATGGTTCACTTTGCCGTCTCCAGGTTTTGCAATTCACATACGAGACAGCATACTACCACGGGCAATATCCCTCCGAAAAAAATGTTAACAGTCATGTTGAAAAAGCACGCGAGGCTGGGGTAAGGAGTGCATGAAACCTATCGTTCTCATGATCAATGGTACTATGGGTCTTACGATAACTAGTTTCCGGTATCGTTCCTGAGCTATATTGCTGATCCCCGTTGGAGAAAACTGTGCACTCTCCAGCTCCCTGTTAGTATATAAAGCTTGGAATGTTTCCTCTACTCGAAAGACAGTATCAGGCACCCAGCTTGTGAGCTACTCTCTTCAATTGACCACTTTCTCCTTCCAATCTCAATTCGTTTTGAGGTTGACAGTTAGCTTTAGCTACTGGACCCAAATTCTTATACCTTAAGCTCTTGAGTCTCTGAAGTGAGAATATATCCTTCAAAATGGCTCCAAGGGACGAAGTTGAGATCGCCAACGGGACCCGGGACGATGCTTCTGACATTGATATTGATATCAAGAGGCAAGATGTTCACATCGAAGAGGTTGCCGTCGCAAGATTCACAGAAGAAGATATATACGCCATGTCCCAGGAGAATTTGACCATCTGGTCAAGTACTGGATGGCGTATTCTTGGAATTATGTTTGTCCAAGGTATGCGACTTAAAATCCATTCCTTTATCTCTATATCGTTATAACATGACGCTAATTTTCATTTGTGATTGATTAAAACAGGGTGCAATCAAGCTGGTTACGGTGTGGATTGGGGTGTTATCGGAGCTATAAACTCCTTCCCCTCCTGGCACGCATACTATGGCTTCGGTAATAGCGGCAGCACATACGGCGTTCTTAATGCCCTTATGACAATTGGCAACTTTTGCGGCTCTCCCTTCCTCGCCTTTGGTGATGTTATCGGTCGTCGTGGTGTCAACTGGATTGGAAATTTCCTTGTCTGCGTCGCATCCATCATGCAGGCTTTCGCCGTCAATATCCGCATGCTCATGTTCGCTCGCTTCCTTCTCGGCTTTGGAACTGGTTTGATGAGCTCTTCCCAGTACATGGCTGAGATTTCACCAGTCCACCTTAGAGGTCGTCTTGTTGGTATCTTCGGTGCTTGCTTCCAGATCGGTGCGCTTGCTACTTCGGGCGCTATGATTGGGTTCCAGAAGATCGATAGCAATTGGGCATGGAGAGCTCCATTCCTTGTCCAAGCCCTCTTCCCTCTCACAACTTGTATCTCTATGTACCTCCTATCCCCGGAAACCCCACGTTTCTTAATCATGCGCGGCAAGCGCGACAAGGCAAAGGAGGTTATCGCCAAGTACATGACGACAGCTCAAGATCCAAATACTCCATTCGTTGAAGCTGTCGCTTCCCAGATCGAACAATCCTTGGAAAATGATACTAGCGGTCACCGCGATTTCTGGGATTTCCGTGTCTTCGTCACCAAGCCAGTTCGATACCGTTTCATGCTCCTCATCTTCTACTCCGTTTTCCAACAGTGGAATGGCGGTGGTGTCATCGGTTATTACCTTGCACCAGCTTTGGAAACCGTTGGTATCAAAGACCCTACTGCACAGCTTGGTATTAACACTGGTCTTGTCGCTACATACTTCGTTTTCACACTCTTTGGCGCCTACCTCGTCGACATTTTCAAACGTAGAACATTGATATTTGCCGGTTTGATCTCCTTCATTGTCATCCAAACCGTCGTCACAATTGTTGGTTGGCAGTATGAGAAGACCGGTGGTGCCAAAGCTACTGGTTATCTTACTGTGGTATTCTACTTTATCTTCCAAGTGTGCTCGGCCTCCTTGATTGCCACCATGCATAATCTTTGTAAGTTTCTCTATGCATGACCGCTCCTTTGCAATTGATCTTTTAGTTCCCATGACTAATAACATTTCCTTTTAGACCCTGTCGAAATCCTATCCCTCGTCCTCCGTGCCAAAGGTATGGGTCTCTACGGTCTCATCCAGGGTGCCGCCGGAACGGTCCAAAGCTACGGTATCTCTGTCGGTATCAACAAACTTGGCTACAAGATTTGGTGTGTGTACATCATATACAACTTCTCCCAGCTTATCGTCGCATACTTCATCTTCCCAGAAACCTACAAGCTGTCTTTGGAGGAAATCGATACGGTATTCGAGACCAAGGGTGTACATCCTGTAAAGATGAGTAAGAAGCTGCAGAAGGCAAAGAAGGATCTTCATGAGATCGAGAACGAGGGCAGGGTAGAGGGTAGGGAGGCTTAAAAGCTTCCTTTCTCAGCTCTGATGTGTTCCTTCCTTTGTCTGTGCTTCATTTTCTTTTGTTTGTTACGCTTTTGGTTTAGCTTGCTGTATGGACACGATACTCTAAGAGTGTGGCTTTTATGAAGATTTCAAATCAACATTTAGTGGCGCGATTATATAAATATAATCATATGACTACGGGTTCTCGTATTTGCTATATGCGGGTTTCTTTTTAAATTCTCTCAGTGCGGAAGGGCTCTCTATTAATAAGAACTAAATAAACCATGCATCATGTGCATGAGTGTTATCGTAATTGTGACATACAATTTCTTGCCACCCACATTCCCAAAACCTGTCCCCAAAGAAGAAGATATTTAAAACTCAAAAAGACATGTACAATCAAAAAAAAAACTTCTCCCTGGATCCTTCCAATTTGTTGGTAATATAAAGGTGGAGCAATATCTTCCATAGAAGAAAGAAATATATGACTGAAGAAATGAAATATAGTTTTGTGAATAAAAGGTGTTAACATCGAAAGGGAGGAGAAAAGGACCAAAAAATAAAAATAAAATAAAATTCCGCTAAAAGAATGCTCCGTGTATCCCAAGGGTATATAATAAAGGAAAGTCGAGTTTTAGTTTGAAAGTTCGAAACAGAAATAGAACAACTGAAATCCCAAGAAAACATAAAGCATTACAAATATTTATGCTCGTAATAAGGATAGGTAAAAGGCGAAAATATTTAAATAGAATAAATAGCAAAAAAAAACAACAACAAGGGTTTTAAGTTCCTCTACCCTTTTTCCAATATTGCACCGACAGCCGCCGAGGGCTTGGGCTCATTGGTGAAACTGCTTCCGTTGGCGACCGGAGTTCCGCGACGTTATCCGCCGGTGGCGGCGGTATGTACGGTTTTGCGGCGAAATAGCCATCGTCGCCTTGTAGCTCTATTGTCGGTTGCGTTCCAGGCAGCTCCATGATCGCATCTTGATCTGTGTTGTCGGTGTATTTCTTAACATTAGGCTCGCATCCGTGGCCATCAGGGCTAACACATGATTGGCTTGCAGTGCTGACGCTTCGATTTCTGCTGTGATATAGAAAACTTCCTGGCGGCCAATTCTCGCCCGAATACGAAGTTTCGTGTGGAGGTGGGTATTTCGCTTCTATTACGTTGGGAAGATTTGGTATTGGTGCTTGTGGAATTGCGGGGGTTGTTGGTGGACGTCGTCGTCGGTGGAGAAGATAAAGGATGCAGGCAATTGCAATTGCGGCTAATGCGCCTAAAACACCTCCCACTATTGCGCCTATGGGGACTTTAGAGGATGAAGAAGGGGTTGGGGTTGTAGAGGGGGTCGCAGTAGTCCTAGAATTGGGAAAAAAAGGCCAGAGTCAGTAAACTTTTTCGTTCAAAAGTTTTTTTTTAAAAAAAAATTGGATTTATGGGCATTTAACTCACCCATCGAGACCTCTACAGAAGCGGCCACCTGATTGTGAGCCTATTAAACACTCATTCCCCGCAACACAGCAACTTGTTTCGCCACAGACGACATAATTCTCTCCACAAGCCTGAACAAAAGCTTCTGTCAAATTATAGATCGGCGCTCGGGGTATCAGTAAAGATCGAGGTATCGATATTGCTGGTAAATCTCTAGTTTCAGTTGGACGTATAAATGCCGCCAATGTATTTGTTGTAAATAATATTATAAAAAGATATGTCGAGAATGCTGCGGATATCGATATCCGTGAGAATACCGAAGGTTGTTGCATTTTGAGCGGGATGGTGCGTTGTGAGTGCACGCGCCCATGAGATGGTGATACAGAGTTTGTGTTGTGGCCAAGGGTAGTGGTGTTGGCGGGCCTTCGCAGCCGGGGCGGGAGAAAAATACGAAGCAGCGGAAGTTTCAAGACGGGGATTAAAAAGGATGGCAAAGATCGAAAGAGATGAACTCGAGAACTCGGGAGGCTGGTCGGTGTTTACACGGTACAGTATTAACGTGTTTGAGTACCCAGAAGCCTTCTGTCGGTGATACCACTGTCGAGGTTTCAATACGACTCGTACGTTTCGTTTATGTTACTGCTATTGTCGAGCGGCTCTGCAGCTGTTGTCGGATGTAGATTAGAAGGGGACAGCCAGAAAGGAAAAGAAGTGTAACAAGGCCGACGTCCAAGATAAAGTAATAAGAAAAATGCAATTGCAGGAATGTGGGAAAAAGAGTGCTGCTTGCTAATTGTGCTGCTGACGCTGCTGGGTGGCTAGCGGATATTATAATAATCAGACACGCAGACCTAATCAGCAATACGACTGCGGCGCGGAGGTAGCGAGACTTCAAGGGTCCTCCCTCGTCGATGGTACTTGCACGGCGAAGCAGCACTTGGCTGGCCAGGGGAAGGTGCGAAGTATGTATTATAAGTAAGAAACCTAAGTTCTCTTTATGGTGCACCCAAGAGAAGAAAAAAATAAAAGAAAAAAAAATTGCGAACCTCTACGGCCAGGGCTTTGGGTTATCGATCTATTCTGGCTAGCTTACGTTCCGGAGCCCCACCGTCATACAAAAGCTTGAATAAGAAGAACCCTGTGAAGATGAAGAATAAAAAGAGAGGAAGTTGAAAAAAAAAACTGACAGAAGAAGAACCGTCAAGGAAGGAGGTCATGTAAGTACATACATGTTTAACCCGTATGTCTACCTAAAAGCTGGCGCATTTCAGTTTCGTTTCAGATGGACACAACTTTGACGTTTCGGTTGACACCATAACCTTTTTTTCATGAAAAAAAGGGTATTTTGAATAAGGCTGGAACCGTTATAAGTGTGTAGACGTGCAGACGGGGACGATGCAGGTGCTTTGGTCGCAAAATAGGTATCAAACTTGGACGAAAGCGGGGATATTTCGGTTGGGTAACAAAATTAATAGTCTGATCTTGTATAGGACTGGATGTCTGTCCTGCTCCAACGATGCAACAGCAACATGAGTACAATTAACATCCACACTCATAAGATCCTTTGGTGTCGTAATGGCAATGACAAAGTGGGGAACTAGCCCATAGCTAGAAGGCCAGAAGCAGTATTTCTTCCTTTCCGGGTGAAAAGAGTGTCGCAGAATGGCACAAATGCCGTGAATAGTAAGCATTCTATTCCCAGGATAGTCGGTCGACAGATACACCACACCGTACATAGCATCTGCGCTTCCTTTCCTTCACATTCCTTCGAGCTCCGATGGAAATATTAGGAAAAACGTCTCCACTTTTGGAGCTCAAGTATGTCGAACTAGGCATCCTTGACATTGGTATAGCACATCGGCCACATCCTGGTCGAACTTTGGCTGACCATCCTCACAAACCGAATAAGTCAGTAGCCTTTCGATCCGTCCGATCGTTGTCCAGCAGCTTTCGGTTCGCTGGTTGGAAGGAATCTGCATGGCGAACAGTCAAACCATGCATGGCTGAGTTACCTCTTGTCCGCGTGTTTAGTATGGAAGTAACTTTAGCCTCAAGTGCGCAAGCATGGGCTGGTACTTACATCGGTACATACCCAGCCCCGCTCCACCATTACTTTTCCAAACCAACCCGCTGCTAATAGATGCCACATCGATGCATCCCTCCTGTACCGTCCACCCGTCTTGCTCATCCCGCCTCCCAAGCAGATATAACGTGGTGTTCTAAGTTTAGACATCCGAATAATGAGCTTCTAGCTCTTCCGCTCAATCGATAAAGCACCAACTTGTCTAGATCGTGGGTATTAATACATTATCGTGCTTGAGTTCAGATTCGAACATTGCATGTTGAGGGCGCCAAAACGTACCTTGCAGCCTCGATTCCAACTTTCAGTTGCGATTGCGCGACTCGTGGGCTTTCGAATTTCGGCTGTCTCCTAAATTATCGGTTCGCTCGGTTTTGCCTTAACTAGTAGCCTTGTAACCTTGTCGTTATCTCCGCTCCTGTGAGAAGTTGTCGGGTTGTCGCTCTCGATTGGTCTGGTTTCCTCTAGGCGGGTTGAAGCCGACGAAAACTAGTGTCTAACACCACAACACCAACATGTTTTACTGTGTATCGATACAAGGAACATATTTTTTCGATTTATGCAAGACTAACCGCTATCAATTGATCATGAGGCTAACTAACGACCATTCGGCTCGGTCCTACGATTCTAAATGCAATGGATCCCGAACCGGGCCTATGTTTCAAGAAGTGCGGGGCTTTAGATTCATGCCTTGCCGACGTCACAGGCGAGTTGGTGCGACGGTAGGTTTTGGCAGATAACATATCTCCAGCCAACCTCAGAATAGTATTCTGTCGTGAAAGATCTCCACGCTGCATGTTCGAGCGACGGTACACGGAACCGTAGTCGTACCGCCTATGTATGCTATATTCACATGTATGTATGTTACAAGACTACCTCCACAGAAAATCCGAGAATATATTCAACCGTCAGAATCATCGTTGGCAAACATATCTTCGGCTTTCATCCTCTTCTTCCTCCCTTCTTCTGTACTACCAACCCCAGCCCCAGCCTTGCTTCCAAACCCACCGATCTTAAACCCAAATCCGGACCCAAGTGTAACACCGCTTACCATGGGTTTTGGATCGGCCTTTGGCGGCTCTTTTTGTTCGATTTCTGAGCCTTTGACGAATATGTCAACTTCTTCGTCTGCTTTTTCGCCGGCATCACCAACCTCCTCATCTTCATCCTCTGCCATTGGTTCCCCGTCTTCGTCCTCTTCTTCCACCATTGGTTCTCCATCTACATCGTCTTCTTCCATTGGTTCTCCATCTACGTCATCGTCATCAACGAGCTCCTCGCCATCCAAATTTTCGTCTTCATCTTGGTTTTCAATGGAATCAGCCAAGTACGGGTTAAATTTTGGTTTGGCCGTCTCCTGATCTTCGGGAACAGTTCTCCACCTCGACTTAACAGTCGATGACGGTGGGGCTACTTCAGATTTTGGAATTTCTGGAGCAGCTGCAGCTTGTTGTGGGGCGACCGGCTCGCTGAACGCAACCCGGAGCGCCTCGTGAGATGTTTGTGGGAAGATATTCCAATTCTATCCAATCAGCGACAGATTAGTCATCACCCTTGCAGCAGGGACGAAGTTAGCTAAGAATTCTAGTGCTTACCTCCCACAGAGACAGAATAATTTGAATACTTCTTCTCCACTTTTCTTGACGAATTTTCCCCCAGTTCTCTTTGTCACCGACTTCCGCTAGTCCTTCAAATATCTTACCCTCCCTCAACCTTTGGTCGAAATATTGCCGGTACCTCCATACATTCCGAACACCCAAACCCGAATTCGAAAGTACATCAGAGATAAGATATAATGCAATAAGCTTAGCGGGAGTCTGGTCCTCCTTGGCTACATTAGCATTGCCACTCTTATCTGCAAGTACAGTAGATGGTTCGTGGTCGGGGTTTGCAGATGAGAATGCCACCGGCCGCGAGACGTTCGCGCACATGATGTCAACGATCTCTTCCGCAGCGTATGCGTGTTCCACAGCAAACCCGCTAACCCTCGCAACATCTCCTCGCCGTAGGGTACCTGTGGTTGTAGGTACCCTTGAGAGCAAATGGTATAATTTTGCTCGCCGTAGGGGACCAAGGTAAGTTTTTGTATCCTCCGCATTAGGGTTCGAATCCTGTGCTTGGTGAGCGTCGTCGTCTTCGTCTGAAGAACTATGGTACTCTTCATCTTCTATGAAATCTTTCAATTCGGTGACATATTCAAACTTTTGCTGTTTCTTTGGCGGCAATTCCCAAGAAATGCTGTTGTCGAATATTTGTGTAATAGTAGTACCGGAATATGACCTTTGCTTCCGATCACTATTTGAGCCACTCGTTGTAAAGACGTCCCATAACCTCCAGCGATAGTATACGTGCTCTGTAGATTTGTTATCCCATAGCCAAAAATACCGCTCGTCTGAAATAATTGAGGGCATGGCCATCAGAAGAGCCTCAAATTCAGGCCCGTGCGTGATGACTGCCTCAACGGTTTTGTGTATCAATCGCAAGGTCTTAAGATCCTTTGGAGAGTTGACTGAGACGACATATTTACTGTTATTCGTCGAGCTCGTACCAGGATGGCCAAATGACGAGGGCGGGGCGAAACCGCCTCTGCCAAAGCCACCTCTACCAACACCGGAGAATACGGCACGTGCATTGAACGGAGTTGCACTTTGTCCCGCCACCGTCGGTGTGATTGTTGAGCCTATGGCGGTAGATGGTAGATGGCGTGAGATACCGAGGCGGAAACCAAAACCCATGTACTTATTCGACAAGCCATTGACAGCAGCATCGATCTCACTCGCAGCGGTATCTGTGTGCAATGTGATGAGAGCTGACATTGACTTCCTCCCTGTACCTCCAGCGCCACCTATCGTCTGCATAGAGACTTGACTAGCCGTCAACTTGGGGAAGTAAGGCTGCATCATCTCCATAACCGAAATCTTGGTGGTCTTTGCAGGTAGGTGTGTCATGCTGATGGTCGGCTTTGCTTGTTCCTTCTTGCTCTTCGAGAATTCGTCATCGTCATCATCGTCCTCGCCGAACTTCATACCCCTCTCTGATTTGGCTGCCTTTGCTGTTGACACATCTCCCCCATCGTCGAAGCCTAGAACACCACTCGTGCTATGCGATCCTTTTCCATAGCCTCTGCCATGGCTCCCTTCGCTCTGGTATGTATCGAGATCTCGTTTCTTTGTCGGTAGAGGTCCCAACGTCCCAGGCCCGCTAATCGCGCTCCTGCCTTGCCCCGTAGTAAAGTGTCGCTTCCCTAATCCCGTCGGCCCAGCCCTCGAAGGGCCAAAATTCGAACGCGAGCCTCCATATCCACCTCTATCCGAGCCACGAGCATAAGAGGGCCTAGAATTGTCCTCGAAAGACTCTACGAACTCTTTGTAGACTGCGGCAGTCTCCTCGGCTTCGCGTTTCCGCTTTGCCTCTGCTTCGGCCTTAGCGCGTTCGAAGGCGGATTTCTTGGTAGGCGCCTCTAATTTTTCTTTGATATTCGGGAATTGGAAGCCAGACATGATTGGGATTCCGTCTCGACGAGTTTCGAGCCGCAGATCGGATGTGGTATGGGTGATTGAAGGTATCGTGGGTAGGGCATCGCAAGGAATTGGCGGATATGGAATTAGCAGTGGTTAGTGTGTCAACGCCAAGCCACAAGTGTATGTTCCAGCCACGTTCACATCCCTGCGGCGGTGGCGCTGCAGGTGTCACAAAGTTTGGCTGATTCGATGAATACCACAATGTGTTGCGGCCGTTGTGTTGTGTTCTATCGCAGCTTCGTCACTGCACTGAATCTTTATTGCAACTTATATGAAGCATTACGTGTGTCCCATGACTGGATACAACTTTGGGGGCACCATCTACGGAGACGATGTGCGTCGAGAACAGGTTTCGGATATACATTCTACATGCAGAAGACGCTACAGATAAGATTGACAATTGAGATATTATATGTAATTCGTTGACAGAAGATAATATGTGCGTAGAGCTCGTGACGATACTAGTATACTTTGTCTCCGTCAAGTTCTGGGACAATAGCGAGGCGAAGCTGTAGACGTTCAAGAAGGGTATGTCGAAGCATCATTAAGCACACTATAGCATAAGATTTAAGCGAATTTCTTCCTCTCCTTTGAGTGGTACGATATGAGCACAGGGCAACATGCGTCTCATGTGGACCAAAATCGCAATATTGGCACTTGCCACGGTGCATGCAACAAAGGGGTGGGCAATGAGCTCCTAAGGAAGAGGACCTTCTTGATCGGGGAGAGACTAAAGTAGCTATTCTGCAAGATATCTGCTCTATTCTACATAGAGCCATGATGCTGTGCAGTCTCTTGTAGATAGTCTCTTAATATTATAATTTGAAGGGCCCGGGGACATCGGATTAAACTAAGTAAGTAGCTACTAGGTAACTATGGGCTCAGACACTTAACTCAATTTTGGCTACCGAATCTGAGCGTTACGCATCCCTTCGGATGAATGTATTTAAATATATATTTAAGTTCTGTGATGATTTTATCTTCAATTGCATTTTAATATGTAAGCTTCCCGAGATCTCGATGTTAAATTTGGTGGAGCTGTCGCGGATGTGCTATTTTTGGGAATCCTGGGTTCCCATTGGCTGTCAGACCCCAGACAGCGGCTTCCGGGGTTGGTCTGTACGCGCCCGAACATGGCACAGCAGCCGACAGTCTTGTTAAACTCGACCACTCATATCCCCAGACCATGATATTAAGCTCAGAGACAGCGGCGAATCTGCGCTGTTGCCCTGCTTGTCTTCCAAAAATGCGTGCTGCCATTTCCACATACCCATATTTGCCTGTATCAGATACCGCTGACGGGATGACAGCACACGACCCGGACAGTCGGTTGGCACTCCTCCAGATTAAATGGACTGCATGCATTCGATTTGACTCAATCTTCCAGTCTTTCACGGAAAGGCGGTGCAGCTAGCTGCTTGGTGAATTTTTTTCGCTGTGGGGGCTCGAATAGGCTAGTCCAGTCATATGGTGTCTTAACGTCTTGCGGTACCTGCAGGAGCCTCCAGACAGGTTGTTTGAGTATATCAATCAGGCATTGCCAGCCAAACACCGGGTGTCTTCCTTTGGTTTCTCTTACACGAGTTCTTTTTCACTTCTTTCCCTCCCACTTTAATTCTTCTTTACTTTCTTTCCCTTCTTTAACATTTACTTTCTTTCGTTTCTTTCATTTTCTAGATTCTTCAATTCTTTTCCGTCGACGGAGTTTTTTTATTTTATTTTATTTTATTTTATATTTTTTTACATTTTTTTACTCCGTTGATTCTAGATTTCGCTTCTTTAGCCGGGCTATTCTTATCCAACCTTCGCTTCTGTCCCGGTGATACATAGAAACTTATTGGACTTACTATACTTACATACTTACATTCATTCATTCACTACATTCTCTGTACTTCTCTAATTATATCGACTGGACTTCGACATATCATAAAACCTTCATACACTTTCATACATCTCTTCTGGGAAGACTTCACACTCTGCTACCCTAACAACTCTTAAGTACGTTTTCCAACAACAACAACACAAAACCCAATGTGTTGTCTGAATAGCTCTAACGTCGTCAACAACAAATTGAGCTTCATTCAGGGAACAAGAACAGTCTATACAAGGTGCGTCTTCCATGACAAAAAAATATTTCTTCCAGCTTGAGTACCCTCTAACCTTTTCTTTCCCTTCATCCTCACTTCCTTCTAGATCACACCTGATTCCATGCCTTCATCACTTTAAACGCATTCACCAACATCAACCATCAACAACATTATCACAACCATCAACCTCACTATCAATCCGACTTTTTGAACTATCAATAAACCGTCAAAATGTTTAAGGGACTATTCGGGAAAGGCAGCTCCGGCGATAGGAGAAGCGCTCCGGCGACACAGGAAGGTGCACAACCTGCCTTCAAGACATTAACACTAGGTGACCTTCCCAGCGCCAACGTCAGGACTGCACCTGCACCAACATCAGCCCCCCTCGAAGCTCCACCAATGCCCACAGAACCACCAGTTATCCCAAGGATAGAAACACAGTCGATGACATGGTCGGACGGGCCCGGGAGGAGACCATCGGATCACACTGTCATGCCATCGAGTCCCGATGGCATGAAGTCATATGCTGCCTCGGTCGTTAGCCCAAACACACCACAGCCAAACAGATACGACCAGGCCTGGAACAGCAACGGTCTCGCTCCACCCGTACCGGCGGTCAACCCTTTCTACTCGAGGGCTGACGACGAACAAGACGACGATAACAGATCTCAATACGACAACAAGAGCTTTTTCAACTACTACGCCGCTTCCCCTAACCCACAGGCCTCCCCCGACCCACAAGTGCAACGAAATGATAGCACAAAATCTACAAAGTCCAGCAATGGACCATCACTTAAGACGAATATGTTGAACTTGGATGGGTGGAGCCCCTCGAGCTCGAGGTTCTCTAACCCATTTATGATTTCTCCGCAGGAGGAGTATCCCGCATACCCTGCGTATGGCGGTTCTTACCCATACGGCCGAGAGGCTTCGCCTGTCATTCCGGAGGAACAGGCTGGCCAGACAATAAGATACTCTGACTGCGGTGTTAACCCATTCCAGGGCCTCGATGAACAGGCCAGGAAGGAGAGAGATTCGGGTGCAGTCGGTGATATCTGGGAGATGATCACAGGCCAAGCACAGGAGGTGCAGAGGAGGGCCGCGCCTTCCTCCTCCCCCAAGATCAATGCTGGTGCCTCTGCTTTGAATACCGGGGCTGCAGCAGCGCCCGCTCAATCGACACTCAGGAGATCTCTTACAAACTACCAGATCCCAGAACCAGTAAACTCCAAGTCTCCGGTCGTATCGTCCCCATCTGAGTGGTTTCAGAATATCATTGTTCAGTATGCGGGTCGTCCCGTAGAGGTCAACCGTGCTATGTCATATATACCAGCACCAAACTCCCAACATCCACAAGGATTGTCGCCACCGGAAATCACAAGCGCCGCCGTCCCTTACCTCGCGAGCATTGAGTATGAGCTCGAGGAGCTAAGAAGGACTCGCGTCAATCCCGAAAGAGAAGTTAAGACCCAGGAGGAGCGGGATCGTGTCAGAGAGCTTATTCAACGACAGTTGGCACACGAGCAAGCATACGATGCCCTTGAACAGGCCACCGGCGGAAAGCGACTGACTAGGTATCAAGAAGACCCAGCTAAGATCTGGGAGGAGATTGATCTCACTGGGGTTCGAAAGGAGATTCCCCTCGACCGACGAAGCATCTCTAGCACTGGTACCGCCTGGCCAACGTTCGAAAATAAGACTCAAAACGTCCCGCCAGTTCCAAAAATTCCAGATCAGCACGTAGCCGCCGCCAAGGTCCAGAAGGAATCGATATTTACCAAGGCTTTTAAATCCCCATTCAAGCGCCCAAAGAAGGAGGAGAATTCCGTCGTTGTAGTAGCAGCACCACGAGAGGATCAGGAAACACGAGAGGTCCCAATCATGTTCTCACCAGCAGGCCTCGGTATTGAAGCCAGCGCTCTCGGACCAGCTAAGAGACTCAGCATGGACAGCAATACGACTTTCCCAGGACCAGGATATAGCAGGTCTGCTCCGGAGAGAGACACCTTTGCTGACCGATACGCACCATCGAGACAGGAGATGGACAGCCCTCTAGATGAGAAGGTTCGCTCTCCAGGGCACGCCCGCACCGGGAGCACAAATACTGTTTCTGCTCCCCCACCATACTCTAGAGGAGCTAGCCCAAACCTCAGCAAAGGACAGAACTCCAAGGGATTCCAAAGAATCTCGGAGGAAGCGCCAATTCAATCCCGCCCAAGATTCCCCGTTCGTGCATCTGATGTCCCCAGAATTTCAACTGCTTCATCTGGCCTCGCACAACAATACAACGCCAACGTCGGAACTCTTTCTCATATCCCATTCACGCCTACTACACCCAACCACGCTCGTCATTCTATCCCCCAGAGCCGTCCTTTGGGAGGTAACGTTAGCCTTCACGACCTCGCTTCTTTCCGTGGCAATAGCGTTGGTGATCAAAGAAGACGTGCCGAAAAGCAGAGACAGAAGCAGGAGAAGCGTGAGAAATTGTTCGGCCGAGGTGGATGGTTCTATCTATGCGGGTGCTTCTTCGTTCGTAGCACTTCCAAGAAGCTCAAGTTCTTTTGGTGGACCTTTTTCATCTCTATCGTCGTCATCTGTACTACTCTTGGTACAATTTTGGCAGTTAGAGCAAGCAATGCCGAAGCTCCAGCTGAAGAAGCGAAGCCACTTAGACTGATCAATTTACCCAACTTGCCACCAATGCCAGCCGAGGAAATTACCATCACTCCACGCTTGATCAATACAGTTAGCACCTGTGTCGCACCATCTACTCTTTGGAGTTGCAAACTTCCCCAGCCATTGGCCGATGGTGCCGTGGCTGAACGACCAGTATTCCGCTGGAAGGTCTGGTCTTTGAACGGGACTGATGAAATCGCTGCTCCAGACCCAATCCTTCCACTTCTTGACGAATACAAAAACATGAGCAAGATTGACGGCGTTATGGCTTCCCCTCCAGAAGGCGAACCTACTAACTTCTATATCAACCTTCTTCAATCCAATACTACCACAACCCCCAGCTCTACCGTTCAAGAGGTCCCACAGAAGGTTAAGCGTTCCCACGGCCGTCACTTCCCCCGTGCAACAGCTTCTCCCTCAGCTTCTCCCTCAGCTAAGGCCACTCAAAACCTGCCCCTCCCACCTGCCAACATCCTTCCAACCCAGTATACCTCCCAGCAACTACGTTTCTTCGATCGTGGTCTACCAACCGAACACTTCAAGTTCATCACCCACTTCCAAAAGACAATCTATCTCCGCACTATCAGCGCTCTAGGTTCCGGTGGCACCAACTCATTGGATGCCGATGGCGGTGTATCCCCATCCGAGGCTCGCTTTGTCTGCTCCTGGTCCGCAACCCGCTTCGTAGTCAAGATCTTCACCCGCCCAGACGAAGTTGATGACCAAGGCAAACGCAAGTTCGTCGTTGACCCATCAACCATCGGTGTCATTAAGGGTGCCAACGCTGGTGGTTTCGCTGGTTACGCCGTTCAGATCGAAGAAGACATTGCAACCTACGATACCAGTCGGAGAAGCAGCATTTCTTGCTGGTCCATCAACGATCGTCAGCAAATCGATACCACCAGTGAACAACGTAAATTCCTCGCCGAAGGAATCAGCACAGGAAAGAGCGGCGTTGATTATAAGGGTTGTCAGTGCTCCTGGAGTAACTTTAAGTCAAGTACCGGGCAAGGATTGTAAACCTCGGACTCTTCATACCCCACTCAGGCTCTCTTTAAAGCATGTTTCTGCCTTCTGTTTTTTTTTGATACCCCCCAACTGGTTTTCTGTCCTTTCCGGCATCAGCATTGGGTTTCGTTTTCTCATTCGGGTTTCTTTCAAAAACAAAATATTTACGTCGATTCTTCTGTTTTTTTTGTTTCCTTAATACTCTCCTTTGTTTCGAAGTCGTTTATGTCCGGTTATATAATTATACCTGACGGCCTACATACACACGCAGTTTTAGTGTTCTTTTTTTAAACCTCCCCAATGTATAGTTAATTAAGAGATGAAAATGATTATAGGTGGTGGCATAAGAGGTGGACATGCGGGAAACTTAGCGACATTAGCATAAGTAATGAACCGAATGAAATAAGTTTTAAGATCTGTTAATGCCTTCGAAGCTTCCTTTGCGAAATAACGTAAAATAACCTCGTCAATAATACTAGCCACTGCCATTTCCCTGCGACTGGTCTCTCAAGGCTAAGATGCACAGTTTGGTTACGAGACTGGCTAAGATGGCATTCGTCGGTGAGGTCAAAAATGCAACGTGCATCTACGGGTAGTGTGTTGAAATCGCAATGACAGTCTAGTCGTTAGCCGGTGCTCGCGGTTTGGTTACGAGACTGGCCGGTGCTGAAGATACCAAAACGAATACCGACGGCTAGCTATACGCGTTCCATTCAACATGGACCCGGCAAGTGCTGCTCCTAGCTGGTTAGGACTACAAAGAGGATAAACTATTTCCCTTCACGAAGTATACGTATACATATGAATAGGTAGGCAAGGCTGAATTCATTTTTCCTAGACAGATAATTGATGGGCTCACGACATGCATTTTCACATCTTTCCATATCACCAAAACCAACATGGCCATGCATGGCCAATTGCTGCTGCGTGAGTTGGATCTGTGGAACTGTACCCGAAGTGCGATTGATCATGCCCGATTCGCAATTGATGATTTTCATCAAGGTCTATTTTCTAAGAATGAACAGAGTTTGCAAGTTTATTATGAATCTTCCATTGTCTACCTAATAATACATTGAGAAGGGGTCTTTGATAGAAGTGAAATATGAAAAAAAAAAGTATGAAGGAAAATCGTAGAAGTGCATCAAGAAAGAAAACCCCAGTGGTATGAGAATAAAAAAGAAACTTTTAATGGTAGTAAAATGTCATATGCACAATTAAGGGAAAGAATGGTCGGAGCCTACGAGCCTATTACCGGAGTATAATTTATTCATCGAACTTGACCTTAGTACCGGTTCCGACAGGAGTCCTGTTAGCATTGGTACCACCGCCACGGCCACCGAATCCACCACGGCCACCACGGCCACCGCCGCGACCACCACGGTCATTGAAGCCACCGCGGCCACCTCCACGGCCACCACGGTCGCCAAAGCCTCCACGACCACCGCCACGGCCTCCGAATCCACCGCGACCACCACCACGGCCACCGCCGCCGTTGCTGTTGTCACGGGGTTGAGAGTAGTCAGTACGGATGGAACGGCCGCAGACCTGCTGTCCGTTCATAGCAGCATGTGCCTTCTTAGCCTCGTCAATGGTGGAAAAGGTGACATAAGCGAAACCCTTCTTGTTGCCGGTATCCCTGTTACCTGATTAGTATAGTTCAGCGTAGTATAGAATCAAATGAAACTTACTTGTCAGTTGGAATTCTAACACTGGTGACCTCGCCATGTTCAGACATGGCGGCACCGAGTGCTTCCTCATCAGCGTTGAAGCTGAGGTTACCAACGAACAAGGTATCGCTTGGTGGGCTTTCGCTGTCGCCGAATTTGCGAGCGCGGTCTTGGGAGTTATTGTTATTTTGTCGAGCGGTGGTGAAGTCAAGGTTGATGGGACGACCGTCAATTTCAGCACCTTGCTTCTCAGCGAGTGCCTTCTCAGCATCGGCACGAGTAGCAAAATCAACATATCCGATACTGTAGCCATTGTCAGCACCACATTCCAGCAAATTAGAACTTTATTAAGCAACATACCCCTTTGACCTGTTCCTCTGGTTGTCCCAAACGACGCGGGCGTTCTCGACGGTGGCGACATCCTCAAATTCGCGGCGGAGCCAATCCTCATCAACATTCCAGGAGAGCTGACCGACGAAAAGAGTCTTGGACTCCTCGCTACCGTCTTCATTGGCCTTCGCCTTCTTGGAAAATGCAGGAGCTTCCTCTTCAGCCTTACGCTTCTTTGGCTCCGGAACAGCTGGCTTCTTCTCCTCCTCGTCGTCAGAGCTATCAGAGGAATCATCCGAGTCAGAATCTTCGTCAGAGGAGTCAGCCTTCTTGGCCTTCACCTCGGCTTTTTTAGAAGATTCATCGCTGGAATCATCATCAGATGAGTCGCTAGAGTCAGAGTCTTCCTCGGCCTTGGCTGGGGTACCATTGACCTTTGGAGCAGCCTTCTTCTCTTCAGCTTCAGATTCGGAGTCGGAGTCGGAATCAGAGTCATCCTCGGATTCGGATTCTTCCTTCTTTGTTTCCTTTGCTTTGACTTCCTTCTCAGATTCGCTGTCATCAGAGGAATCGGAATCGGAGTCAGACTCCTCCTTCTTTCCGACAATCTTAGCGACACCGTTGGTCTTGATGGGAGTTTTGGCCTCTTCCTCCGATTCGGAGTCGGAGCTATCACTTCCACTATCAGAATCAGAGTCGGAAGAGTCAGAGCTGTCGCTCTCCTCGACCTTCTTCTTCTTCTTCTTATCCTCCTTCTTCACGGCGACTGGGGCAGCCTTCTTGGCCATCTCCTTAGCCTTAGACTTTGGGGTCTCAGCAGGCTTGGTGACTCCGCCAGTCTTGACGGTGGATAGAGTCTCCTTGGAATCCTTCTTGGAGGACTTCTTGCTGTCCTTAACTTGTGACTTTGCCATTTTTGATGGTAGGTTTGGGGTGGGTGGTGGTATTGGGGGAGATTGTAGGGGTATGATGGAAGGTAGAAAGGGTGGTGATGAATTCAAGCCAGCAGTTCCCTCAATTGGTAGATACTTGCCTCTGATATACGACCAGGTATATTCAATAATAAGCCCTCAGAATGCCCTCGGAGAAAGTGATTCGCAACTTCTCTAAAAGATCCCTCAGATTGTCAAAAATGACTGTATGGTATCAGTGCCCTCGGTATTTCCTCTGTATGCCCACTATAGTAGCCCTCAAGTGCCCAAAAATTTCGATCAAACGTAAAATTTGAACGAAAGGTCAAAAGCCCTCTAGAATTGCGCCTACAGATTGTTTCAGAAAGTAGTTCCCTTGAAGCCGACAGTGCCCACGAGCCCTCAGACGTCTTATGTGACAGAAATATACCCTCGGAGTATTGCCCTCAGAGTTTTTTCTAAGCTATGCAGCAACTGCGATGAAGCAGATGGCTTTTGCTTTTGGCTTTAGAATATCCCACGAATGGAAGATCCGACACCCTTAATAATGGTAGAGAATAAGAGATAGCTATTGAGCTATCGAGTACGAGAGAATGGTATGTAAGAGAGAGGGGAGAAAGGTGGTTGACAGTGATGAAGAGAGGAAGAAGAGGAAGAAGAGGAAGAGGAGGAAGAGGAGAAAGAAAAAAATCTTTTGTAGAAGGAATTCTGGGGGAAAAAGGTTTTTGCGACGAACAAAATTTTTTTTTGGTCTGCGACAAACTACGCGAAAAAGGAAAGGCGGGCAGACGACCAGTCTGGGCAGCTCCAACGGCGGTCAACCTCATGGCAACACGCTGCACCCAAATTTGAGACGTACTCTAATTAGATCTAATCACTGCACTGCCGACGCTTGCAGTTACAATCGTCATCATCGCTATCTTCTATTAGCCATGTCAGTGTGCATTCAGTGTGCCTTTAGGCATGGCTTTCGCTCGACTAGGGCTGTTGCTCCCAGGTTATCGGCCTCTTCGATAGTTCCGGTTCGACGCTTCATTTCTACCTCGATATCGCCTCAGAAAGAAAAGCCTTCAGGTACCAGAAATCCCCACCATAAGCACTCAATGGGCTCTGTCTAACCCTTGAACTTACATATATAGATGCTACAACCACAACTGAGAAGCCTAAGGTCGTCTCCATCACTCCCGCCGGTACTATCATGAAAGGGATCAACTTCAACAAAAAGCTTAAAGACCCTATCGCCTTGCCAGATGAAGAATATCCAGCCTGGCTATGGACTATCCTCGAAGACAGACGCCCAATACTGTCCTCTGCCCCACAGCTCTCCTCGGAGGATGCAGCAGATCTATATTCCAAGTCTAAGGGTCGAAGAAAACTTGCCCAGAAGCGTATAGCGGCGAAGCAGGCGGCAGCCTCTGGTGAATTGGTAACCCCGGCCGACTATAAAACAGAGGATATGCCATGGCAGACATTCGAGGAGAGTCAAGCAGCGATCTACGAGGCAAAGAAGGCATCGAGAGAGAGAAGACGAGCTGCAATTAAGGAGAAGAACTTCTTGGGCAAGCTTGGCTAGTCTTAATCGCCTTAAATTTTGACCAAATTACGGAATTTGTATCATAGCATTGGTATAATAGAGTACTGTACATATCACAACGCCAATACCTGGGTTAATTATTGCCGTAAGTTCGAGTCTTGATGATAATAGTGATAGTGATGTGTATATAATATGTCGTCAAGGAAGAGGATACCCGGCCCTCCGTACTATCTTACCAGACGTCCATGTGATCCATTGTATGTGTAGAAAGCTCTCTTTCCAGGTACACCACCGCCCATAGCCTATCAGAGCAGTATCCGGCAGGCCAGCAAAGACTCAACTACCACATAGAAACTTTTAATCCCCTGACTTCTGGTCCCCTCACATCTATTTCCGATACCCCACTAAAATAGTGCCTTTATTTCGCCTTGTTCGCTTGTGCTGCAGCTTCTATACACCAGATCACGAGTTAGTGCCCAATTTAATCTCTAGTACCAAAGGCTTAATCGTACCTCTTCTTGTAGCATCCTCCAATAGTGCCGTGTCTACAGCATTGGCCGGCAAATGAACGTATCTAACAACAGATCCACGGATGAAGACGTTTTTGACGGCAGACTACTATCCCATTAGCCTCCACACCCTTGCCAATCGATATACCATAGCCGGGGGTCGAACAACATACAAGATGTGGATATTTGACCTCGTCGACGACTTGGATCTCGTCTAGTTTGATATTCAAAAACTGGTCTACCGATTTGAGAGTACCGCGGATGGAGAGGTCGTTTTTTAGCTCGATTGTTACCTGCTCAGAGACAGCCGATTAGCATTTTCGTTCATCGGAAAGCGGGGTAGTTTCGGAAGTAGCCCACCTCGTGATCTACGAGAGTTTTGAAGAAACTGAAGAAAAGCATTGTGGCTGATGTTCGATACGCACGGTTGAGGTTGTGTCGGAATCGAATCAAAGGTGGGCTGGGCGACTTTGAAGCTCTGGTTTGCAAGGTCTTGGCGATGAATTTCAATGTCAAGTGACGCCGCGTCTTTGCAGTCATCCCACCGCGCTATCTTTCGATGGCAAAAACGTCACAGCAATCGTTGCAAACGTTCACCTCCCAGAAATCAAAACCCCAGGCGGCGACCGCGATGATATGATTATCACTGCGAAAGATTGAAAAGGATGTAACGTCCTATACTCGGAAGCTGCACAATAGCTCTTATTAACACTTCGTCACTATGCCCGTCCCTACGAAACGCAAAACCCCGTTTACGTCAACGACGTCGAAAACTCCAGCAAAAAAAGCGACTACATCGGCGTCAAGATCAAGACCGGGGGCTAATGGGAATATCTTGAATTTCTTTAAGAAGGTGGATGGTCCCTTACCACCGTTAGTCCAGAATCGCGACGGAAATGGAGACCTTAGGAAGTTTGGGTTCTATAAAGGGCCCCGTCCAGCGAGGACCGGAGCGCTCGGCGGGGACATGTTCTTCCTGGATGGCGATGAAGAAGCAGAAGATGGAGATCAAGGCTCGTGGAGATATAGTGAAGATTTAGCAGAAGACCCTAAGGAAATGGAGGACTTGTTCGGTCCGGCGAGTACTCAAGAACAGAGGGAGATTTTGGAAACGGAGGAGGCCATCAACGAATCATTAGCTTTGGGCCCAGCTACTTTCCCCGCGAGAGCTTGTACCCCGCCTCCGTTGGATTTGGGTGCTCATGGAGTAATCGGGGGGGAATTCGATATGCCAGCAAATGACGACATGTGTCCATTCAGTTTCGATGATCCTATCGGAGACAACGTCGCCGGCTCATCCGTGGTCCCCGAACACCTAGTGAATAATCTATCCCCACGGGAAACAGAGCACGCTGCTGAATATACACAAAATCCTCTAAGTGCGACAGTTTTGCTGCCATCGGATTACAATGTTGACGAGGACGATCTCATTGAAGACGAGGGTATGGAGAACTTTGATGAAGAACAGGAGGGACGATGGAGGGACGCAGAAGATGATGAACTGGAAAACGATGACGAGGAAATCGGAGAAGAGAAAATGAATAGGAAGTTTATGGAACAAGAGGAATTAGATGAAGCTGAATTTCTTGCATCGCTGAGTCCATTGGACAAGGGTGAAGATGAAGCTAGGTGTCTTGTCAGTTGTCCGATATGTGACGCCAACCTGACAGGATATGAAGATGATGTAAGTATCCGCTTGAACATCTATCAAAACAATGTATTGCATGCTAAAATTGTTTTTCTAGGTTGTATCCCGCCATGTAAACAGCTGTCTTGATGGGAATACAATACCTCTGCCCTCGCGGGAATCTAAACTCGTAGCATCCAACCTGCCAAACCAACCTTCAAAGACATTTCTTCATCCTCCTCGCCCAGCACAGTCAAATCCCTTCTCACACCCATCTGCGACAACTTCTGCTCCATCTGCCTTCTCTAAAATCATGGCTTCCAACGCTGAGGATCGGGCCTGGAAAGAAGCCGCCGACGAGGAAACCCGCTCTAGGGGGAAACGTTCATTCCAGCGGACTTGCCCCTTCTACAAAATTCTCCCGAACCTCAACGTCGCCGTTGATGCCTTCCGGTACGGTGCCGTAGAAGGTACAAACGCATACTTTCTTAGTCACTTCCACAGTGATCATTACATCGGCCTCTCATCTAGCTGGAATCATGGTCCAATATATTGTTCAAGGGTTACAGCGAATCTATGCCGACGACAGTTACGTGTAGACCCACAATACATCAAAGAGCTAGAGTACGAGAAAAGAACAGAGGTGCCTGGAACCGGTGGAGCGACCGTGACCATGATTGATGCAAACCATTGTCCAGGGTCGTCTCTATTTTTGTTCGAGAAGACAATATCTTCGCCACGAGGGGCCCGGCGTCAGCGTATTCTGCACTGCGGGGATTTTAGAGCTTCTGCGAAGCATCTGAGACATCCTTTATTAAGTGTGGCGAGGAAGAACAGGATTGATATCTGCTATCTTGATACAACTTATCTGAACCCAAAATATGCATTCCCGCCACAAAAACAAGTTATAGAAGCATGTATGGAGTTATGCGTCAGCCTTGACAAGGAAGTCGAAGAGGGCAAAGAGCTGGGGTTTGGAGAGTGTCGAAAAGAGGGCGGTGGGATCGAGAAGTTTACAATACCCAAAGCCCCCACAAGTGAGGCTAGCGGCTCAAAGAGCGACAGCCCAACGAATGTGGTAAACTCCTCCGTGAAAACCAAAGGTAAGCTACTAGTCGTTGTCGGAACCTATAGTATCGGTAAAGAAAGAATATGCATGGGCATAGCCCGGGCTTTAAACTGCAAAATATACGCCCCAGCGAACAAACAGCGAATCTGCGCCGCACTCGAAGACGATGAGCTTAATTCGCGGCTTACATCAGACCCGCACGCTGCGCAGGTACACATGACCCCACTAATGGAGATCAGGCCTGAAACGCTCAAAGAGTACTTGTTATCCTTCAAGCAAAGGTTTACCAAGATTGTGGGGTTCAGGCCCAGCGGATGGAATTATCGGCCACCAACAGGGAGGCTTGTGGACAGTCCACAGGTACAAACAGTGCTGAATTCGCAGGCTTGGAGAAGTAATTATGGAGTCACTCATATGGTGCCACAAAGAGGGAGTACGGCTGAGGTCAAGTGCTTTGGTGTACCTTACAGCGAACACAGCAGCTTCAGGGAATTGACGGCATTCTGTTGCGCGCTAGATATTGTGCGGATTATTCCGACAGTCAAGTTAGTAATCCACCATCCTATTTTGTTGAGAGGCTAAAAATGACTCTCTTTCTTGATTATTTTTACATTCATACATTCATTCATTCCTTCGAGAGGAAAGAAGACAAAACTGAGCTGACATAATTCGCAGCGTGGGATCCGCGAAGTCGCGCGAGAAAATGAAGTCGTGGTTTGAGAAGTGGGCGGCAGACAGGAAGAAGAACGGGTTTTACACACTCGAAGAAGGGCAAGATGTGTTGTAGGCTGAGGGGGTGTCGCGGGAATCCAGGACAGATTCCAGCATGGATTCTCAGCATTAATCTGCATGGCGAGCGTTTCTAGCACGGATTCGATATTCTAGCACGTTGTAGCCTGCAGGATTGGCATGTCAAAGTATCCCCATGCTCCGCACAATACCGACACTTACGTTGCCCCCTTGACCATGGGAGACTTCAAGGCTGCCCAGGCCAGAAACGGCTGACAAAAAAAACCACCATTTCACGATATCATTGCAGCATCAAGTTGTTGAAATGATGCTCTCTTGAAAACGGCAAGTTGAGCCTGTGCTTGAATCTCAATTTCCGACTTATAGCTCCAGATTTCCATATAACCCGGCCTCTTTCTTTTTGAAAGGGCATGAAATGTCGTGAGCACGAATCAAAATGAATGACGACCCCATGCGATGTCACCTCGCGCGGCTCAATATCGCAGGTAGCCCAGCATTCTCGTCCTTGCGAGATGCTCACCCCACGCCTGAAGTTGCAATTGTGGGCTGCTTGGAACCAGCTGGGGCCTGGTCTGCTTCGAGAATGGTGACCATTTCGTTAGTCTCGGACAGCCACAATTCAAGCTTTTTTTCGTCGCATGCCACCCTGGATCGCTACTAAATTTACTCTTTGCAGAGTTCGGTGACAGCGGGCAGCTGCTGAACACTACGATAGCTGATGCATTCAGAGTTCCTTCCACCTTGTACCGTAACGTAACCTTATCTCGAACGCAAGGCTTTCAGCCACACGAAAGTTGCGATATTTTATTTTATATCTAAGAGTTTTCCGTGCATCCCCTTCAGCCAAATGATTTTTTTTTCTGTTTGTTTCTCCTTTCCTAGACATCTTCAACTTTATTCCGCTCGTTCGTTTCAGAAGGATTTTGTTTGCCCTCCACCAAGTCTTGGACTTACCTTCCATCAAACTTCGGACGACGGACTGTAGCGAATGCCTTATTGGGGACAGCATCCCAGGCGCCCTGATACTGGCTGTGCTTCAACCTAAAACCCCCCAGACATCGACCACTGGATCGAATTGCCCATCAGCAGGGGGGGCTGGAGGAAAGGGAAAATTACGTGAAGACTAGTTTTTTCCGACTAGCACCGGGATGTTACCATAGTCGTTTGATGTCACGGTTGGCCTAGTTATATGTTAGCTAAGCTAAATTCGAGAATTCGACGGAGTAGCCGCTGTTATATAACCAAAAGGTAACCCCATAATCTCTCTTGGGATTTTTTTATTTTTTATATTTTTTATTCCATCTTTTTCTCCTTTCTTAATATCTCGACACTTTCGTTTTTTTTGTTTGGTGTTAAAAATTAATCCCGACCTTCGCTTTTTTTTTTAGTGATTGACACTCGTTTTTTTTTGTTTTCCTCTTGCGAATTGCTAAAACCAGCTCACGATAGCATTCCGTCGTTGAAGGTTTTCATTCCTGCTCAATCTGGAGATACCCACGAATTCCAGCTCAGGAACAATCACAATTGAATATTTTGACCAAATTGCGGGCTGGCAGCCTTTTAAATTTCCAACATCACCGACCAACAAGCACATTCACATTAAAAATAGGAGGAATCAAAAAGGCCAACAAAGTGAATTCTTGACTTTGTGAACCTCGTCCAGATCCAGATAGGATTATCTCCGACAATCGCTTTCCAACGACCTTGTTACACAGAAACAACGCATATCCTTATCCCTCTTTGCCCCCCTGCAGGACTGATGTCGGCCTCGACAACTTCCACAATGGCAACATCCCAAGTCTCAGAGCGAAAAGCCGGAGGCCATTCTCGTGAAGCTTCACGAGGAGAGTATACTTTCCCAAGAACAGGGGTACCGACCATCAGCGTTTCCAGATCACATTCTCGAAATTCATCTTGGGATAGCAAGAAGAACGACGATATCATGCTCCCACAACGTCGTACACCACCATCAATCCAAATTCTGCCCGCTAGCAGTCCATCTACTAGACGGAATTCTAACGAGTACGGTGGAAACTCCTTTTCCACCGTTCCAATATCTTATTCTCATCCAACATCGCCAACATACGGCCCTCTAACCTGGGCAACCGAGAAACTCACAAGGAGTTCTCAGACAGCCTCAAAAAAGCTATTAAACACAATTGGCCTTTCAAAACTCTCCACATCCTTCTCTCCCTACGACGCGGAATCACAAACCCCAAGAAATTGGGGAACAAGCAATACTTCCTTCTCCGAAAAGGCAATGCAATCCGGTCAATTCCCAAGCCACTACTACCCAAAACCCACAAAATTCCACAGCACCTTCCGCTCAGCGCCGATAGGATATACAATCTTCCACCTCAAACGTTACTCCCAACTCTTGTTCACCCCACGCCGCCTTCTTTCCCTTTTAGTCTCCCTTCTCCTCTTATCTTTCCTTTTTCGCAAACCCCTCACAAATTTCTACAGATCCTCCCCACTTTTCGGCGGCGGCTCTAAATTTGTCATAATCCTCGCTTCGAACCAAGGCGGTGGTGTTCTCGGCTGGAAAGGCGAAAAGGAATGGTTCGTAGAACGCGAGTCGATCAAGAACAAAAAGCTATATGCAGAGAAACATGGTTATACCCTCGAAATCAGAGATATGAAAGCCATGCGACGGTACGCCCACGAATGGCGTGAAGGATGGGAAAAGATCGATGTCCTAAAACAAACGATGAAAAAGTACCCGAAGGCAGAGTGGTTTTGGTTTTTGGATATTCAGACATACATCATGGAACCTGAGATTAGTTTGCAACGTCACATCTTCAGTCGGTTGAACAAGGTTACATATAGGGATATCAACAAGTATAATCCTCTAAATATCACACATCCGGTACGGAGAAGGTGGTTGGACAGCGTGGCAAAGAGCGTTACCGGTGATGCGGATGAGGATAGCCTCGGTCTCATTCTCCCACAGGACTGCGGTGGCTTCAATTTGGGTAGTTTCTTCGCCAGGCGCTCGGAGTTTACAGAACGTTTGATGGATGTTTGGTGGGATCCTGTCGGGTATGAACAGATGCACATGAACTGGGAACATAAAGAACAGAACGTCCTGGTATGTTTTTTCTTTCTTTTCTTTTCTCTCTTAAATTCTTTCATGAAATCAGTTACAATTCTAACACCTCGATTTTACAGGAGCATCTATACAAACACCAACCATGGACTCGCAATGGTATCGCCTTCATCCCTCAAAGAATGGTGAACTCATTCCCACACGGTGCCTGCAAGGAAAAAGCAGGCGACAAAAACATCTTCTATCAAGCAGAGGACCGAGATTTCCTCGTCAACATGGCAGGATGCCAATGGGGTCGAGACTGTGCAGGCGAAATGCAGCACTTCAAAGAAATTAGCGAAAAGCTAGCAAGTAAGAAAGGATCTTGGTAGTGAGAGCACTCTCCATATCCAGACCACGCTTACTACAGCAAAAATAATCCCGTACATATCCGAAAGGCAGGGGAAGAAGTCGAATACTCCTAACCCCCCCCTCTCTCATTCTTCCTTTTTGTCCTCTTCAAACGATGCATGTCCGCGAGGAAATATACACACGAAGACGCCTCACGAGAAACGTTTTAAGATAATATCAAATCCTCATTTTTAGTGTGTGATGTTTAATCCCTCTTGTTTTTTTTATTCACACAACAGCTATCACTTCTTAACATTACTTTCTGCCCTTTCTTCTGTATTCTCTCATCTAGCGATGGCGTTTTCAAGGATTTCTTGCAACTTTACATCGATTCGCCTCCTACCTTCGGGGCGAATGACTATAAAATAATCTTGATATCAGATTCACTTGCCTGATAAATATCAATTAAAATCCTAATCATCTTTACCACGTTGCAAAGTTGTACCTCGTATCAGTAATTAATTGCGTTATAGCCTAGCGATGAGACAGCACCATGAAGCCATAGGCCATCGAGCTTGTCTTACGGCTGACGTCATGACATTGCTAGTTGAATTCCTAATTAGTCTGACGCGAAAGAATTTATCCATAAGAATGTCGATTGGTATTCCAAAATGTTAATGCTTCCACGGCTTTGAAGAAGAAATAATAATAATAATAATAATAATAATAATAATAATAATAATAAAGCTGAATTATCATATAGGCTGCCTCTAACTGCGGCCAAGGTATTGAACCAGAAAAAAGCATTGGTAGGAATAACAAAAGCCGGTGATAGTGTGAAAAACCGGCATGCAAAAGAGTAAAAGAAACAATGCTATGGGTACAATAGGTATAAGAAGGAAATAAAACAACTGCCTTGTGAGAACGATCCCGCTAACTATGTATTCGTGTCCGAACAAGGATAAAAAAAATGAAACAGAAACAAAAAACAAAGGTTCTTTTAGGGAAAGAAGAAGTCAGAAAAGTGCCACGCCTTGCTATGCTTTCAAAAATAAAACTAAAAACCGAATCCTTCCTTTCTTCCATGCATATGAGTAAAAAAGCATGCGAGAATACCCCTCCAATATGCTAAAGTCCGTGATTAAAACGTATTTCGTTGAATATGTTCAGATGAATCGTAAAGCGGGATGTTGAGTCATGGGTATTTTTATATGTCGACTGGTAGTTCCTTGATAATAGTGAATTCTGACCGACATTCGACTTAGAGTAGGTGTGGGGAAACCTCTCTTAAGTAGAGGGCTTTAGCTGCGCATTATTCTCGTTTTGAGTGTTGTCTTGAATAGGTTCGTCGATTGTCCCACTCGTTGATGCCATAGACATCTGGAGATCATGGTCCTTTGACGCCTGGCTATGGTGATCGAGAGTGGTAGTAACCTCCCCGGATATTAACTTGTCCGAATTCGATAACCGATGGTCCCACCTTGGTTTTCCACTATGCCGGTGTTTACGAAACTTATGTCTAAACCGTCGAGGAGGCTCGTCCAGGAGCAATGGTGTTTGTTCGGAATCAGCATTATTCGTGGTGCTGAAATAAGATGGGCCTGCACTATAGTCGAGGGTAGTGGTTGGGTGTATCGTAGACTCAGATTGTGCTGCCAGCTCTCCCTCCGATCCCACTCCAACACCGGCTGTTTGGAAGTCCCCCATGGAGGCCAATTCGTCGTTATAATAGACTAAACCCGCTGGGCCATCAAAAGAACCATCGTGGAGCCCCGATTTAGGCCCATTGGATCTAGTATGTTCTGATATAACTGTGGGCCAATTCTCAGCCTCCGTATGTTTCAATGCCGAATCCTCAGTATGAATATGCGTCAATCCACCGAGCTTCTGGAGTGCCTTTTTCGTCTCGATCGTTTCCGCTGCGAATTTAGAGACATCAACTAAATTCGGCGCACTGTTTAGACCTCCAGCTCTATCATTTCTTGCCACTACAGAGTATGCAGGAGGGAGTACCGGGCGGGAAGTTGTATTTTCAGACGGAATATATTCTGGGGCGTCTGCCTTCAGAGTTGATGATTGCCGTTTCCCTATATTTGGCATTGTGTAATTGTAATGTGGTAGGGAGGCCGGTTTGAAAACTCTCGTGTTTTTATCGAGTGGTTTCTTCGTTATGATGCCGCTGACAGAAGTTCCATGGCGAAAGTCGGGTTGCTGACAAATAGTTGTGCTCGTGGCATTGGTCCCTTCAATCCCTGGACTGCAAACCGGTATTGGCGAAGTTTTCTTCGAATTGGAATCATCCTTTTGCAGATCATTGTTGACGGGGCCAGACTTGACAGGATTTGCGATTACAGGCACTGATTCCTTCGCCTGCTTATTCCAAAGTTTGAAGTAAGCATCCCCTCGTCGGAGGAGATCGTCGTGCGTCCCAATTTCTTTAATCTTTCCGTCCTTAACAACAATGATTTGGTCTGCAGCTACAACTGTCGACAGCCGATGCCTGTGGATTTTGTCAGTGGTTGGATTTTTATCAACATTATGAGGTTTCACTTACGCGATGACAAAAGTGGTCCTCCCCTTTGCCAACTCGCCGATTGCTTTCTGGATTTTTCGTTCCGTTTGCATGTCGACCATGCTTGTCGCCTCATCTAGCAATATTATCTTCGGGTTCCTGATAATAGCTCGTGCGATTGCGATCTATTTCCGTTGTTAGTCTAGGACCGTATACGTATATCTGTTCCAACTCACCCTTTGCAATTCACCCCCCGAGAGCTTGACTCCTCGTTCACCAACGACTGAGTTATAGCCATCCGGGAAGCTTAGGATTTGCGAATGAATAGCAGCGGCCTCGCAGGCTCTATAGATGTCTACTTTCGTTAGAAAAGGATAAAAGTTAGGTCTGAACAAGACTTACCAGCATCAGTTGCCTTAAAGTTGGCATAGCGCAGGTTGTTCATGATCGTATCATTAAACAACGTCGGATCCTGTGTATTCACACTTTAGTAGATGCTCGACGGTGAGCTTGACTAAACGACTAACCTGAGGGACAACGCCAATAGCATCTCTCAAACTCTCGAGTGTGACATCTCGGATATCCTGCCCATCGATTTTGATGGATCCCTTTTTGACATCATAAAAGCGAAAGAGAAGTCGGAGAAGTGTCGATTTCCCAGCCCCAGTCTCCCCTACGATAGCGACGGTCTCGCCTGGCTTGGCTCTTAGAGAAATTCCTCGAATCGCAGACTTCCTCTCGTCGTAGTCGAAATGAACTGTATCGAACGCAACCTCTCCGCTATTAACATCCAACTTTGGTGCATTCTTCCTATTTGCGACTGTCGGCTTTAGGGATAGGATTTCCAAGACACGTTCGGCATCAATCATAGAGGTGTTTAGTCTTCTGAAGAAATCCGCGAAGAAAGCAAGAGGGCCTACTCCAATGTTAGTACCTTCTAGTATCAACCTTCACGTAAAATTATACCTACCGGATAGTTGGGTCCAGTATAATAGCAACGTAACGAATGACCCGATTGGCTGTGTCTTATTTACAATCGAATACACAGCAAGATAGCAAGCACAGAGTAGCCCGAGAGTGAATATCAAGGACTGGAGGACCTTAAGGAATGAAGTTCCCCAGATCCACTTTCTTTCGTATTGCTGGTAGTCCATCACAGCCTCGAGGTATCTGTCTTGCTCGTGTTTCAAGTTGTTGAAGTACTATTATCGAGTTAGAAATTGACATCCAATGAAAACCGCGAGGGGGCCGGCCATACTGAAATATTTTGCCAGTTGCTGACAGTTTCCCACATAGTATCACCCTCCTTGCGTGAGGCTTTGATAAAGTCTCTTCGCGTGGATTGGTTGTAATTGGCCATCTTTGAAGTAGACCAAAGGAAAGAGATGCTGACGAAAGCGATGAGCAGTGCCATGTACGGCCCAAATAGGCAGTACAAGTAGATGAACGCGATGAACAAATCCGCCAACATCGGGATGAACCTGAAGAGCATCATGTCGATAAATAAATTGATGGACCTTGCATTGCTGATCGAGGCAAATAATTCACCGCTGCGTTTGTCGCAATGAAAGTCATAAGAAAGAGACAGAATGTGGTTGTAAGCCGATGTTGTGATCATGCGATAGGAATACTGTTCGATAGGAATCCACAAATAGTCCTTGATGGCAAAGAGTCCAGCATTGGATTGGAGGAGCTTGAACACGATAAACAAAGATACCTGAACCCAAGGAGATGGCCCTAAATTAATGACATTAGCCAAAACCCCGATTTTATGTTGTATTTTGTTTTATTTTCACAATATTTATTTACCTTGCCCGGAACCATGTGTAGCCTCGAGAAATGAATCGGTAACCAAGCCAAACTGTCGAGGTACCAAGACGTTCAGGGCGCTTTGCCCGGCTAGAATAAGCCCGATCACGCACATATAAAACTTCAGTTTCCGGTCTTGCGAGGGCCAGATCATCGGCCAAAATACCTAAACACCCGGTTAATCTAGACCCCTGTGAACGTTGCCCAGAAAACGACGAACCGAAAAAGATTTTGCATAATTCCACCAGTTTCCGCTTTCTTGCCACTTTGCCTGTAATTTGGCTTTTGTTTTCTTGGTACGCTCATCGTCACTCTCGGTGTCGAAGAAGGAACCATAAATTCCAAGATTGTCATCATTTTCGTCGTCCACGCCGGACTCTCGTTGCTTACGAAGTAGTCCTCGTTCTTCGTCGAAATTGTCGCAAATTGGTTGATTGTTTGTTGAGCGCAAGGTATAAAACAGAAGCGGGAGCAAAATCAAAAGGACGATCCTAGCCCCGACCACCGTGATCCAAGCAACCCCGGCGGGATGGGGGAAATTATCCCGTCGCAGGTCGGCTAAGAGGAATAGCAAAAGTTCACATGCAATACTGATGTACCAGCAACCTGCGTACGGATACCATATCACAAAGGTGCTATCGACGATAGATACTTGAAGAACCATCCATATCATGATTGACGAAATAACATAGACCTATATCAATAAATTAGTATTCGAGCATATTCTTGAATTATAGATTAAATCTTCTTAGCCCGATAGCCAGACAAGTGCTTACATTTTCATGGGTGGTTGAACCTTGTCCCGAGTTTCTGAAAATTCTTTCAACGATGAGAACTCCTTGGATAAGCTAGAGGCAAATATAATTAGTCTAGTTCAGAAAAAAGTTGGGTTTGGTTTTCTTATACTAACATATGTGGCAATGACACCACTCGAAAGGCCGAGGACAAGCTTCTTTCTGCTTTCGGTTTTAGGATGTCTGGCCTTCCTCAATGACTTAAAGGTGAAGATGGTCATCATAGACGAGAATATGAAGTAGAGGAATATGATGACTGGAGAGGAGTAGTGGATAGTTTGGACAGCATTTGAAATCGCCGTCTCATTGTTAGAAACGACATCCTTGATCAGACGGGAGACAGTCAAGATGCAGAGTCCGAGAGCGAGCAAAAGGGACCCGGCACGGAAAAGGCGAACCATGTTGCCGGACACACGGTTGCCTGAGGTGGTTGAAAAAGTTGGTGATGAAGGCCTTAGTTGCTACTTTTTGGTGATAGAGATGATCAATAACGATGAAGGGTTATAGGTATAATGGTCCGCAGTGTGCGTGATAACAAGAGAAGGAAAGAAATAAGAAATGATGACGTAGGAAAAACAGAGGCTTTTAAGGATGCAATGTAGATCTTAAGAGCCACAATATTGTTTTAATAAATAAAGGGGACTCCGTTTCTATGCTTGGTTGCGGGGTCGGGAGCAATGTTATAGAAGTCGAGAGGGGGGGTCAATCGGTGGGAGGGCGGCCCGTTTATAGTGGCTGTACTGGGCTACTCCCTAGTTGAGAACTTAGTAGTAAGTTAAAGGGGCCTGATTTATTGGGGCCACAAAAAGACTAACGGCAATGACTTTAGGCAACAGTTAGAAGAAAAGAGGCAGACGGGTTTATAAAGCCGAATAGCCCTCAGAGCAGAAAAAAAAAACTGCAAGGAAAAAGTTGATATTAAAAGACGAGAAAGAAGCAGCGATTCTGCGTGTTTAATGGTTATAGGAGGACCGGTTTGGTGTTGGCTGAATGTCTCGTGTCGTTAAAAGTGCGTTGTGAACCAGGGTAATCCCGCACAGTCCTGGTCAGAGGCCCCACGTCAGGCTGGTTGGGATGCAGGTTCGGAATATCTCTCTGGTCCCGTTACAATTGGCGACGCATTTAATACCTCAGATGAGCGCCTTTTGCAACCACCAAAGTCACCGTATAGAAGTATGTAAGTGGGAACCAAAACAACCGAATACGTTCTGGATTCCTGTTAGACCGTGCGCACTTCGTTTTGGGTTTCTCGTTTTTTCCAGATTTTCTTTTGTTTCTTCTTCTTCTGTCTTTTTTTTGTTTTTTGTTTTTAGAATAGGTCCTTTTGGTGCATATAAATATCCGTTGAGGGTTCCCTGCTGCCGCCAAATTATTCTGCAACAGCAAAAACGGATTGTTCTTTTACCCTCGTATTAGAATTATTGATTCCTTCTTAGGCCCCAACCGATACGATCCTTGACTCTCTCACTACTATTTGACAACCACACGAAAACGGCAAACGTCAGGATAATTCGATTGGTTATTCCTGTCCGCTTGGTCCGGTATGCTGCTAAAATAATTGCGACAATCCCTGTCAAAAGAATTCGTGGTGGATGTAAAGTTGTCTTAGAACTAGCCCTTCCATCTGATGTGTCTTGTGTCGTCAGATATATCGAAAAGCAAATTTAAACAGAAAGACAGGTAAAAAAGGAAAGAAGAAAAAGAAGAACGAGAATTTGAATGTGAATAAGAAGAATAAGTAGTTAAGAAGAAAAGAAAAGAAAAAAAATGAAAAGGAAAAGGTGATCCTTTGCTGATGGAGAATGCTCCTCGTGTTCAGGTCGGCGTTTAAGAGGCTCCCACTTCTCTCCTTTCTTAAGCGATTATCAAATTATTTCTAATCGATTGATCATGCTCTGACGATATGACCCCGAAATCGAACTCGACAGTATCGATGATGTAGAGACTCAAGTAGTATATATAATATATCAATCAATTCCTGTGTGACCGGTCGAGTTGCGAATTTGACCTGGTTTGATTGATATGGTTATATTGCGCAAGGCCGATAAGCGAACTAGATCAACTGCCAGATCCAAGGGAAGCGAAGGAGTCCGAGAGCCAGCCGTTGATAATGGACAATGGAAAGAGCTCACTCGAATGCCATTTACCTAGTCAAAGTGCACGGATTGTTCTATGCAATGTCCACCCCGGAACCGATAACCCGCCCAAAGCTGCAAGCAATTAATTTGATAATGCAAGAGACAAAAAGAAAGATAAGTAATAAGACCTGGTCTGGTATTATCCAAAAGAAAGTGGGAGCTAGAAACTTTAAATAAACAGAAGGAGGAGGTCTGCTTTCCCAGTTCCTCCTCAGGTCACACAACACAACCAGGAGGTCCTAAAGGCTGTTAATTTGGATTTTCCTTTATGAATTTAGCTCTGGGAGAATTAAATGTTAGATTTCTGTCTAGATGGTGATAATGGCGGTGGTTGACAAGGGTATATATTCCACTAGGGCTGGGTCAGGCCCTGGGAAAATCTTGTCTAGATGCCCCGCAAACCCAGGCTACTCTCGATCGAATCAGGTCCACTTACCGCAAGTTTCAGATCGAAGGATTCTATTCCAACCGATCTTGGTAGATAACAGGAAGAAGAAGAAGAAAAATCCTTATTATAAGAGTTTTTCAGCTATTTAATTGCCATTGACGCTCGCCAGAAAACGCCTCTGGTTACTGAATTATTCAAAGTTCGAAGCTTGTAGGGTAGCAAAGATTTGAAAGGGGAAGGGAAGGATAAAGATTGCCTATAAACGGCGATACGCGGGGGATTGATATGATAGTGTATCAAATAAAGGTAATACTTTAATAAAAGGTTTCATTGAGTCCTTCCAACAGAACGGGAGCATGCAAGCAATTGATATCCGAATTTTACGAGATGGCTGCAGAACCCAGAGTGTTGCAAGGGCTAAGGGTGGTGACTTCAACCCTTAGCTCATGTGTGCAAGTAAGACATTCGAACTAGTCGTTGCGGGAACCCTGTCAACGGAACCGTCTTTATTTTTTTTTCGCTGAGGGTGTGGTCGTTGAGGTGGTGGCCGGTGGTGGAGGAGTGTGGATATGAATGCAAATGCGAATGTGGCATTCCGGACGGAGTACTCCTTAGTAAGTACAGTACCTACCTAGCTTTGACGAAAAGCCAGAAGCGTGCTCCTCCGTATATTTTGTTTTATTTAATATATATTTCTTAGTACTTACAAGGCTTCACAGAAGGGGGGGGGGGGGGGTTCGAAAAGCTGCCTGGAAGGTCTGCCTACGCAGATTGATGCAACTAGACCAATATCCGCTTCGTCAACTGACATTAAACCGAAAAAACGGCATGGCTTTCTTAGCCAAAGACCTCAAACTACTCGGATCTCTTTCCAGTATCCTCTTTTCGCCTATATCCTTGTTTTTACTTTCAGCTCCATTGGTTACAAGGTCGTAAATTCGATGTGTCAACATGTGCCAGTAAGAAATTCTGGACCAGAGATGGGTACTGCATCAGTATGGCATTGTGGGTTCCTGTTTTCCCACCACCCACACACCCCACCCTTGTTATTCGGTACCTGGCCTTGGGGAACAAAAACTCGATATCTGGGCAAGGTCTCTTGCATAGCAGCAACCTCATCCGAGGGTCCAAATCGAGAATTAAACCATGTCCGGATGGGGATTTTCGGTCTCGCTTGCAAGGGTTTCTAAACGGGCTACCAGGTTCACAAATTGTCATTGTTTTTTCTTTATTCATGGATGCCGGGTGCCTGTCCCCGATGCAGCAGCAGTTTAATAAGAAAACTTATATTGACTTGGGGGGCCGCGGCCGGAGGGCTACAATAGTCGATGATGGCACAGTTAAGTAAGTTAGAAAGGAAAAATATTTTTTCCTTTCTATTTGTCGTATTCTACGTAAGAAATGTCTGCCTGCGACAATGGGGGGTTAAAGCCTCATACATACATACTTAGTACTATAGTACGTCGACAAGGACGCTTGTAATAGTTTTTCGTAAGACAAGCTTGCCGCAACGATTAGGCACTGCGCGCAATCTCCCTTCACTATCTGCACTCCTGATAGACACGTTTCTCGATTGAGATATTAGAACCGAAATATCATGGTGGCTGGTACCGGGCCGTGTAGTGCGTATTAGATGATCTTTCGTCCAAGAAGCTAGTGTTCTACTAAGTTTTGATGGAATCTATACCTTTAACAAGCTTTATAACGGACTTTGCGCAGCCTTATAGATATTGAGGTGCAGCTGGCTATCGCGCCAGGGAACTCTTCAATTCTGCAACTGTGCTTCTCAGACACAGTCGTATGCAAGCCCCGGACATGCAATGCAGTTAGTTGGCTTGCGCTTGTCTAGCAAATATAGGAGTGCATTAAATGTTGCAGCGCGTTATTTTCTATTTTATTTTATTCCATCCTACGAGGTGGAAATGCAAGCTGCCTTATGCTGCATTACGGCACAGGACCCATTATCCTCTCAGTTGTGCGTGACTCGGGCGGTAACTGTAGTGTATGGCTCGCGAAGGCTCGAACATTTGTTGGCCTTGCAGTTTGCAATCATTCATACCTAGAAACAACGGTTCTTGGTGCTTCAATCCTCTAACGCAGGCCAGGATTTGGATTGTGGGTCGCTTGAACAATCCGCCTAGGGGGCTGCAGGTCGGCGTCTTAACACCTCACTTCATATTGCAGAAAATGAATTGATTTTTTATTCTTGCCAATTGCATTCGCTTTATATACGAGACAAGCTATACACTTGAGGGTGCGCATGCGTATCAATTAGAAAGCGGGGATTCGGAACTCCTATATATGCAGAAGCCTGGTAAAAGTTGACGAGCTGTCATGTCTGCAAAGTTTACGATCGAAAAAAAGCTCGAACACGGCACAGCTCACCGATATGTCGTTTCCTCGGCCAGATGCACCACCGCACACATAGAGCCAGGCGGAACCGGCGCAAAAGTGCACGCACCGAATTCGGCATGGAAGGTTGTTCCCGGGTTTCTACACCGTCCGTACGCCAGGTATGAGGGGGGCAACGTGAGCAATTGGACTGTTCGCTTTCCCCGCGTTTCGACGGCTCCGCCAATTGTCCCACTTTTTTTCCCACTGGCAGCCAATATCAAATCAGGAAATCCAAAATTTTTGGAGTGAGGAGTTCGAATTAAAGAACCGAGCTTAGCTCCTTTGCTCTGGTCTCCTTCCCGGTCCAGATAACCCACGCGAGTTTTAGCCAAGCGAAAGTGAAGCTGAGATGGAGCCCGGTGGGTAATCGGATCAATAGCGTGGAGGTATCCGCAAAGCATCCAATTCAAAAAAAAAAAAAAAAAAAAAGATATTGAGGATGATAAAGTAATGTTAGAGTCGCTCGCCGACGGCTCAAAAGTACCTAGCTCGAACTCAGGCTTCAGGTGATCGACATGGCTCTAATTTTGCTTTCCTGCAAGGTGAAAAGGTTGTGCTACATACATACACATACATACACATACATGACGAGCTGATGTCGAGTCGGCTGGCTGGAGTCTGCCGTTGAGTTCCCAACATCCTACTGCGATTGTGCATATTGAGCTGCTGGTCCGTTCGTTAGCTGCATCCGGTCGCAGATTTTTGCTCCTATCTCCACGGATAAAACAAAATAGAGGTTGTAAAGAAAAGTAATCAAATCAAGGCTTTGACAATTCATCATTTAGGAGTGCACCGGAGCTGTGGATCGAGCGATCTCGGTCTATGCTTTCGAAGGTTCGCTCCACAACCGTTCCAATGCAAGGTCGGTGGGTTTCTGATATGAAGTACTTTAAAGTGTGCATTGCATCACTGCTCTTTTGTGAGCACGGGATTCGGAATATAATTTCTTCTCCCTATCCCCAATTGCAGCTAGCCCGATGGCTGCCATGCATTAGTAGGCAGGCTGCCTATCAGCTTCTCGAAACCAGGAATGTAAGTATGTTACTTACATTACATACAAACTTTTAAACTAGCGGTGCAAAGAGCACGGGGGGCACTCGTATCTAAAATCTAAGCTAAAACCGAACCTAAAACAAAATCCGTGAAGATCTGACACTAAAGAACGCGTACGTATGGTCGGTTCAAGGAACTTTCCGTGACGAACGAGAACCATCCCCTCGGGTTTTGTAACCCCAAACCAGCTTTTTTTTTTTTCGTTTTGTGTGACCAGCTCTTGCATATGTCTATCAGATTGGTCTTAAAACTTGGAAAGCAAATCAAAGCAAACAAAAATTCTTGATGCTGTTATTTTCGGGCCAGAAAGTTAAATTCATTAATTCCTCCTTGCTATGCCGGGTGCAGAAGCAAGCCAATTAATGCCCCCCTAAGCCAGCTATTATGCCGATACCACTTTACTGGAGCTTCTCGCCAGTCAATTTTATGTACGCCTCCCTGTACTTTTCTGATGTCTGCAGCACTATGTCATCAGGAACCTTAACCCCTTCTTTACCCTTGAGACCTTCCCGCGTTAGCCAATTCCGCAAGAACTGCTTGTCATAGCTATCTGGTGACTTCCCGACCTCGTAGGAGTCTGCAGGCCAGAACCTCGAGGAATCAGGAGTTAACACCTCGTCGACAAGGATTACCTCTCCCGTCTCCTCGTCCAATCCGAATTCGAATTTAGTGTCAGCGATAATGATACCCCGAGATCTAGCATAATCTCTAGCCTTGGTGTATAATGCCAATGCGAGTTCTTCGATCTTATTGGCATGCTCCTCTCCAATCATTTCCTTAACTATTTGCGAAGAGCTCTCAGTTACTGCCGCTCTTTCTCAAATCTGGAATATCCGTTGTTTGAAAAGAACACGTACCTTTATCGGGATGGATATTTTCGTCTGAATTTAGGACCCAAATGTAAGTATGTCTCTTATTGTTTACAAGATCGGATTATTAATCTTCCATGGATCTGGAATTCTGGAAATGCATCCGGTTAGACGTACCATGCTCTCCCTGTTCAGCCTTGGTACTTGGCGTATAAAGCGGCTTCTCGAACTCCTGCGATTCCTGGAGTCCTTCAGCCACCTTTATGCCGTGTACGGTTCCTGATTTTTTGTATTCGTTCCATGCGCTTCCGGTAATGTATCCTCTTACAATGGCCTCGACGGGGAAGACCTTGAATTTGCGGACAATCATGCTGCGACCCTCCAATTGGCTCTTGACGTCTTCCTTCTCGGATTCCGGGACGAATTTCAAGACCCTATCGACGGAATCCGTAACATAATGATTGCGGCAGACAGAAGACAGGTAATCAAACCAGAATTTGGAGACCGATGTCAGGAGCTTTCCTTTCCCCGGAATGCCCTATAATGGAATCCAGAAGCTTCATCGTCAGCGTCGGATGCTTCTGAATTTAGATGCGATTCGGTTGATTGCATTATCACCAACATTTTCCATGATGACATCGTATGCAGATATCCGATCCGTCGCTACAAACAGCAGTTCCGACCCGCTTAGGGTGTAGACGTCCCGGACCTTGCCTCTAGCTAATAGCGGCAAGGCCCCTTTGAGGTCGGTGTTTGTAACTGCCGCCATTGCTGTCTATTTTTTTCTATTCTATTTGTTAAATTTGGCCGGTGGTGCAGATGAATTGTGGTAATAATGCAGGTGAGGTGGGGTGAAGAAAAACGAAATGAGGGAACCCCGCGAATCAACGAGGGATTGTGAAGAAGTTTGAATTTCCAACGTTATGTGCATCCCAAAAAAAAAAAAAAAGGAAAAAAAGGTTTTTCTCGACGTTTTTGTTGGTTTGCCGCCGGCGCCGTCAATTAACGGGGGGACTCGATGCATAGAAGCGAGAAAAATCACCGGGTTCTGTATGGAATCCTGTATCGGCCACAGAGATTTATCCGAGGTCAGGGAGCTGTCACCAAGCTACCGTAAGCTAAACTGTTAGACTGTGTGTCTCGGAACTTTGCTATGGCCATGTGGCCGGGCATTCGCGCAGGTTCGCAGATTCGGTTTCATGCATACTCTCTCTCCAATCTGATGTAAGTCAGTACATCATACTATGTAACTTCTTAGGATAAATCGGAGTGGACCTGATATGGCTATATTACTTAATATGGGGGGCCACCGGACGAAGCCTTCCCTTTTACTATGATTACAATGAGGTAAAAGAAACACCACCACACCGGTCTAATACCCGTTGGCAGATATTTCTATGGAGTAATTGCCCACACGACTCTCCAAGTTGACCGATTTGTCGACTTCATCCCGGCAAAGTTTATATCAACCTGGAAGACTCCAGCTTTGACCTCCCCGGTTTAGAATTCTTGTTCAGGCCCTTCTTCTCCATTTGGTCTTATAGCCCAGACCCAATTCGATGGCACTACGTCGAAGTTATATTGAAATAAGCGTAAAAAGTGGATGCTCTCCAGTAGTCTATAGCTGCTATACTATCATCAGTTTCAATATTATATTTTACTCATTAAGAAGACATTTAGGCCAAAGCCGTCTTCTCCACAATTCCTGATTGCCCCCCATCTCGATCTCGCTCTGATGCACTTAATCTGGTGGCACCTGGGACTCGAGATGTGATAGCAGTAGCACCAGCAGTAGCAGGTCCACTTTGTCCAGCTTCAGCTCTCATTCCCTCGTCGCCAGCCTGCTGCACCCGAGTCTGCAATTTAAAGCTGGAACCGCCGTCCCACCCCAGCCAACCTTTCGCATGTGGGCCTCTCCCCAATGCGACCAACAACCCCAGCACCGTAATTCCCACACTGGCACTTCCACTCGCTAGCCAGCCTCCGACAGCATACGTCTTCGCTCCGATGCCAGTGCCCATAACCTGTATCGTATGTGATCAAGGCAGACTTTAGTATGTAGTATCATCACTTTTATCCGACATCTCAAATGAAAAAAACAAAAAGACGTTTAAACTTCGGCGTAGCTTTCCGCCCTCGCTTCCAATTTCAAGGATACGAGAAGCCATCTGCGGGTTTAGCGAAATAGCGGCTGACTGATGGTCAAAGGACCATTTCCCATTCGCGAAAAAAGCCCGCTACATAAAAACCTTTTTTTTTGTTTTTAACTCTTTCGAACCTTGAAATTTTCCCGACTAAGGCCTTTTAATAACCTGCATACGAAGATATTGATGATCCATGAACCTGGAAGCTTAAGCAGGAACATATCTCCTACGGATGTAACCATGGACCAATGCACATGTACAGCCAGACCAGTCCATCGGGTTCTATGACCATAAAAAACAATATCTGCACAAAAAAAAAAAAAAAAAAGCCAGTGGCAGGAATATGCAGGTCACCAGCCAAATAACGTGGCTTTCTTACTTGCAGGCAGGCAGGCAGCAGAGATATGTATATTGAATAGTAATTAAAAAAAAAAAAAAAAGAGGAAGTACTAACCTGTCCAATAAACACCGAGAGCATATACACGCTATTAATTCTATTCCTCGAACTCGCATCCAACTGATATATCCCCGCTCTATTCGCAACTTGTGCCGTAGATATCCCAAGATCTATAAACCAAGCCTGTAAAACCGGCGCCGCAACGGTAGTCTTCCCGGCATAAGTTCCAATAACTTGCCCCAAAAGCACCGTACCAGTCCCCAGGATCACCGAAAGCTGTGGATGAAACCGATCGATTACGTATCTAGCCGTCCAGGGGGTTACCAAAATCGCTGCGATGCCGATTAACCCGAACAACCCGATTATGCTACTGGAAAACTCGTACGGTGTCGAAGCTAGTAAAAACGTTAAAGTAGTCCAGTAGAGCATAAACGTAGCTGCTAGGAAGCCTCCATTAACCGATGCCTGAACCAGTAGAGGATATTTGAATACTAGCTTGAGCATTGATAACAACATGCTAAGATAGTTCAATCCAACGTTTTTGGGAGGATAGTCTGGCATGAATAGCCATAACAAGCTGAAAATTAGTAATTGAACGCCGAATCCTAGCCAATAAACCCCTCGCCACGTAGAGTACTGAGTAATGACTCCAGATAGCACTCGAGCCAGTAGAAGTCCGAGCTGCAGTCCCGAAGACACAATTGCGATAGATGCCGCTTTCCTATTTGCCGGTGCTAAGCTAAACCATCTTCGTTAGCTCTCTATCAAGCATATTAAAATCAAGATCCATGTCAATCTTAGCGATCCCTGACTTTATTTTTCGGTACGGTTGATCGGCTAGGGCCCAGATCTTGGGTATGCTCGAGATTATGGATCGATATATTAAAATCATCCTCTCTCAAAAAAAATACAGCCTCAACGTATCATCCCAACTATGGCGTGACAATCAGACCACCCACCAAGTCGGTCCTCCTTCACCTCGCCGTAAGTTCGTAAACATGTAATGTGCCTGGAAATCATATCACAACGAGGCGTCGATGTTTCCGGTATGCATCACAGATGATATCAGATATCGACCCTGTGGAGTATGTGCAAGCAGTCAAGCAAGCTCTAGCGATTGTCTCAACCCCCAAGCACCTTATCTCCGTAAATTACTCGAGTAATGTAGCATTGAAACCCTACCGAGAAGATAATCAATGCAGGGAGCCACGCGGTATCCTCACGGCTGAGCTGTATCAGATCGAGCAAGGTACCCCCTTGCATAAAAAAAAAGCACCCGATATCAGTAGCACCTGCAAACGGATCGCATAAAAAAGAACAAAAAAATGACCAGAATCAATCGATGAATATACCAAAACGTCAAACAAAATAAAAATGTTGCATACATACTCTCCAACTAGCGGTAGCATTAACTGTGGCGTTACGGTCGTCAACCCAACCATGTAACTCAATGCGGCGAATACACTAAAGCTCTTCGTTAAAGTGCAGCCGAGCCACATTAAAGTCGTAAAGAGAATCAAAACCAGCGTCAATGCTCGTCGTCTGAATAAGTCTCCGAGTGGGGTAATGAAAAAGAGTCCGGAAGCGTAGCCAGCTTGCATGACATTCGGAATAATGGAGACTCGTTCGTAGGTTACATTGAAGTCCTTGGCCAAGATATCCAAGATTGGATGATTGTAGTAGAGGTTCGCGACGGTGAAGGCTAGTTGACATCATTAGTATGAACTAGCTTAAACCATTACATAGGGTTTATAATGCTTTTTCCTCATGAGTTTCGGTTGCGGATCCGCGGAATGTGACCTTGGTGACACAAAAACTCCGTCTAAGATATTCAGATCAAACCCCAAAGCATTCTAGAACACTAAGAATAAAAGTAGGGAGAACTTACTTGCCGCAAATGCAAATAGTAGATTTAATGCCAAGTTAAACTTAAATTCCTTTTCCGGATCATACCGACACCGTCTAGGAACATAGCTAAGAACGTTTAGTATGTTCTCTACCACTGTCCTTTTTTCCTGCGTTGATCCTGTTGCATTTTCAATCGATACCTCATTGCCGCTACCCGAGGTCGATTTCGAATCGATATCCGCAACCCTTACAACTTTCTTCTCGATGTCGCCACTATTATCTATCATGATTGGAGAAATATTATAAATAAAGAATGAAGAGAACCAATTATATAAGAAACAACTAATATAGAGTAAAGTGCGAACAATTAAAAAGCGAACTTCGAAAATTCACAAACGTCCAATCCCTCAAGCTGAAAAAAAAACTCGACTTTTTTTTTAGTTGATTTATAACACCTTATCAGGGGGATTTAGCACTAAAATCCGTCCGCAAAATTTATACAGGGAGTTGAAAATTCGCCATAGTGGGTCCGGGTTAGTTCCACGAATCAGAGCCATGTTGTGTGAAGCTTGTAAGATAGTGATAGTAGCCTCTGAGCTCGTACGTAACATTGAACAGGTAGTTTAAGACTTTTGGATCGATAGTGCCGATTAATCCATCGAATGTCACCTACCCGACATAGAATAGGAAAAACTCATTGAAATAATGGCTAATCTATCGGATAAAGCACCCTTAGGGGTTTTTAATGCAATTATATCGTATTCTAGGTAAATAAGCCTCGAACTGCGATCCGATAGCTAGAGCTTCGAAGAATCTGCCCCGGTCCCATATATATGTAAAGTTCACTAATCTGTCATCCTCCGCCTAGGACCCCCCTCGGACAAGGCCGGTTCCCTATAAGTATGAACACGAATCTACAATACTAAAACCGTTTGGGAAAATTACGTTAAGTTGAGCCATGTAAGTAAGTAAGTACTTAAGTATTTAGTCAAATTAACTTGCAACAATATCGATCTCGCCGCCGCGCTCCCAAAAGATACTTATGTAACCAGCAGACAATGGAGAAAAAAAGAGCACCAGTAAGTTAACAAAGAAACAATGATATCATGATACGCATCATCGAAATGCATAAGAAAATAGCTACTAAACATAACGTAAATACTCGAAGTCGTAAGTTGCTTTGGGGAAAAAAAAGCCCTCCATGGATCCAGCAGCAGCCGACATGACCCCGCCCATCACACCGAATGAAATCAGAAACTCCAAAACCAGGATCAACGTAAATACAAAGATTCCCACCATGAGGATTTTGTGCAATGAAATGTAAGGAAATATGTAAAAAAAACCGCTACTAGGAAATTTGTAAAGAGAAGTGAAGGAATATTAAAATGTACCTTGGGTAGGGTAATACGAAAGTAAAAAAAAGGAATTCTTTTGGGCATAATGCGGTCAAAGGGAATTCGTTAACCTCCAGCACATTAGTGCAGTAGGGGTCATGAGCTTTCAAAGTTTAAAGTTCATAAAGAATCTTTCAAAGCAGGGGTAGAATCGAATAACGAAACCAAACACTTGCAAAGGGTCGTGAGTTTCATAAGGGCAGAGTAGTAAATAAAAGGTAGTTTTTTTGTCGAGATGTTTTAGGAGTATTTCAAAGAATGAAAAGAAAAGCGTAGCTAGGATAATGAATTGATGGTCAAAGAAACTTTTTGCTCCTATTTCTAGGGCGGGGGAATCGTGCCGGTTTTGAGGTCATGTCATAATCGTCGTTAAGGTCGTGAAAATATTAAATAGAATAGGATCAAGATATGCATGAAGAGCATGAAAGATGATAGGAGCATGTATGATGTGGGGAGGTATTAAGCACGATGCTTAAGAATCCACAATCTCTGATTTGATAGATTGTCGAAGATCGATTTTGAAGACTCTCTCGAAGTCCTTCGCATCTACAGGAAGGAACCAGTTAGTCATGTCTACAAGAGAGGGTGGGTAGTAGTCAAGCAACTATGGATATATCGTACCTTCACGTCCGCTGAACAGTAGCTCCCAATTACGGTAAGCTCTTGTGGCCCACGTATCAGAGAAAGAAACCAAGTGAATGGAAGACAGTTGCACTCGGGCGCCTTGGCGTGAGAGCCACCCCTTCTGGAAGACGTGTGGTGAAACAAAGGCAGTCCAGACTGGAAGCTGATTGTAATCCCCGTCCTTGACAAAAGCAGCGAGCCTCACGGCGCCGGTACCCTCGTCGCGGAAGACACGAAGGTAGTGCTCCCCACCTTCATCATCACTGATGAGACTACGGTACCATAACACACGTTAGTATTTTATACATCCATGCGTGGGGGTGTGAGGGGTATAGCAGAGGGAAAGAGTACATACCCACTGAAGACAACAAACTCTTCATCCATATCCATCTCATGGTCAAGGTCCGGAGGGTTCCGACCGAGTTGGCGAAGAACCAAGAAGGTCATGTAGAACACCACAAGATCTGCAAGCACGGACACGTATATCAGCATCAGGCGTTCCATAACCGTAACTATGTTCTGCACGAGCATGCATCAGGGGGACACGAGATTGGGAGGGGTTGGGGGTTCCCAAACACGAATCAAATCAATTACAGATAACGTACCTTCGATATTACCGAACGACAAAGTCGCCCACTTCGTATTCTTGAAACGGAGATGCACCAACGGGCCTTCCCGCCAAATGGTGAGCCAGCCCATATCCAGCGCTGAATGGTAGCGCTCAGAGCTGGTTCGTCGGCCAATCTGGCAGACAATCCTCGTCTTCTGTGTCTTCTTACACCGCCAAAATCGGATGATGAAATCAGAAGCGAATTTCCTATGAACACGTCAATATGCGTCTTGGGCATGGAGGAGGGGGAGGGGAAAACATACATTTTAAGAAGCTCTTCCTCGGTATCTTTGCGAAGAACCTCCATTGGTCGGCCGAAGCACTGAGAGCCTTTGTTGGATCTGAAGGATTTTGTCAGCGATATCCACAATTACAACGGGAGGAAGACAGAATTGACATACTCCATATCCAGGAATTTGGTTTCTCCGAGCATACCCTCGAAGACTTTGGATGCCCAATGTTCAGATCGCTGACGACGTTCGGGGAATGTTTCCTCTCCAACCAAAACATTCAAGTTCAATTTGTGAATATTTGGCTGAGACTTTCTTCTCGTATATGGCCTGTGAACAGGGACCAGAGCATCCATACGGCTCGTGGGTCCATATCTATAACGGTGATCTGAAGCCTGTGAAGAATTCGATCCTTCACCATCCTCATTATTCGGGTCGATATACTGAACAAACTCCGTATTCCTAAGCGGCTGATACGCCGTCTTCGGTCGGGGAGGAAGAGTATTCATAAAATGAGGATTAGGAGGCAATCGCGTGAAGCCACGATCGAAATAACCCCCTTCGTTCATAAACCCCCCGTCGTGCATCCTCCCAGAAAATGAATTCGATCGGTCGCGTCGTGAAATCGGAGAGACAGAACTAACACCAGAGTACCCTGACCATCCAGAAACCCCAGAGTGAGGTGAAGTCGGAGAACGATAGCTAACTGGTGATAACGATCTGTAATCAGGCGGGGACTCTGGCATTCTGTAGTCGTCGAAGCTGAGCCTTCGCTCAAAGTCTTCATATAAAGGACTAGTAGCCTGTCCACCCGCACTATGGGCATTTGCATGCAAAGAGGCCAACAACAGAGACATGCCCTCCTTATGTGACTCGAGCCGGGCAATCAACGCTGTCTCTTGCTCCTTCAGCATCCACGCGATTTGCTTAATGCAACTCCGCTGCATTGCACCTTTGGTAGAGCATGCAGCATCCAATTCCTGCGCTATCATCTCAACCTCTCTCAAAAGGCCGGTGGCATCGCGAAGGATTGCACCAAGCTGGGCGTTGAGCTCCCCGGAGAGGACCTTAAGCCCATAATTCCTCGCAGCGGATTCGAAATGATGCATGGTAGAGCATAGTCCGTAGAGGCCACTGATAATTCCAGTCAACTCTGTAGTCGCCTCGGGAACCTGCCCCGCGAATTTCGACAAAGACTGGCCCACATAGGCTGCATTGGAGCAGACCGTGGAAATAGTAATCAACGGTGATGAAGGCATCCTGGCTAGACGCGGACGTCTTGAGGTCGAAACCTCAAGACCACTCATTTGGGCGTCCAATTTTGTTGTTTGATAAATATCCCACACTCCAAAAGCGCAACCACCTGTCGTTCCGCCAATGTCGGTATTTGGATGAAGCTGTGTATTTCTGAACGAAAAAGGCCCTGCCGAAGAGATGAGGGTGGTCGACTCGAATGATTTTTGGGGCTAGTCAGAAATAAATATATAGCGGTGGTAGTAGTAATAGAGTAGTAATAATTCTTTTTGATGTTCTCGAAGAACTCAAGGTGATAATATAAGGACTGAAAGATATGTCGGTGAACCGGCTCACAACCCTGCTGACACTATCTCTCTTCCCCCTTCCTATCCAGAAAATATAAAGACCCTCCCTCTCGAATCGACAAGCTTCTGGAGGCAATATTAAGAGGAAGAAGAGAAAATAAGAGCGAACCCTAAGAGGGGAAAGTCGAAAGTGGGGTTTGGCCACTTAAGCATGCAGGCTATCGGTTTTCTTGTCGGACCTCTGCTGCAATAGCACGTCGACGACCAGGAGTTTTGTCGACCAATTCTCGCTCGCCTACCAATACTAAAGCCGCCAGCGCACCTACACAAGCAGAGTAGCAGCAGATGTCAAGGAAAACACACGCATACAGGACGCAGAAGAGCCTAAAGGTACCGATCGATGTAATTATAATCGCCGGTGAAAAAATAAATCAAGATCGCAATTGGTTTGATCACAATAAAAGACCGGAAAAATGGTAAAGGAGAGTGAATTGTTCAACATTCGAGAGCTGCAGAGCAAAGCGAAGCAAAGCAGAATGGTGGTGGGATAACAATTAACAATTAACAATTAACAATGGTCCGAAACTTCCGTTACTCTGTGGGAAAGCAAGAAAGCAAGCAAGCAAGCAGGTCTTCTCATCACACAACCATGACCACCACACTCGCCCTCCAAAATGTTGGTTGGCGATGTTTTTGCACTAATGGCTTTCTCCTTGTCAGGGCCGAAAAAAAAAACTTCCGGCCTGGTCGTTTTTACGCTCTGCATACAACTTAATTAATACGAACACTCAGCAATTTAATCATATTTTTTATCCCTCCTTCCACAAACCGTTTTTTTTTTTTGTCTGTGTATCAAAGAAATAATATCACCCAATGACAGCCGCTGCGGGTGAATCCTGATATGCGGTGACAGAAGAGAAGAGAGGAGTTGACAAGATAACACCATGGGAGCAGTATACTAACGAGACCCAAGCATCCCTTCCCTAAAGAGGAGAGGAACCCCAATGCAAAGCTCGCAGCTCACAAGGCCCCCTCGTATGGTCATTTGCCAACAAAGCTCTACTCAAACGATGCTGCACAGTCCAGGTATTTGCATGATGCGGAATGGAATTGGCTCCAAACTTGGAACTCATGTCCTTTTCTTGCCTAAGCAGAAAAGCATGTGGGAGGGGGAGTTCCCCAGCTCGAGAGACGATAGGGCAAAGCGCGTGTCAACTAGCGAGCTATCAAGTGGACGCTGCATACAGGAAGAGAGACAGGTGTGTGGGATTTGCGATGCAAGATGCTCCCATTGACACGCTATCATCACGAAACTTCTTTTGGCGTTGACATGAGATCTCTCTCCCCTTCAGCTCTTGTGCCGAGGGGATTATTCGATTCTCTCCGCCGCGATTCGATTTAATTGCAGGCACGGTATAACAAGCGTCTCACATAGGTAACTCGGTCTAGGTAATTATAGACACAAGCGAAGTTAGTAAATTTAACAATTGATCACGAATTAGTAAACCATTGAATGGGAACCCAAAGAGGCCCATGATATACCGTATACAGCACCCTTCCCACCCTCGCCCCTCCCACATTTTCGATCCATTGCATAAAAAAAAAAAAAAAAGACCTCGAACCTCAAAGAAGCCTCTTTCCCCACTCTCCAACAGTTCCCCATTCCATAAACACCCACCGGCCAATTGGCGAAAAGCGAACACAAACCCCAGCTTGCACAGCCCTAAAATAGAGCTCTCTTACCGACCGATACTTGTCCAGGCTAATAGCGTAGGGTACCCAATCGCTGGATCGAACCATTCTCTCTTGTGTTATGGTTCCAAGCTAGCCAGCTTGTTTGCTGCTTGCTTGCTTGCTAGCATGCTTGACAGCCGTGGAATGTTGATGTAAGAAGTAGCGAGGTTCCTCATTCGTCGACTTCGGTGAATTTTCGGCTATCAGGACGGCCTCATTGGGGAAAGATACGAGAATAAAGCTAGAAATAACGATAGCTGCCATCGCAAGATACATATATATCTCTGGTATGTAAGTAAGTACATGCATTGGTACAGAAGTATGTAAGAGGTACACAGTACTTACCTACATACAAGCTAACATCGTCTCGTCTGCAGCAGTTGCTGCACCTCGAACTTTACCATCCCAAAAGACCCAACCCCCAATGAGGCAAAAGACCGAACAAAAAACACACCCAAAGCAGAGTTTTCCAACATTACAACAACACAATTCGTTATCCAATATCCCTGTCGACAACTGTTTCAAATAGATTACTTTCCCTTCTTTCCCTCTCTCGATTGCATCTTCATTCAGCTGAACGGCAAAAGAAAATGGTACATATCCACGCGGAGCCATCTGATGCTCCCCTTGCCTCTTGGATTCATTCATTCATTCATTCAATACTGTACAAGAGCAAGTGATCTATGATATAATAATCACATAAACACGCATACCATCTTGTGATCGATAGAAGGAAAAAATATATCTGTAAGGCATGTTTCAGATGTTCTAACCTTCCATTCCCGTCCCAGTATCACTCAGTTTTTCTGCCAGCCTTGTAGATGAAAAATCTGGATTCGTTAAACCATGCCTCTCGCTATCCTAAAAAGTTAAATTTAGTAATCCGCGTATCTTCCGATCATCTGGATTGGTATCTGTCCGGAAACCAAACAAAACGAAAAAACGCGGAAGAAGCGTGGGTTCCGAAGTTCCGTCTACCATCGAAATACGAAAACCCACTAAAACGCGAGGTATTGCACAATTAAGTTTTTTTTCTTTCATAGTAGACGTAATGAGATAATCAAATCCAAAAGCTAAAAACGTCGTTTAAAACTACTAAAATGTCGAAAGTCAATTATCGACGTGCAGGCTAGACAAACTATCATCCCTTCCGAGACATGATTGCGTCTTTTTTGCTCTCGATGCTCATCGCGGGCGTATAATTACTACTACATAGTAAATCATGTCTCGGAAACTAGCATTAGTTAGTATCAGTATAGTTCTGTGTGATATACTACGTAGAATATATGATATATGATATCAGAAAAGAACCGTTACACCACCAGACCTAAAAGAATCAATGCGGAGTACGGAGAGTCGACGTAGGATTAGATCCTCTAGTACAACCATCCTCGATCGAACCAAGCTTCAGTAGTAACACCGTTAATCTATCAGAGGCTAGGACAAAAGAAGGGCATTACCATCGATATCATAATATCTACTACAATCGATCCATATATATCATAAAAATCCCTACAAGGTCACCACCGATCACCATCCCTTCCCATATATCCAACCTCGTATATATACGTACGTATATACTTCGACATGCCGACATGAACATTAATTCGGCATCCCCCCAACTGACTTTCGAAGATCATGCAGAATGAATATGAAATATGCACGTCAAATGCAGCCTGAAAAACAAACCAAAAAAAAAACCGTGAGCTCCTCCTCAAAACGTATTTGCATTTGATCACATTGAAACGTTTCGGTCACCGTCACACGGCCTTACCCCAGACGTGGAGGTCTAAAGCCGGCGTCGGCAGCAGTAGAACCTGTGGCTACAGCGGATTCGTTCGTGGGGCAAACCACCATTCAATGCCTTCTTTTTTCTTCCCCTTCTTACTGTAGAGCTCTGATAAAGAACGCGTCGACTAGGGTAGATATTGTACGTAATATGCCGGTTGCTGACAAAGGAAAGGGTTCTCTCCCTGCAGAACAGGCAGGCAATCAAGAAATACCCCAAAAAGGTTTATATTGAACTGTCGGTCATCGACGATGTATATATCCATATAAAACTATAGCATAGAAGTACCGATTCGAAAGTTTTTTTTTTTTCAAAAAAGTACGATAGGATTGATTTACGACAACTAGCAGGCAAGCATACTGGATTCGACATACATACATACATACATACATACTACATACACCTATCTATATCTATCGATCTAGGATAAACCTGTTTCCAAGATGCACGAAATCCCGAGAAGCTATAGCTATCGAACACCGGATAGAAAGAACTTTTGAAAGGGCTTTAGAGGTCGACAGGAAACAAGCAGTCACCGAATCTATGGAACCAACACTGCCTGCAACATTTTCTCTTCGCCACAAATTCCTGCAATATTAATGTTGCCTTCTATCCAACCATAAGTTGCCTCTACGTATACACTACCACCCTTCACCACCGTCTACGTGAAGGAAGTATATGCAGTTGGAGTTTCATTCCGTGCCAGGGGGTCCAAGTAAACTAACTAACCCCTCACGAAAAGCCAAAGAAGCTGGAGATGCATGGCACGTCTAGATCGAAGTTAGGGGTCACGATCATAGACGAAAGGTCTAGTCTAATCTACGGTTCGCATGCAAGAGGGAACGTCTCTGAAAACGGCCCAGCCCACAAATTCAAAGAAGAAGAAAAAAAAAATGAAAAAATTTCCGGAATTTGAATTGATCCCCTTAGAAAGCAATGAATCCATAAAACCTGAACCATATCCCCATGCGTTAAAGAGAAAAAAAAGGAAACGAGACCACATATAAAGGTACATGAAGCGGAACAAGAGAAGTATCCCGAAGAAGGCTCAAAGCGTGAAATTTCAGTTTTTCAGTCAAAGGTGTGGAATGGCATTAAAAAGAGGCTTGGGGTTTCTTGTACGTTAAAAAGGTGAACAAGCCGCCCTCCATTAATTTTGGAAGCCTGCCTCCTATTTCTGTTTCCTTTAAAAAGGGAAAGAGAAAAAAAGATGCCATAAGGTATGAAATTACAGATATAAGCTCCCGCAGAAAAACGAAGCAACAAGAAAGAATCAGATTAATATTGATTTAGTCGTCATCCTCATCCTCCTCTTCGGCACCACCACCCTACATTGGACAGTTAGCATCAACATCGTCAAGAGCGTTTTAAGGGTAAGTAGAATATAAGTTTGACATACCTGGTAGGCGATCTTCTCATCTTCGTAACGTTGCTTGTCAGCCTTAGCCTTGTCCTCATAAGGCTTGCGCTGGGCAGTGGTGAGTGCCTTCCAGCGTTCACCCAAAACTTTGCCGACCTGGCCTATGACGTGAAAGGGAAAAGAACCGGTTAGCAAATCCGATGCAAAACGGAGTCGGAAGGAAACATGCCATTTCCCTGCGAAGTGGACATGGGAATTCTTTGGATTTAAACTTACCGAAAGCAATGCCAGGGTTCTCAGCACGGACGTTCTCGCGCTGCTCGTTGGCGAAGAACATGTAAGCAGAGAGACCACGCTTTGGTGCGTTAGGATCTAATAACAGGCGAATGTCAGCAGCTGTCTGGAAATGTCTGGGATTCAGGTGATTTGAACAGAATGCAACAAGGTGACGCGTTGCAGGTTTTTTTTGCAGACGATGCGATGAGATCCCGCAGGATCAAATCGGCAAAGTCGCTAGCTATCACATTTGATATAGACCAAAAAAAAATAGCTAGATTGCCTATCATGGGTAGAGTAGCAAAGGGACAAAAAGAGATAAAGAGCTTACCCTTCTTCTTCTTGCCAGTTCTGGTGGTTTTGGCACTTGAACGCTTAGTATCCTTTGGCATTTTGAGAGATGTGTTGTTGCAGTAGTAGTAAGGTCTGCTGCGTAGATGAAGGCGGTTCTATTCTATTGGGTCGCGACGAGGAAAGCGTTAGTAAGAGCTATTGCTTGATTTGTGATGGATTGCGATGCGATAGCAGAAAATTGGGAGAAAAGGATAGGTGTAGCAGCTCGGAAGACTAGACGCGAACATGATGCGAGAACTTCCGAAAAGAAGATTTTTTTTTGGAAGGTTGTGCGCTGATGGTTGGTGTCTTTTGAGGTCTTGAGATTTTGGGGGAGATATACGCGATGAGTTGAGTTGAGGTGATGTCGCTGGTGAAGCGTGAGAGCGCGGAAGGGCGACGACAAGCAGCAAGCAGCAGAGGATGATGTCGACGACAAGACAAGACAAAAGGGATTGGAAACGAAAACAAAAGAATCGGGGATAGAACGGGCTTACCTTGGACGAATAAAACCGGGAAACTTAGTAGAAAAATGGGGACGTTGAGAATTTTGAATTTCTGACGATAATATAAGAAGTCAGTATGGGCGACTTGTATGGGCCATATAAACTTATGGGTTGTTCGTAGTGTTAGGAGAGTGAAGGGCTTACTCTTTGCTGGTTTGTATGGGCGAGTTTGTATGGGAGGGCAGTTTGTATGGGGGGAACAGAAGAGAGGGAGAAAATGGGAGGGAGAGAACGCACCACTGTATTTTGTATGGGCAAAAAACATGAGGGGCAATCACAACGGACGGACGACACAAAAAGCAAACATGCCAGAAAGAGAGAAATATTACGCTGGAAACAGAGTCCACAGGGAGAGAAAGGGTGTGTGGCCCAATCCCCCCCATAATACTGCTGCTACCGCTCACTACCACATACATACAAAAGTACTTACGCACGCTACATTATGGTACAATCCATACATATTATTTTGTTTGGCACACACACACACACACACACCCACGCACAGAATATTATTACTGGTAGTTACAGTGTACACCTACATACCAGCCAGCCATAGAAACCGGTTGTATACACATTGTACTTCCATACATACATCCATATTTACGTTGCTAGATAGGTAGGTCCTCCGTATCTATTGGAAGTGTATATGCCCCCTTTATTAGGTATACAATCTACATGGCAACTCTCTCTTCCTCTCTCTCTTTTTACAGATTCCCCTTGCAACAACCACCCTTACAGACAACATGAAGTAAGTATCCAGGTACAACTCGGTAGCGAGTGTGTTGGGAGGTACATTCATGTCACCTTGTGTGTGGAGAACGCGAACACGAAAAAAAACATACCATCCATTTATTATTCATTTTGTCGGGGACAAAAAACAGACAAGGACTCCCTTCCTCCCTTCTCCTCCTCCTCCAATACTAGCCTGTACATACTCTCTCACATTAAGTAGTTGCCTGCTAAATCACTCCCCCTACAAAAACTCGCCCTGCCCGTCCACCCACAAAAAATTCCCTCAGAATGGCTGCACATATTTCCATCCTTTGGCTGCTGGCGCTGTGGTAGGCTGGCTAAGAACAGAAGTAGCTAGTAACCAGCAGGAGGTAATAAGGACAAAGGGCATAGCTACAGCCTGGAATGTGCTTTTTGATTTCCCTTTGACATCCGGAGATATTTCATTAAACCCTTGGCCCGCCTAAGGTCCGGATCCTGAACGCCCCTCACGTGATTCGACCTGATATGTTCGATTCGGTCCTTTGTGCTACCAGCCTCTTCCACCTTTCCAACGGCTTTTTCCCTCGTTAGTCTGACTTCCATGTTAGCCAAGTTCTTGAGTATTTTTAAGTACTCAGGTAGTGTACTCCGTACATGCTTTACTTTTATTACTTTTATTTTACTTTTTCGTATGTGGTAGATGTACATACAATACCCTCGAGGCCGGTTGAACCGGGCAAATAAGAAAAATTGCTGTGCAGTGGGTGCACTCTGTAGTTAGGTACTTTGGCTATCCTTTGTTCGATATCGGATTTACCCCTTGTACCTGCTAGTACATACATACATACATACATACATACCTCGCTCAGAATCTGCAGCCAGAAAGGGATGTTAAGGAAGCCGTGCACCTCATGCAGCATGCGCTGTCCGAAGACGCATTTCTGCTCGCAGCTTATCGATATCAGGAAGCCGTCTCTGTCGCTGTCGTCTGTGTTGCGATATGTAAACCTTGGTGTTTTGTTTGTCCCGTTTGACAAGAACGGACACCAAAAAAACATGTGTTGCTGGTGTTGTCCCAAAGTGGCGAATTTGTTGCTTGACGGAAAACCAAAACAAACCACAAGCGGCTCAACGTCGCGACGTGCATGAACATCGACACCTCAACTCATCTAATATTCATATTTTTCCCTCTCCCTCTGTCAACAGTGACTCGTAGTTTGCCGTAGCAGGCATCACGGCTTCGCTACCACAATCCCAGTCATAACTATAACCACCGCTAATTGCCACCATCATCATCACCGCAATCGCCATATATCGAATAGACACTTTGAGATAATAGTACTAGTTAATCCGCAGGAGACAGGGGCGGCAACGCTGTTTCGTATGCGACCATTGTCCAACAAATGCTGTTAGTAGCATTAGAATTATCGTCCAGGAGACTGTCCCACCCCCCCGCTATTCTACTGCTGCCTCTGTCGATATGAGCAGCAGTAATAATTCAAACTACAATGCCCGGCGAGGTTATGCGACAACAACGACGGGTGAATCCCAAGGGAATTATGTATCGTCCAGTCTAAGGCGCTCACACCTTTATGGGAAGCGTGGGACCTTGTTGAATCTGGGCGGTACTGGCACCGGCGCCGAAGATACTGGTTCTCTCTCGTCTAACGCATATTCTCGGCTCGATGGGACCCGGCCTATTAGTAACAGTCAACCGTCTGCATTGCCGACTGCGAGTGAGTATTTTGCCCGGGAAGCTGCTACATCGGTGGCACGGTCTAAATCACCGGCTGTCCCATGGTCGCGGACTGCCTCGAGGTTCAAAATCAACGGAGTCCCTTCGACGTCATCTTACGGTCTCCCACCGACCCCGGAGAGCGATGTTTCGGTATCGAGAATAGCTACCCCGCCAAAGCAACGAGACCATCAATTCAACGTTGATATGATGCAGAGGATGACACAGCACGCAAAGATATCGCCACTGAATCAGTATAATAATCTAAAGAAGGAACTGGCGGAGGATAATCTTGTCGTTGATGGTGCCAACGTGGATAGGCTGGTGGCACGGGCCGGTGAACGGGTATCTGGAGCAAATTGGGGATATGAACCAACATCAGGAGACCAATTGTCCTCAAGGCGTGTGGCATTTCGATCCCCGGAAGCGGTGGAAGGTGCGAGGGAGGCTTCTCGGAGGCTAAATGGTGCCTCTACCATTGATCGCCCGAGTAGTCTGTATGAGCCAGCACCCAAACCGGCTGAACCTATCAGCTCGAGACCTGATATGTATGCTGAACTCAAGCGGACATTGAGTGAGAGCTCCAGTGAAAGACCAAAAAGGGTGGCGCTGCCGCTTGCAAATCAGAAACAGCTGCCTCCTTTATCCCCGGTACACAGACGTCATGTCGAAATCAGACCTAGGAGGCCGGTTGCTGGTTCACATTCCAATACTCCTTCTCCAGTCCAGAATGACTACTATCCACAGGAAAATCGACCTAAAACTTCCCAGGGAGAACCTGTCGACTGGCTAGCTGCTGCTCAGGGTGTTGAAGAGAAACCTAGCACAAGGAGAAGACAGCGTCCGCTATCAACTGGGACACCGCTTACAAATACTGCTAGGGGGACTACGAGACAATCTGATCAATTCGGCGGCGAACTGAAAAGGGGGGGAACGGATTCGCGGGCTATAGCGCCGGCGTCAAAGCTGGTTGAGAACGTACCACAAACCAAAACCGAACCCCGGATATCACCTGTAGCCAAGCTGCCATCGGCTCTTAGTAATAGCTATATGCAGCATGATCTCGTTGATTTCGTGTCGGAGGATGACTTGACATTGAATTTGACGCGTGAAAGCAAACCACCTATTGCTTTCAGAGGAACTCCTGCGGCTAATACCAAAAAGCCTGCGGCGAGCAGACCGAGCAAAGGGCAGGATGCTTCATTTCTTCAGAGCACAAAGAAAACTGACCCGGACGAAACGCTGGACACACTTAGACAGTTAAGCCGGCTTTTGAGTGGGAGTACCCCGAATAAGGATGAGGGGCGAAAAATACTCGAACTTGCTGCGGCAAGATCGAATAAAAAAGCAGCTGAAGCAAAGCAAGTGACGAAACCACCAGTTATAGCTGATGCTCGGCAACCCTATAAACATCAATCAAGACCACTGTCAACAAGGAAGCAGAATCCACAAGGTGTTGGTCCAAGTAAGCTTGACTTTGATCCTAAACCTGTTGACCCTGAGCGTTATAAGGACGTTGGGTTGGCTAGCATCCTCAGCAACCAGTCAGGTCTAAGACGCACACCTGCTTCAACACACAAAACACAACAAAAACCTCTCAGGAAACCAAACTTTCACAAAAAACCATCGACATCATCGACATCAACCTCCACCATCAAATTCGAAGACGACTACGAAACTGACGACTCCCTCGATAGACTCTTAACTAACGACACTGATTACGCGTCTTTGCTCAAACCTGCTGCTTTCGAAGACGAGACTTTCCTTCAGGGTACCATTCAAGTCTCGGACCAGTCAATCTCCACAATGCCACAAGACTTTGAGACGCTTGCTCTCCGCACCAAAGTTCTTAACAACCTTCAAACCGTCCAACTAGATATCAGAGAGACGCGAAAGGGACTCGAGAACATCGAACGAAGATTTGGTCTTCTTGAAGACGAAGGTATGTTGGCCAAACTATCAGGGTCTCCTGCAAAGCCCACGGCTCCAGAGCCAGCAACAACTGCGCCTCCCCGAATTATTATGATCAACCGGCGGAGGCAGCGACCTGCTGGAAAGCCTCTATTCCAAAAGCCGTGGACATTTAGAGACTACTTTTGTGCCATCCTCTTCATCGTTTTGGCCCTTGCCGCCATCGAATTCAAACTATGGTAAGTTCGACATATCGGCGCATCCTTGCATCCTAGCCGGCTTCTCGCTAATTTTACTGAATAGGTCCGACACGATCATCCCTCAATACTCTCGGGTATCTTCCGATGAGTGGTTCGCAAAACATCCCGTTGGTTCTTACAGACCTGGAGGGACCTTCCGAGCGGTTATTCAAGCATTCGTCTTGATTGGATATGGTCTCCTGTACATGCTCGAGCAAACCCTTGCGATGATATTGTGGATGCTTGCCGGGGTTCAATGGCTCGAAATCAGGGTCATGGACTCGATAGCTCCACCACCACCAGGGGTTGCAGAATATGCAAATACGACCCTCGTCTCGACAATGATCCCGACCCTGACATCAACTTCTAGCATGACTACTACGGAAGTTTTGGTTTACGGCCAGAACATCGCCAATGACGTTCAAAATGCTCTTCCGGCACTATAGAGCATTGCCAAACAGCTCTTTGCGTCTAGGAAACAAGTAGCTACTATACCACCACCGCCACCACAACCTCTCTACCCTGTACACTTCTTCAAAAATTCAGACTGGATCCCCGTCTCAGAGAAAGCTAAAGCTTTCAAGACCATGGTTCAGCGTACCCGACGAGTCATATTCTGGGGTCGGCCCGCCGATCTGGAAATCGCATGCTTTGCAAATGGGAAGGATGCGGTCGTTACCTTTTGGAAAATTTTAATGCCTGCTCCTAGTGACAATGAGGAATATTATGACGGGGTCATGTGGGTTTTGAGGGTCTGTACCCATCAGTTCTGGAGAGACGTACCAGCCAATAACAACTTTCATGGAGGAGAGTGCTCGACTATCCCACACAAAACCTATCTTTCAATGGGTAAGAGCATAGTGCTGGGACAGAAAGCACTTTGCTGGAGGAGGTGAAAGTAGATCACCTCGGGTTATCACCTACAAACACCTTTTTTCTTTTTTTTCTTTAACTGTTTTGTATTCTGTGGCCCGCTTTTATTATCTTTCTATACTCTGTATACCAGAGATTAGCATCGCAGCATATGCATTCAGGCCGGCGTTTTTTACTTTTATTGTGCCCGGCTCCTTAGCTGTCCGGGCGTCATACGCACACCCTGTTTACTTTGTGTACAGTTTCTTTCTATTATTCCTGTTATTATTCGCTCTGTCATCGGGTCAACATGAATGGCGTCCTGGGTTATCTGCATGTTTCTCCTTCGTCTGTCCTTGTACAAATACATGAGTCTTAGTGTTAAACAGCATTTAGCGTCCTTCATTTCAGATATCTCCCGTCTTTCCCACTTTTTTTTGTTGTTTTGTTTTCGTTTTGACTTGTGAGGTTTCAGTGGAGGTGTAGTTTTAGGCCAATTTGGGTTGGAACTGACCCGTGTATTAAGGTTGGAAGATATGTAAATTTATATTTTCCTGATTCAATGGGTTTGGCTTGAGGTCCATATTTCGCGGTCTATTAATCTCGTAGCTATGTAGGATGTGTGAGGTTTAAAATCTAAAAAGTAGGCGGTATCGATGTTATCTGAGCAAAGTGAGCTGGAACCCTGGCAAGATCGCGAGAATGGACACTCAAGTGTATAAATATGGGTAGACGAAGAGGTGGTCAGAATTAGAGCTGGAAATGAACAGACTCACGAAGCTCGTGAGACTATTACGGTCTCCTTTGTGCAACCTAAAACATAGAACCGAAAAAATACAACAACCATGCAACGCAAATTAGAAAGGCGCGATCTTCGGGATATGCGATTATTTTGTATATAAAAATTTGTATTTTAAAAAACCAGTTTCCTCAAAATTACAAAAAAAAATATTTTTCTAATGAATCAATCTCATCATCTTCACCATCTTCCTCACCCCCATCATACCCCCATCATACCCCCATCATACCCCTTGCGGTAGTACGATACACGATGGATGACACAAGCCCCCAAGATGACCCTGTCGGGCCACCATATGAATACACGATGGATAACACAAGCCGGCAAGATGACGCCATCAGGTCATTTGCATCCACGTTAAGGCAGCCGTACGCCTACGACAGTGACCACTCCGACCTCCTAGATTTCGGAATCCACCCCCTAGAGGTCGAACCATCCTCGTCCGAAGACTCAACGTACATGCAACAACTAAACGACCGCAGGAGCTTCGTCAACTCTTCAATATGTACCATCGATCCGATCCTCGAATTACTCGTCAAGGATTTCAACGGTCTCAGAAAATCCACAGCCATAAAATTATCTAAATCCCCAAACGAAATAAAATCCTCGAACGAAACTAAATCCCCAAGCGAAACTAAATCCCCAAGTGAAGCTAATTCCCCAAGCGAAGCTAATTCCATAAACGAAATTTACTCCCCAAACAAAACTAAATCCCCAAACGAACTTAACTCTCCAAACGAAACTAATTCCTCAAACGAAACTCATTCCTCAGACGAAACTGATTACCCAACCGAATTCGAAACTCTGATCCCTAATGCATGGCATCTCAGTGTTAGATTCTTACACCTATCACCACCACATGGAATGCAGCGGGTATTATGCCTCTGGCTCATGAATTCTAATTATATAGCCCCATTTGCTCCACTAAGCTACATCGATTACGACGATACGGCACCAGAAGAAATCGTAGACGCAGAAACCAAAGCAATAGCTATTGTTCCTCAGATGCTTCGGACCTTTTTAAAATTAGCGGTTCAGGAGAAAAGAGTGGCGATGCCACAACCGTGGTTATTGATGATTACGAGAGACATGCCGCTTCTGACGGCTATTGGGGATCTATTGAAGAGAGCCGGTGTGGATTCTAGGACTCTGTGGACCGTGCATCCTGCGAGTGAGGAGCGCGCCCAGCAAGCAGAGTGGTGGTTTAAAAAGTATGAGGGAACGATTTATAGTCTGCTTGGGACTGATGATGTCGTCGATTCTGGGCCTATGGATATTGATAAAGGGGATTCACCACCGGAAGACGCGCAAGGCTCTTGGGGGGCTACTGGAGGCCAGGAGGGTGATGCTGGAGAACAGGGAGAGGCTACTGGGGATCATGAAATGACTACTGATGATCATGAAATGACTTGTAGTGAGCCTAAGGAGGCTACGAGGGAGCAGAATGAAACCGCTAAAGAAGAAGACAAGGACACTAAAGAAAAAAAACAAGGTACTACTGGACAAAGGGGTGGTACGACAAGGCATTCCGAAGCGCCTAGCGAACCTCAACGTACCGAACGGAGCTTGAAGGGTCGAAAAAGACAAAAAAACTGTTAAGGGTGTATGATATACATAGAGTTCTGATACAGGGCAGAAAGGACTTTTGTTCAAATCTGTATGGGCTTTTGGTAGGCTCGTATCCGGAGGCTAGAGTTGGTTCTTAGTAAGCTTATTCCTCTAGTTTTAGAGGAGCGAAATACAGCGTCCTGATTTAATACATTCTGCTTTTTAGAAGGTTCATAGATTGGGGGGGAGGGGGGGTTTGGAAGTTAAGATTGTGTATGAAGGAAGATAAATGATTAAGTACTAGATAAGATAGATAGATCGAAGAATAATAAGGGGCGATCTATAGTTCTTTACTGGCTCTCGGCCACCCGTCTAAACTAGACTAGTTGCTTGTTACCAAACAACTGAGCCATCTCTCGGTATGAAATAACATTCCACTTTTATTTTATATGTACCCTTCTACAAATTACTTAGGTAATACTACATTTGTGGCCTGAACGGTGCTCTGGGAACGGGACTAGGTAATACTAAAGAGAACGGGCGGTCCGTACGCATTTCGTTCTAGTGCGCTCGGCACCAGTCTTACAACCAGACTGGTACCTTTATGTCCTACTGTCTGATAGCTGTCCTAGCAAGTAAGTAATGGGAACGAGACTACTAAGCTAAGTACTAGTAGTTATTCGTCGTAAAAGCACACTCAATCCTCGAAACCATCTTATGAGTAGGGAGATACCTCCTGTTGATCTCTATCCATATATTGCTGGAATTTCTAAAGCTCTCTTCCTTCTGCACTCATGCTCATCATCCGTTCTATCGATCAGCATATCATCGTCTTGTGAATACAAGGAACCGATTGAAGGTCAGACATCTCCTGTTGCCCATAAATAACACATATTACCGTACAAAAATATTCGTTACACCGTTTCTACCAGAGTATTAAAGAACCTTCTTCTCCCCCTCAGATATATTTTCAATCTTAGCTTCCTAAACATTCTTCCTCACCCTCATCTGGTATACGCCCAAATCTAATCCAATCCGTAGTCTATGGATGGGTACTCACCCTCCCTCTCATGGATAACCCCGCCAGACTCGAACGGTAAAAGCAAAGACGACCAGGGCAGGTCGCACCAGACCACCCCTCCAAGGCTGAATTGCCAGCTGCCACCTTTCAGTGTGAAAACCTTCGAGATTAAAGTTCGAGGTTTCGACGGTATCATTCACACGGTAAGTACATTGCCAGTTCCCACGGGATGTACGTTCTATCTGAAAATAAAAATGAGATAAGAACTAAAGACGCCATCGTTATACTTAGGGCTCTATATTAGTAAGAGGGTCAATGCCTTTGCCCTCAGAGGTATCCCGTGGTGGATACTACAAGATGGACAGATACAGACTGGTTGTTATTCTCTATTCTAACTTTGGAGTTTATGTTTGTTATATCAATGCTAACGGCACGCTTTTGTGAATGTAGGAGATTTATGTTTGGCAAAATTCCTTCCGGGGAAAAGAGTAGACTCATTTGGGGAAGGAAATACTGGTCCTCATTTGATTGGGGCCATATATTAGAGTACCCGAAGGGGGGGGCAGACTCATGTGGTCTCCCCGGGGGTGGAAATTCTCAATACACGGAAATGGGTGTCTTGTTACCACAGCGAGTTCACGCGAAGTGGGTTTTTCGTTACATAAAACTCTCGGTTTCCCGTATAGTAGTAGCCAGGGTAATCTTTATTACTATATATATTAATACATTCTTCATACCACCTCGTTGACGACTTTTGTTCTTCTAATCACCTCGCATTCGATAGTCGCAGTATTATTTAAGATCAACCAAGCTTTCATAGAAAACATAAGCTGCTTTTTGTTCAGATTCCCGACAACTAGTATGTATAAGGCGTAGTTCATTAATCTGTATCTGTGGGTATCAATCTTCGACACTATACTATAGTACTATTTACATTACACTCTCATCATCATCAACAGCATTATTCCCATGGCATTCAAACCTCGGGTGTACTCTTCTTCTCCACTGGCAAGGTATTCCTAACCGGCACACCCTTCTTGCTCCACTGGTGCTTAATCTCCGGCTGTCCAACGACTCTCTTCTTTTCCTCGAACAATTTTCCAGTCAAATATTTATACAACCAGTGGTAAGCTCCGTTGTAAGAGATACCATGATCGCTATCGGTGAATGCAAACATATCCATGCGATCAGGTCCAACACCTTGACCGACTAATAGATCAACCAAGGCGGCAGCGTTTTGGTAGTGTACGTTGTCATCGCCTGTACCGTGTAAGATTGAGAATTTACCCTTAATATTCTTGAAGCCGTCGGTTTTGCGGACGGCAGTTTCGTTGTAACCGGCTGGGTTTTGTTCGTAGGCTGTGACAATGTATTAGTATAAAATCTCCTTGCCATTTCAAAAGGGAAACAGGGGAAGGAAGGAAGGAAAGAAAATGAGAAAGACTTACTCTTCATGTACCTCTCAGTGTACATCGAATCGTAGAACCTGAAGTCCGAGACGGGCGCAATGATAAGCGCATAGTTGAACAACCCACTGTTTGCTTCCAAGACCTTCGCAGAGAGGTATCCTCCGTAACTCCACCCCCAGATACCAATCTTATCCTTATCAACGAACGAGTTCCTCTTGATCAATTCTTGGGCGGCAAAGATCTGGTCTTGAGTTTCGTAACGTCCCAAGTGGGATGCGACTGCGGAACGGAACTTGCGGCCTTTGTATCCAGTTCCTCGGCCATCGACAGTCCAGGTGATGAATTCCAGCTCTGGGTCGGAGGCAATATATGCATTCCAATTGAGAGACGAGAAGGCTTGCGAGACTTGCTGGGCGCCTGGGCCACCATATGGAATGAAGAGGACTGGGTATTTCTTGGAGGGGTCGAAGTTTGCGGGGAGACGTTGCATAACGTTGATTGTGAATCCCTCTGGGTGCTTGAGTTCGAGGTAAGTGATCTTGGGGAGCTTGTATTCCTTAAGTTTGTTGTAGAGGGCCAAGTTATCAGTGACGGTACGGAGAGGCTTGCTGGAGTTTGTAGCGTAGAGTTCCTGATATGGAACATCAGGGCCGCGGTAAGTCAGGAGGTAGAAGCCAGCGTTAGAAGAGAAGGAGGCGGAATAAGATGCTGGGACAGAGTCATCTACAAGAGCTTTCACTTCATCGGTCTTATACGAGACACTATAGATGTGGCGGGAGGTGCTGTGCTGTTTTGTGGATTGGAAGTAGATGATCTGCCTGTCGGTGTCAACCTTGAGGATAGCTGTGACCTCCCACCTACCTCTGGTAAGAGTGATAGCGTTTCCACCATCGACTGGGTAGAGATAAATGTGGTTCCAACCAGAGTGGTCAGATAGGTCGACGTAGTATTCCTTCTTATTATTCCGTGGGCTGCGTCGTCGGTCAACGGTTCCGATGTATGTGATAGCAATGTTGTTATCAAGCCATCCGTCGGAGCCGTCTCTTTGACGGACAACCTTTGTCTTGCCAGTATCGACGTTGACGAGGACCAACTTCTCCTTGTCTTGAACTCGATTGAAAGCCCTGACGACAACTTTAGAGTGGGCATCGGTCAACCAGGCTACCTCACCAATGACAGTATCATCCTTTGCAAAGGCATCAATTGGGATGTCGGTTTGCTGTAAAGAACTAACTTCCAACAAGTGGAAGGTGACAGTTGGGTTTGTAGTTCCAACTTTTGGATATCGAAGTTCAAGTTCCCGTGGGTAGGCAGGTGCAATCTTCTGGTTGTTCATATAATAGGGAACTCGGAAGGTCTCGACACCAGTCTCGTCAAAACGAAGATAGGCAACATATTCACCATCAGGGGACCACCAAAGGGTCTTACGATCACCGAAAATTTCTTCTTCGTAAACCCAGTCGGGGACACCGTTGAAAGTATCCGGGCCACCATCCGTTGTGATTTGTGTAACCTGGCCATTGATGCTCAAGTAAATGTCATTTCCTCGAACAAAAGCAATAGCATCGCCGGTGGGTGCAAATTCAGCATACTGGATGTCTCCAGCCTGGTCTGCAACAATCGGTGTCGTCTGTCCGGTAGCGACGTCGAGAATAAGATAATCGGCAAAGTAAGAGTGTCTGTATTGCTTCGAGTAATTGACTGCGAACAAGACCCTTTTCAAGTCTGGACGGATCCAATACTGCACATACCCTCGAGGAATACGGCTCGAAGGAACGAAGACTTCACTTTTGCCGGTGATAAAGTTCTCGAAAACAATATCACCGCTATCTGAAAGACGGAGACCTGTTCCATCTTCACCACCAGCGAACCAATTGACGGATGTGGACCTGGCACCAAAGGATGGCCTTAGGACAGTCTCATTGTAGGTCAGGATCTTAGAACCGCCGCCCTGGGGTTGGGAAGGCTTGCGAGGTGGCTCAATTGCCTGTACAAATGCCCCGAAGAACGACAGAGCAAGAGCGATAGAGGAGACCTTCATTTTGAGTGATTGGAGAGGGAGCTACCAAAAACCGGGCCCGGACGAGTTAACGGCTGGGGAAGCTGGAATACCAGAAGAATTCAAAAACTAAAAACGAGACGACGATCCAGCCATCTTATACTTCCGCATGTATTCATCTGCATTCCTGATGATACAACAGCTTCTGCACGGGAAATAGCAAGCATGGAGCATCGTCAATCGATACACCCTGCGCGAACGGAAGGCAACATTAAACATTCGCATTCCAAGAAGACCCGAGTAAAGCACGACATACGACCAGATTCCCTGTTTGGGGCCACTGCAAGGAACATCGATGCTGACCGAGCCTGAGCAGAGCCTATGCGGACGGGCAGTTCAGGTTGACCTGGTTAATGTGTTGTTTTCCTGCAGTACGACCTACTCAATTAAGCAGGAGATGATCTGTAGATCTCCCAGAGTGGGTAGAAGGTAGCAGCCTTGGCGGCCTGGGCGTTTATACGGTATCGAAATCCGAGCTGTGTGTAATGTATCACCGATAAGACAGCACCAGGGTTCAAAGGGTCAGATGGGGTGTCACCAATGGATTAGGAAATGGCTAAGACTGCTTGTCCGTGGCATCAATAGGCATCGAAACGAAATTGGCATGGTCGGTTCAATGCGGAAGTAATATCATTAGAATTTATGGGGTATTCATTTTAGTAGTATCCAGTACTTTGTGATCTCGGAAACCCACCCGGTGGCATACTGCTCTCAGGGGGGGCCATGATATCGTCGTCACTGTCGTCTGCTCCGACCCAGTCCAGTTCCCCGCCATTCGGGGCTTGAATTTGGAGCTGCGATAACTCAGAAGAAGATAGCTTTGGTGGCGTCCATGTCTGGTTTTCTGGGAACATGAACCTTCCAGTCGGCAACTTTGCCAGCAGCGAAGATGTGGATGGTATGGCATGGAAGTTCACCTATCAGGATCGTTAGAATAAAATCCAAACTTTGGAGCTACTGATGCTGTATCCGTAATATCAAGGGGATATGCATACCGAATCATTGATCCTCCTCCATTTCCTCTCTAGCTCGTTAAGAACCATTGCTTCTTCCATCCTCCCGGCGTCCGATCCAAGAAGGGCTTCCATCGGTACCTTTTCCATCTTCTTTTCCTCCCTAGCTTTCTTCAACATATCTAAGCCCCTTCCTAGCTTGCCTTTATCCCCATCCCCTCCTACAACCATACCCAGAACTTCCTTCCCAGCTACCAGCCAACCGATTGCTTCCCCCAATTCCCCTCTTCCCTCAGCATCAATCGCTTGGAATCTGCAAGCCTTAGCTTTGGCCGTCTTTACCATATCGTCACAGTAACCTTTTAACTCTGCGCCTGTGCCCGGGGTAGCCGCCACCCCAGCTGCCGCTTTCCCCGCCATATCCGCAGAATACATACACAGCCTTGCGAATAATAGCGATCTAACCCTCGTAGGTACCGCGGGAGCTTTATACATCCATTCCTTTGAGTTTTTATCATGTTGCAATGCTACAATTGACGGATAAGGGTCGTCTTTCAACACCGCCAACAACGTTGCAGAGGCCAAACAGAGCGACCATAGAGCGTTGTACATTGAAGTCGTAACATCTGCTGGCATCGGCTGCGAACTACCCCGTTCCCTTGAAGTAGACCTGTTTTGTAAATAGAGGAATATAGAGGCAGCCGTGAGAACTTGGTCTTTTGCCTGGTTTATTAGATGAACAGAGGTGTTTGTGGCGTCGTTATCTGTAGGTGGGGGTGCTTGTATCGCATTTGCGAGGAATGTACGCGCTCGGAGAGTATGAGCGTATGCTAGAGTTGCAGTTGCGAAGCATATTTCGTAGTCCAAGCCCTTACGGCGGATGCGTGGCGGTTCTGTTGGAACCGTACGACGAGATAATACAGCCCGCCATTCCGTTTCGAACTCAGTGAGGGGTGTAATGTCCTGGGAAGTTATGTAAGCGTCGAGAGTGTAGAGATAAGGTAGATATTCAGAGATTGACGATAACAAAGATGGGATATTGTTGTATTGTTCGGCGGGGGTGAGACGTTTATGGCGTTTAAGAGTGTCGCGGAAGAGAGCACGACGAGTGGTTGTTGCGGAGGGAAGAGATGGAGCGGAGGAACTAGTGAAGGATGTAGTGAAGTTGACCGGTGACGTCGTAGGCAGGGTAAACGCGAATGTCATCTTGAAACACGCGAAAGAGTGCACGAGACCGCAGGTGTCGAGTATTCGAATGTCTAAGCTGTAGTAAAAAACCTTTCTTTAGGGGTTGAAGTCCTGGAAGTGAGATTGAATATTTGGAATGGAAGGCGACGTCCGCAATGGGGTTTCGTCGGTAAGGAAAGCATGCTTCGAAGCCAAGCTGTTGGCAGCATTCCAAGAAGCTTCGAACAACGCAGCTGATTGAGGCCCATCTTGATATCTGCGCAGACATGCCCCGCACCAAATTTTCACGAGTCTTTATTTAAGACATGGCGGTTGATTTCGGATTAAGTCATGCTAGTCTGGTTTGGGGTTCAATATTCTAGAAGTTCAATTGCGAAAAACGCCCGATATACTGCTGTAAATAAGTACAAGGAAATGCTCAATGCGGTGTTGAAGCAGCAAGGGAAGATCTCGAGAATCGTCCGTCATAAATCCACTTGTGGATGTCTATATAAGTATCCACCAACCCGTCCTCTTCTACCATAACACACAGTCTAAGACTCTGCCTCTAATCTCCTCTTCGTCTCCACCTTCTCCACAACCTTCTCCAACCACCATTTGTGGATGCGAATGTCACTTCCCAATTCTGGATGGAAGCTTGTTCCAAAGCAGTTGCCCTGTTCAACGGCCACAATCCTTCCCTCAGATGGGCTGGTAATGCCTAGTTTCGCATCTTCTTCTGTGGTGGTGAGTTTCGACGGTGTTAAACGCCCAAGAATCCTAACTTCATCTGGCGAAGTGAAGGATGCTGCAACATCATTGATTGGTTTCTTCGAAGGTGCGGTTACAGTATCAGCTGTATTGTTTTCAAGGGAACTTGCAGGGGTAGTTGGCGGGAGGATGTGCTCGACGATAGGAGCCCGGATGAAATAGCCATAAAACGGCGTGGGGTCGCCCAGGAAAGGGAGAGAAAGTGGAGTACTAAATGATTCTGTCTGTTGATTAAAATACATATCAGTCACAAATTCTTGGAAGTTCGTCAGGATTTGGGGGGCACGTACCTGACTACCAAAATGGTTTCTCTTCACGCGGACATCGAGGCCACCAATCAATTCTTGCCCGCCCTTCTTAGTCCTGTTTGCCTCTTCAGCAAGGAGGATCATGCCAGCACAGGTTCCCCAAACAGGTTTCCTGTAAACTCTGTATTCAAGTGTCCATGTTAGAAAATTGGAAAAACCCTCTTAGCAGAGCAGGACTCTCACTTGACGAATTCTCTCAGAGGTTCTAAAAGACCCGATCTTTCAGCCACAAGGCTCATAGTAGTACTCTCGCCTCCTGTGATAATATAATACTATTAGCTTATTCCATGCTACATATCATCTGTGTACTAACCAGGGACGATCAAAGCATCGCATGATGATAAGGCTTCCTTGGTTCTAATTTCCAGAAACCGAAATGTAATATTAGATGGTAACGCTTGAGATGCCTTCTTCAGCAGCTGAAGATGCTCACTAAAGGCACCTTGGAGAGCTAGAGAAAATGCATTAGTATGCCTGTATGTTCACTCCAAAGGCTGGATAGACCTCCTACCAAGAACTCCAACGGTAATGGGAATATCGGCGTTGACCATTGTAGAAAGATTGTTTGAAGGCTCTTTTGAAAAGAGGCAAAGAACTCGGGCTGATGTAGAATTTAAAGGAAAGGTTTACGTATTAGGTATCCCGAAGGTCTGATTAGAATTCCGCCACTTGAACCTCAATTATACTGCAGTCGTGTTGTATTTGGGGTATTTTCTGTGTTGCGATGAACCAATTACCGTGCGACTTCTGTGCCCGCAAGACCAATGACAGTCAACGTCTACTCAGAAAAGAAGAGATATACCGATATAAGGCGCTGTGTGAAACCAGTGTGCTCTTGCTCCTTCTATGCCCGGGTATCAAAAAGAAGGGGGGGGTATCCTTGATTTAAAAAAATTGGCCTCCTAAAGTGCAACAGTTCAAAAACAATTTGAGAGAGAAAGATAACGCTGCAGAAATTGAGTGAGGGCAAAATAGAATTGCGCCAACAGGTCGATTATAAAATTTTCGAAGGGCCGGCCTTAACTGTTTGACTCAGATGCAGCCGAACAGTTGCCTGGTCTGGCCGCCCGCCGTTATCTGTATCGCATAGGTCCGCCATTTTTGAGACCAGTTTGCCTTCCAGAGGCTTCCGCCGATGCCATCCGATGTCTATTTTAGGTTGCCCGACGGCCGATGTCCGCTTTTGATCCTAGATTGATTTCAAACCAAACCTAAGGGGGTGTATATACAATAGTTTACGATACAACACTGTAGACGAAGTCATGCATGATTATTTGAAAGAATTCGCGAACTGCTATTTTGTGATGTTGTTTATTTTTGCCTTAGTCACATTACACTAATTGGTCAAAAAGGATATGAATGCATATGGAGGAAACGGACTCAAAGAAAGAGACCGGACAATTTGGTCATAGCCGCAAATCTTCTACAAATCGAAGCTTGTTTCAAGTTGATGTACTGTCGAAAACAAAATTTTTGGGAGCCATTGCAAGTCCAATCGAAAACATCATATAGGAAGCGACAGTGGCGGTACGAGTACTTCGACCAAACAAACGGTGTACCACTTAACTTTATACTATTCTACAAAAGATAGAGAAAACAAGATAATATATTCACATTTTCAAGAAACCGGAGCAATAGAGGTAAACCAGCCGCTAGATACAAGGACAAGTCAAGGAAATAAATTTTTTTTAAAAAAAAATCAAAAGCTAATACACCAAAAAATCAAAAAAAGACAAAAATCACCCAAATCGTGATATCCGGTCCGGGAATTCAAGGTTAATTAAAATCATAACTCATCTATCTAGGTCTTTCCCAAATATTCCTTGACATTTACAGGGGATTCTTTAGCGGCGGGTCCTGTGCAGGTATTGGTCTTGGCTTTGGCCTTTTTGGCGGCTGGCTCTTGTTGGGTATCGGCCGCTGGCTTCTACTTGGATTTGGATTCTTGATCTTGTTTGGGTTTTGAACTGGAACCCTTTTAGGTTTCACATTTGGATTAGGATTCTTCTTTTTTACCGGCTGATTCGGGTTCTGCTTTGGGGGCCTTTGGCTCTGGGCTGGCTTCTGGTTGGGATTCGGCCTCGGTTTCTGGTTGGGGTTCGGATTTGGCGGGGGTCTCGGCTTCTGGTTGAGCTGAGCTTTGGGCTTGGGCTTCAGGTTCGGGTTCGGGTTCGGTTTTTTCTGTGGTGTCCCGGCCTTCGGCTTGGTGGCTGGCCGCTTCTGAGGAGGAGGAGGCTGATTCTTCGGGTTTGGTCTCTGGTTCGGGTTGGGTCGTTTCTTGGGCGGTAGGCCGTTCTTGGAGGGTGGTGGCCTCGACGCCTTCGGGTTCGGCTTTCTGTTGGCGTTCTGACTCTGCCTGGCCTTGGCCTGGCGTATGATTAGATTCGTCCTCTGAGGGATCTGCGGATTTCTCTGTCTTCTCCTTAGGTTCTGGTACCTCTTTGGTGGCGTCGGATGGTGGAACCTCTTTTACAACCTCTCCTTTCTCGTCACGTTCCACATCGCCCACCGTTTGTTTATCAGACTTCCCAGCGGCTTCCTTCTCCGCCTCTGCTGCGTCCCTCTCAGCGCAAGCCTTGACAAGCCTTTGTCTCCCGAGCTTCTCCAATTTGCCAACCTCGACGCGTGCAACTTTCAAAACATCAGCTGCGGCGTCGTCTATGGATTTGGCGTAGTCGGTGACCTCTCGGAGACCTTTGTGACCTTGACCGGATCGAATGACCTTCGTCTTCAAGGACCCAAATGCTTTCTTAAGATCGTGGTACTTTGCCCAGTCCTTGTATGTGACACCCTCCATCCAAGCCCATTTCATTCCTAGTTCTTGCATGCCAATGTCATGCGCCGAATCCATTTCTGCTAATGCTGCGTCTACGATTTTGGCAGTGGTTTGATAGGTATCCATAAGAAGCTCCTGGGTGCGACCCTTAATCTGAGTCTGTTTCTCCTTAAGATTTTGCATGGTTCTGCCCACGAGGCCATCATATCCGACCATAACATACTTCGTTTCAGCGGGGCTGTCGAGGAGTGTTCCGAGACCTTGTTCGAAATCCTTGTATTCTTTTTCAATGCGGGCTTCGAGGTCTGTCAATATTTCTGTGGACAGAGTACCATGTTCCTTCATAACTTTGCCACACAGCTCGTCCAGCTGGGAAACAACATCAGCTGAAGCTTTGGCACCAGCTTCTTCGAATTTGGCACCCCAGGATTCTAGATCGGCTTCAACTTTTGGTCTAGCTGCTTCAATTTGTTCGGCTGAGGACTTCTTTTTCTCTTTTTCCTCTCCAGTCGCTCCTTGGGCGTTCGCTTGTGGTGTCTCTTTGGCATCAATATCCTCGTATGACTCTTCGAGGATATTTTCGGGAGCAGTGTCGGAAGCATTTGGATTACCACGATGAGGGGGTGTTGGGCCATCTTGGACTCGGGTACCTCTATTAACTATGTTAGCCAATTCAAGTAGTACAAAAGTAGCTGTACTATTAGAAGCATACCTCAATCCCTTCAGTCCGAGTCTTTCTTGAATCCTCCAAAGCTGGGGTTCCACGTGAATGCCCCACCTTCGAGAAATCCATCCTTTCCCTTCAACGCCAGCCCATCCTGCAGTCTCGATTCCTTGCTCCCATGCTTTCTCAAGGTAAGGCAGCGAAATTAGATAATAGGGGTAAGCTTTCTCAATGGCGTAGTCATATCCTTGCTTCCCGTACTTTTCTGCGGTGGGTGCGTATGCATCATAGGCTTCTCGGCCCGTAGCTACAAACTCCGCCAGGTAAGCATCGTATGCTCTCTGGGCGTAGGGGGAGAGTGTCGCGACAGCAGCATCCTTTGCCTTTACGAGCAGTGGCCGCCCTGTCTTCTCGAATTGCTCAACGGCGTAAACTCGGGCCGGCCGGATGTACTGTTCGTTCGCAGATATGATGTATGGGGCAGCTTTGTTGACATAAGAGGCCAGATATTCGTCGTAATACGGTTCAATGTAAAAATCGTAGGCATCATACATGTAAGGCTCTACGATATCTAACGTTCTATCACCAAGATCACATATCGTTCGGTCATCGGTGCCATCTTTTGGACATGTCCAGATGTAAACGTAGAGTGAGTAGAGGAGAGAATATCTGCCGATGTATAACGGTTAGGGAGTTATCTATGACGTTTGTTCGGAGAAAGGGGATTGTACTTGAATAACGAACTAAGGAACCATCCCTTCCATGTCCGGGTCTTTGTTTTCTTCTTCTTTGGTTGTGGGCGGGGCGGAGAAGGAATCCGGCCTGCCTTTATCGACGACTTCGTCTTCTGCTGTGGTATCGTTGGTGTCCTTACTTTGGCAAATTCCGGAAAGTCTGGTGCTATTCCCACCGCGCCTTTCGGCCTAAACAAACATCAAAGGCCGCCGTTAGGGTCTATAGAGGATCTTTGGGGTTATAGTCGCTTTTCGAAGTGAAAGTAACATACCTGCGGAATTTCCTCTTGGAATTCGGGCTGTCGGGCTTGAGAGCCATGCTGAATTTAGGAGCGAACCCTGGCCTGTTGTGCAGAGAGTTCAAGTTGGGATGTTTTTGTGATCTCGCCAGACAAGCCTATTCGGTGGGTGGAACTTTATCGCTCGTGACTGGCTGCACCGAACCGTTTTCAAAACACACAAACAAACAACCGAAGCAACGGCAACAAACAACAGACAACGGACAGCTGCTGGGATGGCGAGTGTGGGAAAGAGATGCCGGTTGGAGGTTGGCCAGGATTCAAGACAGACCTACACCATTGGGGCATATATATATGAGTGAAGGGGACAGAGTAAGTATCTTCCTCCTTGCATGGATGTTGAATCTCGAATTAAAAAAAAAAAAAAAAAAAAAAAAAAAGAGAGAGAGAGAGAGAGAGGCCATACGATGATTGAGAACTTATATCGTTATTATATCCGGGGCTTATGTGAAAGAATCCCGGACTGTTTAACTGACTATCCTGTTATAAACGACATACAGCTCGAAAAAGTCTAAACTAGAAGGTTTCTTACAAGGCCGGCTGGGCTTTGGGGTCGAATCAATCAGTCAATCGATAAGGGCTCACTAGTACTAGCCAACAATGCTGCATTATGTGCATGTGCGGAGTCCTGCTAGTGTCATGTCAGTATAAGGTATCGATACCTTTTACATCCCAGTATGTCCCGTCGACCGTGAACGAATTAAAGCATGTGTTTTTGACGATTTCTTCGCTGTTGGCATCTGCAGCACGATGGTTTAAGAAGCTGGGCGTTCGGCCTGAGAAATTAGCGTCCGGGCTAAATGATGTAACTGCCTTCCGACTGGCTCTGTCTCAGACCCTTCCCCGTCCTTTCCAACTGGATTCAATTTTGGATGATAACACGATTGTCTTTGGATATAATCCTCGACGACAGGCAGAAAGAACAAAGAGGGAATTCCTCGGATTAGAATCTCATTACTTTATTAATATTCCGACCCATGCTCACCCGACGAGGGCTGGAAAGATCGCACATAAATGTTAAGAATTTATCGGGGAGGAAACACTCGCAGCTGCCCGGCTTAACCGTCTACGGTTTAGGTACCTGTACCTACTACTAATGCAGCCAGGGCCGATTTCCCGTCACATACTTTTAGCAAACGACCTACCGAGATATGTACTCAAGCAGACACATACCACGGAGAACAACGGAGGAGAAAATTCTTCGCATGTGGATCGTTGACAAGATTTCCTGCTGAAATGGATGGCTTCAAGAGAATTGCCACAAACTTGGCAGACGAAATTGACAGATGTGTGGCGCGTCATCGTTGTTATCTCGATACAGCTCTGACAGGGGTCTGTAAAGGATGGCACGAGACCTCCATATCCTTCGAAGCGGTTACGCAGTGTATATGTACCACTCCATCTGTCAATTCTAAATCCTGGAAAACCCGCAGTTTTGTGTGCGATATTGTCAATTTGCCATGCATGTAAGGTACGCTAGCACGACCTGCAACGGAAAGAAACCTGTTTGCTAACCGTCACAGGAGCACTTGAGCTTGCCTTTGAGATTGTCAATCTGTTTGAGGCTAGGAGGCTCCGAGGTTTATGCTTGATTCAGACGGCCTTCGATTTATGGTCGTCAAGTGAGCCAAAACAACATGCATCTTTAGCATGCAAACGCAACTAATTGTGTAACCAAGCTCAGGATAACAGTCGGCCGGGTACGAGTTACTTCTGCAATAATACATCGAAGCAAATGAAAAAGAAGACAAATGGTGGATTCGAGGTTATGCAAGTGGCGGGGGTTTCAACTTGTCATGTTACTACCTATTATACTAGAAAAAAAGGATAGGACTTTGCTTTGTCGATAGCTAAAGTTGATACTCATTCACTTGAATGCTTTTTGACACCCCGAGTCCTACTTGTATAAAAACTTCATCAAAATGGATAAAATTGCCATGATACTTCTTCTTTTATTTGTCTAAACATCACGGCTCGAATTCGATCTCTTATACAATTGCCCACCTGATTAAGTTGTGCACATGGTCATGCCCATGACGGCGGGAGGTTCCGCTCGTTTTTCTTAGAGGCTAGAGCTGATCAACTTACATTATGCTTCAATGATTAGGTTATAAAGCCGGCGAATTCGAAGTACATACTTCCAGCTAGTTCTACAAACCGTATTATAGTACTATGGTGCTCGAGGTGGACTGCATAGTTAATTAACTGAAATAGATATAAAGATTGTGCGATCTTGTGACCTCGAGAACACGTAGTCGACCCTTCAAATTGATATCAATAATTCAAACGATGTGACCGTAAGGCCATACCCACAACAAGTCTAGTCAAACCCTTGCAGGCGGTATTTATACTTTAGAATTCGAAGATAATATCTTATGTGTCATAGTTGTACGGTACACACAATCAAGTAGGGCTTGCGCATGCGAGCTTTAAGACTTTGAAATTGGTAATATATACGCACATGTACCACTGTGAAGTAACGTAACCATGACTGTTTAATAAATTTCGTTATGAAGCTTCCTACTAACATACTAGCTTAAGTAGGTATGTACAAACCTAGTAGATATCTACTTACATAACTACTAAGATAGTATAGAATCCGGCCCATAGGTCTAGACACCAGACTACCTACCTAGGTAGCTAGTGGTTTCTAATCGAATTGGAACAGAACTAGTACTAGACATCACCCGCAACTTGCCTTATAATGAGGTCACGTGGTACAACAGTCCATATGGATATTATATGGGTCTAGCTATATGGAGAAAAGTTGACAATCAAAACCCCTCAAAACGGTATCCATATACTATAGAACAGACTTGACAAAACCCGCAGCCGTCAGCGACCGAAAATGTGATTTCCTGCAAGTGCAATGTCACATTTGCATCCGCTGGTTCTACCACTGCATTGCATTGAATCCAGGCACCGCCAGCTGGCTTGCTCTCGCAGGATGTTTGCTTTGATGTGTTTGTTTTTGCGTTGTTGAGCTCATGACGTTTGATTGGGTAATTCGGTCGAGACTCTGGGCCGAAAGCACCACATACAAGAGAGAACGAAACATCTGATTGAGCCGTCTCTGATTTGGACATCTATCTCTCAACAACCTCCTTCACGACATTTGACTCCCTCACTTCCTCCGGGACACCAACGAGATCATTGTACATTAGACTTGTCTCGAAGCTGGATCTAGAGCTCTTAGATGAGCTTCATCTCTCCAATATCGAAAACTGCATCTCACCAGTCTCCTTTCCTATTCGCTCGCAGCCGATGAGACCATCTATCGCCACCGGATCCCGATACACCGGCCCTTTTTAGCTTCAGTGATTTTGCATACTGGCTGCTCCGATAGATTTGCCTTTCGTCGGGCGTTTCCCACGTCGACATTATGGCGTCCCTCTCAGACGAGACGTGCCGAATATGCCGTTCCGAGGGCACTCCAGAGGAACCCCTCTACCACCCCTGCAAGTGTAGTGGTAGCATCAAATATGTGCACCAAGACTGGTATGAATATCTTATACACTAACTACCACATAAGCCGTATAGGCGCCTCTAACAGCAGTTTTATAGCTTGATGGAGTGGTTACAGCACTCGCAGAAAAAACATTGCGAACTCTGTAAAACACCATTTCGATTTACAAAAGGTACAATCCTGAGGAAATGCAGAGCCTTCCCTACCTTTTCCTATATCTATAATAAGACGGGCTAATAAAAAAGCATACCACAGTCTACGACCCGCATATGCCCAAAACATTGCCGTTCTTTGTGTTCTTGAAACTCGCATTCAAACACATCACGCGACTAATTATTCAAATTCTTCGCCTGAGCTCTGTCCTTTTCGTATGGCTTTTCTGGCTACCGTGGACCGTTCGGACAATCTGGAGGTTTTATTTTTACGTTGCGGATGGCGGACCACTGTTCGATGGCGGAGCTAGTAGAGTATCCCCCCTCAATACGTCGACAATCAATACCACAATATCTGGAGCCCCAAGCTTTATGGGCTTAATTGGCCCCGATATTTCGTCCTCCGTGATCATCCAGGATACATCTGCAGCGAATATTAGTCAAACAGATCGAATTTCGGATTACCTTCCCCCAACAACCTTTAGGTTTGGAGCAGGAATCGCAAATCTAACATCCTCTTCGCAAATCAATCAGATCCTCGTTGATACTTTTGAAGGACAAATCATCACCATACTTGTTGTTCTCGCTTTCATATTAATATTTTTAATTCGAGAGTGGGTGGTCCAACAACAACCACCCCAACCCCTTGATGGGAATGGTCAGCCCGTACAACAACAGGACCCCCGTTTCGACGAGCTCCTAGCAGAAATAGAACGTCATAGGGCACGTCGCGAGGCCAATCTTCAGGGTGATGCCGGGGAGGCCGGTGTACCCCCCCGCCAGCACATCTTTGGGAGCGGAGATGAGGCCGAAGGAGAGGATAACTCGAGCGAAGAAAGCGTATTTGGGGGGAACAATTCTGAATTTTCCTTCCAAGCTGGAAGGAATGAGGATGACGACGGGGAAATGCCGTTCCGTTTTGAGGAGCCTGTGAGAGTAGATGAGACAGAGTTCTCTAGCAACTCCCCAATGTTGGTCCATGAACATGGACAAAATGAACAACCGCTTCAGGGAGAAGCTGATATGGGGTTTGACTTACGCGGCCTCACCGAACTATCGTATTCTGATACCGATGCCTCGACCTCCGCAGCTCCAGTATATGGAAAGAGGCAAATACACCCGATGCGGAAACGGAAGAGTCTCCAAATAGATAACCATACTCCTCAGCCTGTTTCGGAGAGTTCGGGTTTCTCCTTCCAGTCGTCGTCATCGTCATACAACCCTTTCCAATTTGGGTCTACCGCAAGGCACCCGTTTGCCGATGCACCTAACACCAGCGACACGATCAGGCGTCCCCAAATCAGTCGCGAACTCAGCGCAATGGCGGCTGGGCTTAGGAGAAGCGTTGAAGAACGGGAGTTGGCGGAACTTGGCCTCGTATCTAGAGACACTAAAGTGATGGCGGAACTTCACTCTCGCCTCGAGCAACAAGGGAGAGAACAAGAAACAAATGCTGGGGACTTGGAACCCGCATCGTTACGCCCTTTCCAAGATTCTAGCTCCCAGGCCGAAACCGTAGAGGACGATTTAATACCAGTAGCTAAATCCTCTTCCGAGACCGCTTCCAAATCATACAGTTTCGACCTCTCCAGCTCAGGTTCAGATTTCAATTGGAATAAATACACAGAATATGCACAGCAAGAAGAGTCAAGCGGGTCCAGAAAGGGTAAGGCGGCCGCAACCGGTGGAAGGGAGAGTTCTAGTGGAAGTGATGGGAGTCGAAAGCGAGCAAGTGACATGAGCTGGGAAGAACTTGTGGAAATCAACGAAGAGGAAGCTGCAAATGAAATAACAGGCAATGAATCTCATGAGCACAATGCCTTCGACGACGGTAGTAGCGATGAATATATCGACTTTCATGACCAGATTCAGCGAGAGATTCTTGCTACGGCCGCTAAACACTATGGTGACCCTGAAGGTCGGTTAGGGGATAGGATCAGGGATGTTGAGCCAATTTCGGTAGTCGAGGTTGCAGAGCTAGTCAGAGACAGTCACGCAGCTCAAGCACAAAACCAAGGTCCTATGCGAGAGTTCGCTATCGAGGCTGCGCTTCCACCTCCGCCTCCGCCTCCGCCCGCCCCCATCAATCCCGGCCCACCGCGTTTAGCAGTAGCCCGACCCGCCCCTCCAGCTCCAGCTCCTCCACCGGTCCAAGCCGTTAATCAGCCCGTTCCTAATGGAATCGCGGATGATGATGTTGAAGTTGACGTAGACGACTTTGACGGGGTTATGGAACTTATCGGAATGCGTGGCCCTCTAATGGCTCTGGTGCAAAATGGCATATTCAGCGCAGTACTCATTTCTGCTACCATAGGAATTGGTGTATGGTTCCCTTATATGTGGGGTCGGGTTGTTCTGACAATCCTTAGCAACCCACTCGGTTTCTTTATTACACTTCCGTACCAGGCTATCATTTTCACGATAGAGATCTTGATCGACCTAGCTATTATGTTCGGTTCTTTCTTGGTATACTTCTCTGATCTCAGCGGACGATGGCTTTTGCGGCCAGCAGGTTGGATTTTCCCTTACATGAAGCAGGTAGCTTATAGCCAAGGGACCTCGGATTTTACTCAAAACCTGGCGACTGGTGCCCATAGCCGTATAAGCAAAAGTGTCGGCGCCCTGGTCAACCATGTGGCATCTATGCGAACCTCTCAAAGCCCACAAAACCCACTTCAGTTGTTCAAATGGCCCACAGCCCAATCTCTCAATAAAACAGTCGCGGGTATATCCAAAACCGCCAGTATGTTTGGGCTCAATGGAACCGATATCTTTCAAAAGCTTCACCGACTAGTAGATTATCCAGTACCCACAGTACAAAATCTAACTGTGGTTACTGATAGCGCTGCTCCTCTTAATTCTTCCGATTTCAAAGACGCCGTTTCTGGAAACACTACCCTCGTTCAAGAGCTAACTAACGCTGGACACGATGCCGTGTGGACGCCTCTTGATCGAATAATCATTGTTATCGCAGGATACTTCTTCATAAGTGTCATGGGCGCATTCTACCTCCAACATAAAAGAAATCTAGCCAAGAAGGGAATCCATCCGCAGGGCTTTGACCGTAAACTAGTTGAGGGGCTTGGTCAGGCAGGAAGTGTTATGAAAGTCGTACTCATAATAGGGATCGAAATGTTTGTGTTTCCGCTTTATTGTGGATTCCTTCTAGGTAAATATACTCCTAAAATCATCTAATTGTACGAAAGCTAAACGGTGATTAGACCTGGCCCTCCTTCCTCTATTCGAACATGCTACGATTTGGAATCGCTGGCTGTTTTTGAAGGAATTTATGTTCACTTCTCTCTTCGTACACTGGTTCATTGGCACTTGTTACATGTTCCACTTCGCTCTTTTTGTTTCAATGTGCCGAAGTATAATGAGAGATGGTGTTTTATGTAAGTTCTCAAGTCTAAACCATTCCTCAGCACCGGTACTAATTATTTTCGGAAGATTTCATTCGAGACCCAGACGATCCAACTTTCCATCCTGTCAAGGAGGTCCTGGAACGCCCCGTTACTACGCAACTCAAGAAAATCGGCTTTAGCGCAATCATTTATGGTGTTCTAGTGATCATGTTCCTCGGTGGTGTCGTATGGTCCCTCCACTACTCATTCTCTGGCTTGCTACCCGTTCATTGGTCTTCAAATGAACCAGTCCTCGAATTCCCCGTCGATCTATTATTCTACAACATCTTTATGCCATTAGCTATCAAGTACTTCCGGCCTGCCAATATTCTAGAAAAGATATATGGATGGTGGTTTAGACAATGCGCGAAAGTGCTTCGTCTCTCGTCTTTCATGTTCGGTGAGCGCCGAGTGGAGGAAGAGGGGATCTTTGTTCGAAAAACATGGGCCTCCTGGCTTCTCCGCCGAAAAGGACCTATTCCTACCCTCCTTGAAACAGAAGGAGAGACTGAAGAAGTCTCGGACTTTAAGGAAGCTCCGGGTTCAGCCGACCTTACTGTTACTTTTGAGAGAACTGGCAGATTCGTGCGCGCTCCCGCTAAAGATAGTGTTCGACCCTCGCGAGAGAATCTTTTTATACCAGTCAACGAGAAGAACGAAAGAATCGATGGTAAAGAGGACCCTGCAGACGGAGATTTTGGACCGAACAGTGAAAGCGTGACGCTAGTTTATCTCCCGCCGAATTTCAGAACAAGAATCGGGCTTGTCATCTGCCTTATATGGTTCTTCACGGCTTGCACCGGCGCAGCCGTTACCGTTGGGCCACTAGTATTTGGACGCTTCATCTTAGGAATGTTGTTACCAGGATCTCTCCGGATGAACGATCTCTACGCATTCTCCCTTGGTCTCTATGCTCTTGGGGGCGTCGTTCTAATAGTATCTAGCTTCAATGCCGCAAAAGAAGCAACAGGGAGGATGAAATCGGCTATCGCAAGCATCCAAGCATTCAAGCAAACCGCATGGATCTGCACTATCCGGGCCCTCAAAATAGTCTATGTCTTAGGAGCCTTTGTTGTTGTTCTCCCAACCCTGTTTGCTTTCGTTATGGAAGCATACATCATCTTGCCCTTACATACCTACTTCTCAACCGACAACAACCATGTTATACATTTCATTCAAGATTGGACACTTGGGGTCTTGTATGTCAAGATGCTTGGTAGAATGATTCTTCTTGACAGAGATTCCGCATGGTCTCGATCCCTCGAAGCAATTGTGGCAAATGGCTATCTGAATCCGGATGTTGGAATCGCGACAAAGAAATTCGTTCTACCAGCCGGTGGTGCGATGGTAGCGGCTTTGATTGCTCCTCTGGGAATCGGTTTTTTTATCAATACATTCATCGGTAAGTAATAGCAATCCAAGCAATAACAACCGTGGTCCCAAAATAGAGGGCTTTTCTAACTTCGGTCATTCTAGTCAAAGGAGCATCGCCTGAACTATCCCATCAAATCTATCGCTACTCTTATCCTGCAGTTTTGGTAGCTTCCGTGGCTTCCATCGGAATTTACTTTTTGTATACATTGTTCGACCGGTGGAAACAAAGTCTACGGGATGAAATCTACCTAGTTGGAGAGCGGCTTCACAACCATGGCGAACGTCGACCCCCAGAATCTCGTTCGGCTCCCCTAGCGGACAACCCTACGGCGCCCGCGATCCCAGAGGCAGAGCCGCTACTGAACGCCCAAGTTCAACCAAACGTCGAGGATAACGCAAACGAGCCAGATCAGCTACGAGAGCCACTAGGCTTCAACGGTGCACAACTGGACAGGCCGGAACACGTACTGGAACAGATCGACAGTTCAGTTCAAACGGCAACTGATTGAGTTCAGCCCAGCTCGGCTTATCATTATCCGACCCTTTCTTTTCCTTTCTTATGTTATTCTTTCGTAAACTTTATGGGTGTCCTTGTCACTCTTTGATCCAGGGTCTATCGGATGGCCGTCCAATAACTCACTTGTTTTACAGTTTGCTTTATTTTTACGCTCCACTTTCCTCCTAGGCGGACCTTGCATCTTTATCGGAGTTGTATATTACGTGAGCAGCACTTTTATTATTATCATTAGGTATTTTTTATTCAAAAGGTACCTGGACCTCTTCACTAAAGCCTCGGCTGGGTAAGGAAAGGCAGCGGGGATACCCAGTGGGGATTATCGGCGAACTTTACTTTCTAGAGGCAAATTATCTATTTGTGGCAAACAGGATTGAAAATATCATTAAATCTCGGGATGTTTGGGCAGGGTTTGAGGAAACGATGGCGGTATTCTTTGTATTATACATTTGAATATTTATTTTTGCCCTCAAAAAACGGAAATATTCAATACCACCGTAAACCAGAATCCGTGTGCCAGATAATAGCGGAGTGGCTTTTAGCTGAATCTATTAGGAGCGCATACGTAAACCTGATTGTTTAAACCTAGCCATTGGGCGAGAATATTGTCAGGTACGTTCAAACATTGACACCGATTTCACGAAAGTAAGACATTCTGCACCCTGTGGCCGAGAGCTTCTGAGACTTTGAGGCTGATGACCCCAGCTGCAACTCGGTATCTGCTACTCATATAGATACTACTTCCCCTCAAATTTCCCGGCATACAAAATGTAAAAATCCGTTGAGTCCCTCTCGGCATACCGTCCATCCTTCAGCCTCCGGCAATCGGGATGACATTTCCACCGTTTACCCTAGTTGAATTCTACGTAATAGTCGAATAAAAAAGCCACACAAAAGCTTTCCCTACCAGTAGAAACCGTTCAGTATGAAAGTCCGCAAAAAAGGGCGGACGCCACAAGAAAAAAAAAAGGACAAGGCTTGACGTTATCCCAAGATGTCGAACCGGAGACACCGAAACCCAAAGAAGAGGCGAAAAGATGGCGTTCGTATTTATCCGAGTCATGACCATGGCTTTGGGAAAACGGCTAGCTGCCGGGGAAAAGTTCGTCGGGTATTTTGTATAGTGAACGCTGTGGGTACCCTCGTGTACGTAGTATTATGCTATATCAAGAGCCGAACGCAAATGTATGATTGCCAAATAGGCAGAGATGCCATTTTTAGGGGCACTTTGTGGCATTTTGATATCTTGATTTTGGTTGGGCGTTCAGCTATTCTTTCCCTAAGAAGGCTTCTTTGGCTGTTTTGTGGCTATCTGTGGCTCTCTCGAACAATTCTTAAACCGGACTGAGATGCCCTAGCTGAGAGAAGGCTGTCAACCACGTGGAAATTTTGTCAATGGCCCTAGATTATGGGTAATAGCCATTGAAGCGGTCCGGTATAAGCCTAAATTACTAGTTAGTATACTACATATTAATACATCTAGTCCTATAGCTAAACAAGTAGTTATACTGTAACTTTCAGGGATTTACCTTGGACTGAATACACTGTGGTGGATATTAATTACTTAACCTGTGTATACATTGCATGCAATTGGACTGAAAAACAAGGAAGCCTGAAGACTTCGGGAAAGTTTTCCTTATTTGGACGACTATTGGTAGGGTATGTGATATTTCTTGAATTTCGGACAGCCGGAGGGTATAAAGAATTTTAAAATCCATGGGTGGGGATTGTGATATTCGACGCGGTTGCAACTGGTGAGAAAATATGACAGTCGGCCATGTTGGAGTACCTACTACACATACGAATGTATGCACCTAGTTGATATTGCAATTGCTGTTAGTAAGTTGCAATGTTATATCCAACATTTAAACATTAAAACAGGGGCTAGCCAATATGTCAGTACCAACGTCGAAGTTCGGTGGATTTATGACAGAAAGCAAGTCTACCACCTTGCCTGAATTAGCGCCATTTCCCGTAGGTGCTAAACCCAAGTACGTATTGCAAGGAACGGGTCGAGGATGATCTAGGTCCTTTCGACCAGAGTCTAGACTCTGGCCCTCGGAGCAGGTACCAAGAATGTGGCTTGCGACTGCCGAAAATTCCATATCGGTCGCGTTACCATTGCGTTTTGGCCAGTGATTGATCAAGGGGTAGGAAAGTTAATGAGCTTGAAAGGGCGGTACTTCAATATACCTCCAACATTCTACGGACATGATCGGATGGCCAACCACGAACCTGTTGACGCACATCATGAGATAATTTTTCTTCTTTTCGAAGTGTAAAAAATGTTATCACTGGCTGATCAACATGGGTCGAGAGAGCGCCTGGAGGTACGGGTCCCACATTTGCTGGAATCGAATCAAATTGAGTAAACCGACCTGCTGGTAAACATAAATCCGAGCCAAGGTCTTGAGGCCAGTGCTATTCCCGTTAACCGGGTTCCAAGAGCCCAATTAATCGGTTGCAAGTTCCCGACAATGCCAGATATATCTGGCGATCCCATGCAAAGAGATTGACATTGCGAACTGCACGGACATAGAGATATCTAGGTAGCGGACGGTGAGAAGATCAGTATCACCATAGAGGATAGCTTGGTAGATCTGTAGAAAGCTATACTGGAAACGGTATCGAATCAAATCCACGTTGGGCATGTTGACAACCAGGCGGCGGAACGAGGCTTGCAGTATAGGAAAAGCCACCTACACCTCCAACTTCCGTCTCTTCAAGCTAACTATTTTCATTTTTGAATTTTTGAATTTCGAATTTTGAAGTTTGGCGAACAAAAACTCCGCAGCTGTGTAGTGCCTGAGCTGCTGCATGCACGCCCGAAAGCCCCAAAATTTGGCTAGTTCGGGCAACATCATCCAAAACAAGCTCCGCTCGCTCGTCAAATGCGGTCCACATTTGGACATGTAGAGTCATGTAACTGGTTCCTTTCGGTCATTGACTGCCCAGGAGGTAGGGAACATACTTATGTATGTAAATAGGTACTTGGTTGATGTAATGGCTGAACGGACATGTTGCCGTATTGGTTTGTAATTTCGGTCACAACCACACACTTCGTTCCTGGTGTTAAACATATCTACCACTTAACCTGCACTTTATTTTGTTCTCCGCCACAGGTAGGCGTTCGGCGGCCTCCTGTTCCAGTTAAAGCCAACGTGCATCCAAGAGCTCAGCTCTACACCTTGACCGCCTATGTCCCTGATTTTGAGCAAGAAATATTACCGTCGTTGTATTGCCGCCTAACTGGTAAGTAAATACATACATACGTTGGCGTGAAAGAGGGGCTCAAAAGTAGCCACTACCTGAGCAATTCCGCAACTAATTTAGAATATTTTTTACAAATTATAGCGCTATCTTGTCAATATTAATTTCGAAATGTTGGCAAGCATGTCATGTCTAAGTCTTTGATTCAATCCCAGGAGTAATTATTATTCTAAACTCCGATGTCTAATTTGGATAGGTTAGTCCAAGTTCTAATGTTTCTGAATCTAGACCAGTATTTGCTTCTATCTCAACCTGCTAAATCTGCGAAGCAAGTTTCGAGAAGGTACGTATGTGCCCAGATGTTTTCCCGTCTGAAGTAGAAGTCTTGTCTTGTCCAGTCTAGTCTGCAGCTGCAACTGATTTACCCACAATACAAAATGCATTCCGTAGCCCAACGATGCGATGGCTGAAACCCCAAACCGTTTGTACTTCCACAATCGAGTTCTATCCTAGTACTGATATTTCCCAGTGAGCGTGGTAGACAATTAAATTGTGCATGCATGCATATGGCGTATAACTTAGCTATGCACCTTTAAAACTGACAGGACAAACTAGGAATGTTTTGAGCAGTGGAGTGTGCTACAGTGCGTTAGAGTTTCTTGTCGAATTCGGCTATGATATCAACGGCTGCAAAGATCAAATGAAAAGGATGCCCCTCGTGACAGTTGGGCCTGGTGTCTCAAAAGGTGCCGCTACTCCTGGGCTGAACTTACGAGGGTCTAGACGCCGATATCCTCTTGTTTATTTGGCACCTTGTCATCCCACACTCATGATCAAGGAGTATATATTGGTGTCTATCATGTATGGAGCCCCGCCGGCTGTCCTATGACAAGGTTGTGTACATTTCGGTGCATACTACTTCTTATGTATTATGACGAATGCGAGTCTGTCCCTTACTGTACCCTGAATGACGGCCGACAGACACATGCTGTCCTAGAACCTCGTAATGATTTTGATAATATATGTTTCAAGTTGACCCTATATTAATTATATACGGCTGTAAGCGATCCAAAAAGCTGGATTCCGCCTGTTGTTTGAAGGTATATTGCTTGCACCTGGTAGCCTCTCGGTGTTCTTGTATAGACTATTGGTTAGTATTAGTACATATACATAGGTATATAGGTATATATACCGGGTTTCCCTGCTTTGAGGCCAACCTTCCCTACGGCCTCTTATTTCGAATTTCAAGCATATTTTAAAAAATTTTCTAAGCAAAGTTTCCAATACATACTCACCGCAACTTCCTACTACAGGTTTAACCACTAAACTCGCAATCTTTATTTCCCCTCCTCTCAACAGAACCCTGCAGAATACTTAACTATAAGCCAATATCTGAGCTATACAAAAGATTCTCTTTCTAACTTCGTTGTTGACGGCTACAGCATACGGATCAGGCATATATATACAGGCATAGCCGTGGTTTCTGGGGATCTGGGATCCTGTACTATACGAAATAACCAATTCCGCTACTACCCTAACTAGATGAATATATTACGCCATTGATATCCACTATCTTGATTATCCGTTTGAGGTTTTGCAGGACCCTTAAACCCTTGAAATTTCTTTCTTTCTTTGGACGGAAATTGAGGGTGACGACACTTCTGTTTTCAGACTCCTACTCGACACTTTCGCCTTGCATCCGAGCCCTCAATCTCGTGGCCCTTTGCTGGAGTTTATTAATACTTGAGTAAATACCAAGAGCGGGTGGACAGTGCATTTAACAGACGACCAATCGATACATTGTCAATACCGTGTCAAAGTAGTTTCTTTACCACCCCTCCTGCATGTCTGGCCTATCGGAACTAGTTCGACAAAACGAAGCCAATCGAATACCCATCCCCACCCTTCCCACTACTGACAAAAGCATTCATACCCCTCCGTTAACCGGTACGAATCACTTTGGCCTACAGAGAGACTTTCAGCCTTTGCAATTTGTCATCACGGCTCCAAATACCTCAGGTTCTTCGGGTAGCGTCATCGGTGTTACGACAAGAATTTCAACTGCAGCAGACATCTGCTTCTAGATACAGCATCATCTCTAAGACCCACGAAATTTAGTGTACCAGAGATTAGAAACGCCCACAAAACGGTTTTGCTCTACGTATCCGACTGTTTCCAAGCCTAATTTTGAGGCGCCGCTGGACCCTGAAAATCACACACGATAACACCACAGGAGATACAAGGCTTTACTACGTAAGGTAGGCAACAATTCACCAAAGTTTCCCTTCCAGCTGCTGTGTGCCCACCGCTAGCTAGCGTCCATGGGAACTCTGCCACAGACGTCATACTCTTTCCTCGTTTACCCTAGCCAATTTACCGTAAATTCGGAAAGTTTCCCCCTCCAACTGGTCAAAAGCGCATTCTCTCAAGCTTGTCGCTACCAGATCCGACGCATGTCTTTTCTATCTGGTTTTCAGTCTACCAGCTTTCTTGCCTTGCATGTTCTACTTATTCCGTGTTTTATGCATGCTGTTCCCCCAACCTCTCTTCTATCCTCGTCCGTTCATCTAGGCCATTTTCTATTGGCGGTTGCTGCCTATGGGACTATCATGAAATCGCGCAGAAAAAGGCGAGCCGAAAAGCAGTGTGAAAACGAGCGAGTCAATCACACATCAGCCCAAAAAGAGCAATCAAGGGTTCTTAATCTTTAATTACCCGTAGGCTCCGGGCACACATGACGAAGGTGTGCGAAATTTGAGCTTTTCTTTGGGGCTTTTCGGTTGTATCCACAATATGAAGCGAAGCCCGGCCCACACAATTTGCTTTCGTGCATGTTGGACAAGACGAGATCTAGCCATGGACCCACATCTCGAAGGCTCTAGCCAATAGGATTGGCGCTTGGAGATTGACGAGAAAGATCTGGATCTCGTTCGGCCCTTTCGAGATGATTTGTGCCAATGGTTCTTAAGCCCAAAACAGGGAACTAGAGACCAGCATGCATCTCAAACGGGAAAACGTGGACAAGGGTAGTGCCATCAAAGAGGAAACCAACCCTGGACGGAACCTCTTCGAATCTCATATGCGCATGCATCGCAGAATTACTGTGATTTATCAATTAGAGAGACAGGGTCCCTTTAAAGCCCGAACCTCGTGGAGAAGAATTTATCGAGATGGACCCACCCGCTGCATCAGAGGCGCAAGTAGAGGCCCCGGAAAGGCTTGAAAGGTATATATCATGATGAATTGGCGCCTCTGCAGCTCTGCAGCCTGCATGCGCATGCAGAATACCATTTGCTTACCCTTTCAAGTTTCCGTTTTTCACCGTTTCAATCTAGCTATCTGCTGAAGAGGGGGAGTTAGAAGTTGAGAGAAAGAACAAGCAAGAAAAGAGAGAGTGGCAGCGAGGGAACTGGAGAGAGAAACTAACTGCCTTGGAATGCCGAGCTATTGCATGCGATGATAGAACGGCGACCACGCTTTCCTGGCACACTCTCAAGCTAAAGTCCTTCGAAACCAGCATGAACTAAGGCTGCGAATAGACACATCCATTGCATGGGATCTTTCTGCTGCTGGTGCACCTGTTAGTTGTGTAAAACAAACGTTTTCCGGTTGCACACATTGCAGTTGATAATTAATTGAACAAGAGGTTATTATCATTCTACCATTCATTCTTTGTCTAACTTCCTCTACCCACCTTCTCTGAGACTGTTTCTCTTTTTGTTTCTAACTAAACTGTCTTGTGTCATATTTTCGACATGAAATGCATATGAGTCGGGCAATATCTGGTCTGGTTGATGCAAATGTTCATGTCGTTCAATGTTTCAAATTTCCCAACTTGGTTGAGTTTGGAAATCGCACTTAAACGCAACGATGACAGAGCTGACAGATCATATTAGAAGAATTCCAGACACCCTCTTCCCAGCTTTGTCAGATTCACTGGATTACTTTTTTTTCTTTAATCCGAGGCTATCTCTTTCTCTTTTGCCCATCCCTGCGCTCCAGTCGCTCTTCTTATTACGTCTTTTCAGAATCCAACGCCTCGCAACACCATTTTACGCTCGCCTCAGTAAAAGAACGCCCAGAGCTTTGGGTCCAGGCTTCCAATCCACGAGTCAGGAGACGAAGTTGGAATTCGTAGAATAACTAATATTTCATTTCTTCAATTATAATATTTCCAGCAACCGGCACCCCGGGAAATCTTTACCTGAAAGGATAAAAATTCTCTAGAGCCGGTTCCATAGAACGTCGAACCCACCTTCCATACACTCCACCACACCCATCTTTAGTTCGGGGATATTGTCTTTTTGTTCCTGATTTTTCTTCATTCCGTGGTATGCATGCGCCCATTTTCCGCCCTAAACGGCACTTTAGACTTTTTGCCTCTCTGTTCCTTGGTTCCGTATTTCTCGGAATGCGAACATGCCTATTCAACCCGGATGAGCGGGACTCCCAGAGAACCTTGACGAGCTGGACCGATGAATCTTCTTGGGACCATCATGCTAATCATCACCATATCTGACTAAATAGGGCGCGCGGAAAATATGCCACCCCGCAAGAAGGTAAACTCCGGGCGGGAGGTGTCTCAGTCAGTGTCTCAGTCGATCGTACCAGAGCATTCGCATAAGAAGCGATGCTGGGATCTAGTAGATGCCCCTTCGTTGTCTCGCAGTCAGGGAACTGGGACTATAAAGATGGATCCGAACAGCATTCACAAACCGTTACGCCGGTCAGCAAGATTACAAGTAACAGCTATACCAGAGCAATCGGAACAAGAACAGAACCATACATCCTCATCTTTACCGAATAAATTCCAAAGACCAAGATCGAAAACTGTGCCGACGCAACCACGGGATTGGAAGATACCAAAACGGAGGCCGGTATTAGAGGAAAAAGTAATTAGCCCTCCAAAACGACGTAGAAGGAAATCGACCTCAGCACGAAGGGACCAGATACCTTCCTTGTTACCAGCCATAACCTTCGAGGGTACTTTACTCCTCCTCCCCAATTTCATAATACATTGATACAATATTCTAATTGGTACATCGTAAAATGAACAGGCGAAGACATAGAAGGCGAAGAAAGCGAAGTCCGCGATTCCGACGGTGTACTTTGGGTAAAAATGCCATTCGTATCGCCTGAAGACATTTATAACTTCTCAGCCGAGTTTTACATTGCACCACCTCGGATAGTCGAAGTTAACACCGCCGTCGGCCCACCACCAATAATTGTCCGCTTACACATCGTAGACAAGAAGACCGGACAGGAAGTACCGTACGATAACGATCCCGAAAGGTACTACTGGGCTATGGCGAGGGTACTCCATGAAGACCACACACTGTGCACGGAACCGGAGTATCAGAACAAAAACCAGGCAACCGAGACTCCCATGTCGTGGTTTCATGAGGAACAGGAGGAAGATACTCGGACCCCCGTTACTCAAACACCACCACCTGGCGGCCCTGTGCGCAAATGGAAAACTTTCGTAACATTCCCAGGTATCCAGATCCCAGTAGTGGGAAAATACCGGATAATGATTACCTTGGGTGTATACATCGACCAGAAGCTGCGAGCGGCCGATGGGAGGGAGAAAGACGAGAAAGTCTGCAAAGAACTTGTATCGACTACTTCAGATGTTATCATTGTGCAAGAAGAAGAACCGAAAGACGATGATGCTTGTAAGTGTACCTTATCAAAAAGAGTCACAATCCATGCAGATAGGCTAATTGTATGTGTAGCGGACCTTCTCCAGAAAAAGGATCTCTACGACAAGTTTCTAGCGGAACGAGATGAATTCTTCAAACGAGAACAAAACGAATCATATTAAAATATATACAAAGGCGAACCTACGAGCTTAAAGCGCTTAACTATGGATAGCAATAGTTGATACAACTCGCCATCTTGCAACGATACTAGCACCCTCAATCATCGAAGCTAGCTCGAGCTTTTGCGATAAAGTTTCCCAAACACAGAATCGGCATTCTACACAAGACGTTACCTTAAAATCTCCAACGTATATTCCACCAAAAGAGGGCAGCTAGCCCCACTTTATTAACCCCGCCAAAATACCCCGCCAAATACTCTTAATACTGCTAAATATCCGGCCTGATCTGAATTAAGCTTTTGATCCGCACTCTTAGCGTTGATATTTAGCACTCTATTTACTTCGTTCCCTTTGTTGTTTGCGCATAGTTCTGATGTTAATAACCTCCATGTAATTCGCGACCTTCTTCTTGAGGTCTCTATAATCGCCTCTTCTTCCTCTTTTTCTTTCTTTTTTTTCCATTTGTTCGAACACGCATGATACCCCTTACAAAGAGTTCTGCTAGTCGATATTTATATTCTATATAACCTGTATGTACCTGGTCGCTATCGTTTGACTCTGATCGCTTTTACGCTTTTTTTGCCCTTTGATGTTCCGAAAACAAATACTTATCAAAATCTTGGAGTTTTCATTTTCTTCTTCTTCTATGCTATCTGCACGTACACACAAGCCGAGGAGTCTAGTATGGCTAGCCTGGTATCCAGGCGCTCTTGAGTTGATGCAGAGTACGGCGACGAGACGGGACAGCCTGCGTTTGTATTTTGAATATCCGCCTGTGTTTCTTGCAAGTGCTAGCTGATACAAAGCAAAATCGTTTCTTATATAGTATTTTATCACTCGAGAATATTCAGTAAAGATGAACCAATCGTATAACACAACTAGTTAGCTTAGGCCTTGGTTTGATTTAATTGTCAATTTGTCGAGTTTATAGCTACGCCAAACCTCACATCGATGTCAAGGGACATTCAATTGATCGAAATAGATCGACAGTTTTGAGAAGAAAAAGCAGATAGCTAGGCCCTGAAGCCCAACCGTCAAGAGTAGAGATTTTTATTTTTTTTTTCAGTGTAGATCTAAGAATTATACAAAAGAAACATAAAAAAAAGGAGCTGAAAGTAAAAGACCGAAGATAAAATGACGTTGACACTGCAGCAAGGGGAAAACACCGGTATAACAAATACACCACGCTAAATCCAGAGAGTATACTTAAAAAAAAAAAAAACACAAGGAAAGAAACAGTCAGATAGCCAGCCCTTCTAACCAGGACTCAAAATATCACCAGATACTTTTGTTTGAACGCCCCGTATATTGAAGAGAGATATTACCAAATCGAAACAGAAAAAAAAGAAAAAAGGGAAAAAGGAAACCGAAGTAAGGGAAGAGGGAAGCCTATGAAGTAAGGGCCCTAAAGGGAAAAACAATAACAATAAGGCAGCGAAAGAGAAGAGATAAGAGAAACAAAAGTTCCAGGCACCTAGCTAGGCCTAGACCCGTTTCAGACCCCCATTGCAAGTCCAGACCAATCTCATGTTGTGTAATTCTGCAGTTAATTAACCCCACTTTTTTTGCGAGCTCCAGCATATATGCGGGGGCCGGGGCTCACAAGCGGGGTAAAAACCACACATAGGTAGATGAGCTGCGAGCTGCAGCCTTTTCGCCTTGTAAGACTGCACTGTGGGCCCGAATTGACAAGTCTCTGGTTTTTAATTTTTTTAATTTTTTTCCTTTCTGGCGAGCAAACCGGGAAGGTGGGGATGTGAGAAGAGTTGGGAATGGGAAAGGAAGGTCTACAATCGCAATTAAGGGAATGCATTGCTGAGAAACATATGTGTGGAGAGTGTGACGATACAGTTCTTAGATCTTTATGGCCGTCGTATTACAGAGGATTTTGGGAAGGAGTATTAAGTGGAATACAGTTGGTATACGAATTAAGGCGTGTTTTGTGGGGTAGAGAGGTTATACTTATTTTGTGCAAGATACGGGATTGCGGTTTTTCCTGAACCACTTCATAAATCAGGATACGGACCCAGTGTTCTTCTTGATAAAAATGTTGTTTCTCTCTTTCCAAAAGAATAAGCTCCCTTCTTTTCTACATCTCGTTCTTTCTTTTTGTAATCCAAACAATTTTCAAGTCGTACTCCAATAAACGCCATAAAAATCTGCTACCTTCCGAAAAACGAACGAGTTCCTCTTCCCCGAGAAAAGGATTTTTTTGGTGACAAAAAACAAAAGAAAAAGAGCCAACTTCGAATTCTAGGGGTTTCCTGGAATGAATGATTGGACAGAACGAAAAGCAAAACAGAATAAAGAGAAGAGAGCGTGAGCCGATGGAAGAAAAAAAACGGCGTGGTGGCAGTCTTCGGTGTTTCCCCAGACGAATAACAAAAGAAAAAATCTTGTAGGTAATGCAAAATTTCAACAGGATGATTTATCATGGTCTTCGCTATTGCATTCGGGAGGTGAGTCTGAGGAAACATCGGATTCTCAGAACCAAGTGTTTCACCCAATTGCCCCGAAAACCAGCGAAGACCCCATCCTGTCGTACCGAAGTGAAGTTGATATATGTACCAGAGAATCTCGTATCAAAACCGAGTCCTGTAGTGTATACTTGTACAGTTATGTACCCCAAAAATAGCCCAGCAGCACAACAATCTTTCGCTTCGCTTTCAACCTCATGACCCCTAACTCCAAAATACATCAATCTCAGCATAAGAATGACAATCCGGTGAAGTAATCTATTGGCTTTGGTGGTAAGCTGGGGGAGGCGAGCTTCCGCCCCGTCGTCGTCGGTCATCTAGGAGTTCCTCCGCCTTCTCTCTCCTGAGCCGTTCCTCACCCCACCGTCGCGCCATCTCACCAGCCATCTTCATCATCCATGCCTTTTCAGCAATGGAACTGGACGAACCAGTTCGACCTCTAGATTCCAAGAATGGATTCTCCATCGAAACTGAAGAAGCAGAACTGTGATGGCCTGGCGAAAGCTGCTGCGGCTGGTATTGTGGCGAGTACTGGCCCGAAAAGAGGGAAGCTGGCGTAGAGTTTTCCCTAGAATATTCTGACGAATGGAACGGCATGCCTTTCTCCGAAGGATATAAAATGTGTTGTTGCGAGGTTTGTTGTGGCGGTGGGGATGGCGTGGAGGGTGTCGGGGGTATCTTGGTGTCTGAGCCTGCATGATGAGCTGTCCGATTTGCCAAGAAACTGTCTCGTCCAGTGGGTGATCGTAGCGGGGATACGTCCACATAATCCCCCCGTCTATCATTTATTGCTAGTGATGGAGGTGGAATCTTGATCTCCGGGATGGAGTTGATCGCCTCGTTCGCCTCGACATGCTCTTTCTCTTCATATCCGACTTCCATAGATGATGTGATGGACTCTGGAACGCTAGAGCCGGCGATTGAACTCGTGTCCCCATCGGATGTCGACATATCTTTCTTCCGCCGCAAGTTAACGACTCTAGTCTTCTTTTTCTTGCCTAGTGCACTCGATCTAGTGACAGGTCGACCGTTGGGGCCCAGCCCACCAGATGAGCTAGATATCGAAAGGGAAGAAGCCATAGCCACTAAGCCAGGTCTGGCACCATTTCCATCCATTGAATATGCTGTGCTAGAATGCGTGCCACTCGCCGATGAGGGTGTAGATGTAGGGTCGCTTCTTTCACTCGTTGTGGCCCAAGCTCTGTATATCGCCTCTCGAATTGAAGGCGTAAATAAACTCAAGGTTCTTTGCGAATCTGTTAGGGTTGCTAGCCTTAGTAAACCTTTTGACGATAAGGTGTCGGATTCCAAGTCGCTGTTAAAGGAAAACGTCTGCTGCTGTGGGGATCCTCCATTTTCTGCCTGTTCGCCTAGATTTTCGAGGGAAGACTTTGCTGATAACGACGGACCGCTATTGAGTGTCGGATTCTGGGTCATAGGTGATCGGAGGGTATTGTTCGAAGCTGAATCATAATCTTGTCCCCACCATCTTAAAGATAATCTATGAATGATAGCCGGTAGTTCTTCCTGGAAAAGGTTCCGTAGCTGTTTCTCTATTTCCTTTTGGAGGTAGTCCTTAATGAAAGGTATCGAGTCGAATGTGCTGCTGACGACCAAAGACTCCAGAGGGTCGTTTCTGAAAACCAGTGTTACGCCTTTCGCTTTTGAGAAGACTAAAATGACAAAACCGGACAACCGGAAGTCTGATAGTGTGATCTGGAGAGGTATTGTGAGGGGTGCTCTAAATAAACTTATTAGACGGTGATACTTTATATTATTATTATTTGAAAATGGAGAACTTACGATGCTGCAAGAGGCTGTGGACTAGTAAACGAAGGTGCCGTCGACAAATAAGTATTTAGAGGATTTGCCTACACGCCAGATTTTGAATAAGTATCCTACCATATTATTTCCCCATGTGTTTATCGTAAGATCCCAGAGGCAAATGACCAACCTGAACTTTCGTCTGCAGTGTTAAAAACGCATCACCAGAGTACTCCATCTTGAATATCCCACGAAATCTATCGTCGGCCAGATCGCCAATCTCCAATATCTCCAGATCCGGTGGTGTGGTCCCCAAATTCAGCTCTGTCACGAGAATATCGGCAACAATAATCGGTGGTTTTGGCGACTTGTTTAGAGCAGCTGTAAGAAGATCCCGAGCCCGAGAGTAAAACTCGGGATCCGCTGTTAACGGATGCCAGTTAAAGTTGAACGCCATTGTCGGTCGGAAATGGCTGGATGGTAAGGGAGGAGAGAGGAAGGAGGAGGGGGAGGGAGGAGGGGGAGAGAGGGGACGTTTAGGATGATGTAATGTCGGTCATCCGGTGAAGGGTTCTGGTGGACAGGCCGAGAATTCTTCACGGGATTCGGGATGGCTATTGTTTGTTCGGGTGATGTTGGTTCGGTTATCGGGAAGGAAGGCAGCCGATGGAATTTGAGGGTAATTCTAGGTAATCGGCGACGGATGCGAGTCGGCTTCAGCCTACAGCGGCAAATACTACGGTTCCTATTTGATAGCAATTGAGAGGGTGATGTTTAGAGGTTTTGAAGAGGTTGGAGGGAAATAGGGAGAGGGAGAGATTTTGATAATGGTGGTTTGTGGTTTGTGGTGGTGTCGCAAGTACCGCAGCTTAATTTGTCTGATGTGATAGGAGAAAGAAAAAAAAAAAAAAAAAAATTTAAATGAAAAAAACTCGGAACCACCTTCGACCTAGTACTTACATGTCCTAGCATGCTAGAAGTGACAGTACATACATGAAAGCAACTTGTCCCACTGCGGGAACAGCCTCGTTTACGCGACCAAGAACTGATAAAAGACTGCCGTGACGGTACATACCAGGGCTAAGCCAGAAACAAGATTCCGTTGGCCTGTCGCCTGATCTAGCAGCATGTTCCCCGTCATCTGTGTCGACTCGGATGAGGGGAACCTAGAGGTCTATTCCGAACATACAAATAGAGACGATACATGTCAAGCACTATGCAAGATTAGGTGGTGGGAGTAGTGCTGGTGGTACTTTGTCCCTTCATGCGAGGGGTAAGGGTACCGATGCTCCCCCATCTTCGTCTTCTCCGCCTTTCACATTTTTCTTTTCTTTCATGGCCATGGCATGGTGTGATGGTCAGAGCACCCACCCACCATGACCTAGTTCTACCTCTATCTATTTGCATCATTCACAGGGCAAGCTATCGATGCTTGGCTGGTCTCGTGAGCATGCCATATGCCTGTTCACTGCAGTCCTATTCATGGTCTTTCCAGCTTCGATGGTGGTATACGTATAACGGGACATACGGTATCTCCCAAATGTTATGATTATTTTCGTACCTTCTGAGAAAGTAAGTATGTACACTTACACATGTGTGCCAGTCAGTACTAAGTACATGTTCCTAGCCGCGTTCTCCGGTTTGCATTCCATTTCTTTCCTGCAGCCGCACTTTGACAAAGTACTACTTTTTTTTGACCAACTAGAGGAAAGGGAAAAAATGGGATGGTGGTTTCGCCCTTCCCGATCTGACATTTCGGCACAAAGTCAGAAAATCCCTCCCTTTCGGCATGCCGCGGGACGTCATCGGCTTCCTTGTTTTCTCGGAGATTATGACATCTCCGAGCTGACAGCGCTGTTACATTTGTACGTAGGCCGAGGTGTACTTCCATACATTAACGAAAGGAAGAAAAAAAAAATCTCCTAACTTTACACGAAATTAAAACCCCGACGGCGGGTCAGGATATACAAAAGTTTGGTTTCTAGTAGATAGGCATTTATCTGGGTGACCCCAATCTTGATGAAAAGATGGGTGTGGGGTACAAGCCAGGTTCTGCCTGCACTTTACGTTTGGGGATGTCGATTTACAGGGATAGCGACCCTTGAGGCCTTTTTATGGGATCTTTAAAAAATAACTCCAAGATCTAGCTGCGCTGTAAGCTAGCTAGATGTGGACCCGATATGCATAGCGGACCGCGAGCTCGTGATATCGATACCCATAATCGATATGTCTCATTCTTGATTTGCATGATGGATATGCATATATATACATATCTATCCGTGCGATGACGTTAATATATTCCTATGACTGATAATTAAATTTAATCGACATTCAAATCACGCAATGATGTGGTCTGAAGTTATGTTACTTATTCTCTGCTTAAAAATTTCTGCTTTTTATTCCTAATTATTATAAGGGTACGGCTATCCAGTGAATTCAATATTACTCTTCGTAACATCAATGTTATCGACATGTCGAATTAGTCGTACTAGAACGTCGAACCGCCCAGGCTAGGCTGGATTTGCACAACGAGGTACAAATATTGCCAGTCCCTTCAAAAACGACTTTTGACAATGTTACTCACAATTATAAATCGTTTACGGGTATACATAACTCATTCCATGCATCTAACCTTGCGGAATACTTAGGTGAAAAGCTAGCATTCGTTACCATTTGTTTTTTTTTTTTTTTTTTTACAAATTTGACATTATACTTACTGGTTAATCTGGAAATAATTATGGATCTTCTACGATTCTGAGGAGTGGGCCATTAAAACGTAGGATATTAATACCATTTGCATATACAGCGGCTCTTGGAGCGCCCCTTCTTGGTACTAGAAGCGCCGCTCATCCGATAGCGATAAACTAATAGGTTCCGAGAACTTGTGGACTGTGCGATTGTACAAACGTCATAGTTTTGGCTACAGAATTTTAGTGTACGTGTAATCGATTTAAATTGTCCCCGTAGGAAGCCGAGGCTGCCGCCCGCACAATTTGTGCCCGGGTATTGCTGACATGTATGTATCCATCGATGTCTATTTGTCCAGTTCGGCGACCTTCTAGACTAGTCTTGCATTAAAACACTTCGGCATGCTGATATAGACTAGGCATGGAGGCGTATCTACAGGGAAATAGGTGTTAATATCACAATTACACAGCGTTTGAGGACGCCTGTGTATATTTTACTAGACCGCCCCTTACGTAGATGGGTGCAAGCTTTAAAGTAAACCCCAAGGATTGCTACCTGCTATCAGTTTCGACGTGACTTCATACTACTTCTCCTCTTTGTAGGACGTGTCGGGCTGCGCGTGGACGCTCATCAACACGCTTGCTTTGTTGTATTTTGATTGCCTCGAAGTCATGATTTTCAAACTATTATACAATTGAAAGACTGCTTTTGGTAATGTAAAGAAACAATCGCTGGAAATTTTAGTACCTCTATCAGGATTTCCCAAGATAACCTCCTACTAGTTAAATAACGTCAGTGTTTGGGGAAAAGGGACATCTATTCAACCTGGTAGACACCACCAACATCCCACCTGCTTCCAGTCGCCGCTCGACTAACGTATTTTGTAAACCTCATAATTCCAGTATCCCGATAGATGACATTCATCGAATTCCAGCTAGCTGGAAGGTGCAACATCAGTCCATCTTCACCGCTCGAAGCAGCCGTGCTAACAATGGCTGGATCATACGAATCATCCAGTTCGTGAGATGTAGAGGTGCCCTTGTTCTTCGGATCATCAATACGTGGGTGTTTTGTTTTACCATCACCGGTAGACATGTAGACCTCGTAGCCACCCCAATTATCGAGGATTTGTTCTTCAGCATCCCCCATTTCTTCATCATCTTCCTCATCTTCGTTCTCGTCATCATCGTCCTCTTCCTCATCGTCCTCGTCAGCAACAATTATAATTTCTTCCTCATCACCATTCTTCCCACCCTCGCCCTCATCCTCTTCATCATCGCCTTCCTCTTCTTCCTCATCGCCTTGTTCTTCCATTGCATCCTCAGACTCCAGAGGAACATCCCATCCACCTGTAGTCGGTGTAAGGCCCAATACGACCTCGAGCCTGGGAGTCTCATCATCTTGGCCTAACCCAAGCGTATAATCCAACCCCGGCCTGAATCTCCGGGCGATTATATCCCGATTGACGGCTACTTTTCCAGTAATCTTTGCCAAAAGCTTTTTAAAGGCTACCGATGGAAGGAGAACGTGCGATAGCTCCTCGAGAGGGGAGAAATATTCATCAGCTGTTGTACTGAACTTCTCATGGTCGGGCTGGGTATACAAGAATCTTTGCTTGTAAGGTGGGCCGGAGACTTTCCATGATGGCGTATCTTCTGGGATAGCCGCGCCGTCGTACTTCAACTCCGTCGCATCTAAGCCCTCAATATAAGCCTTTAATTTTTCCGAGAAAGCGGTATCCAAAATCTTTAGAAGTTGAACATTTTTTGTCTCCGAAAACCTTTCAGCAACGCTGCTCAACGACTTGTCCTCAAGGTAAGTCGGGTTGATGTATTTCCTCAAGAACTTTAAATCCTCTTTGGATAGAGTTTGGTCTTTGTCCCCCTTAGGATAATCCGACCTCGAAGCCTTTGGAGAATCATGTACCTCCAAGTTCTTCTCCAACAACTTCATACTACTCTTCTCTGCCAATTCTTGCTCCCGACCTTCAACATACCCATCCTCACCCTTAACCGGGATATGGAACCAGCCGCTAACCGCCATTCTTGCCTTGCCATCTACGAAAACTTCTTCGACATCATGGAAACTCTTTCCAGGCTGCACAACGAAGAAAGCGAGCTGATTGGACGCTGGTGAGATCTCCAAGCTCCAATCCGGGGTTGGAATCAAGCTTTCCTTGCCTTCATCATCTTTCACGGGGTTTGTTGGGTAAAGTCTCAATCCACCACCCCACTCCGGCTGCCAGGCATCGTCTGGGTCTGTAAGATATAGGATATAGCTGACACAACGAGTGCCGATGACATCGTCATGACAAAGTAGGTGGCATCCTTTGGTGTAAACATTGATCGCCATGTCGACTTTTGAACCACTCAGTTTTCCACAATTGGTGATTTGTTCGATGTAATCTCTAAAAACCGGGGAGTAGAGTGCGTCGCGAAGCTGTGAGAGCGATGGAAGAAGCTTGCGCTCAGCTTCAGTGAGACCAGAGATGTTGACCAAGTCGCCTGATTGGTAGATAGTGTAAATGTCGGTGTGCTTGGGCGTGAAGTGAATATTTTCCATGATTTCGGCTCGCACGGAGCGTAGCAGAGGCTTTGAAATCAAGTTATTGATGACACAATGTTGATATCTGTTGTATATATGTCAGCATCATTCATGCGACTTTAATTCTATAGTTCAATTGCAAGAGCAATTCGACTTACGGCCCAGAACTCTCGTGGAAATCTCTCAAGGAAACAACATTGGCATCAGAGAAGAGGTCCTTACGGAACGACTTCTTGATCATAGCGTCATCTTGTCCTTGAATCATGGCTGTTTTCTTCCCTTTCTTATCAACCTTCTTTGAAGCCTTGGACTCGGCGCCGTTAGCCTTAGACCCGTTGGAGCTCCCATTTTGCGCCGATTTCGACCGTTTTGCTGAAGAACGTCCATTGGTTTCTGGAGCCTCATCTGCCACCCGTTTGGCAGACGAACGGCTGCGTGTAGACGGCATTTTTTGGTGGGTTCGGTGTGGTAACGGAATTCTTTTGTTTTCCGTCTGCAGGATTGAAGGAAAGAAAATTTTCAATGCTGTCGCAGGTTTTCTGGGGATGGCCGGGAAAATGTTCTTTATCGATAAGCCACATGGCGCCACCCTGACCTGAGGTCATTGCGGACAACGGCAACGCGAAATTTCGATGTTTTACTAGCCACACGGCCTCTGCCACCTTTAAAAGCCCTTAGCTTAGGTCATTGCAATTGTTTTGCATTGCAATGGAAATAACCTGACAAAATCATAGGGGGATGTTGTTAAAGTTATAATAGGTTCTATTAGTTCATATCTCTGTAGGAATTATCCAGAATCAAAGCGCATACTACACTGTCAAACTGTCATCTGTATCAATTTTGCTCAAATCTACTTCATTTTACGTAGAATCTAGACGACATAATGGTCAATAACCATAACTACGATCCAACTTTGCCTCGTACATAATCCTCAATAAACTCATTTCTCTGGCGTATAAATCGAAAGTCAACTCGTCTGTATACACGTAAGTTGTGTAATGAATTCTATGCATCGAAAGGACGCTGAAATATTGGTAGTTCACAGTTTGAGGGACAAACACTGTTCTTCGGACTAATGCGATACTGATGAAGAAGAGCATGTTATCTTGCGGACCTTCCTAGATTGGGTCTGCTAATGAGAGCCGTCGGGAAGCGAACCAGAAAACGTTATAGTGCATATGCAATGGATGTCCGATGTCCGTCCGGATAGACCGAGGTCGCGCAACATCCTTTATATCGGCACCTTTGTGAATCATAATGCTCAAGGTATTGTTATTAATCAGCCAAGTAGGACCTCTAGGAAGATTACCGCATTGAACTCACACATCCTATCTACAGACAATATTACCACGGGCTTACTCTCTTCGAACGTTCGAGCCAAAAGCTGCAAGCTCTTTCTATAGGCTTCAAAACCTAACACGGACAACGCGGGGTGTTTCCCTTGGATTTCAACAGAACATCAGAATGGCGAGTAATTCTAGTGAAACGCAGAAAGATGTGAAGTTTGAGGATATCGCGCAGGGGAAGATTCAGTCCCCGGCAGCATATGACTTCCGGAGTAAGTTTCTTTTGGTACTATATTATAGTACAAAACGATATTGTCCTATTGTATTGAGTACTAAGATGTATATTCATGCATAGGCGATACTGTGACCACTCCGACCCCATCTATGCTTCAGTCAATCCTCAACATATCTGTCCACGGTGACGATGTCTTCTCCGAAGATACTACAACAAATAATTTAGAATCCTTCATTATGTCATTGACTGGGAAACCAGCTGCCTGCTTCGTCATGTCGGGCACGATGGGCAACCAAGTTTCCATCAGATCTCACTTAACCCAACCGCCTCATTCGATCGTTATGGACTCTAGATGCCATATTTTTAACTACGAGGCTGGCGGTGCAGCTATTTTATCACAAGCGCAAATGATCCCTGTGAAACCAGCTAATGGGGAGCATTTAACGCTTGAAGAGGTTCAAGATAATGTTATTGATAGTGATGATATACACTATGCACCCACAAGACTCATTTGCCTAGAGAACACGATTAATGGGATTATCATGCCATTGGAAGAGATAAAAAAGATCTCTGCCTTTGCAAAGGAGAAAGGGATTAAATTGCATCTTGATGGTGCAAGACTTTGGAATGTCGTCGCAGCTGGTGGAGGAGATCTCAAAGAGATAATCAGTTACTTTGACTCTGTGAGCCTCTGTTTCTCGAAGGGACTCGGGGCGCCAATGGGAAGTATTGTCATTGGAGAGAAAGATTTTATTGGAAGAGTGAGGCATTTCAGGAAGATGGTGGGTGGCGCGACTCGACAGATCGGAATCGCCACGGCTCCAGCGAGAACAGCAGTAGAGGAGGTGTTCCTTGGAGGGAGGCTGACAAGAACCCACGAGCTGGCAAAGAGACTAGAAAGTTCGTGGGCAAAGTTGGGCGGGAAGTTAAAGTTCCCCTGTCACACGAATATGGTTTGGCTAGATCCTGCATCTGCCGGTGTTGATGAAAGTGATATTCCTACCGAAGCAAAAAAGGCTGGATTAAAATGGGACTATGAGAGAATTGTAGTTCATCACCGTAAGTAACTACTCCTTCATAGTTTTTATTACCCACTCATTAACAAGTATCTTGATAGAAATATGCGATGATGCTATCGAGAAGTTGGAGGGCGTTTTAGAGAAGCTGGTTGAAAATGGGAAGGCGAGGGGCGGGGCGCAGTCGCCAGAAATGCCCAGGATGGCTCGGTACTCAAGAAGAGTAGATCAAGACCTTGCTTGAGTCCCCAATCAGACCTAGATACTTTAAATTTGTACGTATGTTGTTTAATATTCGCTAGTCTAAAGATAACGCCGAAGGTAATATACAATGCACTTGCCTACTTAAAAGGCAAGAAAGAGGCCCTCCATATACACAAATCCCCGGACCTCAATTAGATAGATGAAACCTCCATGGGATTATTCGTACTATTGATATCGCTAGCATTGTTGCTATAATACATAGTACACACTTGTAGCGGGAAGTACTATGTTATATTGCAGATATGGGTATGTATCTGCAACAGGTCCCCGCCACTATATGCCTCCAAATCCTTCCATATTTATTCAGGCTTTTTCGGCGGCAGTACTGTCTGTTCAAATTTGAAGCCTCTGATCTTCGTATAGGGCATTAATTCGAGGTATCGCTCTATATGCAACCATACAACCGTCAGCAATCAGAACTCAAAGCTCCGTTTTTCACATGTTGGCGGCAATTGGATCCCATAAGCCTTAGAATTCCAACCCATACCTCTTAAGAGACCACACTTCTCAAGGTGATTGTTTCCATTCTTTCTATAGCACTTCGACAGCTCCTCCTGGACCAGTCTAGACATCATGAGCTTGACCCACTGCTCGCGGATAATGGCGTCCTGCGCGTCTCTGAGGGCCTTGTTATCGTCATAGTCGACCCCTTCGAAGGTAGGCTTAACGGTAGGCTTCTTAGCCAGGAAGGCAGCGGATTCTGGGGTCGACATTGCGGTGGACTGGGAGGGGGTTTGGAGGAGGGATTGGTGACTGCGGGTTGAATGTTGACGTCGGAGGTTGAGTTGGAGGCTTTCAATTCGGCTAGATTTGATTGGGAGAGCGGTTTGTGTTGTTTGAGGCTGGTATGTATAATGTGGCGGTGGCTGGTGCATAGTCCTCCGCAAGCAATTCGAGGACTGCACTTACACCGCCCAGGCTTGGGTTACACAGTCCATTGAACACTGAGGGTTTGTAGGTAGCACAGAAGAGTGACATTTGGAATACCGATTACTTGAGCACTCGACTCGAGCATACACTCGTAACACTAGCCTGAGTTACACATTTAATTTGCGCACTCAAAACTATCATCAGCCATCCTAAACCAAAGGCTAGACAGTGTATGTATCGATCCTTCATCAATTCATGAATTTCAATTACCCCATTTGAATCTTGTAATATAGAGCGCAAGTCGCGGGATCCTGCAGACCAACATTACTCAATACTATGAGCTCAAGGTTGGTAATTCAGAATTTGAAATAATTAATAAGACAACGTTAATTGCCCCATCCCAAGAGTCTCGAATAACCGCCCATCATCGGTCCACTTGGATCTTCACAAAAGATACATTGTTCTGTTGCCGGCTTCGGAGCGCTCGAGCCTAGGTTTATACATTGTCAAGGACAAGCCCTTTATTGCACACACCGACAATTGCAACCTCCAAACTCGAATCCATGTGCATGAGGTACGTATCCACTCGAGTCAGATAATCGATAATGCAAATATTATAACGTTGTAGCATACTTCGCGAGGACCCGCGGGCCCGGCCTGGGAACAAGTCAAGATAACATCTTATCTTCAGATCTTCCTTATCATCTGCTCAGTGAAAGAAAGAAAGAAAGAAAGAAAGAAAGATCCCAACATATATTATTGTCACAGTACTGTGTACGTCTCCCCGGAAAAGACTTGCGATAATCAAGCTTTAAGCGGGTCGGCCGATATCTGATACCTGATGTCAGAACGTGGGGCGCCTCTTGGCCTCAAGCATTTTCCAACAAGCAACACTTCTTGAAGGCAGCCGTCAAAGCTGCAGCTGTCATGCAAATGATCGGTTTTGGCTCCATGAATTCCAACTGTTTCATCAAGCCCGACCAGAATTCAGAATCTTTTGGTCATAAAAATGCAAAAAGTCTGACAGTCGGCTAACAGTAATCACACGCTAATGTGGGGAGGGCCGGTAATTTTCACCGACAGGCTCCTTCCAAAAGAAGATCCCAGCGTATCACCAGCTTGGCATAGGCCCAGATGGGCAACGGCACAACAGGCAGCGGAGGCGGTCGATAGCTAGCGGGTTCGTCCGCCCTAGGCCCTGCAACCACAAGACGAAACTTGCCTGCCATTTGAGATTTTTTGTAATGCGAATTGTAACAAGAATAATTCTAGAATCAAGAAGGTCCGTGGGTAAAACTTTGCTTGTAGTTTTTTTGAACCGTGGAGTGAATATATATGTTCGCCTATACCCCTCCAACCCGATGCCCGGGTTTGGTGTCCTGCAACCAATCCATCAAGCAGTATTTTGAAAATGGCCATTAAAACATCTCTCGTCTTTTTGACCGCTTCGGTTCTTCCCGTTTTGGGGGAGACAATTCTCGGCTTGACGGTGTTCACCCGTCATGGAGACCGTAAGTAACCTGTTTTTCTTGTCCAGACATTGGTATTTGTGGTTCAGAAAATATATCATGTTATCAGAACCTTTATGCATTTATATCGATCTTATAAGCTAATATAACACCTATGATAATTAGGCAACTCGAAGCACTATTCTGGCTACGGACTGACCAACCTCGGTTTCCAACAGAACTTCCAAACTGGAGGTCTCTATCGACAGATCTACCTCGATTCAAATTCCTCGAAGCAGATTCTCGGAATCTCTGAGGATAAATATGTTCCTGCACAGATCTGGGCCACCGCGCCTGACCAAAAGGTCCTGGCAAACACAGCTACTGCATTTCTCCAGGGTCTTTATCCACCGCTCGAGCAGCTTGACCCTCAAATCGCCACCAACACTCTAACCAATGGAACAAAGTACACCAATCCATTAGAAGGATACCAGTATGTTGTTCTTCACACGGCTGATGGTGAATCTCCAAACACTATCTGGATCAAGGGAGATGATGGATGTCCCGCCGTCACTGAAGCCTCCGAAGATTTTGAAATGAGTGCGGAATTTATGGAAAGAGAAGCTTCCACGAAGTCCTTTTACGAGGGATTTTGGGAACAACTCTCGGACGTTTACGACTACAGCCAGTCTAAGCTCAGCTATGCTAGAGCCTATGACATTTTTGATCTCATCAATGTCGCGCAAATCCATAACTCTTCAGCTACGGAGAATGTTACCGCTGAAGAGCTCTTCCAGCTCAGGACACTAGCTGACAGCGCCGAGTTCGGGTTGAACTTCAATGCCTCCCAGCCAGCTCGTTCGATCCACGCCCAGACCCTAGCGGGTGCCATCCTGAATCAGTTGAACCAAACTGTAACTGGGAAGGGAAAGCTCAAGTTCTCTCTCCTTGCAGGAAGTTATGATACATTCCTTGCTTTCTTCGGACTTACTGAACTTACGTCCGCCTCTCCAAACTTCTTCGGACTACCAGATTATGCTTCAACTATGGCCTTCGAGATCCTCACCGACAAGGATGTTACTGAGTTCCCATCCAGTGTCGACGACCTCAAAGTCCGCTTCCTCTTCCGCAATGGATCCGATGCTGGCTCTCCATTGACTCCCTTCCCACTCTTTGGTCAGCAAGAAGTAACTCTTTCTTGGACCGAATTTACGGCCCAACTCTCTGAGCGTGCTATTACCACCGTTGAGAAATGGTGTGGAATGTGCAAGAGCACAGAGTCTTTTTGCGCTGCCTATGATCCAACCCTTTCATCTGGTTCCATTGGAGTCAATAGCAGCAACTCAGGTGGAAGTGGCATGTCGAATGCTGTTGCTGGTGTTATTGGCGCCATGGTCACCTTGGCAGTTGTCGCCCTTGCCGGTCTTGTGTTCTACTTGTTCTCAAGAAAGAGGAGGACGGCTCCTCCTTCCAGTGGTGCGAGCATTGGATCTGCAGAGAAAGGTAGCCTACACTGATCTGGATTAACGATCATTTAGATCGTCCACGAGTAATAGTTTGAGCATATATATAGTAATGTCTGATTAAATAGTTATTTAATGATTAATATTAGCAAACAATCCTGAATCCATGGATCCATCGCTCTCGTATACATAGAACACCAATCGTAAGCTACGTAAGTCTACTAGTATTGTAATGATTGTGGACTACATGTAGAAGGCCGGCTACGTATACATGGTCGTGTAACTAAGATATGTAAATTTAGATATATTTTCACAGACACCATAATCTCGGGTTGGAGATATCCATAGCTTATATTCATCTGCTATTTATGTTCCTTCTAATATGTTGTCCGAAGCAGATTTATCCCCTCGCGAGTCAAGTTACGTTTAGCACGCCAGAATAAAGTCTAGAGGCCATTTACATTAGGCTCTGGATAGGACGATAAACATTTTTATTTCTCCTTTCTTTTCTTCTTTTCTCCCTCAGTGCCGACGAAGCCTAAACTTAAAGTAGTTTTCATTTGTCGGAACATTGAGGAAAGGATCCGGATCTTCCACTGCTGGTGGTCTCAACGGTGCATTATTAATGTTGGCTTGGGGAACTGGCGCCTGGGCCTGCTGTAATTGCACTGTAGTATCCTCTACCTTCACTTGCCCTTCAGGTTCAACTTCAATCTTTGTACTCGGAGACTTATAGGTTGGGTGCTGCGTCGGATCATCTGCCCACGCCTTCGGTTCCTCCAATTCTGATCGATCAATTACGGGGCGGTCGGTACGATCTGTGAACGACCTTTGAAGCCGGTTTTCGAACCTGCCGGGTCGTATATTTTCCGGCCTGTCCCTTGACTCCCCGAACATACGGTTTTCGATTAAGGCGCTCAGTTGGTGTACCGGCAGTACGTCGGCCGGGCCCCCCTTATCAGCATTGCTTTGTAGTGCGTTCCAATAATCTGCCTGAAGGTTTTCTGGTATTATACCCATAGCTCCGTATGGGTCTTTACCCCCTGATTTGTAGAGTTCGGGCCAGAACGACGGCCCCAGTAGAAGGTCATTTATCGTTTTTGGTCCAGAATTGACATTGTCTGGGTTGACTCCGGCTCTTCGAAGCGCCTCTTCTTGAGCTAGGGACCTGAGCGTAGGCGCCGTGTCCTGGCCATGTTCCAGTTTTAAACCTTTTCTAGCACTGGCCTCTCCAAGGCTTTTCCGGAAATCATCAGCCACGTCCTTGGGAAGTGGTTCCTCGTAGGCCCCGATAAACTCAGTATTTGGGCGTCCTTGTAGCATGTCCTGCGTGATTTGTTTACTCAATTTAGAGGTGGATCCTTTATCGTAGATATTCCCCGTAGCTCTAAGAACTGGCATGCTTTTATCTTTGATCTGAAGTCTTAATTGACCTGATTTAGAAGTCTCAGCCGATTCACCATCTAGAGCCTCTAATGGAGGCTCTATTTTAACTTCAATATGCTCAGTCTCGACTTTAGTAGGCTTATCCCCCCTGAGGCTATCAACGGGGTTTAGCTTTAGAAGATCGCGAGCAGGGTCATATATTGATGTCCTGGAGCCAATGGTACCATATTGAACAATGGGACCCTCCCCACCCGAACTAAATGGCGCAGTTCGAAGTATTTGATTAGTTTCTCCATCAAGTATAACATAACCGCCATCGCCCACACCCGCAGGGGCACTGAAATCCGCATATGAACCATCAAGCTCCTCGAGGGGGACCAGCATCAAAGAGTTGTACTTTGCAACTGCGGTCGACATCCCTCCAATTCGAGTCAGGTCAACTACCTGCCATGACGGAACACCGTTTTGGTCGTCCGAAACCCAACGTATAAAAACATCTGGATCACCCTCGCAATCGAGATCGAGCCAAAGTCCCATAGCATACAGTATATTGTTGTCATAGCCGTTGAGGACACTTACCGCGTCAATCTGACTGTCAGATGGGGAGGATAGAGGCTTGTTTATCCTTTGGCAGTTTGGGTAATCATCATCATCAGGTTTGGACCCATCGATAGTTGTACCTTCGCTTACCTCCATGCCCGTCCATTTGAGCTTAAGCCAGTAGGCAGACGACGGAGAGAATAGAAGGAATGATATGAGTATGTAGATTCTAAGTAGCGCTAAGCGAGGGAATGCCCTCGCTCTGATGAGAGGGGAGGCCATCTTCTTGGTTCCAAATTGCTGTAGATTTTTGAATCGGCTCTTGAATATCAAATTTTATCAATGGCAGTAAAACATGGAATAGTACCGTTAAATTGAGAAATACGACAAATGGATTCCACGTGAGTCCAGCCTTGGGTAGCTAGCGCCAGTTTTTAACATTAGTCTTGCCGGCGAGAATTCGCGCTCAATTCGAAAAGGCACTAATGTACAATGGATGCAGGCATACGGTGGGCCTATGGGGATTTTGATACATCGATGCTGAGTCGTTATGCCCGGGTTCGCGGTATTTGAATTAAGTTATGTTCTATAGTTTAGGTTCTGTGGAGTTCTAGTCGCCCAGCAGACACGTACAGTACTCGACAAGTAGGTTTTCCAAATCAAGGGAGTGAGGTTATCTAGGGGTTCTGAGACTGAAAATAGATAAGCTTACAAAACGTGCATCAGGCCAAGTACAAGTCGATATATATTCCGACCCTCCATGCAAGCATTCGCATGATTTCTTTGTTGGATACTTGTAGTTTCGGCCGATTGGAGGCCTGCCTCAGCTTCTCGATGAATATCCTTTAACAATTCAAAGCTTATAAATTTAAATAATAAAACCCCAAGAAAAAAACACGAAAACTACCTCAACCGAATAGATCTCCGAGTTCATAACATACTAGTCTAGACTATCACTTAATTTATGTGTGAATCAAAGTAATATCGTGGCCTTGATTAAGCTAAGGCGGTGATTTAAGACATCGAGACAAGTCCCCAAATCCTAGATTTAATCGATCTCATATTCACATACACAGTATTTGATCAAAGAGTGCATATTCTATAAAACTATTCCACCGCTCAAGTTATCAGAACTTATACAGGCTCGGCCGGGTCTGTCTAAGATACAAGAGTCTATACAACTATATGCACTCTCCAAGACATCTAAACCATTCTATGAGCTATACACTCGTGTACTATAGAAAATATATGATTAGCAAAATCCCAAGGGAGAAATCAATGCCCCTATAAAAGATCTACTTACTCCCCCATCTAGAACTACTTCAGTCCCTGTTGCGAAGCTCGACGCATCACTGGCAAGATAGACATATGCCCCCTTTATTTCGTTCATACTGCCCTCTCGTCTTCAGAATAGTTGTCAGCATATCCCCGATCGTAGTCATGTCCAATTTGCATTGTATTTATTTGGTACTAACCCCATCGGCGTTCGTCCCTTCCAGGCTGCCCTCATAGGGTCCGGTGCAGCTCCTAGTGCTTCTGTGGCAATGTACCCTGGGCTGACGATATTAACGCGCGCAAATTGAATGTACTCAATAGCCAGTCCTTTGGCGAAATGAGTTAAGGCTGCTTTAGTAGCATTGTATGGCGCATAAGCCTGTGGAACAAGCTGCCGTTTTCCTGCAGTGCTTGATGTCACAATAAATGACCCTGTAATATAGTTTTCCAGCTTTGCACCATTTAGATCAGTGCCCTCATTCTTTTGACGTTCAAAGTATTTTCCTGCGGCCTTAGCCGAGTAATATGCGCTGACAAAGTTAACATTCAGAATATTCAAAAATTGTTCCGAGGGACTGTCGATGGTTCGTCCGTGAAGCCATGGAACTCCCACATTGGCAACAAATATATCAAGTCGGCCATTGAGATCCTTGACACTTAGGTCTAGCGTAGCCTTGAGGGCAGTTTCGTCTGTAACATCTACTTTATATGCCTTGCCTTCTTCCGGTGTTAGGGCAGAAGACTACAGTAATAAGAATTATTTCTGTACTTACATATGACACCATAGGCCTCTGAGACCTTTGCTGCTTTATCTACAGCCTCTTCGTTTGAGTTATACCATAATGCTACATTAGCACCGGCCTCTGCGAATGCCTCTACGACGGCATACCCAATTCCTATATATGTATGCGCGAGAGTTAGATTCAAAGTCCGCACTTCGGTTGAAGTTGACATTCATGGATTCATCAACAAACGTCCTGGGAGCCACAATACCATCTCTACATACCTTTCGCTGCCCCTGTAACAACCGCAGTGCGGCCCTTTAGTGATAATAGCGAAAACAGACCTCTATCCTGGGCGGGCGGTTCGGTGTTGTTATGGTGGAAAATGCCGTCTTGTTGACCAGGTTGAAACCACTCGGCCATCGTGAAGCTTGATATATATGCAGAGAAATTATAAACTCAAGCCAGAGAATACGCAATAATATAACCTGAGAGTTGATGAGCGTCAAATCTGGCCTTACTAGTGGGTTGAAGCCCACTTATATACTGATCTCGAAATCCACATAGATAGAATAGCTATCCCACCGCCCGTTCGCTCGTATACGTACAGATGCATGCATGTTGACAAAACACAACACTTAAGCGCTGGCACGCTGTGGGTCTGATTAATATTCATATTTTCCAAGACTCAAAAACTGCTTGGTAATCCTTCATAGATGCATTTTAAAATCTTTATCATAACGAAATACGAACAGGCCATGTTGCATTAATGCCACCCTAAATTTCAAAAGATCTCAAGAACCAAAATGTACTGATGTATTGACACAGGGAGCAGATTCCCCGCAACACCTTTGAAGGACTTATTCAAATAAATTGACGATGATGCTTCTTAACTTTATTAATATCACTAAGCTTTGAGGCCTGATCTTATTTCTCTTCGTTTTGAAACTATGAATACTCTACTATAGTCGCTCTCGTTAGTGGTTTTCATACCTTATCCCCAATATAGCATAGGTTGAGACCTAATTACTGGAGCCTAGTCGCCCTCGCCGAATTCGCCGCCCTATTCCTCAACTAAGTATGTATACCAAGTCTTATCGGTAGTATGGCTGCTAAATAGGTATATCATTTTGGATTTCCCCCGTTTGGTTCTTATATGGTTTCTACATGCACTACCTTAACTTTTAACATGTATATATGCCCTCCACTCAACAGTTTTACAACTATGCACCATAGTCCTAAGGTAATCGACACCATACAATTATAACACAACTAGAAGCTTTGAAGGATAATCAATTTCCCTAATTTATGTTTGAAGCTGGTATCAACACAAACATAAGATGCTTTCGGAGAGGTGTAGCGAATATTCGAATATCTGGGTCTGGCGGGATCGTCGAGGTTGACACGTCATACTGGCTAGTTACGTACGTTATTGGCTCACCATTCAATTCATGGCCAAATTCAGCGGAATGGCGCGAATAAATCGAGAAATATAATCATTCATACTCGTCAGTTCTACCCAACTAGATGGCTCTATAGTCGCAGATACGAAGCGTATTACTGACATGGCACAAAGTGTGGAAATATGTCTAGTTGTTGGATTTTCTTGTGGAACGGTGTTGTGTGGCTTATGGGGTCGTTGAAGAAGAAGTGATCGACACACCTTGTCCGGATTAGGTACAACTTAGATTGGCTATAGTGCAAAAGCTTAAAATGAAAATATGAAACCGCGGCTCTAAAAAGAAGTTAAGTTCGAGCTTTGAATTGCGAAACTTTAACCTTCCCTTGAGTTCACACCGAGAGCAGGTGATATCGAGACGCTACTCACGCAGGACTGACCAGATTTGACTGTCATGAAATTACATATTATATTAGCTATACTACATATATATATAGTAATATAATCATTCACGACAATGTACAATTAATGTGCGTAATTACGTCTTCACTTAGACAGGGCACGTGCGCTCCACCAAGCGAGGATGTGCTAAGAATCAATTACTTCCAATCTCCCAAATTCGATTACATGGAGGGGTGGTGTGTTATACCCGTGAAGACCTTTGTTACGTTGCCCACATCCGGGATATCTGTCCCTCACATTAACTTCAGTGTAACTTCAGCCCTTCCCCGCTTCTTGAGCTCTCCCTTGCATCTGTTCCTTAAATATACCGCGGTAGAAAAGCACTCACGAATTAGCCAAAGAACCCCTTTGCATTGCCGCCCATCGCCTTTTCTAAAGAAAACTTCGGTTCGGCAACTATGGGGCTAAATAGGATGGATGGATGTATGCCGGGCGGGTTTATGGGCCGCATGCGCATGTTTTATCTGGACGGCAGAGTAGTGGACTTCTGTGGCTCGATTTGTACCCACAATTGAATTCGATTTCAGACCTCAAGCCGTCTTTTTTTTGCACCTGAAAGTTGACCGTTCTCATGTGTGGAGAATTATATTCCGTATCAACAGATTGACTAATCTATCTGTCAGGGAGCTTGTGATAACACTATATTCGATGCCACTCGAAAGAGATTAGGTTATAATTCATATAATATCTGATTGATGAAGGGATCCCTGACTAACTTGCTGCTCTTGGCAGGAACCAAAATTTGGTGCTTAGTCGAGACAGAAAATTTTTTTGATCAATTGGATTGCTCCACATGCACATGAGGTTACAAATTGTCCGGCGTGAAGAGGGGTAACGGTGAGAAAATTACAAAAAAAGTCAAAATGACCGTACATAGTGATTCGCTAAGCAGCACCCAGGACTTCAAACATGCATACGACATCGATTTGTCTGGAGACCTATGTCGATAAATTTCCCCTTGCATGAGGGATAAACAACTTTTCGCTTTGACAATTCTAGGTTGATCTCAAAACATTCTAGAAGGCCAAGTAGAAGGTGCCACGATACATGCCATTATTGTGCTTCGGTGTGTGCAACCTGTGAAGATAATATAATGACGATAACCCAGACCCCAATTGAAGCAGGGCAAGGCCAGGCTCTGGATATTTTACCGGCATAGAAACTGTCATGGGTAAGTTGTTGCATGGCGTCGCTGTTGCGGAAAGAGCTAGCCTGGGATTAGGGAAATGGCTGGCGCTTTCCCTCATTTGGTTAAGCCCTACATTTTCCCGACGAGCCGGTTTCAGGTCCACAGTCCTCAAAGCCGCAAGGAAATCTCTTGAAGAACAGGATCTTCGACCGAAATCTGTGACCTACAATATCATACTCAAAATGAGAAGGACCCTGGGCTGAATGGAAGGACCTGAAACTTCTGGAAGGACCAAGGGACAGCATGCATAGCATCTAACAAGGAATTTCTTGCTGTTCATTTAGGATTTTTAATGTATCTTTAATTCTTTGAATGACACCCTCAAAAAGCTGAACGCAACCCAGGAAGCGCAAGGGGAGGTTAAATGTCAAAATTCGCTTTTCGCTTTTATCGAAACAGACCTGGTGGTCAAACTGAAGTTACAACGTATCCTTTGGCGTAATGGCGGTTCCTAGCTCAACGCCATGGACTAGTTAGCCAAACGCCCTCGCATAAGCTTCTCAACTTTCCAATATTTAGTAAGTATATGCACTCAAACTTGTGGCTTGCGGCTTGCCATCAGCTCAGCTGCCGGTTGCCCCGATTCTCGTGCTTTTCGGTTCAGCCCGCCGACTGCAGCATTCTCAAAAAACGTTTTGCACGTGGCTTTTATGCTGACGGCTTCTCGTTTGGCAAAGCAGGAACATCTCTAGAGAAGAAATGGCCGAGAGCCCTTTTGCCTCATGACCTCTAACTATTCGCCACTCGGTAGTCAGTTCTCTGTCTCTTGTGGTGAATCAGCTGGTGATGTGGGGCGAAACGCACATAAATGTATGTACCTCCGCTAGTTACATGGCTCGCCCGGGATGGATACCAGGGCCTCAGGGCGCTAGCGTTCTAGCCCAGAACCGGAGCTTGGGCCACGTTTGACATCAAACAAGACAGGTTCCGGGCTCCTGCATGCATGCTAAACTGACGGTGTATCTAGAGATCTAAACAGAAACCCGCCTAAATTCAAAGTCTATATTCTCTAATGATTGACTCGTGTCTAAGCTAATATTAGATGTTTGTTCCGTGCCAAGTTTATGAGGATATTTTCGAATCTGCCTCATGGGTCTCATCCGGCATCCTTACATACGGTCAACTCTATAGCTATAGATGCGCTATTATAGAAATCGCGGTGAAAAGCTAGACAATTCCCTAGTTCATCAGCAATTTTTCAAGGAAAAAAATATTTATATCCGGTATCCATGGTATGCAAAATACGTCAACCACGGTTTGTTCCGGCCACGAATAACCCATGAGGTTACAATCTCCTGATGCCACAGTATCGGTTGTTCGGCCCTAACGATACGTAGAAATCGCTAGGACACGATGAAGCCGCAAGGTTATACTGCATGCGCGCGCGAACGGGTAAAAGAGTGGCATCCGCGTGCAGGGCTTGCTGTACCAAAAGTTGAAAGGTTCCAATAAACCAGCTGGATCTGAAATCAATGCTATAGTGCTACTTTTTTTTTTAAAAAAAAAAAAAGCCCCCAAATATTGTAGAGTATTCATATCTAGCTATTAATGCTTATTTATAAATTGGACACGTATAAGACACAAGTTATTGGTAGTTCTTTTTATCAGAGCCTATAACAACTGGTGTGAACAATGATAAAACGGATGGAATGGTTTAAAATTATAAACCGAGTATAGACAATTAAGCTTCAAAATCCACCTACTTAAATGAGCATTTGCATACCAAAGCTAATACGACTGCGGCAACGCAGATGAGGGGTAATGGCTTACCCCACATGAGATCGTGGTGATCGTGACCGGTGATCATGAGGATCCACTTTGATCGGTCTGAAACATATGTGGAGTGTTGCATTATGTGCGCATTTTTGCGTTGTGCGCCGCCATTTAATTAAAGATGGATAACGCATGTTCGTTTGTATACGCATGAAACATACCATTTCACTCAAGCTTTCGGTTTATTTAAAAGTCTCAGAGTCAATATTAAGACCTATATTCGAGAGCAAAAGGGCCGTGTATAAGGTCGCATGATACACGGCTTTGATTACGATCACCATGCTCAACTTTCGCTAATAGATCACGATACACGCTAGAGCACTAGTTAATTGCGCGAAGTGCTTAAGAAGCTCGTGTAATACATATCAATCAAAGCTAGTCCAAAGTTGACCGGCCTGATTCCAAGGTCCGATCTTAGGAGAAATCGGTTTCAAACTAGTAGCCTTGACTATAACTACAGGAATATCAGATATCTATTATGTATATGGGTCATTGGTCCGGTTTTAGATGATCGAATCGCACGCAACTGTACAATGCCAGCAGATTTGTAGCCACTATATCGATACCGTTCCCATTTATAAACCCACCATGGGATCTAGATCTGTATGGGTTTACCTTACCGTGGCTTAAATTCCCTTGTGGATCAATGCTGATATTCACTAGTGAATGTTCAACAACTTGCTATATATGGCTTTATTGTAGATAGCTAATAATAACGCCTACTCCGCATAGGTCATGCTTATCATTGGGCGGTAGTACGCCACTCTGATAGGGCTTCCCATGACATAGATTCGCACCATTATTTGCCCTTATAAGGATGCTGCAGTTCCACATTCCTGACACTTGAATCTCCCTTCGTGAAAAGTTCAGCTGTTCACCACGAACCACGTTGAAGCCTCGGGGGAAAAAACTAGTTCACAACATAATAACGCAAACAAAACTTCAACAGTACGCCTGACCCATCAACAGCGATATATCTCTTTCATTTCTTTGTTCAACGTGTGTACCATCTGTATTCATAAGGCTAAATATATTGAATCTTACCACAGGCACAACGGATACCAACAGACACCACTGAATCTAGGCCTCTACAAAGCAAACGAATTTACGGAGCCTGCAAGGGACGAACTTGAAAAGTATACCATAGTCCGAAACCACCTGACACCGTAAGTAGCCCGTTAACTTTTTGTTTTTATTTCCTGGTATGAGAGTGTGGTAATCCGGATATAAGCCCCGTATTATTCCTCTTAAGGATGATACCGGTGTTCGGATTTGCCACTTCTTAACAGTACTTTGTCCAACGTTTCACACGTTGAGGGCTAGGATCCGCTGTTGAGAAATCGTGGTGTTTCCTTCATGGGCTGATATAATGATTGGGTAGGAGGAAGCTTTTCGCCAAATAGGTGCATCCTTCCATCGTCTCAGGCGACCACACTGGAAATTGTCCTGTATATTGCCCGTGGTAAATAATTGCTTCCAATTTGGATTCCAACAGAGTTCTAGGCCTTGGATCGAGCTCACACTGACCGGTCAATATTATATACAGTGGACTGGTCTATCGATATATCTCCAACATCGCTGAAGCTTCTAAAATTGGCAGTGGCGAGCCTCGATACAGAACTTTCCTGTGCCTACGATCCTAGGTGATAGGTCTTTTGATAGCTCGGAATCTTGACGGTATACAGATATTACTGCCTGTAAGTGAATATACTTCGTTTTGGGAATTGCTGCTGCTGGAGTCTGGCCTAGAAGAACGAAATTTGTTTCTGAGCACGCCTTCAACCCAAATTAACTTCGCTGCTTCGGAAAATTGTTGTCCTGATCATCTCGCGAAATTTCTTGCATGTTTTACCTTATAATTTTCTTTTTCTTTTCTTTCATTTTCAAGCTCCAATATCCCAGTTGACCGCTCGTAGAGTTGGTTGTGCAGAGAGGAGATAAGTTTCACAACGGTTTGTTCAGGGCATATCATCCGTTCGCCTCTGAACTTGAGAGCTAGGGGTAAGAAAGTCAATGCACCGACATTTTCTTTTGCGGAAGAATCAAGACCATCTGCATAGGTCCTAGGAGCTAGACTTCGGATGGGGTAAACCCTGTTTGCAAAGCCAAGGACTTTTGTGTAGAACCACGGAATACGGAGGGGATGCCTTTATTGGTGTACGCAGATGCAGCTACCATATTATTCGAGAAAGCGAGAGAGAATTGCCCCTCCAAAATTACAAACTCGGTTTAATGTCAATTTGGTACGGACCGCTTGCTATTGGGTGATAATTCGCCGACAAAAAACTTCATTTCTACTGATGTTACTTTTTGCAGGTGACTGGTAACAGTGGTTGCATTGCTCAGTCCTCCAGAAATGACATGGAAGTTGTCCGGGCTGCCTCAGGCTGTTGAAACGCTGCATCAGCCACTTTCACTCCAAACCTGATGCCCGTCGACATCGCTCCTCAAGAATATATGGGATACAGATTTATATTATCCAAATACTGCCCATTCAGACCTCCCCGTGCCCGCACAGACGCTATACGCCTCGTGTTCACAGTTTCGAATTCTATTTCGAAGAGCGAGGCCGAACCTGGCGTGCCTTTTCCCATTTCGAAAGCATTTCCGTCGTGCCTTTCCATTTTCATTTTACAAGAAGAACGGGAAAAAAAAGTCATCATCAGTGCCTAATTACCCATTTGGCATCCGAGTCGCACGAAAGTTATCATCATATATTAAAGTTGCCCGCCAGACAAAGTTATTCTTAAGTTAACTTCAGAGACTCGAGACTAGTCTCACGGCCAGCCTTGCTTTTTATATGTAGCGACTCCCTCTGCACTTTCTCGAGACTTTTCCCATTCTCTGTCTGTTGAAACATCATCGGACTTGTTTAAAAGTCTTATCTCTCCTTTCAAGCCCGGGTGCTCCTCCCTGAAGATTACTTTCCCCATTGAAACCCCAAGCTTAGCCTTTGGCACTTTTGCTTCAGCATCCGTCCGTCCCATTCAATAACCCCGGCAAAAAACAACTCGCTGCACCTGGTCATCCTTCTTTTAATTTTGCTTTTTCATACACTGTTCAAAACCCAGCATCCCTTTTTTAGGCGAATTCAGACCAATCCCAAAAAACGATTCTGGCACTGTGATTGACGTTTAGGGTGGGCTCCACTAGGCTCTCGACTCAGGTACAGGTTATTGCAGGAAAAGTTGGGTGTTCGTGATAAATAGATCGGGGCATCCGAGAAGCCTTCCTCAGCTCGAGGGAAGAAAAGAACGGACGAAAGAATAGAAGACTCAACCGGGGCCGGTCATATCATATCATATCGTATCGACACTGGGCATTTGGCTTTTACGGTTCAACTAACTGACAAACTAACTTCACCTACATACCAACTAAACTCGACTCCTCTCCCCGGCAATCTCCAGCTCGGTCCACTTCCTCAAAAGAAGGGGCCACAAGTTGACTTTTCTTCCTTTCCTCAAAAAGAGTTTTTTTTTCGACCTGAACACACGGAACAGGTTGCGGGGACTCCACCGAGGCTCCAGGACTGCAGCGCTATCCCTCCCCCTAGCACTCAGGCATACATACCTAGGTTAGGTACGGTACGGAGTACATTACATATCATCCCAACCAACAGTGCATACATAACAGACGGAGTGTGGCAGCCCTCGTGGGAAAATCGTGCAAAGTGGGACCCAGCACCTACATTACATATTCTCCTGATCCCGATCGTTGAACTTCCATTCCCGGCGTCCAGAGTACTTCTACCTTGAAGTCCCCCCCTCTCCTTGACGAATATCGCCTGGCAGTAGTTCCTTCCAAGTCGAGGAAAACTTTTTTGACAGGACGACTGCAGCCTCCGACGAAAGAGCAAGTTCAAGTTCATCCCATAGTTCAATACTTAATTTCCTCATCCTCCCCTCCGAAGAACCGCTAGGTTTTTTTCTTCCTTTTCCCTTTTGACTTTGACTTTCGACGCACCCGCACCTGCACCCGCCACGCCCACGTCTGGCAGCCTTAGCGAAAGGCCCATTGCAAGGGAAGAGAAGAGAAAAAGAAGGTTGATCGGACACGTTTTTTCCCACGAGTTTTCCTCGCCCGCCGGCCAACCAACCAAGCTTTGCACCCACATTCCTCAAGCGGCCCTCCTAAAAAGGCTCGACCGAATCGTCCTGCCTATCCTTCGCTGCAGAGAAAAGGCCGCCAAAAAACAAAGCCATTCATTCATTTATTCATTCAGTCACCATCCGTCCATTCATTTATTCGGATTCTCCTCGTCTTTTATTATTATTATTATTATTATTATTATTTATTTTTCAAAATTTTTTTTCTGTTCCAGGGAAGAAGAAAGACGGTATATTTTGCATTTACATACTACACATACATACTACTTAGATAGACAGGTCTCCGTTTAGCATCGCCGCCGCTTCTTCTACTACTTCTTCTTCCTCTTCGTCGTCTTCTTCTTCGTATTATTCATTATTCTCTGTTCGATTTGAGCCTGGACCTGGACCTGAAACCCGGACCGTATTCGATTCGAATTCCGACATCCTCTTCAAATCCGATTCTTTCTTTTTTCGTTTTATTTCCCTCCCGGCTGACGTTGACTGTCTCTGTGTTGCGCCTGGACATTGTCATCGCCGTCGTCGTCGAGTTCAACTTCCTCGCAAACCTTCATATCAATCATATCTAAAATATGAGTGGCGGCACTCAATGGGAACGTGAGGGTACCGGGAGTACCAATGGCGATGGAGGTGGTTCGCCGATGGCAGTCGAAAGACAGACGCTGCCATCTATATCAAACCTGACCAGCTCGGTGCCCCCAGTTCCATCACCGGCTTCTTCAGGCCACTCACCGTCTCAGTCTTCAGTCAAGACTGACACCCGAGACTCGGGAAATTGGTCCATGACAACAGCTAGCAATCGTATGTTTTTGTCCTTCTTCTTTTCCCTCTTCTTCCCCCGTCTTTCCTCTTCTACCTAGGCTATCTCCAGATCCATCTCCTTCTCCTTCTGCTTCTGTTTCCAAGACATGCAATAGCCTCATCTAGTTCGTGTGTTAATGCGAGTCATATCACTAATCCGTAGACTCTTCACTCTCTTCTCCAATGAACATTACAGCTATGACACAGGACCAGAACCAGAATCAAAACCATGCTGCTGGCCGGGGCTCAATCCTCAACCCTGATTCGCAGCGAGATTCCCTTAACCCACCGTATGCCACCCATTCCTTCATTACTATTAGATAATAGTACCGTTTCCCACCTTTTTTTTTTTTTTTTTTTTTTGCATATATCTAACGCCTTTAATAGTCTCCACTCGTCCACCCGGCCTGCTCCAAACGTTCTCACCAGTCCCTATGGAATTGATAACTCGCCCACTAATTCTCGACGATCAAGTTTTGATACGCGACTAGGCTCTCTAGCTCTGAATAGTAATCATGGGACTCCAGCAGCCAGTCAAGTGTCTCTTGTTAGTCAACTTCAAAGGGAAAGAAGTGGTGGTTTTAATCAAGGCTCTCCAGCTCCTTCCATATTAGAGAGTGGAACTCATTCCTATACACCAATCAGCCCGAATGGACATTATCCGACGCCTAGTGTTAGTAGTGCAGGCAGTGGTCCTCGTAGCAGCTTTGGTTCTTGGAATAACGGACTGGCACCGACGTCTCACGCTCAGAATCCTGAACGACCTGGTGCCCGGGTAGCACCACCAATTATTGGATCTTCTAGATACCCATACCCACATCCAAACGCTCCTTCTCCGACTAAGGGTTTCCCGTACGCTTTCCCAGATCCCGACGCTGCCGGGCCTACCGCGCCTAACAGCCGCGAAGGTCTTAATGGACAGGCTACGAGTAGTCAAGTTGGTGGTCCGGGACAAGCTGGTAGGCCTTACGCGTATCATCAAGATCATACGTCTGCGCCACAACACTCACAGACTTCTCTTTACTCTCAAGCATCTACTTCTACCACAGCTAGTTCGCACCACGGCCACCCTAGTTATGGCCAGCCTTCATACCAAGAAATTCACCATCACTCTTTGCAGCGTGGTCCATCGAGCATTGGCGCTCCATCTCCCGCCACCCCATACTCTCGCACGCCAGAATTGCGTATAAGCCACAAACTTGCCGAGCGAAAGAGAAGGAAGGAAATGAAGGAGTTGTTTGATGAACTTAGGGATGCACTACCCCAAGAGCGTGGAGGAAAGAGCAGCAAATGGGAGGTTCTGACTAAATGTAAGCCCGTGTTCATACTCTCAATGTTCTTATTGCGGCGCCCCACTAACTCCGTTTATTTTATAGCAATTGAATACTTGGGTCACATGCGCCAGAGCCAGTCAAGTCTGTCTCAGACTAATCATGAACTTGCAAGTGAAAATCAGAACCTTGCGAGCCAAAACGAGAACCTCAATCGAGAACTGGAGAGATTGAGGGGCGAACTTGGGCGAAGATCGTCCCCAAATGATACCCACTACTCCTCGCATCCCCATCCATCACAGGCTCCGCCTAGTAATGGCAATGGTGATGCCTACCCCGCCCAGAACAGCCACCAAAATGGCCATACGAACGGCCTCTATAATGGAAATAGCCACCAACAGCATCAAACTTACCAACACCAGCCCCGTCAAAATACCGTGGACGGGAACCAGATGCAAGGTATCGAAAGATCAAACTACTAGCTTCACCCTCCCTTTAACTTAACATCTCCCCTCTCCTTTGTTTGTCCGTTGTTGCCTCAGGTTCTTCTCCATATTATCATTTTCCATTTCCTTTTCTTTTTTTTTTTTGGTGGTCTGGATTAGGAGGTTCACACCGGTTGGGTTTTCATTCATAGCTTTTCGAGGACCGAAGTTTCCTTTTTTTACTTGTCGTTTCCTTCCTGGGGTTTTATCTTTTCTTGGGTTCTTAATATCGGAGTCAGGGAGAATACTAAAAATTCAATGATACCTGGTTTTTCATTTTTGTGTACATCTTTCCTTCATTGCTTTTATCCCTAATCACAGCTAGTTTTTTGGTCTTCCTATTGGGCTCCTTGGTAAATGCTCAGTGGCTGGAGGGAAACTAAGATATCTATATCCTGTAAACCCATATATTCAAAATCTCATTGTCATTTTTGTAACAACCATCTCCCACGTGCTTTCGGAGACATATAGATGCATGTAGATGCTTCTATCCATCAGTATTCTACCTTCAATTTTTGGAGACGCCTCAAGCAGTCCCACTGTCCTATATTTGGAGTAGGACCAAAAAAAAAAACACCATCGCGACCCGCTTGAGATTCTAACCACCAATCACAATCCTGTAACATGACATTTATTTTTGACCAGCAGCACGTAGCCCAAGTTTGACAGTCCTTAGTTCGCTTGAAACCTACATTTACAGTTTACAGTTGACCCCTCGCTTTCCATGAAAGGGTACAATGTCCAACGTTACTCAAATTTGACTTTTCATAGGGGCCTGTGAGACCTCAAACCTCAAACCGCTTGTCCACGAACCGATGGAACGAAGGCATGCTTTAGCGTTGAGGTCCGAACATGGGATCGATTCCTCTTGGAATGCAAGGGATCTGGTGAGAGAGCATCATTTGCCTCTGCCATGGCCGCAAACCATCAAGCTTTCCATCCCTTCCCTCGCTCTCTTATTTTCTGAGTAACATAACCGTAGCCATCCTTTTTTTTTCCCCTCTTCACAAAAAAAAAAAAAACAGATTCTAGACCCAACCCGTCCGACTTTGCAATCGTGGTGTTTTTCTTCTTCTTTCCTTCGGTTCACCTTATGTCCCCCCTAAGTTGTACTCCCAACCTTTTTTTTCGTTCATTGATGCCTGAGAGCTTGGAAGGATAAGGTCTAGTTAGCCCCGCCGGAACGAGAATACCCTCGCTCCCCGCCTACAGGACTGCAACTTAGCTCCGAAGTGCTTGTCGATTATTCTTTTTTTTTTTTTTTTTTTACAATTGATGATGCTTTTTGCATTATTATTATTATTATTATTATTTTATTTTTTCAAAGTCGTCAGCACTGAGCGCTAGGCTTGAACAGTGTGGCTTTGCTTTAGCCATTGATCATAATCAGGTAATAGTGCACGCACCTTCGACGTAAGTACTTCGGACATCACGCCTGCAATAAGACCGGAGGTACCGCTCAACCAAGAAGCCCTGGGTGGCTACTTTGGCTACCTAACAAAACGAAATATCAAAATATCTGAAATCGTCTGTCTCAAGTACTTTTGGTTTAATCTATACGTACCCGGACGGCAGCCTCGGGTTTGGCTGATACACAGAAAAATGAAATATGATCAAGACATCCCCATCCAGATCCCGCTTTTATTCCCTTTACCACGCACCCCTAATGGTCCGTTTACACAGGACATTACTCGCCTTTGCCTTGAGGTTTACTTGTGTTTCCGTGGATCCAACGTCTCGAGTATGCAAGCCACCACCCGCCGGCTCATTAACGAGAATTTGAAAAAGCGAAATTGACAAAAAAAACGGGATGCCAATTTCCATGAAGCGAAGCGGTAGCCGAGGGTATGTAGTGAGATCTGTAACCCTTCTTATTCCCGTCCGCACTCTATATTACAATGTCATGTAATACTTCAATCAAAGTCGTTCAGTTATCAAAGTTGCCGAATGGTAACATGTCTGGCGCACTGCTGATCCCGGGGAATAAAATGGTCGTAGCGAGGTGGGTACTCTTGCTATCACTGTCGGTTGCCTGTTTAGTTCCAAGAGCCTAAAGTATGCATCATCCTGCAGAACTATTCAGAAGTCCAGCTGCAAACTGCACGCACGGAGCATGGTTTTTTAAACACCATGCATGCAACTTCTCCATTCGACGACGAACGGACAAGAAGCAGGGAAAATCAAGGCGGAAATAAAATCTTGGTTTTCGCATCTAGGTCCAAGGCAAACTTAGAAATATGTTCGATTCGTGGGGAAACCGGTGATGGGAACCTTGGGGGACCCACAGATTTTAGCACGGCTTCTAATATTAACTTTTTGTTTTTTTGTTTTGTCTTTCTATTTCTACCTGCCCTCTCCCACATCTTCTTGATTTTTCGCACGTGCGAAAAACGTGGAGAAATTCGGGATATACTACATACATGTTATGTAGGTGTGGCGGGAATGGAATGAGTGAGAAGTTGCATGTACCCCCCCGGCCCGACGGTCATGGAACAAGGTCCCCTTTCCCCTTCAATCCTTTGTTGGGTTTTCTTTGGGCGGAATATCTGATATCGCTTTTGTTGGAGGCTTGTTTACGTAAGAAATCTGGGAGGAATGGAGATGTAAGACCTTGTGTCGGCTGCATGAGAACGAACGCATAGTGCAGCGTGCAGGAAGCGTACATACATACATACATACATACACTACATGACATGTAGTATGTACTCCGTATTTGAGATAGTTAGTTAGCGGAGGAGGAGGGTTCGGTAGTACTCAGGTTGCGTCGGAAGGGCCTGTGCGTCTGCTTGATAGGTACCATGGTCGGCTAGACGTAAGTACATCTGAAGAATACGTCGCCCCGGATTGGATGCGAGCCTAGCCCCGAGGAGATGCTTGGTCTCGAAGCTTCCAAGAGATAGCTGCCGTCTTTGCAGTCGGAAAACTTGCAACGTACAACGCGGAACCATGGGAATCCGAAACATCTTCCATCTTCATCATTGCATTGTTGTATCCTTGGAAGGATTTCAACTAAAAATTCACGGTCCAAAGGGAAATTCACTGGAATCAAGCAAGGATACTCGGGCTGGCTGTGAACAGAAGGCTAAAGATTGGTATGATACTAACATCCACCTAGCTAGTTGCCTACTGCTTGGATTACTGCCTCTTAATGTTTCCCCGGGAGTTTCTCCGTATCACAATTCCGCAACGGGTGTATTAATACTCGTTGACTTGCATTGCGCAATACTGCTACTCTGAAAAACGGTCTAAATTATAGAACCAAGACCCCAATTGACAAATGTTTTAAGCGACCCGAACGGTTCCATTCATCCGGCAGCTTGCGGTGCTGGCTTCCGGGCTTCTAGTGTCTGAATACACTACCAGCATTCTTCATTGTCGAATTCGGTTTCTAGAACATGTTAACAACTCGGATCCCACGTTTAACTTTCGAAAAATTTTAAACGAGAGACGGATACCGGTACCCCGCTTAACTTTACGGTATTAAGACTCCTAGGTATGTTGGGGTAAACCGGGGTACTAAGTAATGCATAACCTCAACTTTGTAAACATTTATGCAGTTTCCAAAGGACTCCTAGTTTACATATATAAGCTGACGACTATTCCTTTCCACCGAACGGCGACCTTGATATGTTAACGGGCGTGCGGACCTTGTCGCCGTTTGTAGCAAATGTTTATTGAATTCTTCTCTACGGAGTATGCACACTGCACTAGCTACGAGAGATTTAAGATGTTGAACTCAAACGAGCTGCACCCCGTCAACAAGTCCACGGTTACTATACAGGAAATCTCAACAATCATGCTTGTAGTTTATGATACAACGGATACTTGCCTACATAATATTGGTAACGATGTAGCTGATCCTCATCTACTGCACCATCCCCCGGGAACCCAGCCCCCAGAGGGGTCCAGCTGCACGGATTCATGCCCAGATTCCCCGAGGTTATAACCCTATTTTGAAACCTAAGCACAATGGTCTAGATCCTAAGTAAGTTACCTTCTATGCATGCATGAATGAATGCATTCCAGTCACAAAATCTCTCGACGTTGTTGTTATAATATAATGCAAGGTTATATATTGAATAAAAATCGGCTTGAATCGGGTACGCCGGCTCCATGGGGTTCAAATTCTACCAAGGCTGAAGGATGATATTAACCTGGCCCGAATGGTCATGACCTGGTTGTTGGGAATTCGATATTTGGGGAAATATTTTAGCCCAAATCTTTGTAGTCCTCGTCAGTCCATATCAGTCCCTTGTCGGGCTATAATATGGAAATAAATGATAACTCCCTCAATTGACGTCAACCGACCATGGCTAGTACAAATTCTGATATCCTTCGTGCCAATACCAAGGGTATATTGCTTAGGCACCGGCTAACTACAATGAAGAACTAACATATCCAACACTGCAAAAAAAAATGTGTAACTCTAGCCCTCATAGGGTGGATGCCTGATCAATATCAGATCCGCTTGATCAATCTAAACAAGGGAATCAATCTCAAAAATGGTTCAATGACGTTGTTGTGGTAGAATTAATTGAAAACCCCGGCGGATCCAATTGCAAAGAAGACGCGGGAGCTAGCAGGGCCGGCTCAGGAGTTGCTTGGTAGCTCGGACACTTGCAGGCACGGTTCGGTGCTTTTGGAATTGCCACATTCGATACTAGTCAGGGGAGCTCGGAATAACTCTCTTTAACTACGGATAGACTATGGGGTTTTCGGCGGTACTACTACCGTTATCGATATGCTTTTTTTCTTTGGTTTCATACTACAAGTCCGTTGAGTTAGCTTAGGTCGAGCTCGGATAGTAATCAAACAATCCAATCCTAAGGATATCAGGATCAGATCTTTCTTCTTCTCTCTTTAAATTAATCCAACAACTTAGCTTTGACGGGCACGGCCGCACCATCACACCGTAGTCTCTCTTGATCTTTCAATGGATTCCGTCCTGGACGACATATCGCACAGACGATATAACCCGCTGAGGGGTAACTGGATACTTGTCTCCCCGCATCGGACAAAGCGGCCTTGGCGGTAAGTTCCCCTCGGTACCATACTTCGGGACTCTTGGAGAACCCCGTTTTGTGGTATTTTGGGGACGTGGCAACGCAAACTGTCCCGTTACTCGCTCGACCTCGTCGAACTGACAATTGAGTTAATGTATGATTCCAGCGGTCAGGAGGAATCGCCAAGTGGGAATACTCTCCCAGAATACGATCCCAGAGTAAGGGTCTCGATCAAGAATTGCATATGTTGGGATCGACCTTGAGCTCATACCCCTGTGCCTTAACTAGTGTTATCTTTGTCCCAGGAACAAGAGATCTGGCGGAGCTCAGAATCCTGATTACCAGGGTACTTTTATCTTCGTGAACGACTTCTCTGCTGTCAAAGAAGACCAAGATGATTATGAAAGCGCCGAGTCTGAAGGTTAGCCACACTTAATACCATTTGTCCTCCCTTCTGCGGCATGAGGAAGGATACTAACATGTTGTAGAAAAATCCTCCTTGTTGCTGAAGGCAGAGGGTGTAAAGGGCAAATGTTATGTCATCTGCTTCTCCCCAGCACATAACAAGTATGAAAATCTGTGATTCAACTAGGTGATATGGGGTGCCTAATGACTAAATGTTCCTAGAACGTTGGCCGACATGTCAGTCAAGGAAATATCAGTAGTGATCAATACCTGGCAAAATCTTTACCGCGATGTCCAACAGAACACCCCATTCCGCTACATCCAAATCTTCGAAAATAAAGGAGAATCCATGGGCTGTAGCAATCCCCACGCCCATTGCCAAGCCTGGACTACAAGTCATCTCCCCGAGGAACCGGCCGCAGAACTCCATAACCTGATCGAGTACAGACGAAAGCACAATTCATGCCTACTTTGTGACTACCTCGCTGTTGAACTGGAGAAAAAGGAGCGAATAGTCGCCGAGAATGACGGCTGGTTGGCTGTTTGCCCATGGTGGGCGTTTTGGCCGTTTGAGACGCTGGTGATCAGTAAGAGATGTATCAAGAATATCTTGGAATTGGAAGGCGAGAGGGATGTTGAACTCTTTGCAGAGATAATTAGCGTCATTACGACGAAGTATGATAATTTGTTTGAGACGAAGTTTCCGTATAGTGAGTGGAGCAGAATGTCCCTCCCCATTGCTCTTATTGGCCGAGTCTACGAATACATTTTGGAATATTTAAGTAGACGGTGATCTATATTGAAGGTATGCTAACATACTCGACAGGTATGGGAATTCACCAGGCGCCATTGAGAGGGACGGACGAAGAGCATGCAGCGAATCACGTACACTTCCATTTCTTACCGCCGTTGCTACGAAGCGCTACGGTCAAGAAGTTTCAAGTCGGGTAAGCAAGATAATCAGCGATAACGAATTCGCTTATTGTTGCCCATTCCTTAGGCGATATATAGAAAGACAGGATACCAGGATGCTGACGTGATGTCATATCTAATATCTAGATACGAGTTATTGGCTGAGCCTCAGAGGGACATCACCCCCGAGCAGGCTGCAAGACGTCTACAGGCCTTGAGCACGGATTTGTATAGAAATAAGCTAGAAGGGAGCTCTTAACACCCTTATGCAAGAGCTACAAGGCTATGGCTGTAAATTTCGATAGCCTTGAATGTTTTTTGGTGGGTTTTTGGTGAATTTAGCCCTTCGATTTAATCTAGTTTGAAGAGACGAGATTTAGAGATCCGGATGCCGATATATATCATAAGCATTATTACATCAGTTAAGAACCAGGTTCTCACAACTACATCTAGCAAATAGAACCATGGCAGATGACTTTATTGGCAGCACTTCAATACATGCAGCATTTGAAAGCGCTTCTAGAGCGCTTTAATATCGCGAAGACGGTGTCACTATGTCTAGCCCAAAAGCAAGCAGCTGTCAACCCTGCAAGGTGCCGAATTAACTGTCAAACACATCGTATTTTCCCATCATGTGTGAGGGCTCATTCAACCAGTGGGGAAATTTCGAAAGCGCAGCAGGAAACAAGCCGACTCGTTCCCAAGGGTTAGAACAATAAGGCCGCCTGCGCAGCTGCCCAATATCGCGAAACAATGAAGGCGCTTATGCTTAAGAAGTTGTTTGTACCTGCATCGTGTTGTCAAGTAACAATCCAACAATGCCTACCAAAATCCAACAGACATTAGGGCTGGACCAAAATCGAATCATCCTCAATAGAATCTCTCTCTTTTTCGCGCCCAGTTCTAAGAAATCCTTGTGTATAACATCAACCTTATATTAAGTTTTTCAAGGGTATACCCTCTTCTGCAGGTACACTTGCCCAATTTCTAAGACTAAAATTCCCTTGGACCGCCTTGAAAATAAGCTGGTGTGCAAGTTAACGGCGGTGCAGGACAATACAAGCCCCACGGGCGCTTATTCTGACAAGAATGCAACACCACTTTATGTTATATCTGCTGCAGAGGACGTAGCAACCTGCAAAGTGAAGGAACTTTCTACAAACGCTCGACTCAGTCAATGGAACCAGAGCAGCAAAAGTAGAGATGGGAACACCCTGGACGGGCGGACGGCTTGGAACGAAAAAAAAGTTGGCGAATCGTTCGGCAAAGATTCGAGTTGGAAGGATCTGGCGAAGGCGGAGTGGCAATTAAGACATTCCAGCAGGCCGACAGCCGTGACTTGCATGTATTGTAGCTTGCTCCACCAAGTTTAGCATCTGCAATGTTGGATGTGGGCGAAGGGCGTACATATACTTTGGCCGCGCCGTCAGATCACGTCTCTATTCTTGTCAGAAGTTTTCAGAATCTCCACCATTCCCTCTCTCTTTTGTTTCCCTCTTCGGATTTTAGGCAATGGAGAAGATGGAAAGCAAATAGCGTACCGTTCAGCTGAGCTGCGGTGGTCATGGGTTTTTCCGGGAATCTATTCTTTTTATATATATAATTTATATTCACTCACTCACTCACTCACTCACTCGATTAAGTTCTAGACTGGCACAGCTTTGCCCTGCCTAAACTAAGCGTTTCAACTTCAGATCCAACCTGTTTTAGAGCTGGCCTCAACGGTGATTTATTTTATTTTATTTTTTTATACTTGTTCCTGCTGTCCCCCCCTTCTGTCAACAGTTGCTTTATAACAAACCCCAAAGTATCAGAACATCGACACTTTGAAACTTCCCCTTCTTTTCTCTCTCTCTTTCTCCTGTAGGAAGTTGACAGCTATAGCTCAACGAGAAAGCATCAAAGCACAGCTAGCTAGCTATAGTGGAACAACTAAAGCATAAACTAGCTTACGCAAAAGATATATACAGCATGAAGAAGGTAATATTAACACCCACAGACAGAAAGAACACTTCTCCTTGAAATCATCACCGTCTAGAGATGTTTCAATATGGGCAAGGAGGTATTCTAATATCTTCATAGATTTTTTTTTTTCCAAACCCGTTCTCCTTTGCAGAGCTTCCTGACTCTAGAGCTCAGAAACTCAACATATGGAATATTAGCAACTTCTATTCTACTTGATTTGATACCTCCCTTCCCCACTCCCCCGTATCTGCATAAGATATAATTAATGAGGGATCACGGTTTCTAACATTATCATCTTTATGCTCAACTATAGAAGTCTGAAGATAAGGGTTCCAAACCATCAAGGTTACCAGACCCCCTCAAGCTTCGCAGCGGTGTCATATTTGCGACTATACCCAGTCTCCTGATTATTGGACTATGGGCCGGAGCAGTTACATATGTCCATCTCCATCATTACAACCTTCAAGTAGATGAAGGATTAGTTCCTGTGCTTGGTAAGTGATCTCATTTTCATGAGCGGATGGATCGACGTATATATAAGCTCTTGGGGGGCGGCGTACAACATCTCAGAAATCTTGGAAGCAAAGTCTGCTTTGCCGGTGTTCGAGTTCGTGTAAGGAGAACGGCAGAGCAGCAGATTATCTGTTTTAGTGTCGTTCGAAGCTAGAACCCTCAGAAAGAAAGAGCCCCACAAGGAAAAATACCAGCTGCAGAAGCCAACGGGTTAAGAGATAGTAGATTGGACTGAAGAGAAATGACTAACCGGATATACACCAACATAGGTATCATAGCCAGCATCGCCATAGCTTTCAAGCTATATGTAAGCTACCAACGCTACCAAGACGCACGGTAAATATATCCAGCCCCCATTTTAAACCCAACCTAGAACTCGTGCACGTGCATGTGAATGCATTTAAAAATATATTACCCACCTTATACCCCATAACTATAACCCTATCCGCTAACTTCTAAAAACCGATACCAAGAAACCAATGGTCTCGCCTTAGAATCAGTGTTCGCAATTTGGCTCGTCTAATATGGTGCAATGTTCCAGACGGACCTCGCCCGCGTCAAAAAGTGCCTCCGCCGACGCAAATACAGGTAGAACAAAAGTTGCGTGAGGATTTGCTTTCCAAGGCTTCTGCTATTAGGTTGCTAGTGGGATTTGCATTTGCCTTGAAGCATCATGTGAGGGGGGAGTATGGGACTGAATGGCCGGATGTTAGGGCGAGAGTTGGGTTTTTACCTACGGTAAGGGAAAATACTCTTCCTATATACAAAGATATCAAATCCAAGAAGTTTGAACATTTAAACGGGACGAAGTTTGATCTAACAGTATTATGCATATGAGGATAGTTCGCCCGCCGCGGCCCCCCATCCCAAGTCTCAGTCTCCCAATCGCTCTACACCTCCATGGATCCCGAAAAAGGTCTCCCCGCTGTCCCTAATAAACGCTTCTCCACTGCGTTATGGCTTTCTAGTCTCTTCACTAAAGAAGAGGTTGCAAAACGTCAAAAAGAACAAGAACATCATAATATGTTGGTAGCACATCAGAACCTCCCACTGGAGATTCTATCCTTCCTGGGTAGTTACGTGGATCTATTGAACTCAGAGAGGAAGCTTGAAGGCGGACTAGCGTGCACTTTGCATACCGAACTCGGGGTTTTGAATGAGATTTTAGGGAAATGCGAGGGATTGATGAGCGAAAATATGCCGGTAAGTTGATCCTGAATTCATGTATACATGTACCCGCTCGTAGGAAAGTAGTAATTAACGAGTATCCGATTTGATAGCTGCCATACACTGTCATCATCTCGCAAATCAAGTGGCTCTTCATGCTTGTTTTACCATTCCAACTTCTCCAAGCTATGAGCTGGATCACAATACCGGCAGTGTAAGCCACCCCCATCCTATACACATTAGAATCCAAAGTATAGAAGGAGAAAGTATATTAACACCCCATTTCATAGAGTAATAATCTCCTTCTCGCTCCTCGGCCTCTCCTCAGCTGCTAGTACCCTCTCGGCTCCTTTCTCTTCAACCCCTACTCCAACTTCCCTACCCCTCGACCAACTCTGCACTAACCTGTCTATCGAAATCGACACGATTTGTTCTTCCATGCATTCACCATCTTACTCCAATTACGCCATGTCCGGTATGATGGTGATGGCTGGTGAAAAGGGAGGAGTAGGTTGGATGTACCTGAAGGGTAACAAACCTCTTGCACCGCTCGTAAAGAAGGATTTCGCGGATTGTGTTAAGAACTTGAGTATTTCTGATATTTTGGAAGTTATGAGGATGAAGGTTGAGATTCCAGAGACTTGAAGCCCCTTTCTCTCTTTTCTCCTTTCCTTATCTTCGTCTCTCATTTATCTTTTTATTCTTTTATTGCCTCCCCTTCCCTCCCTTTAATTTTCTTTCGTTCTTCCAATTCGCTTTACTTATACATGCATGGAATTGAGACGGGACTAAGAATCAGGCTTAGAACCCCCAAAATCTGCAAAATCACGGAGTTATCAGGTTGTTTCTTTTTTTTTGTCTTCTGTCTTCTTTTTCTTCCCCTTCTTCTTCCCTCCTTTATAAACATATTCCCCTTTTACTTTTTATATATATACTTTATTCTTCCACGGGGTGTACATTCCTTTCTGATCTGTTGTATATAAAACCTCTAGTACTGACAGACTTCATTTTACCCACTACAACTCCAGCTATAACTACTACTCCAACCTGTCGATAGATTTGCACCACGACCTTCACTCGTGAAGGTAAACAAGTACATATTTACCTGTAAATCCTTTGTTTTAGGTCGTTTATATTACCAATTTAATCCCGATATTTGATGTCTAACTCCGGAGCCTTTGATTATCAAAAGAGAGACTTGGTTTAATTGATTTGAGAGAATATTTAGATATGTAAAAGAAAGAAGAAGAAGAAAAATAGTTATCCATAACCACAGTCCGATCCCCATAAATTTCCCAAATCTATATAATTGTTCCTTGATCATAAGTACTGGAACAATTAAAGAACACCCTTAACAAAAACTGTTCCAAAAGAGCCTCAGCTATTTCCCACAATACACAGATCAATTAAATAGCAAGGGAAAAGAAAAAAAGAAGAGAAGGAAGAAAGCACAAAAAAGTCGGAGATATGTATCCATGTCGAAAAGGTGGAGATGGTGATATTGAAACAACATAAAATGGTGGAGATCCAAAAACCGTGAGGTGAAATTCCGAGGTAACCCCTCCCAATACGAACCACCCTTCCTCAATCTCATCATCTTATCTGGCTGGGGTGATGATCAAAAAGGGTAAGAAAGGATGAAAGCTCGAAGATGGAAAAAGAAGAAGGCACCAACAAGAAAAAAAAAAGTCTTTCTGTGCAAATATAGTGGAGAATGGATATCAAAGGTTTATCACAAATTGGGATGAGAAGCGACCTTCAAAAATATTGCAAAGCCAAAAATGAGGAGCTAATGAAGAGACTAAATTCAATTGATCAAGTTTGATCTTAAAGGTTCAAGAAAGAAGATGACAGGATGTTTGATTAGAAAGTATAGAGGGAAAAAGACGGAATCAAAATAAAAAGGAAAAATAAAAAGAACTCCTGGCCGAACGAAGCAATACAATCGCCGGAGAGAAACATAGGTCCATCACGATATCATTCTGGAACTCCTTCACCTCCACGGAGCCCACTGAACCAAAAATTGTATCATCAATAGGTTAACCCCTATGTCAAAGAACAAAGAAAAACAGGAAGAGGAAGAACAAGCCTCAGCATCCCCGACTCCGTGTCAAAACTTAACGCGAAGCGAATGTAAATAAGCAAAATAAAAGAAGAATAAGCCATTCAACATAAAGATCATCTGGTAAAGCCATGACGAGCAAATAACAGACCCAAGTCGAGAAAATCCACCCATCAAATGTCGCTGTAAAGGGCATGCTGGACACCATAAAATAAATAAAAAACTCCTTTAAGAAACGGTGATACTCCTCAGCCCACTGCTCACCCCGGAGCTCATCACAATCCTTCCACCAACTTTTGAGACCGTCCCACTGGCGGCACGTTTGACGATATCGCTACCTGAACTACCAAGCTCAAGCATTTCACTTCTTCCGACTTCCTTACCCAACGCATATCCAGCTGAAAAGCTGATAGCGCTGACGATGATAACAGCGCCAGCAGAGACAGCAAGGGTAAGATATGTCATATTGGAGGCTGAAATCGAAGCCATAGCACTCGCCATCGTAGCATTAGGAGGAGGGGCAGTTGTAGCCTTAGCCAAGCGTCTAGTCTTTGTCTTTGATTTATGCTTTGTAGCTTGAGTATCGTCTCTCGACCTCCTGGGAGAAGCGGGTCGTTTCTGTTCTAGTGGGGACTGTGGTGGCGGATGGTGTACTGTTCGGCGATATGGCGGCGGCGGCGGAGGGCGAGACATCATTGCTTCTCGTTCGGAATCCGTAACCAAGGATAAGGTTGGAATTGTAGCTGGTCGAACATGTTCTTGTATGGATCCCATGCGTTCATTTGGTCTCGGCTTTGAAGCACTACCAACACCAGCGGCGCATGAAAGTAAGGTCGACAGACTAGCTCTAAGCGCAGCGTCATGGTCGGGCTGTGGCGGATCTCGAGAGAATGTCCTGAAATTGTTCTGAGGTCGCTGAGGTGCTGATACATATGAAGAAAGCCCAGCTACAGGTTGAATCTCGCCTTCGTCGTCTTCATCGCTTTCTTCATCTGATGACCCTTCTTCACCTTCACTTAGCGAAGGATCAGTAATCGAACTCCCCATACTGTCTATGGCGTTTAGGTCGATTCCATCTAGATCCTCATCGTCGTCCTCATCATATTCATCACTGCTTTCTACAGCTCTAGAAGCAGTTGGAATAGCTGTAGATGTCGAGTTTCGGCGCTGTCTAGTGCGATTTTTCCGTCTTTGAACTTGGAGACCGCTCGTAATTACGGGATCTTCAGGGGAACTCGAAGATGTATAGCTATCAGAAGGCTGAGAAGCGACTTCGATCCACGAGTCGACGCGGTCGGAGGGAGCTATAGAGATAGTAATCATGACGAGTAAGTTTTATGTTTCTTTCTTGATATATATGGTAAATATATAGATATGTTTCTTTTCTAGATGATGGTATATAGATTTTCTTTGTGTAAAGGAGGTAATATGTTTTTCCAGCCCGTTATTCCTCAGAGATAACGATAGTTGGGATGTTCCGCGCCCCTAAGTTTCCGTTTAAGGGAACGGGCGCGGCCGAGTACGTAAGGATGCGAAAAGCAAGATAAAACGTTTTGAAAAGATAAAGTTGAAGAAGGATCAAGAGATCTGGATGAGATAGGAGAGAAATGAGCATAGAAGGAGCAGAAGAAGTCTTACCTGCCATCCTTCGATTATTGGACCTGTCTACATGGATGAAGTCAGAACCGGCGGAGCGAGAGTGAGAATGAGAGTAATTGTGATTGTGTTGGGAGCGAAGATAGCGGTGGTGGTTGTGGTGTGATGGGGGTTGCACAGGGTGCTGGGTATTGGCCATGTTGCTGTGCTGAGAGGCTCTCTGACGGGCGAACGTTGGAGCCCGTTCAGGAATAAAGGAAACAGCTGCGGCGGCGGCGGCAGTAGCAGCAGCAGAATTAGCAGAGTTGGCTGACGGATGGGGGGTGCCAGAGGGTAAAGGACCAAGGATCGAAGGCTGCATCATCTGGTCATGCTATTGTTGAGGACCTGTGGTTTTGGTTGTAGTTCTGGCTGCGGTTGTATGTAATTGTTTGAGCAATTGAGCAATAGGTGGTCACGGCGAGGTATAGCTTTAATTAGCCAGTCCAGCTGCTGACGTCCGAGACAAAGGACACGAGGTACCGAACAAAGATGAAAAATGACGATGACGATAGCCCAGACCAGACGTGATTATATTGATCAATGCAATTCAGTGCAGTGAATGTGTCGGAGAACGGGACTGTTTAAATTATATCCTAGCAGTGCCTTCCATATATATTGTATACAATATGTAGAGGAAGTCGGCTCGGTGGGAGGCTGTTTTGATAATGGCGTGAATGGTTAATTCTCCACTCCGCGCATGCACTGGCACAAGATTAAGATAAAAAGAAGTAAAAAGAAAAGAAATAAAAAGAAATACTTGAAGAATAATAAGCAAGCAAGTACTACTTAGTACTTGGGAATAGTACAGTAGTGAAGTCTATGAAGCAAGTGGAAGCACAAGTACAAGTATATATATTTCTTCCGGGCAAGAATTCGAAATTTATAAATTTAAACCAGCATTGCAAGAGGGTTCTCGAGAGAGAAGAGGAAGACTATATAAATCCTCACTCTATTAATATTAATTTCAGGAGAAGCTTGGGCCGGACAACAAGCAGCGGTAGCACGGCATGTATGTGCTGTGGTATTAGTGTAATGTGGTGTAAACTCCACCAGGGCCATGCACCGGTCCCAGCTGGAACGACAAGAAGAATGGATAAATACGAATTAAGTAAGCCAGCTATTGTAACCCAGATCTTACTTGGTTATTGTGTGCTCAACAGCTTTAATTCTCTCTCTCTATTCGATCTTATGCTGTGCTACCGGCTGCGTTATCACTGCGCCGTTTCACCAGCCAGGTTTGGGGCTAGCAGCCGTCGTGGTCGGTGGGGAAGCAGGAATGTCACTTGCTTTGGCCAGATTATATTATCGATACCGGAATTCGGAGTCTCGAGACACCAGCTATCCAACTGAGGGGTCGATTGACCACCCATCCATTCCTTCGTTAATTGAGGGATCTGGGAATATTGAAGTTATCGAAAAGATCGTGAAACTATAAAAATTTCGGTCTCTACGCGCACCATCGAACGGATTTATTCCACGGCTCAAAACCTAAGATGAGATGCGCCTGCAGCAGTATGTAAGAAGCATGTAAGGATGTAAGTAAGGATGTACCGGAAAGTACCTCGTCTACAACTTACTAACCCGCTAACTTCCTAACCCCCCACCCATCCTCCCTTAATAGGACTATAGTCGGTATTCTACGGAGTAAGTACTTACAAGGCTACAAGGGAATCTGGCATCCCCTCGTCTACTCGACTCTCCACTTCGCGCCATGCATGCGCATGTGAGGTGAGGAAGTACATGTACTGTACGTACTCCAGACCTTGATTTTCGATCCGCCTACCCCCTTCCGCCAAAATAGCCCGTCAAAAAGAGAGCCTTAAAATGATGTTATTCAATTCAACAAAAAAAAAAAGAGAGGGAAGGGATGGAGAAGTCCACATGCATGAGGTTTTTCCCTTTCGCAAATCACAGCTGCAGGGACCATCCAAGCGCAAAGTTATTGGTAGCTCAAGCTGACCTTTCCTTCCCTTTCCTCGATTCACACGATGTGCAAAGCGTCTACATATGTAACTATAAAACTGACTTACACAGCCAACCTATCGTCGAAGTTCGGGGGGTGATCACTCCTTGCATCTTGTGACCTCGCAAAAAGGACTTTGCTTTCCCTTACAGAATATGTTTCTTTTTTGTTTGTCTTTTCTATCATATCAATAATTCTGTTTCGCCCATCGATGTCCTTCCCCGGAAAATATGACGACGGTACCTTTCCTGTTTGTCTGTTTGAGAAGATCCTCGCACATGACCTCTTTTTTTCTGTCGAACCTTCGAATGCTCCGGCCGACTTTCTGAAAGCTTCTTTTTCTTTTTCTTCTTTCTTTTCCTTCTTCCTGATGGCTTGACATGACCTGGATTTCAGATACTAGCTTGAGCTAAACCGAATAATAGACCTCGCCCGACAGCAGACCTGGGGGAGCTGGGGGAGCTATCCTGGGTATGTATGTATCTCGTAGCCCGAGTATTACCCAAGAAAGCCATCTACGTATACGCTAGTAATATAAGTCCTTGGTCTGCTCTAATAAGAAAGAGACCAAGAACAAGCTTCTCCGCATCTCTAATTTATCCAGCTCCCTCGACTCGAGTTCTTTTGTTCCATTTCCCACGCATCGTACATTACATATGCATAACGCATGTTGGCCTGGGCGGCCAACGGATGCCGCTGCCGATATCCCAGAACTAATATAATTCGCTAGTTCCTATAGAGCTTGAACTTCCACATACCCCCCCTCCTCTTCAGTCGAGCTCGAGTAGTACTTACATACTTACTTTCAGCACATCCAATGATTCATTCAAAAAAGATCTCTCGATAATTTCCCCGATTTCGACAGCCTAATTCATCCCCCCCGTTCATCTCCCACCTATATACCCAGGACGTCTAGGACTTACATCCAAAAAAAAACAAGCTTACTTTTCCAATCCGTTCCGCTAAATTAACCATTTTGGCCACTCCACTGCAGATTCTATTATATTATCCTCCATATTGAGGAGGGGAGGGTTTGCTTCAATAATTCCTCTATGTTATAGGAACCATTGATGGACAGCGGGGAATCCCGTTATAGCTGTCGTAATTGGGACTGTAATTGGGATTCGGTAGATCGGCTTCCACCGTCCCTACGGTTAACGGCGAGCCATTATTCTTTCTCACTCTCTTTCAAATTTCATGCTTAATTCCCTCGCCATTGACGCCCGGAGTAGCTAGGGATCTAAACGCCAGGATATGCAGTTATACTAACTCAAACGCTGCACTAACATATCAACGTTGGGGAAATCTAATGGCAAATGTTGTTAACCTGGTACTTTGGTAGCAATCATGATTGCCAACATTCTGCACGAATGCATTAGTCGCTGTGATATTCAGATCTAGACCACATCCTAAACCTTTAACCTACGCGATTCATCAAAAATCTAGTATAACTACTAAGTACTTAGTATTTTAGTACTTAATAGAAGTAAATCGAACCGACAAAGAGTAAGAAAAATAAATAAAACCATCTCATCAATCAATGCAAATCAATCAATACGAATCGAATACGTAATCATCTCATGATCTAGCGACCACTCTTCCGCCCATCATGAAAATATGCATACCCCCTTCCGATCCCCAAATCGCTAACTACGGTAACTAAACTAACTAACGGGAAATACCCCCCAACGAAATAACGAGGGAAAATTATCAAGCATTGACAATCAATGTCCAAGGTACACACATGTACCGCCCTCTCTTGTGGGTCGTAACGTTGAGGGAAAGGATTTCGAAACCGCCACACCGCATAGATTTGATTGATCTGATAACTCTAAATGGTCGGTATATCAGACCATTGGATATAGGCATCACGCTTGGCCATGTAACTTCAATTGATCAACCTGGCCCTCCGAATCGGCGGGGTCCACTTTTTCGATATGCATGTATACCTTGTGCGCTACTGCTTCTTTGGTCTTATGTATATTCGGTTCCAGGCAGGAAGGAAACAGCCATGTTCGCTACCTAGCTAGCCCACGCGACTTCTCACTCCGTAAATCCGAAAAGCACGTCCTTTCAGCACGAAAATAAGCATGACCAATGCTTTTATTTTTCTTATGTTATAATACACACGTTACATTGGGCGCACGCGTATGCATAGCTATACGTATCTCAACAGAGATTGACCCGATAATTAAAGAAACGAGGATGAGAGAAGTAGAAGAAGAAAACCCGAACCTCCTGAAAGACTTTAAACCCCGAGCCCGCGATATATACTTATATACTACTTACAAACGGAGATGATTATAAAAAAACAGAAAAAAAAGAGGTGTGTGGGATTAGATAATAATGAAAGATCTAAATTAAATGCAGCTATTGCTTCCAAAAAGAACGTCGTTCATGTAACGATAGAAGAAACATCCCGCCCATTCTTGCCGTGTACAAACAATCGAGGCCCATCCCTCGGAAACCATTCGTCCAGCATCTTCTCCAGCGGCCGACAGCACCCGTTCTTGCACTCGCTGCTCCAATTTGCCATTTCAGAATTCGAACTCCTGTGATCTCCAAGTTAGCCATTGCTCATCCCTTGTAAAATTCCGTGTAGGGATTAATAATACGAACCTTCCGAAAAACATCTACATCCATTCCATTCGCCACCAAGTCCGCCAAATCCCGTCGGTTCATCTGTCCAAACACCCGTCGTAGAGTATCATACAAATTCGTGCTCTGATTATGCTCAATCCTTGTAACATCAACCCCAATCTTCTGAGCTTCTGCGGCGTCCCTATCAGTGATAACCTTATGCATTGCCAACGCTCCCAACAAATGCTGCGCAGCCTCTTCGTAACATCCAATATTAATACACGAAACACCCAAGTTGTACCTCGCTCGCACAAAGTTAGGGTTAATCGTCAATGCCTTCTCATAAGCTTCGATTGCCTCTTCGGACCTCCCCGAATTGGCGAGTGTGGCTCCGAGTCGGTTCCATAATAGATGGTTCTTGTCCCTCGCATCGTAATCGCTCTCCAATGCTGAGCTGAAGCAATCTACTGCCTTATCATATTCCTCTGCTCCGTAAAACAAAACACCCAATCCAACCTGAACATCCGAATCGAACGCCGCACCCTCAGGAGCTGACACCGCCGCTCGGATAAACAAGTCTGTAACCCTCGAGTGGATAGCTAACCTATCAAGCGGGTTATCCACGGCAGGCGATGTGATATCTGGGTATCGTGCATTCAACCACCTCTCTAAGGTATTATACGCGGTAGTATCATATCCTTCGTTTGTATAACTGATCGCAAGGCCCATCAATGCATTCATATTTTGGGGTTCAAGTTTCAACGCTTGCTCAAGCGCTCTGATAGCTGGCGTCTCCTTTTCGTTTTGCGCTTGTGAAGCACCAAGACGTTCCCAAGCCTCGACATGGCTAGGGTTCTTCTGGCATGCTGCCTCAAAGGCCAATGCTGCAAGAGAGAGATTCCCATGGGATTCCATGAGTCTTATACCTTCCTCGAAGGGATTACCCACTTGCATATAAGGGTTTTCCTGTTCGAAGAGATATTCGCCAAGATTTGGGGGTTGACCAGGAAGAGTACCGGGTTCCCAGTTCCAATCGTCGACCTTGACACCATTGGCTTCCATATCCTTTTGGATTCCATCCCAGAGGGGTTCGAAATCTGAGAACATAGCTTCACCGTTCTTCTCGAGCTCTTCCTCGATGGCACGGTTAGCCTGCGAATCTTCATCTACGACCGGTTCGTGCTGTTGCTCCTCGATCTGCTTGAACTGGGTCTGCCAGTCCTCATCGGTGAGCTCAACGACTCGTTCTTTACCCTTGGCAGTAGTAGCGGTTTCTGGAACAGTGTGGGCGGGGATCTGGGAAGCTTGTCTGGCGAACCCGCCGCTGTACATCCCGCCCATACTGTAGCCTTGGAAACGCTGTGGGTAGTACGCATTTCCTGCATTCATGGGGGCGGCGAGGTCCGGTTGAGGGGTATGAACATGCTGGTGGGGCTGGTGCTGGAAGGAGGCGAATTCGGCAGGGTTGAACGGTTCACCCTTGGCTTGAGCGGCATGGAAGGCGGCTTCCAACTGTGCGCGATCTTCACCGGGGGGCATGGTGGCGAATTCAGCAGCCCAGTTGACCTGGCCGGCAGGTATGTGGTTTAGTTCAGCACGCATGCCATCGAATTGGAACGGACCGGCGGATTGCTGGGCTGCCGCTGGATCTTGCATAAGGAATTGTTCCATCTGTAGAAGCCGTCGTAGACGGGCTTGTTAGTACGCTCGTGACCATGATACACATGAGTAGCGGAGGGGCCGGCCATATGCCGTTGCCGTTTGTCGTCGCACGTAGGCTGCAGGCCGTACATTCTCAGGGTGGTAGGATTGTATCACGTACCTGCTGGTCACCCGTTGGGCCTTGTACCATACCCTGACTCCTCATGCCCTGTTGAATGCCAGGACCGCCGGGTATTCCACCGACCATGCGGTCCCGCTGTAGCGACTTATCGTCCGAGACATGTTTTGTGAACTGAGCAAGTGGATTGCGGCCGGTAGAGCACTCGGCGCCTCCTAGGAAGGACATGATGGTATCTACGAGTTGTAACTCGAATCCGAATTGTACTATAAGAGTTGTAGACGAGTGATTGGGGGTATCGTCGGCAGAGAGGTTGAGGGATGGGGTTCCGAGGTTAAGGTTAAGTTGAGGCGAATGGACTGTCGGGTGTGTTGGGGATGTTGTTAGCTCACGTTGCACAGCGGATTAATTACCCCAGATGGATATGGATACCGGGTAGATACTCAGTAGTACTTACAGGAGACAGTCCAGTCCAGTCCAGTGCCCTCAGACGGTACCAAGCTTAGTATACAGCTACAGATGCCGAGTACGATGAAGGAGAAGATAGGAGGATAAGAGAGGGAGGAAAGAGGGAGCGTGAGAAAAATTATATTGAGGACTGCGGGAGGCTGGTTTGTTTCGGTATGTTATTGGCGGGGTGTTTGCATTTGCTTAGAAATTGACTAGCTTAAGCTGCCAGTACGGCCAGTCACTGCCAGCTGCCATGGCTAAATCATAAACAATTGGCCCGGCCAATTTTTTTGTTTTCAGCTGAAAGCGACCCGCCCGAGGCAATGGAATTGGTTGTGTTATGCAGCGCCAGCACACGCTGGGTTTAAGACATATCCACCATTGGGCAGGCCCGGATCGATGTTTTTAGGATCCTACTATTAAGTAATTTCCGGAAGGTCCTCTCTCTTTTCTGACTTTCCCTCTTATAACTTCTGGGAGATTCTGCCGAAGCATGTCATTTTGGCTGACTAAGAAAGACCACGAAATAATTGAAACGCGAGTATTTGACTTCAAAGTAAATAGAGTACTCCAGGGTGTACTACCCGATAAGTAGAATATGTATGTAGGTACCTAGTTGGTAAGTAGGCTATGATACATGCAAAAGAAGAGATAGAAAGAAAACACCACCCATCTAGTATATTTTGCCAGAAAACACCTTCAAAGCAGCTCAAACAAATGATGAAAGGTAGAAACAAGAATAGAGGGCATCAACTGTTGAAGCAAAACGTATGAATTAAAGGAAATATGCCAGTGTCATCTATATATGTTGGAAGGGTTAAATGGTGAAATATAAAAAAATATATCAGGAGAAGAGCTAGAGGGAGAAAGAAGCTAGAAGAAGAATAAAAAGCCCCAAAACGCCTGAGAACAGTAAAAATAAAAGTAAAGAAAACTCCATCATATCTCGTGAAATAATATCGAAAACCAAACGAAACCAAAGCCTCCCTTCATTCATCCCATGCGTGTACAATAAATCAATCGCTTCAAGCAGCCGTCTTCTTCGCCAACTTTTTGTCCATCTTCGCTTTCTCAGCTACGGTGGGCTTCCTTGTCCACCCAACCAAACTCCTAAATCCACTCCCGTTCTCCCTACCCTCTTCCAAGGTGGCCGTGATTCCGTTCACAAGCCCTTTCTTCCATGCGGGGTTTTCCCTCTCCCCGTCAATCTTCACCATCCACTCTTCCCATCTCCAGGTACCCACAATACCGCTGAGAGCAGCCACATCGGCGGTGTTTCCCTTGATAATACCAAGTTCCTCCCATGCCTTAAGTTCAGCCGCCATCTCCTCCTGTGCAGCCTTAAAGTCGTCGTCAAAGGTGACACCAAGTCTTCTCTTAGCCTTTAGCTTCTCCGCTGGTGGTGCCATGGGGAGGATAGTCCATGTGCGCTTGGTATTCACAAACCCAGCGTTTCCGAGCCGACTAATCCACTTCTCTGTTGGGTGGGGATCGTATCCACGGCTCCTAAGCTCGTTGGCAAATTCTTCGGCCAATCTTTGGGTATTTGTCCCGGCACGGAGGACATCGCTGTCAGTAAGAGACCATTCGAAGTGACCGCCTGGTTTGAGGACTCGGTAGCATTCCTTGAGTGTCAATGCGTACTCGTCGAGCCTAGGGGTCTTGCTGAGGCGGTGATATCGCTCGCTCCTGCGTCTCGGGGGCGGCGTTTGCTTCAAGATGGTGTGCAAAGTTCGAGCGGAGATAACATCGAAGTGGTTATCTGGGAACGGAAGCTTCCACAAAGATGAAACCTTGATATGTCGGTGATTTGACGGACCGGTGAATCTTCGCTTTTCGACAACACCCAGGTTGGGAATTGGAACATTATCGATATTGATGTTCTTTGGTCGACTGGTTACGGTGTAGACCTTGGAGTATGGATATTCATAGGCACAATGCCATCCCCAGTCGGCTACTGGAGCGCCGCCAAGGTCCAAAATGCGTCGACGGATTGGGACTGGGCCGTTTGCCTTATTTCTTCGCCTTTCCAAAGCAGCTTGGATGAGAATTTCGTGGGTGGGACTGATCAAGATTCTGCCGTAGTGGAGCCACTTAGATGCCATGAATACCCAAAGCCTGGAAGTGATCTCGTCGTTGACTTCCTTGGCTCTACGCTTCTCTGGTGTCATGCTCGAAACCCTCGGGCCCTCGTCGAATTGCCAGGTTGCACGGGGCGATTTCTGTGGCTCCGGCTCCGGCTCCGCGGCCTTTGGTGGCGGTGGTGGCAGAGGTCGATATTCGTGAGGGAGTTCATTGCAGATTCTGCGGGTCTGGAAGCTATCGAATCGGGTTTGACGGCACACAAACGCATCTGAATGGACGGACGGCTTAAGGAACTTCTTGAAGGCGACTAAGTATGAGGGGTCTTCGACACGAATCTCGTTCTCCTTCAGGTTATGGCGCCTTCCTGCGCGCGAGAAATCAACAACCCTGCCCTTGGCATCAATAGGGCTCTCCTCTCCCGATGTTGGTGAATCAAGAGAAGCTCGTCCTGCACGGCTTTCAACTGGTGGTACCTCAAGGAGTGACAACTGTGGAAGGCCTGGTCGACTTCCCGGTCGACTACCGTCCTTTGTAACCGGTCTGCTATCGGGTAACAGAAGAGCAGCAGCCTTCTCAAGTTCCTCCTCTCTGACACGAGCGTCTTCGAGTTCTTGCTGGAACTTCATCTCATCGTCAACAACTGCAAGATCATCAAAGAAAATCTCATAACCAAGCGGGCAGTCCACGTGAAGGTTCTCTTCCTCCTCCTCTTCTGTCAGTGCCGACACAGCCGAGACGAAACTGACCTCTTCTTCTGGCTCTGGTTCTGGCTCTGGCTCTTCACGTAAGGGTACGGTGTAATGTTGCTTCGGCGTCAAGATTTCGATATCTGGAATCTGTGGGACCTCTGGGATAGACATACTCGCCCGCATTTCATTCAGACCCTCATACTCAGCCGGATGTCTACTACTCCTCGTCGACATCCTCATCATGGCAGCCTCCATTTCCATGTGCTCAAAGTCCTCCTCATGCATACTCTCATCATCGATCTCCGACCTTTCGTAAGTCGCAACTGAGCTTTCTCGAGGGTACTCCCTTGTCGACCCAATCCCAGCCCATCTCTCAATATCCTTCCAGTCCTCAGTCTTCGTCATATCAAATGGCGCTTTAGTCGGGCTTCTAGGCTTCTGCTCTTCCTTTTCTTCTTCTTCCTCCTCATCCTCAACATGCTCAACGACTTGGGGCAACTGCGGACTTGGTGGGATTTCCATTCGTCTATCCATTCCCTTCCTAACCACATCCTGTCCCTGCAACATCTCTTCCATCAATATCTGAACCTCCTTTTCCACTGAAGTATCCTTTGGTGGTTTAATGGTAATCCCGGCCTTCATACCCATGCCGCACATCATCTCCTCCAATTCCTCCAACTCGGTCTGATCTGGTTCCGTGGAAATATATTTCTGCCTGGCGGTATCGATACTGGTCATTGAAGTGCAAGCTGCGCTTCTCATCGACCACATCCCCGTATCTCTTCCAGCGTACGAAGAAAGCGTATACATTGACGACAGCCTCGCTTGTAAAATCGGTGCAACCGACTTGCCCTGGTGTCCGACCTCTCGCATCTGTGACGCATCGTCGACCTGCGGCGAGTTCGGGAAGGAATCTTGTTGGCTCTCTGGCGTAAGGTCGAAGTGATAAACTGCTCTACCACCACCGTTCGACGGTTCCATATGTGTATAAGAAGGCGATCCTGCTTCCGATTGTGAGGACTCAGATAGAGTCTCCACAATCAAATTCTTGCTCGAGGCATTTCTTTTATGTCCCTTCACTTTCCTATTATTGTTTAAGTATGACGCCGTCCAGTTATCCATATTACTGACATGTCCGGATCTCGGGCTGACACCGTCGGAATAAGCCTGTACAACGCTCGAAACGCTGGAATATCCTGAAACCCTCGATATCGAGCTCTGCTGGCTATGGAATCCCGTCGCCGAAAATTTAGCCTTAACTGGACTATGCGCCGGTGTAGACCTTGTATCCGACAACGTAGGTGAAATGGGCGGGTTAGGTCCGAAGTCCATAAATGAAGCTTGGCTCGAGAAATGTCTGGAATGTTTCGATCCCGGCGTTCCACTGACGCTGCTATTATTGTTATTCAACAGACTAGCTGACCGTCTTCGTGATTTTACTGGCGATTTTACCGGTGACGAAGGGTTCGATCGATGTCCTGCAGGTGGAATATCGGTCTTCAATCCGTGCTTGAACATATTTAACCCCAAACCATGTATTCTTGTCGAATTCGCCGCCGCCCTCCTTCCGCCCTGTGTATCTGCTGCACTCTCATCGTATCCTAATGGTGGAGAAGGCATTGATCTTGGTTGGTATCTTGGCGTATTAGAAGGCCGTATACTCGAAACGCTTTCGGTGTCTTCGAAATCTGTGTATGGCGAATTTGTAATGCCGTCAAAGACGCCTACCGATGGAGGTTGAGATGCGGCTGTAGCTGCTCTTCTTGCGTCTGCCTCGCCAGTTATGACGCTGAGTGGTAACATGTTCTTTTTTGGGAATGTATAGGAGCAGGAGGGTATATAAGTTAATTTTCTCTCCTCTCAATCTCAGTTGAGAACGGAGTGGTTTGATAGGTAAGGGGACCCAGTCGAAGAGTAGCTAGCTTAGGCTTTTCCGATTCGTAAGGAGTTTTTCCTGGGGAAATTGATCCCGGGGCTACCCAGCGCCTATTGTCCTCTTTAGCTTGAGTCTTTTTGTTTTGTCGAAAATATAATCCCGTGATATTTAAGTGAGAAGATGTTTCAGTAAGCCAGGACCCAAATGTCGAAGCGAGAACCCGACGGTATGTATAAGAAATGGTGAAAAAGCAGCCTAGTCTCCAGAGGAAACCAAATGAAGAAACAAACGAAGTGGAAAAGTCGGAGTGTATATCTTATTTCGCCAAAAATAAAAATAAAAAAAGAAGCGTCGAAGAGACAAGAACAAGGCAACCTTTTTTCTTATTCTTCCGACTGCTTGGATACCCCCCCTTGTCCTATTTTATTTTTGTCGCCGAAAAGAAAAAGAGGCTGTTCTTCCTTGTGGGGTTATAAGTTGGGTAGGCGTGAGGTTATATCTGGACTGTTCGCTGCCAACGGGTTAAGCGACGAGGCGCAAGAGTGTGGGAATAGAACACACGGGCTGCGTGTGGTGTCCGCTGGCTGGGTGGAGTGGGTGGTTAATAACCTGGGCGGTAAGATAGTGCGGGACCATTGGACCGCACATTTTTTTGGCTGCTCTCACCTTGGGAAGTTTTAAACCCCAAAGAGCTCTCTTTGAAGCGTAAAAAGTAAATACTTCGGATGGGATGATATCAGTGCCGCCGTGGTTAGACCTCTTTTCTATGTCTGTATGGAAAAAAAAAACAAGAAGCTGATGATGTTTTTCCTGCCATCGAAGACTGAAATTTGGAGGTTTGTTGTGAGCGCTGGAGCTCAAGGGTCGTAAACAGCAGGAGCATAAGCTGAAAACAAAAGACGACAACAGAAGGAAAAGAAAAATCGCTCGTCCAAAAGCCGACCTGATAGTGGTGGTATATACCAAAACTCTTAGGCAGTCTTAATCCCAAAAAAGTAAATCTTGACCTGTCACTTCTTATGAATTCGACATTACAGCTGCTGGCAGGGAAACGGAAATCTACCAAGCTTGGGACTAGGCAGAGGGTTAGCTAGCTGTCAAAAGGGTCGGCGTACCCCGGCTCCGTCAAGATATATGTAAGTACCAATTCAGACCAGATTGTCGGTGCATGCAAGTCCAGTCAAAAACGTCGAGACAGCCGTCAGCGCAGTCAAAAATCGGCAGGCACGTAAATTACTGGTGCCGGACGGGTGGGGAGGCACGCCGTGATCATGATTCGATCTCTTTTCGATGACAAAGAAAAAGCCAACGTTTATGAAATTATCGTGGAGATCGAATCGAAGGCGGCCGTCATTTTTTAGCCTTCTGTCTTCGATCACGGATTGTCCTTGTCACTTTTTTTTTTAACCTTCCCATGTACCTTTCGGTGACATGGAGGTTCTTCCGTAGCCTGTTATCAGGTGAATGCGCAAGGTCGAAGGAATGGAGAAAACATAAAAATGACCCCATGCCAGATAGGATAACACCTGCCCATGATCATTTTACCATTCGTTAAACCTGCGCCTCTGCCTCTTCTTCGTGGTGTTTTCCTTCACCGTCCGTAGGCTTTCTTTCCTTTTGATACCTGGTTTGTATGTATGCATGCAAACCGATTCTGCGCCGCTTGAGGTATGCAAGTGGTCGGGGATCAACCGTTGGCAGAATTTCCGCTTTTCGTAAAAAGGTTGAAAAGGGAAAATTGACAACAGCGACTACTTCCTTCGTCATATCGAAGGGCAATTAATCGGTGGGCAGCTGTGCAGGAAAATTTGTGTCCTTCCTGCTAGCATGCCTGCTGCATCGTCAACGAAAAAACATCGTTTGCCCGCTCGTTCGTTCGTTCGTTCGTATGTTCATCGTCGTGCAGACACGTTTTTCTTACTAAAAACAAATCAACAAGCCTACCCCAGGCCGCGGGAATCCTGGCTAGGCGTGTGTGGGTGGGCAATTTCGGTAGATTGGCTCGCGGAGCGAATAGTTGACCCAGGCTCTAGATTCGGATGAAAAGACGTCTGTCCGGTTCGTCTGGTGTCTTTCGCTAGCATTGACGTTAGCAGTGACAACAGACGAGATTTGGTCCATGAAGGCCTGGAAGCGTGGTGATTGGCCAGAACCGAGCTGTGGGCCTTTCCCAGTTTGGAAACCGCGCGCCAAAGGTCGCTGTGATTGGCTGAGACCGTCGAATTAAACCTCAAACCAGCCAGTTCCCAGTAAAAGATCTTAAGAGAACCCACCGGCCTGGACAATTATCATTGCATCTTCTCTCGCGATTTTGCATCGTTCATGATCTCGCTCGCAACCACGCGAACAATGGCTATTGTCTATTCTTGGCTCCTTCTCTCTCTCGTTGCATTTAAGGAACGTCCAAATTTAGCGCCCCTTTGACGAGAGTTATTTCTGGGGAACGAAGGCGGGACAACGTTGAAATGCATGATCCATTACAAAGTTTAGTTTTTGACAGGTCCGTTGCACAGACATACATGCTGCTTATAGTTATAACATGCATCCCATGCGAAAAAGAAAGAAAGAAAGAAAGAAAACCCTTTTTTTTGTAATCCCGGACCCGTCGGCGCTGATGCGCTGACAAAACAAAATCCATACGGAGGACATGCCGATTACATTGTCAACCGATTAAACTTTGGCCAAATTTGGCTCTTTGAATTGCCAATGGAAATATCGAAGCTGCCTAAGCTATAGCATGATCTTGTGGATCTGATATAGACCCTGATCCTTATTTTTACAGGAGATTTCGGGACTAGCCGCCGGCGAGCTTTGCCAGGTCATTCAAGCATCATGCCATTGACTTGCAAGTATACCCGTCCAACCATAATTGCGTGAAGCTACAGGTTTAAGCGTTGGCCAAAGTAGCCTGGCATGACCAACGAGAATCTGCGACATCTGTATATGTGCTATGAGGGTTGGCACTAGTTGTAGCTACGGCGGCGCTAGCTAGGTCCACGGTAAGGTGAAGGCCAAGGACTTGACCCTTTCTCATGTTCAAACGCATTGCGCCTTGCGTGCGTATCCGAATTCAGAGAGTAGGATATTCCTATACTCATGACTTCATGCAGACTCGGAATTCATACAAACGACATCGCCTGTAAGTCGGTAGGTTGGGCATGTGAGTTCCGGTAGATCTATTTCAATACTGGGTGTTTGCGTTAATAGTTGCAGACTCGACCACGATCACTCAAGCTTCAAACGCTAGAGCTGTGCCTCCAATAAACATTATCACACATAATTCGAAGATCATGTACTCTTCATCTATATATTCTATTTCCATATCAAACTATAAACTATGTGTGTTTGGTTAAGTCGCAAATTCAATGTTTATTTGGCAATTGGGTTAACAACTTTGCGAATAAAAATACCTGAACCATCCCGTCCTGACGATGGCACAGAGAATACCAACTGTCTCAGTTCCTTCAACGTCTAGAACTAGTTAACTACTCTAGCTCTTGAGCCTAAAGTTTAAATTTCTTGAAAAGATTTCACTTAAAGATCGATCTAGCCGTAAATTATGAGACTGCTTACCAGATTTGTAGCCTACTTACCGGCTAAGTACTACGAACCGTCCTTTGAGATGTATCGACATTAAAAAAGAAAATACTGCGCAGGTACTGTAATGTACTGTGTTTTCACATCAACAATCAAGCCAAAATATGTACATAGAATAGGATAAATATAAAACCCTATAGCCTTGAAAGGGCTTACTCGCATTCAGGGTTCCAAGAAGGATTGATTCCTAAATCAAGCACTCGATCGATCGTGATATCGCGATTTCGACCACAAACCAGGATCCCAAAATCGCCAACCTTCCCCCCCTCTCAAATCCAACGGCCAAAAATGCGGTTACATATGTTTTCGGTATATATTGATATCATTTTTGCGCAATTCTCTTTCACCGGGTTTAGTGATACGCGATACCGTTTCCGGCGAACGGTATGTGATATCATGATATAAAAAATCATTAAGAGTTATAGCCTATTATCACGAGGCAAACCACGGAAAATTCACACGGTAGGAATGCAAGTCGTCGTACCCTAAAGCCTGTGTTTTTTTGGGATTTCAACCCTGAATAAACTAATTATAACTTTACTAAGCCTGTAGATATATATATGTATATACCATTTCCTTGTTTTCCCCCCTCTCTCAATGCATTCCTTTGATAATCAACATGACATAAAAACCACCACGGGGGGCCGGTTTATTCAGTGCTCCATGCATTCAAGAAGGGGTATCAAAAATAGGCAAAACATGTACATTGTATGCATAGTAGGCATCTACAAGTTATCTCCTTTCCCAGACGTTTCCGGAACCGATTTACTAGTCGCGATCGGTGTCCAGGCAAAGCTGGTGTTAGAAAGCAGACATTACTTGCTTTCGACCATGTAACGGGCCGGCACGGCACACTCGCTAGGATCGTAATCTTGATAAGAAACCTAATAGAGACTAGCCATTCCCCGTCGATCTTGTTCTGGCTTCGATAGAGGGGTTGGATGGTATTAATTATGTTGGAGAGGGGCACGATCCTAGGGAAAGGATGGGATTTAAACTACATGATAAAGGCAAAGCGAATTAAAAAGAAGAAGAAAAAAATGTGAGGAAAGGAAGAAGAAAAAGAGCTGATCATGACGCTGAATGGTATATGGCACACACACGCTCATAACACGCTCAAACCCGAAAGCAAAAAAGACCAAGCAAGTATTAGGTATGTTAAATCGAAGTCAGATGCGATGAACATGAGAGCTGAGGGAAAAAAAAGAAAAAGTTTAGTCATTCAGAGTCGTAGGATGGTGATTTTTGTGATGCAAAATCGGGATGACCTTGTTCCGGCGCCGTTTAATATATGGTTGTTTATTACCCCTCCCAGTGCTTTGCCGTAGATATGCATATACCTTTGATGCTTATATCCGAGATAGAAAAAAAACATAGCTCAGATCGCAAACTTCGAATCCTTTGGGGAGGGGGCAATCTTGTGTCGTCAATCGTTTGTTTGCTTAGACCTCGGGTTTCTCTTCGCTGCCCATGGCCTCGGCTGCGTCTTGCTTTGCCGTTTCTTTCATTATAGCTTCGACTTTCGCCTCCTTGCTTAGGATTTTGTACTTGATTCTTGAGTGGAGGAGTATCTTAGGAATATGCTCAGCTTTGGGCATACTCCAGACTTCAACGATGCCGGTTACGCTACCACTTTCATCCTTCTCGGGATATGCATTTGCCCTAAATGTTAAATATAATTGTAAGAGAAAGGTACCGTGAGAAATTCCACAGAAAAAAGCAATTGAAGCCTCATATTCCCTTCTCCTCTTTCCCTTCTCTTTTTCGTCAAGTTTAAAAAAAAGCACTTACCGCAATAGCCACCCAGCCAGCCTTTGTAGCGTAAATCCAAACCTATCATAGCGTTCGTCTTCATGTCTGTGCCTCTCATAAATAGACATCCCAAATTCGATGTCAAACCCCTCCTCGTCAACTGGCAGATTTATCTCAAGTGGCCAGATACGGTCTTGATCGTTGAGGAAGGTTGTAAAGTCAGCCAGCGACATCATGGGCCGACGGGGACGGAGACCTTGCCAAAACATAGCAGACCGCTGCTGGCGTTCGAAGGCGTTGGTGCAGACCATTGTGTTTACTCCACTTATTCTTTTTCTTTCTTCTTCTTCTTCTTCTTCTTTCTTTCTCTTCCTTTAATTCGATAACTAGGGTTTTTAAAGAAATAAAAGTAGAAGGAAATGAGACTACAATGCTTTTCACAAATGATATATAAAATATAAAAACGTAGAATAAGATAGAATGGAATATATATAATTGTGTTGTTGATGTTGGATAACAGTTATCCCCGGCCGGCTCGTCGCGCTGAAGCGAACCAGCTCGTTCTCGCTGGGATGCTGCTCGTGCGGGTTGAATCGACCCGTCTACAAAGCACCGGTAAAGCTAAAGAGCAAGGGCGGCCCCATGCAATTTTGCAAATCCACTTCTACCGATCCGACTTTCAATTGACGGGCCTAACGCGTTATAATTAAAACAGTTTCTCCACGCACCACCGTCTCGAGGTTTTATTGCGATTGATGAAAGGGGAGAGTTTGTTAGTTTAGTTTAGTTGACCGGTTCAAGGGGGAGCTCCTGGTTCAAGTCCAAAGCAAAGCTACCCAGGAAAAGCTACAAGCTTAAATGTTGAGAGGACCGGCCACAGCAGAAACCCCACCAATTGAATGACATCAACCGCTCAGCTTCGTCAACCACATAAAATCCAACAAGTATTCCATTTTATCATTTATCATTATCACTCGCCTCCGCTTCCTTCTTATCGTAATCGACATTACTATCACCACCAGCACCAGCACCACCGCCAACGCCAGCCATACATACTTTTTAATTAAATAATGTCTCCAAAGCCAATAATTGCACCTTCGATCCTGGCCTCTGACTTTGGCAAGCTAGCCTCAGAATGCCAACGCATCATCGGCCATGGAGCCGATTGGCTTCATATCGATATCATGGATGGTCACTTTGTGCCTAACATCACCATTGGGGCTCCAGTGGTCACATGCATTCGTCCGGCGATTGAGAAGACTGCAGATGGGAAGGGGATCTTTGATTGTCACATGATGGTTGCGAAGGTTGTTCTTTCCTCTTCTGAGCATCAGATGATATCCATTTGACATAATAACCAAGGATAATATATCCGGGTCGCATATTATATATATATAACTCTCTTTATATATATGCATATGTATATCTTATATATCGATTCTGATAATTAATATTAGCTGATAATAACTCTTACTTCATTTTTTATTTTTTATTTCAAGGCACTGACAATTCAAATTCCTACCTAGTAGCCAGAACAATGGATCTCAGACTTCGCAAAGGCCGGTGGCGACCTCTACTGCTTCCACTACGAAGCTACCGAAAACCCTCGAGAATGTATCAAACTCGTCCACGATAGCGGAATGAAGGCCGGAATTGCCATTAAACCGGATACACCCGCAGATGTTCTTTACTCCATTCTGGACGATACAAGCGATCCGGATTACTATCCCGATGTACGTCACCAAATTTTTATTATTTTATTTTATTTATTTTTAAATCTCTGTTCTATTCCCCAACCAGATCGAACTAATCAGACGAAATATTATTATATATACTCTAGATGGTCCTAGTGATGACCGTAGAACCCGGTTTCGGCGGCCAGAAGTTCCAGGAGAGGTGTATGCCCAAAGTCACTGCCCTTCGCGATAGATACCCGGAAATGGACATCGAAGTCGATGGAGGATTGGGTCCCAGTACCATTGGTGTTGCGGCAGAGGCCGGTGCCAACGTAATTGTGGCAGGAACTGCGGTCTTTGGTGCACCAGACCCGAAAGAAGTTATTACAATCTTGAAGGAGACAGTGCAGAAGAATGTAGAGCTATGGAAAGCAAGGAGTAAAGTTTAGATAAGACTAAAGGCGAAAGAAACAAAGTTTTGGGCGGGAAGTGGCTCGATTCGAAGCCAATGATTTACGAGGGACGGCTAAGCCCAGGCCTGAGAGTTGTGGGTGTTCTGTATATATCACCTAGCTCCTACAATAATCATGTTTCGAAATTCATAAAATCATATTTTGGTTATTTAAATGTTCTTGTCCATACTATAAGCTCCGCAAAGCCATAGGGAGACAAGCATTCAAGGAAAGGGAAGAAAAATACAAAAAAATGTTCTATCAAGACGAAAAGGAGAAATTTTTTGATTGCTCCAGAGTATCCTCTCGTCCACTAAAAACACCAAGGACATCCTCGAGAACACCGTCCCTAGAATGAAAAAGGAACAAAATAGTAATAGAGGGAGCCTGCTCACGATCCAAAATGATAAAATGGAACAAAGTAGTACGTGCGTCGGTATATAAGGAAAATGGGAACGTAAATGAAAATCGTTAGATAGTCCAAACAGGTTATACATAAAAAGGAAAACGTCAAGGTCGGAAGCTAGAGAGATATTATGAGAATCCTTTACAGGCGTAGAGAAGGCCGTTAAAAAAAAGAGAGCACCAGCATAAGGAGAAAAAGAAATTGAAAAAAGGAAAAGGTCGAAAACACGATCTTGTACACAAAAACAATGACGGAGCTAGATGAAAATGTGAAAGTCACAATATTTCTCGCCCGAAGAAATTCAATGCGATGTATCGTGTGATTGCAAATGAAAAGGAAGAAACGCCATCATGGTGATTGCGAACAAGATTTAGCAAGTATTGACAAAATGTACAGAGGGAATGGTATGAGGAAAGGTGTTAAAGGTATTTGAGATAAGGCGTTAATAATAATCTCTGATTAGGTATCAGACATTGGCTGATCATGGAGGGGTACGTTTTCCTTCCTCGTTGTCTGCTGCTGCTGCTGAGCCCTAAACTGGGATTCCAAACTATTAATGGGTTGGGTTGGACCTGGAAGCCCCATCCTCGCCTGCTTTGCGGCAGCAATCTGGTAAGCCCTCATCGCATCCCAATCCCTCTCGAACTTCAGATCCTGTGCTGTTCTCCCATGATCCCCAACCATGAGATCGATTCTGAAGCCAAGGAACTCGTTTCTATCTCTAAAAATGATGATATCGTCCTGGTCGAAGACCCGGAAAAAGTCATTCTTGGAGAGCCTACGTCCGTGAAGGATGATGCCGTTGGTACCGAGAACTTTGATCCAAGCTTTCATTTGGGGATGGGGGGTGAATGACTCTTCGTTCTCCGTGGAGTTAGCTAATGTCTCGATGTCATCTTCGTGGGCGAAGAGGAGGACGAAATGATGTTTAGAGACGCGAGTGTCAGAAACAAAGCAAACACAAGCGGATGAGCGACCATATCGAACGTGCTGGTCAACAAGATTGATTGGCTCGTGATTAATGGAGCAAGGGAGGGGGTTAAGGCGACCCCAGATGGATTTGGGGCGGGAAAAACTTGACTGTTGGGAGGGTGAGAGATATGCTTCGGCTTCAATTTCTTGCTGAGGTTCATCATGTCCGGCGACATCATTTTCAAGTCCATACTCGTTTCTAGTAGTTAAGGAGTCGGTCTTGGCCATGGCGACTTCGTGAGTAGAGGCGTCGTCGTGATTAGCATTACTGCCCTCGGAGTCAATAATAGACATTTTATTCTCTAGAGGGAGTCGGGAGAGGTAGCTTGGAACGTCATGCGGTGAAGATTTCCTTCGTAGGCTTGGAGAGGAACCTCGTTTTGTGACTCTATCATCCGTTGTTAACCTCCCTGAGCCTTTTCTATGCAAAATGGACTCAGAGGCCATAGAAGCGACATTGAGGTTGCCAACCATAGTGCGCATACCTGCCAGGCTTCTGCCGTCTGGCCCAGGGGTCCGTCGCCGTGGAACTGTCATCGAACGATCTGAAATAGGTGTTTTAGCAATTCCAACAAATGAATCGTATTCACCCTCGGACGAGATCATTGAGTCCGCGACACGCCCAGCTTGTAATCCGTAGAACTGTGATTCTTCGTCACTGGCCTCCATCTCGGAAACATGAGATCGGCCAAATACCCCGCTCTCCTCGTAGGCGTTGTCGGGGCTGCTGACTTCGGCTTCATCTTCCTGGATACGGTTGTCCGGGTAATCCCTCAAACCTGCAATTTCAGAGTTGACATCCGATCCTTCAAATGACTCTTCATCCTCTGGCGGTCCAAGAAGGCTGTTGTCGAGGACACGGCGGCGCAAGGGCGGGACAACCGTTTTGTCGAGCGAGTCCGCATTATGCACCTGCCGAAGTTGTGAGGAGGGTACGGTTACCCGCTCTCGCTCCCGTTCTCGTTCAAGTCTGCGAGCTTGTTCCTGTGACCCTTCTATTTCCACGTCGCCCTCATGATCCTGAACGTGCTGAACTCGTGTCTTAAGCAAGTCGCGGACGTCGACATCTGATAATCGTGCTGGATCTTGTTTCTCCAGTCGACCCTTGACTTCTTCCCAGACTTCAATCTGCTGCGAGAGAACCTCTTCTTCGTCTTCATCAATGTATGGGGGCATAGCTCCTTGGCTGCAGTCGTCTTCAGATGTGCCATCCTCAAGCCAAGGGTGTCGCAGCGCCTCCTTCTCGTTCAATCGCTTTGTGGGGTCAGTGATTAGGAACTTTTTTACGAGATCGATGGCGATCTCGGATATTCCACATTTCGAGAGCTTAGCAACATCCCAGTTACCCGCACAAATCTTCTGCTGGATCTCTTCCTGAGTAGCTCCAGTGAAGGGCGGATCACCGGTAAGAAGCGTGTAAACGACACATCCAAGCGACCACATATCGCAAACGTGGCTGTAGCGCCGGTTTTCCTTATGGCTGTTTTATGGGCGCTGTCAGAATAACACTTTAATCCAAGCCTTTCTTACAAGAAAACTTACTATTTAATATTTCTAGTAACCGGGTTTTGAACCCCAACCACAGTGGGAAAAACCTCTGGGGCAAGATACAGCATTGTTCCGCAGAATGTCTTGTTGAAGTCTTGGTCCTCCGTGATCATTTTAGCGAGACCAAAGTCGCTCAGTTTAACAACGAGGGGATCCTCGCTTTTGATGAGGATATTGTCGGGCTTGATATCTCGATGCGAGATGTTTAACCCGTGAATGAAAACCAGGGCATTATTGACTTGTTGGGTGACGATTCGAGTGAGGTCCTCGGGCATGGCTCCGCGGCCTTTGACGTAGTCACTAAGGTCGCCAAAGCCAACATATTCCATTCGAATGTAGAGTTGACGGGGCATCTCTTTGTATTCTTCATAGTGTATGATATTTGGCTAGGCATTGTTAGTATTTTGGAATTTGGTGTAATGGTGTTGAAAACCTCAAATCGAACTACAGAGCAACTTACATGCTTCAGTTGCTCCATAATCTCAACCTCTTTCAAAACACCAAGATACCTCGCCTTTCCGTTCTTTCGTCCGGATTCTTCTTGTGGGCCAAAAACACGCTTGTTGATGATCTTGACGGCGTACAAACTACCCGTCGACTTCTGGGTAAGCTTTCTGACGATAGCGAAAGCACCTTTACCGACAATATCTCCAACTTCATATATGCCGTTCTCACCAGTCCAACCGTCGGGGAATGGATATTGCTCTGATGTCGCGTCCGTGCCATGGCCTTGGCCAGCTTGTGGCCGACGACCAGGCGGCAACATACCATTTTTCCCTACTGGTCGGTTGGCGCCTCGAATTTGCTCCCACGCCTTCGAACTTGTGCTCTTCAGGTCAACGATGAACTTCAACTCATCCTCAACAGGTCCAAGAGCCAGAAGAATCTGAGAACTATTCGTTAGAATCCTTCGACGAGTATTAGATGCGTGTGTCTGATGACGGTTAGCGAGTGCCCTTGGAGACTGCAGGCACACGTTATCTACCCAGGTACCATTCGTTGAACAGTCCTCGAGCATAATGACGCCCTCGTCGGTAGTGAAGACACGGAAATGGACATTGCTGACTCTGCGCGAACTCGATTGTTGTCCAAGAGCGACATCACACTTGACTGGATTACGGCCAAATGTGAAGCCGGCGTCGGGGTTCTTAGGAGGTACCGAGCTGGTGAGACAGATATAACCAGGTAGGCTTGATTCCACATGGTTCCGAACATAGGCGGGGTATCTACGGGCTAGATAAGCGACGGCGATGTTGGCGGCTGGCGATGCAGGGTGAAGTATTAGGAGTATATTCGGGTCTGGCGCGACCTTTTGACGCTCCGGTTGTTGCTGTTGTTGGGTAGCGGGTTGAGTGGAGGGTTGAGTAGCTTCGACCTCGTCGTCCATGGTTCCAAGGGGTCACCAGCTGGCCTATTCGGTTTGATTCAAGTGGTTGGGGAAGGAAGGGTGCAAGGTCTTGATCTCCAATTGAAAGGGACTGGATCGATGAAGGAGTGTGTAAGGGATATGAAGAAGAGACCCTGTTCTAGAGATTGACCGAGTGGTTATATAGACCCGTCTACTGAGCTGGTATGCTCCGGACGTCTGTAGATGCCCCTATTCAGGGAACTTTTGCGTAGTGAAAATGTCCTAAGAGTGGGGTATATGGTATCTGATGCGACAGGCTTCGAAACAATGCAATGCGATCTTGGCGCTGAAATCTGCTGATTGGATACCCAATGATATGGTCCTATTACTCATGTATATATTGCGTAACTATCGATGGAACAGACGGCTTATTCGCACTAGGGGTGGATATAAACCCTGGGATGTACGACAAATATGGTGACGAAAACGATTTGAATCTGTGAGTGGGGACGAAGGATCTATCTACACACGGGTCAAGCGTAAGTCATCTCGTCTTCCCTGCGTACGAATATGATATGATATTTCTGCGATTACAGGTGCACAGCTAAAGACAATGAGGGCCAGGGCAGGCAGGTGAGTTTGGGAAGATATAATAAGGCGGGCAGAAGCGTTGAGCGTTCTGCGATCCTTTCGCCAGGGTTGTGGAAGGCGGGAAGGTTAATGTAGGACAAGACATGTAGATGGTGTGCGAATCGCACAAGAGTCAGAGGCAGAAAAAAGGGAAATAGAGTCAAAGAATGCTAACCAGGAGGTTTCAAGGAAACAAGAGGCATGAAATTTCGAGACCTACAGGTTCAAGCTGACGAGCATGCGCCAGGAAGATCGATGGATCCTGCACACAATGGGTCGAAAGATAGTATTATTTTTTTCTGCCCTTAGCGTCGGTCGAGAAATCCCCGCCGACAAGGGGAAAGGATTACGAGATGTGCCTATATTCCGTCCTGTTCGAGGGGCCAAATTGGCCAAAGGTTGAGGGGAAGAGGTGGAATTTTTCGCGGGACGCGTAAAGAGCCTAGGAAGCCCACGAGTTCACGTGGCCAAGCCCCTCCCTTTCCTCTGGGTGGGCTGGCTAGTTGGGATGTTTGGGGCTCGAAGGACTACTAGTCCGCTACTCGAGGCAAGTTCTTCCTTTTTCGATGTTCTGTTGGCGGGCGAAAAACTCAGAGTTCGGGTATTAGAAACCGCTTAATTCCCGAGCCTATGAATGTTGACGAAGAAAATCGAGTCATACGCCGAACCTCATGACGATAACAATAGCGCGGCGGGTTTCTTGGATGACGAAGTTGGGAAGCAGAGGAATGAGTGTGGAGATTATGCAGAGGCGACGACTAGAGATGCAATGATATGATGATAGTAAACAGTGAACGTTTAGCTTCTGCATAACAACGATGGATTATTTTTCATGTTGGATGGTTCCAAAACATCCGACCTGTTAGCTAAGACAGGCTGGTAGCTTTTTGCCAAAGAAAAAGTTGAAACTGCGACCAGTTCGGGTTAGTGCTTGCAAATGTTAGAAGCTAGTGGAAGATATCTCTGGGAACCCACATCCCCTGTGAGAAATTGGGGGTCATGATTGGGCAAATTTTTTCGAGATGCCAAAGCTGTGCTGCAGTCCCTTGCCAGATACCCAGGCTCGGGGATGAGGTTCCAGAGAACATGTTTGATGAATGATGATGGGAAACTCCGCGCCAAGAAAGGACCCGAAAAGAGATGTTTGTATTCCCTGAACCCTCGTTTATTGGGTATGGCTCCCACGAGGCTACTTCGGCTTCAGCTAGCTACCCGATTTTGTGCCTGAAGTTGAGCGGGTTCGGGTTTTGAGAATTTGAATTGTCAACGAAATGCAACGTCCCAATGTCCCCCATGCCCCAAGGTCATCTCGAGCGATGCGAGCTTTTATCGAAATGGTGGTGTGGGGACCTCCTAAATTGATCCGGATATGCAACCACTCTCCATCTGCGCGGGTGCGGGAGAAAAGCCTAGATTTTGGGGAGCTGATTCCCGTTGTTTGAGATTTTTATCTGATGGGTTTGCATGCCCAGTATTGGGCACCTGAGCTGGATCGAGGCTAGCACCATGTACTTATGAACGTAAGTACTCAAGTAGGTAAAGACGATGTTCTGTGTACACAGTAGACGAGAAACATATCGATCAGGTTCTCATTTTTCTTCTTCCATAGACTGGTTGGAAGAACCCGCGAGGGGGGAGTTAATCAAATTTTCTGTAGCCGATAAGACAATGCTTTGGGTTACGGCAACCCCCTGGCTAACGGATATGAATCGTAGTCTGCATCATAATTGATTGGATTTGGAAATTGAAGTTCAGGTAGAAGACCCCGTTCAGGCCTACGGGAAAGTGCCGATGTTGATCTCACGGTCGAGAGCAGGATGCGATGCGAATATGCATAGACTAAGTACCTAAGATAGCAGGAAGCTAATCTCGCATTCGAAAGGACCGTCGGGAACGGCAACGGGCATGTATGTGTGTATTTTCAGTGAATCGGAATCATGAATAATGACGAGGGTCTAGACACAGGACGACATACTAAGCAAATGAATATTTTGGGGTATATAGCTAACGGTGGCGATTTAATCAATCGGTTGAAGTTATCGTGATATCATCGATTCGATGGGTTCAATTGTAAGCAAGGGGGTTAACCTGCTCCCACAAATTTAAAACAACACACTCGAATCACACACACCCATGCATACTTCCTACTTAAGTACTAAGTAAGTACATACCACACATCCGGAGATATCGTCTGCGCCGCCTGCAGGTCTTAGGCAGTAATGTGCTTATTCGACGGGAAAAGCACCATCGTCTTAACCTGTTGGCGATACATTTTGGTACAGAAGTACATACCTACATTTGGATGTAAGTATAGAGTTACACGGAAGCCGGTAGGCACAAGTACGACACCAAAATTGACACATGCATATGTTTAGGTCGGTATGTAAGTCGGTATGCCCTGATGATATGCTGATGTCCAAACAGCCGATGGCTCCATCTGATCACGGATTTCAGACTATAATATGTACAAACACACACACAGATCACAACATGTCGGACAGAGTTTTCACGATCGATATCACAGCCAGATTCAGCAATCAGAAGCCCCACTTAAAATAAGAAAGGAAAGCCAATTTGCTGGCCCGGAACCAAACGGCCGGGTTCATGGGTTCGTACAGCAGGCCCGCTTGGCATGTCTGGGTTTAGATCCTTTCATTTGCTGGCAAAAACGCATGCATGGGAAGAAAAAACAACCTTGACCTGGGAATAAAGGACAGTTTGCAGGGCCATGGTCGTTGTTTTTTTTTTTTTTTTTTTTAAGATTGCAAATGTGATCTGAGGAAGAATGTCGACGTCGACGTGCACCGCCAGCTCAAAAGACCCAGGGTCCTTAGCTACATATATATACTGGGTATATATATCACAGCATGAATGGTTCAGAATTCAACATCGTCCAAAGAGGACTGATCATGATTGATGTTTCTACCAACGAACGGCCTGGGCAATTGCATCCTAGATCTATTTTGGACTGGCGGGTAAATTGCCTGTTGGATACCACCGGCCAACGCAGATGGTTTGATATCATCTTGCGTTTTCCTGCGGTCGAGAAGCTGAGGATTTGACAGCGGGTATCCAGCCTGCCAGAAGTACATGGAAGGTACATTCGGAGTGGAGTCGACGAGAGACTGTTGGCTGTTCCCAGCCTAATCATACCATATTCATCTCGTCGACTAGCACCAACATGGCAGTAACAACAGTCGATGTTGTAGCGTCTACGGCAAAGATTGACCAGAAATCCAACAGCCTCCTGGGGTAGAGAGCGAGGACTGGCCGTTCTGAGCGATAGCTGCTTTTTTTGCCATTCGCTCGCTACCAACCAGTGAGCAGGTATCTGCGGGCCTATTAACCTCATTGCATGGAGGTTTTCTTTCGCTAAGGACCCAGCCAGGATCCACCCCCCATCAATTCATGGCTTGCTGGGCTGGCTGGTTTTCTGGGCGTTTGCTTGCAAGGCCTGTAACGCTGGGGGTGGGAGAAGCACCGTTCGATCGTACTGCAAGTATGGGAGGAGGCTCGACGCACGTCTCTCCACACCCACATGTATGGGCTGGACTGTATGTACACCACCCACCCACACCAACAGGATCATTCATCCCCAATATCATATAATTTTCTGACTTTCTTTCCCTCGTCGACCCCCCCTTCCTTCCCTCTCTCTTCTTCCAGCCCTCCTCACACCGGAATTATACCTCATTGCAATCTGTTGATACCCTTTCTCCTTTTCTCTCTCCCTTCATCATCTTCTCAACCCCCTCTCCATCCATCCATCTATCCTCTCTCATCTCATTCCTTCACGACAGTTTTTCTATATCGTCATCTCTTCCTTTTCTTCGGCCTGTCTTGCATATATATTATCAGCCTCTTCCTCAATACGGAGTGTTTTTCCTCCTCTTTACCTTTCTGTCGTCGATACCCTACTAGATATAGAATATTTTTCTTTCTTCTCTTCCCCTGTGTCTATTCAGAAGTGAAAAGGATTTCTTGCTTGCTGTCTGTGACCGGTGAACATTTTTCCCCTGCTGTGTGCACAATCAAATCACATTCGTCGCAGTCTCCGTTTTGAGGCGGCCACATCATACCAGACCCAGTCCAACATTTACGCTTACGACGTTGCAAAGGGGGTAAGAATAGGTCTTAGGCCGGGCTGCCCTTGGGAACCCATACTTAGTGCTTCGGCTGCAAGAGAAAGAACTGAGCGAAACCAAAGGAAGAAAAAAGTTGTTCCATTCCGAAGGCTAAGAAGGCAAACAATCTCCGGACCCCAGTCTTCCGTTGTGTCCGTCGTCTTTGATCGGGGCTTTTGGACAGGGGCCTCTCGCACTTGCCTGTAATCTTGCTCTGGGACGATAGCCAGGGCTGTTATTTTTCTCTTTCGCTCACACTTCGTCCAAAAATTTGCTGGCGGCGCAGTTTTACCGTCACCATTTTCTCTTCCTGACTCTCCGTCCTTTCCTCTCTGTCATCAACTGCTCCTGTCGACATCCCATCACTACTTCCACCACCACCGTCATATCGTTTCTTTGATTAGCACAACGATGTACATGGTGTGAATAGTGTGTGTCACCGCCACTGTCTTGTATCTGCCTCTGCCACTGTCTCCTTATCTGTCCCCGCCGCTGATATAATAATTTTCCTGTTGTTGTTTGCGTCAACGTCGCTTATAAATCTCCCTAATCAAAACTAACCGCCAGCTGTCGACGTCGACACAACACATTGCCTCTCGCTCCTGTTCTCGGCGTCTTCTTCCATCAATTTCCACCACGCTTCACTAATACCACGTTCTCTATCCACCTCCTCACCCCCCTCCCCCTCACCCCCTCCCTCTCCTCACCCCTCTGCCATCATCATCATCACCACCACTTGCCCTTTAATGACCGAAACGTTTCCTTTCTAACTTCGTCATCATCAACAAAAGTTCTGCTTCCAAGTTCCAGTTCGTTTTCTATATCAGATCCTTGTAATACTCTGTGCCCTGCTACTCGCTATTAATTATCTCGATTCTGCTGGATCCTTGCCCACGACTCACCGATCCGACCTTTATATCGGCAACCACCCGTTTGATCACGGCTAATCAACCCTCCCAAATTCTCTCAAAGGACTTCTATCTACCACCTATCCCGACTGTTACATCGTCTTCCTTTCGAGTTTCAGACCCTTCGGTCTTGTTTTTGCAATATGTCGAACAAACACTATTTAAGCGATACCGAAGCTCCACTTTCGTTTCCACAGAAACGCCATGTTTCTGCCCCATCGAGATATGTCCCTGTGGAGGCACCACAAACTCCACTATACAGCCCAATCACACAGGCGCCGTCGCCTATATCCCCTCGAGGAGATGCCATGATGATTGATAAGCCAGTTGGCCCAGCGTCACCGGATGACGTCTATGAGACTGCATTATTGACTCCACAGGAAACAAAACGGTCGACCGCTTCGCCTCCTGCGATATTTCAATCTCCTATTCTTTCTCAGCCAGGGAACCTTGATGGTAGACTTGCTGAGTTTGCCCAGAAGCTTCAAAATGTCGCTGATTTCGATGCAGCTATGGATGAAGATTCCGATGATGAAATGGCAGATGCTGATTTCGATAGCCCTGCCAATATCATGGCCAGATACTTGAGTAGAACCGAGCTGAACCCTGACGTCATCGTCCTAAAGTCTACCATCGCAATGCTCCGCAAAAAGCGCCAACAGTGTTTGACAGATATCTCCACCCTATCTCGTATGAAAACCACTGCTCTCGATAGACCCGAGCGCTTTGCTGCTAGAGTCATCGCTGCGTCTCGGGGTGCCCAGAAGACCAATGTCCATCAGAATAAGCACCATTGGAGGCTGGAGGAAAACGGATGGGATGTCCCTGGACCAATCGAAATCCCAAAGACTCCTGAAGTCGAATGGGCCAAGTATGGTGTGCCACCAATGTACAGAAACCCAGAGCTTGTCGCTGCCCAGGCCCAGGCAATGCAGATGTTGCAACCAGCGCAGACGTCTTCAGCTGTCCAAGATATTATCAATCCTAATTCTACCAGGATGACAACAAGAGCTACCAACTCAGCTGCACGATCCGCAGCTGCTTCCAAGCCAACGACCCCCGGTGGATTCAATATTCGAACTGGTCTTGATATGGTGTCAAGACAAAAAAAGAGCTCCATGATGGCCTATTCGAATCCATTCGTACACGATTTCAATACACCTGCTCGTTCCAGTCGCCTCTTGTCCGTTGGGTATGCGTCCTAGGAGACCCCTACCTCCAGCGGAAACCGGGAACCGGAGCGAATCATTCTCCCATATCTAGGGCGACCCGATGTTTCCCCGCCTCGAAATAGGGACGAGACAATTGCCTTTTTAGAAACCTTTCTCGACGCTAAGACCGTCCGAAGGGCTGAAAAGGCTGTGCCGCCGGTAAAGTCCTCCAAGAAAGGAATCAATTATAGCCGAAGCGATCGTGAGATCATGAACCAATTTGCAGACGATAGTATGGATCTCAATACCCCTACGTCTTTTGGAACACGGTCTCTTGGTAGAAGACATGCTTCACTCCCCACTCATCTTGTCGGAAACGCCTCATGCGTGGGGAGCCCAAACTTTGTCAAGGGGGAGGATACTCCCCCGTCTACCAGTCGTCGTCTAGCTCCTACCACGGCCATCGCGACTCCACCTTCCAATCCTCGCCCTGTTCATGGTTCCACCTTCCTAACCAGAAGACAGATAATTGAACAGGCGAAGCGGTATAATGACACACCGTTTGAAGACATTTAAACCAACCGTCCTTATCTCTCTACCATTATTTCCGATGAAACATCCGCCCTAAGCGTGATCCGGATACGGTTCCGACACTATGAAACTCTCTATTCATTCGCGCACATGTCTTTCGCCAACTTATATTCTTTATTAATCCGATTTCTTTATCGAGCATTTGGCGGGCGTACCTCTTTTTTCTTCTCTTTTTTTCTCTTTTTTTTTTTCTATCCGGGCTCTGTTCAATATCGAATTCTCGCGATCGCTTCTCCTCCCAAAATGCCAAAACCGCTCAACTTTTCTCGGGCACGAAATCGAAAAAATAGTGCATCGTTTCTTCTCTTTAATTTTCCTTTTTTTATCTTTTTACGACGGTGGACTGATTGCGTTTTATCAACTGTTCATATTTCTTATCACAACGATCGGGGAACCTGACGAATATTGCAGGATACCACCGTTCCAAGTTACCTCTGAGCAAACCATGGGCTTATTATTTCCATAGGTATGCTTTTAAAAAAAAAACAATCTCATCTCTTTTACGCACGCGTTCTGTTTATTTTCCTCATATGGAATCGTATCCTCACATAAACTTCACAAACAAAAAAAAAAAAAAAAAGAACTTGTTAGTATTCTTTTTAATGCTGGGGTTGCTTCTTCTCAATATGTTTTACCGATAGAAATGCTGGGTGGAGGATGATGTCCCGTTTTTACGCTTTCTTTACTATTTCGACGAAACAAAAGCTTCTTCAAAAGCAATGGAAGGCAGAGACCTAAAAAAAAGAATGCATGTATTTAGAACTTCGGAAGGGAAGGCCATTGAAGCCTTTCAAAAAAAAAAGGTCTCGGAGGCCCAAAAACCAAAAAATCTGGGAGTTTTTTTATCAAAAATAAAAGAATGACATGACGGGGATTCCTTTATATATCAATATCTTCCACCTATACATATTATTAGTCCTTTCTATATAGTTTTGGGTATATATATACATACTACATACATATTACATATTTCTACATATACTTACACACGATTTAATTTACTAGAGGTTTCCGTGCACCCGGGTTGTGGAATTGACTATGTATGACCTGATAGTGGGCTGTGGCGATTGAAGCCCGAACCCGAACCTGTTTACGGGATGCGGGATCGGAGATGGGAGATTTTAGGTGTGCCCCGCCATCCATCCGAACTCTCCAACATCCCACCTTCCTAAAATTTTCTCCAACACCCGATTTGAAGCATATCCACAACTTGCACATTCGGGACTTCGATTGTATCACTATAGCTGATTGTCAAAGGTATGTTCGAATATAAAAACCCTCCTAGAATCTTTCTTTCTTTTTCTTTTCTGTATCTATTCTTATTTGTTTTGTTTTTTACCTCTGAGGGGATGCTAATTTCGTTCTCGACCGTACTGAACTATAGACAGCTTCTTCCAACATCAAAAACCAACGTCATAAAAACCCCACTGTCCGTCAATATACAATACAATGTCGTCCATTGACCGCTACTCCACCCCTCTCGCGGGTCGCTGGAACTCCAGCAATGACATGGCTGTCTTATTCTCCCCAAAGACCCGTTCTACTACCTGGAGATACCTCTGGCTGTGGCTCGCCAAAGCCGAAAAACAATTGGGAGTCGATATCTCAGACGAAGCTATCGCCCAGATGGAAGCTTCCGTTGAAGTCAATGAAGAAGATCTCAAAGTCGCAGCAGAGGAAGAAAAGAGGAGACGACATGATGTTATGGCTCATGTTCATGCTTATGGACTTAGAGCTCCGGCTGCAGCTGGGATTATTCACTATGGCGGTATGAATTAAATCTCCCCACCTTCCTCTTCCCCCACCTATCTTTAATATCAATATACACTGTCAAATCAAAATCCATGACCCTCAGCTAACCATAGCTCTAACAGCAACATCATGCTACTGCACCGACAACGCCGACTTGATCTTCCTGCGCAAAGGTTTCGACATCCTCATTCCCAAACTCGCAACCTTAATCGACCGTCTCTCCAAATTCGCCGTCGAACAAGCCGCCACTCCAACCCTAGGCTACACCCACGGCCAAGCAGCCCAACTCACCACCGTCGGAAAACGCACAACCCTCTGGATCCAAGACCTCCTCTGGGATCTCCGAAACTTCATCCGCGCGAGAGATGATTTAGGTTTCCGTGGCGTCAAGGGTACAACGGGTACCCAAGCTTCTTTCCTTGCCATCTTCCAGGGCGATCATGATAAAGTTGAGAAATTGGATGAGTTGGTTACCGAAATGGCTGGGTTTAAATATGCATACCCCGTTACGTCGCAGACATACTCTAGAAAGATTGATATCGATGTCGTGCAAGCTTTGGCTGGGTTCGGAGCTACAGCCGAGAATATAGGAACACAGATTCGATTGTTGGCATCGAAGAAGGAGATGGAAGAACCATTTGAGAAGGATCAGATCGGTAGCTCGGCTATGGCTTATAAGAGGAACCCGATGAGGTCGGAGAGAATATGTTCTCTCGGAAGAATGTTGGGGAATAAGGCGAATGATGCTGTAAGAAACCAATCCTTTTATCCCCCCCTCCTCCTTCTATAACCTAACATTACATACAAACTAAACAAAATTACCTTTTTTTTTCCACATAGTTGGCAACCTTCCGAACCCAATGGCTCGAACGTTCTCTCGACGACTCTGCCATCCGCAGAATCATGATCCCAGAAGCCTTCCTCACCGCCGACGTCCTCCTCTCAATCCTCAACAACGTCGCCTCGGGTCTAGTAATCTACCCAGCCATCCTAAACAAACACATCAAAGAAGAACTCCCCTTCATGGCCACCGAAAACATCATCATGGCCATGGTCGCCAAGGGTGCAAGCCGACAAGATACTCACGAAGCTATTAGAGTACACTCCCACGCCGCCGGTGCCGTCGTAAAGATGGAAGGTGGTGATAACGATTTAGTCGAGAGGGTTAAGAAAGATTCTTTCTTTGAACCTGTTTGGGCAGAGTTGGAGGAACTATTGAAGCCTGAGACTTTTGTCGGAAGGGCACCGGAGCAGACAAGGAAATTTGTAGAGAAGGAGGTTGCAGAGGCGCTGAAGCCCTTGAGAGAGTCGATGAAGGGAGTGGTCGAGGTCCAGTTGACAGTGTAAAAGAAAAGGACACGAATGGAATACGGAAGTGGAATAATGTGGTTTCTGGTGTGGAGGCGTTCGAGTGGACTTTGTGTGGGTTTGAAGAGTTAGGCTTTGTGATAAGTATTCTTGTTTCGATGCATAAAATGAAAACAAAATAAACGAAAAAGTTTGTAATTTAATTGACATCGTATCTACGATTAAACCTCCCTATCCAGGGTTACCAAAAATGATACACACGGATTGTAATCAAAGGGTATAATCGTGAGATTCGCATGGGAAATATCTACAAAATGGGGGGTTCGGGGGGGCAAGGTCCCGAGACAGATGCAAAAGGGCTCAGAAAGAGAAAACAGGGCATAGGGGGATTATGCACAGACAACAGCAGATGGGCATCTCGAACAGTAGGAACAGACCCTCAATAAATCACCGCTACCGACCTGGCGAAGAAACGGAAGAAGGCGACGCCATTACCTCGAAGATGTCCAAGTAGCAATTGGGATATTTGGGATTCATGCAATAGAGAACGAAGGACAAACAAAAGAAGCCCCAGGATATTCCACCCAAGAAAATGACTTTAGAAAATAATGATAGCCCTCAGATACCGCAGTAACGACATAGAAAGAGAAGAAGGGGAAAAAAAGCATTGTTCGTTTCATCATAATCCAAAGCTTAGCGTTGTCGTAGAATTTCTATAGGAAAAAGAATTAGCTCAAACCCCCCCCAATCAAATAATAAAAAAACAAGAAACCATTCATCCAAAATAAAAAGTATTGAGCAGCAACTCACCCGTCAAGAACTGCTCAAAACTCAGTGTAATATATCCATCTCTGTCCTCGTCGTACTTCTTAAAAACTTCTGTCATTCTCTTTAGCGAAATACACGACTGAACAAACAAATCGAATGATATCGCATTTTTCCCTCGCTTGTCGTACGATTTGAATAGAATTGTGACGAATTGCGGTGAGAGACGGTAACCAAATGCCGAAAGAGCGTTAGAATACTCCTGATAGCTGATGTTGCCGCTGCCGTCGGTGTCAAATCGGTCAAAGAGGGCACGCCAGGCGGCTAGGAAACCCCAAAGTCCACTTTTGCATTTCATGTTAGCACCTTAAACTATACGCATACACTAGGGAGAAGACATGTCATACCAAAATTCATTGAAACCAATCGTGCCATCACGATCCGTGTCAAACATTCTTTAAATTTAAACACCATGTGTCTTAGCCACGTTGTCCGAATTTCTGTGCAACCTCGGCTCTGCATGATCTTACCTGATCATCATTCGTACAGTATGTGGGTCGAAAGAGGTCCAATCACCGTTAACCAGAGCCGCCTGTAGTTCCTTCTCACTTAACTGTCCGCTGCCTATTATGTAAAAATTAAAGAAATAATGGCTACTTAGTCATCCAAATTTCCGAAAATCTTATATCACTCCAATACCGAAAAAAAAAAACATAACATACCATCCTTATCAACCGCCTTGAACAACGGGTACAATGTTGGATCGGCTCCTTGTGGTGGTGCAGGTGTTGGTGGAGGTCTCGAGCTACCAGGTCTAGCAGGAAGACCTGCAGCAAATCCCGTATTGTTATTATGTCCAGGTGGTGGTGACTGGGGGAATCCACCAGGAATGGGACCCGGTGTGCCTCCATGTGACGAATGACTGTATGTTCTACTGGGACCATGGATCTGCTGCTGCTGCTGTTGGGGGATTGGTGGCTGCGGTTTTCCTCCGTAACCACCATGGGCACCGTATTGGTTATTTGAGTATTGGTTATTGTACTGGTTGGTATTGTATCCGCCTTGGTTTTGGTTTTGGTTTTGGGGAGGATATGAGGGTTTTCGGTTTCCTTGACCGGAGAGGATTTGAGCAGCTGTATTGTTTTGAAAGAAAGACGAGAGTTAGTAACCGAGCGGAATCGATAGAAGAGACTAGTTTATGGATATGAAGGGTTTGGTAGAGATATATACCTTGTTCCGGCTCTGCGTGGATTGGCAAGTCGTCTAGATGACATTGTCGAGTTCGATGTCAGCATTCATCCAAACATCCGCTTGACTGTGATGGTGATGGTGGTGGGGGAAGTCGAGTCGAATCGAATCGAGTCGATGGCGATGGCTTGGCGGGGTAGCACAGTGCATGTGGAAGCCATCCGGCATCCAGACAAAGACAGTTAATTACGCACCTGGATTCGAATGATAATAGGCCATTTTTGAAGCGCTTCCCGATGGAACAAGTTTTTCCCGCTGTTAGTGTTTCTGGAGGAAATCAAAGGGATGAATTCGAAGGTGACGATTTTGAGGTTGGGTGGGCTGGCGGGCTGGGGTTATTATCCTTTCTGAAGCAACAGATCCTTGGAAGCAGCCAAAGTAGCCAAGCAACCCTTTCGCCTTATCGACTCTAGTCAACGTTGGTTCTCGCAGTAGCTACAAACAAAGCCCCAGTCTGGTTCGCGGCGTATTTGAGTCCTGTAAGGTGATCTTTCAGATGGAAAGAGGTGAAGGATGGTACGAGATGAGATGAGATGAAGAAAGGGAAGGGGAGGGGAGAAGAGAGGAGAGGAGAGGCAGATATCTTGATATCATGATACGACGGTGTGACGATATTCCGCCTGCTGCACGGCTTGTTCCCAGCCAGTCGGGTCATTCAGCCAGTCGAGTCAACAGGTACGTACCGACATCCATACATCTCCACGCATATGCGTCTATCAGGAGGGTTCAGCCTTTTATCTCTTAAGGTTACTAATTAAGTACTTAGCACTTAGAAGCAATGCATTATTTGACTCAGCATATGCATAAAGAAATAAACAAAGGAAAAAAGGACTCTATAGTATCATCGGCATGGTACGTGGTACTTCTGCTTGCCGAATTCGAGATACCAATGTGAGGCTGAGATACATGTCCCCGACCAAAGTAGGTACATACAGTCATCATCCCACTAGCTAAGGAGAAGAAGAATCGTCGCTTCTGCTATAAAAACTTCAAGCCTCATTCGCTCACTTACTATAATATTCATCTAGCTGCTAGCTATTCCGGGAAAGGATTCCCCAAAATAGGAATACAATCGTATCCCATCTCTTATGTCATGTTCTCAAGGGCGGCGGTGCATACAGTGCCGTTAACTTTGAGTATCCACTCCCATTAATATTATCTGCCTGGCTCTCGGACACATCTTTGGGTCCATACAATCGGCGCAATGCTTGCATCTCCTTCTCCGACCCTAAGAATAAACATACGTCAGCTCCAAATCCTACAGTTTGTGCCGGTCAACATTCACGACGAAAAAGAAGGGCGGAAGGAAGGGTTCGGTAATATTAATCTTCAGACAAGGGACAGCAGGGGACTCTTGTCTTTCGGAGTTCGGCAAGCCCCTCCAAGCTGGCTAAGCTAAGCTGGTTCAGCTGGCTGAGTCTCCGGGAAAACAACAGCTTCTAGTAAGCTTATATTAATATACTGACAGACATGTTAACCGTCCCTCGTCAACTCGGGGACGACAGTGTATAAAATATATTACAGAAATGTCTTCCGAGGCCATGCCGACGGATGATATTTTAACATGCAAAAACATCCGTTTTACATAAAACACCGACAGACCGCTGAGTCCTAGCATAACCAAGTTAGCTAGACGAGAACTGACAAAGTCATAGGACCGGTTCGATGCCTATGAACTCTCCTCAAAGATTTAGGGCTGTCATACCCTTTCATTTTTTTTATCGCGCACGTGTTAGTGCCCATCGCATCAAGATCTTGCCTAGCGACTCCATGCGCTTTAGCCTGAGGCTTCCTGCGCCAGGCGACGCCGGTAGGCGACAAGGCATTTCAACGTCACTTCAACACATATTAATTCTGGCAGATATCATGCTCCATTAATCTAACCGTAGGACGATGCCGTACACTTTCTATCGGTAATTATATATATATACATACTTAGGTATATATAATAGATCTAGCTTCGACGACCAGAGTGGTTAAACCCGAGCCCTAGAGTAGAGCTTATAGGTAGAGTTTGTACTTTATTATATTATATCTCATATGATATCTGGGAACGAGCGAGGCCATATCTGCACACACTGTTTAGATTGAATTCGAAATCCATGGATTTGGGTAGTTTAGATTAAAGAATTTAATGTTGTATCTTCGATTCGAATCATTGATAATTCTTAACTAGCCTGGTTTTTTAATAAAAAAAACTATATACCTTCTATTAGAAGAAAAGGTCAAATCAATCTAGTTCTCTATGATCCAGCTAGACCCCAGTCCGATTCATGGAATCTATTCAGTCAAAATTTCAAAATAGAGAATCTTAACACCAAATTTGCATGCAGAATTAGTAAAGTCGATGTGGTCTCCAGAAATTCTTCGGCCCGAGCTGCGGCATTTCTGAAATACTGTTTCTCACGTGAGGAGCCTGATCTTGTTCCGATTGAAGATCCGCATTCGCATTTTCTCCTACTATAGGACAACCCAAGCCATCTAAATCCCCGCCTTCGTATATCCCATTTTTTTCCAAGTTAGTGTCAAAGTCTGCATACCCGTCGGAACTGTCCATGCCTGGCCCGCCTCGCCTTTTCCCTCGGGTGGCCTGGTATTCGCATTCTTCGGCAACCAAGCCTCGATTGTTGAAATAGAGACTGGTTGTTTCCGCTTCCTGGCTTCGGTCTTGGTTACTGCCTAATGAGATCTGTGCCGCCCCCAACAAGTCACTCCAAAGGACACCTTCTTTGGGTGGGTAAGCATGTTCGCTCCCCGATGCTGGGACACCAGCTTGGTACAACACAGGGTGGTCATCCATAGTAATGTTATCATTTCGTATTGGTTGCTCGAACGTGAACCTATCGTTTAACCCGCCGGCTAGGTGCCGCGGGTCTGGATCATGCCAAGGTTGTATATCAGTCTCTTCTTGCAAGCTATAGACGGGCCTACCAAAAATTTCGTCATGGGGTCCGAAAGACTTGTGGGGCTCGCGAACCACATCAGATTGCCAACGAAGGATGGATCTCTCCACCTGGGACCGTGGTAGGGATATATTTGCACCGCCCGTTATTACACTCTCATCGGGGTGAATACTCAACCTCTCTCCAACACCCGCATCCCTCTCAACTCTGGCTTGTAATATTGGCGAGTTGGCTGGTATCTTTGCCGAGAGGGGGTTCGGACCGCCGCCCAATCCATTAAACTCACGGACTGATGACCCTAGGAAGGAGCGCTTATCGCGAATATCACTTTCTAGTTCTTGTTGGTATTCTCGAGACGTTCTTTCGAGCCACTTCACGACTGGATTGCCCGTCTCTGAAGATGTAGCCTGTTGGCGAATTCGATGCGTATTTCCGGAAGAATTGACGGAAAGCGATCCAAAAGTAGGTTGCTCTGAGTGGGGTACTCGGTAGGTCGGGGTATAGGTGGATGCTTTGCTTCGATTTGGTGAGTTTTGTAGGTAAGAAGGGGAGCAAAACAATTTTCTTTCTAGCAGATCCCGTGCATTGTTTTCCTGGTCATCCCGTGACAAAATTTTGTAGTGGCTTGCTGTTGGATGGTTTTCTGGTTGGCTATTGCTCTGTTTTGATTTTTCTCGTACTTCTAGTGGCGCTGCATAGTGCTTAGCACGGCTCGGGAGAGGGCCTGTGTTCTCGTTTCTGAGAGGCGAAGCGGCTCTCTTGAAAAACGATGATATCTCTTCATTAGTAGTGTCACGTTCTGTCCGCCTTTTACCATTGCCTTTCCCCCCCCCAGTTTGCTGAGCCGGGCGGCTCTCTGATGGCCCATTTCTTAAGAAGTCCATTTCGCAGAACGTAAGATCGGGAACTAGATATAATCGTCAGTCAGATTAGTCATTCCACAGAGATAGGTTGTATCGAATAATGTTGAGCGATAGAATTCTTACGGGCCGCTCGACTCTTGAGTCCAGATATTCTTCCTTTGTGGAATAACCCGGTAGTAATTCGCGGTCTCACCTATGGATATGAAAAAATTAGATGGTGCTTAACTCGGATAAGGGAAAATGTGGAGAAATTCAACGTACCGTCAATCTTGCACCCGATAGGTGCTCCGATTCAACCGCCGACGACGCCAAAACACCAAAAGCTGGCTGTGGTAGTCTAGGCTCCTTTGCCTTGCCTTTCTTCTTCTTTCCATTTTGGCTTTCCTTTTTTTTGCTTGTACTCGCGGGTTTCTGCCGAGACTCATGCATCTTGTGCCTCTTTCTCCTTTCAAAAGCCTCCCTTGCGGCAGTCACTCGCGAAGTATCTGCAGGTTTTCGACCGGATGATGTGGACCAAGATACATATGTTGTCTCGGATCCGTATCTGATGCCATCTTCCGCACTATTCTCCTTGATTGGTGATATCAAAGAGCTATCATAGCGTTGGCGTTTTCTTGATACCGTTTTGGCAGTGAGCGTCAATGCAGGCCCAGGCGACTCGTCACTCTTCCTATCACACTTTGACCAGGTTTCTGTGCGATATTAGCAAATCAAATGTTAGCTCTCATCCAAATGCATTCTCAACACATGCATTCGTAAATCCGAGGAAATATTATCATGCAATAGCATTCAGCTTCTTCACCTATCGGCGACCTCTTTTCATTTTTCAAGTTTGAGGGTCCTCGGCATTGGTGGAAATTGAAGATGGGCTGCAGTATTTGGGGTTCTCACCTTTTGGTTGGATGTGACCCTGGGCTGCACTTCGAGAGGGACCAGCTGCTTCTTCGCCCAGTAAGATGATCGATGATTTTCTTGGGGAAGCGGGATTGTCCGTTTCGACGTTCTCGTCTCCACTTTGTCCAGGAGGATAGGCAACTTGTTCGGCCACGTATGAAGCGACATGATCAAACCCCCTCTTTCTATGCCTCTTTTGCAAAAGCGATAACGATGCACTTGTCAGTGGCATCGCGTGAGCCTCTTGCATTCCTAAATCCAGATTATAGACGTATCTATATATGCACAAGATCGGGACGAGGCTGCGGGTAGCAGGCAAGGCAGAAAGACAAGTAATGGATATCTTGGGTTTGAAATCTTCCTTTGTTTCCCTTGCAAATCACAGATTATATCTGCAGGGTTCTTCAAATCGTCAGGCTTTTCGGATGCTGAAGGAGGCGGGGTGCGCACTCGTATCTCGGGCGCTCCTCCCGCGCGAGATCCAGCCTGGGTTTGAATTCCTGGTTTCTAGACGTGTGACACCTTGAGATGGCACGGGCCTGGCGAGCAGGATGCGGGACGAGAAACGGGAAATTGAGTGCCAATGGTGGGTGCATGAGCCGAGCTGGGACCAAACCCCAATCCAGGGATCAGCCTCCAGATTGTTCAAGCTTGTAAGCCGATAAGCAAGAGCACGCAAGAATTGTGACCGAACGGGAGCTTAAGAGGACCTGGTTAGCTGCGGGATTTCCTGTGAAACCCGCGATCTTCCAAAGTCTCCACACGTCAAGCGGAAAGCCGGCGCAGCCGACCCGTTCCTGGGAGGCAACTTTTCTTCAATGTAGAAGTGGAGAATTGTCGCTCTTTAATTTCATAAAATTAAAGAAATGACCTTCCAACTGGAGTAGGAGGAAGAGAAGGAGGAGGAGCACCGACTTCTTTTTTGCGATTGATCACAATGTGACTGAGAGGGCTCCTGGAATTATTTCGAATTAACTGCGAATGGTCAGAAAAATTGGTACGACATTACAATCCAAGGAGTTACACTAGTCCGATGGTGAGGTGGTCGGCTGATGGATTGACTGATTGATCAGATTGAAAAGGTGTGGTAATATAATCCCGGAAGAGGTCCTTGAGATGGATGGATGGTGTTTAGCAGTGATGGTAGTGATATTGGTGGTGGTGGTGGTGGTAGTAGTAGTAGACGGACATGTAATATTTTATGAATCGCATTGGAGACAGGCTCTCGCTCTCGTCTCGAAGCGCTACCAAAAAACGTGGAGTTGCGAGATCTGCGGCAGTCTCCACAGAGACCGTGCGAGCCAACGACGACGACATGGCCAACGCACACAACACAAGGGAGTCTGAGGGCCTGGCCATGGCTGTTGGGACCGAATGGGCTATCGATCTATAGATACAGCCATCGGCTGAAATCCAAAATGTCAGTCGATATCGATATCATAATGGTAAGACAAAATGATGCATCATAATCACGAGAGAGTTTGGGAACACATGGTGGGAACACACTGGTCTTCCGATTAGAGATGCGATAGCCAGGAAAAGCCTAAAAGTATCGTTTGGTATCCAGTACGCTGAACGAACCATGCATATTTTTCGGGTAAACTTGACATGAATGGCTGCATCATATTTTTTGAGTGCATAGAGAGATTGCATTGCATGATGTGGTCGAAAAGCGGAGGAGGAAAGCTCGGAGCGAGGGACCCTGGACTTCTCTTTCGAAATTCGCAAGTATCAAAACCTCGAAGGAGGGGAGGGGCTATGAGAGCTAACTACGACCTGGTTAGACATGTAGGCAATGCAATGATAGCTGAACTAGCTGGGGAGGGATACACTACTACGGAATAAGTCGCCGGATAGTAACCCAAGATAGTCAAGAAAAGTTGGTTTACGACATTTATGTATGTACTTGTGGGTTGGTGCCACGGTCTTCTTTCCAAAAACCCGTAAGCTGACCTCCTGGCCACTTTGTTCAGACGAACTTTAATGGAAAATAATAGTAGTAGTAGGACGAATCGATCAAATAGAATGCCCAGAAGTGAGAAAAGTTGGATGGATGTCTATGCATGCATTTCAGTTGCAGGTGACCAGCAAGTCTGTGCCTTGGTTCTGACCCTCCTCTCAGATCCTCCTTGTCCTCCCCATTCTCCTCGTAAATGCCCACCTCTTTCTCCCATTGTGCGTTAAAAAAGGGAATGGTTCAAGGATGTAGAAAGAACCTTGGTCCTTGCAATATTATGGAATCTGCTTGCATAATAGTATCTGCAAACAACGCATGAGAACCCACTTCTTTTGAATCGAAGAAAGTCTATCGTATCATCTCTTTTTTATTTTTCTTTCCACTTCGCCTTGATCACGTTGATGGGCCTCGACCCCGCTATCCACAATGTTTCATTTCCCGCTCTTGACGATGCGGTAGACCCTTATCCAATGAAGACTGGCCATTTTCCAGAAACGAATTCGATGGAGAAATCCGTACGATCTGAATCGCAATTAGTTGCTTGGTGGTTGGTGGCTCGGAATCAAATTCGCCGACAGGGAGTGGATAAGGTCCATGATGGATGGATGTTTGTTGGGTGCGTGGCTTCCAAGGTCTCAGATCGGATGTGATCAGGAAGTATATGAATCAGTGCAGAGATCAGGAGACTGGGTGAGATATTTAAATCACTTTTGAGCCCGGACCCAATGCCTTGGACAAAGGCGGGAGAACCGAGCGGTTATACTTCCGCATTTTCTTTCGAGACTCTGATTCCAACAGACTGGATCGATATTATCGCCGGATTTGATCGAAGATGCTGGATGGAATGTTCGAAAAAAACAAAGAGGATCCGAAGATACGGAGAGTAGGGCTGCGAAGCATGAGACACCCAGCTTTCCTTGCGATTCTTAGGGAAGCAGCAGGGGAAAGCGGCGTCAGTTCTTGACTCGAGATCTCCGGTCTAGACATCGACATGTTTCGGGCAACATGGGAACTCTAGAGATCGATCCTCAAGCTTAAGCTCAGCTGAACAATAGCAAAGGTGGCTTCTAAGGTACGTACGTAGTTCAGTATACCCCCCTTACGCTAGGGTGAAAATGAGGAGAACGATTCTTAATTTGCAGTCACCGAACAACTCCACCAAGGGATGTACTCGAAACCCAGAGAGACAAGTTTTCCAAGCTATGCTACTCGAGGGTAGAGGCTATCCATCTTGTTGCAAATCGACCTTGCCTTGAATTAGAAACCGGGAATAAGCGACTCAGGAAAGAAAAGAAAAGAATAAATGCAAGGCCTCGATCCACATTTGGCACCTTCAACCTCAACCCGTAGCAGTGGCTATTGGCTGAAATGCATTTAATTGGTGTGTCAGGTGACCTTGCCGTACCCAGATGCAAGTTTTCTAGCGTTGCATAAGTCCGTGGGTTAGGCAAGTTACATGCAGCTAGGGTTTGGTTGGAGGCATGGTTCTGTGCCTCGAGCTCTTAACAAAATTGTGTAGAACTAGTTGTCCATCACTCATGCAAGGCATCAGATGGTCGGCATTTTTGACGGGACTAAAAACGAAGAACAAGAGCGATTTAAGTTTTTCTTTCCTTTTTGATGGAATCGTTCAAAAGAAGGGTTGTATATCCGAGACAAGACGAAGCATGTTTGGTTTGTATGTACGTAGTATGTAGTAAGTATGGGATGTAAGTTTGTATGCATTGTATGGATTATCAAGTTGGGAGGAAGCCTTATGCTCGTTTAGCTCTGCTCGGAAAGATACAACATCCAAGTTTTTTTTTCTCTTCTCTCTCTGTTGAAGAAGATACCCACCACCAGCTACGCTAGTAAGTACGTCATCTGGGAAAGAAAGACCAACAACTCTATTGGATGCTGCGCCCTTGTCTAGCTTTATTCACGGACAGGGAACTTCAATATCGATGAATATGAAATCGCCGGACATGGCTAAGCTTCATACTTAGTCGCATACATTCAGATCTTTCTTACCAGGGCCGAGTGAAACAACTGCGATATCAATCTCATAAAAATCTTTCCATGGCTCGTCAGCTGAAGGTTGAACCCCGAGAATGCCCGGGGAATAAATGAATGAATGGGCCATTCTTCTCAGAGACAATAACATGAGCTAGAGATAAATGAAGGACCGATTGGCGTTGGAAGTCTTCGAGATGGCCGAGTTTGAACATGAGACAGTTCCTTCGCCCTCATGACTACAACAGTAGTAGAACATGTTTCCCTGTTGCGTTAGTAATTGAACCTTATAGACCTTATCGGATCCGAACTACCTCAACTGTGCAATTAGGAAAACCTATCGAGGAAGAAGAAAAAACAATTATGGGAAACGCAAAAACCTAGATTGAGGGTGAACGCCCGTGCAAAGTTTATGTGTGTATGGCCTCCAAAAATATGATGTAGGGTTGTTGAAGAAAGAAAAAAAAAAAAAAAAAAAAAAAAAGGAAGAAGAAGACGACGAAAAAGCAAGGGGAAAGTGCTGAAAGAATGGTTTCGAAGAGCCCTTCAAGTTCAAAGTGGAGGGAAAGGGAGTTCGTAACTTGCTTTTTGATAGTATCCAAGGAGCTTGTAAGTTCTGAGGAAACGTGAACGAACACATGCATCCTGCACCCATAAAAGCACCGTAACGACCCCTCAATTTGACAAAGGATACAACCTTCCAGCGTAGTGCACCGAATATCTGGATTTGATCTCTCGCAAGCAGCACAAATTAACCCTGGGCCACCCAGTTCTGGCCTTACTTCGTTTTTTTTTTTCCTACCCCGCCGCCTTCGATCACCTCGCCTCTTCCGCTTTGTGCAAAGTCGAGGCTCTTCTCCGCCGTCATACTCGTTAAGCTTGTACGCTGTACGCACGTGCCGATTTGGTTCTCCAACCTGTACCCAGCTAGATTTCCCGGTGAAGGGAAAGAAAAGAAAAAAAAGAATTAAGTGTGCGTATAATGTTCCTTTGGTCTTCTTCCCCACGTTGGAGGCACCGCAAGGTGTACCTTTTGGCTTGCATTTGTTCTCGCCTCCGTTATTGCCATTACCCCTCCAAGACCTAAAATTTTCCATACCTATTTTTTATTTTTTTTGGGCTTGTGCAAGGGTCACCCACCGGCCAAGGTAAGAAAGAGTACCAGTATTTCCAGTAAAGCAATACCATTGGGAGCACAGGGACGAAAAACGCATCAGAGGAGGAAACGCCCAATAGAAGCCAGCCAGCAGGGCGACCCGCCTAGCTCCTTAGTTGGGGTTTGCAAGGAACGAACTTCGCCTTTTGCACTGCGCTAGAGTGTTGTTCACGATTAGCCTGTGCTCTGCCTTTAGAAATCATTGGCCTCTATGCCCTTGGACTTGCAGGAACTGAAGCAGAACCAACCCCTCATGGCTCTTTCGGAGAAATCGGGTTCTGTTCAGCAATGGATATTAGAAATTGCGAGTGCAAACGAGACGAGTCCAAGTTTGATCGAGTCCACGAATGAAATTTGAGGGAACTGGGCCTGATCAGCCAGAGGAAGGGGCAAGAGAGCGGAAGACGAAGCGAGCAGAAAAAGCAATCTCAGAAAGAAAGGCCTGTCATTCGGTGCGATTCCAGTATAGAGTGCGCTATACATTAGGGTTGCGATCCGTAGAATCAATGATATCAAAATCATAAGTATTGTTGACCTTGCTTGTTATATGCAAGTCTTTTAGCTGCAGCCAACATCCGCCGCGGCTGCTCTAGCTGCCCAAGCTGCTGCTGCTGCTGCGAGGAGAATGGAGCTAGTATGCTAGTATGCTAGCAGTATGGCTTGTTCACTCGCGCACGCCGTCTCTGCCTTTTCGGTTATCCCTTTCATTGAGATATATCGGGGCATTTGCTTGGATCCATTCCGTTTTGAAGCTTTAGTTCTAACTTACCAAAATCATGTCCCTTTGATTCATTTCCCGACACCAATGAGATCTCAGAGATCGTGTGCCACAGCTGCTGACTGACATAGTCTCATCTGCCTTATCGAGGCCAGGCCCGTTCGAAGTTCGTCCATCCCGTTCGATCAGAAAAGTCCGCTGCTGTAAAAGCTAGAAAAGCCCTAGTAGAAAAGGCACGAGTTCGCCTGTGCACCAATATTTTCACCATCACCATATTCCTCGACAAGAAGGACAATTTTGCATGGGGAAATAAGATAGAAAATAAAAATAAAAAAAAGCCATCTAGCTTGTCACTCTTCACTTTCACTCAACCACGCCTCAAAGGACTTCTCTCGCTCGTCAGGAACTCCTTTCGGTAAAGTTGAAGAAAAGGAAGGTAGCAAAAACCTTAAGGATTCTGAAGAGCAGGTCGAATTGGCAGGCTCATCGAGAAGCCCACAACGGACGACGACGAACGAGTTTCTATCGGTCGACAACAGAAATTTTTATAAGGGAAAAAAATAAAATAAAATAAAATTCATAACAACTTCTCTGAGGAGGTTGTTATAGGAAAAAAATATCCAGGAGGCAGCTGAGATTGTTCACAACAGCTCCTTTCTTTCTTTCTCTCTCTCTTTCCATCCTTTCTTTCTTTTTCGACCGTCTTGTCATTGGGGGAGGCATTTCGAATCAGAAAACAGGTACATACGCTTCCTAAAAACCACCATCTTTTTTCGACACCCCGCCTCGAATCAACCCAGGTATCCCACTCTTTCGACATCGGTCTGCCTCTTTAGTGCCACACTTGTTCTCAAAGAGTTCCTTGAGAACCGGGCCAAATCTTAAGACAAAAAAGATAGTCCTTTACCTCTCTCCAATAGTTCCGTCGCCAGCAGGGAAGCACAGAACGGTGCTGCTGAAAAAGTAAGCAAAATATTGTTCCAAATAAGAGGTCACCGGTGAGGAGGAGACATGGGACTACCCATACTAAGCAAGTAGTACACAGCTCTCATCAAACAAAGGTACCACCGGGCGATACCGTACAAGTATTCTGCCTCTGCCACTCGTCTTGCAATTGCTCTGCCACTAGCCCCGTTCTTGCCCCTCACACTTGATCTCTCTCTGGTCCTGCCAAAGGGCACAAGTTCGAGTTCGTAGAACACAAACACACCAAAAAAAACGTCCGTAAGTCCTCTTCTGTCCCTACCCGCAGAAAAGACCCTGTCATAAGGCCAGCTCGCTGCCTGTCCTCATCTCTGCCATATCCCTCCTAAGCAGACAACGTGGAACAGTCCGTCATTTCCCCATCCCCATCCTCCCCATCCTTCTTCTTTGATCCGTTATCAAGAACGATATTCTAAAGGCGTTGTCGTTGCTCCTCCACAGTCACGTTTTTTATCTCTCTTATCATTCGCAGCTAGCAATCATGTCCAAGCTCTTTGTCGGGTAAGTTTGGCACTTTAATTCCCAGCCGGTTTTACCCAGGTTCAAAACGGTTCTGTGGCGGCCATGAGCTGCTTCAGATCTCGATATCGATCATAGACCACTTCTCTAACTCGTTCCGTGTCTTCTCTCGCGACAACAGCGGTCTTGCCTGGCACACAGACGACCAGACTCTTCGTACAAAGTTCGAGGAGTTCGGTCAGGTCGAGGAAGCGGTGAGTTTGCCATTTCCAACGAAACGCAAAAAAAAAGCTCTTCTCCCTCTCGGCTCCGGCCTAAACCCTTGTTGATACTAATCAGCTGGTTCGTTTTTCCCGGCTTCACTATAGGTCGTTGTCAAAGACCGAGATACGGGTCGTTCGCGGGGCTTTGGCTTCGTTCGATTCACAAACGAGGCCGATGCTACCACTGCGATGAACGCCATGAACAACACCGAGTAAGTTGACGCTTTTCCTCTCGTGGTTTCTGGGGATGCTTGTTGCGGCGATGGAGCTAGCTTCCGGAGCTACAGCAGCTCCCCACATCGCTCGGAAGCAGGATGGCTGAGACGATCAATTTTGATATAGGTTCGACGGACGATATATCCGCGTGGATAAGGCCTCCAGTAAGGTGGGCCAGGGTGGAGGATCCTCCTCTGGTTCCTACGGCGGTGGTGGCGCTGGTGGGCAATGGGGTCAGTCAACACTTTCCTGGGGTTATAGTCCCACGACAGATCACAGACTTACGTATATGTGGGCTCCAGGTGGCTATCCACCACAAGGACAAGGTTACGGCGGGTACTCAAACGCTGGATACGGCGGTAAGTGGTGACAATCTTGAAGAATCAAGGGTCAGTTCGACATCCAGAAGCTCCAATGCTAACTCACCTCATATGATGGCAGGCCAGGGCACTGGATACTGAATGCGAATTCGAAACTCGTTTCATGGTACGATTTACGAATTTCAACTCCACAACCTGTATAGACGCTTTCTTCCTTGCATCATGCCGTTGTCCGTTAACTGCTGGCGTATCTTTCCTTGAACCATATCTCGACGGGCGTATACGTTCTCAGTGTTGGACCGAAAAAAGATACACCGAGATTCGTTTGAATTGTATCAAATTTTGTCTCCTATACGTCTTATCATCCCTTTCTCTCTCCTTTTATTTTCTTTCTTTTTGGGTTGGATACCTGCTTTCTCCTTGTAAATCCTCCTCTCATGTACTCTTCCTTTTCCTTCGAACATCTTTCTCTTCTTTTATATCTTCCTTGCATGCAGTCTCCGTTTTATACCAAGGGCAACAAAAAAACATTGGGTGGCTATCTGCAGATTTCGAGTACTGATTGAGTATTTTCTTTTCGTTCGGGGCGGCTGCGGTGCATAATTTGTAAAAGAGATATAAACGGCGGGTTTTGTGACAAGGCAATACGCGTTTTTACCCTTTTCCTTTAAATGTCCATTTAATGCACCTTTGAAGCTTCTAAATGCATTCTTTCTTTTCTTCTTATCCACTGCTCCTGATTCTAGACTGCTGGTGCTGCGATATCAACACCAATGTGCAGTAGAACTGGATCGAACAAGGAATGTGACCAAAAGGTAGGCCAGTGGGACCGAGGAAACGAGATGTTATGGTATGATAAAGAAATGCAGGGGGATGTATATAAAGGTAAGGCCGCCATATCCTCGAGCACTGGGTATTCGAACGAGGCAAGACACTCGCCAAATATATTGACTGCAGCAGATGTTCCAGATAAAACTTTCAGAAAAGACATAAATCCAAATACCTTTGCCCGCCGATAACAATTATTTCCACCTCCGTCATCTCCAGACTTACAGTTGGTTAGGGAAGGACTCGCAAGCTTGTATATATTTCCTTGTCTGAATTTTGTACTGTATCAGTGAGTGAATGATGTCTTTTCTTTTTCTTTTTCTTTCTTTGTCTTTTTGAATCTTCTTTCTTGAATGAAAAGGTTAACTGTCCTTGTCTTTTGGGGCTTTTCATTAGAAAGTATGCACAAGTGCCTCGAGCGGAGCGGGCCTCATCAACATGCGCATTCTGATCTATAAACAAGGGAAGCTATGGCGAGCCCTTCCCGGTATTTTGCTTTGTGCAGACGCGAAAGACGATTTTTCTCTGATACAGTGCCTCGAGCGGAGCGGGCCTCGTCAAAACATGAACACTTTTTTTGTTATTTTGGTTTGGTTTAGTTTTGCAATTGTTACTGAAGTTGATACGCAAAGAATAAAGAACTGTCGCTGATGTTTCCTAGCCTTCTATCAGGTAATTATCTCAACGAACGCCAGATATGCCGGGATTGTCTATAATTACCACCGTGGTTATAATTTCCCATGCGATTGGAAGGGAAAAGTTGGATGGAGATATCAGTTGGGGTCCTTTAGAAGTCTCCCTTCAATCTCAGCAGCCGTATTCGCAAGCTCCGTGATATGAGAGTCGTGGGCCTCGGGAGCTAGTTGTTCTAATGCGGTATACAAATTGTATAGGTACTCCTTATTCTCACCAGAAGGTCCTCGAGAATTCAGGATGTGTTGCGCCAGTGCGTGAATGGACTCGGGAGGTCCGACGAATTGTGGATTGTCGGGTGTACCAATGTATACGATTGCTGATATGGGGTTTGGTACATCTTCGGACTCCTCGCGCGGGAGATTATGGTATACTGGATGTCGGTGGATTGTGTAACCGTTGATTTCACGGAGGTCAAGGTAGGCTTTTATTCTTTCTACCTAAAATCAGGCGTGAAACTCTTAACATACGAGGTCCTGCAGCGTGGACGCATGCATGCAAACACCCGAAGATGAACGCATGTTTTAGGCCAACGAGTTTTTTACTGACCTCCGCGGGTGCGATGAGATATGCTGCACCCCATACGGGCTCGTCCGTCTCGTGTGCTATCAGAGTGACAACGCGACCAGGAGCTTCGGGTGTCCCACGATGGTCCTCGCTATTGGGTATCAAGCCTTGTTAGTTTGTCCATGACGGAAAGGCCCGTTTGTGCATATGCAAGATACGGAACCCGAGGTAAGCTATGTCCAGAGGTTGCTTTTTGGGGATCCCCACCTTGCCTATAGGAAACCAATGACCTCAAAGATAATGTCCCGCTGTCAGAATACTAGTGCTCTCCATATCATCTATCGTCGTATCGATACGAGCCACGGAGTTGGGGAAACATCCCGAGACATCTAAATGCAGGGACGTCGGTAGAAGGTGTCTGGAACATTTCGGTACCTGCCAAAATCTTCGAATGTAACCTCGTTCTAGGTAACAAGGTACGCGACGGGCTGTATTAGTCGACGATATGTCCTTTGAGACACAGTTGGTAAGCTATTGTCCTTTTCCGTTTGACCAGATATGGAGTGCCAGAGATCTGGGTAGTTTGGTTGGTGGTCGCGAGGGTTGAAGAGGTTTTTGTTTTTTCTTCACACGCGAAAATTTCGGTGGAGGCCAGAACACCCCAAAGCCATGCAGAACCTAAACCGTAGCTGTAGAAAGATGAAATATCATGTCGACGGCCACTGACCAAACGTTGGTGGGGGTTTCCATATTAAACTTCTGATTTGACGGTGGCCGTTAGTGACCGTTGGAGAAGGACGCCCTAGGTATGCATGATGACGCCTAAGCGAACGAAGGCCGTGCAAGATACGGGGTCTCTGTCGATAGAATCCCGAAGGAACGGATAAGGGAGGCAGGAATCAGTGGAGGGGGGAGGAGCCATTACCCATATCCAAATATCCAGAAGTCTTCGCCGTCGTTTAAGGGATTACTCATGTCTGTGGTCGAGGGGGTTTCTGCGGGCAGGTGAAAATGGAGGTATCTAAGAACAAAGGGTACGGGGGAAAAGGATGGTGGGGTGCCTGTTTTCGATTTCTTGTCCAGGCGATGAAATTTGGGTAAAACTCGGAACAAATTTCTAGCGGGAGCGAGGGGTTTGTATGAGGTTGGGGGAATAAAAAGGTTTATGCCTTGGCTTGCCTGATCCTTTCAGATTTTATCAAGTTCTTGAATGCGGCTGGTTGCAGGACTAGCACTGAAACGGAGAGATAATGGTGATATACTTGGAGTAAGATTGTCATATTAGAAGCTCCTAATCGAATTGCATCTATTGGCTTATGTAATAGAGGCAAGGTATTCCGGGATTCGAACATCGGCACGAAGTTGTGGGGGAGGGGGGAGAAAAAAAACCGAAGTCTGTCGAACCGGAAAAGCAAAAGTGCAGCTTCCGGAGATCGATGATACAATAGAAGAACGGCGGGGTTACCGCCGATACAGGTTTGAAAAAGCAAATCGCTGAATTCGGTAAGATGCATTAGAAGTTCAATATGATTCTCTATCGTATTCGGTGATAATTAATAAATGCTTTCCGTTCTCATTCTTCCGCCTCCTCCTCGATAGCCGCTTCGCCTTCGCCGTCTTCCTCAAAAGAGGTTGGTGGAACCTCATACAGACGAATAACTTGCTTGTTGGGATCCTAAAATTTCGGTTAGCATATCGTAACCCAAACGGAGCGAGCGAGTCCTACGAACCTTGACAAGTATATATTTTCCTTCGGGCATTGCCATACACATATCAATGATTGTTCTGACGATACCCCATCCATTGCTCAAGCTGAGATTCATCTGGTTCGCGAATTCACGGGGTTTGTATCCGACGACACCCAAGACGACGTGCTTCTCACGTTCTTTCGGGTTTACTCGTGAAATAAAACTTTCAACACATTAGTATGTGGTAGGTACGTAGAAAAGTTATAGAGACCTACCCGATTCTCATGAAGTCGGTCTTAGCCAGGATGGCCTGAGTGGTCCATTTAGCAAGCTTGCAGCTGTTGTTTTTCATTTCGGTAGCAACGATAGCACCGCGGGAGGTGTGAAGCTTGTTACGCCAGCTCATAGCTCCGCCGCTGCCTTGTGCTCTCTCGTCAAACTCATTCAAAGCTTTAATCGTCACGAGATTATTCTGGCCAGAAGCCGGGTTCTTCATGACGGCATCAATCTCCGTCCTGACGATCAAATGCAGTGGTTGATCATCCGACAGGGATAGGTCGAAACGCCTATACTTGTATCCTTTCCTCGCTAGTTCGGGTTCACCTGGTGCGGGTGTATAGAAGGGGTCCTCATGTTCGAACTTGTGCTCATGCTCAGTGTCCTCAATAACAGCCTGGACAGCAAAGTTGGCATTAAGGACGGTAGCCTCGAGAGCTAATCGACCGGGTGAATTGATGTTCTCCTTGTTGCTTTCGTTAACATCCATAGGTGGGTCTGCAGCGTTCTCATTGACAGTAGCGAAGTCGATTTGAGAACCATCACGCTTATCAAAGTAAAGCTTATTTCCAACTCGATTGATAACAATATCCCAGCTGTAAACAGACCTTGTGGCACACATCAAAGTCGAGAGGACAGTATCCGTCGCAAAAATGGTGGCCTTCTCTCCATCTGCAAGCTTCTGGATGATTGGATCGCCGGATGTGGTTGGATTGTACCACGCCCTGTCAAAGATAACCAAAGGTGTCGATGTTGCTTTAGTTGCAGAACGGTCGAAAGAACGGTTGTAGTAGAACAAAGAACCATAAGACTCGACATCTTCTCCATCATCGATCTCAAGGTTAAGTTTGCCAAGGCGGTTGAAGTCGATTTCCTCCAGCATTTTCCAATCAGGCTTGATAACAACCGACGAATCTCTGTTTCTCTGTGGCTTGTCGTAATCCTTCCATCCGAATCGACGTCCTCTATTATTCCTGGGCCCTCTAGATACATCTCCCTGTTGCCTTCCAGTTTGTTGTCTGCCAAATTGCTGGCCTCTCTGGCCTCCACGGGCAGCTCCAGCAGCCCCGCGACCACGGCCTCGGAAGACGGTTCCACCACCGCGAGAGAAGGGAGTCCTTGGTTTAACATTCGATCGGTTATCAACCAAGGAGAAGCTAGCTTCATCTTCGCCTTGCAATTGTGGGAAGAGTGTCGAGGCACCAGCTCCATAAATTTGTTGGTCTATTCAGATATCTCGTCAGCACCCCCGCTAGGTCAAAGACATTTATTAGGATTATATCATGTACCTCTATAATTTCTACCATATCCACGGCCTCTTTGATCTCTATCGCCCTTGGCATCTCCAGACCAATCGGCCAGCCGTCCTAGCTTATCACCCTTTGAAAATGGGTTGTAGGGCATGCCATTGATAGTCCCCTCCGCCTCGGTTGGGTCTTGGGGACCCCACGCGCCATCCGTTGCGAGCTTGGTAATGATTTGGTTGAAAACCGGTGCCATGATGAATTCGGATTTCCTCCTGATAGATAAATTGGTATCGGATGTAGCTTCCTTCTATGAATCGGAATCGTAAGAACGGTGCAGCTGTCGACTCGATTGAAGCTGTTGAATGAATGATTGAATGAATGTTGGAAGCTGGCAAGCTTTTTTGATTTTTCTCTTTTCCTGAGTTTTCCAAATTTGTGCGACGAACAGACGCAACACATCAACACATGGCCGGCTGAACATGCTTGTCCTTTCTGTCGCGGCTCTCCACGTAACCCACTTCAATCAAGCATCCAACCTCAACTTGACCAGATCGCGACAACAGTTATCACCGTCGACGGCTCCTCCAAATCTCCCGGAACCCCATCAGATATGAACTAAGATAGCTGTAGACTAGGCTTATTCAACTTGCGATCAGAATGGATAATGCAGCTTCAGTGGTACGTAGCCCATGTCAGCCATATTTAGAATGATCGTCGTGCACCCGGAATAAACCTGTAATGTATATATGCTGACTTGAAGACAGGCCGGTCCTACTCAAGGGAGCCTAACTTGGCGGCTTTCTTCCCATCCGATTACGTTACTTTGCTTTCTGGCGTTTCGTCTATGTAACTATATCAGTATTCCACCAGTGGTCCTGGAATCTGTTCACTAACAAGCGAGCTTGCTAGCTGCGCTGTTAACATATCTCTTTGGGCTGTTGTTCACCGACAATGAGTATGGAAATCACAATACACTACCCGAAGCTTCGTTCAGGCTCGCTAACTTACTCATTTAGTGTTCTCATTTTCATTATCGTTATTCTGCTATTATCCGCCGATTTTTATTATTGTAAAAACATCGCTGGGCGTCGCCTCGTAGGGCTAAGGTATAGCAAGAGCGAAGAATAGCTGTTGGTAACAACAAAGCTAATCATGGATGGTATTTTAGATGGTGGAATGAAACAAATGGCCAAACTGGTGAACAGACTTGGGTCTTCGAGAGTGCAGACGTAGGTTATTCCTAATCACCCACTATTATACACTATCTAATCGCATTGCTTAGCCATCCCGCGTTATCAACGCCACCGATTCTCGGTTCTTTTGGTTATCATTATATAGCGTACCAGTCCTGTGGGGGCTTTTAGCTATTCTCGCACTGGTTCGATTCAAATTTACATGGTATGCTTGCCTAGTAAATCAATGACCTGGCGCCTATCAGCTCACATGTTTAATAGGCTACCCCTCGTCGCCATTGCCGTAACACTTTGTATCACGAACACCCTTGCGTTTTCCCGCTGTGACAAATTCTCCAACGCGAGCAGCATCGCAAATAGAGCTTTCTCGGGAAGTGGTATAGCTGGAACCATTGCAAGTGGTATGGTTAGTAGGTTATGGAGCAGGTAGTGCGATTCTCCGGGAATTCGGCGCCAGTTACGGTAAGAATTCGGTAAAATCTCCATCATGAGACAGGTTGGGCTTCCGCTTTCTTCCTTTTCTCCCCTCCCCTTTTCGAATTTTCTCTTTGTCTCGCACAGCTTTGTATAGTATATTTGAGGGTTAGCATGCCTGGGTTCTGAGGCTTAAAATTCAAAAGGAGGGTTTTGAAGATATCAAGTTAAATCACTATTCATTAAACATCACTGACTACCTTCCTCTACCTTTATACCAATTTGGTCGCAGGACCGCCATAACGTGATAACACTAATATTATGTACAAACGATACAATGATTGAAGATAATATCGTTCAGGGTAGCCTCGAATCTCCCTATAAGACAGAATTTGACAGGTTCCTGGTATCTACAAGCTCCGCCTAACTCAATCCAGCAACTTGAAGCCGGAAAGGCCCTATATTCATTTGGGACACTAACTTCCGGTCCAAGCCATATATTAACAAAAAATTCAAAGGCTACATCCGCGTATGCCGAACATATGTTGACAGAATGCTCGCCATCTTCGATCCCAACCTAATATTGATTTCTACCATACCAATCAGTCTAGGCACAAAATAATTGCTAGATATATATCGAGATATATATGCTGCCGGTCTCCTAAACCGGTGGCCTTACATACGGTATATCTGGTTAGAATCTTGACGTATCCATGGCCGTCTCGTTCCCAATATCCGTGAATTCAGTATGCTTGTAAGAGTAAATAAGAACGAAATGAAAGCAAAGATGGCGTACCGCCTTGGGACAATCTAGGTAAAGGCATATGATGACGTTTGCCTATGATATGATACCTCAACGGTATGATTTATCATTGCATTGTTAAATATACAAATGTATCTCAGAATTCCATTCCCAGAACAAAGAAAGGTACTTTTGAAAACCACAAAGCGGTTGTTAAATTTGATGGTACTACCGTGGCGACCTTAGAGTTCTTCATGCTCGGGTGTTTCCTTGGTGGCCTCCTTAGCTGGCTCTTCTTCCTTTGGCACCTCCTTGGCTGGCTCTTCTGGTGCCGGCGCATCCTTGGCTGGCTCTGGTGGTGTCGTGGATTCTTCCTTCTCAAATTGTGGGATCTTTACTTTTTGGATTTCTCCCATCTTGATCTTATCGATCCAGATCTTCAGCTCCTCGTCAGAGGCGGAGTCACCGCTATAGGCAACATACCATCCTCTTTTGGCGCTCAAAGCTCTCACTTGAATTTGATCCGATTTCTCAAGAGCGAATCCTTTCATAAATTCGGGAGAAAGCTTTGATCCTTGGACTTGGAAGAAAGGGAAAGTTTGCTTAACATGGTTTACATAGAAATTGGCCTTTTCCTGAGCAGAGAGAGAGGGGGCGCTCTCAGGAGTGACAACCAGAACGCAGATCTTGTTTCCACATGTAGCGGCGAAAGCTTCTAGAGAGGGTGCCTCGGGGATGGTAGAGTCGACTAAGAGGATAAATTGTTTAGTGGCCGGATCAATAATGAGCATTAAGCTTTATGAGGTACAACTTACAAGTTGGCCTTGGTGGCGGTGCTGAAGAGGACGAAGTCGAAGAAGACTCTTCCTTCTTCTCATCATCCTTGGGCTTACCGGAGGCTGGCTGTGCGAATTTCTTGACGAACTTCAACATACCGTCCTTTTTCATGTCCCCATCATAAATTACTCCCTCAGCGCTACCGCCTGGCAGTACGAGGAATGTGGGGAATTTTTCAACGCCAAAAAGCTTAAGGACTTCAGTTTCTTTATCACGAACTTGTCCGAATGTAACAGAGCCAAAGAAATCAACAGCCAATGCCTTGTAGAGGGGTGTGGCGACACCCTTTGTGGTGAAGAGTATCGCCTTCGCCGTCTCATTCTTCTCCTTGAGGAAGCCGTCAACAGTCTTAGAGTTAATCCTCGTGACATGGTTGGGGATCTGCTCAATCAAGAAGTCAACTATTCCCTTGGCTGTACGCGCACCTTGGTAGTCTATTCCAAGTAGACATTAATATAACTTCGCTCGTAGATATTTTTTGTATTTGGCTATTCGTACCTTGGATTGAAGGCTTTCCACTTTTGCCGGGTTTAAAAACCTTGATAGTAGGGAAGCCCTGGATCCCGTACTCTTGACAAGTACGTTTATTCGCATCTTCGTCACAGTCAATTGCAGCGACTTGAGCAAGCCCTTTCATATTTTCAGCGGCCTTCTCATATGCAGGCTTGAGATTTTTACAATGTCCGCCTGTGTTATAACATCGGAGTTAGTAAATGTAGTTTAGAGTTGAGCTATTATGGACCATGCGAGACACTTACACCATGGTGCATAGAATCTTTAAAGATGGAAGACACGATTTATTAGCCCTACCAGGCGGATACTCGGATGGGATTTTTAACGAGTGGAATTGGGTTTCTTACTCGACAACCTATGGATTTAAAGTCATATATTAGTAACTACTTCACGGAACCCTCGTTCCCACTGAGTGATCATGATCGATCCTCAGTATAATATTCTAGTGGATACAATCACATACAGAAGCATGGTTTGACTTGAGAATCTTTTCGGCAAAGTTCTTAGATGTAAGTTGAAGGACAGGCGAATTGCTGGAGTACATCCCCGCCGCCAATGGGGCAAGGAGCGCAGCAGACAGAGCCGCTACAACGACTGGATTGTGCACCATGACGTGTGGTGGGTTGCAATGATAAAGCGACCAATACCAATATCGCGCGAGTTTAGTTGTGAGGTGGGTCGATGAATTGATATATCTACGAGAAAGAAAGAAGGTTTAAGAGAGATAGAAGAATATGACCGACAGACAATCTGTTCTTCCTATTATATTGCTAAATTCAGCCTGCTGCTTACCCACTGTGCCGTTGAAGATGCCAGCGTAGCGGTTGCGAAGAGGGCCATGTTGGGGCCAACACGAAGCGGTTATAGGGCGATACCACGTGATATATTGACAGAAAACCCAACACTACACAACACGGTCCGATGTGACAAGCATGATTAGGCGGTGTGCCCTGGATATCATGGATTATAAATCATGATACTCGCTACGTTCTACGATGTTTATTGCATTGTCTCGTTGAGGATTCGGCTTCAGAGCTTGAATACAGAATCCTATCACCCCCCCTCAATATTTTAGCAAGATAGTACACTTGGAATGTAAAGCGATTGGCGTCCGACGATTGCTCACGCAGGAAGTATGGTATTCTCGAGTTTTATGGCTCGAGAATAATATATACGGCTCAAGATAACTATGTAAAGTCTTAAATACTATTAGTAGATTGTATAATTGTGTAATTTAAAGTAGGAGGGTATTTTCCTGTACCAGCAACATGGTCTAATAGCTATTAAATCAAAAGCATTGAGACCGTTCGAGAATCGGCCTCGGCGGACTCTAATAGTAGGTTTTAATTTTCTCAAAAACGAAAAGAAAGGGAGAGTTGGTGTTTGTGCTCAACGGAAATAAGAATGATCTCTCTTCAATATATTCATGATAAAGGTAGATTGAAATAGGGGTACGGCAATAACTAAACTGGACTAGGCATGCCATATGGCCATATGGCTCTGAGCTCGTGAGTGATTAAATTTGGTCTCGAGACCATGGTTCGATAATTACAGAGAAGAATAATGAGTACCGGTGATAGTAATGTTAGAAGGGTCGTATGCATCGAATTTCTTTTCCGTGCTGCTAGTAAATTGTATCTTCTACGCAGTTCTGGGAACTGCAAAGAACTGATAGTAGAGTACATTTTTTTAAGAAAAAATAGGGACAAAGAAGCCATTGATTTGGAGATTATCCTGTAGGCCTGTGGGATAGTCGAATCGAGAACGAGCCATTATGCCACCCCACTGGCACAACAAGGCGCTCTATAGATAGTATCAAGCCGCTATATTAAAAATACGTTGTCGTATCATGTCACGGACTCTGTCCACCGAACTCAACTTCCCGAAAACTTGACGGCTCCTCCCTCGAAGCATAGATGGATGGATGGTGATATCAAATTAGGCACTGAAATGTAATTATCCGCCGCCTCCGTGTAAACGGCAGTGCCTCTCGGATAGTTATTCTGTAAGTTTTGAAGAGCGACGTAGCTCAGCCCAAAACTGTGTATCATGATCACAAATGCTATAGGATTGATGTTGCGTCTATCGAAGACCGACTTGAGAGCTCTCTACCCGAAAGTTCCCGTGAAAAAAGGACCCCGCTTCAATATCCTGCATTCGCTCGGGCCACCTTAATTTTGAGTACTTGGATGCCACTTCATGTTCGCTGCCCTTAGATAATTCTAATAGGATCCAGGTACACTGCACGTAGAAACTGCGAGCAACGGAATCACACCGCATATGCTCTTGCGACCCGAAACAAGAGGGGAGCGGTCCTAGCCACTGCCGTCCTATTAGTATAACAATTTCAGCATTTGCCTTGTCGCAGTCACGGGATGATAAAATGTGCGGCAGGGACAAAAGCACCATCATACGATGTCGATCTAAAAGGGCTTAGATCGACACCTGCAGGATTTTAAAAGTCAAAGGCTGGCAACTTATAGTATTCCTCTCGTATTCACCCTTGACAAAACAAAAATCGGATACTGCCATTCGTGACCTGCCTCCATATGCGTATATGCACGCCAAAGCCATGTATAGAACACTGAACGCGAATAAGCGTATATGTAGAGCTCTAGAGGGAAGTGGAATTCGGGAAGGAAAAAAAAAAAAGTACTGCCCCTGCCCGCCACGCCTGCATTTTGTCGGCTGGTAGAGATAAATTTCGAAGCGAGAGCTATCGAAAACTATCTCGCCAGCTTGTCACACGTTTTGAGATTGAGCTCGGTAACGATTGCTATATCCAAGTTGGTTCCTGGCTCCCAAAACATATAAAACCATGAGATTTAATATAATATCGTTGGCTGCTATATATGAGGTCTCTGAATGCACGCTAGCTGCAAGAACATGCATGCGTATATGCACAGAGAAGAAAAAAAAAGGAAAGGCGCTCGGGCCTGCAGCTAGTGCACAGCGCCCGTATCATCTTGCGACTGTCATGGTATAGCCAAAGCCTTCTCGTGTCATGCACGAAGAAGAAAGCATATCTGATTTCGGCCTCTTCCGCGGCACAAAAGAAGGCATGTCCCTCCGTCTAGACGTCGGCCAGCTAGCTTGGACTGTGTATGTAACCTCTAAACTTACTTAACAAAATGCACACCGGACAATATATTTTACCATTCAAACCCGCAATTACATAATAGTCCGTGGCTTGACCAAATGAACTCATATTATTTTGATGGCCTAGATCCACACTCTTGATAAATCTGCGCAAGGAGTTAATGGCAAGAAACTGTTTCAAATAATGGCGACAGGGTGCCCTTCAGCACAATATTATGTTGTGCCTATGGGCCGCAGCTTGATTTTGGCTAGGAGCGGGGCCATTTTCCTGACGCTTGAACGTTCGAACGAGGAGAAAGGAATTTCGCTGCAGGACGGTGCATGGCGAATTCAGGGCAAGCAGTGACCATAGATTGACCTGATGGGTGGAGGTCCGTGCAGTATCTCGGCTCCTGGTAGCTTAGGTGAATTGACCGTGCCCGCAAAACGTATTTTAAAATCCATTGTTGTACACGGGACAAGTCTCCTGAGTGCTGCAGGCACGGAATATTTGGTCGGGGGACATTGCGATTGCGAATTTAAAAGCTGGGTGAAAATGAATTTGTTCATTGCATAGCCAAGGTCTGTGCCTTAGAATCGAATTGAGCATAATCGGTTGATACGATATCACAGGCCTGTTTGAAGGGGAGCGACCCAAAGAATATTTCCCTAAGTTTAAAGATTTCTTGAAAAAGCCTCCCTAGTCGATTTGTCTGACTTGATATTGTATTCGTGAGAATGTAAGAACGGATATATATTTCCATTAGGGCAGGCCACGTTAGATTGTGAACCTCAGCCAATCCATTGACTATAGTTACCAGTATTTAATATATTATGCCCCAGATTTTTACCAACTCGCTATTAAGATTCTCCACAAGTTCGACTGGCGCTAATGGGTCTCGGGAGGGATGGTTTCCGTGGAACAGGTGCAAGTAGTTTGTGGTCAGAACATCTCCACCACAAGTTGCCAGCGTATAACTGCCACAGGAAATTTTAAAACTGTGAAGTGCCCTGGTATTTTGTTTAGTGCCTCATGACACACAAGCTTTCAGTGCTAGACTTAATTCGAATTGGGTCTAGCCCGAAGCAATGCACGTGGAAAGCAAGAAATATTTTTCTTACCTGGATAATCCTGATCACTGTTTTTTCGGATGCCTATTGGATATTTACCCAAGGTTTACCCGGAATGCCGGTAATTCCTAATCATATATCCCGACTATCAGTACCTTGGAGCACGGCCTTGAACCTACCACCCTGAACGAATTCGACATCACTGCTTGAAAAGAGGAGGAAGAAGGATTCGGATGCCTCAGTGCTGGTGTGTGCATGCCAATGGCTAGCCACTCGACTCCGCAAATTAGGTCGGTCAACCCCAGAAACCACAGTTCACGGATAGGTGGGGGAGGAGGTGATTGAGGATTCCAGGTGTTTGTGGCCGAACCGACCGATGGGGTGGGTCTTCATTCCTACTCTTAGCTAAACCTCAGGCGCACAATTTGTCGGCCCACTGAAGGTAACTGGATTGGATGGGTCGTTTTAGCTCGGGCCTCCGCCAAAACTCAAGCCAAGAGGGAAATTATTTGCAGCCCAAGGGTTTTCTGGGACATCCGCAAACTATTTTTCCAGAGGTAAGGGATATATAAGTCATGTCGGGATTTCGTATCAATGATTACTCGTTCTTCAAATTCCGGGGTACGTTAGCGGACAAGCGGCTATACCGAAGACCCAAGTATCCAAGGGATTCGACGATCAAATTTCCATAACCAAGTCCAGATCTTAAGACTGAGACTTCGTATCGCGGTTTCTTGTTTTACCTGAAAAAGAACTTCCCCTAGTTTTTCTCCCCCTAACCTTCCAAATGGCTGTTCTTCGGGCTCTCCTCCTCCTAGCGACGGTTACTCGCGTTCTTGCAAACGCCAAATACACAGGAACTGGGTCCACAGGTCTCTATTGGGACTGCTGCAAACCATCATGCTCCTGGACTGAGAAAGGGCCATGGTTAACACACCCAGTCCAAACTTGCAAAAAGGACGATTCGCCACTAAACGACTTCACAGTCGGATCTGCCTGCGGGCAGGGTGGAACCGCATTTGTATGCAACAATCAACAACCATGGGCTGTGAACGATACGTTCTCGTATGCGTTCACCAGTACTTTCATTCCAGGTGCCAGCGAGTTTGATTGGTGTTGTTCGTGTTATGAACTTACCTTCCTCAATGGCGGACTTGAAGGGAAGCGAATGATAGTTCAAGCGAGCAATACTGGATATGACGACCCAAAGAGAACCATCTTTGGTGTTGGTGTAAGTGATAAAAAATCCCCCACCGCATGCTTATTTTTTTATATTTTATATTTTAATTTATATATCTATATGTTACTGAAGTTTAAGCTAATATTTTGTTATAATGAAGGCTCCCGGTGAGAAGGATTATGCCGACGGGTGCATGGATCGCTATAACAGCGACGGCGGCGGCTTCCTTGGAAAAGAAGGAAGACCTCTAACCAAGAGGTCGGATTGTGAATCTCTTCCAAAACAATTGCAGCAAGGCTGCTTCTGGCGTTTCGATTGGTTCTTAGATGCTTTCAAACCAAAGTTCGTATATCCTCACGTTTGTAAAGATAAATAACCATACTACTCTACTAACGCACAATTTTTAATTAACAGCATGACATTCCAAAGAGTGAAATGTCCAAAGGCTCTTACCGATATTACTGGATGTATCAGAGACGACGAAGATAAATTCAATGCGAGCGCAGGAGGGAAAACAAATGCTGCCTCAACCCCACGCGGGGATTCATTCGGTCTTCTTGCAACGTCCTTGGTTTTGGCGGCCTTCGCTTTCGCCTTCAACGTCTAGGATGTGGATTTTTTTTTTTTTAATTTATTAATGACGGAGTTCTTTCTTTTGTTGCTTCAATTCATAGCGGTTGGGTCGTGAGACCCAGCACAAGCAATACTATATTTAATGTCTATATCCAAAGCACCAAGCTTGAAGTTTCGTATACGGCCGGCAAATCAGAGATGAAAACAAAATGCGGAGTTCAAGGTGTCTGTTTTATTGCGTTAGGTAGACACATGTCGGACTTAGTTTATAACCATATATACAATCGAAATTACGATATCAGATAATAGTTACGAAATAGTCCAAGACTCTGACTTCTTAAACATGCCAATATTTGTTTTTTTTTATGGATTTTTTTACCTTGTGGCTCTCATGAGATAGAGGTGATTTCCATTAGCTCCTTCTTGGAACAGTTACCATACTCTCGGGCCCGGAACAAAGTTCTCATTCGTTTTCATTCGACTGAACCCCGATAAGTGCCAATTGACCAGGAATATCAAGAGTCGGTCGGAAATTTTTGAGTAAAAAGAACCTAGGTAGTGCCAGAATATGCTGCACTTCGCGAAATGTTGCTAAAAGGGCGTTAGGTTTGGAGCCAAAGCCGAATGCTAAGCATTTCCAAAGGCCCGTTTCAACAAGCTACTAACGTCCAAATAACCAGGAACCAGCACGGCACATAGTGCAAAGTTCCCATGGCACCATCGAAGATTCTTGGTCTGCGAAGGCCGGAGTGCAATACCGAGCTCGAACGCACGGGGACGCTCGCCAAACTTTGCTTCATCAGGTCATGAGATATGTCTCTTCTCTCCCTGCATTAGTGCCGCCCGAGGTCTCTTTTAAAAGTTTTATCGTACTGCAAGCGCGGCACATCATGAATTTTGAAATTTTAATCTTGCTCAAAATATACTAGGCGGATACCTCGCCCAAAGTTTAGTTTCAATCCATCCAGATTCGTTTGAAGAATACGAACCAGCCGCGCCAGATCTGAGAAGTGCACCAGCCCGGAGCCTTTCCAAGAATGGACACCCCATACGTCCTTATCACTTAGCCTGGGACTACTACAAGGAAACATCGAGAATACTAAGCTTTAATCAAGCAATCGGATCGTTCGGATCTCCGCATTTGGTTTTTGACGGAGCCTCGAAACACTCCGTCTCTCCCCAGTATATAGCTTTAAGCTTCGGCCTTGGCTACATCGATGTTAATATCACGACGTTGATATAATAGACCAGCTAACAATCTTACTGGTTACTATACATATGTAGTATCTTTTCTCCTCAATATGATAGTGACAAAAATTAAGCCAATTCTCGCTATGACGTGACAATGACAACCTAAGTATGAAAATCCACGCGCATGGTCGAACCATGGTACTTACATACTTAAGTAGCTATAGCTAATAGTAAAGTATACTATTTGCAACTACTCGCCCCCAGCTATGCTCTCGATTTGTTGCAGAAAAGTCAAAGCAAACACGATCGTATATGAAAGTTTCAGCTTGCGTAACGTTTCCACATGGTACCACGACAAAGGCCCAGGACCATATGGTTTCTCTAACAAATCCAAGACAAGTATGGTTCCGCACGGGTACCTGAATTTTGACCGGGAAAATCGCCCAATACATGTTTCCTCTGCTATGATCCTTGAGTCGATCATGATCATAACCAGAGAAAAGGTTCGGCTACGAGAGTCATACGTACTGAAATGCAAATCCCGTACTCAGTTTGGGTATTACATCAGCTACTGACCAATCCAGCTTCTTCGTTTGTACCGGTTAAATTAATGCATATGTGTGCGCCTAAAGTCAGAGGAGATTCCCATCTGCCTTTGCATGCACACCGAGGCTGACGTTCAATCGGCTCCAGCGCACGGCGTCGATCACGGTCTTTAGCCAGTCCAGAGAATTTGCCCAAGTCTCCATTTTTATGTTGGTAATGGAACCCCTTTGCTCCGGACGTGCAAAGAAGTAAAATCAAGTTTCCTCGACCAACGGTTAACGGGAAATAAAGTTCATTTTGGCAACCACCTTACGAAAGTGTATGTATTATGCCGGGTATTGGATTGGACGCTGATTAACGAATGGGTTTGGGAATTTGGGCACAAGTCCCATTGTATTATCGCGTGTGCGGCAGTCAGCACACTAAGATAATGGCTAATACTAATGCTAGTAAACATCAAAGTAGGTAGAAGGTAAAATGACAGGTATCTGTATTGATCCAAGTAGAAAGAGAACGCCAGACTTCCAATGCCTCCACACCCAGCCCAAGAAAATTAAAGGAAAACCGAACCCAAGAAAATGTGAGGGTGGCAGGCTAATATGCATATCATAATCGTGCAAACATTTAAAAGGGAAAGAAGTAATAAAAAAAATTAAAATAAAGTAGGAAAGTAAAAAAATAAAATGTCAAATTCGAAAGAGTCAATATTTAATATTTCTGAGACTCAATTTCGATTTCTGTTTTTGACCCGGAATACGAACTCGTTTCGTTTTCAGGCCCATTGTTATTATATGTGGCATGCTCGAGGTGGTAAGGATAATCTTTTATGGCAGTACTTTCAACGTCGAAAGTTGTCAGACAGGTGACTTCAATCGCCCTCGTATGTACTTTCTTCGGACTAGAAGGGGCTCCGAGAGATCCACGACGAGTACCTTCGCCATAAGGTTGGGCGTAGGATCTTGTTCTTGCGTATGATCTGACAGTTTCTCCGTCGTGGTACCCTAGCCAGCCGAGGATAAGGACGCGCAGACTTGGGATGCAAGCAAATATGATAGCCATGCCATGTTCGAGATGGTTGACACAGAAAGCAATAGTCCATGTCCAGTCGACCTCGGGCTTTCGGTAGAGTCTTTCCTTATATGTCAAGTAAATTCTAACAGCACCAATAGCCGTAACACTATTAAATCAAGTTAGAATCCTGAACGACTTTATGTACGAGCAACAAGAAGAAGAAGAGCTTACCCTAAACTCAAAGAAAACAAGAAGACAATGATTAATCGATCCCTCAAGCTGGCCTTTTGCAATTTCCATGTCAAGTAGACAGGGATTGGAAATGTCAAGAGATCAGTGAACATATTGATGCACACTTGAAAGATATTAATCCGGCCGATGACAAGTCTGCCAGCGCAATGCAAGTTGCCGAAGGTTGTCGGCTTCCAGTTGTTGCCGGTCAACGGCGGGCATTCGAAGAGATAGAAGAGAGCCGGGATGATAGCACCAATAGTATTGATGGCGAAAAGGACATAAACTGCCTTTCGAACGGGAGCGATAATCCCGCCGACCTTGAGCAACAGAATTATGATGGATGCCTTGACCAAAGGCAATATCCAGACGCTGAACATATAAAATACCATTGTCATCTTGAGGCAAACTATTAGCATGCTTACATGTGGGATGTTAAGCTTGGAAATGTACATACCCTATAGTATTCATCCATCGATGGTTCAGAATAATGCCAATTGACATCCCAAATATGAACGCCATAATGCCACATTATACTTAATCTCCATGATGGGTATATAATAATGATAGAGAATAACTATCGAACATTGGTTAGAATTTATTGATATTAGGCTTTTTCGAACATTTGTGGACGTCGGGAAACCACTTACCACCGCCACCACAATCAACCAATCCTCTATCCCAATCCCGCCGGCGCTACGTCGCTTTGCGTAAAACCGCAGCGAGCAAATGATTCCCGCCAGCAGAGGCATCATCACGATGACTGCCAAGCAAAGGTTCTGCATGGGATATTGACCCAATACCATCTTGCCGAATAGTTTTCTGCAATCAGAAAACTTCGTACAGATTCTCCAGATGTGTTGTCGATGATGTTGGAGAAATGCTGAACCACCACGAGGGTACTCGAAAGCGACGTCTTTGAATATCTGCTTTAACGAAGTAACATGCCTACTTTGATAATTTTTCCTTTGGGTCGTGAAAGATCCCAGGGGGAATCGTTCCTCTTAATACGCTGACAAAAGCATCCTCGGGATGGTAGCCTGAGGAGGGAAAACTTTCCTTATGGAGAGCATCTTGCGTTTCCATGACCAAATTATCTGATTGGAACGCCATCAGGTGGGCCCGCAAGTGGGGCCTTTCAGGTCTGCACGAGTTTTACTGCCATTCTGCCGGCCGTGCGCAGGCTAATTCTCCCCGAACATAACAGACCCTAATTCGCCTTCCTGCGAGACGGCAAATCGATATTTTAATAAATACATTTATCCTATGCAGCTAGCTGCATCACTGGGTATTTGAAAGATCTGGAAAGAAGAAAAATTCGACGTAGATACATATATATGTACGTCTATCGTTCTCCTCCAACATGATACAGTCGACAGGCAACGACGTGCTTTTTTGATCCGGAAAGTTTACGTCGAAGCATCCTAGACATTCTGGCCTGGATCCCCGGATTCCCAGCTACTACTTTATCCGGACACGCTACTGGTCTGGGGAAGACATTAGTCAGGAATACTGTGTACAAAATTTTTTTTTTACGGTGGACCCTTTGGGTGGATCATCAAGGGCCGGTGGGTGCCATTGCTGCTCGGGCCTCAGGATCGACGCCTCTGCATAACCTCCTTCACCAGATGATACGAAAAACGATTCTTCTAGGGTGCATTCCATGGTATTCCTTCGGCTTTTACAGAAATCAATTTAGAAAACGTTAGCCACGAGGCTACGGCGTCGACTGACTTATGCTCATCTCAGGGCATTTCAATGCTAAACACCAATATCTCTGAAACACGGACCTCAGTCTTCTTTCGAACATTCAACTCGAGTACTCCAGTTTTGACTAACATGGCCGTGGCAAACTACCCGCCAGAAACTAGGGACTGTTCCACAAAAAAAAAAACAAGACACCCTTTGCGCCAGACCTTCACAGCCGCATCTATATACAATTGTTTGGCTAACATGCTTCAGGTACTGCAGGATATAGATAGTAATTGACCTCAGATCAAACATCAAGGGCTTCATGTGTTCATTGATGATATGTTTGATCGAAGATATCCCGTGGTTGAATTTCAGATTGGAGAATTCAGACCCATGGTTTCTGTCGTATCCGCTATTTAGCCTGAAAAGCGTCCCGTTCCCCAGATGAAGACGCAAGCCAGATTTTGACAGAGCAATGCTGCCATTCATTTCTCCAACGAGGGGCAACCAATGGGATCCTTACCTTGCCATGAAAACCGAACACCTGATCACGCACTAAGGTTTTTTCGGTTTTAAAACCTACATAAGTACTCCGTACTTACATATTATTTTGCGAAGCAGGCACAAATCGCCATATTGTCGTCCAGCCATCTCAGAAGGGCGATTGCATGCAAGCTGCACGTCGTTCTTGAACTATAAAACTTGGTATTATAGGCTTGAACAGGCCTGTCGCCTGTCACACAATTTCACACACGCATTTTTATAATGTCGCCAGAGATCTATCATCTATATATAAAAAATCCCCATGAATTTTATATAATAGTTATCTTGGGCCGTTTGAAAAATTGAATGTCGCAAGTGTTTAAAAATATCAAATATTCGAGAAAAGATTTTTGTTTTATGTTTTTGAAGTTTTAAAACCATGAGGCGAAGGATGATGCTTTACCATCCCGCTCCCCACCACCCGTAAAGCGGGGGCGCACCAGAAAGAGAAAACACTTTCCACTAGACCACCTCACCGACCCACTTTTACGCTCCTGAAACTCTATCATGCATCCTGCTGGCCAGTTCCTATGAGCTGATATCTGACCATTCTTATTTTTTGTCGACAGCCACCTACATATTTACCTACTACAGAATCCCTTTGCTCCAGAACTACAGTCCATTCGACGAGTCTCGGCTCAGCGCGCTCAGATACTGATTAGGTGTCCCCACTACCATTTTGCGAATTTTCAGCCGAACGCTTGCCCACAAGGAGGCAACATTTTTTCTTCTCCTCTCACAACGAAAGATGTGCGTGCATTTTAAAAAGTTTTCGGGACGTGCATGGGACAATGCACCTCAGCCAAGTCTATGCACCTATTTCAAGGATTTTATAATATTGATGGGGAAGCCTCGAGTGACCCGTCCCAAGCTTTTACGCACGGTGATATTCAGGTTGGATTTTCATAGGAAAGCGAGAGGCTTCAAGAGCTCCATCAATGAAGAACGTGCATATGCAGATTGAGATCTCAGGACGCTTGATACAACTTATTATCAGTCGAACCGCTTGCTATCTGCAAGTGTGCGAAACCGTTGGGGAGGCGAGCGGCTCACGTCAGGTATCCCGCAAATCTTCGAATTCAAATCATCAGATAAGAGGGCACTCGAAACACGGCATGTTGTGGGCCTCGCCGAATCTGGACTCAACGTCAACTAGAAATCATTTCCCTCCACATGATCATCAGGGATAATATTTTGGGCGAACGGGGGGTGAAGCCAAAAGAAAAGTCTAAGGGAAAAAGAAGGATGATGCATACGCATTAGATATTCCCTTAACTAGGCAAGCCCAAGGATTTTTGACGCGGACAGCGTAGAATCACACCAAGGACAGCTAGAATTTGAGAACGCTGCAGTTAACCAGAGAGTAGATGGCTGATCTATAGGTCTCTTACTTCGATTGGGACGCCTACAAGTCAGACACTGTCGATGGGCAATATCCAACTGTGCAGTCTATGAATGAGCATGTGGAATATGAAGAGAATTCGGATATTTTATGCACATATTTCCATATCCGGTGATAAGTTCAAACTCATGAGCAAAATTCTGCTAGTAAAAATCCATTGATGCTAGTACGGAATACATCTATCTCATGTACATACATTTGGTGGCAAAGCCAGCTTGCTGGACGCCTGGGCCTTGTTTTTTTCAGTTTCATTTTTTCGATTTATAACCACCTAGAGATGGACTACCGAACCTAAGTGGACAGCCGAAATTCAATTGATCCACCAGATCTTAGAGCTATAGAGTATCTCAAGCATTGAGGGGAAGGCTTGATTCGTGGGCCACACTTGATTAGGAAGCGAAACTAGATTTCAATCCTTTTGCTCCTTTATAAATTTATAGATCTAAATTTACCCACCGACTATATCAAATTTTATTTCCATGTCTAAGAGAAATACGATAGGGAAATAATAATTTAAATCTTCAATCAGGATCAGCCACGAAAGAGAGATAAACAGAGTTAGATTCCTACAATTGTTCAAGCTATTATACTTCCATGTTTGGGTTTTATAGGTGGAATATCTAGCCATGGTGCTTGAATACCTGAAACGCTCGTCTCCGCCGCCTTGACTAATTGTACCTGCATATATTGATTGTGGCTCAACTTTGTCCAATAAGTATCAATAGCTCTAAGGGATTAAGCAGCTGTCAATGCAATAGTATGGCACTGCGCTGCAGTAACACCGTTTCCGCCTAAATCGTCTTGAAACTTAGCCGGCGCTAGTCCCAAAGATATCTCATATACACCCGTTTCGGACTAATCAACAGCATCTATACCGTATCTGGAAATACAACACCAACACAAATATTATTGAGTTCGAGGAAAAATGTTGGCGGTTGGAGGCATAATTGTGGGTTTTATAGGCGATGATGTGGGATGTCATCAATTACACATCCGGGTATGGGCAGTGAGGCACTAGGCTCTGACCAATCAACTTCAAATCATGCCACTTTATCGTCAGCCTTTCGATGCTTCCGGGTAAAGATCCCGGTTCCCACACCCTCATTAAAATATTATATAATTATTACGCAGTACAGCTCCGCACCCGAATACGAAAAGATATAAGTCATTCAGCCTACGGAATCATTAACCCCGTTGTGAAGCCCCAAAGGAGACTTCACGGATACGAAGACCGACAGGACTGCAGACCGAGTGTGCGTAGCTCGATGAATCTACTACAAACCTCCGCTCGATACCCCACGCTCTCGTCCGTGTATAGGGCCTAATATAATACATTATAATTAAGTAGATATAGAAGCTAGAAGTAGGTAGTCTTGGGATCGAAGCCTCAATCTACAACAAGCAACACAAGTTGCACATTGCACTGAGATATCCAATTTTGAAATGATAGTAGAATGGTTTTTCAAGCCGCTATCTAGCAAGGTTTTCGGTTCGAGCGAGAATACCAGGAATATGTCGCTAATCCCTGGCAGAAATTGTGCGCAAAACGCATTGCTGACATCCAATATACCAAAGAACTGGATGCGGCCCGGAAACTCGCAAGCTTGTCGTCTCCAAATGCAACTGTAAGATATGTAATGAGTACTGCCTCGATTTTGAGCATACAGATATTGTGAGGTTGAAGAGAGCAGTCCTAGACCGCACATACGTATGCTCGCATTTATTATCCCGGATAGGTACAAGGGGTTGCCACTTGTTTTGGATTTTCAGATTACTTATCAACTTGCCCAGTCGTCTATTTCCGCAAAGACTCAAAGCTTGGACCAATTGCAACTGGAGGCGAGTCTACCACCAACCGTCTAATCAGTAGAAAATAAGCATTACCCACCCCACAATACCCCAGGCCATCATGAATGTACTAGTACTATAGTTTTGCCCTATATATCAAGACTTATCGTACAATCGACCGATAGACTCGAGGAGCGGCTCCCGAAGGGCGTATTGATGCCAATTTAGTGTAATCGTTAAGTTTAGACTAGAGGTATACACGATGACCCAGAATGTCTCCAGCGAGCGTAAAGGTTACCAATACACCTCTATACGGGATGCCTCAGCATATATCCACCATTGTTATTCTTACACCGCACATCCTTCAGCTACTGGTTGGAGTCTAAACTCCTAAATCGCTCATTGAACAGACCATATTAACCCTATCAACTCGGCGGTATATCTCTAAAGAGGCTCCAGTTTTGTAACCCTGTTTCAGCTGCGTCGGTAGATATCAAAATACGAAGTGGCTATAGTCTACCAAGTCTCTGGAACTCTACACAATTGGTATTGTCCACCTTCGCTCTCTGCTAAACAATTTCCTGAATCCGGGACGCTTTGATCGATCGATATACATCAACAAGGACGGGCCTGTTAGCGACAGGGTGTTTCTTTTCCTTTGAGAATATCATTAATCAACGTAGCGCTGTATATCGAGCCACCAAGAGATTGGGGAAAACGTTCCATTCAATACACCCGGCCCGTTTTTACCGTCTATGGTGTATTGAGTTAAGGATAGCTCAGCTGGTTCGAGTATGAGATCGTACCCTAATGATACCAGCTAGATTTCCGTAACCATAGCGGGTTTTTGTCTATAAAAGGCCTTCAATGACCTCCCTCAAGCACGCAATCATCTCCTCATCATCCTCACAGTATCCAATCGATCGACTCTACAAGCTTCTATAAAACCTTTGTTTACAAACCATCTTCTCAATCAAAATGAAGTTCACCACCGTTGTTCTCGCCGTTTTCGGCATCATTGCCAGCGCCAGCGCTGCCCCAACTGCTGAATCCGACATCGTCATCAAGTTGTCACCAGAGCTTCACAAACGCCTCCCAGAAGCTGAATTGACCGAATTGATCAAATCCACGATCTTGAAGAGCCGTGATTTGGAGCTCGAGGCCCGTGGGTGCAGTTGGTACTGCGGCTTCGGACTTTGTGGAACCACTACCCAGTGCTGCATCCAGAAATGCACCTAAACAGGAAAAAACAACCTTTTTGGTACGTGACCCCGAGTTCGGAAGGCTATGTTGAGGTTAAAAAATTATATATTAACATTTCGTTCCACATGTATAGTCGCACAGCCGAAAGAATCTAAAGAAATCAGACTACTACGGGGACCTAAACGAGGACCTAAACGATTTACAACAAACTGGAAGGCTGGCAATTGTGTAAGGGACTAGACTAGAAGCGGGGGTTCCGAAGGAAGTAGTTTCGATCTATGAATACTGTTTACATCTACTAGCATTCATGTTGGCGAATGATTCCTGTACATAATTTGAATTTGTGACCAATGAACGCACAACATACCTTTACTTCAGCTTAGTTATTGCTATAGTCCCAAGGATACCGATATATCGGTCCGTATCGTATTCAGTACCCCCAGTATGGCTCCAAGAGCTCATAACACAAGAAAAAACGATTGATCTCGTAAGTGAATCTCTTGAATCTATGAAGATGGCGAAGTGCAAGCTATAGTACGAGACAAGCAAGCTATGAAGTTGATACATAATTGCATTACAGAAACTTTTCGCAATTTTGGATATGTTGAATTCAACCATCATGCATTGCCGAGAACCCAAAACAAGCCTTATTCCTTATAAAAAGCATTATATTATAATAACCTAGGCTTTCAGGTGCCAAGGTGACAAGACACTCAAATAAATATACATATCGGCCTATGTCACACAGCGCCTGGATTCGAGGCTAAGTTGTAAGCATCACAGCGATCCAACACTGACTACTTGTTGCATTTTTTGTCACGCAGCGAAAGTGGAGGACCGGACGGATACTCTGAAGGATAGATCGATATTACAAAAACATGCGTGTACAATGATATTACCCCTTTCCCTCGTTAACAAAATGCTCCTGTACTGGGAATTAGATTTTAATGTGCTCATGTTTTCATTCATATTTATTCTATTATCAGATCATGGCCACTTCCGTGAATATATACTAGAACCGGCATGTTTTCGTTGGTCTGTTGGATATTAGGCTGCGCATCACATCAAAATTAGCGCAATGACATCATGTACCTGCATTGTAGAATAACATGGGTCACGCCGGGGATTCTTACATTCTGATTCGCGAACTTATATACTCGAGTAGGCGATCAAATGCTTGTCAGCTTCCTGGTTTTTCGTCGATCTAGTGCGATATACATGAGGCTGTGCAAAGGATCTTGCATTTTGTGGGACATGTATATCATACTGAGTACTCGTAGTTCTGCGACAGAGATCGTATATGTAAGGTTGTTATAATATTATAACACACTTGGGCGGCGAAAGGTTTATGCTAGATCGTTATAATAGTAAAGGATTTTCAGGTTCGTGCCCAGACGTTTTACTTTCTTAAGTGTATATATAGCCTAGGAACCGAGATCAATCTTTTATTATCTCATGGGAGATCTCGAGAGAATATTATATGAGGCGATACAGGATCATTTATGAAGTTAACCTCAAATCACTTTCAAATCTCGGAATTATGTCATACATACCAATCGAAATCCTGCTTAACAAGAGCCCGAAGTTGTATATTATATCAGACATAGTTCACAACTACCATTCAAACCACTTTTCAAACCCCTTCTATTAATTTCAAAGTCTAAACTGCGAGTATACGAGTACCAAGACGTATTGGTGGGGGAATACGTACCAATTTAGGATGACACCAGAGCTATCATTTCCCAGTTCGCATGGTCACACAGACTCTCCAACACAACGGCACATTCGCCTGCATCCTTCTGTCGAAGCCACTGGTCTTCCGGTCGACAAGAAGTCGGTCGTCGACATAGCAAACCTGGGTCTAACAGCCAAAATTGTCGCCGGGAATGAGAAGGTCCTCGAGACTTCATCGGGGTTGCGGTTGCCCCATGGGCCTGCAGTAGTTGATGGCATTGCAGATGCACATATCTCATCTTCAATCAGGCGAACTACGGACGCCATTCCCGCTCGCACAAACCCACAATTTCCGCCTTTACCTGTGTATGGATCTTCCAAATGGTTCAGGTGGGCAGAAGTTTACTTTTTCAGAGTTGTCTCGTTTATTCTATCAACAACGTTTCTTCTAAGTATCGTTTGCGGGGCTATTTTCAAAACAATTAAGTTGAGTATATATACTCCGAGGAAATTGGTATCCAAGGGCTCTGAAAGGCCACTTAGGGATCTAGAGAACCAATTGGATATTGACTTGGACCAACAAGAAAAAAAGCACGGGAAACCGAAATTAAAGTGTGACGTTAGGTACTACGCGACACGGGTGGAACTTGATATGGAAGAATTTAAAGTTACAACAGAAGATGGGTTTATACTGGTGCTCCAACATATATTCGACCCTAAGGATAGAGGAGATGGAAGAAATGGAACAAGGCGGAAGTACCCAGTATTATTGATGCATGGGCTGCTCCAGAGTAGCGGAGCTTTTTGTTCTAACGATGATAATTCACTAGCGTTTTATCTCTGCAAAAGGTAAGGTTTCAATTATTACGGCTGGCATCGAAAGAGTCGATCAATTAAAACTAACGGCTACTAATTTTTTTTTGACAGCGGCTACGATGTTTGGCTTGGGAATAACCGTTGCTACTATAAGCCCGAACACATGGTTCTAAAACCCTCGGATCCAAGAATGTGGTGCTGGAACATCCGTCAGATGGGGATTTTTGACCTTCCCGCATTCGTCGACTACATTCTTTCCAGAACAGGGTTTCTAAAGTTAGCCTTGGTAGCCCATTCGCAAGGTACGACACAATCGTTCGTTGCAATGGCAAAAGACCAGCATCCGACTCTTGGATCGAAGATATCGATATTCTGTGCCCTCGCACCTGCTGTTTACTCTGGATCACTGATTAAGATGGCACATTTTAAATTTATGAAGTTGATACCTGTTGGAATGTTTAGGATAGTGTTTGGAATTCATTCATTTATACCCTTTATGGTTACTATGCACAAGATAGTTCCTGGAAGGCTCTATGGATGGCTAGGGTACAGAGTTTTCACATATCTATTTGATTGGTCAAATAGTTTATGGTCAAGAAGACAGAGAAGTCGGGGATTTATGTTTTCACCTGGTAAGAGTGTCTTCGCACAGGATTTTATAGGATTCTGGAAGCCCACTAACTAAATATTTATTAGTGTATGTTAGCTCCGAGAGCATGAGATGGTGGTTAGGCCGGGATGGGTTTGCGACTCATAAGTGTATACTAGCGACAAGGAATGAGGTCGAAGACGAAGAACGGATGATCGGATCCTTAATAGCTACCTCAAGAGGCACAGATGGCCACGAGAACCGTTTGGAATCAACAGCCGTCGCAACTACTCGGCCTGTAATCCATAAAGGCGAGCATAAAATCGAGGCCAGAACGAGCTTGTCGACAAAAACCGAAGCCGTAGACCAATGTACATCCAAGTCTCCAACTATTTCAGAATCCAAAAAGGAGTGGCAGGAACAAGTAACACGGATCGATACATCCCCACTCTCCGAGAAGAAGCCGCCAGCGAACAATGGGATATTATTCCCAAAAGAAACCCATCAGAAGGGAGGGAGTGGTACGTCAACTGTATGTTTTTCTGAGGCGGCACCCGGGGGTTCTCGAATACAACCTTCAGTACAAGAGGAAGGTTTGCGTGCACGTACGGTATCTACAGAGCTCCGGGAAAGGGCATGGTTCGATAGTAGCTTCCCACCGTTGGCTCTTTGGATCTGTGGCTCCGATAAGTTGGTGGACGGCATGAAACTTTTACAACGGTTTGAGAGGGGCGCGGAACCAGATGTGAACCTCATTCATTCCAAGGTTATTCCAGCATACGAGCATCTCGATTGTATATGGGCCATTGATAACATTCACCAGGTGGGGAGTGAGGTAAAAAGTTGTATATGGGATACTATAGACGAAGCTTCCAAGGAAACTATGAATTTGCAAATACCAACAGGCTACGAAAGCGTGGGTGTCTGAGTTGCAATCCAACGAGTTAGGCCGATTGAAACATGGCGGGAAACTTCAGCTAGCTTGGTGGGCGGAATGTCTAATAATTTGCGCTGGCACATATAAAGTCTTATAATATAATGGGATCATTCCCCTCATGCAGATGTTAGATACATGTATTTATAAACGATACCCAACCGTTAGATTTTTTTGAGTTATATAAGTGCTTAATAATATGGGTCAGAATTTTTCAACCTTCATGCCAATATTGAAAAAGATGTGTGTGGTTTAACATGTGCTAAATTTTTTATCGAAAGTCGCTATTTATTCTTTGACATTTGGGGAGTGTTAGTTAAGATCGGTAATCTATTTCGAATATTTCATTTCTCGATGTTAATGTCATAGTTCACATGAAAAAAAAAAAACCAAAACTTGACAGCTTCCGGGGATGTACAATCCTCATATGCCCCAAACTGGGGCTGTAAACTTAGGAACAAAAATGAAACATTGATCCATGTCGGCCGACCGGACTAGAAGATATTATAATATATGGGTGACTATAGGTAACAACATCAGGGACACGGGATCACGGGAAATCGGCAAAATGACCCCCAAGATATAATATGATGTTAAGTTCTGGCTTTGCATTCGTTATCCTAGATGAACTGTTTTTAATTTTTTTTGCAACCGGTTCTAGCTATCGATAGGTTCACAACATGTTGTATTTCAATAAACATGTTTTGTCTGAATATAATAGAACGAGGCCCAGGAAGACGGTTGACTGGAAATGTCGTTGGTGGTTGGAGAAAGTTGGGTTGCGGCGTTGGAATTGTTGGATCAGCGGCTGCATTTTGTGTTGGCACTGGACTGGGCTTTTGACCTTCCAGTTACAACGTTAGGCCCAGCAACTTAGTCACCCCAAGGCCAGAAGCTTGATGTTTCTAGATACTGGTATGGCATTAGTGGGTTATTTTGGAAGATGGAAATGATCGAAGAGGTAAAGGAATCCTATGTTTTTGCCAATCTAGCTCCTCAAACTGTGTTGAGCCTGAAGCATGCTTAGTTTTATCCATAGATCCCCGCCGTTTCAGGGTGCTCAAACGGTGAGATTTCTGCATAGCAGATTGCACTTTCCGTGTGTACAGCCACATGGACATCGAGAAATTGCTGTGCGGGGACATGACAGCTGCGCTGTACGGAGTAGTCGAAGTCGGGTTGGCTAAAATGTAGACTTTCCCGTGATGTCATTCATTGAACGGGATCCGCTCCTCTGCTACAGATTTGCGGGTTTCGATTTGATCAGAACTCGGAGGGATCATACTCGGATGGGCTTCCATATATTCGGGAGGAACAGGTATGCATGTAGGCAGGTAGTATCGAGAGCCGATATTACGACAAAAATAGAGGTGTGGTGCATGGATCACTCCGGTTCAATTTTCAAATTCCAAGCGACCTCAGATCCAGGCTACGATCATGATGCAGGCCACAGTTGACAGGATCGCAAACTAAACGCTTCAACCTGTCGTGACTGGCAGGACTAATGATCTATGATTTTGGCTTAAAGGCAGGCTCCGAAGTTCATAACTAGTCCTTATCATATTGGTAGCCAATGAGAAGGTCGAACAGAAGGTCGAGAATTATTTGAGGTAGGACCTGGTTGGAGCCAGGGTTTAATACGCTGGTTCAGTTAAATTGAACAAGCCTACGGTGTACGTAGTATGGGCGATCTCCTGTGGGGAGTAATTTGCTGTCCTTCGTCATCCAATTTCGCAGTTTCCGGGAATGGGTGTCCGCCACTTCATCGCCAGCTCATCTGAACTGTGAAACCGAAGATATTCAGATATCGATGCAGTTTTTTTTTTTTTTTTAAAAAAATATCCTTTTGTATCTTTCCCACGAGATTTATGCACAGTGGCTCGAATGTTTAACATATCAGCCCGCAAGAAAGCTCCATTAGGGCTGACAGCATTCTGGTGAGATCATTTCTCCTCTGGCGGAGTATGCAAGGATAATGCATCCTTATTTGGGTATTCGCTGCTCGCTTGCTCTTGGCCCACGACCCAATTTCGCTTCTGTAACCACACTCAAACCCCGAAAAAGAGTTCCTCAATTTGCATGTAACCTGACATGAGGAATTTTTGCATGGACAAATCGTGCTGTGAGAGGGGTGGAAGCACAGGAGAATTCGGGAGGAAACAGTTTGTGTTTTCCATAGGTATTCCATATTTCTTCTCGCTAGAAGGCATACATAGAGCCAGTGTTATCTGCCGTGATTATTCGAGGAGAACGAGACCAAGCCTTCTCGACGATGTTCCTGATTAGTGACGGTGGCCGGGCACCCCGCCCCATGTGCGACCAACTGCGGCCAGTGGTTGCATGCACCGTGAACCTGGCCTCCCCATGCATGGCTTCCTGGGCAGAAAAAGGCTGTTGGATGGAAGGAAAAGCGAACTTCCATGCGCCGATTCCCCCTTTCGTGGTCGTGCATGATGGGTGCATATTCCAGCACACGCACACTATCCCCTTTTTCCACACTCAGTTTTTAGCCTCTGAGAACTCGACAAGCCATTAGTTAACACCATCTCCAGGCAAGAGTGGACAGAGAAAACTCACGCACACCCTCTCTTTTTTCTCGCCTGTTTGTTCCTTCTCTTCGTTTTTTGAATTTTGAATCCCCGTCGAGGTGCATTCCGCTGACGATAACGCACCATTTGAAAGCCAGTTGTACGGGCCAAGCCGTACCATACACACCATCTCGCCCTCGGGCATCTTCCACTCGTTTTTTTAAATCCTATTTTTATTTTTTTTTATTTTGCTTCTTGTCTTTTCGTTCATCTCTCCAGGTTTTATTGTTCTGATTGATTGTGCATTCATTTCTTTTGTCGTCGTTCCTGAGGTTTGGATTGCATTGCATTGCGAAGTTTAGGTCGTCGACACATCCAACCAACCATACAAACATTCAAATCAGTTGAATTCAGTCCCTTCCGCAGCTCTCTCGCAAAGAAACCAGCTATTATAGCATAGATACCTACTGTCCACTCCTCCTCCCTCCTTCCCATTCAACCCACAGCGACACACAGCAATAATTAATAATTTCAACACAGCCATTCCTCTCAACCACACATTCATCGCAATCGCCCTTCAATTCTCCAACTTCGATATCAAAATCTCCCCCTTGCAGCACCTGTCCCCTGATATAGTAATATCATACAACCACTTGGTCCGTCATCTTCCTTCTCTCCTTTTGCACTTTCTGCTTTCATTGCATTGCTGGCAAGACGGTGTTGTTTGTGCGACTTCGACAAAACCTCATTTGCTGTGTGCTGTTCCCGTTTGCTTTGAGACCATCCTAGTCCAACGGTTTTATTTTTTTATGACTAAGTAACTAACGATAGTATCATCCTCGGGTCCTAACAGTGTCATCCTTCGTCTTTCTCCCTTGTATTGTTTTCTTTACTTTTAATGACCCTTTCACGAACATAACATCCACTAGAGCAAATGATTTCGACAAAGTTCCTCTAAACGATCCCAAATTATCCGACAAACAATAAGCCGACGACCCGGGACTGTATCTGGGAGGAGCGATTGGGGTGAACCAATTGCAATCAATAAATCGTCGTAGAATGGTTTCGCGGAGGAGAAGAGGGCAATTGCCCTCGCTATTATCAACATGGGCGGCTTTAACGTCGATGGCATCTGCCATCAACTTCACCGAAATATCGCTACCCAATATCTTAACGGATGGCTATGGACGAATGGGTCTGGTAGGCGACTTTGACAGCATATCGCTATACCAGTTTGCAGAACAAGGCACGCAAACATATTTCAGAAATGGTAGTCATGCTATCATGACACAACTTCCCAATGGCGACCTTACGACTGTCGCTGTTACAAATGGACATATCAACGACATGTGTCTATTCAAATTGAAAGATCAAACGGCCGGACTGGTGGTAGGAGGAAATTTCACTAGGATCGGAGACCTTCAGACTGAGGGTATTGCCCTTATCGACCCAGTAACAGGCGCGCCGGTTCCACTAGCAGGTGGACTCTCAGGGACCGTTAACGCGATTTTGTGCGACACGAGCACAGAAAGCGTTTTCGTTGGAGGCGATTTTAAGTACATGAACTCAACGAATGCAGTCCAGTGGATGGGGATGGGAGGCTGGTCTCAATTGTCCTTCCAAGGTTTCAACGGACCTGTAGAATCGATTTCGCGATTAGACAACGGAACTATCGTCTTTGGTGGAAGGTTTACTGCTATCGGCAATGAGACAACACTAAGCTCGAACCCGAATGGTACGGAAAAGATCACCCAACAGGTTGTTAACCTTGATTCCGCGTCGACCCTGATTACCGCTACTCTTGGCTCTGATAGAGAAGGTTTCAGGGACCCCACGAACGTTATATGTTCCAACGGAACCGAGGAAACGCCCGACAGCGTCTTCCTTTTCGAGGATGGCGCCCAGGGGTCGTGGTCAGCTGATCTTTCCTATACCGTTTACCCTACGAAGTTAAGACTCTACAATACTCACTTCGAGAACCGGGGCTTGAAAACATTTCGATTTGTTTCTCGTCCCAACAATGGTATTATGAACCTTACATCAGTTGACCCTGTTTCGAACGAACGATTTTACTGCGATGCATGGTGTCCACTTTCGCATGACACCAATTCTACGGTTCCATACCAGGACTTCAACTTCGTAAACGTCATCCCAACGTACGCCTTCAGAATCGAAGTTATCGAGTGGTTTGGAGATGGAGCCGGGTTAAATGCGATTGAATTGTTTCAAGATGGTGAGATGGTTATTCTTCGACGTCCTAGTAGAACATCAATACTAACTAGATTTAGATATTTATGGCTTTGCTGATAACGCCCTCAACGAGCCATCCTGCAAAAATGTGCAAGGATCTTTGTCTTCAACGGTTGAAGGGTCTTGGACATCTACTGGCGGACCACCATCTACCGACTCGAAGTTTTTGACTGGAACCTTCTCGGCAGCAGAGGCAGAACAAGCCAGTATAACTTTTAGGCCTGACATCAGGATTTCCGGACGATACCAAGTTTTAGTATACACGCCTGGATGCCGACAAGACAACTCTTGCTCCCAGAGAGGCGGGGTTACGGTATCCGGAACATTCTCATCTAACGAAACGACAACCCCTGAAATTTCCTATTGGCAAACCAACGATTTCGACAAGTACGACGTCTTCTTCGCCGGATATGTTGAAGCCAACAGTGATGACCACATAGTCGAGATTAAGCTACGTCCAACCCAAGGTCAATTTTCGGATTTTCAAAACGTAGTGGCATCGAAGGTCAGATTTGTGCTTGAGGAACCAGCTGAGAAACCTCAGCTTCAGACTCGGGCTGTCTCTGCGTCAGCCCTTGATGGTCGATTGTCTCTCAACGGAGTCTTTTCGTTCAAACCAGGGATGAGTACCGAAGCTGCGGAGCAAGCCACAGCAATCAGCATTGCTGGGACTCAAATTCCAATCAACTCGACGATCAACTCCGTGGTTGTCAATGAGAATACTGTTTTTATCGCTGGGGACATCAGGACTGAACAATTTGGCAACTTTCTTTTCATTGACGATGAAGGCTTAAAGCCCGTTGCGCTCGGCGGATTGAATGGTGTCGTTTCTGATGCATATCTATCTAATGACTTGATCTACCTCGCCGGCAGGTTTAATGACACTGTCGATGCATCTACTGCCGGGCTTTCTCACGTTGCAGCCTACAAAGTTAGTACCAAAGAATGGCAAGCACTTGGTACGGGCCTTGACGGGGTCCCTACTAAGATTGTACCATTTTCAGTCAACACTACCGGGATAGTCGAAACCTATTTTGTCTTCTCGGGACCCTTCACCAAGATACTCGCTTCGGATACGCAGCCTGAGGTTAGCGTTGGTGGAGTTGCTATCTGGGTCTCGAGCAAGAGAGAATGGCTTGAGAGACTTTCGGACGCTCAATTTAGGCTTGACGGTTTCTTGTCACAAATCGCTGAATACACCCCAAATCCACCTTTCTTTGCTGGATCCCTCCTTTATAGCAGAAATGGTCTCGCTGGCGCTGCATCTCTCCTCAAGCCTGACAACGGGCCGATCCAGCTCGTACCACTTGGCATCGACATCTCAGTACCCGAAGTCTCCAGCAACTTGAATCGAAAGCGGGCTATAGATTCATCTCCGGGTACCAAGATAAGCGGTGTCCAGGCTGGTGCCTTCTACGAGAAGAAGAACACCACAATTCTTGGGGGCCGATTTAGGTCCGGCGATGTCGAAAATCTGGCCCTTGTTCGTGGGCAGGAAAACAACAAAGTTGAAGGTGTCCCAAGCAACCTCTTAGGTGGCGATAATGTGATTACGTCGCTCCTTTTAACCTCGAAAGCTAGCTCAGAAGGTAAATTATATATCGGAGGCTCGATTAATACGACAATTATGGACGCTCGGGTTGGTGGGATGGCTGTATTTGATTTGGAAACCAACGACTTCGTCAAACCTCAACCACCGCCTCTGGAATCCCCTGGGAACGACTCAGCCGTCTACACAATTACCCAACAACCAAACGGCAGACAAATATATGTTGGTGGTTCTTTCACAAGGGTCGCTCCTCAGTTCGACTGTGAGGGTATCTGCATCTACGACCCGGAAAGCTTCCAGTATTTCGCGGCAGGATCTGGATTTGGTGGCGTCGTCTATGCTAGTGCCTGGACCGATACGAATACCTTGGTCGTTGGAGGTTCGCTTGAGCTAAACGATACTGTCGTTCATCTTGCAACATACAAGCTGAGCACCACAACATGGACCGTTTTCCCGAATTCCCAGGAGATTCCAGGGCCTGTAACAACCATCTTTACACCAACTGGAGAGGAAAGCAGTATCTATATCGGAGGAAACGCTAATGGTCGGCCGTTCATTCTCAGATGGGATGGCACGAAATGGAGCAATCTTGGTGGCGGTCTTCAGCCTGGTTCCGTTCTTCGGGGCATTGAAGTCTTCGAACTGGATGGTGTCCATGCACCAAACGATCTCCTCTCGCAGAGCCAAATCTTGATGGCGTCTGGTAACATCATCCTTGACAGGACGCCCATTAACTCTTCCGCCGCCCTCTTCGATGGCATTAACTGGACCCCCTTCGTCCTCACGACCAATGAGGACGGATCCTCAGGTTCCCTTGGCGCCTTTGTCTCGCAGAGCAAGCATACTTTTAATGAAAATGCTGGCAAGCTCGCCGTGGGCCTTGTGGTTCTGATTTCGCTTGCCCTGGCGCTAGCGTTGATATTCCTTATCGTTGTTATCGGTGTTATCGCTTCTTACATCAGGAGAAGAAGAGAGGGCTACGTTATTGCGCCAACTAGGGTCTCCCCGATCCCGATACCGCAAGATATGACAGAGCGAGTACCCCCGGATCAGCTGTTCCAAGGCGTAGGGTTCGCATCTGCAAGGGGAACGCCGCATATCTAAAGCGTCAGTGTCCGATCTCTTTGTCTTTATTGTATTTCTATTTGCAATACTGTCGCTTCCCCCCACGTTGTTTTTGTGTTCCTGCTTATGCTTTTTGATTACTACCATATATTCCCCATCAGTTTCCTTATACATGTCTTTTTTGTGAGGCGGGGTTCATGGCGTTTTTTCTATTTTATTACTCTGTATATGCACAGGGATCGGTCTTTTTCTTTTCATCAATAAACAACCTCACCACAAGAAGGGAGGAAAGAACAGAAAAAAAAAGATAAAAAAAAGACCTCCCCGAATTTCGCTCACTCTTTCCTCAGATTTGCATCTTCCGCTTCTCTGTACTGATTCATTGTCCCTCCTTCGAACCTTGTATATTCTTTCATGGCTTTCTTTCTGACGTCTTCAAGAAACCTATTCTCTACAGTCCTTACATATTTCCCCCCCTGGACCCCCTCTACTTTTTTTTTTCCATACACACTCTCTTTGATGGATGGGACGTTGGTTAGTTTTAATGGGTAATCGAAGTGGGAGTGGGATTCTTTTCGTCTCTTTTTTTCTTCCTTCCTCTTCTTTTCGGTCTTTCCCTTCCCATTTTTTCATAGTCGTTTTCGAAAAAATTACTTAATTACTTCCTTTTTATACACTACTACTACTACTACTCACGCTCATAAATATTCAATACACCCCTTTACGCTCTTAATTACGCACACACTCTAAGTTCCTTTTTACATAAAAGCGAAAGAAAAGAAAAGAAGAAGAAGAAGAAGAAATAGTCTATATATGGTAGATAGCACCAGCGGGATATCCAGGGAGGGATTTTAAGCCGCCGCCGGAAGAGAGGAAGCTTAAAAGCAAGAAGTTAATAATATCAAAATCCCATACATACATACACATCCCTAATGGTGATATGTTGAATTTGAAAGAGATTCAATTCCCACGTGGTAAACGTTCGTTATAAAACCCATTTGCGAGCCAAGGGAAACAAAAAAGTTTCAAAATATAATTATAATACGGCTTCGGTGTGCCCGTTCGCCAACTCTCTTTCGAACGTTATATAACATATAACATGAGGAGTCGATCGAATTTGGTTTAATGTGTAAGTAGTTAATAATAAACATCTAGCTTTTTTTTAGTTTTTTTTTTTTAAGAAACTAGAGGAGAAAGGGGAAAAAGGAATTTCATAGATCATGGGATGGTTCGAATGAATCATGGCGTGCATATTACTATGATATCACCACTCGTCGCAGATATATATCTAAAATGCAAAAAAAAATTAGGAATGTTTCCATCGAAGAAAACCACTACCACCGCCCCTGAAATTGATCATCGGGGCATGTGTACCCCTTTCTTCCTTTCTTTCTTTTAAGTATCATTCTTGGGGAGTTAAAAAAGGGACTTAAAATCCTCTTTTTTTTTTTTTTTTTTTTTTTTTTACCTCTGAGTGTACAGAAAGAAAGAAAAAATTAGTTTAGCTCTGCCACCGCCGCAATACCCGGTTCTCCTGAGGGAAAAAAAAAAAAAAAAAAAAGGAGTTTTTTGTGATTCGTGCATAAGTATATCTAGTTATGTATGTGCAGCTTTAGCTTGCTTGTCTTGCTACTGCGTCATGCAGGTAGAATACTCCGATTATTCGCGGGGCGTCTACTTATGTTACGGATCTAGATCTAGATCTGGGATAGCGAAATATCTCCCCGGGGTTAACTTATACATAGATGCCCACGGAATCACTCCCCCCCCCCGGGGGACCCTGCCTCAAGGGATAGGCCACCACCTCGGTATACTTCGTAGATTCGGATAGTCATTCCGGTTTCAATTTTCGAGATCCGAATATAATACAAGTGTATGCGGATTCGCTAACAGAAAGAAAGAAAAAGAAGAAAGAAAAAATCCCCATGGTCCGGTATACACTGTATTGTGTAGAGGTGAATAATTAAAACAAGCCAAAAAAAAAAAAAAAAAAACGCCTTACATCCAGGTTGTACAAATAAATCCCCAGCTAAAAGGAGCTCACCTAAAAAACAAATTATCCCGAATCTTCAAGAGCAAGAGAGGTAGAGGGAGGAGGGCCACGCAAGCTCCCGGATCGAATATCTTTTATCTCATCGATCTCACGCCATCTCTGCAATTGCTTTACTAATACCCGCTGTATAATAATCCTCTCTCCTAGCTAGATACGGAACCAACAGCTCCTTCTTCGCCTTGGCCAACAGTCCATCTTTCAACCGGTCCTTCAAAGCAGCTGCGGGGACGACGTACAAGTTCCCGACTTCATGCAGCAACTCATAGCTCTCCTTCACAGACCCCGTGCCGACAGGGTTACTCGGATCTTCATCCGCATCCCATTGGGTAAACATCGACTGATAAAAGACAATATCCTTAGTCAGCGAGATACCGCCGACAACGTTGATGCTATTCTTCAGGAGGTTCTCCAAAAAGCGAGTGCGGAACCCTGTTGCGATTTCGTAGAGGAACGAGACGAGGTTCGGGCCAGTGAGTGCGATCTTAGCGGTTGCGTGGACCTTTTCGAGGAATGTGGAGATAGCCAGGCAAGTCGGAGTTTGTAACATCATCAAAGAGACGTCTTCATCTCGAGGTCGATAGTCACGTTTTGGCTGTTTGTTGAGAAGGGAGGTAGCGTGGTTGAGGACAACGTCGACAGTCTTTTGGATAATATGATTAATGCGGTCTTCGACTTTGCTAAAGAAACGATGAGAAGCTAGAGACATTTCGCGACGGATGGTGAGAGACGTTTGAGCTAGTGGGAGGAGGGCGGTGTGGATCGTTTTGTGCATGAGACTGAGAATGATGCTGGCAGACTTGAGCTCGGAGAAGTAGCTGATATCTGGCTCGTTCTTTGCAACTTCGGCGGTGATTGCGAAATCCAAACAGCTCTCAAGTGCAGTTTCAACATACAACCCGACGTTGTCAATGAGAACAACGAGGAAAGCCGAGGCATCCTTAGGCATATCAGATGAAGACCCGATTTCTAAAGATCTCCCAATACTCTCTGCGAGCCATTTCAACATTCTCTTCGAGATATCCGTAGACAGCAGCCCATCTGTTTCCTCGAGATCGATTTCTGTGATTTTTTCGTCCTTATTCTGATGCTTTTCACGGAACGATCCAAGGCCTGCAAGTCTGAGCAGCTGTTCTGTTCGTCGGGAGGTAGCTGGATCTGTATCCTGTAGCTGAGTGATGACTCTGTCTCGAGCGCTTGTGGTGCTATTTTGAAGCTGAGTTCTCCATCTGTCAAGCATCGTAGTATTCTGTAGCTTCTTGCGTCTCGTCTGTGGTCCGATGTTAGTCTCATATCACCACGTTGACAATTGGTGAGAGGGTTATCTTACATGGAAGGTATTGAACTTGAATAGGATGGATTCGTAGAGGTCTTGCAGAGACTTCTTCTCTCGTTCGATATATCTGATGGTTCCTTCGAGGTAAGGGGTGAACAAATCATCAAGATTCTGGTCAAGACATGAAGCAATCTCATTGTTGGTGTCTTTATCGTTCAACTCCTCGCTATGTTCTTTGAGCTTGTCGACGAGCGTATCGAGGCTGCTCTTTGCGGATTGCAAGGATCTTAGGAATGCGAGGGGCGAGATTGTCTCGGCTTTCTCAAGGACTAATTCGAGTCTTTGCTGGATCTACAAGGGAGTTAGTAATGTACCCGTACACCAACTGAAAAAAATGGGAAGAAATGTACTGACGGTTTGCTGGAAGATACGCTGGAGGAAGCTCTTGGTCACATCTCCAGGGATTGGGAAAATATCTTTAATCAACGAAGATTCTTGGATGATAACCGTCCTGGCTGCTTCGATGATCTCTGCTAGACTCCTCTCCAATGGCGGTGGATCTGCGTCGGGGTCCGGGAGTTTATCCCATCTAGATATCGTTAGCACTGATACATGTTCATGAATTTGCACAAAATACTCACATATCACCTCCTAGGACGACTTCGTTCGTGACCAGATGTTGTTTTGTGATGAAGAACTCATGCTGGTTCACAAACAGAGCCTTGACAGAATTACCACCGTTGAAGTCATGCAACATCTTCGCACATCCCTTCATAGCCGTGATATCCATTTGCCTATAAGCCGAATCAAACTGTGCCAAAAGATCTTTCTCCAAGCTCTCCGAAAACTTCTCGATCAACATTCTTGTATTGTCATTACTCGGAAGTTCGAGTTTATACGCAATACTCATCAACTGACGCGATATCTTCGCACACTTGATACTGTCATTGATCGATCCACTCTTTCTCATCTTCTCCAATCGACTGCTATCCCCCTTTCTGAATTCAACATAACACTCGATCAAGAACTTGGCGTCCATAGCTCGCATCCTTTGTTTATCGAGTTGTTCCAGCTCACCACCGATAGAGACGGCCTTTCCACCAATGTTAACATCGAGTCTCTGGAATTCATCTAGTGTATTTTCGAGCCGGCGACCGAGTTCTTGAACGCGACGACCGTGGTCACTCTCTGCGCGCCTGACGGCCTCTTTGAGTTCGCTTTCTTGTTCCGCGAGGTCATCATCGAGTTGGCGAATCCGTGCGACGGCGGCTTCGAAGGTTCGGATGTAAGGTTTCGGGTCGAAGGCTATTTCGGTAGATTGATTGTTAGAACGTAATACTCCTTGAGAAGCCGTTTGGAACTAGGCCTTTCGTGTAGATATATACCATTAGCATTAGGACCCTGCCGACGCGAGATCTGTACACTCTGACTGAGGTTCTCGATGAAGTCTTTTACGAGATACTCCTTAGACTAGATACCATCATCAACAAAAGTTGTTAGCCATATCCATCCATCCATCAATTAATCAATCAATCAAATTATTCGCATCATCCATCCATCCCGAGGGGGTAGTTATAACGTACCGAAAAATGACTTAAGTCGAAGGTCGGCAGACTGGGATACAGCCCGCGAACTCCCTCGTTATTATTCGCCATACTGTTGGAATTCCCACGAGCGCTCTAAGCCCTGAAGGAGTTTGTACGGGAAGAAGAACGAGAGGACATAATAATCGTAAAGAAGTAAATAAGTAGTAAGTATCTAGGTAGATTTTGTAACCGATCCCTGGCGATATCCAATCTGGCCTGAAAGCGGGTAATGGAAGCGTGGAACCGTCAGGAGGCGGGGTGGGTAGCTTTAGCTTAGCTCCGGCTGGTAGCTTGTTTGGTTCAGGTTGGGTTTCGGTGGTTTTCTTTTGGGAGCAACAATTTGCAGGGGAGCTTTTAAAATACTTTGTTTGTCTGTTCCTTACCAGAAAAGTCACATTTGGAAATTTCTAGTTTTTTTCAGAGTCATGAAATCTAAAATTACTTTGATCTTCAGTTACATTTTACAGATTCAGATTCAACAATTTTAGATCGTCGACCATGCTAGGACGGGCAGTGGAAGCCTCGACCATAGCCAGTTCGTAGATTCGAATTCTCCTCCAGTTTCGTCCATCGTAACAATGGTATGTTCTTGTCATATTATATGTATCATGCCAGTCGTGTGATCCAGACCAGGCTTAGCTAATGGACATCATGAATCGAAAAAAGTCCTCGAGTACCCCAGTCGAAAACCCCGTCGAACAAGACGAAGAAATGTTAAAAAGGGCCCTCCTACACCCGTCGTCTCTTCTCCGGGCACCGCAGCACCTGGGCATGAAAGTCCTCGACCGAGATGCTTTCACAAAGAGAATACCAACGGTTGCAGCATATATCAAGGACAAACGAAATATTCAAAGAATCCGAAAAGCTGCGGGGTCGGTGTTTTTACTCGACCCTTTGGATCGTACAGTAATCGATCCCAAGCGGCTTTATGGTGATGAGGGGAAGCAGACGTATATCATACCTTTGCTACCATCTGTGAACGTAGATGGTGGGTAAATATATTCTCCGTTATCAAGACTGTTGGGGGGTTTCAATATCAGACTAAAGAATGTGGATAGATGAGAGTTCTATGCCGGCGGACCTCGCTCAGCTTGTCAAAGAGGATAAAGTTGAATTGGTACCTAAGGAAGGGATCTTGACATATGCAGATTTCGGATCAGGTATGATGAATTGCTAGTCCTAAGGTCGCTCTTTTTGCAGTAATAGCTTACTGAGCCTCAGCCTTCCACAGAGGAAATCTTGAAATCAATCCTGCCACGGGATAGGTACGATGGAATACATCGTGGGTTTACTCTCACCGGGCATATCGGTATGCGTGCCTCATCCATCATAAATCCACGCTGGTTTCCAAAGGTACTAACTCTCATATCCAGCCCATCTAAACATCCACGGCGAATTCACAAACTACAAAGAAGTAATCGCCCAGGTAATAATGGACAAGAACCCAACCGTTGAAACCGTCGTCTCCAAGATCGAAGATGTCGGCTCTCACAGCGAATTCCGCACTTTCCCCATGGAAATCCTTGCCGGTAAATCAGATACCCAAGTATCTCTCCGTTCTAGCGGTTGTCACTACGACTTCGACTTCGCGAAGGTGTATTGGAATTCGAGATTAGAAAACGAACACGACCGGGTTGCAAATCTATGTGCGAAAGGCGATGCGGTATGCGATGTTATGGCTGGAGTGGGACCATTCGCTATCCCAGCTGCGAGGCATAACAGAGCATTAGTATGGGCGAATGATTTGAATGGCGACTCTTACGAGTCTATGGTACGGAATGTTGAGAAGAATAGGGTATGCTTACCACCCAATCCGCCACCCGATCTCTATATATACGACTCATATCATACATACTAAACTTCCAACAGGTCTCAAGCCTAGTCTACCCTTTCAACACCGACGGCCGCGAATTCATCCGCCTCAGCAGTAAAGCTCTTCTCCGCGATGGAGGTAAAACCATAACATTCGATCCAAACCCACCAAACGCTCCTCGGGACCCAGCCATCAACTCAAAACTAAAACCCATAGAAACCTACACAATCCCCAAAGTTTTCAAACGTTTCATCATGAACCTTCCTGCCTCCGCCGTTGAATTCCTAGACGCCTACATCGGTCTATACGCCGGATTAGAGCCGTTATTCCAGGATCCATCCAAATCTTTAGCAACGCCCGGACAGGAGGAAAAGTATCCTTTACCTATCATCCACGTTTATACGTTCAATCGGCACAACCTTAAAGATATCGAAGAGGCTGCGAAAGAGATTTGTCAGGTTGTATCGGGGTATTTGGATTATCCTATGAGGGTTGAGAGAACAGACAACCTAAAGGATTTATATGCCCAAACCATGCAGGCAAAGACTAAAGAGAATAACTCTAAAAAGGCAACAACTAGCGGCGGGGCGGAGAATGCTCCCTCTGGCTCTGGGAAGGTTATATCCGAGGAATCCTTCCCTGAAGGAGGGATTTCCGTTGGGTATGTGAGAGCCGTGGCTCCGGTGAAGTCGATGTATTGCGTGTCGTTCAGGTTGCCGTGGGAGGTAGCATTTAGAACCCCACCGAAGGAATTGTCGGAGATGGAGAAGAAGCTGGAGCAAATGAAGAGTATTTGGTTAAAAAGTGATGAGACGGCGCAGTGGCCGGGAAAGCTGAAGCAGTGAGAGAGATGCTCCGGTAGGGTATATGATGTATATAGCTGTATTTGTTGGGTTTCTGTAGGCGCATTTGTTGGATTTGAAAGAAATGAGAACTCGATACCACTCTTAGAAGCCCGACGCTTGATATATAAGTTTGGGACTATGGTATATATATACTTAAGTACTTAAGTAGATATATATATATATATATGGGACGTGAATTCAATCGGAATGATGAATGATAGGTAATATGGTACAGACTTCTCTAAAGCTATACTGTGAACGTAATAATATTGCAAACCTGTAGAAGCAAGATATCCAAAACGCCATGCTTGCCAGTGTAATATATAACTAAGACCGCAGTATAATACTCAAATATTCCACTAACCTCTTCGTCTCCTTGTTCTTCGCTCAGTTACTTCCTCCGTCTTGACTACAACCTCTGCCTTCACCTCTCCATTCGCACCTCTCTTTCTTACTCTCCTTTCAATGGTTTTGACCTCCTCCTCTTCTACCTCCTCTATCTTCACGTCTTCCAATTTTATCTTTTCGTCTTCTTCTTCGTCTTCTTCCTCTTCCTTAACCTCAACCTCTACCTTTGTTTTGCTCTTAACTGTTGTAGTTGTGGTAGTCTTCGTATTCTCTAACCTGTCCGAAAAGGTCCTCAAATCCGCAGTAAACAGTACAGAATGTGCCCAGCCGGCTGCATCACCCCACATCTCTCTGAAGAGATCACCGACGGCTTCGTATACAGCTGGAGTTAGGGATCTATGCTTCCCCTTCCCGAACTTATAATCTCTCGTAGCGATTTGCCATACTATCACCACCCCCATTAGTCCTCCATCCATAAAGACATGGCCCAAGAGAGAAAAAGGAACCGAATCACATACCATGAGTATCAACCGGCACAGCACCCATCTTATCCAAACTCATCAAACAAACACAATCCGCAACCTTGGGCCCAACACCCATGAATTGAATAAGTTCCGCATGAGCTTCTTTATAATCCTTCTCATCTCTCAAAGTATTTAAAAACCCCTTCGGGCGGTCTTCATGTACCATGCATGCTGTTTTGTAAATATACTTCGCACGGTAACCGAAGCCTAGCGTTTTGAGGGTTTCTTCAACGTCTGGGGTTGTGAGAGCTTCGATTGTTGGGAAGGAGTAGTATGCGACTTCGGTCGGTGGGGTTTTATTCTCCGATGATGGGGAGGAAGGTGATAAGGGGGTCGTGGAGGTGTGGGTTATTGTTCCTAGTGGGGTGCCGTAGGTTGCGCATAGCTTGTCGACCTATTCATACCAGTAAAATCCCAAGATTAGCATCGCACGCACTTGAATAATTAACTAAGTACCTAGGTACTTAGTAACTGAATCAAGATGAGAGAAAAAAATATACCATCTGCCCGATCCTTGATATATTATTATTACTACTGCAGATAAACCCGATCAAGCATTCCCACGGATCTTGTCTTAACATCCTAACACCCTTGAACTCTCCCGCTTTCTTCTTGAAGTTTGGATCTGCTAAGGACCATTTTTCATAGAGGGCGGCCAGGTCGATGGAGAGATTGAAGTAGTCCTTGACGATTTCGACGGTGTCATCTTTTGCTGATTTTGGTGGTGGGGATGGGAAGGTGGCACGGTAGTGTAGGTGGGTTGGAGATTGACGAAGGGAGATGATGCGATCAGAGAAGCCGCAGGACCTGATGATATATACAATACACCATATTAGTATATTTCGAGTATTCAAGAAAGATGATGTAGAATAAGTACCATTCGTCAGGACCAGATGCTTTCCAGCGGAAAGACTGGCCGCAGCGTAAGACAGTCGCAAGACAGAGTTGGTTCAAGGAAACGGGCAACTGGGCCCAGGCGGTCGCATGGCCTTTCGACATGATTGCTGAATCGAAATCGAATATTAATTCGCGAATAGATAATAAAGTACCCCTTATTAGCTACTTAAGTAGATATGAAGGAAGAGAGGAACAGAAACAGAAAACGAATATTTGAAAGAGAGGAAGAGTCCCCTGAATTGAAATATCAAAAGTACATTTAACTTTGCCTCCGACGCGACCATGCAAATTAATCAATTCCGTTCGCTCGATCTTCGCGTGAAGTTGGGTCCCTGCCAAGACCTTCAATTGCCCCGCCAAATCGGGTTAGTTGATTCGGCTCGGTCGATGCGATGCGTATGTCGATATCGATATGATAATATATCACGGCTTCATGCATGGCGTGGCATGGCTGTGCACATGGTATGCTTAAATAGTGTATTTGTAATGTAATGTAATGTAATGTAATGATGTATGATCATGATCAATCGATGTCTGGTCTAAGCTCAAGTAGGCTCCAGTATACAGTCTGTCCACTAGCAATTCATCTACGGCATCCGACTCTCTCGACTTCCTCTTATAATCAACTTGCACGAGTATAACTATAAATTAATACCCAAGTGCATGCAAGTGCTTCTTATAATTTAAGTCTGGAGATAATTGATCAATGGCAAGCAACCGACTTGACGGCCGAAGTATTCCCCCAGATCATATATCCGACAAAAGCGCCGACAGCGACAGCAAGCATAACCCATCCGTTGTAAGTCATGAACAGCAACCTAGATGGCCCCTATTAATACTCCATACATACAAAGGGGGAGGAAGGAAATTAAAAAAGAAAGATAAGATACTCACATAATGAAGAACGAATAGAATACCTGCAGAGCATACAGCAATGCCTTGATAAGTTGTCCATCCTTCTGAATCGTCGTCCCGCCGGGTCCCTCTCGTCCTGGTAGCAATGAGCTTGATTCATCTACGGCTGTTCCTTATGATCGATGATAACAAAAGACGTCCGTGTAAATTAAGACTTGACTCATTCCGAGTGTTCATAATTGCAGGGCAACATAGCACAAAAACAGGGAGAGGCCTCAAGCAATAAAACAGAGTGTGTAGGAAGGTAATGTAAGGGTGGTGATGGATGGATGGATGGATATTGGAACGTACTCAGGATCCCACGTTTGGCTTCCAATTTAGCCTCATACCGTCTGCTAACTTCGCGAACGAATTCGTAACCGGCAGTCAAAGCAACGATAGCGAGAAGCGAGAAAATGAGAGAGACGGTGCCGCGAATGTGCCATGACCGGAAGATGATGCAGAGATTGGTTGGATCCCAGGTGAACAGCATCTAATTAACAATCCATTAACATTCATATAATTAGTATATTATAGGTAGGTAATCACTACGAATCAGTGATAGTTAGACGTACGTTCATGGAGCAGCGGTCGCCCATATCGCCGTGTCCCATATCCATGTTGGCATGGGCGGAATGATCGTGCTGGCTGTGATCCATTTGAATTCGACGGATTAAACCAAATGCTCGCGGAGGTTTAACGTTTTCGTCTGTTGATGATGCAGCTGTCTAGTTTGGAGTCTTTGGAGTCTTTGGAGTCTTTCGAGTCTTAAGATGTTAAGATCCTGCGGGGGGTTAAAGGACAGACAGACTCCCCGGATTAAATATAAAAAATGCAAGTACCCATCGCATCAGTCAAGGGTCACGCTTCCTTTCCCCTCGTCCTCGTCCTCGTCATGCAAGTGAGGCAGTTTCTGCACGGTTCCAGTTAAGCGTCGCACAATTGTGCATAGGTTGCAAAACTTGCAAGGTTGTTTTCCCAGCTTTCGGCCATTTCCTTTTCGATTGCATAAAACCAAACCATCAAAACCAGCCAGTTAACGTTCCGTTGAAAACCGAAATAGGATCCTATCCTATCCTATTCTATCCTATCCTATTCTATATATCCTTGTGATAGTCAGATAACAACCTTCATTTGCATTCCAACTAGCTGTTATACGATTTTGGGGTTTTTAAAGTTGGAATGAATTTGTAGTCCCACCGAAAATAAACCTGCGGGGTTTTTACCTTATAAAATGGACATGTGCGTGTGCATATTAATTATAACTTAACAACCCGATAAATATAAATTTCTAAACTGTAAAGCGGCGGCTTAATTGCAAAAAGTATCGGACGAATATGCCTATTTCTAGCCCGTTGAACTTGCCGAAGTGGTACGTACGATTGATACTCATTTGATGTCAGTTATAATATAATATAATATAATAGACTGATCAAATCACAGGCTCAAGGAGAACTCGCATCTCCTCCAACCCCCAATCAACAACTACTGCGTCTACAATGAAGACTTCACCGTCATGGTAAGAATGGATACATTCATTCACGAACTTTCAAAAATATATTTTTAAAAAAATCTATAACAAATTTACTAATACAAAAAAAAGATCGTAGGCGGCGCCTCCGGTAACGCCCGCACAGACTACCACATCAACACCACCCCCGAATGGTTCTACCAATACAAAGGCCCCATGGTCCTAAAAATCGTAGACGACGGCGTCTTCCGTGACATCATCATCCGCGAAGGTGACATGTTCCTCCTCCCGCCGAATACCCCCCACAACCCCGTCCGCTTCGCCGATACCGTCGGCATAGTTCTCGAACAGAAGCGTCCCGAGGGAAACCTCGATCGACTCAGATGGTACTGTCAGGATTGCAAAGAAGTGGTGTATGAAGATTCATTCTATTGTACTGATTTGGGTACTCAGATCAAAGAGGCGGTTAATAAGTTTAGGAGTGATGATAGTCTAAGGACCTGTAAGAATTGTGGGGCTTTGGCGGAGGTTGAGAGGACAAAGGATAGTCTGCCGGATCTTGATTAATACAAATAATTATTAATTCTAGCTTCGGCTTTAAATTTGCATGTATCATATTGAATTCGGTTTCGTAAGAAGAAAAAAAACAAACATTAAACTTCATTAAGAGAGGATAGTCTATATTAATACAGTCCGCTGCATGTAGTATAAAAGGTTTTGCCCGAGATCATCATCCAAGAATGCACCAAAGACACTAAACTCCTGCTCAAGAATCTACTGCTTCTCTGATGCCGCCGCCGCCGCCGTCTTTTCCTCTTCAGCTTTAAACCACTATTGTAGCAAAAACATATAATGTTAGCCTCTAAACTTCATAGAATCCCGACCATAGAAGAGCGGGTGGGGGGAATACATACCTCAATACACCTCCTCAAACCCTCTGTCAGCGAAACTTCTGGTTCATATCCCAACAAATCCTTCGCCTTCCTAATATCGAAATAACGATGTGCGCACGAAAACTTGACCCTGAACCTCGTCAAACCCGGTTCGCGTCCCATAAGCTTACTGAAAATCTCCGCAAGTCCAGCAATAACCAACCCCCCACTCCTAGGGAGCACAATAGAACCAGCGTTATAGACGCCATAATGGCACCATATAGCCTTCGCAAAGTCCCAAAAGTAAACCGGTTGTCCGTTTGTAACAAATATCGGTGTTCCATCAAGACGTTTCTTTTGGTCGACCGACGGATCGCTGACTCCTGTGGTAGCATGCTGGTGTAGCAGGACAGAAGCTGCGAGAACGTGGGCGATGGCGAGGTTGTCGATGTATGTGAAATCGAAGAGGTTTGTGTTATTGCCTAATTGCCATTGCGTTTGACCGTTTTTGACGACATTGATGAAACCGGGGACGAGCTGACGATCGCCTGGACCGAAGATACCGGCTGGTCGTAGAGCGGTGGTGAGCATGCCATTGGAGCCGTTGGCTTCAAGAGCGAAGGTTTCTGCGATCGCCTATAGTTGGTATCTGTTAGTATTTATCGTCGCTAGCGAGATATTGATATAAAGAAAGACTTCATCATACCTTTGACTCGTTATACGAATCGTAAGGGATAATAGGGAAGGGCTCCGTCTCATCCACATTAATCAACGGACTTCCATCAAAAACCACTCCAGCCGACGATGTATAAACCATGACCTTCACTCCCGTAGCCTCACAAGCTTTAACCACATTCTTCGTCCCATCAACATTAACTTTCATATAGATCTCCTTACCCAATCCGTGCACGGGACTGGCAGTATGGATCACAACTTCAGGTTTCGCATTCTCGATTACGGAGGTAATAGAAGATAGGTCGGTGATATCGACTGTTACATATTTGACATTGGAATCCGCCAACTGGTTTGTGAGACGGATATCCGCTGCTGTTATCCGACACTTTGGATGCTTTTGGAGAAGACTGTTGACGATGGCACCACCTAGGAAGCCGCAGCCGCCGACGACAAGGCAGGATGCGATGGGGGTTTTGTTTGGGGCTGAGGAGGTCATTTTGGGAGGGGGGGTTTGTATGAATGCCGGAGGGGTTTAGCTAGGGGCGTGATATCTACGGTAGAGAGGTATCTTGATCGATAGATGTTAGCAACAGTGACATTCTTGTCAATCGAGAACGGGGAGAATACACATACCTGGCTATTCAATCTACTGTCATGCCAATGGTTGCTTGGAGTTCGCGTGGAGGAGTTTGAAGTTCTGGCAATTACAATTGCAATTAAATCCAATTTAGCCAGTTGGGCGCGGCCAGATGTGTAGCCAGGCGACAGGGGAGCTTAGGCTTGGGCCTGTCGCGCAGGCTAAATGGCGGTGAATCGGCTGCCGGCGCAAAAACCCTGGCAACGCATAAAATACAACAAATTCATATGGCAATTTCGAATTTCCCTTGGAGAAGGCACTTGTCGTGAAAACCCATAGAATGGAAATGTATTTTACGACAAGATATTTTTAGCATCATACGGGTACGATCTAAAATCTTCTTTACTTCGAGACCTTGTGTAAATTGATCCAGAAGAAAGTACGGAAATAGCGGAAATATTAACGTCGAAAAGTGACGTCAAGGCATGGAATTACGTAAAGCTATATAAACTAAAAGCAGTATATCGACTAGTTTATACGGAGTAGCGATTCGAAAAGGGTATATAGTAACTCACTAGATAATTACTTAAATCGTTATATAATGAGAAATAAAGTACTCTCTAAATATATGTCTATCTACCTAATAGATTCCTAGACATAGCTTATAGATCACTCTCCCTACAAACTAGACTATGAGTCCCCCCTCCTCCTCCTCTTCCTCCTGGGACCTAGCCCTCCGCAACTTCTCATCCCAATGGTTCCTCGTCAGTCAAGGAACCGGTGTCCTCTCCCTCGTCCTCCGGAATCTAAACCACCAATTCAAAGGTCTTGGAGTAATCTCAATAATAATATGGCTCTACACATGCATAATATACCTCGCAACATTAACAGTCTACCTAATCAGATGCTACAAATACCCAAAACAGGTGCAATCAGCCCTACGAAACGATATCACCGAAACCGCTGCCCTCTCTTCAATATCAATAACCCTCTCCACGATCATCAACATGATGTGTCTAGTCTGCGTATCAGCATGGGGCTCGCCCTGGGGTCTAATAACCTACACTCTGACATGGGTTAACATCCTGATGGCGTCGATAGCATGTATCGGTATACCCTACGTATTTCTAAAACTTGAGCATCCGGGAGTAAAGAACATAACACCAGTAGTACTCCTACCCTTCATAGCAGCTCTAACAGCAGCAGCAGGCGCAGGAGTCATCTCCGTCTTCGCTAAAGTCTCCCCAAATCTACAAATCCCATTGATTATCTTTTCTTTTATCTTGATAGGTATGGCAGCTCCGTTAACATTAGCTTATGATGCATTATACATCGCCAGGTTATTCGACGGGTATAGTATGCCTCCACAGATGATCTACCAGACTTTTGTGCTTTGTGGACCCCCAGGACAGACGTCGTTTGCTCTTCAGGTATTGGGGACCGCGGCGACGAATAGTTTTGGGAGTTATGGGAAAGGTGCTTTTATTCAGGGTGCTGCGGGGTCTGTGGTTGGGACGTGCTGTATATTTTGCGCCCTGATGATTTGGGGGTATGGACTCTTTTTTTGGTGTTATGCGATACTTGCAACGATACAGGCGCTTTGGGGACAAGACGGTGGTATTAAGGCGACGAAGTTTAGTATGAGCTGTTGGAGTGTAGTGTTTCCGTGGGTTAGTAATAATATATACTTATATATATACCTACCCAAGATATCTTGCAAGCCGTTCATAAGGAGAGGATAATTCTAAAACTATTCGTTTTGCCTAGGGAGTGTTTACGATGTCTGCCGTACAATTTGGCAAACCGACTAGTTTGGATTCAGAAGCCTGGGCGGTATGGAGTACGATAATGGGGATTGTGATGTTTATAATTTGGCTGTTTTTTACGGTTTGCACATGGCGAGGGATTGTGACTGGGGAATTACTCGGGGTTCGGAGTTGGAAGGCCAGGGTAGAGGACAGTGACGAATTAAATACGGGTCCATATCCGCGATGGGAAGAATAGAAACTACATACTTGCTTGACTTAACGATATCGACAAAGTAGTGCTAAATAAAATCTCGACAGAGGCAGCGAGGATAGATGTTTGTTTTGTGATACCTGGTGGTATTAATCATGTAATGCAAAGTAACTACTACTTTACACGTATATATCTATCCGACTCTAGTCATAATAAACCTTCCCAAAAGCGCTCAATGCTTAGTACAACCCTTCTTCGTCGCCGTCGTCTCCAAAAGCACCCTCTCCGCCTGTACCAGGGCCATCAACCATAATCTCTATTGCTCTCCCCTTCCCCTTTTTATCAACCGTTGCGTCACCCTTCTTCTCATCGACCGTCTCGAACATCTGCCTAACCCGGTCATAGTGCTCTAATTCCTTCTGACTAACACTTCCAATTAACTCCTTCTTTGCTTCCATGAAGTCATCTTCTGTAACAGCCACTGCTACATCATCAGGCGTTGCTAAGTAGTCGAAGAAGTATGCGGTAGAAACGGGGTTCTCCATCTCCTTGATCTTCTGGTCAACTTTTGATGCCTGACGTGTGATAGCTTTCAACATTGCATCTGAGCACAAGGCATAAAGATCTGCACCGGTGTATGTAAAGGGCAAAGTCTCAGAAATCTTTGCAAGGGATAATGAGTTATGCAAAGTGAATCTATAGATATTATTAGCACCATTTTCATGATACCCTTGTAGGCAAGTCGCTGATTAAAACTTACTTCCTTGTTAACGCCTCCAATATAGTCAATTGCTTATGATGAGTATCGGAGACACCCAAGAACAACATCTTATCGAATCGACCAGGTCTAAGCAAAGCAGGATCTAACAAGTCCGGACGATTGGTTGCGCCAATCACGAACACGCCACCGCTGCCCTCTTTTCCTTCACTCATACCGTCCAATTCAGCGAGAAGCTGGGACACAATTCTGTCCATGACACCACCGGAATCACCCTGGTTTCCTCTCTTCGGAGCCACGGAATCCAGTTCGTCAAAGAACACGACACAAGGCCTGGCATCGCGAGCACGTTGGAAAACCCTTCTGACGTTGGCTTCAGACTCTCCAATATACATGTTCAACAACTCCGGACCCTTGACGGAAAAAAAGTTAAGGGAAAACTCCGTAGCAATCGCTTTGGCAAGAAGTGTCTTTCCGGTACCCGGGGGCCCGTAGAATAAGATACCTAAAGAACGTTAGATAGGTTTACTGAAGTAAACTTGGTGGTACTACACTTACCACTCCTCTTCTTCATGCCCTTTGCGAATAACTCTGGCCTCTCCAACGGCAACTGAATGGTTTCCATAACCGCACTCTTGACATTCGCTAATCCACCGACATCATCCCAGGACACATTGGGAATCTTCGGTGCACCGATGCTATCCGCAAAGTTCTTTCTCGCAGCGTCAACAGCAGCCTCAAAATCCTGTTTATTGAGACAGCTAGCATCTCCGCCCGCCAGTTGTATATCTCTCACAGTAACCCCTTCCATTTCTGCGGCTAACCCTTCCATCCTCTCACTGCATGCCGTCATAGCTCTTTCCACCACATCAACGAGATCACCGGCTACCAAGGCTGCGGTTTTGAGAGCGATTGTGCTGAGATCAATTTCCTTTGCTAGTCGTACACCTCTTTCTTGTGTTATCTGTCTCAGTAACCCAGTTCTCTCACCCTCATCTGGTGCTCCAACCTCGAGTTCGTGTGTAAACACATTTCTTACAGGTTCAGGTACCTTATCCACATCTGTCGTTGTGGCAATGACAATTCTCATATCTGCGACGATATCCCGTAGGGCCTCAGCCATTCTCTCAGCAGTAAATGCTTCGATATGGCTGATGAGTAGCACGCAATTTTCAATACCGCAAGACGCAGCTCGTTCAGAACGAGCTCGGAGGTATGCTTCGGTCTTGACATCGCTAGCTTGTCCACCTTCGCCAATGATATCGTAAGCGTCAATGTGGAAGATGTGAACACCAACATCGGAAGCCGCACGGTAGGCAAGCAATCTCTTTCCGATCGAGCGCTGGGTGGATGTTAATAGCACCGCTAATGGTGCAAGCCCAAGCTTAATAGAACGCAATGATGTAGCGGCTGAGATTAGCTCTCGCAGTCGGCGATGCACAGGAGATATGTAATTATTTGGGAGCTCGAGAGCGGGGTGGATTGGAGGTGGGTTGTTCGGAATTGGGGGCGGAACAATATTAAGATAATATTCCCAAGGGCTGTTCAATGTCGGTGGAATCCTGCCCCTTTCGCTTCCTGCTTGTACCATCCTTGTGCTTCCTGGGTCGACGATAGCTACACCACCCCATTGTTGTGATGTCATGCCGTTACTAAAAGCGTTGGTAGCCTCGTCGGTAGGTGCTATCGTGCCGACGCGGAACCAGGCAGCACAAAGCTTTCCAGTATTGTTAACTCCAATTCCTGCTCCACCGTGTGATCCGTAAAGAAGTTCGTCACCAGCGCCAGGTATCTCTTCTGCATTTTCGGCATCTGGAGGTAGCAATGCAGCTGGGGAGAATAGGTTACGACCTAGAGACTCATCGATTAAGACTGGTATTAGATCTCCAACTTTGACCATTTTGCGTGAAGTTTCAAAGTAAGTTTTAAGCCCAGCCAGAAGGGACGGCTGTAGAGCTCTATCTGTGGATATAGGTGTAGATATCCGAAGCAGAGTCACCTCCTTGGCAGTAGGAGGGATTTGGGGTGTCGCTGAACTAGGAGGTGCGGTCGTAACTGGTGACAGCAAAGCGCCTTGTTGTATATTTGAAGGGTTCATAAATGGGGACTTCGTCAAAACAACGGAGCTCGGAGAACCCAGATTGGCGTGAAGCAATGGAGACATGTAGACACAGCCTTTCATCAAAACTTTGACTTTCTCCTTTCCAGCGTAGAGCTCAGGTAAGGAGTAAACCTTTGCTGGTCTCCAAGCACGGCTACCGTTAGGAAGTCTGTCTCCAAATAGGCCATGGTCACTCGCCACCCCAATCCAATCTCCGCTGAAGCAACCTAGGCCCATCAGTTCATTTACTCTAACATATACTCTCGCTTCGGCATCATCCGCTGCAGGTGGCGTTGGAAGTAGCAAGGTAGTCGGGATTTTTTGAGAAAGTGGCTTTGCTGTAAACTTGACCACCTTGGGTGCATCCGAGAGTCCAGATATCGAAGCACCAGGTCCATTCCTAAGCGGCGTACTGATAGACGGGGTGCCTAACGTGGTGGCAATATCCATAAACGTGGAAACTCCAGGTAAGTCAACATTATTTTCGTCGTCGTCATCGCCTTGCGATAATACATCCTCGTCGCTGTCGCTATCATCTACGCCATTCAAGTCGATCCCATTTGCTAGCGGTCCATCTTCTGGTTCCCCAGTTTTCTTTCCCCTCGATTCCTTGACCACAATAACTTTTGTATCTTCGGTTATTACACCCTGGTCGACTGGCTCGCATAGCCGAACTCTTGCTAGCACGCTCATCCATTGCACACGGACAATATCACCAGTATGCACGACTCGCATGTCATCCAGGCCCTTTGTAATCATTTCCTCAATCGTCTCCTCGTCAAACAAACCTTCTTCGCCTGTCGAGAAGAAGCCGACAACCACGCTCGTCAAGGCAATTGGGGTTGTAGCTGTCAATTGGATTGGAAACTTGATGCCATTCTCGGCCCTGAGCGACGGCTGGTTTGCGAATGCCTCCCATAACGGATGTGGTGCTCCACTAGCAGGTAGAAGGATCGTAGATAACGGTATCGTCGGGAACTGAGAGGAGTTTAACGGCGGAATAGTCGTCGGAATTACAATCCATGGAGAAGCACACGACGTTGGAGCGGGTATTGGAGAAGGTGAGAGAGCGACATGTGTAATAGGCATGGCTACCAAGGCGGATATGGTCAGCTAGGTTGATTCTCCATAGCTACAGCTAGAACTGTCAGGTCAATTGGGACTACAAACCTCCGTCATCCTCCTCTGCTGTAATACCACCATAGAGCTCATTCCAAATATCTCGAGATACAAATCCAACTTCTCCCATCAAAGTCTCGTCGATCACCAGGGTCGCATGGATGTCGTTCGACGCAATCCGGCGTCCCCGGCGCGGCTTCCTATCGAACCCTGGCATAGCTATAAGATTTCTCCGAAAAGGTACGTTTCGATGGTAATATATCGAGTCGGGTACGGGGTAAATTGGTGAAAGATAAATCGAACCCGGCGAGGTTGACACGAGGTTATTTTTTCTCCGGCAGCTGCGATATCACGGGCGCATGGTTGCATGAGAAACGTGTTTACGGGGTAGCTGCGGCCTGGCGTTTTCTACAGGGATTCTTTATGCCTTTGTGCCTCGGCTATCGGATACTATGACCAATGAACGTGCGTATATTTCCAACAGCCAACACAATTTCACAGGTCCGGATGCTACATCCATTTAACGACCCATCTGTGAAAGTAGTAAGTAGGTCGGATTATATTAGGTATATTATATATTGCGAGATCGAGAGACTCCCAGAAGCTCCGGTACCGAGTGCCATTATGAGAATAGACGAGATTTCCGGTTAGTTTAAATTTATAAGAATAACCCAATGAGGAACCATCTGAACGGCTTCAAATATATAGACAAATAGTAAGTTATTATAATAAGGCGGTATTCATCTAGAGCTACTGCGCAGCTGTGTAGCCAGTTGTGTAGCTATAAAGAGAAGTAATTCAAATTAACTATCTGAAAAGTGTGGACCGCGTCTGCAATACGAGACTACCGAAAAGCAATAGCAGGGGTTAATCTCGTATTGAGCAAGGGTCTTTACATAGCATTCCGTAAGCAGCGTATGGAGATTACAGGTAAATTATAGGATTTTGCCATTTATTAACACGTCATGATGAGTTTTGCTTCTGGTAGAAGTACTTCCGATCTGAGTAATTGATGAATCCAATATATTATTTACATATACTACTAGTAGGTATCAGCCATATTAGTATCAGCCATATTAGTATCAGCCATATTAGTATCAGCCATATTAGTATCAGCCATATTAGTATTAGAGATATTAATATATTATGAACTAGCTACCAAAGTACTCAACTCTGTATACTATAGTACTAAGACGAAAATATATATATTGTAATTCTGTGCACACACACTAGGTCGCTAGTAGGCTACAATACAACAAATCCCAATACTGGGAAGCCTTACCGTTAAAAGCTAAGATATATCGGCGTATGTATATCTGAGAATGAACTTATACTTGGTTGACCTGGAGGATCATTACTTATCATGCGTCAACGTAGAAGTATATTACACGGATAAAAATGTCGAGTAAACGATCTATTTTCAGTACTGCAGACAGCTAGAGCTTTTGCAGTAAAATCTATCGAATCCCGATCCTGCAACTGATGTATATACATGTGACCCTTAACCTGTTAATCAGATCAATCCTGCTATCTATCCACCTCTCGCTTGTTCTCATTCCTCTCTTTGGGCTTAACCCTTTGGCATATATAGTTTGGGGTTCCTTCCGGGGTTTCTTCGGTTTTTGCTTCTCATAGTTAGGAAGCTTACCGGTATTTCGGACCACGTTTTTCGTGGCCTTTGTTCCTTATCTTTGCCCCGTTCCATTCCATTTCCCTTTCCTTTTATGTTCGGAATGGATTTCTTCAGTCCTGTTCGAATTCGTGATTCCCTCCTTCAACTCCGTTTGTTTCATAGTTTTCGTTTCGTTGTTAGAATGGAAAGCCCATCGGCACCTCATTCGACCAAGCTAGCATTATCTCAATTTCCCTTTCCTTTTATCCTTTCTTTCCCTTCGCCCCCCCCATCTTTTCTTTATTCCTCTCTCCCATTTTCAGTTTTTCCTTTTCTTCGTTTGATTTCCTTCCCCTTTTTGGGTTTCTGCTTCCATAAGGGTTGCAGTTCTAACTCAATAGGGTCTCCTCTCTCTTTTTTTTTTTAAAAAAAATATTTTATTGTTTTCATTTTCGTTCTCGCTCTCGTTTTTCTCTTTCTTCGTTTTTATTTTTTATTTTTATTTTTTATTTTTTATTTTTTTTGATTTGGTTTGGTTTCTATTTATTGTTCTATTCTAAGACAGCTCATTCTCTTCCGTGATCCTGCTCCCGCCTCCTTGGTGTCTTTGCTTCTCGGTCTTCGAAGCTTAGACTATGGTCTGTGACCACCTTTTGGATCTCAACAAACGAAACTTGCTCAACAACCGAGTGGTTGATAGGAACAATGTGATCAGTTCGTTTTGTTAGCCTCAATAGTTTCTATACTAACACCAATGCTAAATTGAAGCGTAAGAAACGCGGATAGAACATGGAAACAACATTCTATAGAGGCTACAGCCAAATTCATTCCTAAGAAATGGCTGACTTAGTCCGTATTCCTGAGTGATTTTTTTATGGATTCCAGACCAAGTTTTCGTGTCAAATAAAAGACGGATTCGACAATGGACAGCTTGAAACAGCTGGATGACTGTGAATTCAAATGACCAATCGTGTTTGATAAGTTGTAACGCTTTAGAAGTTTATCAAACAAGATAAGGTCGTCGTTGTCAAAAAAAACCTTTTGGGTACGTACGTATTGATCCCATGTAGGCGAAGTCGAGGTTTTTCCGACAGTGCTGTTCGAAAAATCGTGATTGAGTATGCTTAGTTGCCGTCCAGTAGTTTTTATACAGCGATTGGTGATCACACTGTAAGTAAATAAGTACGTACGTCCATACGTACGGGCTATCTTTTCAATACTTGGTGAAGATTCATGAGATCCGACATGAATCTGATTGAAACGAACCAGGTGTTTGTGGTGTCTTGAAGCGTGTCCACTGGTTGTAAATGCACTGGCTCCAAGGATTTGATCTGTAAAATGGTTGCTATTAGTTAATTCATGATAAGGAAAAAAACATTATTAAACCTTTGTTCCGATCTCTAAGTTCGGTACTTAGTCCTTAGATGTAGATAAGCCCCTGAATAGTAGGTAAAAGTACTCATCTTCTGTACGTTTGAATTGTTGTATTCGGCGAGAAGATGGTTAACTTCGTCTTGAAACAAAAGCTCGACAGAATATACGTAATAACCAGCTTGTTGGAGCGGATGAGTACGGCCTTTCTGTTTCCACGCGAGGTCCTAATTCGCGAATGCTTCGAGATGGTGTTGTAGTATCAGATCTAGCTTGTTGAAGCCCGTTCTGTGCTGAATATCGAGTGTCGTTTGATCATTTTTGTTTGAAAGGTTTGAACCCAGATCCATGGATCCAGTATATTCTCGATACAGGAGTGCGTGTTCAGTTTTGCGGTTAACTAACGCTTGCACTGTTGAATCCCGATGGCCAGAAACCGAATAGAGTAGGTCATAAATAAAACGTCGGTGTCAAAGTTGGTGCCATGTAAGATCCGAAAATCCAAAGAAGGATCATGATTGTTTGTCGATAACAACGGTTGAAAAGATCGTCGTCATCTGATGAGGCCGTGCCCCCCCCCTGCCCCCCCTCCTCATCTTCCTCGTCTTCCTCGTCTTCCTCGTCTTCACCCCCCCTCTCGAGCTCTCCACGACCGTGAACAAAAGCTAGCCTCCTCAACATCGACCGAAGAACAAAAGGTGCCTCGTCCAAGCTCCCCAACCTATGAGACCAGAAGTAACCCCCAGCGAACCAGAGGCACTTCACCTTTCATTCTTCGTTCGTCTTACCCCCGGCCCTGCCACCCCGTTGCGGCCCTTCCATTCTGCTGCTTTGTTCTGGTCTGCCCCCGGCCCTGCCACCCCATTTCGGCCCTACCTCCTGCTCCTGAGCTCACTGTCCCCCGGCCCTGCCACCCCGTTGCGGCCCTTCCCTCATTATATACCTACACGCCAGCCCTACGGCTGCGCGGTATGAGGATCTTCCGGCCCGCAACCGGTGTCACCTCAGCCGGTTCCTCCTCGACCGGCGGCATATCCTCCTCCTCCTCCTCCTCCTCCTCCTCCTCCTCCTCCTCTTCCTCATACTCCTCATACTCCTCATACTCTACTTCCTCTACTTCCTCTACTTCCTCTTCCTCTTCTTCCTCTTCTTCCCCTTCTTCCTCTTCTTCCTCATACTCCTCCTCTACCACCACTTCTTCCTCTTCCTCCACCACCTCCTCCTCTTCCTCTTCCTCTATCACCTCCTCTTCCTCCTGCTCTGCCTCCACTGGCATTGCAGTCTCCCTCTCCTTCCTCCCCCGCCACTCCCTCTCCTCCCTCACCCTCTCCTCCATCTCCATCAACTCCTCCCTCGCCCTCACCCTCTCCTCCCTCGCCTGCTCCATCCTCACCCTCTCCCTCTCCTGCTCCGCCCTCAACTGGGCCCACTGAGATCCGTCGAGCCGCCCCGCACGACCCCGCGGCATCTTCTTGATCTCCCTCTTAGCCCCAAGAGCCTTCACCTGCTCCTCTTCCATCCCCTGGCGCTCTGCCTCCACGGAAATAGCGCTCTCTCTTTCGCTCCAGTCATCCCCTTGGCGCTCTGCCTCCTCAGAACTAGCGCTCTCTCTCTCTCTCTCCTCATTCTCCTCCATCCCCTGGCTATCTGCCTCCTCAAGAATAGCACTCTCTTCCTCTTCACTTTCCCCGTCTTCCGAAAGTCCACTCGGACCTTCCCAGAGTTGGTCAAGGGAACCGCTCCCTTCAGACCCCTCTACCGAGACATCCTCGGCGTCACTATCCTCAACTTCCTCGACCACTGAGGCCTCGAGGTCCGTTGCGAGCTGTTCAATGACCGGTTCTGGTTCGGTCACAAAAACGGGTTCCGGTGCTGCACCCACCGTATCATCCGTTTGCACCCCTGCGTCAACATAACGAGGGGCCGGAGCAAGAGGGACGGAGGGAGCCTCTGGCTCAACCTCCTCGTCCTTCAGCTCAACTGGCCCCTCGTTAGTTGGGCCGGAGCGCTTGCGGACCGACCGGGCCTGAAGCCGTTCAGCCTTCCGCTTGGAAGCCTCTTTCATCTGCTTCCTAAATGCGCGAATTACTTCGCGCGAAGCCGGAGCTGGCCTGCTCGGAAGCTTAGCAGGCTCGCTCTCCTTCTCAGCTTCTGGTGTTACCACCGAAGCGTCCTCGAAGTCGAGCTCCTCTGCTTCTTCACGAAGCAAGCCCTGTCCGGTGACGAAAGCGGCAACCAGTGCGTACCAGAAGAAAAGACTTGCATCGGGATGCAAGTCGGCGTCGGGGGCCCAGTGGGCAGGTGCTACGTAGACGTAGCAAATTTCGTTGAAGAACTCAACGAGCATTGCGCCGGCGTTGGCGAGATCATGGCCCACGGCTGGAGCCACCGAGATGGCCACAATTACGACGTAGAAGACCACAGCCCATGTCAACCATGGGAATGGCCCCCTCGTCAACCAGCGTGGGTCGTCGGTGATCAGTCTCGGGCGTTGCGAATCCATAGGTGGGGGCGTATCGATAACACTTGTATCGATACTAGCTCTATAGATGTAGTCGGTGTGGAAAGGGTATCCGTTGCTGAAATCAAATACTGGAAATATTTGTTTGGGCTGTGGATGAAGAAGAGAGGAGAAAGGGGAAAGGAGCAGAAATAAGAAGGGTCCTTGTTTTATAATTCGCACGAAATAAATCTCGTTGCTGTGGCTCGGCCGGCCATGGATTTGCTGTTAACTATCTTAACGCTCGGCTTTACAGCTCCATAGAAACGCATGGAATCTTAGAGTCTAGTACAAGAACATCATTTCGGGAGCAGCTTTGTATTTTCCACTAGCACTAGTAGCCTGACATTCGAGGCTACAACAATGATCCTTTCTCTGCAACGTAACTTCTGTAGGACCCTAAATAACTAAATAAATCACAAAGATGACATCATACGCCATAAATACAAGAATACAGTACTAATCAGCTAAATAGATAGTCTTTGGTACCTCCCATAGGCCGAATGCACCGCTGTTTGATTGGTAGATGAACGTCTGGCCCCCGAATTAGAGACCGGCTATGATAATGATGTATAAAATTGTTAAAGATTTTTGTGTTTTATTGCCAAAATCCAACATCTTTGTCGATCTTGGCATGGTCGCAGTTCAATATTACCAGAATAGGGTATTTTAGCGAGGTCACACAAAGGCTTGGCGTTATAAACTTCATGGCAACCAACGCAGCCGAGCCCGTAGTTAATAACAGTTAATAATTTTCAGTCCCGTTACTAGTCTTGTATTAAAACGCTTCGGCACACTTCCCGTTACTATGGGCGTGTGCGTGCTAGCTATAGTTAAGTTCATCTCATAAGAGGTATCTACCGTGGACTTTGTGTTATCTAGCAATCAAGCGAGACCATACATGTATCTACCTAAGTACTTTTCAATTCTAAACCCACTTGCTTGATGGCGTAGTTACAGGGCCGGGTATAAGCGCTCTCTAATCTATTAATTCTCCTTCTAGCTTCGATCTCCCCTAGCCCCTCAGGTACCTCGCGATTGTTTAGGACTCCAATCAGCCCCAAGCTAGCCCTGCTATCTCCGTTAAATTTCAGAACCAGTACGTACGTACTAGCCTTGATTAGCTACTTCATCAACCATTACGGTCCTTGTCGGTGTACTCGATTTTCTGGGGCCAAAGTTACAGGGAAGCTCTGATGCAGGAGTAAAAGCCTCTACAAGCCAGACATCTGAGAACTTGGAGTCGAAAGCTGGATCTGACAGCCCTTCTACAAACCCAATACTTTTTTGGGGTGTCGTAATATCCATAGCGCTTGGTGCATCCGTGCTATTCCAACGATCCGGATCAACAACCTCGATACAACCCGAGAAGCTAATATCACCCTCGTTTGCAGGGTTTTCCTCCGAGAGGAGATCACTACATCGAACAGCAGTGACTGTAGATCCGGATGAACTTGCTGGTGATGCCGGTAATAGCATATCATCGATATCGGTAGCTAGTAGCACTCTGTCTTCGGAAGCTTTGGCAGAGAAGGAACTTTGGCTCAAGTAAATTGGTCGGTTATCTGAAGTCCTTACCCTTTTCCGAGACATGGGTAATGGATCAATCATTGCATTCTCCCAAATTGCGAGAGGATCTGCTCCAAGGGTAGTATCCCTTGTTCGAAGGGTACGCTTGTATGGCTTTCCTATCTGACGCTTCTTACCCCCGCAGCAATGATAAATAGCTAGAAAAAGACAATACAGTGCTAGTAGGAAGATCGGGACCAAAATAATGAGAAAAACCCCTGCAATAAGTACCCCCCATAAAAACGAGATGGTGTGAATACCCGCGAATAGTGATGGTTCGGCTAATAATTGAGAATTCAGCTCTTTCGCTCGTTGAGACTCATCCCAGAGGTCCCAGAGGGGGTCTAGATTGGTGAAGTAAGTTGGCAAATCTGCGTCAAGTTTTCGGTCGACGATACTCTGGATGAAGTCTCGGAACCATGGCGAAACAGTCCAGTTTCGTTGTAGAAAACCGAAGATTCGATCGTTGAAGTCGTCATCTGGCATCGGCACCATACCACCTGTTAATGGGAGATGAGAGAACCAGTTTTTGGCAGTCTGGAGTGTGAATATGGCCTGAAGCGAGCTGGCGGCTTGAAACTTTGAAGGCGTTGCCACTAGGTGCCATAGAAGCTGGTGGAATTGTCTATAGACAAATCGAAACCGGTTGGTAATATTATGCTGAATGTGTTTTGATTCACCATGGCGCTGGGCCTTTGGTATCTCAATTGGGGTGCTCTCATTTTCTGGATTTATGCTTTCGGTTGGAGCAATGAAGGTGCGGATAGCGGGTGTTTGCGAGTTTGGTAGGATGATTTCGCATAGACTACTGAGATTTGAGACGTGCGATGGGTTCATGATGATCAGGTTCGTGTTATCCGTTTCAAAAGATGACAACCATGAGTTCCTTTGTTCGGAAGTAGAGCATTGGAAGTCATCAAATGGGCAAGCGAAGTCCTGAACACGTTGATTAAGAAGCAGTGACATGGTATGTTAGATAGTGGTTAGAAAATAGTAATTTAAACCGATTTTGTCGTTCCTTAAAGTACGTCCTAGCAGCGTATGCTGGGGCGTTTTGATACAAGACTAGTCTTGACAGTGGTCGAAGTATTAATTTTGAAATCGTAATACTTGGGACAGCTAGATCTATAGACTAATACTTGGGTACGCATTCGGATAAATTGATATTAAGTTGACAGTCTCGTACTTAGTGAGAAGGCTGATAGAAACTGGGTATGTGCGTACTTATTTACTTCATGGATTGGAAACTACTGGAAGGTCGGAGATATCATTTTTGTATACATGTATTGTAGATGCCTTTGAAATGGAGTAGTCTCAGCTCTGATATTCAAGAGCAGCAAGTCCAATATGAGTATATCTCTGCAAGAAAAACGACTCATGTTGTTTGATATAATGTGGAAGGTTTGTTAATCTTTATACCCCAGGGCTGCTATTTTGAGGAGCGTTTGAGATAGGCCGGGTCATGCACGCCTCCTACGGAGCTTGTTAAATAGATCTTTGGAAGGTGTATGTATTAATTACTTTAAAACACCATTTAACCGACGCGAGGACACTAGTATGGCTATAGATTAGATCATACTAGTAGTTAGTACAAGAAATTTCGTCACAATGAATATCTCTCAGTATCATAGAAAACATTTTCGGAGATTTTTATGCCTTGGTGGAAAAAATCTGTGCATGTTCTATCCGAAACCAACTTGATGAAGCTGCCCCCAAAGCGGACCAATCGCGCATCAATATCAAACCCGGAAGTTAAATATATTGAGATGCCGGAAGCCGAACCCATATTTAAATATCGGATCTTAATATTAATATGTGTTGAATTATATATTATATGGCTTAAAGATTAGAGCCCTGTGCCCTGTGCTACAAGGCTTTACCTGTGACATCAGTCAAGCCTTAAAATGTGGTTAGGCATTTTGGATGACAGTAAGGCTATGCTATGCATAAGAATCACAGGCTATGCCGGATGTTGATGTGATGAGCCAGCGCTTCGGGTATCAGTGCCCATCGGATTTCTTATCGATACAGAATATTCTGTTCCATGGATCCATGGAAGTGTGGGGATTGTGTGTGCACGCAGCGCTACCCTGACGGTAACATTTCTAAATCCAGCCTTCAAACTGCTGAATGCACAACATTGACGGCAGTGGCTATCTCGGTACCCGGAACGTTGTGCTATACTATCGAGTGAGGGTTGCCGATATTAGGAAAGTGTGGCCAAGCGCCGGATGCCGACGAAGTAAGAATAAAGTTGGTGAAACATTCAAAACTCCAACAACATGACATCGAGTAATATCGTCCAATCTTTGTCGGAGCTAGACCGGTGTCGACGTCCTAAACTGGCAGCCGCTAGGAGCAACGCAATTCGTTCGTGTCTCGATTTGGAACCATGGCTAGAAGCAATTAGGAATGGCTTCGGTTGGTTGATGAAGGAGCCTTGGGTCGTTTTGTGGGACCCGAACTGGCGCCACCAATTTCTGATAAAATTAAATTGGATTTTTTGTGGCCCCTCGAAGTCATCCCGGCGCTCTAGCTGGAACGGCCCCCCATCGAGCATCATATCATGCATGTCGAGCTCATCGCCTTACCATTCAGCCGTCTTGCCATCGCATAACGCAAAGACACGTTGATTATTGCCGTCGACGCGACGGGCTGGACTGATGAAAATGAAATAAAAAAATCTTCATTGGTGTCATGCTAGATTGCCAACTCATCGACATGGCTCAGGTTCGCTTGGAGCATTGAGTTCATGTCGCAGGGGAGTGCAGACAGGGGCGGCATGGAGCGAACCAATGACGGCAGTCTTTCACCAGCGTCGATGAACCGTTTTAGTTGGGGTTTGCTTCTTTCGACCGCGATCCCTTACCCCATGTTCACGAACTCACATTCGAGTTTCACGAAACATTTCATCGGCACTAAGTCAGGACTGGACCATATGCCAGGGCAGGATCAAGAGGTTCAACGGCATCAGACCTGACCTGCATGACGGCACAATTGTTGATATCGAGGAGGGGTCTATATTCGCTTAGGAGCTGATATCGGGAAGAAACGTGTTCATGAAGTGATCAGGTGGTTTGAGATTGAGGTCTCAAAGACCATTCCGGACCACTATATCACCGAGCGCAAGGGTATCCCATCGCAATGTCTGTTCCAAAGATCCGCATATCAATTCATTGGCCTTTATGTCCCCTTGCGTGCATGTTCGTTATTCCTTTTGCTTGTTCGCATCCTAGGAGTGGCTAGTACCAGTACTAGTACTCAGCAGACCAGTCGATGTCAGATGCTTGATATAGAGCCTAGCGATGAATGGTGGTGCGACAGCCATCGGCTTCGGGTTCAGCATCCCCACCTTGAAAGGTGAAAAAAAAAAAAGTTTCCCTGTCTGACAGCGCATTCATATGCCTTTCTGGTCGTTCGGTCTTTCTTTCAGCCTCTGCGTTTGAAGTGGAAGAAAGAAAGAAAGAAAGAGCAGTCTGCGCGTGTTCGAACGAACCAGAGTTTTATACTTAAATCACCAGGGTCGTCCCATGTTCGGATGGCTTTTCTTGTTTTGGCTTCAGATTGACGTACTTTCAGACTGTAGCGTCTACAACCTAACCCTTTTGTCAGCGGTAGTTTTCTGGTAAAAAAAGTTTTCCTTCGAAGCTGTCGCCTAGAAGTCAAGAGAGAGAGAGAGAGGAAGAGCTAGCGATTGAATTGCGATAAAGAAATACCTCTCTACCCGACCAGTGATATACACACAAACATACACAGTACTTACATTCCTGTCGACATCATCTCGAAAGAGAAAAAATAAAATAAGGTTGAGTGCGAAGTGAAGTAACGTAAAGTGAGGTGAAGTGAAGTGAGTGGGTGTCGAGTTCAATGCAAAGGGATCCCTTGTCGCCAGTACGCTAAAGCTCTCCACTCAAATTCCACTTTATCTTCCACCACTCTTCCTCTTCACCATTTCCTTCCCCTTAAAACACCTTGAGCCCACAATTTCACGACCCAAAAAAAACCACCACCATCGCATTCCTCACCAGTCTTCCCCTCTCTTCGATTCTCGTCACCGATTTGTGTGCTGGTTATCCAATCGTCCGTCCTTTCACCTTCGACTTCATCTTCATATTCATATTCACCTTCAACTTTGTCGGTAAGTCGCATCCTGTCGCCTTTTTCTTCCCTTTCGCGTGGTTCTCAACATTGTGGTTTTGCTTTTGGGCGGGAGACCAACCAAATCTTTTTAATGGCAGCTCTTGAACCCTGTAGCGGCCAACAAGCATGCACTAAAAACCGACAACGAAGAACAAAAAGGAACGGCGACCAAGTTCTTTAGTCTACCGTTTCAAGCTGCTAATTGAACGTGTCGCGACCTTAGGATACATTGGATTCGATAAATTCACGTCCTTATTTACCTCTTTCCCTTCTGAAATACACCCGATATCAACTTACCTCTCCCTTTGTCTTTGATACAGTGTATCATTTTTGGCCTCGAAGGTCAAATATTCTTCCCTACCAAACAACACCAACTACTTATCTGATCCGTGACGAGCTATCGCACGGCGGAACCATTCTTCAGAATTCGCGTCATGTCATTCTTAAAGGCCCTACGGGGCAAAGGAAGTCCGGGTAAAGCCAAAAAGTCCAAGGGATCGGACAACCAACCTTCCCAGGCTGTAGCTGCTCCCGTCTACCAGGACCCTTGGGAGAAGACTCTAGTTACACCTGATGAAATCTGCGAGCTAGTCAAAGCTTGTACTACCGAGATCAAATCAAGAGGTATGTTTCCATGAATTCCATTGCATATATTTTCCCTTTTTCTCGGATTCCTAACAGCTAACCGGGATCAAACTAGGCCTGACGGCTCCGTTTTTTATCCTACCATTCCGACCAACAAATGAACCAAGCTCAGCTCGTCCGTTCATTCGAAAATACTTTAGCACCGAGATGGATTTCAATGGACCCATGCGTGGAGATAGACTTGCTCGCGAACTCAGACTGACAGACATAACAGTAAGCTCTGCTAGCTTCGCTCCTGAGATCTATTTTTCTTCAGTGCTTACTTATCCGTTCCGTAGGTTCTGTGTAGTATTATGAAGTGGTGTTGGGCAAGACTTCCTGGTGGTGTGGTTTCATGGGGTGTCTACGATACTTTCCGCGAAGGTGAAGCAGGTATGATACAGGCGCTCCTGGAGCCCGAGTAGGATCCATGACTTCTAACATTCATAACAAGATTCCGAGATGTCCCGAAATGCTTTCCCATCCTTCATGCCAATGATTGTCGATTCGGAAGCACGCTCCTCTATCATCTTCGACTTTTTCGATCTTCTTTCCGCCATTGCAGCGAATGGCAAGCACAATGGCTTGACTGGTCTTAAGATCTCTAGAATGGCGGGTTGGTGGGCTTTTGAGCACTCTGATAATGGTTTCGGTTTCGAGGGTGGTTACGACTCATATGCAAAGTAAGCGATATTCAAATCAAATGCTTGTTATTTGCCATACTAATGTGTCACACAGGGCTGCATTGGCTACCTGCCATCTCTTTTTTTCGTATTTACGCTCATTGGCACCATCTGGAAATGGTGGAGTCTCGGTTCTCCCCCTCTCTCTTCAACAGCTGCTCTATGATATAGAGTACCCCCCCAACAAGTCTTCTTTCCTAAATGAGCCGACGAGCCACATAATTATGACAGTCGATACTGTTTCGCCAACTCCTTTCGCCCTTCTTCGTCGTGCCCGTAATTTCGACTTCACCGAAGAGAGCCGCGCCTTGCAGGAATTTTCTGACTATGAAGATCCTGTCCAGGCTCTTACCGAAGAATCGAAACGTATCCTAAAGTGCATTTCTGCCGCCAATCAATCGACAAAACCAGGAGCCGGAGCAGGCCTTGGAGACCAGTCTTGGAGTAGATTTCAAGATCTCGGATTCTCAGCCCTTGAAGAGTCGGAGTCCTCCGGAGACGATGATAGCATCTTTGGTGCCAGCGGACAGACCTTCAGGAAACGCAAGCAAAACGACGGCTTGGTCCAGAAGCAGAAAACAGTTGACCTCGCCCGACCACAAACGCCGTCATGGGCTGACTTTATGGCTTCCGGGTTCGCGGAAGCGGCCTCAGAAACGAGAGCCCCAGCCCCAATCCTTCTATCTCCGGATAAGCTTCTCCCCGCCATCGAGACTTCTAGAGCCCGTAGTGTTCAATCAAACCGTAGGCCAGACGAATCCCACCTTGAGCCTGGTGAGTTGGCGAGCATTACTACAATTGCGATAGATGATGCATTTTGGCTAGTTTGGATGACGAGCTTGGCTCCGGAGGAAACCTCCGCCCGGAAGGCAGTCTTCGGCCGATGTGCTATGTTCGACACCGTCATACGCGGTATCAAGTGGGTTATTGTCGAGGAGAAAGTCAAGGGAGCGCTCAAGAATACCAACAACGATGAGGTCTTCCTGGCAACAAAGAAAGACAAGAAACGGACTATGAGAAATAGACTTACTCGAAGAAGATCTGTTGACAGGAAGGAGATCGTTCCAGAGAAAGCTAATGGACTTTCGACCACATCCCTTTCACAACGACCTCTCAATCTTACGCCTGAGCAACAGCAAAGTATTAGGCAGACTGCTGCGACTTTACGTCAGCGTGGCCATGACTTGCCGGTTGCCCGCCCCAGGCCTAATCCACCAGATCGCCCCGCTGAGAAAGTTCTGACGACCGCTAGTGTGATGACACTTCAGCCTACTATCATGAAAGAAGCCTCGCCAGCCATGACCTGGGCAAAGAACTATGATAAAGAAGCCATCAGGGATGCCTATCTAGGTGGCGCTACATCACTCGCAGCAGTGTCCCAGAAGAGTCTCCCCCCTGCCCCAGCTGAGAACGGCGAGAGCTATACACAATCCCCAGTCAGATCGCCGGCCCAGGCACCAGTATCCCCACCCCATTCTCCTCTGCCCCCAACTGTGACCAAGCCAAAGCTCGCACCGCTCAAGACCGGATCTACTAAGCCAACACCAGTGATTGCTCCAGTCTCCCGAGAGTCCCTGGAAATCGTTTCTGATAAACCACAGCCACCAGTTCCTCAACCAGAACCAGAGCACCGTGAGGAGCCTGCTCCTTTGACACAAGTCATTTCTCGGACCAACGCACCTGAGAGGGCAATGAGCCCCGAATTATCTGACGGTGAAGCAAGTAAGAAGGTTAGCAAGTTGAGGAAGCTTTTTGGAAACACAAAGCCTGCAAATCGTCGAGCTTCAGTCCAAGTTACCCCTAAGAATCTTGCGGTTCCTGAGAAGTCTGACCGACGACCATCTCTCCGCGGAAAGCCTAACATTCCTCCCGTTTCGAATGGAAACAATACGACAACAGCAGAGCCTACCGCATTTGAGTCGTTCCAGACTGCCCGAGAAGCACCAGTTAGCCCTAAGCCTATTGCCACTCGCGAGACAACACCAGCAGCCTCTATCGTTGAAGAAACAGCTGCAAAGACTGAGTTTTCGCGATTCGACCAAGGTCCGCTTGACGCACCAGCTTTCGTTCCTGAAGACTCACCAGAACCATCGCCTGTTCGTCCAAACCATTCACAGTCTCGATTCGCTGCTTCGCGCGAACATATTCCAGATGTCCCCGCCGCAGACAACCGCTACGATGTATCGCCTCCTAGCGAGGCCGATGAACCTGTCAAAGCTCATGAGGCGGCCCCGGAGCCGAAGGAAGAGGTCAAGGTCACGCCGCCGTCATCGCCACAAACATCTCCGGTTCTAGAACCAGTTCAAGATAGATGGGCCCAAATAAAAGCGAATGCGGCTGCCAGAGCGAAAGCCAACCAAGCTATGGGTTCACCGCCCATGCCAACCCAAAGCCCGCCCCCCGTTGACGCTGAAGAATGTAAGTCTAGTTTGTTTTATAATTTTGGAGGATACATATTCTAATGTACATGTTTTTTAGCAATCGAGTCACGAGTTGCGAGGATTAAGGCCCGTGTTGCTCAGTTGACAGCCGGCGCGGAGCAATAGAAAGGCTCTAAGACAACCCGCCGACCTAAATGGATCAAGATTCTGGGGAAACCTTTCAAGTTTCTTACTACGAACAAAAAGAAGCTTCGCGAAGACAGGCGCCTTTTCGAAGCAAGGGTCAGCGGGACAGATGCCGATTTTATGTTTCCTTCTGATGTTTGCAAGCGATTCGATAATAGGAAGATGATTCCAAAGGTTTTGACAACCAAGGAGAAAGAGCGGGAGATGCAGGCGAAGTACGAGAGACAACTCGCTGGTATTCCGGAACCACCCCCGACGGTGGAGTATGTACCAAATGAGGATTACTATAACCCACCTCAATATACGAAGTGGGAGTACCTCAAAATGGTCATGACTCCCCGTCCAAAAATTCCGGCTACCCTCACCACCACCTACCAATTCCACGACCCATACGCGGAGAATACCAATCTTTTCGACTATCGGGATATGTATACCGATAGGTCGGAGGAAACCCTCCGTCGTTGGTTTCCTCGCTACTACCAGTCAGACGACGAAGAGAGGCTTGCTGAGAGGTACGTGGAGGATGCCTCAGCATCAGTAGGCGTCGTGGATCAATATTCAATCTATGACAACCCTGGCGCTGGGCGGGCTCCTCCCCGTACCCCATCCCCATCAGCAAGCCTCGACTAAAAGCCTTCTCTTGTCTCCCCTACGCGACCATTTGCCTCGCTTTACACCTTGGGCGTCTACCAATGAATCATCTTCCTTGCTTTTTATTTTACTTTTTAATTCGTTTCTTCTTTCGGCCCTTTAACGTCTGGTGTTTCAATGGTACATTATACTTTGCTTTCCAACCAAAAATATTCTCCCACTATTCTATCTTAATGCGCACTTCACCTCATATCACACATGTAGCCAGTACTAGGAAGCAGAACTGCACCAGGTGCTAACTTTATTCCGTCCATTTGTTCTTCTTGATCCTCTCTTTTTATTCCCCATTCAATCTTTCTGACATTCCTACACTCCACTTCATTTGGACTTGATACTTAATCATGGAGGTGCACGAAGCTCATGATACTGCTCCACTTTGGCCATCATCATATTCTCGTTCACCCACTATAGCCCCTGACTCTTTTTTCCTAGCCAGCACCCTCTTCTTTCTTTTTCATCTTCTTATTCCTTCTACTTCTTTTCCCTCGTATATTGCACAGCGCATGCAGTGAAGCGGCATTCCGTACCTTTCATATCTACTTCCCGTTTCCAGTATATAACAGCGATAACCCGGCCGCAGCGGCATGCCTCGAATAATTCTAATTCTCTTTGTCAGCTTCTTAAATCCTTGGAATAATATTTCTTAGTGCAATATACTATGGCTTAAAATCGGTGTTCTTCTTGATCAATATGTTCTCACCAATAGGATGTATACGTATACTAATTTACCTGCAGGATCTTAACACGAGAATCCCGAGCCGATACCATGTGCATCTCGTTCCTCCTTCTGTTCATGAGGCAAATGCTTAAACACTGCTCAGTATACCACAATAAGATAATGCCCATTTAACATAACTGGCATGCGTTTTCTTCCATTTAAACTAGGCACTATCATCATCATCATTATAGCCGCTATAAGAGTAACTTTTCAGCATATCTAACTAGCTATATCCAAGTGCTTCACCAATATTAATCGGTACCATATATTATCTCGGAAACCAATATATGCGTCAGAAACTAATTATATAATTCCACCAGAATTAAACTGCTTTCATAAACCATTCCAGTATAGTATTAAATTTAATGAAATAGCCTTGAAACTAGTAGTAACTTTGGGGTACGCTCACCTCTGCCGAGGTCCCAACCAAGCCCTCAACAAAGGCTAGTTCAACCAGCGCGAGTTGCTGTTGTATTCCGAAAGCTGTGTAACACTTAACGCGCCACAGAACTCAAAGCTGTGTTGGGAAGACGCGTTCAGCCAACAGCAAAATTTGGAGTTTGTTCACGACGCCTCCCTGTAGCTCGAGCTTCACGACTCAACCACTACACACGACTTCACGCTACCTCGTATCCCCAACCTCACCTCATCCTCACCTTGAGTAACGCCGTAAATACCGGAAGCTTTCGATAACTCCATTTTTAGTTGTAAGTAAATTTGCTTCACGCTCCCTTGCTCCTGCTTGAGCTAACCATGTTGGGTGTTTGTTAGCTATCGGTTACCTCCAGACCTTCATCCTACGATACACACATAGCAAAGAGTAAGCTCCATTAAGGCCCATGAAGCTACAATTATAGGTGTAGCATCGTGATGTGGCTTTGATACTTGGGATTTACTAAGTTCGTGGGTGTAACAGTGCTCGAAGCCCGATTAGAACAAGCCCAGATCCTCAAGAAGGTAGCTCTCTCTCCCCTATCTACCTGTCGCTAACCCGAGCTTATCTCTAACCTCTCCACGTCAAATAGGTCGTCGAAGCAATCAAGGACTTGGTCCAAGATTGCAATTTCGATTGCAATGATGCCGGAATTCAGCTACAAGCAATGGACAACTCTCACGTCGCGCTCGTTTCTATGAAACTTGGATCTGAGGGATTCTCGCCCTATCGATGTGACCGCAATATCGCATTAGGAATCAATCTCAACAGCTTGATGAAGGTTCTTCGTGCCGCGGCCAATGAAGATCTTCTCACACTCAAGGCTGAGGATCAACCTGATAGCTTGAACCTGCTTTTCGAAAGCTCGTCACAGGATCGACTTAGTGAGTACGATATCAAGCTAATGGATATCGATCAAGAGCACCTGGGTATTCCCGATACAGAATATGCTGCCACCATCACTTTGCCATCGGCCGAGTTCCAGAGGATCTGTAGGGATTTGTCTGCATTGAGTGAGAGTGGTATGTTCACCCTAAACCCCTAAGGGTCAACTATAGAGACCTCGCGATGGAGCTAATAATCGGAATAATGAACAGTTTCCATTGAAGCCAACAAGGATGGGGTCAAGTTCGCCTGCTCCGGAGACATTGGCAATGGATCCGTCACTCTTCGCCCTCATACGAACGTCGAAGATGAGGATAAATCGACGAAAATAGAGCTTACTGAGCCCGTCAACCTCACTTTCTCCCTGAAATACCTTGTCAACTTCTGCAAGGCTTCGTCTCTCTCCGCTACTGTTAGGCTTTGCCTTAGCAACGAAGTACCGTTGCTAGTCGAGTACCAGATGGGAGCAGGATACCTGAGATTCTATTTGGCCCCAAAGGTACGGTTATCGCCCGCTTGATCAAGATTCTGAAAGTTTAGCTAATAATTTTTTACACCTGTTCTAGATCGGAGACGAAGAGTAAAGGGAAGTGGCGGAGTTATGGAATCTTCGGAAAGAGAATTGAACTCAAAGAAGCCGTTCAAAACGAAACCCCCTCGACTCACCGACGGCAAAATCGTCGGATGTTTATCTATCCATCCTCAAATATCACCCTTGCACCTTTCTACCTTTCAAACTGTTTCTGGGTAGTCTACTCTCTAGCTCCATATAAGGTTTCAGCTTGACTTTGAATTACACTTGAATCATCCGTCTTCCCTAGTTTTCTCTTAGACTCTAATCGTCTTCTCCCATGCCCTAGGAACCTTCATGCTTCTTTGATTTGTCGCTCTTTCTGTGGTGCTCCTGGCTCACTGGAAGAAATGCCTTTTATTTCAATTGGCGATGTAGACGTGTAATGATAGCGCTCCAACAAACTATAATACTTAAATTCCGTGAGCTTCTGACTCCGAGACAGTGACGTTGGTTTAACAGAATGGCAACGTCGGATAGTTCCGCCCTAAACCCCGCTGAGGTGACATGCCGGTGGCGCACCCGCAAATGGATTACCCGCTGATAGTCAGTCCGTTTGGTTGTTTTGTAAAACAATTCAACATTCGGCGAGTGTGCGGACTTTCCCCCACGCTATAAACCGCGAAAGAAGGACCTAGCGTTCCAAATGGATATCTGCCGTCGCAAAGTCTCAAAAACTCTATCAGGCCACAAACCAACTTGAATAGCCAAGAGCGACAAGCCAACTGATCAAGATCTTTGCGATTAGATAATTGATTGATACGCTGACATCTGTAATGGCTGGATGTTTCCCAAGTTTGGCATGCAGCAAATTTTTTCTTGAAAAAGGACAAGGAAAAATGAAGATAAGTCTGGGCAAAACTTAACAGCAAGAGCTATTGCGCGACTTTTTGCCTTCGGCTCGCTCCTTCCTGTTCCTGATTTGTCCCGGACAGCTGTGGAGAAGGTGGTGGGCATATGCGAACTGCTTTTTCAGGTGGATAATTCGGGCTGGGGCGGGCTGGCAGGTTTGCGCCCAGCGTTTTTAAGTTATCTGATCCGCTTTCCTGGCAGGGGCAAGGAGCTCCTAATCTTATCAGATCGTAAGAAATCCAACACCCAACACGCTAAAACGCAGACTTTGACCCCCGCCTGCCTTGTTTGAGTTAGCCAATTGGCTGGTATGTGACCCGTTTCTGCTGATTTTATCCTGGGTTTTATGCACATAGCGTTTTCGCCAAGTAATAATAATGCCCACTTGCTGGATTTTTCTTTGACTTTCTGATATACACCGCCTCGGTTATTTGAAAGCGCCGTCCGGGGTCATTGTTTGAGAAGACTAGCAGCTGGCTAAGCTAACCATCACAAGTTAAAATCCGGGTATCGAGATAATCGAGTTTCACTTCGGTATAGGGTCATCAGACAACTAAACAATGGGGGCGAAAATGCGGGGGGGTAAAATTAATCAATCTGCTTTTCATGAAGTCCGTGAATATCTCACCGCTTCCGATATCGGTCTCATAATCTGAATGTCATGTACATACTGATTCTGGGAACAATTACCAAGTGCTGGCAATACTGACCTGGGGGCATGCATCGTCGAGGGTTCATCGAGTCGACTGCCATGTCATGCAACTTCAGACGATCACTCAGCAGGTTGGCAAGGTCATCCTGTCACCAACCACCCTCGATGCTGGAACATGCAGGGCATTAATGAAGCATGAGGACTTGGATCCAGGTTGAGTCAGTTTCCTATAAAAGGGGAGGACAATCACCTTCTTCTCCTGCTTCTTTTTTATCATTATCCTCATCATCATCGTCAGCTTCAGCTTCCTCTTCAAGCCTTCTCTATTCATTCGCAGATCTTTCAAGGTTTACGCATACTCTACCATCAAAATGCAGTTCTCCATCATCGCCATTGCTACCGCTCTCATCAGCGTTGTCGCTGCCGCTCCTCTCGACAACCCAAACTGGCCCGGTGAACTCCTCAAGAGACAGGCCCCAGGCACTCCTCTCTACTACTGCCACGATAACTGCGGTAAATACAATATCCTTATTAAAATATTCACATACTTAACTTTTAGAATATCCTGGGTCTGATTAGTGTAATATGACATATAGGACAAGCTATCGCTGGATCCCGCAAGGCCGGCAAGTGCACCAGCCCAGCTTTCATCCACAACTACGCCAACTGCATCCAATGCTCTGGCCCAGATAACAACAACATCTGGTTCCACTACAGCAGCACCTTGACCCCAGCCGGTACTTCTTGCGGCTTCCCAACCACCCCAGACAGCGGTGTTCAACCCCCAGTTGGCCCAGCGATCCCAGACGGTGGTGTCTGGCCTTAAACGGTTATTTAAACTTTCTCTCAACTCGGTGGAAAAGTTTAGTGTGAAGGGGCGAAGGATGATTTGAAATGATGGCAACAGATGATACGGAGTATCAAACATGTAGATAGTAATCTTAATCTGCGACAACGGAAATAATGAGCTCCGTTCCCTGGCCGGTCGGGGGTGCATATATATATACATAGGGAATATAATAAGAATATAATCTCGTCTTCAAAAAAACTTTTGGACTTTAGATTTCTCAAACAATTACAATTTTGGTTAAATTTTAGATATAGATGTTGAATAGTTTATGAATTTAGTCAGCAGTCACTAGTATTGAGACAAATTATGATATTATATTATTATTCTTATTATTCTTATTATTATTATAAGTTTAAATAAGCCTCACATACTTGTTTATACGCAATGATTTAACCATGGGGTTGGGGTACAGGGAGAATATATCAGCTCATTCAAAGTGTTCAAATAAACTTGGTCTCGAAGGTGCTTATCATGGATTATTTTCAAGTCCGTTTTATTCAATAGCAATATTAATATATTGAGGAATAAGTACTACTAGTACATTTGATGTGAGGTATAATAGTACAACTGAATCATACAGGTGGCACTTGCATATACGGCCTGGGGTATAAAGTTATAAAAAGATATAGAGAAAAAAAAGAAGTAAAACCCTAAAATTGAATCCTCCTCCAAAACCATGAATATATAAAGGTCCCAAAAAAAAACCAAACGCCTATCGCCATAGGATATATATGAAGAAAATATTTTGCTAAAAAGTCGTTGAAGGTATGTGTCGTAACCGGATTTGCAAGAGATAGATTCAGTTCTATGCTGTTCAAATCATACTTTTTTAGGTAGCTGTTAAGCAAACGAGGCCAACCCAGTGGCATGCAGATGGTATCGCAATAACAAGAAGACAGGAGCTAGGCGTTATATCCTATGGGCGGAGGGAAAGGGCGGTCTTGAGTTCTGTCGCCCACGGGTTGCGGATGCAACGCTCAATTCCAATGCTTCTTGCTCTTGACTCGAGATTTCGTTTTTACTTTGAACTGAGTTGGATCGGGCAAGGCCGATTGGTGCTGTGACCGATCGGCTCATTATGGGTCGAGAATACCCGCCAGTTACTGTAGCGGTGTATCCAATATTTCCCATCTCTTCGTCCTCTTGAACAACAGGCGGCCTTCCAGACCCTTTCTTTACGTTTCCAATAGTGGGAACAATCGGCTGGGTCAAAGCTCTCTTTATTTGAACGCTTTTCTTTGGGCGAAAGCTCTCGTGAACAAGGATGGATGGTTGCTTGTTATATTCCATTTCATAAACTCCTTTTGCGTAGTTTTCCCGATATTGTTCGCGTTCTTCAGCGGTAGCGCTGTAGTTTGTGGCGGAAGAAGGTAGATCTTCATAGGTACGAGGGTTTGGACCGAATGAACTAGGACGAGCGGCGCTCAAGCTGACGAATTCATCATTGGGCTTCTCTTTGCGAACGAGGTGCCACCAGCCTGTGATCATAGACCACCGGCCAAGGAAGATTGCAACCCAGAAACCGTTACACTAAATATAATTTGTCTAGGTTAACGGAGATTCATGCATTGTGTTTCAGAATGGTTGGACTTACCGATAGAAGGAAGAGAACGGCGGCGGCGGTAGCTTCTGGTACAACCATTTTTTCACCCTCGCTCAAGCATTTATTCTTGTCGCCCCCGTTTAGGATGAGGCATTCTAGCCACTCGCCGGCCCGTGAAATATTTGCAGGGGTTTTCTCGGTCGTTCCCTCAAACTGCAGGAATACGGTCGCAAAAACGATGACATCGACGATCACCACGATGACAACCAGGATACCTCGCCATTGCATGGCGATAACTCGCTTAACTCTTCGCAGGGCTTGGGCTGTTCGGCGGAAGGAAAAAAATATTAGCATCACACAAGACCATGTGAAGCACGGGACCAGAATGTTCAATACGTACTGTAAGTTGCCGAGATACGACTATTTGAATAAGAGACAGAGCCACCTTCGGTTGACGGGGCATCTTCGAACAAACTTCGAAGGTAGACGTTGATACAATAGCCGAATCTATAGGTATAACGTTAAATTGTCAGCGTTGGTGTTCCACAAGGGTTACAAAGATTGCACAAATGGAGGCCTCAGAAGCCAGAGTAAACGTCAGACATGTGCCTTTTTGGCAATACAGCTGAGTACAGGGTATACGGAGTAATTGTTCACATGAGGGTGTAGTAGAATATCTCGGAGATAATTAACACTTACGTGACGAATTGTATTACAATTGCAGCAGCTGCAACAGCCAACAGCGGACCTACAAATCGGGAAATGTTAGCAACCTTGCCCCTTGCGTTTGTGCATAAACCAAGGGATTATTTGGTAATAATCCTTGAAAAGTAGTTTTTGCTTACCCCAGAATGTTCCAAGCCCATTTTTGGTGTTGATATGACAAGTATTTCCAAATCTTTGTGAAACCCCAGTTACGGCGAGAGCGATCGCAGTCATCGCGGCAGGGAAAGCCCAGCCAACTATTTGAGAGATGATGAAGAATGGCTTTCCGGGCGTTACTTGCCAGCAGATCTGTAGATGGAGGGAAAGAGCTCGTAGAAACACTAGGAGATACAATAGTTAGCCTCATCATTCAAGAAAAGATTATACTATCTATAGGGCCGTGAAATCTAGGAATGCAGTACTCACCCCACATCACGACGCACCAGCCGCCTAGAAGTTGGAAAGTGCCGGAGAGGGCACAGGGGACGCTGCTCGCCATATCGTAAGGTGTAATTTCGTTGATGCATTTATGTTCCTTGTCCTTTGTAGCCATTCCGATGATAAATGGGATCTCCATTATCAAAACTGCGACTACCAAACTGACACTCAAGTAATGCCGATGCGTCTGGGTTGTTGGTAGGACCCAGAAACTTAGGAGCATGATTATACATGCTGTTATGCTCGCAAGAGCGACGTATGAGACGGCGTCTACTATTGTCGAGAAATCTAGACATTGATCGAATAATATTAGTTTTCCAGTCAAAAAGGTGCACTGTTTTATGCAGGCAACTTACTATCTGGATACAACCAATCTTGAACAGGACATGGAACGCAGCATGGGTATGTGGTTCCAAGTCCAAGAGGCATCGGAATCCTCGTGCATAATCTACCATTTATACCTTAATGTGATGTTAGAAGGAGCCGACTATGATGATAACTCGTTTGAAGTGAGGAACATACTTCCTCCAGTGCCTGGATAGTCTGCCAGCGGGACTAAAGGCGGAGGGCAAAACTCGAGCACTCTATCCGACATTTTTGGTAAAATCCGGCTATCCTAAGGACAGCAAATAATAATCCTTATCTCAATATATACCTGAGCGCAGTCCTTCGGTTTATTTATATTCGAAGTTGAGTTAATGTTTCTGAGATGTCGACGATTAAGTTATACAATTTGTGTTGAGACTTTGTTGTGAACCCGAATTGTTGTCCTCATACGGCTTCTCTTCATCCAATCGAGACCTTCTTCAATATCGTACCACCAAAGTTGTCTTGAATCCCAAACCACTTCTCTTAGTCTGCCTATAGCGGAATGGACGCACGACAGGACGGACTGTCGAGGTATCGGTTGTTCAATCGAGCAAAGAAAAAGTATCCAGTTCAAATTTCCAGAAAGGAGCTCAAAGCCTCCTGGTTGTAGGGCCCTCGACATCATATATCAGTTTTCCCACACGAGAGACCCGACTCCGCTGCGGTGTGGGTGGCCCTGACTCTACCAGGAAAAAGAAACGTGACGGCCCATTTTCAAGTGCATGGAAGCCCGGTTATCCTTCAGAAGGGGACGTTCCCTCCAAAGCGCAAGATGGTCGTTTTTTTTCGCCCTTCAAGGATCCTGGGTTTTGCTTCATCTTGTGTGGATAACCCCAATGTTGTGGAAAAAGTAACTTCTGGGGTACTGGTACCGCAGGGTGACACTGGCTCCTCTGGGTATTTCTCATGACAAGGTACCGTTGGGCGGGTGGGGCCTTGCTGCAAAAATCAGATGCCAGTACTGCAGTAGGCTGAAAACTCGAACCACCCATGTCCAGATTCTTGCGCATGCATCGTCCTGAGCTGTGGGATTCTTGGTCCGCCAGTACCTTTGCCATTGAGGAACAGCGTATCCAGCTACTCATCTCCCCCATGCCTCTTTGGGAGTGCCGTATAACTCCGCCGCTGTGATTGGCTAGTCGCGGGTTATTGAGGTCGTTTGCTTGCCATCTGACTGGTCGAAGTTACCCGCCAGCATGACAGCTAAGCCGAAGACCGACATTCAGCAGCAATGAAGGCCACGCGACTTTGGTGATGGCACAGCGGTGAGCTCATACCGAGCTTCCTCAATTGTTCAATGGACTTAGTACGGGTGCCTTGTGTGGGACAATCTCGATATCGGGAACAGAATTTTAGGTATCGTCTCTGCAGCTCTAGCAACTAGTCTGTGCATTGCTTTGTGTCGCCTCGCCCAGAATAACAGCGAAACACCCCTGGGCCTTGAGGATTCGCCATTGCCGAGTGGCCGAGTCAAGAAACTCCACCCAAGACAGCTCCCACGGCGCACCTTGGGGACCTTCCACTCTCAGCCCACAGCCGATAACGTCGCCGTTACTGGAAATGCATCCTGGAGGATTTGTTCCCTTACAATGCTGACACAGCATTGATATGTCCAAGAGTTCTGATTTAAGCACGAGAAGTATCACAATTGGGCAACTCTGCTGCAGAGTCTCTTGGCTCGGGATGCCCTTCAGCTGCTGCGCTTTTCCAAGCTTTTCACCAAAAATACTCAACAATGCCATAGCACACCAGTTGCGTCAGCGCCCGGTCGAAAAATCCCTTAACTGGACTTGGTATGTATCAACAGAGTTCATTGCTGATGTGCGACGAAATTAAGCTGCAGCGGAACAAACCTTCGATGGCCAGTGAGATTTACCCATATTGAAGGGGCATGGCAAATCGAATCCCAGAATCCCAGCAAATCTTCAATGCAGGGGAAATGTGGGTCATCGAGGTCGATGGGCTCGGAGGTGGCCACCGAATCAGGAACCAGAAGCCACTAGTTGTCCAATACCAGCGACTACTGCAAGACATCCGCCAACAAATGACATCGAATCGATTCGGTACCCATTGGATGCACTACTTCGCATCGCAGCAAGTAAGCAGAACGGCGGGAAGCTACATTCCCGAGATTTTATAAAAACTAAGCTGCTTCCGAGTCAGCCGAGAATGTTAGCATCAATATATTTATTCTTATTGTTTTTTTTGTTTTTGTTTTTGTCTTCTCACGCCGAAAATCCCTGAGTCGATGGCCATGACATGCATTGCAATAGGTTTTCCAGGATCAGGTCTGATGCAATAATCTCAACACCGAAGCTTAGGCTTACCATAGGTGTAGGATGAGATTTCCGGCCGCTGGCTATGCCGTCCTATTAGGGTTTTTACATCATCGGATGGTGTCGAAACGGCTCAAGTGTCAGTTTTGATTAAAAGTATCTTTAGTCTCTCGTCTTTAATACTCCGATACTGAATTTTTAGTTCTTATGTGCACAAACTATAGGTATCATTCTTAGGTCGGCAAATCTTCCACCGCAACTGGTTTTCCACCAAGACCGGCCGTCTTTAGCCTGAAGTTTCAAGCAAGATTCCAGAACAACTTGAAACAGAACCGTGCTCGCAACTTTTTTTTTTTTGAAAGACCTCCATCAAAAAGCCTGGTTGAAAGAGCGACCCGAACCAACGGGCTAGAACCTCTCTTCTACGTTTCTGGCTTTTGCTCCGAAGCAATGAGAGACTGTTAGATTTAGCCCGAAATTGCCGACCACGCTGATAACTATAAGAACGCCACCGCATACGTAAAGATCCCCTCAAACACGTTATACGTATAAATAAATATTGCCTGATGCGCTCAGGCCTACGGAGTTTTCCAAGCCCAAAAATTGTTACAGTCTATGTAGTGCAAATCACACGTCGACGCCTGCCGAGCCGTGGCAACAGAAGCCATGAGTTTCGATATGCATCATTCAAACCTTTTTTCTAATCTTGTGGTAATTGAACGTTAATGCCGACAGAAAAAAACTAAAATAAAAAGATTTTTCTAGCCTTTTTTGATGAACTCATGAGCTCGCGGAACACTCAGCCATTAGTCATGTCGAGTTGAGAGATCCAAGATGGCCCGAGCATACATCGCGAGCACGCACCAAGCTACATCCGTCCGATGATACGCACCAAGGTCTTACGATTTGGCCTGATAAATAAGGTTATCTCGGGAAGGATTACACGGAGTACAAGGTATCGGTAGCGAAGCTATTCGTATGCACCGTAAATCTCACAACTTACCCGTTAACAGCCGTGAGCATGCTCCGTGCTGCCGCTCCATACTGCCGCTTCATTTCACTCGTTCAACATCAATGACATTCACTCCTTTCTGGAATTGTGACATTGACATTTCACTAGGATGCCACGGAAATGAAAGGCATTATGGACAAGGAGCTTATAATTATATGACAAACCTGCAGACCCGACAAGGTGTGGTGCATGGGGCCCTATAGACGGGCAACTATAGTGCCTCTGGGCTGCCGCTACGCCGGATCTTCTGGTTTGTTTAGTGCGAACTGGAGATGGTGCGGGGCGACCTCTATTTCGAGGACACGGAATAACCTCATTGTCTATCCGCTAGCTGATTTTTTTGCAACATCTGTATAGGCGGCCTAAACTCTTCAAGAATAGCCTTTGGAAAACTTTCGACGCCAAAATTCCACCACTTATGAACTTACTTTTATCAGATTTATCAACTCAGCGAGTTAGCACTTCGGAGACATGTACGTGCGACTAGGGATCCCGGTCTGTTACTTGAACTCCCACATATCCGAAAGTGGGGTATACTCTGGATATCGATCTAGGGCAGTGCTACACGTTTTGTAAGATGTTGATAGCTGTCACGTTTTCCGTCGCCAGAAATATATATATACTCCGTCGTTATATTGAGATCGCAATCGCAACAGTCCAAGCGCCTGCTGGTGCCTGCTAGGAATCATAGTTATTACAAAACGATTATTAATCTACTAGTCTTTGGCCTCATATCGGCCCTAAAGTCTGGAAAATATTTCTTCGGGACCCTATATATGACCAAGCCTATCATATCTGAACCTCCAAGTGTCTGTATGTATGTATATATCCCAACGGCAGAATTCACCAATAGCCCTGATGCCGGAAAGAGGGGGGTTATCCAGTTTGTCGTCATTATATCCACAAGGTCAATCACCCAATGTAGAAGAAGAAGATTCCACAATCTTGGATCTGCGGATATCAGATTGGACACCGGCTGCCTAAACTGCCAAACTTTTCAAGGGTTTTCTGTGTTTCTTTTCTTCGATCCTACATGGAATCAATCAATCAAAAAAAAAAAAAGACTGTCGAACGAGGGGGAATGTTTTGTTCCCCGTCGACTCAGGACCCCGGAAAAAATCTGCATGCATGCAGGGGAAACCGTGATATTCGAATCAGCAAGGCACCTGAAGTCAATCCGATCAATTCTAGACTAGTCCCTGAACCCCAATGTCGGAGCATGCACCACACGGGAAGGGACGTAGGGACCTTCGAGACAAGTAGAGCGAGCGAATTAAATTAGTTTTTACATCGATGGTATAGAGTAAGAAAGAGGGGCCCCACTGGTCCCGGCCGGTCATGTCATTATGTAACCTTACTTATTGCAACCTTCGAGTGAGTGCCCTCACCCAGAAATCCCTCCTGGACCATATCTTATTGTAACACAGAAAAGGAGAGAGCATATTGCCACCATTGATACGCAAAGATTGGGTCTATCAATCTTTTTTTTTCTTTGTAAATTTGCGGGGCAAGGAGCCAGGAGGCTGCTTATTCTTTCATTTTCCATTCGTATTTGTTCGTTCGATCGGACCCCAGGCCAGATGTTGAATTTTCTGTGTTGTCGAAGCCTCCTCCTGATTCAGATTCGTCGACAAGGGCTGTCCATTACCGATCAAATTTCTAGGAACCCCATTCCAATGACCGGAATAACCTGGTCTTGGATAACTGATTAGTTTCGAGCACTGTCCATTGAGAGCCTTCGGAGTGGCTTTCCCCCCGAGACAAAGACGTTGACAAGCCGGAAAATAGGCACGCTCAATCTCGCGATTGCGAACTAACGGCCAGCCACATTTTGATAGTCTAACGTTTACTAACCTCATTTCTTCAGACAGCGGAGTTAACGGCTTCGATTGGATGATGTTGATATCACCTGATACTTTATCTCATTTCGAATTAACCCAACCATCTATTCGATGTTTCTATATTATAGATTATATCGTATGTATTATACTATAATCTGACATTACCAAATCATACGATACTAATATATCGATCATTCGATTCAATATATGTAATTGATACATGTCATGTCGACGCATTGAACTGTACGGGCTAGATAGCCAGCCAGATAGCCAGCCAGATATCTACCCGTTTGTTTCCCTCGACCCGAAAGTTAAGCTCGCCATATGACCATCTTCAAAACTCATCTGAATGATAGCCTGAGTATCGTTCAGTCTCAGATTCACACACATGTGAAACGTTTACGAAAGAAATCCGTTTTGATTGGAGGCCTGGCCTGGTGCCATACCGGTATACCGTGCAACGGGTATCACGGATACCACGTTTTCCCATATATCGATGCCTGTGCTTGTTGAGACGAAACACTTGAGCCGTTGTCAAGTTAACGATATCTTTTTATAAAAATCAATTTACAAGGAGAGTTCGAGCTAGAGCGAGCCCCGTGCAGACGGGAGTGAAAATTTTTAAAAAAAAGTACCGGTACTTCTTCGTCCCCGGATTTGAAAATGTGATTGAACCCTCGCGGGGTAGATACCTTGGGGGTTTTATTCTGTTGATTTGCATATTTTGACAGGAAGGAGCTAGCTAACGCAGGTGATGCATCATGCTCGAGCTTTGTCTGTGATTCTTTTGGTGTTTTGAACTAGCTAGCGTATATACTAGCTTGAAATCCGAACTGCAAGGTGTAGAACTCGACCTGCAGACATACAGCACGCTAGTGGATTTAACAAACGAGCGCCCTGACCATAAAGATCACAATGCACTACGAAATCACACACTTTCTTCGCAGTTTACCTTTCCCAAATACCTCAAAAGATACTTTGTATCATAAAGAAATTTGCCTCTTCCGCCTCGTACTCGGTTTGACAAAAACAGGCACGGAATATGCACTCTCACGACTTTACCCATTTCGCCCCTCCTCTCTCCGTTCCGTTCCCGCATAAAAAACGAGACTAACGATTAACCCCATCAGCCACCCCATTTGCGCACAGACTCACATGCTGGAAAAACATATAAGAAACCTGAGGCTCCCTCGGTTATCTTACCCAGAACATTCATCTTGAAGCTTAGCATTTCATTTCAAATCTCGACATATATTCACAAGCCAGAAGAAACCCATCGATTTTCTGCCAGAAAGAGAGTGGTTTTAGAAATATGTTCTCCACAGCTTGAATTTATTTCCCCAACGTGCAGTAGCTACTGGCCTTTTTTTTTCTTTCTTTCGCGGCTTCCGCTCTATGCCGCCTCCGCATATCTTTACTCCAGGTTTTTGTTTTTTTTATAGTCTTTCCCGTCTCTGATTCGCTTTTTTTTGTGATATCGTACGATCGTGTGATCTTCAAGTTTCAATCTAGGCTAACCCATGAGAAACACCGTTTAAGCGATCGACCCCAGCCGTAAGGCGAATCATTCGAAATCTGTGGAGAAACCCGGATTGATGATTCCGAGATAACGGGAAGTGAAGGGGCGAACAAGCCTAGCTTGCCAATACGCCGAATAGGAAACTGGAGATGCGGGGTACCACCGGTCCAGAAACCCGGGGAAGGAAAATCACGCCTTGATGAACACATTCTACCCTCGAGCCTCTCGAAATCTTTTGGCTCTGCAGCTCTTGTTCCGTGGTATCACCTGGAACGGCTTTCGCAATTTTTTCATGCAGGAGATGGAACGGCATTTGCACGGGGTTGGAAGGACCAACATTAGACGAATTTCGAATTTCGAATATATAATATTTCTCACGATTTTGCCAACCTCTCACATGATCGATATACTATCATCAATGTTTTTGCATGAGATTTTAGGAAGAGAGAAAGCAACAAAGTAATTTGTAATACACAACCACGCACCTTGAGTTTTTAGCTTTCCTTCTTTCTTTCTTTCTTTCTTTTTTTCGTTCGTAAACTGGGATGTCATAATAGGCCGCCGTGCGCTTTCAACTAGCTCTTTCTGCTGAATCTTATATTTTTGAATCCCAACAGCTATTTAACGTCAAAGATCTATATTATAAATGAACAAATATAATATTAATAACATCTTTCAACTTGAAAAATAAAGAAAGCGAATATATGAACACGTAGTCTAGCGTACCTTACTATAACATTTGTCATTTCGGAATGTATGTACAGCCGTAGATGAGAGAAAACCTTGATATACACTTGTATACGGGTATCATTTTATTAACATAACAACTTCCTGGTTGATCAATTGTACATGTCATAATAGGAGATCGTAACTCTTATTTAGTATTACTGTGCACGTATGATATATATACAAGAAGTGAATAGCTCTGATCAAGAGCGGCCCAAGATCAATATAGCGCCATATATTGATAATATAATATAAATAACATGATAAACATATATATGTCTTCCTAGCTTTAGATACTACATCTTAAAATCTTATCCTTTGTGAATTCATCACGCAAAATATCGGATATTTCTCTACTTCACTATCACCTTTAGAGCGTTGCCGTATCGCAAAACTTTTTAAACTGTGGCGAACAGATAATCCGAGCCTTCTTGTCTTTACTTTTACTTTTGGGCTTTTCACATTTTTGGGAGTGCGCATGCATATACGCCTGCACGCTATCAGTGGAAAAAAAAACTAGCCTCGAGACTAAGAAAAAACAACAAAACCACCACATTCGTGCACTCTATTGCATTGCATTGGCAAAGCGGGACTGCCGGTATCCTTACCCGGATTTCGTTCCATCTATCACATGATCATATACTTCACATTTTTTCATTATTGTCGTTTTTGATTACGAGTTAGCAGAGTGGATCGATTCCAACATCCTTTACACACTTAGTAATTTCTTGTAAATCTCACTTCACACATAAGTTTGAATGTTTTTTTTTAAGTCCGTATGCACGCATCTAGAGACATCTAGACTCGATGGATCCATGGATCCATACTTGCATATAAGTACGTTATAGGCTTTGCATCGAGCCTATAGGCGTAGAGCGTATACCCGATTTGTATATATATGTCAGCAGTGCCAACCCTCCGCATCCTGTGCCTTGCCGACGGCCGCGGTCACCAGTTTGTTTTTACGAGACTATATTATGTTCGTCAATCACATGATGTTATACATCTTGAACTTTCTCTACTATCTTGTATTTCAAATTCGAATTCAAGGAGATGTTAAAAGCGCCACTCGCTTCGACTCGACTACCTGTATAGATTAGAAAGATATAATATTTTCAAAAAGAACCCCCAACCCCCAAGAATCGGATATCAATATGCATCTTATGCATTATATTACTATCAACGTACGGGCCCCGGGGCGTATATTTCAAAATGGACTCTCTCTGATTCGTAAGTGGAATAATTTAATCCCCACTCCGTAAGTTATGTGATTCTACACGTGAAAATACGCACGTAATTAATTAGATTAATTGTAAACCTCCCTCCCGCAGCAGCAATTAATTCTGGTTTACGAGATAATCCCTCCCATCGTACGAGGTAAGCCTTCTCCTTTCTTTCTTCCCTACTTTCTTTAAGCCCCCATCTACATATAGGGGTAATATATACAATGATTCCTCGGTATACTTCGAAGGCTACCCCGTGGGGAAGAGGAATCCCTTTCACCCGGGACGGCTGGATAAAATTTTTTTGACTTCCGCATGTACATATGCATGTATGTACCTATGCATCTTGCAGACTGATACCTAGACCTAGTCGGCATGCATGCGATTATTTGCAGATGTCATTGTCAAGGTAGACAAAAAAAAAGGAACATCATATAGCCAGGAATACGATGTAACGTATACGCGTAAAAGAAACCATGAGCTTGTAAACCATGTGGTTCGTTTATACGTATACGAGTTGTTAAAATCATGACTCGGTTTTACACGATATGTTGATCGTTCCTTTGATGTCGGGTAACTTTCGCCCTCTTATTTTATTTTATTTTATTTTATTTTTTTTGAAATACTCTGTATCGATCGAGTCATGGGATCCCGTGAGGAGAAAATAGGTTGACTAGGCTACTGTAGACAGCCGCTTCGATCAATATATCCTTTTTTTTTTCTCTCACAGAGTTCAACATATCTCATGCATATTCAACGTTTTTTTTAGTCTGGATTGACTACTAGTCTCGGTATTATTTTCTATACTGCCACTGCCTTTGACCTTTCTAACTTCTTACGGCTCTGTTTCTTAAGTTACATCTGATCGTGGAATATACCCGTAGACGACGAGAAAAAAAAAACCTCACTATTTTAACTCCGAGGTCCCGTAGACACTTGACTGGTTCGGCTTTCAGCGAATACGACACCTCCAATTTATAACCATGTGATAAAAAAAAAAAGACATTTTCATTCGAGTGAGATCGGGGGAGTAGTAAGGATAGGTCATTAATGTATATTCGTGCCAAAAAAAAATCAAAAGAAAAAGACTCGTAAAAATCGTAACCGAAGAAAGAAAGAAATAAAAATAAAAAAAAAGAAAGAAAGCGGGAAACAAAACAGGATCCTCCTAGCAAGAGCCATTACTTTTTCCAACTCCCATCGTGTATGCTTTCCCCGCCAAAAATTCCAAACCACACAGATATAGAAAGAGAAGAAAATAAGAAAGTAAGTAAGAGAGGAAGAAAGAACGGAGAAAGAACGCCCATCTATGCCAAACAAAATGAGACAAGAACAGAATAAACAGAGAACCGATCTATAGTACATTCATAAGTCGCAAAACAAAAATCATCAAACTTTGTGGGGTATGTTAAGCCTTTTTTTTTGTGTGTCGTAAATGTCGCTCGCCGAACCAAAAGAAATAGAACCGGGTGGTGAATAAAATATTAAGTATGGTGAATATATATACGATTGAGAAGCGAAGATCCGTTTTTTTGTAAGTCGTCAATCTGATCTAAAGCTTTGCGTGATCCACTATTTCTTGGAACAAGCTTTCGGGAAGCTGTGGCATCAACTTCATAACAGAGCTGATGACTTCACGGGCTTTAAGTGGTGGGAATTGGCGGAGATGTTTCATGGGACTATAAGAGGATCGGTCAATTTCGATTTTCCTCAATAAAGTTATTTATGACTGGAACCGGTAAAGTACCTCTGCATTTCCATCAAATCGTCTTTCATCATGAGTACCTGCGCAACGACGCAGATAATGTTCAAGTAAGGTCCATACGCAATCAAGAAGTCCCATAGAACACAGACCTCAGGCAGCGGAGGAGTGCATGCTGAGAAGGTCATAACCGCTGGTGTGACTGAGTTAGTACATCCCCATAACAAATCGATATACATATGATTCCAGTTGATAAAAACTTACAAGGAAAGGCATATAACTTCGCCACCAGCCCCTTTCCTCCTAGATAGCTGAAAAGCTCTTCATCCACGGCCTCTAAAACTGAATCGACCAGCTTAAGGCCTCTATGCACACCGTCAAGTGTGGGCCTTGTATACGCCGGACACTCCTGTACCAAGAACGTCTGGAAAAGTGCAAACGCTTCATGCTCGCTTCGAGCAGCATACATGAATGGCGCAGCGATGACGTTCATGCCTTGTACATAATGACTAGTACTTCGATCCCTTGTGGCGGACTCACGAGAGAGAACATAGCAGTTCAAAAGTCGGGTGAGAGATGCTTCGGAGACCTTTCGGTGGAAGAGAGGGTCCGTGGCTAGTGTTCTGAATGTGTCATCACGGATCTTGGAGTATGACTGGGATGGGCCTTTATGAACGAGTCTGAGGTATTGCGAGGCGGAGAGAGGTTCGACCCCTAGGAGTATGGACCAGATATATATGCGAAATGCAGACTATCACAATAGTTAGTTAGCCATTTCCAAGAAAACTGAAGATAGCCACCACCCAGCGTACCATTCCATCTGTATCGGCCGGTATACCCTCCGTCAAAATTAAATATCGTAGTTCCTTTAGCGCCTGGGAGACATTCGCTGGCTCTCGGCCTAAGAGTAGAGCAATAGGGTGATTTGATCCATGATGAAGACGGCTAGGAGTCCCTGGGTTCGTCAGAGGAGTCGTGATTGTAGTTCTGCTGCTAACAGAGGTTTGAGACGACAGCCTGTCCACCCCCGGTCTCGAAGAACCGTTACTTTCTCTGGATTTCGTCGAAGAGTAGCCGCTAGATATCTGCGATGATCTGTTTCTGGGCAAAGGAGAGCTTGAAGGCATGTTGAGCGTCGTCGGGAGATTGCCAGACCAGCTGGCTGTGGCGATGTCGGAGGATAACAGTCCCTTCGTACTTTTTTTCTTCGTCTTCCTTCGTTCGTTCCCTTCGTTCCTTCAAATGAACCAAGATCGCTCCCAAAAGACCAAATAGTTTTCAAAGTTTCGGGAGTCCTCCACTATTAGCGATCGAGAAAACCACGGTGTCGGGTCCGGACAGGAATCGTTATGACGTCTGGGCTTGTCAGGGCAGGGAGATGTTGAAAAGGAATGTGGATGATGCCGTGGCCTGGTTGATTGGGGCCTTGCAGGGAAGGGGAGAGAAAGGAAAATATGTATGTTTGTTCGAGAATGCCTTTGTGGGCTCTTCCTTCGCTTGCAACTGCTCCTTCCAACCTCCACCTCGTTTCCAAACCTTTCTCGAATTCTCACCATCGCGTCGACGTAAGCCACCCTCATTCGTTCGTTCGTTAGCTCGTCCGTTCGAATTCCATCCTCTGGTTAAGGAGTAGCCTCGATTCTCAAAGCCATGGGCGCTGTCGGCACGCCCTCTTCATCCGGTCCAATGGCCTCAGCAGCGTCAAGAGACCAATACGAAACACTACGGAAGCAGCTACGGGACCTCATCGCTAAGAAGAAGCACTCCGACAAACTCCTCGAGACCCTCGAAGACCATATTTACAAATACGAAACCACATATCTTGAAGAAACTCAGAATGGGAACATCGTCCGTGGGTTCGATAACTACATCAAGGGTACCGTCGCCCGTCGACGGGCAAATATCACCGATCAAGACCGAATCTTCTCGAGCAGCAGCTATAGTTACATGAAGAGCCGTGAGGAAGGGAGTAATGGAGGAACTCCTTCGGGCAGCGTGCCACCGGAATCGGCCACTTCATCATCAACGCCTGGCTTTCCTAAGGGTGGAAGCAACAGTGCTTTGTTGAAGAAATCGGCCAGTGCGCTCAAGAAGAAGCGTAAGGGTGTTGCCGATGATGACTCGGAAAGTCATTCGGAGATCGAAACACCGGGACCGAAACGGGTCAGGATATCGTTTTCTGGTCAGAACAGCGACAAATAGAACAACGCTCCGTTACATTACGACTACCTTTTCATCTATTCTGGTGCGGAAGGGAGGGGGGGGGTCAATAGAACATGTCCGGGATCGAGCCAAAGACATACATCGACCCACATACAACATTATATCAGTTCGTTTCAATAGACGACTGTTTCCACCATTTATCGGATACCATGTACACTTAACCATCTCTCTATAACTTGGATTCTGGGCAGCGTGTGCAATTAGGAGGGTTACCGGCGTTTCAAAGGTTTTCATAGGAGGTCAAGCATCGATTTCTCTTCCCGCGGCATTGTTTCGTGAAGATATTATTTTATTTAATCTTGTAACTAGATTTTCAATATACTCTAGTGCTGATAATAATTATCTATTTCCTATCCATTCCGTGAACATGTATGTAGCTAATCATGCAGGAGGTAAATTCAATACGCCGATAACGCCAATGCATACATGTATCGCTGATATATATGACCAATATGCAATCTTCGTGTCGAATCCTCCTCCATCACGATGCAATATATGATACACCTTACCTAGCCCTTCACCCCATTCACAGCATGACAAAGCTCGGTCTCAACCCCCGCACCAGTAAGAACATCGATCCAAACCCTCTGAGTATCGCTCAACCGATCATTCTCACTCTTCACTTCCACGAACTTCGCCTTTTTCTTGTCATAGTCCCAAAGGAACAAATCTGGCATCCCACTACTTCTCTGTTGATACTCCTGACACAGTACCTTACATATCACACTTAAAGTCTCTCCTCCCAAACACTCCACGACCTCGCAGATCTCATTAATCTCGAATTTCCAATCGAGACCAATAACGCATGTTTGCCTTTCCACCTCTTTCTTCCATACTTCTTTTACTACCTTTACACCTTCCCCGTTCGAAATCTCCATCAATCGATGGTTGATCTCGCTCATCCGACAGACGTAAAATGAGTCTGTATGTAAATCCAACGGACAAGTTTGAAACTCGGTTTGGAAGATGTTAGGGAGGGGTAGGAATAATATATCGTACATTAAGTACGCAAATATTGTTTTGATAATCCCACCCTCGCAGTGGAATCCCTTCCAACCTTCGGATCGATATCGTTCCAAGCACATCTCCTCCACACTTCCTTCTTCGTCGGATTCCAACTTCCACACGGTCTTTTGCCCGGGTTTTGGCGGTGATCCGTCGTCGTTTTGGATTCTTTGTCCGGAGATGCTCCTTGTTATCGGTTTCTTCAACGTCCAGACCCATATATGTTGTAATCGCATCGGGATATTCAACTTTTTCTCCAACTTGGTAATCCGCTTTTGAAGATCGTAGTGGTAGATAACGTGTGTATCGGGATCTTCCAATCCCTTTTCACAAGTGTTCAACGCAGTCCTCAACCAAAGCCGTTTACTATTTGCTGAAGAAGCATCATGAAAATAATGCTCCTCGATCAATGCCAATCGCTGATACCATGCCCCTCTTCTGGACGGATGATATAATCTCTGCGACAGAAGAGCCAATAATATCATTCTTTCTCGTTCATAATCCTTATGTCTTGAGATGGCATAAACCCCCTTATGAACGATTCTAGTATAAACCCACCCCGCAGAAAACCTTCGCAAGTAGATTTCTTCAAAATCGTCTTTATTTTTCCCGTCTTCACAATATCTTTCCCATCGACCGTATATTGACTCCATTATTCCCACGATCTCTTGGAGGTCGTCCTTCGTGGGGACTCCGTTTTCGAGAATATTGTCGACTTCGCTTTGGAGTTTTATGGCGCGTTCGAAATCGATCAGTGCTTCTCGGGTTGGAAAGATGTTGGAGGTCCGGCAGACGAAATATGACGGGAAATTTCTCTTCATGATCCGTGCGAGGATTAATGTCGTTAAAGACTTTTCAGTCCATTCCGTCGAACGATAGAAAACGAGGTGTACACGACTGAATAGCGTAGTAACGGATTCCATCAGTCGAATACAAGGACCCGTGATATCCAACATTTTGTCAATAACCGCTTTGGTCCTGATAGTTCCGTAGCGAGATTGCCCAGTAGTACTATTATTGTTGCTACCATTATTACTATTATGGATAATTCGTAGTTGGCCTTGTATGTTGAGGCTCCCTTGATTTGCACAGCTTCGACGGAGGGCGGCTATTAATTGGGTTTTATTACCCCCCGCCACCTTGGCTTCCTTGGTGATAGTTTTTAGTTCCTCGACGGTAAGCATTGATGCTGCTTCGTCGATAGTCGTTATTTCAGATTCATTTTGTGCGAATGCTATATCTTGAGATTGGAGTGCAGCGCAGGCGGTTGGCATGTCTTTGATGTCATAGAAGTAGCCTAGTTTCCCGACTCGGAACCAGGCATTGGTTTTGCGGAGGAAAAGTCGAACGTATCTAACATCATCCATCACTATTAGAATCAATTTCCAACTAAGTAATTGTAATCTGAAGAGAAAGATAAGAGAGGAATAACATACAGATACTGTGCTTCATAATCCAACCTTCTATATTTCCCAAAAACCTCATGTTCCTGTTCATCAAAAAGATATGCTTCCTCCTCTAACACTGTATCGAGTGCCAAGTTGAATGCATCGACATAGATACTCGACCTTCTGGGTCCATTGTTTTCTTCACGATTAATAGCTTCATAATCCGTCAACTGCGGTAATGAACTTTCAAGACCTGTGAATTCGTCATCTTGGTCTAACTGTGAAGGTGGCGGTTCATCATTTGATCCTGAGGAAGATTCCGTAAGACCCAGCATACGCGGTGGCGAGAATCGACGAATGGGATTATTGCCATTGTCATTGTCTTCTGCAGTGGTATTTTTATTATTATTATTATTATTGCTGACGCCATCATCGTCACTAATGAATACCAATCTTGCACGTTTGGAATCTCGTTTTGAAGGCGAAGATGGAGGACTTGCCACGCCTGTTGGGTTTGTTTTGCGGATTGACATTTTTTATGATTTACTTCTCAAGGAGGTAAGTATTGATTTTTGAGGAGTAGCTGTTTCTGTCACAGCTTTTTGAAGGTGGGGTTTAGAAAGACCATGATCGTTGTTTTCAGGATCCGGTCCTCATTTGCATTTGGGAGAGGATGGTGATACTTCAGCCGTCATTCAATATGCAACATCCAACCTGGTCAAAGTGCAATTTGTATTTGAAGAGAAGAAGAAGCAGCGGAAAGAAGTCGCGTTAAGTGGTTAGCCTAGCAACAGAGCAGTTCGCGTCGTTCTGACCAAACAAAAAACGAAAACTCTGCGGGCTACCTGCTGTGCATGGTTGTCAACTTAACGTTAAGACTCACCCACTCGCTCAGCTCAGACCCCAATCACTATGCTGTGTGTGCGTATAGACAGCTTAACTCCGAGACACCGAACAATCCCGTAACCAAGACACTAGACACCGGATTGGGTTACCGACAACGCAAAAAATACAACATCTCATAGAAAAGCTTAAAAGCTTAAAAGCTTCTCTCTTGCGTCTCTTCAATCTTCTCATTTCTACGTCATAATACGCTAGGAACGGAGCATTTTGTAGGAATATATATTGCTTTAAATATACAAGGAAGTAGACATTTAGTATTCTGGTAATTCTGGCTTAAGCGAAATAGACTCAAGTACTTGCCATACCTATAGTGGTTCCACCAGATAGATCAGCTAGGCCATGCGCATGCTCTTCAATTACCCCCTCATAGGCCCTATGTTCCGAAAACAAAGCCCAGCTTAGCACATGGTTACTTTATATGGGAATTGAATATAGCACAATGAAGTAACCATGGCGAAATTTAAACCACGCAACGTTACACACCTCCCACGGAAGCCCCCCAGTTACTCTGGTATGGCATAGCAATTCAAATAAACGTTCAATATTCAACAAGTCACAAGACGCTCTTCACTCCATCTCCGCTCCATCTCCATCTCCGCTCCGCTCTGTTACTCCATGCTACAACGTATCTCAGTGTAAGTAAAGTACTTCTATATAAGGTAATCCATCTATTTGTTCAATTGCAATCTTCCAAACATGTCATCATCACCACCATCACCACCATTATCACCAACATCGCCAACATCACCATCAATCCTCAACCACATCTCCAAGCACCGACCTCTCCTACAGCTCTCTATAAAACCCCACAGACCCTCTACCATGTCTGCTCCTCCCAAAATCATGATTTCCCATGTCTTTGGCAGCACTACAGCGCCGAGTACCCCTCCAAAGCGTACTCCCTCAGTCATCTCCTCGCCCACAATAGTCCCCCTAAAACTCTCACCAATCAAAACTCCTCCTCCACTTCCACCATCAATAATACCACCAACCCACCAAAGCTTCACACCAAAATCCACAAAAGACACATCCTCCACCACTTCTATAACCAGCACCATCGCCTTCCAAAAAGCTTTATCGACGGTCTACTCATCCTCTAAACCCGACGGATCCGACTACCTCTGGTGCCCAGTCTTCAAACAATACCTCCCACATTCTCTAATAAAACACTTCCAAATCATCACCCCAAGCCCATACTACTCTCAAGCAATTGGCTATCTCTTCGGAAACATCAAGGATGGAGAATCTCACTTCAATTCCTTAGCAAACGGAATGATCATGGCGAAATGTATCGCAAACCTTCTTATCTCTGGAGATTTTGCTATCATCCCCGTCTCTGAAAACGTCGAGAATGATTTATCCCATCCGGCCTTTAGAGCTAGTAGCAGTGGTAGTACTACTACTACTTCTATTACTACTACTGATAACAATAAAAATAGTGTTAGCGATATTGGGAGTAAAGCATGGAACCAACTAACCCTCGAAGAACAAAACTCCCTCCTCGATCTCCAAGAACTCAAACAATCCATCAAACCCATCTCACCAACTCCAAACCCAGGTATAAAACTAAAACTAGTTTTAATGAAACCCTATAATTCAAACACCAGAATCGAAGACATGGACCTCCTCTACGCGGACATTCACAACACCATCTTGGAATTCAAATCCTCTTTCCGTCCAGACCTTCGCTACTGCTACTTTCGATACATAAGTAGTATCCTGATCTGGTTAAACCTAGAGGAAGCAAAGGTATTCAAAAACGCTTGGATACCGAAAGAGAAATGGCTTCGTGAGAGTTTGGTGGTCGAAATGGCTAGACCTGAAAGACTTGCCAATTGGGAAGTTTATGAAGAGATAATTTGTGGTAATGGCCTTTTTGATGATGGAGGTGAGGATGGGGATACCGTTGTTAAAATGGATAATGGCTGGATGACGACTAAGTCCGGTGAGATGGCTGCTCAACTGGAGTGGGGATTACTAACTTCCCCAGACTATATGTTTCCACCTCATGGGCATGAACTGCATGTTTAATTATAGTCACCAAGCCGAAAAGTTCTCAGTTCAATTTATATTATTTGTACATAAGGAGCCTGGAGTTTTTTTTTTACCAATTGAGCAACAACCGAACGGGAATTCGAGGGGAGAGGAAGATGATGAGATACCCCATGGAATCAATCCACAAATGAATTTTCTGTTAAACCCTTGCTCATACTAGCATGCCTTTTATCATACAAAAGCACCAGCTATATGTAAGTACTTAAGTATACAAGGTACTAACCACGTACATGTATACTTTCTTTCTTTCGTATAGAATATTCAATCAAACGCCGATTCCCTTTCTAGAAAGCCAAAATAAAACCGATTAAAACCCAGAGAAAGGTGTAACGCCGTACACTATAATCACAATCATGAACTGCCCTAACCCCGCTTGCAATTTGACGATTTACAGTGCCAAAAAAGAAGTATGCACCGCTATCAATAACAATACTAGTTATATTACCATCCACTCGATCTTTGAGAGGGAGCATTCGTATTGGGATGGCGACCTCGTGGTGCTGTTTCACCTATTTTCTGCCTTAGCCTTTCGAAATTACTTTCCCTATTGAAAGCATCAACCGCAGCACTTCGTCTATCATTTGGCCCCGGTAAGCGGTTATACGGCGGCGTGTCCTCCTGCCGCTGCGCCCCCCACTCCTCCATCTCGGCTTCGCCCAAAGATTGGTGCCTCGATCGGCCCCCCGGTGGTGGTGGTGGTGGTGATGGTGGTGGTCTTGCTGATTGCCTGTTGTTGGCTCCACCAAGAAAATCTAGCATCACATTGGCAGTTGTCTCATTATCATTGCCCGGATCCGCAGGAGGCGGCGGACCGTCAAAATGCCCGGTACTCTCACCACGGCTTTTACGAACTCGACGCCCCCGCGCTGCTGAGGGGAGGAATATCCAACTTGCAATCCAACCGATTATTATGACGCCGAATATGCCTAGGAAAGTATAAACAATATAACGTGAGGTTGGATCAGTCCCGGGTTCGCTGCCGCTTAAGTTGTAAACCCTTGTGTCAACAGTATCTCTTTTTGGCAATTCCCTTGGCGGAACGGTGTGAGTCTTGTCCCTTTCTTCAGTCACATTTGGCGGCGGCGGCGGGGGTTCCTCTATAGTCTCTTCTAGATCTGCTATGGCGTCGAACGGTCGTGGCGGTGGGACATCCTCTTTACTAGTCTCTTCTGATTCTAGAACCTCAGGTCGCGGCTGTGGTGGTGCTGGAACGCTAGCCATCTTTGCTTTTATTGCAGTCCCCGGTGGTGGGAACCTGCGTGTGCCTGCTGGAAGACTTGATGGAGGGACGACATATATCGGCGTCGCAACGACGACATGTATAGTCGGATAAGAGTAAGTATTCTCTCCCTGGCCCTTCAGATTGTATTCAACCACTTTAGTAGTAGCACAGACCACATGACGAGCAGATCCATGGTGCGAAGTGGCCGGGATCGAGCTAAGAGCCAATACAGAAACCGTAATTAGTTTCCCCCAAAGGTCTAACACCCGGCCAAGCTAGTGCTGGGAAATATATATATAGTACATAAAGTATGTAACTTTACCTTGGACAACAATACTGAGCACCCTTCAGTCCCTTCATATCCATCGGGAGTTCATTACCCAACGTTTGTCCAATATACCCACTCGGACAAACACCCGGGTTGTAAATGACATCCACAACCTTTAGTTCATCCTCTGGAACTCCCTGGATAAACCCTTCGGGACAACAGTCAGTATCCTTAAAGCAATCCGCTTTGTAAAGGACTGCATCCGCATAGTCGTTATATCCCGATTTCTCAGGAGAAGGGATATCCGTGGTAGTCGAGAGCCATAAGGTAGATGAAGAACAGTCTGCCGGTGGTGTGAAAGCCGTGGCTGGAACGGTGCTGATGATGCTCCATTGTGTTAAAGGGGAACCTGGACCAGTTCCTTGACAAGTTGCAGTAGAAAGTAAGCCGAGGACGGTTACCCCCAGAAGGAGGAACTGATGGAGGAATTTAGGCATCTTGTTGGAGAGCGAAATTCAGACGATTCGACTTGGTAGGAAGAAAGGTGCCTGAGAGTATGTAAAAAAGAGGCAAGAGATAACTGGGCAGAAAGGCAGTACTCGAGACATATTAATGCCGGAACTGATTTATACATGTTTTTTCCCTCCATTCGTATTTATCATCGTTTTCAACGACTGATCAGATATGATTGTCCACCATATGCTCCTCCGGAGAAACGACGGATCGGCCTTCGTAGGTAGTATAGTGCACGACATGGCCTGGGGCCTGGGCGCAGAGGGCCGCGTGGAGGCCATGTCTCAGGCATCGGTTTGAAGGTACGGAAGAACCACGACTCGTAGACGGCGACATTGGCGGCAAGGCCCTCGAGTCTCGAAGCAAATAATGATCTGGATATCAATACACGAACATCACATTTCGGAAGATGAGAACAGATGGTTTAATGAGAATCATGACTGATTGTATTGTATTGGCTTGTATAAATAATACTATCTAAATCTTCACAACGAAGTTAGTACATCTTATTCAAAAATTCCGATGTAGTTGTAGGATAAACAAAGAATAAGAATAAGAAGGGATATCAGAAGTCCAGTTCGCTCATCTAACCGAAGGATTATAATTTGCAGACAGACCGCCTCCGAAGAAGTGGAATGTCTGTAAATTTCCAACGATTATCCCGCAAGAGGTGCCACAAATGTGCTATATCATCATATATGTAGAATAGAGGGGTGCCATGTAGTGTTTTGAGAAGAATGAAGAATCGCGACTTACTATAATTATATATTGCTGGAGTTGCTGGTGTGCATTGGCCAATATTGGGCGAGGCCAATGGAGACAATGTCAAACCAAATAATATCAATAGAATGAGATATCGATATTGCTGAACGAGACAGGCGACTTTGCTGTTGAAGCATTTTTCGCCTATACTCATTTATACAAAAAGACTAGAGTCAATTGAAGGCTGATCGTGAGATGTCTGGCGGTGATGCGAACATGTCGAAGATGCGATGATGATGCATGATGACATTTAATATCCAGTCGAGTCGCGAGTTAAACTTTTTGTTGGCAGAGTTTTCTGTCTGCGAAGAAGCCAAGCCACAGACGAGCCCTAATCACCAAACCCTCCATCACAAGCCACATAACACCAGCCACATCCACAACACCAAAAATTTCTTGAGTTTTCCAATTTTCTTCAATCTCGAAACCTTCAACGACGACCGACCTAAATCGACAATCACACGACCCCAATCGACAAACCATCATACCCGACCCCTCCCGACTAAATCATCTATCAAACCTCTGTCTTCCCGACAAATAAACCAAATAATTCAAAATGGGTCGTCTTCACTCCAAAGGAAAGGGTATCTCTGCGTCCGCGATCCCATACTCGCGCACTGCTCCAACATGGTTCAAGACCGCCCCAGATCAAATCATCGACCAGATTTGCAAGCTCGCCCGTAAGGGTGCTACCCCATCTCAGATCGGTGTTGTCCTCCGTGACAGCCACGGTGTCGCTCAGGTCAAGGTTGTTACTGGTACGTAGAAGAGAATATAGAAATCTTCGAATAGATTCAATACAGTTATAGGCTGGGGAAGTGCTGACTAAATTTTTTTACATTATATAGGTAACAAGATTCTCCGAATCTTGAAGTCGAACGGTACATACACTATTCCATGAATTCAAAACTCCTCCATCATGAGGAATTACAGCAAAGCCTTTGTATGGTCTTTCAGACTGACAAAGTGATTTTTTTTATCAAATTCAGGCCTCGCCCCAGAAATCCCAGAGGACCTCCACATGCTTATCAAGAAGGTAAAATTATTATACAATCACTCTACAGCATCAATGTTTATCTAAAACGGGTACACATGGATCAATAATGCTGACATGATGATACCCAGGCCGTCGCCGTCCGCAAGCATCTCGAGCGCAACCGCAAGGATAAGGACGGAAAGTTCCGCCTCATTCTCATCGAATCCAGAATCCACCGTCTCAGCAGATACTACAAGACCGTCGGTGTCATGCCACCAACATGGAAATAGTATGTTCCGCCACTCTCACCTTTTGATACCATCGACTTCCCCCCAAACAGACAATACTAACATAAAATCCTTTTCTTCAGCGAATCCGCCACCGCCAGCGCTATGTTGGGCGCTTAAGCGTTTCCTGTTTTCAATTGTGTTAGGCTTTTTTTATTTCGACTGTGTCATATATACTACACACTATCATGGGATAGTAACGACCTTTTTTTTTATCATGGTTCTTACGAATTGACCATTAATTTTTCTTCATTACAAGTCATACCTTCTGGTCTTTGGGTTTATGGGCGTTAGAGGGGACATGTATCTTTATTCACCATGATTATATGGTGCTATCAATGATGATATCATGAATCCACTATATCCTCGTAGAAGATAAATAAATAAATAAAATACGGTAAAAAATTATACTTGTAGCACTTGGGAACTGGCTTCATTTTGATGTAGCATTATTATTGTTCGTTCGTAGAAATAGTAACTAGTAGATGTTTTGGTCCCTCACGAGCTTTATCAACAAAATCGCACGGGGTTAAAAAAAAAGGAACCAAAAAAGCAGCTTGTTCTCTTCGGCTTTTTGTCAATTATACTTTAGAAGAAAAAAAAATGCATTAAGATCGTTTACCACGCGCCCACATCGTAGTTTTCTTCGCTGAAATAACTAACAATAACTGTTCGGTCGGCGAACTTCCTTCCCGCTAGCGATTTCAGGGCCTTCTCGGCGGATTCATGTTCCTCAAATCGGACATAAATCTTACCGACACCTGCAGCGGCGCGTTGGTTGCCGCTTGGGCGAGGGATCTTGATATCAATGATCGGACCGAACTTGTTGCATTCATCCGTCACATCTTCCAAAATTTCTAGGTGAGAAAAATGTTAGCAGTCTATACCATTCACATATTGGGGTGTACCACCATACCTTCGTATTCCTCCTGATCCAATAGCTCATCGGCAGTGACCATATTCAGCAGTTGCAAGACTCTTCCACCTTCCATTTCGGCACTAGTAGTCGCCGCAATGACTGTCATGGCGGGAATTCCGGCCTCAGCTCCAGCGGATTGCTTAACACCGATAGATGCTCTCTTGACGTTCAATAATTGCTCGTTGATATCGAGCCCATTAAGACCTTCGATGGCAATTTCGGCGATATTGGGGTCAAGGTATTCGCAAAATGCGACACCCTTGGATTCATCCATTTCTTTGTCTTTAACAAGGAAGAAAGATTTGAGGGGTCCGAAAGTTTGGAGAAGTTCCATAACTTGTTGATCTGCAAGATGAGTGGGGATGTTGGAGACACAGATCTTGTTGATTGAGTCTGGGACATTCGGGGAGATGTCGCCATTATGAGATTCACTGCTCTCGGAGTATTGTGGAATGATGTAGTCCTTTGGACGGGAGAGCCTGATTTTGACTTCCGTGTCGTCGAATTCCATACCATCGAAAGCGAGACAGAGGGTTGCGTACGCGGTAGAACGGAATTCGAGCATGGCCATGGTGCCAGTTGGGTTTAGGTAAACAGTGATAAGAGGTTCGTTCTCAGAGTCAACGGCATTGAGAGACTTAAGGAAACTTGAAAAGAACGAGTAGATGGTTTCTTCGGTGCACATGGGTGGGAGGTTCTGGCATAAAAGACGTTTCGCTTGACGAGAGTTGGATGGCTTGAGGGCGGTCGGCTGTGGAGTGCTGCCCTCCTTTGGTGGGTGATTAACGAAGGCGGCCATACGCGAGGGATCGAGAGCCGTTTGGCGGGGGGCGCCTGGGAGAGGGAACATGCCAGACAATTTGGCCTGCTCCGCAGTGACGCTCTCATAGCCGGGAGGCTTGATATCCCACATGGTCAAGCGTCGCTTTCGCTCGCTCACTGGGATAATGTCCGTCAAATCTGGAGTAGGCTCTTTGACCTTAGGTGGACTCGGGCTTCGGCGTGGTTGCCTCGCCTCGTCCATTCCGCCCATGTTAACATCTTCTCGACGTTCCCTGCGGTCTCCTCGGCCGCCGTCCCTATCTCTACCACCTCGTCGTCTATCATCATCGCCGCGTCGGTCCCTGTCGCGCCTGTCGCGGCCGATATCGCGCTCACCTCGAGCATGCTCTCGCTCTCTTTCTCTGTCGCGGAGGTCTCGGCTACTGTAGTAGTCGTCGCCAGCGGCAGCGGCGGCGGGAGGGGCACCTCGTGCACCTCTCCCCCCTTCCCTCGGAGCGTGTGGCGAGCGGGAGCGTCGTCTATCTCCGCGGTATTCTCTATCCCCACGATCCCCGCGATCCCTCCTGTCTCCACGTTCCCCTCGGTCACCTCGTTCTCGGCCTTCGCCTCTCTCGCCATGTCTGGACTAGAGTTGGACAATATTAGCAACCTTCTAGCGTCTCGTTTTAATTAAACTAGTCAACTTACGTGGTAATCAGCTCCATCTCCTCCATGTCTGTCCCCTCGCTCTCTGTCTCTGTCGCGGTGTCCATCTCGGTCTCGGTCTCTACGTGAAGAGGAGTAGCCGTGGCGTGAATCTAGATAGAAGGGAACCGGGACGGTGAGGTAAGTATTTGGCTTGCTTGATTGCACGGAGGCAGAGTGTTAGTATGTTAGTAGTCGTGCATTGGCACCTCTTCCTCGGCCCACCACCCCAGCTCCTCCGGATCTTCCTCCATCCGTCTTTCACCTCCGTATTCTCATCCTCCGGCTAATCCTAACTTCCAACTCGAGTACCTCTAAGACCCATTGCTTGGAATGCTATCGGCACGCAAGACCACCAAACCGCACGGAGGGTGCAGATTCCAGAATAGGAGCTGAAGAACATGGATACCAAACTCCATGGCGACTGAGGAAATGCCAGGGCCGCGCCGAATGGATAGTAGTAGCCATAGTAAAAGTCCGCTTCGAGGAATTCTAGCCAGCGAGTGATAGAATGCGATGCCAGAGGGCTTTTCAGGGTAGAGGTGTGTGTGTGTGTATCAGGATCATATATGATGATGATGGATTATATCTAAGGAGGAAGAGTATCTTTGCTTGCTTGGATGTCTTTACAAATCAGACGCCAAAAGGAAGGATATAAGACGGCCCTCCATCTCATTGAGAGGAAGGAAGGTGGTATCAAGAGCTTACCTCGGTAACTGTCGCTTCCGTTCATCTTGTTGATTGTCCAGATATCAATGGACGCGTGAGAGCGAGTCTTGAAGTTCTTCTGGAGACTGCACAAAGGGTAAACAGGCAGAGATAGCGGTTTAGTGATCGAAAACCCGATGATATTCGCTTTCGTAGGTTTGGTGTGAAGGAAGGAGTATGTCGTGATGTTTAAGGATGGTGTTTTGACAGAGCGAAGGGTGGTTGTGCTAAGAGTGGTGTTCGATAGGAAGTGAGGTCGGCGCTGAAAGTAGTTGGCAATTTCGCGAAAAATTGAAAGGCGTTGTAAGCCACCAGCCACAATTACAAGCATGAGCTAAGCCACAGATGGAAGCGCCAGCCTCACCAATGCCCAGCCCTGCGATACTGAGTGCGAGCCCCACGTTTGAATGACATCTCGTTTCAACTAAGATCTGGATCTGTTATACCCCTCCAACTACCGCATCACCATCGTCTCAGGACGAATACACCATCAGAATCACTGAAGTATATCGACTTTCAAGGGGATATATCACATCTTCATCGCGATTAACTACGTACACGGCAGCCCGCCATGGCGACACCAGAAATACCCCCCTCCATGAAGGGTTTCGCCCCGTTCGTCACGAAAGCAAAGCAGATGGAAAAGCAAGACCCTGTGATATCCTACTACTGCTACGTCTACATCGTTCAGCAAGCGTTGGCGAAGGGGCTTACTAAGGGCGTAGAGGGTGCATATACAGGTCACATCATGGACATTCTCGAACAGGTCCGTGTCTCTCAAGCCGGCTAGCCTTGTTGCGCCGGCGCAAACAAAATCTGGAAATGATATCTTGCTGAAATAGCTATGCAAGTTGGTGTAGCGGAAAATGGAACTAGCCGATAATGAAGCCGTCGGGGACGATGTGGTTGGAAAGGTTTACGTGGAGCAGTTTGGGAACAAGATCTTTGGCAATGCCGAGAACACGCAGAATGCTCGAAGATGCACCAAGTAGGTCTTGCGCTATTTGGATTTTTTCGAACTTAGGAAATAAGTTCAAGCATACTGACTTGCTGGCCAGGGTGACCGCAGAAACATTTATGGCAGCTTCTGTCTTCCTGGAGGTACTTCGAGTATTTGGCGAATTGGACCCAGAGATCTCTAAGAAGATTACCTTTGCCAAATACAGCGCTGCACGTATATTAAAAGCCTTGAAGGCCGACGAAGACCCGAACCCACCAGTAGAGGAAGTCCTTGAAGACGAAGTACCACCAATGTTCACAGACGTAGCCCCGCCGAAGCCTTATGAGGTTTCACCCGTGTCCCCAGTTTCTCCACACCCACAGCCTGCTACAGTGGAAGATGCGGTGGATGAAGCAGAGAGTCTGGAACGGTCTATGGCTAGAATATCAACGGCAGACCAGTCTCTACATCCCAGCCGGATGATGACACCAAGTAATGCACCTGGTTTCCCGTCGCCACCAGAGAACCATCTAGCTTCAAATTTCTCCGGCAGGACAGAAACCATGTCGACGGCCGAAACCTTTTCGACCCTTTCTCAGCCTCCTTCAGCTGGATATTTCCCTCCGGCGCCATATCCTTCCCACGAGACGTCTGTTGCACCACACGGCCTAGATTTGCCATCAGCACCTCCTGCAATCCCGTCAGCATCCTCGATTTTCCCATCCACCCCTCAATCTTTACCTTCCGCTCCCCAAAACTTACCTTCTACCCCATCACTCCCGCCGAACTCGCCTCCCGCGCCGCCCGACAACTTCTACTCGGGAGGAGGAGGTACAGGCGTCGGTGTCGGCCTTCCTTCACAACCAGAACCAGGTGTGCCACCCTCTGGGCCTCACTGGCTTGGTCAAGTATCTCCCCCCATAGTACCACCTTCGGTAGGCGCTCAAGCCCCCACAAACCAACCTTACTACTATTCCAGCCCTCCAGTGGCAAACCCCCATATTCCACCCCCACCTCCTCAGCAGCAACAATACATACAACCACAAGCATACCAGAGACCTCAGCCGCGAGTTCAACTAGTGGACCCTGATGAAAATCCAGCTGCTATCAAGGAGGCACATAAATGTATTCGGTGGGCGGATTCGGCGCTAAATTTTGACGACGTCCCAACCGCAGTGAGTCAATTGAGATTAGCTCTGAAGGCTTTGGGGGCGGAATAGGTAGATCGGGAAACTAGGGCATGAAGCCATTAACTCTAGTCTAATAAGTTTAGCATTTGAGCGACACAATTTTTAATTCTGATGCATATTTTGTCTTTGCTCCCATAGGGAGGTCTCGGCAAATGGAACTGTTGGTATATGACAATAAGTAAAAGGCTTAGGATCGCGTCATAAGCCCAAGATCTTAATATAAGTGATGAATAACGTAGTTTCCCCCGGCCTGATAAAGTATCTGATTCCAAGCTAACTTGCGATTTCGGTTTGTTTTGTATCATTCTCTTGAGCTGCGATCGGTTCTTGGCCACGGATCGGGTTCTCAAATTCAGGCTTCAAACTACCACAGGATCGATCTCTAGAATAGCTGCTTGATCAGCCTCTCCTAAACAATCCTCCTAATTTGCCTAATTACGTTGAGTAGACCGTAAAATTCCGTGAACCGTGAAAAAAGCATTTAAATGCGCATTCATGATGCTTCGAATCGTCTTGAAGTCGACGTCGAGCATGCATGTCGAGATTTTGCTTCTGCCACAATGCAATGCGAGCTAACAATGTTACACAGACGAAAGGTGTCGACGAAATTGGGCAAGTCCACGCGAGTCTAACAAAATCCAACGCCAGAACCATGAACCTGAACTTTGACTTTGAGGACGGGATATGCCACCCGATTGCACGAAAAGTCATGCCGATAGACCGATTGCCGCAAGCTCTTTGACAGAATTCAGCCTAGCCCTACCTCTGATTCTTGGAAGCCTAGGCCATCGATATTGAATTCTTAGATTCTTTAGCGGGGCAATAATGAACGTGCATACTAACTTTCAATTGGTGGTTTAGCTATATCCGGTCGAAACTTCTGAAATATATACACCCCACACTAATGTATGTGTACATATTTTACCCCAGACTAATATTTTCCTTGCTAGCCATTGGACCGGATTGGTTGCATTCTAGCCCGAACAATCTTGTCCATGAGGATTCTTTTCAAAATGGTTAGCGGCTATGCGCCAGAACCATGGGGTAGAGAGTTCTTAAGTTACGTGTTAGCTAGATATCCGGACTGATCTTTCAAGGTTATCCCGTCAAATAAAGTTCACTTATAAACCGGAGACTAGTGGGCTAGTCGAACCCAGCTTTGTGGTTAACTAAGGGTACGGATATGTAAATATGATATCCACCGTATCACTAATCTTTTGCCGTCTGTATCACAAAGCTTACCTGGGGCGAATCCCGCCACACGGGTTCGGTTTCAAGATTTGTACGACATCGATTTGAGATTAGACGACCCAAAGCTTGAACTTCGCCGTGCACCATGCATACTGAGAAAAATGAGCTTTGTCCGCGGGTCACTGCTTCCCGAGACATAGCCACCGAGGAACTCTTTCGAAAGGTACCTATTCATCGATATCTTCAGAGGTAACGTACGTAACACATACCCTTGTCTATACCCTGGGTCTTCGGCCTTCGGGAAATCCTAAGAAATATTTTCCAATTTTTAGCGGTTACACTTGGGACGGATTCACAAAGCAAGTAATGCGCATCCACAAGTCCTTACTAGCGGTTATTTTGCATTGCTATGGACGGCAGGCCCGATATCGATTGTGTATCCAACATTCCCACATCTGCAGCATGGCCACGCCTAACTGCATGTCTAGAAACCGTGCATGCAATTGTAAATGCACATACACTAGCCCTTCCGTGATCGTGAATTGAACAAAGAAAAAAAGGATCGAGCGTCCGACTAAAAAGGATCCAAGTACCGAAGAATGTTGTAAGTTTACCAAGCAACATTGTAAGGGATTAATTCGAGAGCCTGACCAAAAAAAGGAGTCTGTGTTGCATACAACTAGGGGCTTTGTTGGAAGATTCGGGCATCAAATTCATATACCAGCAGTTATGATTAGCTGTTAACTCTGAGCTTCTAATCATACGGTATGTGGGGGTACCGCTACCGGGCCAGCAGAGACCGCTAGCTAGCGGGAGGCCACATGCCTTTGAAGTCTCTGCACATATCCATCCCTGAATCATGATCAAAGCGAGATAAAGATGGGATTTGCTTCAGGCCCCTTGCGCCACCGGTGCCGCCATGTTGCGTACACAAGGGTAAAATCTTTTTGTTTTTAGTTGGGAGGCCTCGATCTTTGGACTTACGTAGCTTACAATACATGCGATACTAGCGATTCCCCCTCATTTTATTAATCATAAAGAACATGCAGGTAAATTTGTTTTGGATAGTTCACCCTGTGTCAGTGTTTAGCTCTATGACTACATAACTAACCTTCCAGAGCTCTAGATCGTGATATATTGGATGTATTGTTATTCGCAGTGGTATAGTACTATAGTTAGTGGTATATAAATTTGTAATAAACATCCTCAGTTGTGACAACATGAAACTTCAGAAATTCAATATATACACTTTACAACTCCTGACTTCAAAAAGCTGTCTTCGAACGAAATAATTGACAAGTTGATATATGTATCTTCCAAAGAAAGAGAAAGAAATCTATTTATTTTTAAATCTTGTGAATTTATACATATACAGATATCATTTTGATAAGTTAGCAAAGCTACGATAGGTATTGCAACGTCTCCAATGCATCTTCCTGCACTCGTGGCCGATGCTGCATTCTCTCCTGCATTCTAGAGGGGGTATCAAAGCGTCATAGAGATCATAAACTAACCAAGCATCTATTCCCGTATTTTAGATATATTATCGGCTATCCATCCCGTTCCGTCGGATATCTCTGAAGTTTTGTTCTGGCAATATGGGATCATCCTGGCGACCATCTGATGGCCCACTCACCCCAGCGTCCCTGCCAGACTTCGGTTTGAACAGCCGTTACGGCCCACATATATTCCGCCGTTTTGATATAAATCCCATACAAACATCAGCACAATCGCGAGAGCGATCAAAAGATCTTTCATCATTACCATCTCCAATATGTACTACCTCCAGAGTAGCGGACTGCTACAGGCCCGGAGACTCACTTTTCAGGTCTACACCACCAACTAGCCCTGGTTATCCTGACCATTGGAGTTCGAAACATGATCGATATAGAAAGGATGCTAGCCCCGCGCCGTTTGGGTCTGAGGACGGTCAGATAGGTGGTAATGCGGATGATTCAGATGTTGGAACAATTATTGAGGTACAACATACGCCGCCCAGGTCACCTGTCAAGTTTGGGATTCCGACACGAATTGATATATCACCAGTCAAAAACAAAAATATCCTGACAAAGAGCTGGATGATATCAGAAACTTCGTTAGAAAAGAATTCAGATCCTGTTTCCATTTCGAATATAAAAGTCACATCAGAGAAAGGACTAGAACATGCGCTATCGTTGCCTCCCAAGCCCCCTCGTCCCATACCCACGGGACCGGCAGCTGGTCGAAAGTCGTCATCACATACCAACATGACTACACAAGACCGCAACCACATGCGAGAACGTAAAAAATTTCCAGATTATCACGGTCTGCAAAAGACTTCAACAGCAACAATAGACGCGAGCAGCTGTGGCACTTACCCTAACAACGTTATTGTCGTACGGCCAAGGTTTCCTCATCTCGGTGATAGAGCGAGAGCTCATGGACGGGATCAGCTTCCGTTACATGAAAACAACGATATTGATATGAAAGATGCTCCGCCGTCTGACCCTCTGGATATTTCGGAGCTGTTAAAAGATAGACCTACTGTTGTCAAGAAAGTCCGGGATACTAGCTGTCAAGATGGGTTGTCGTCCCACTCACTCAGTTACCTCATAACGAAGGAGAGAGAAGGCTATGGAAGACCCTGGGTCAGAAATGTGAAAGCACAGGAAGTTAGGGATTATGGTACATCTACATGCATAGTGTCCATAACGCCCCCAAAGCCAAAACCAAGTCGCTTCTCTTCCGAGACGGTGTCAACACCGACGACTCTGGGCGGCTTAGATATCGAGATACTGGTCTCGCGCATTGTTGGGGAATTGAAAGAAAAGCTGGTAGATGTAAAGATAGAGAAGCATGAAGAACTAGTCAAGGAAGAAAAGAAAGAGAAGTCGAAAGGGGGGCATAGAAAGGCTACGACACCTCCTAGGCTTGCGGGAGAACAACCTAAATGGGACCATACCGGCTGCTCTCTTCAACTCACCGCTAAGAAGAGATTAGAGAGACGTATATCGAAGCCAAGAGATGAATCGAGCGGTGAGGATGAGGACGAGGGCGCATTTCAAAGAAGGCGCCATCATATATCGTCCACATCTGTGATCTCCAAACACCAACAAGCACGAAAGAGGGCCTCAACTCCAAGCTATGCTGACCACTATGGAGAAGAAGAAGAAGAAAGCAACCCCAAAGCAAGAACACCTGCAAACCTTCACTTCAGGAAGAAGAAGCGAGTTGAGACCCCCGTAACAGATGGCCAGTCCAAAGTCCGATCACCATCTATAGCCTTCTCGACCACTGCGTCTCCATGCCCCTTTGCGCGTAAGACCAGCGAGGGGAAATGGCATGCCCCATCGACAGTCAGCTCTGTCCCCACATTGATAAAAAAGCCAGTTGAGACGCCAAAGCCCCAGCGCCCTCTAGCCCATAAAACTGCCGCAGGAGCTGCAGTGCCCCGACTAAATAAACCAGCGCCGCTACCAGATACCTTTTGGTTCCAGAGACGTTACAACCGCTTGGCTTCTGAAATAAATAAACCAAATATCTTGAACAAGGGACGGAAGTGTTTCAATCGAAGAATGCTATCATATTACCTTGGTGGTAACGCTCGCCTGACGGTTTCTCCAATTTCTCCTTCCGCCAGGATCTCCCAAATCCACCGTGTCAGCTGCGTGGTTGCGATCAAAAAGGAGTTTGTACCAAACCCGGCAAATCCAGGAGAAATCATTGTCGTTTGCTCCCCACATGACTTCGAAAAGCAGCTTCCCTCAGGTGTTTCAACTTTCCCCGTATTCCTCGAACGTGGGACGGCTGAGTGGGAGTACATGGGTACTTATGAGTTCGATATATCCAAGCGATTCTCGAACAAAGAGGCCGACAGTTTGCAGGATAAAAACCTTATCGACTTCTGGCTTACTAGAATGTTTGAAATGCGAGAGCCGGTTACACAGGGCCGTGGAACTTCTCAAAAGGTTAACTTAGGTCAGATAAACTTGGGTTGGCAGGAGAGAGGACAATCATCCGCTAGTCACAGAATGGTTCCGACCCTATGTGATAGTTCCGTGAAGTCTCTTGCTCCGCAGCTCGTTCCAACTCATCTAAAGTCTAGAAAACAGGTGAGAAACTTGACAATTAGGCAAGTGGAGAAGTATCTCCAAGACGGAACGGTAAAATTTAACTGGAACTTTCTGAAGCCGGTGAACTACGATAACGCGCTATACAGGAAGCTTTCCGAGGCAGCCTGGCCAGCAAAGAAGGGAAATGTGGATGCGCATGCGGGCCTTTGGTCTAGTCTGAGAAATAACAGATAAGAAAGTGCTATATACACGAAAGGAACGGGGGGTATGATCATTGATCGGGAACCGTTTCACTTGGGTTATATTGTTTTCTTCTATCTATATTTCTTGTGATCTCGCCATGTTGTTTTTAAAGCTAGTTTTCTTTAGGACGGGTGATATATGCATGGTGTTTAGTCTAGGGCATGGTGTTATGGGCTTTAAGCTTTATATTCTAGCTTAGGTAGCTAGGTGATATACATTGCAATTGTAAGTCTTAATTTGTACTTCGTAAATACAATACATCAATTAGGATATCTCCACGATTGCAATTGTTTCTTATGCTTGTGAGATTCACCACTACAGTTAAGAGTCGAAGGTACTTATAAATTATAAACCTTCTTTGCGTGTATCGCAGTACTCAAATTACCTATCGATCCGAATTCCCAACCCTTCAAAACGTTTAAACCCTTCATGGCCCCCAAAGACATTATTCTATACTACACCAACCCCCCAGCGTAATACGAAACATACACATGCATATGTATATTGATATATATCGATGTTATCCTCGTTAACTCCCATAGCCCATATCCCTAGACTCCCACAAAAACTCCCCACGACAAGATGCGGTGCAAGACAGTATGCAGAGCTATCCATCCCAAAATCAAGCAGGAACCACATTAACAATCTTCCCGGTCTCAACCTCATAAATCCATCCACTAATATTAACACTCTCCGGTACAAACTTCGAATCCTTCAAGAACTTCACATCATCCTTCACCGCTTGATTCAGCCTACATTCCACAAAGTAAATCATATAAAATTAGTTTCCTTCGCATTTTTTTGTGGATATATAAAATTATTATAATGATTTACTTACTCAGGAAATGGTAGGAAATCAATTCCCGTAGAATCAGCATTCAAGTTCTTCTGCACGATCGAATGAGCGTCATCATTCGTAAACGTAAGCATTCCACATCCCGTATGCTTGATCAACAGGATTTCATTGGTGCCAAGAAGTTGCTCAGAGATGATGACGGAACGAAGACCGTCGACTGCTGAAGCACCGGCGTTGCGGATTACTAAAATAATAATAATATCGATGTCAATAATTTGTATTCACGAATCCAGGACTTCGAATTTATATAGACTCCGAAAAGAAAAAAAAACTTTATATACGTATAGAATGGTTGATTTACATACCATGAGCATCACCGAGATCAATACCAAGCGCAGCCGCAGGGTCGATACGAGCGTCCATACATGTCAGCACAAGATATTTCTTTGCAGGTGGGAGCGCCAGGTCGCCTTTTGTGAAGCTTGCGGCGTAGGCGGCATTATTAGCCGATAGAGTATCCGTCAAGAGAGTCATTGTGCGTACAAAATCAGACTATAGAAAGCGGTATATATGAAAAGATGCTGGATAGATATCACAGATATCTTGGTAATGATTATATTAATATGTGTAATTATAAGCTGGGTTTATCGGGATACTTCAAATCTCGAGGACGTCATTCGAGAAGGGCGCAAGGGGTGCCCTTTTATACATACCAAAAGTCGAACGAATCCCGGGAAACCATAATTCTACCCCACGCCGCTACTGTACCTAAGGAACTACCCCTCATCACCCAGGCCGCCCGTTCATCGAATCTACATCCCAAATTGGAAGTAAATCTAACACTTTGCATAAGCCTGCAGAGGAATCGTAACTTCGAGCAGGGATGTCGTGCTCATGGTTATCTACACATTCGCATCTCAAAAAGCGGTCCAGAACGTGTTAAAAAGGTTTTTAGTCAAACATGTTTTAGGATTTGGTTATTAAATTTCCAGCGTTCATTTGATGGGATTAATTGCGAACTGCGGGGTAACTTGATAACAAAGCAAGATCTACGACGTACATTTGACGAAAAGGCGGCACGGGATAGATGCCCTTCTTATTTCTTATTTTTTAATTTTTTTTTCTTTTAATTTTTCTTCTTTTGAAGAAAAACCAATGCTATAAAAGCCTGTCTATTAAAAAGCGGCACACTCATGACCATTTGCTGATAAATTTTGTTTCTTGTCCGGGTTTCAATAAGGTGGGTGTGCATCGATATCGATGGCGTGCTTTCGATAGCCGCGGCCTAGCCGGTGGGAATGTTGTATTTTGTAGAAGTTTTGCGTTGAATGTCAGCCTGGCACAATACATAAATTGAGGGTCAGCATGATGCATGATCCAATGCATAAGATCGATGGGTAGTTGGAGCAGTAATCAGCATGGTGGGAATACGCTAGTTCCTGCTAATCAAGAAATGCTTGTGGAAATATATACAGATTAATGGAGCTGAGGTTATCAAGCGCTCCAGGAACTCTAACCATACTCTTTGAGCTTACATGTAAACAGGTACCTGGTCCGGTAAAGAAAACTCTATTGATACATTAATACAAGGCCATTTTATGAGTCCTACTTCCTATGAGCACTCAAAAACATCCTCGAAAGTTCTATCCCAGCGGCATCAGCCAATCCATAGATATTATATGGCTGGGAACTTTCCGCCCGAGCAATAGTGATCCTCATATTATCATACTTAGAATGATCAAGGTGGCTATATGTTTTCGAAATTTCTCTCAGGAAATCCTCCTCCTCCTCGCCGACCTCCCCTTCTGCAACCGTTCCCTCTTTAAGCCCTATTTCGAGTATTTTTTCTAGGTTTGGTCCTAATATAAAAATGTCATCGGGCGACGGATCGTCGAAATCTCTAAACTTGTCTTTGAGAGTGTATATCCCACGAAGAATGGCGGAGTATGCTTCAGTCTCACCACGGCCTGTATCGATTAAAACGGCATCCTTTGAAGTTTATCGTTAGCCTAACTGACGGTTCTTTCATTGCCAGCTAAGAAAACATACCTTTATCTCAAGTGATGCACCGTGAATGTCGCCAAAAGTGCTAATAGTCGGTGCAAAAATCTCATTCCGCACGGCTGATGCGAATTCAAAACTGCACAATCCTAAGGTATCAGCGACAGTCTAATTAAGCCGTGAAGGCTACAACCTTAGGAACCATATGGGAGGGATTGGAATAATTACGCAGAAATAGGAGTTAGTCGGCGAATGTCGAGACCTTCCTCGTACCCCCAAGAAATGGCACCATGCGCTTTCAGAAGGATTGACGTTTTATCCGTTTTTCTATTCAAGATATCCAAAACATCGTCCCAGTTTTCGCTCTCGGGCCAGCTCTTAATGCTGAAATTGGATACCAGCTGGACACCTTCATCGTCCACGTTTTTCAATAAATCCATATCGTGCAAGATATTGGCTACAACATCGAACATGGTCTCCGGGAATTTTTTGAACATCGGTGAGCGTGATACGGAACAGACTTGCTGCTGCATGACGCCGAATCGGGATCTCGAGGTCAAGACGCATCGACGAGCTGTGAGATATTCTTCATCGTCGATAAGTGCGATGAACGGTCTTTCTTTCTGAAGATTGTTAATGTTAGCATGTTATGGATGGGGCTCAAAGGAGAAAAGGATATATAAATATATACCGGTAACCCTAAGACTTTAGGTTTTCGACCCAGATGTGTGGAAAGGTGGACGAAACTAGCAAATCCAGCGCTCAAAAACTCCACCATACCAGAGCTGGGGGGCAGATCTTCGAGGAAAGATTCTTCAAACCTCTCCTCTCGACCCGCATGGAGGGTTTCCGGGCGCACTGGTGGAATATCTGAGTCATCAATAGGAAACCCGGCATCCTTCAATGCGGACACAAAGTTACGTTTGATGGTTACACCGGGGGCAGTCTCGATCGAATCCATAGAGTCTGGGTACATAATCATCCACTTGATAACAGGTTCGTCGTTGACAATCATTGCTCTATCAACAACCTCGCGGCTGACGAAAGCTTCGATATGTTGACGAATGGCACGGGCATAATCTGTCATGATTTGCCTTTCCGTGAGGTTGAAAGCAGGAGGTTTTGGTCTTAGCAAGGGGGAATCCTGCGTGGCAAAGAAGTCGGTGAAATGGGTGCGGAAATCAGGTCGTGTAGGGTCCCATAACGTATAGGCACCACGTACGTGCAAACCAGGCCCTATTGGAAGATGGGGGGATTTTGATGAGTATTTCATGATTGGAAAAGTCTACCGAAAAGACGTGAGAACCAATCCACAAGTTCATGCCAGAGCTAGCAAAGATACAACTTACACCATTGCGAATTTGTCCATCTTGTGCCAGATCCCAGTCGTCAACCATTTTCAGAGAGGGCATCAGGACTGTGTATTCCCCTACATCACCCCTAGAGTCCATCTTGGTGTCTGCTAAAATCTCCACCCCTTTAGGATAGTACATAACAAATGCCGATAGGGATGCCATTTGCATTGAAATCCCGACGACAATATCCGCCTCTGGTCTCCTCACAAACTTGGAGACAGCTGATTCGACAGTCCATGATGGTAGAGTACCTAGAAGTCTGTCCTTTAATTTTGAAGTATCTGGTATAGGAACCTGAGGCAGGAAAAGAGAAGAGAAACCGGCGAGTGATTTCAGGGAGGAGAAGAAGACTGGCGAAAGTTCTCGCCGACGATCCGATGGGAGAACAAAAGCAGCTACGAGGACTGGGAAGGTCCTGTGCAATCTGATTCTACGGGGAAGAGTCCCGTCAAAGAACCGGGACATGTTTTGATGTCACAACAGGCTACTATACTGAGGGATCGAATAGCTCTCCCAGCTGTTCCTTGGGCTATCTAAAGATTTATATTAGCGAATTGAGCCTCAACTTGGTATACTTGCTTAGTAGATTTGATACTGTACTGACCGTCTGATAGCAAAACAGAGGTTAACTAACTATTAGAACCAGAAAAGAGAGAGAGAGAGAGAAGGATTTGAAGAATGGAGAAAAGGGATATTTGGTTGGTGACTTCTGTACATATTATCATGTCGTCCTCGATCGGGCTTATAATCAAAATGGTTGGATGAAGTTGCATTGGCCGTTGGAGTATAATGCAGAATCAATTGACTGTCACAAAGTGATATGCATCTTTTGCGACGGACAACCAAACAAACGATTTTGAACTGCGACCGCTAATCTTTGAACAGAGGTGGATCCTCTCATGCACAATGAGATGATGTAGCAAATCAAAGGAAAGGAATGAGGTAAGTAAGAAAGAAAGTAAGGACGGTGCCGGTGCCGGTGCCCATGCACTGACATCCAGTCCGTCGTAGTCTCGTATGTATAGTAGTAATAGTTAAAGACCGGTGGGGGGGTTCCAAGTGAGTACTAACTAAAACGCGCGTTGTGGTGGACGTTCCCTTTTGGCGGGGCGCAAACAGGCCAGAACAAGCACAAGCCGGCTAACTCAGCCAAGCGAAGGCCTGAACGGGCAGCGTATTATTTATTGTGTAAGGAATTGACAGGCATCGCAGCGGGATTGAGAAATGTGGCCTTTCTCGCAGATGGTATCAACTTCCACATGCCAGTTCTCAGCTACACTGCCATCCTCCCTCAACATCGTCAACATCATCATCATCCCGGATTTCTTGCTTTGGACTTAGAGAACGCCGTTTTAGTCTATTCTACCTGTACTTTTTGCTGGTAGTTGGCCAATCGACCGTTTCTCTCTCTCTCTCTCTCTCTCTCTCTCTAACAAAGTCTTCCCGATCGAGCTGTCCGCGCCGTAACTGCTGTGCAGTGGACCCTTTGCTGTTGGTCTCACGATGGGTCGAGCATCCCGGCTGATGAGGCTTGATGCCTTCACAAAAACCGTTGAAGATGCCAGGATAAGGACGAGCTCCGGTGGAATTGTCACAATATTCAGTGTCTTGGTTATTTTCTGCTTGGTAATTGGAGAATGGAACGATTACAGGAAGGTCTCCGTGATCTCGGAATTGATCGTTGATAAGACTAGAGGTACGCATGCACAGATGCATACTTATTCATCCCTTTGCGATGTTCTATTCCTGATTGTTGGAATAACAATTGGTTTATTGGCTGTACAATGCATTTCCAATTGGTTCTATAATGCTAATCGAATTATTCCGGACGTGTAGGAGAACAGATGGAGATCCACCTCAATATCACTTTCCCGCATATCCCATGCGAACTCCTCACTCTCGATGTCATGGATGTCTCCGGTGACCTTCAACCATCTGTCAGCCATGGTATCGGCAAGCATCGTCTCGACAAGTCAGGGGGCATCATTGAATCCAAGTTCCTGGAACTCCACCCCGAGCATCCTAAGCACCTCGATCCTAGTTACTGTGGTGAATGTTACGGTGCCGTCGCTCCGGATACCTCCAAGAAGGCAGGGTGTTGTCAGACGTGTGACGACGTTCGTGAAGCTTATGCTGCTAAGGGCTGGGCCTTCGGCGACGGTACCGGCGTACACCAGTGCGAAGAGGAAGGATACAAGGAAATGCTCAAGGAGCAGGCTGGGGAAGGTTGCCGTATCGATGGACACCTCTGGGTTAACAAGGTGGTCGGAAACTTCCACATTGCACCAGGAAAGTCTTTCTCAAACGCCCAAATGCACGTCCACGACTTGGCCAACTACCTTCAAGGAGACGTCCACCACGACTTCACACATACAATCAATGCCTTGTCCTTCGGCCCACCATTACCAACCGATCTTCTGCACGAGAATCACCACCAGCAAAACCCATTGGATGCTACCTCCAAGAAGACCAGCGACCGAAACTACAACTATCTGTACTTCTTGAAGATTGTCTCGACAAGCTATGAGCACCTCGACCACGGATACACAATCCATACCCACCAATACAGCGTTACTAGCCATGAAAGGAGTTTGGAGGGTGGAAAGGACGATGTGCATCCGGGAACTGTCCATGCCCGCGGCGGTATTCCCGGCATTTTCTTCAGCTACGATATCTCGCGTAAGTAAAATAGATATACACTCTGATGGAGGGACTCTTATGCTAATATACAATGAATGAACAATAGCTATGAAGGTTGTTAACCGCGAAATCCGAACCAAATCGTTCTCCGGGTTCTTGACCAGCATCTGTGCAATCATCGGAGGTACCCTTACAGTTGCCGCCGCACTTGACCGTGGATTGTATGAGGGCGCTAGAAGGATCGGGAAGCTTCACCAAAGATAAATAAAAAAACAAAAAAGTAACTTATATAAAATAACAAACTGCAGACTTCATTGAGGCAACATTTGGTCATAAGGAATGGCTCCTACTTAGATTTGGAGATGTTGGAGCCTTTAGATTATGAAGTTTTGGTCATGCATTCTGCGGGCTCCGTCGGTTTGACGAGGGCTATTGTAATATTAGCAGGTGTACTTGTTTTCCTATGCAATCAAATTTGACTGTCCAGTTTTTTACGTTTTTACGTTTTTACATTTTAATTTCTTTCGAATTCATGTAAGTACTTATTTTATTTTAAATCTACCAGTCCAAGGTGGATTGGTGATGAATTTGACACCGTCATCAGATATCAGAAGTCATGTTCCTAGCTTTGTAGTGATAGCAGAGATTACCTAAATGATATCACAGTTTTCGTGCTTTGGTGACATTCCAACACCAAGAAATCCTGTTAGCCGAGTGTCGCGGGACTTTTCCTCAACCTCGCTTCAATCCTCCCGCCCGCCATCCCTAATCCATATTCCACCCCTCCTCGTCAATTGACTTCCAAATACCGGCCAGATGGCTGCAGGAGGTAGCGGAGATGTAAGTCTCGTCCACTAAGATCATGGTCTTGCGAACCCTTTGGGCGACCTTGTCTAACTCGGTACCGATCTGGATAGGTCTTCGACATCCTTAAGGATGCTGGCTCTCCAGACACCATTGCCGCCCAACGAGCTGCCCAGAAAGCCCATGACGAAGAGATTTCTGTAAAAGCACAACGTCGGGCCGCCGAAGCAATCCAGGAACATTCGTCGCAGCCGGTTTATTTCGACTCGATCACGGTTCTTGGCGCACCGAGGACCCGTCGGTCGTTCTTTGAGAAGCTTGTGAAGCCGGCTCTTGACAGAAGTGATCAGGGAGACTTCACACTCAAGGATGCACTTCGGGAACTATCAAAAACTATCAATGGACTACAGCATTTTGGTACATATATTGATATATCAGTCTTGTCAGATAGGCGCTATGAACCATTCTAACGTTGGCTGCTCGTATATAGAAATATTTAACCAGAACATCCCATTCTACATCGATACCCCATCCGACTACAACTATGACCCAAAAACCCCGAATAATCCGATTCCTCTCTCAGCTATCATAAACGTCAAGGAAAGGTCTCGACTCCTTCTCAAATCCGGCACGGATCTCGGCAATACCGAAGGCTCTGCCTATGTCCAAGGATCCCTTCGTAATGTCTTTGGTGGCGCCGAATTCCTCCATCTCAGCGCCTCGAAGGGTACTCGAACTCGCTCGGCATACGATGCTACCTTTACGACTCCCATAAACTCCAGTCCTCTCGCAGCTATCGAACTCAAAGGTCTTTCTACAGCACGGGATAACTCCCATTCCGGCCATACTGAACTCTCAAAGGGATTTATTGGTACCGTTCGATGGGCCACTCCTGCATATAAACTCAAACAATCGATAAGCTACGAGGGTCTTTGGCGTACTTTGACAGAATTCAATGATGATACTAGTGAAGCCGTCCTTCGAGATTCCGGGGATAGTATGAAGTCTGCAATTACACATCTTCTTACCCGTGATACTCGCGACAATCCGATTTTACCTTCATCCGGTACCTTGTTAAGACTACGAAATTCTATTGCTGGAATTGGGCCGTTGAAAGGTACAGTGGCGCATTGGAAATCCGAAGCGGAAACTGCATTGGCATACCCACTGTTCAAGGGTATTACGGTCAGTAGCAGTCTTAGAGGTGGTATTTTATACCCCTTGGTGTCAGGAGATTCGGGACCAAAGCCTAGTACTATCGCCGACAGGTTCCATATTGGAGGTGCTAACGATGTGAGAGGCTTTCAAACTGGTGGATTGGGACCGCATTCCGGGAAGGACTCCTTGGGTGGAGATGCATTTGTCGCTGGAAGCTTAGGATTACTATTCCCATTCCCAAGGGTGGGGACAAACAGTGGACTGAGATTCCAAGCTTTCATCAACGGTGGGAGGTTACTGGCTCTGGAGAGACCACCAGATGTCCAAGACATGAACATTGCACAGGGGATGAAATATACCGTCTCGAGGTTACTCACCGAGGCGCCGAGTCTGGCAGCTGGAGTAGGGATTGTCTATGGCCATCCAGTTGCAAGATTCGAGCTGAACTTCTGTCTTCCCATTGGAGTGAGAGGTACATATGGAGAGGAAGGAGCAGAGAGGGCGAGGAAGGGACTTCAGTTTGGGGTCGGGGTTGAATTCGCATAGACTTGTAGAGACAACTTACATCTCCATACATACTCTTAGAGCATTCGAATTCCGATTCCAACTGGATTATTTGTATATAATAGCATAGCTGGTGACAGCTAGTGGCAGTCGTAGTCGTGGTCTTGGTAAATAGTTTAAAAAGCATTGTACATTGAAGCCATATTCATTTGACTGGGATATCATATGCTCCCCTCTTCCTCCTCCAGGTCATATTCATGTTCTACTGAGGCTGGGATGCACCTTGTCAATAATACGATCACGCACACAACACTTACTAATCTTGCATCTCCAAACCCTCAAAAAGGGCTACTCGATCCAGCCCGTGATATAATTTAATTGTCCAGGCAGACACGGCCATCGCCGTCGAATTAGAGCTTTGACAAGGCAGCTGGTGGGGCCTGCCGCCTGTGAGAAACGCCTTCAGCTGTCCCAACACCTTGTCAACTTCAATCCAATCCACATCCAAACAAACAGCTCTGTCCGCCATCCTCCACCCCGCCCCGGATTCATATCCCCATCCCCTCAACCGTGTCCCATTGGCTGCAAATCTGTGATCCAGCATGACATAGCTTGGCTTCCTTCCATTCTTCTTCTGGCTCCCTCTGGTCTCGTCTATGCGCCCTTTTCCGTCGTTGCATTGCATCGTTTCTGCTGGCGTTTGATTGATTGATTGATTGATTGATCCAGCAGCTCCCAAAGCAAACTCTCGAATCGAACTAATATCAAAACCATCCGAACCACAAGTCCGACAACAGCTACTACCTCCACGGCTTAAGCGGTCTCCTATCGCGGTCGGGCCGCTCGCTACTTACCTCTTCCTTCCTCCCGAACCAATCTCCATCTATCCTTCCTCCAGGCTTCTACTCCCTTATTATTCCTTCTCAATATCGACAATTGTAGCCATGACAGACGACTCGCACCCTAACGGCGGCGTTAGAATTGACGACGCTGATTTCTCAGAACTCGATGCAGCCAATGGTGGCGGACCCTCCTCAAATATGTTACTCGCACCAGGTACAGCCGGACCAAACGGTGGTTTATCACCGCCTGGATCTATCGGCAGGAGTGCCGGTAAGAGTGGGAGAGTGATAGAGAAACTCATGGCAGAGAACGACAGGTTGCGGAGAGAACTGAAGAGCGAAACAACGAAGGTTGGATATCTTTCTTTCGTTTCCCCCATTTTTTTGTTATCTCCCATATCTTCAGCGCTGCTGGGACGAAGGCATTCCTTCCCTTTTTTAGTAAATTCGTGGGCGAAATGAGTTACATAGGAAACTTCACGTGCTGACCCGTAGTTTTATCGATGATACACAGCGCGAGGAAGAGCAACGTAGAGCCGAAGCCGCCCGTTCATCGCGAGATTCGTTACAATCTATCAACGAGAATTTAGTTCACCAAACCAATATTGACAAGGTTGGTTCCACCACTCCTTCACAAAATCATTAGAATCGGGGGGACCTGGTAAACAAACCAGGGGGGAAGTGCAAGGAGTCTCGGTCTCGCTAACAACCATCCAATAGACATCTATCTCTCGTAAAGACCGAAAAATCGAAGAACTCCGTTCCGAACGCGAAGAAAACCTGAAAAAACGTCAAGATGCTGAATCCAATCTTCGAAAATATGTCGTTGATCAGGATGCTAGAGTCGCAGAATTGGCGAAAGATCTCTCGGCCGAGGTTGCGGAGAGAGAACGTTATGCTCGTCAATACGATGTCCTCGCTGCATCATGGAAGCACATAGAGGACAGGTATCAAACGAGTGTTAACCGACTTAAGAAGCGAATCGAAGAGGTTGCGGCCGAAGAAAAGAAGAATAAAACAACAGTGGCGAAGTTGGAAATAACCATTGAGCAGCAGAGACAGGAAATTGAAAAGATGGGTGCAGCCAGAAGGAAGATTGAGCAGACTTACAATGAGCGTATCGACCATACGGAGGAAGAGCTCAAGAAAGTAAAAAAGCTTACAGATGGTGAATCTGGAGAGGTTGCTGAGAAGCTTAAAGAAGCTATGGAGGCAGCTTCACAGTTAAGACACATACTGGGAGTGCAGAAGGCAATACGTGGTATACCGGATGATGTGACTCCTGGAAAGACATGAGGCAGCTTTCACTTGTTACCTCGATTCCTTTCGTTTTAACTGAAGCATACGAGATGGCCAGTTGCAACCCCACTCGCTAACCCCTCTCTCCTTCATGAAACATTTCCCCTACACTCATATTGCATTTGTTTTTCGGCTTCTTTACTCGTTGTCGCGGTATTCCGCTCTCATGATTGCTTTAGCTCGATCTGGTTTTTCTAATGCTAACGAACTTACCGTTCCTCATGCCTCTGGCCTCCGCTTCCATTTCCTCGAGGTTGCTGCTTTCTCCACATGCGCGTCTGTTTATTTGTTTAAAGCTAAGATCCCCTGGTTTCAAAAGGTGCACCAAGCGAAACTTTCAGTGCGATATACCTATATACCACAGGTTCTACCCTTTTTTTTTTTTTTTTTCCTGCTTTAAACTCTTTCATCTGCACATTTGGCGAATTCGAAAGGCTTTATAAAAAGAGCGGCTGGGTCCTTTTTCTGGTTCTTTCTTCTCTGTATATATGTATATGGATACACGACACACACACACACACACACACACACACACGATATGGCTACTTCGATACTAACGAGAAATGGTGGTGAATGGTAGCCGGCTTCATGGGCGTTTCTTTGTTGATAGATGATTCTTCTTTCATTCCTCTTCTTTTTCTTTCGTTTGTCTTTGGCTGCCTTTCTATTGAGACCGTTGGCATTTGAATATACAGATCTTGGAGATAGAGAAATGAAGATAGCTACACTAGGTCATGATATAGATCATGGATGACGATGAAGGAAATGATCTTTTGCAAGACTTAATTGGTTCGAATGGATTAAATTTATAAATAAACAATATGACTACTAGTACTACATATGTTATAATAATAATCTTCTTTAGAATAACTTACCCACCTACCCTTTGCCTGTTATTAATACATGCGATGAATTTAAATTTTACAGTTACGAGCTGAACAGAGGTAGTTGATGAATCTGGAACGCAAATTTCACATACAATTTCATCTTCACTTTTTCCTCATCATCACCAAAGAAAAGAAGAAGGAGAAAAATGAAAACAAGATAGACAAAGAAGAACTCAATGTGCACACGATCGACCCCGGAACGCCTTACCTACTTACTGATACAATACATCCACAAACCCCCCCTTACATAAAAATAACATCATTCAATTTTCACTTCACTTTCACTTTTCACTTTTCACTTTCACTCATTCATCATTCATTCCTTCCTAACGCGGCCCACCGGGTATCGTTGATTAAACGATAAATTAATAATTAAAAGATCTTTGTGAAAAAGACCTACCTTGCAAGCGCGAACCTAAAAGTTTCCAAGCCATTCTCCAATAGAGCTCTTCTATCCTCCAAGAATTTCCTGCGCTCTCGGATATCCTGTGGTTCACCGGCAAGGAACTCAATTTCTTCTTCTGTCATTAGGGCGATATCCATCGGTGAGATGATTTGGGTTGGGAGAGTTATCATCAAGTGTCTTTCGATCACTTGTTTTGTGACGACGTTGATGAAGTACTTCATCTCATCCTGTTTTTAGTTGCAGGAGTTAGTATGGATTACGTTTGGCTTGTAGGTTGTTTTGGTTGGTTTCTTACCCGATAGTAGGCCCTTTCGGAATCGAAAGCCTCCTCGGCGGCAGCCCGATCCATGTCTGCCGCGGGTGTAACATAATCATCTTTAAACCCTTCCTTTATCCGCTGTTGTATTCTGATATTTCGATTTCTTTGGACATTTGCGGCATAGGTGTAGCTATATGTAATCGGATGACGGTCCTTGTCGTCCAGGATTCTTTGCAGTTCCATTTTTGCAGATAGGGCAGCGTCCTTTAAGGATCTTTCAACTTTTGATGCCCATAGACGTTTCTTTAGGTCTGGGGCGGTGCAACGGTCGAGAACCATATCGACAAAGACGCTGCATGTAGTAGCGATGGCGTCCAGGTGTAGTAAGGCAATTAACCTCCAAGGTTCCGATTGTTCTCGGAACAGTTGGCCAATGACTTGTGGGTTGAAGCTTCCTGGTAGCTCTCTTCCTCGGGAAAGCTTCATGACTTGGATGGCATGATCGATCGCTTGGTCTCTTGAAACTTTCTTGGGGAGAGAGGGTTCGTGCTGCCGCACGTCGTTGTCGGTGTTTTGATCGACAGTTTGAGCCCAGGCGACGAGTTCCTTTTCGACCCGAGGTTCGACCTCGAATTCTCCGGGGTCGAGTCTTTGTTCTTCTACTATCATTGTTTTCCGGCCGTACCGTTGCATGTTTCTTGAGAATTCTCCGTTGTAGTATTGGACGTTGGCGCGGAGTCTGGCGGTATTGTTCTCCGGTGAGATTTCGGAGTCCTCAATGCTGAAGAAGGAGTTATCGTATCGGCCTTGTATTGCTGCCTCGGTGAGGGCTTGAACCGACATGGCGGTTTTTGTTAAATATGTTATCTGCTCTTGGAAGGTAGCTCTGCTTTCTCCGAGTTTTTCCAAGTCCTCGTAGGTTATGGTGAGGACTTCGCTTAGTTCCTGCTGAAGTCCCGGTATCTCTTTCTTCAAGTGGTCCCTTAGGAGCTTACTGAGTCGAAGTCGAAGTGCCCCGATTCCGAGCATTTCATGAGGAAGTTTTCGATACGGCTCTTTGAAAAAGAATGTCCTTTCCGAAGCATTCCTATGTTCAAAGCTACTAGCCATATCCCCATCCTCTCTGTTCTTAACAATATGCCACCCCAAGTCCAATTTGATATCCTTATTACAAGCAAGATCTAACCATGCTTTCTCATTATCCGATCCTGGACGTAGCATATCGGGTTTTGTAATGATGCCGAGAGTCCTGATACCCTTCGGGTCGACCTTTCGACAGTACTCCAGGATGATTTGGTTTGCATAATCATTTTTGGCCGAGATGACGGCGAGGATTACAGTTCGTTCGTTTTTTATGTATTCGTCCACGAGTTCTCGAATTGTGATGATGTCTTCTTCGGTTTGGGATTTGTTTTTGGCATGGATGAGGCCCGGGAGGTCGACTAGGGTTCTGTAGCCGGGTTAGCGGTTATATTGACGTGAATCTTGGGACCAAACTAAACCAAAAAAAAAAAAAAAAAAAAAGTTTATATGGTCACGAGAGCCGTTACCATGTTTGGGATTGTAGAAAGGGGTGGTTGTTCAGGTAACTTACAACTGTGGTCTATTCGGACCACTGATTTCTATAATCAGGACATCTCTGGAGAAAGCTCGACCTTTTTCGAGTCCCATAAGAATCGTGGCCTGTTCGATGAGACTTGGCAATTGTCGAAAGTCCGAAATGGTCCTGGAAAACCTCCTGAGGGCCGCTTGCTCGCCTTCCGTCCTTTCATGGTGAGGGTTAATGGTGGTAGTAACTTTGAGTGTGTCACTCCGCCTCAGAATAATTTCCGTAGCGAACCGCGTGCATAAGTTTTCTTTTCTGGGGAACGGAATCTCGGTTATCGCTTCCAGTACAGACGATTTCCCCGACGATTGGTCTCCGCAGACCACGAGCTGAGGAAGACTCAATACATTGCTCAAACCGATTCTCTTGAGGTTATCCACTACGTCGAGAATTTTGCGTTGGCCGTCATCTTGGAGGGCCTCTAGAGATGCCGTGTTTAGGTCATCTAGAGGTGGCGCGGGGGCAACAGAAGTCGTCGAGGAATTGCGCATATGGCCGAGTCTCGAATCTTCTTCATTTCCCGCTGGTCCGGCCGCCGTCCCTACTACGGAACTTGCACGCGAGGAACCAGCCGTATAGGTATATCCATTTGGCGTATGTGTAGTAGTAAAAAAGCCCATTGTTGCTCGTTTACGGGCTACGTTTTTGAGGTTCGATAACGAACTGGGGGTTATATTGTGGATTCCCTGTATCGAGGAGGACGGTAGTTGGTACATCTCTCTCGACTCGCGTATATTATACGTATGGTTTATAAAAAGAATGGAGGGGAGGTAATATAGGTTAAAGAAAAGAAAAAGAAGGGGGATAGGTACTTTACTATGCTTCCAGATAGATTGGAGGCGTCTATATAACTAAGAGAAAGAAACTTTTTTTTTCTTCTCTCGAGCTATGGACAGGGCCTCGAAAAGGGAGAACCGTTATTTTTTTATACCGCCTGGCAACGTACCCCAAGTAAACAGCCGTCCGAAGGCGGGTCGTTAAACCGAACGGAGAGGCCTTGTATCCACGTCGACGGGTACCCAATGAGACAGGACCGACCCGCAGGGTATTGATGCTTAACTTGATTTGTCGAGGAGTTGCTTTTTGATGGGCTACGTTTGGGGAGGTGAGTTTTTTTTCCTCTCGCGAGTTCACGTTGGGGACGGTGTGATATTGAGCTGCTTGGACTTGGCTGGTGGAGCTACCCCCTGCGCCGCCGCTATATCAACACGGAATCGCTTGGGAATCTGTGTGGTATCCTGCAGTTAGAATGCCGGGATATGTCTCCTCGGGCTGGGCTGGGCTGGGGGCTGTTCTTTTTCTTTTCTTTTCGTCTCTTAAGTTTCTGTTAGCGGGTCGACCCTTAAAGCTGCGGCCGGGTACCACGAGGAACATCGGACAAACCTTAACTATTCGTCGGTCAGTCAGTCGACGTATAAAACAAAAGCTGATACGTAATGTATTTCGGACGATTCTGGTTAATCCGTATGTATGTCTGTCTGTATATGCATGCACGCATACATTAACGGTAATAGATATTTTGTAAACAAAAGAAGAGGATCGATCAAAAGGAGAAGTGACTCTCGCCCTTACGTTACCTTTGTACCTTTCTATTGAATTTCATAAACAAGATTCAGCTTCTTTGTAATTGTTTACGCCTAACTTGGGTATGCGGGGCGTGTTTACCTTCCTGGAAACCCCACAAGATCACCTGGTAACGAGTCTAAGCTTGTTACGTTTTCTCAATCCATTGGAGGATTGACGGGCTCTTGATACGGCTTGGTGTTTGGTGGCATGATCGTATGGGGCTGATTGGTTAGGACGATGTGATAATGAGGTAAGAGAGTGCCATTCCTTTCTTGCCCAAGCCAACCATCAAATGATCCACCAGATGTGCGTGAGTGAGGGTGAAGAGGTCTCGAACCCAACTGGTCCTCAGGGGAAGTTGAACGCGGGACAGCCCGGTTGTGCGTGGTGCATGAGGAATTTATCATCACAAGCCCCCCTTGTCGTGTCTTGTTCTAGTCCTGTCTTGTCGTGTCCTGTCTTGTCCTGTCTTGTCAAATCACTATCACTATCACACAACGCACTTTTTGCAACAAAGTCTTGTTATATGTTGCAATTGACAGCCTGGTGTGAAAGGGGTCAGTGCGGTTATATGTCAGAATATATATAAACGTGCAGGTATAGCCAATTACTGTGATCTTAAAATATAAACTGACAGTTCGGCGCTTCGGACGACCTTATCAGACCGTTTTATGATCAATTCAACGTTGCAGTTTCTATATCATATTTGACAATACATATATATGTACTACTCTCCAACGCAGTGGACTCGACATTTTGGTGGTAACAAGCATATAACACCATTCCAATGCAATGTAGCCAAAATAACCTATTAACATTCCAGACTCAGCGAAACAAAATATCTATCCGTCCTATTTCCCCGAAACCGGCTAAACAAATCACGAGATGGATTTGAGGCTCAAGCTTATCTTTAGAAATTTGATATCTCAGAATATCCGGAGCTCTTTCCTTCCGATCTAAACTGTGGGATTTTCAATAAAATCCCGCCAAGACCAATTCTCGGCAAATCGGCCTTTGGTGCCAGGAATTCGATGTATTTTGATTTGAAACTTCAAAAATGAATTCGATTTATGCTTGATGGCAAGCTTTGAACATTGAAGCCATGATGAACGAGTGTCTTCAAACTTGAGGTGGGCTCAGGTAACCTTTGCCCTCTTTTTTCCTCGACGAAAATCGACCGATGCGTTGACGTATCGGTTACAACCCGCGATTCGAGAAACTTCTCACTTAATGTCCGTTAAGCGGTATTAAGGATAGTGGCTTCAGCTCAGGAATCTGCGAGATAGGAGTGCCTCCATTACGCCCCTTATGCACCTCTAGTCATGGTAGAGGCTCTATCTATTTAAGCTTTCTCTTCGCCGTTGGCGCCCAGATCGCACAATCGGGTTCCAAACAGTTTTCTTGTCCTTCTCTTGGTAATTTTTTACGTTACACTATTCTATTCTATTAGTTAGCTTTGTAGAAGCAACTATCTTATTATTTTTCCAGAAACAAAAAGGGAAGGGGTCCTACGTTACCCTAAAATCTTGAATATGAAAGCCACGTGTGTCATTCCAATTCTTTCGGCGCTATTTGCAACTGCTGTAAGTTTTAAATTTTCCCAGATTCTCAAATGTGATATAACACAAGATTGCCGAGTGATCTTCTGCAAGAATCCGAAGTGCGTGCGTGGACATACCGTGTTCAAGTCTTGCTAATATTAGACCTCTTCACACAGTTAGCGGCCACCTGTGAGGCCTCCAGTGCCATCGACGTTACACCGTACCTCCAGGATCTTGGTAAAAACTCAGGCAGCGGCGGTGGAAGCGTCATCGATCCCGACTATATCTATCGTATTATCGATAATGCCGTGAAACGACGAGTCAAGCGTGCAACTTTGGATTGCAAGTCGAATGAGACTTGTGTAGCTCTTCAAGGGGTCCCTCTTTGCTTTGATGCCATGTAAGCTTGTGTTCTTTTCCCAAGGATATGGCCCTTGCTGTCACACAATTTGGTGCGACTCGAGGGCTTATTTATTCTAGTTTTCGAAAAGAAAGAAAGATTATAGGATGGTTCGAGGCTAATTTCCGTCAACTATATTTGGTAGAGCATATACTTGGAGAGATACTGCCGGTGACAACGGAAACCTTATGGACGGAAGTTATACTCTCTCAGACGGGAGGAAGGGAAACCTCTACACAGGCCCTTACCCACTTCCCGACGGCTCAACTTTGACCGTCTCTCCCCCCGCAGCAACGCCAACCCAGAACTCGAATTCTAATGGTTCCAGCTCTGCCAAGACGGAAACGCCTAACACTACCACCCCTCCAAATATGGGAAGCTCAACCACTACTGGTGCACCTTCGGCCTCCCAGACTCCAAATGGTGGTGTGAAAGTAGGAGGAAGCATGGGTTTGGCTGTTGCGGTGATTGGAGGAGCCCTTGCTGCTGCTTTGTAAACAGTCGGATTAGGATGGGATTTGAAAGGGTTTGTAGATTACATTATATTAGAGGCTGGGAATATCATATAATATTGAAAAACAGGATTAATCGATTAATCGATTGCTCGATCCCCTCGCCCCTCTAATTTTCTTAAGCAAGAGTGGAAATATTCCAACCAGTTCTAGTCTTTTGCCATGCTCCTGCAGATTTGCAGATCGGAATTAATTAGAACATTTGAACGTTAAGTAAACAACTTGTTTGCTATTATATTAATTTGATATCAGTTTGAACGTTAGCTCATGGGTTCAAGGCTGAAATATTGGTACTCGTCCCAGCAACTGCGATATGCATGCAACTAACCTAAGCAAACATCATCTTCCACCATGTCATGTAACCAATGTAGTGCACTGTGAAGCCTAGAGCCCAAGGCTTAAGAAATGAGACAGATGCGTTGCATGGGGAAGCATACTCAACCGACCCGAAGATCATTACCTATTTTGGCGCTTACCCAAGTGAAAACTCCAGCATAAAGTTGTGACTACCGCGAATGGTTACACACGTTCACAGAGCAATCAACGGCCGGCCTCAACCAAGCGAAATTTCGAAATTCTAAGCCTCTTTGCATGTTTGATTCGATTCCTTGGACCCCCTGTTTCCCCTTCCGCCTCGAGCGCCTGGATTCGATGCTAGTTTTGCTTACTATCTTTTAGCAGAGTCAAGAATCAAAGAAAGGCAGCAACGGTCCGTTTAATTGCGAATTACACGGCCGGCACGCTGGAGTTGGCCCTGAGACTCTATGCTCGAATAAAGTTTTAGGTCCCGCAGACTAGAGATCTCGAGATCTGAGTAGGACTAGGCAACTAGTTGGGTATAGGCTGGTAATCAAGTCGATGAGCGACTAGTAGACTGTGCGGCTTCTGAGCCAGTCAAACTTGGGGACAATCGATCGGGAACCGCCCCTCTAAAATGATTAATTGTATAGTTCAATATCCCACTCGTGGAAGGCTGGCGGAAGGTACGGGTATCTCATAAGGGCCTGGCTTGCTACGGAACATTAACGGCCTTAACATTAGAAGTCACGGGTGGCCTCCCACAACGGCATGATACTTCGCGGGTAAACGAGGACAATACTTCCTTCCGTTGTGAAGTCTGAGCAAGAGGCCGGTCCGGAATGTATATTTTAAATACTTCATATGATCATGTCCTTGCAAAATTCTCCGTGATACAGCCTAGGGAGGGGAAAGGAACGGTAAACCAATACTGTCTCTAATTCTCCTGGTACACTGGTATCCTTCTTTCTCCTCTTTTCCTCCTTTCCTCATCTCGTCTTCTGTTCTTTTCCTACGTCTCATCCTCACAAGACGAGGCTAATTCGACGAGAGAATCGTCCCAGTACTTGCCTTGACGTGGCCCGATCTATCGGCAGGTATCATGGACCAGATTCCAGCCGGTGTCGGATCCGCTTTGCTCAATCTTGGGATACTGATTGGGCTAGCGATCACTCAGATTTCTAGTCTCAAGAAAAAGGTTCAGTATGCCCATCGTTTACTCGAAGACCTGAACCGAGACTTCAAAGATACCGAACGGCAAATAAATTCCCTTTGCGAATTCCTTGAGCTAGCAGAGTTCTCACCAGAGCGCCATCATCAATGCAAAAATCATCTGCACGACTTGCTCCTCAAGGCCAACAAGCTCATAAACCTAATCGACTGTATCGAAATGAAGTTAACACAAAGAAGCTTCTTTCGTAGGTCGAAGCATCGACTATCTCTTGTAGATAGCGATCTCGGCGAAGTTCGACGAAATATCGATAAGATAAACGGAACTATCACCGCCATCCGACAAGAAATGATACTCGCAATTATCATCAGTAACCGAGACGAGAATCGAATGCAAACCCGAGAGGTTAGAGAAGACATCCAAAGGGTTAACCGCAACATAACTGGGACCGACGCCAAACAAATCCGAAAGATTTATAGAGTTGTGGCCGTGGAGTTGATGTATCAATCAAACTTTGTCGCAGCTGGTCCAGCGACGGGTCTGCGTTCAGGGAACCCACAAACAAAGGCTTTAGAAAACTCGAACCCTCCAGTCGCACCAATTGGGATTACCGAAGCTTTACCATCCCGAGGTATCTCTGGCGTGCAAATAGACTTCGATATTCCAGCATCTACTGATCTGACAGATGTCACAGAAGCATTTAGTAGGATTCTAGGCAGATCGGCCTTGGATAGATCTAGATCTACCTATAGTCAATTTTCAGGGATTGTAGAGCTCCCAGCTTAGATGATACGCAGCCTTGGACTAGGTGATGTGTGTAGAGGGGCCTCATAAATGTGGGGAAAGATGGTCTGGGGTTCATGTATCTGATGATAGAATTAGTGTATGGTTATACTTTTGTTTGGGGTTTATATCACCACTTGCACCCTTTTTGATTTTCTTTCATGTTTTTCAAAATTGTACGGCCACATGTTGTAGTCTATAGACCTATTGAAATGAAAGCTTCAACGTCTTCCCTTATTGATCCGGATTTATCCAATTTATGGGGGTATGAAATACTATTTAGTTCATGAATCACGAATGAGTATAGTATTCCAACAGCGATCAACCTTAGGCGTCTGCTAAATGTTATGTTAATTCAGGATCTTTTTTGTAGACAGCAGATTTATAATAATTGGAAGGTGGATTTATCTTGTGAACCAAGTGCGTGCTGCCGTATTCTAAGATCACTCAACTCGGACTGAATTCAAAAGGCGTTAACTTAGATTTCTTAAATCATTAGGGCATTCATAAGCACTTATTATCGAGAAGCAGCGGCCTGCATGAAGTCTCAACATTAGTATCAGTCCCCAAAAATCTCCATGCCTGGAACGGTGGTCAACCACAGGGTTGATGCAGTAATACTCACCGGGTTCTATTTAGTCTTTGAAGTAATATAACCAACGACAACCTTCATCGAAATCATCCATACAGGCGACGACTCTAACTCCAGCAGCATTCATTCCTAGTTGTAATCCGCCAGTGCATAAGGGGCATAGACTGTATCTGGAGGCATTTCCAGGGTCATCTTTCAAGCTACCTGGAACTTTAATTTCGGAATACATTCTTTCGTTAGGATGGTGTTTAGTGGTTTTCGATCGATCAATTTGGGGGCCGAAAATTTGGGGTTTCTCTTCTGTCCACAGTGTGTTCTAGAAATTGAGATAATGGTGCCTAGAGGATAAAACAACATGTATAGGTTTAAATGCGGAATTGAGAATTTATTAGAGTTTCTGGCACTAAAACCCTGTAATTTTGCATCCATAGCTCAAGTTTACAAGAATAATTCCTTGAGCGGGGCGCAGGGAAATGGTTATATGTTTGGATCGTGGGTTGGAATTTCCGATACAAAAAACATCTTCGTATACGTAGGCAACATAGTCTTGAGAGTGGATGATTTTCTTTCTACCGAAGGGAAGAAAAGAAGATTTCGGAAAGCTATAGCGTTTGGACATATGCATGTCGATTTGCAGTAAATGTCACGCAGTAAATACAAGCGTCTTTCTAATAAAATATTCCTCCTTATTTTTCGAGATCGGAACTCGAACCACACCTGGTGATACTAGTGCTCTGATAGTTCCCCCCATCTCATTGACAACCTCCACAGTTTCGCTGTTAGCCCCAGGCTCACCGAGTAAACTAACTACCAGCGAATTATCTCTGATACCCCCATCGATATCTTTATTTCTAAATTCAAACCTAAAATCATCCTTTTGTGAGCCTAGCTGGATTCCAATGTTGACAACAGATTCCGCAATATTTTCCAAGCTCTCTTTATGGAGTTCGTCATATCTATTTTCATTCGACACATGTAGTCTTGTTTCTTTTTCTAGAATGTTAAATATAATTTCCACTCTTTTCATTTTGTCTTGTTCCGAACTACGCAAACTGCTACATATTTTCCGACGGACCGAATTGCGGATCGTTCCGTCTTTTACGATATAAACGTTAGTTTCTTTTTTTTTTTTTTTGGACTCGCGAGGTTGAACTAGCTTACCCCGAACAATCGAAACCTGTTGCTCATTTGTAAGGATCTTCCAATCGGCGATACATGAGTACACATGATAAGCCAATATTGCCCGAAACATGTGGACTCTTGCCCCGAAGTTCACTAGAAGTGGCCTTCCTTGGAATAGGATCTTGTTCCATGATTGTCTACTCGATTCTGAGTTTATATATGCTTGGTAATCTCTAGAGCTGATTTCGCCGCTGTGCCAATAGTTGACTACATGGTCGGTGATTTTTCCGTCTAATTCTTGGAATTGTTTGACAAGGGCATGATCGTCTAGGAGGGGCTCAAGGCCGGGGGTATGGCTACGAGAGGTGGACGCGGCCGAAGCTGTAAATATTAAGTTAGCCAATACGGACTTAATCGGGCCTGTAGACTTTCGATATGCCTGAGAAGTTTCTTTCTTAAGAGGATGATATCGGAACTTACTTTGATTATTGTCTGTGGAAAATTGGAGTAAGGGAGGGATATATCTTCTACTGAAGTCCCCAACTTCGAAGCCTGACGATATACGATTGCGATTTTTTGAATTCTTTTTTCGGGTGCGAAAGAAAAGATAGATGCCCAAAAATGTTAAAAACACGATACCAGATACGGTTACAATGGCTGCGACCGATCCATTTCCATGTGGAGGGTTTTGATTTTTGTTATCTGGTCCTTGGGTTTGGGTTTGGCTTGGGCTTGGGCTCGCGTTTGAGGCCCCCACCTGGTCGGTTTGCTTTTATCGGTAATATGTTAGCGATTATACTATTAATGATCTTGGGAAAGCATTAGTTTAGGAAGGGTGTCAAACCCGGCAAGATCCCAGTAATGATGTATCTGTGCAGTTCGACGATGTAGGGCTCTCTATTTCAGACTCGGCCGAACTTGGGAGAGGGCTCATGGTTTGATAATTTGAGCTATATGAAATATCTAGTGGTTCTGTCCTGACCGACGTGGAAGTGCTTCTGGTTAATGTATTGGGAGTTATCGAGTCGGAACTGCTGGTAGTAAGAGTAGTTTTATGTTTGTTGGGTGTGGTGCTAGCAATAGTTGAGGTTCGCCTAGGAGATGTAGATAATGTGGAATATATAGATGTAGATGTAGATGTAGATGTAGATGTAGATGTAGATAATGTGGAATATATAGATGTAGATGTAGATGTAGATGTAGATGTAGATGTATGTATTGATGAGACTAAAGTTGAGATTAATTCCTCAGAGCCGGCGTTTAGGGTAGAATTTAGATCATTGTTTGGTTTTGCTATGAGTGGACCTTTTGAATTACTGGAATTGCAGATATCGATGTAGCATATGAGTATCTCTAAAAGTACTTGAAGCCAGGACAATGGATTAGGATCCGCCTTCGCTAGTACCTTTTTGGACCCTTTGTTGCATATGCTGTAGATACGTTCTGTTTGGCAAAAGTGTACGGTGTTATAATTAGCCTTCATTGAATTTCCTGTCAACTCGAACAGGCTTGTCTCTGCGAGACTTATGTTCCCTTGTCTGTGGAACCCTAAATTGAAACTTCAGAGTCCCGCTGTAGCCTTTGGTTGAATTTTTAATGTTTGGACTAGATGTATCTGAGGCGGAAATATCTTGCTCTAGTAGCCGACTGAGTAGCACTGGCGTTCAGCTCCAGAGCCCAACCTTTATTTTGGGCTGAAGGGCGAGAGATGAGCCTATAGGTGAAAATACTTGTAGTGCACGGATGGTATATTTCATGTGCTTTGAACTTCCTCGAGACTTCGCAGGCATATCGTGATCGGATTCATGAAAATATCCCTTTCATGAATTCAATGTTGTTTAACCAACATTGCATATTGGAAAAGGCAGCAGGCGAAAGAAGAGAGATACTCCAAGCTCAAGTTGAGAAGTTGCATACAAACATATATTTATTTACAGCTAGCTATTTGGGCTTGCTATAGATCGATTAATCAAGATATAGGTAACGTTTATTTCCACAGATACACCGATAGCCTGAGACCAGAGAAGTAACCTGCATATGCATGAATAGTATTACGTTTTATGATTGCTGGCACTTGGATTCATAACATCCAGTTGACGGCCGAGTCCACAAGGCTGTTGGAAACTCCAATGCTAAATTTAACTTATCGCCGTTAGACATTATATATATATATATATCAGCACCGGCATTCCGGGAAGCCTTGGAGCTCGTCAATTCATTTCATAGACTAGGGAGGGAAACAAAAAAAAAGCACAGTTGCCAGATCCTATCGCAATATCGAAATCTTGAAAGATGCCCTAGTTTGCACAAATTCCTTTTTATATCGAGTAAAGATTGTTGCATAATTTCAACCTTTTGGGATTATTTGTGTTAACATGCTACACGAAGTTAGTGTGGCACAGAATCGGATCGGCAAATGGTTGGTTGAGAGGCTCTCTGGGCTTCTCGCATACCTCGTAGAAACATGATTGCTCAATAATCCGATGTTTGTCTTTCGCATTCCGTCCTACAGGCCGCCTAGATTATCCAAAACGTATAGTTTTGTGGTATCCGAAGTTTTACGAAATTCTCAAAATTGGAAACAGATCCTAAGGCCTCCCCCGTCGACTCTTCATGCATGCTTTAATCAACAATGCAAAACCCTGAAATATATGTGCAGCGAACGAGACTGAGGTGCAGCCTGTAATCTTAGGCCATGAGGACTGATCAAAGCCAGCAACTAGCAGCGGATGGATCATTATCTTCCTCGTGGTCTTGAGAGCTTCTCTATTTTGAATATGCATGTGGCTTATTTCAAATCGCGAGCAGTGAAACATGATTTTACTCTCAGTGTATGACCCAAACACTAGCACTTCCTATTAGTTTGATATGGAAGTTCTTGATTTTCTGGTAAGTATATCCAACAGTTAACCTAGTACAGAATGTTCTATCGGTATGGAAAAAAAAATATAAAACGTATTGATATTGACCCCAGTGGAGGCCGCTACTGATAATCAAAAATCCTCTTGGGCCCTGGAAAGCCTGAAATAGAAATACTCATAAAATATTCGGGATTCGGGGACCGCGGCTGTCGTAGCATGTAGGATTTATAAAATCCGTCTAACCGCTAACTCAATATCTAGACAGTCTAGAGTAGCCCTATAAGCCCAAAAGCCTTCAATAAAATGCAAAGGCCGGTTTTAGCGGTGGCCGTCGACTTCGGGACGACATTCTCAGGTGTGTTATTATAATCAATAACTAATTGCGGTGGAGGGTGGAGCTATATCCGGTTTCCAAAGCGTTTCTATATAAAAACGTGGTCATTGCAGCGCTAATGATTAATCCTTGATGACCCAGGTGTTTCTTATATGCCCGTTGGGCCGAATGAGCAATTCACTCAGCTCGACAACTGGCCTGGCGCAACAGGAAAACTATACAAAGTTCCGACAACGATCAGCTATAGGCATGATGGGCTCAACAAAGTATGGGTTCCTGATGCATTTGGCTTCGCAGCAGAGTTAGCGCCTCCTATTCATAGGTGTTCAATGTTCAAGATGTTCCTTGACGTGACCGACGACGTAAAACGGCAGTCTTTCGTCCCGAGCAGCGAATCAGTACGGAGGCCAATATGGGAAACCCTAGATAAAACAGTTGACGATGTTATTCGAGACTTCTTACAGCTCTTGTATCATCATATGAAACTTACTTTCATGGACGAAGGTCTGAGGTCTGAAGATATGGAGTACAATGTCTTGTTTACGGTTCCAGCACAGTTTGAGATCCTGGAAGTTGAAAAGTTTCGTTCTTTGGTAAAAGCTACCGGTTTTGGCGCGCATACTATCTCTGTTTCTTTACGGGAACCGGAGGCCGCAATTCTGTATACACTCAACCATGGAGTCAAGAGTCTGATGCCAGTTGGGCAATGCATTGTTCTTTGTGATGCGGGTGGCGGCACGGTGGTGAGTAAATAATCATAGGCAATACCCATTTTTTGGAGCTATCTGACTGGATACATATAGGATCTTGCGTCATACAAAGTCACCGCTCACAACCCAACAACGAAAGTCGAACAAATTAACATTGTGACTGGCCGGCCTTGCGGCTCAATGAACATAGACCTAGCTTTTAAACGGTTCTTATTCGAAGAATGCCTTGATCAGAAATGGCGTTGCTACTTCCAAAGTTCGGACGGAATGATGCACTTGCAACGAATGTGCAAAGCATTCTCGGATAGAAAAGAAGCATTCGATAATGGCCCTTCTACACCCAATATAACGATTCAAGTTTCGCCGCCTAGTCTATCGGGGACGAATATATCTGCGGGCTACCTCAGAATATCTCGGTATGCTCTAACATCCCGACTATTTATAGCGTCGTCGTTAAACTAATCTGAAAATAATACAAACTAGATTACAGATGTGTAGCCTATTCAAAGAATCTATCTCGGGCACCATGGAATGTCTCAAAGAACATGTGGATAAATGTTTACGGGATGGATTATCCATCAAAGTGAGGACCGAGATATACTTCCTACGAAATTGATCGATTGCGGCTAAATTGACGCTACGATATATAGTCGATATTTTTGGTGGGCGGCTTAGGGTCTTCCAAATACCTACATCAGAGAGTAAAACAATACTGCTTGGGTCTTCCAGGGGAGACAGAAGTTATAAAGCCAAAGGATGCGTATGTTACCCAGTCGAATTAGCTGAAAACATCAGAAAATTGTTTCTAGTTGGTGCTAATTGGCTAAATCGCTTTTATTCATTATGAACAGAGAGTTTGCGGTTATCCGAGGTGCCATTGAGTCCCACCAAAAAAGGTTATTCGGTGCGGACGATCCAATATCCCTTCGAATCTGTCCTATGAGTTACGGTATTCGTGTCAGCGAGCCCTGGGATCCAATTAAACACGACCGTGCGATTGACGAGGAAATTTTGAACCCTCGGACGAAGATGATGATGGCAAAAAACCAAATCAAATGGTTAATCAAAAAGGTATTTACCGAGACAAATATATTTCCTCACAACTTTCTATATTGTAATAGAGCTAGCTCACAGTTTCCCATTAACACAGGGAGATACTATTCAAGGGAAGAGGGTTGCTGAGATCAGAGAGCTATTTCAGCGAAATTTTGATAAGTCACCTGGAATCTGGCAAGACAATATAGTTATGTGTTCACTGGATATACCACCTTCTCGGATAAATAGACGTAAGTCTCATACTTTGATTTTTCGGTATATTCTTCATGATAAGCTAAAGATAAACTGTGTCAATTGATACTACTATAGATGTGAAACCCGCTTGTCTTCTAACATCCAACATGAAGGGTATTCCGATTGATATGTTTGAGAAGTATAAGATGGAAGAGAAGACAGGATTCTGGGGCCGGAGGAGAGTATTTTACAGCTGTAATTTCGACATCGTTATGAAGATTGGACTGACGGACATCGAGTTCCAACTTTACTTTAAGCAGAAACTCCGGAGCGAGTTATTGAAGACTTCATGGGGGGAGTTGATTTTGTAGATTTAATCGATTTGGAAAGTGGCTACCTATAATATATGTATTTACATCCTAAGATCTGACATTGGAGCTCACCTTTGCATTATATTTCTCAGTATCGTAGTTGATCTCCTCATGTTATAACGTTATCTTTATTGGTATCAACTTTCTGGATTTTAATTGGACTTGTAGTATTTATAGTCCAAATCGTTGCTGTCTTTAATCAAGAACTGTTCGCTCGATGTGTTGTTTTGCAGGCATCTCTATATTTGGCTGATAACGTGGGAGGCTCTGCAAGGCAGCACAGTAACATAGCCGGCAGCCTCGTCGCTACATCCATGAAGGATCAGATAGCTGGTCCAAACTCCCAGACCAATATGTGAACGAACTCCCACGGCGGATTCTCTTGATACTTGATCTTAACCTTCAAATCTCTTGAGCTCTCCCGGCACCATCGCGGCGCTCGATTCGACAAACCATGCATTTACCGACACCGCTTCTTCTCCTCATAGTCGCGGCGCTCGGGGTCAGGGCGCAGGTCACAACGTCGTTGTCTCAAACTACAAGCGGCTCGCTTTCTGGCGGTCCTACGCCTACGACCACTGGCGCAAATAGGATTACATACGGGCATCTCCCTTCATGCGCATCTGAATGTGTCGCCTCGGCAGTTCAATCGGTCCCTTGTGTGCCGTTCGTCGCGTCATGTTTATGCGCGCTTCCAACAGGTAGAATTTCATATCGGTTACCAGTTGAATGCGTTAGGGAGAATTGCGGACAAAATGATATTGATGCAGAAGAAAAGTGGCGGGAAACTGTTTGTTTCGGGGTAACCTCGACGAGCAGCCTTGGTTTAGCGAGCTTGGTAACCTCCACTGCGTCAGTACCAGCAGCGGGAGCTACAGCGACAGAACTTTGTGAAAGTGGCTGGAAAGCTTGCCCGAAGGCTTTAAATGGCGGTTGCTGTCCAAAGTGAGTATATCTACCTTATTTATAAGAAATTCATTGGGCATATGAAAATTTATTGACCGTTTCGAACACAGCGACAACATTTGCAACCTTCTTGATTGCCAGCCATCACCAGTGGCACCGTTGGCTAATGTCACGAAAATCAGTTCACCGACTGAAGTTCCAGTGGTTGATATCACTACCGTTTTCCCACCTTGTTCGCACCAATGTATTGCCAAATATCTCCCCACCACACCATGCGGCCTCTCACCTCTAAACTCAACCTGCTTTTGTGAACTCCATGATATTTTCCCATGCATTTCCACTTGCGGGGACGAAGAGATTCAAAAGTTTGTCAACACACATCTAGAGATATGTACACCGTTATGGTATTTCAAGCCCTATGATCCGAACTTCGAAAGATGGTGCGATTTAGTAGATGGCTCTGGGAAACGAGGAAGACCCGCTGGATATGATGAGAGAATGGGCAATCTAGAGTATAAATGCCCAAACTGGTGGGAACAAAGGAGCGCTGGGAAAAGGTTCGGTATTGTACTCGGAATTTTCATACTGAGTTTGGTGTTTGTGTACGGATGTGGTGGATACTGGAACTATGTTGGAAGGAAAGTAACTAGGATCGATAAGAAGAAGGAAGCAGAGAGACGAAAGATTATGGGGCTTTAAATTAGGAGTAATATTCTGTTTTAATCTTTTTTGGGAGGGTTCTCGTATTACTCAAGGAGCTAAATATGTGATTTTTAGATTCATTATCTCATCGGTGATCGCATATGGGAATGCATGTAAATCATGGCTTTCAAGAGTTTATCACATGATTTAATATTATCAGATCTATAATTTGGACGGTATATCGAGATCTAGGGGATGCTAATGCCCTTAATGGTATCGATGAAAGTTCACAAGTGTACATGTAATTAAGCCCTCTAGGATTACAATCGATTAGACCTAAGATATATTGATATTGAGCGCCGGGATATTGATATCCGGCCATAGTGTACTCCAAATCACATCACACCTTCTGTTAATTCTCAAAATATTCCCGCAGAAGCTGGTTTTCTAATACCAAATCTTACTCTCAAACTGATAGAAGAAAATTCAAATAATCCTTTTGATAAAGGGTTTTCGCGGCCAAAAAGCTATTGATACATGCAATATATTGATTTGCTGGGCTACAGTAATCGACTTCGAACTACATGCATGCGTTGCCAAAGCAAAATACCACAATATGGGGCTGCATGATCGGAGACTTCCGACAGCAGCTCGCCTGTGCGGCAAACCTCACCAGGAAGCTGGCGATGCCCAATCAAAACTCTCCGAGACACTCCCTTGTCCACAACTCCTCTACCAAACCAGGGATAGCATTGGAGAAATCGAGCTTCCTTTATAGCGCGCTTTTTATATGCATCATCTTTCTCAAAGGTTGCTAAGCAGTTCGTACTTTATTTTCAACTTCTTCGGCAGTCCGGCCATCTCTCGAATCCAGAATGCTCCAGGCGGTGCTTCTTGGGAAATACTATCGCCTCGACTTAGCTGGCGGGTGAAATTGACACGGAAACTCCCACGTGCTCAGGCACTACAATTTACATACACCATATTATGACGGAGTATACAGTATTGAAAGCTGGCTTGAAGAAGCAGCTGGAGGAGATTGAAAGATTGTACCCAGGTGCATCATACAATGTGCAAGTTGAACAATCGAGACAAAGGGAATATCCACAGTTAAACGGTATACAAGACCCGATAGCTCCTCATTTATTAGGGAGTATAGTAGTAACATAAAATTTTAGGCATTACATACTTCGACCATGCTGCGACAACGTTGTATTCCTCCTCTCTTATCGATGCTGTATCTTCGGATCTAAAGCAGAACCTCTTCGGAAACCCACATTCGCTATCCCCCTCCTCGCTTGAAACCACGAGAAGAATACAAGATACCCGAGTTAGGGTGTTACAGTTGTTCAATGCGGACCCGGAACATTTCGACGTTGTATTTTGTGGGAACACAACAGCTGCGATCAAACTTGTGGCTGATGCATTCGTGGCTCAGGATTCCGATGTTGGATCTGGATTTCAATACAGGCTTCATGAAGATTCGCATACGAGTCTGGTTGGGATTCGTCAGGTGGCTGGCAGCTCTCAAGCCTTGAGCTCGAACCAAATGAGTAAATTTGTCAATTCGAAAGGGGGAGATGGGTTCGGTCTTATGGCCTATCCAGCGCAGTCAAACATGACGGGTCAAAGGTATCCACTATCTTGGGCTAGCACATTGCGGCAGAATAGACCGGGATGGTATACTTTGCTTGACGCTGCTGGATTGGTTACTACCTCGCCAATCGATCTGAGCGACGTTTCGGCCGCTCCGGATTTTGTGGCTCTTTCCTTTTATAAAATGTTTGGATATCCTGATCTTGGTGGATTAATAGTTCGCAAAGCGAGCTCGTCTGTTCTGAAGAATAGGAAGTACTTTGGAGGCGGGACTGTAAGCTTTGTCATGAATCCTTTCGAACACCCGTCAAAAAATTCATCCCATGCAATTAGGAAGTCGGGGGATCCTCATGAGTATTTAGAAGACGGAACCGTTCCGTTCCATTCGATAATTGCCCTTGATCACGCCATCTCAGATCACAGACGTCTGTATAGCGATTTTAAGAGAATTTCACAACATACTCAAGCCCTTGGTACACTCGTCTACGAATCGCTCAAGGCTCGGCAACATGTAAATGGGACATATATAGCCGATATCTACACGGACCGACATCCTAGTAATCCGAGTATTCAAGGTGCTACATTTGCGCTCAATCTCCGAAAGTCAGATGGTTCTTTTGTTGGATTCAATGATGTTCTCAAACTCGCATCAGTTCGGGATATCCACCTTCGAACCGGCGGCCTATGCAACCCGGGAGGTGTTATGAAATGGATGAACTTGTCGGAGCAGGAAATGCGAAAGAATTTTGCGGACGGAAAGAGATGTGGTGATGAGTGGGACCTTATGAATGGCAAGCCGACTGGTGCGGTTCGTATTAGCTTGGGCGCTATGAGCACTCTTGACGATGTAGCAAGATTCCTATCTTTCATTGACGAATTTTACGTTGAGAAGACAGCCTCGTGCATTGCTACAGAACTGTTTCCTCCCTCGTCTAGTGCCACAAAAATCAGCAAGATATCTATATATCCCATCAAATCATGCGCGGCATTTGACATACCACCTTCGAAGCCTTGGAGGATTTTGACTCAAGGTCTTGAATACGACCGAGAGTTCTGCCTGATCCACCAGGGAACCGGCAAAGTTATGGATATGAAAATGTATCCGAAGATGGCACTTATCAGACCATTTGTCGATTTGGAGACACGAGAATTATCTATTTCTTGTAAACAAGCTTCAACAACTCTACGAATACCCCTCGATGACAGTCTTCCAACCCACTCACACCCCATAACGAAAAAATGCAACAGCAAGGTATGCGGTGACACCGTTGTTGTCCAAGCATATTCTGAAAAGCGGATCTCGGAATGGCTCTCGGACGTCCTTGGTGTCCCATGTACACTAGCTCGGTATCCTTCTGCGCCCGACGGCGGTGGAAGATATATGAAAAACCACCTCCGTCAAGCCAACGGCGAAATACCAATAGCTCTTAGAAACGAAAGTCCGATCTTGGTGGTTAACAGGAAAAGCATCGATCCGATTAACAATGTGATTTCTAAAACGGGTGGGAAACTCTCTGACATATCAGTCTTCCGCTCCAACATCATTGTTGATGGGCCCCAACCGTTCGACGAAGATAGATGGCTTGAACTTAAATTTCGAAATTCAAGCTCGACTATTCAACTCCTAGGCCCTTGTCGAAGGTGTCATATGATATGCATCGACCAAACCACTTCAGAGAGGTCACCTGAGCCTTTCGTAACGCTTTCGAAGCTCAGAACTGTCAATGGAAAGGTCTATTTCGGACAGCATGCTACTTTTATTTCCGATTCCGATAACCAGATAGAATTGATACAAGTTGGAGACGAACTCGATATCAGCTATATTGATTTAGATAGCTCGGACACCGACTCCGGCGAGTCTTGCAGCTCTGGTAATACTGCAATAACAGCGGATACTGCCGTTGATACTACGGAGCCGGCCGCCGAACAGGAACGAGCCCAGACGAGTTGTATTCTCCAATAGTATCACCCATTACCGAAATCTTTGCTTTATGGAATTAATGCTTCAGTACTCTTATCACATACCATATGCATCGCTGTCAGCATGGCGTTTCACGGTGTTCTTTCTTTATTTATCTCCTATCATGCAGCATTATCTTAGACTATCGTCCATTCGCGAGTAATCTGTAGTTTAGCATCTAATTCTATCTAACTTATACTTAATCCGAAAGTTCCTTCATAACAATAGCAGAAACAGCTTCTACACTCCTTGAAAAGCGGTCCGCGATTTCCCGTACCTCTTTTTCTTTGATAATGTACATTGGCAGGAGCAATATAGTATCCCCGGACACTTTGCCATCCGTGTGTACTGTCCCCATTCCCAACAGCATGCTTAATCTCTCTTCCTCCCAAGAGTGTTGCAAAAGGCGTCCGGCGAACCTCGCATTTGGCGGTAAAGGCTCCTTCGTCGCTCTATCCTTCACAAACTCCACACCTATCTGTAGACCCCGCCCTCGGATCTCGCCAATATATGGAGCATCCTTTAAGTGTTCCCTGAGAAGACTGAACAACAATTCTCCCATCTGTCTAACGTTCTCAAGCAAATTATCTCTCTTAATAATCCTTTGTACAGCTAGAGATGCCGTACAAGCGAGCGTATGTGATTGATACGTAAATCCACCATTATACCCACCGCTCTCATTTAACACTCTTGCAACTTCTTCCGTCATTAGAACTGCGGAAATAGGACCATATCCACCACCGAGCGCCTTTGCACAAGTCATCAGGTCTGGTGCCGCATCTTCAACGCTACCATCTTCCATCCAAGAAAACAGGTATCCCGTCCTTCCCATTCCACATAAAATCTCATCCATAACCAACAAAGCACCATACTTTTTACAAAGTTTCTTCACACCAGGAATATACCCCTTCAAAGATGGCGTGCAAGCTTGTGAGGTTCCAGAAACCGGTTCCATCCAAAATGCGGCGACATTTCCATCATGTTTCTGAAATTCGTCATCTAGTTCTTGAAGCAGACGCTGGCAGAGCTGCTCTTCGGTTTCCCCATCCCGCAACTGGCGATATGGATAACATGTCGAAACAAAAGATATTGGAGCTGCCGATAAATATGGTGTAAAAATACCCTTTCTCAATGGATGTCCAGAGACCGCCAAAGCACCAAGGGTGTTTCCATGATATGATGGGAAACGAGAAATTAGATGTTCTCGAGTTGCGGTTGGAGGATTTGACCCCAAACTCCTGGCTAGAGAATACTGGCGAACTATTTTGATTGCAGTCTCTGTAGCCTCAGAGCCACCGCTGTTGATTAGTACCTTTGAGAAGGCACCTTGTGATTCTTGGATCAAGAACGTAGCAAGGTCTTCCGCTGGCTGCGTTGTGTTGTGGCCGGAGTAAACGTAGCTGATCTGGCAGACGGCATAGATAAGTTAGTCTAGTTACTCCTCTATGTTATTGAGAAAAACTGATGACCAATGGCAGTGATACCTTTTGCATTTGATCGATTATGGCTTGGTGGACTTCTTTGTTCGAGTGACCGAGGCAGGTAACTCCTGGACCCGCCGTTGCATCTAAAATTTCGTCATTGGAATCCGTAACCAGATAACTATCATGGCCTGCGACCACAAGTTCTGCGGGCTTCGAATAAAGAGTTCGACTGAGAATTGCGGAGTCTGCAGAGTCCGCCAACTCTCCGCATGTTGGGTCATTGAGGTTTGGCATAATGTTAGTTAACTGTCAAGATAAGAAATAATAATAACTTGGGATTTGATATGTCGATATGTACTTTTATGAATTCAATGCAATGCAATTTCAATGGAAGCTAGAGTACGATGAAGCATTGGATCTAAATTTACGATCCACACTTCTCCACTATATATACACAGATATATAAACGATTATAGAAGATTAACCTCGGATCTGAGAGGATTCTATGACCAAATGTTCGACATTCTAGGCACCAAGAGAATCGATCGATATAATAGCTCTAAATCTTTGATCCTTCGCTAACCCAGGCCAAGGTTAAGATTGGTCTCGACTCGTGGCTTAATATCTTCCCTGTATCTGTATGATATGATATGATACTTCGTATGTACTTCGAACCACCCGAACTGTGGGGCCGATAAATTAATTTCTAGGCAGCAGGCGGGTATCCATGACTAATGGATATCGATAGGATCTTTTATCCTGAGACGGTATAACGGATTTTCTCAAAAGAATGATATTCGCGGAAGAACCTTGCATTATGAAACAAAAATCTTTATATACAAGAAACCGGATATTTTGTGGTATTTTTGATAGCCTCAACGCAATTTTTGCAGCAACCCCTAGCCAACCAAGTAACAATTAAAAGCCACCCGTGCTCCTGATATTAATGCCGATTTGCGAGTGCATTGCAGTATAAGAATGAGAGATAAATTGAAAAACTATGAAAATAAACAATTTACTTTATAAGTAACTGGATTCCCGCCTAATCAAACCCCTAATTCATACGCCGCCGTTTTGGATTTTACTGTACAGCCCCAAGGAAGGCACTGGTATTGTTTAGAAGAAGCTGACGTGGATGTGGTTGCTGTATAATATCATGTTAGTCATCATGAACATTCCATGCATGTTATCATGGCCATTCTATCCTTGGTATTGGGTTGATGGTGCTTACCAGTGACGAGCATTGCAGCCAGTGCCAAGAGCCTTTGGTGGTGTGTACTTGCGCCATTTGGACCAGGCCTTTGGAGTCTCCTTGCGTTCGCGGCTCCAGATCTTTCCATTCCAGATGATATACTTGACCTTGAGAGAACCGTAATTGCGCATGATGTATTCGGCCATCTTGGTGGCATTTGGATTTGGTGCGATTTTCTAAATACAGCCGATCAGCTATTGTTTTTGGTATAGAATTTTTTATTTTTTTTAGTTTTCAAGCTACATACCTTGAGCATGAAGTCTAAAGCTTTACCGACAGCGTGGTCACTCTTGTAGGCCCGGGAACCCTTGCATCCAACGCTGGAAATCAAGGTTGGGAAAACCTTCATGATCTTGTAGCCGTTGGTATAGACATATTTCTGACATCCGCCAACCGGGATGCTTGGGAGTTTGGCTCCCTTAACACAACATTGGATGGAAGAAGAGCCAGGGCAGAAACCAGCATAGAATTTCCCACCGGCGCATTTGCCAGACTTGTTGGCGCAGACACCGGCTCCAGCACCGTTATTGCAGCTAGTAGCGCGGGCGACAAGGTCACCTTCGGTGTCAAGGGAGCGGGCATCGAGCTCGCCTTCTTCGGTACCCTCATATTCGTATTCTTCGTCCCTGGCAACAAGGGCATCGAAGTCTGGTTCAACGGATCTTGGAGAGATCTCGATATCGCGCTCAACAAGGTCTTCAACGTCGCCGTGATCTGGGCACGCCAAAACCGAAGAGGCGAGGAGGAAAACTGGGAGGAATGAAGAGAGCTTCATTGTGACAATTGATTTATTAGAATATTAGAGATTTTATACGAAATCGGTGAAGATCAAGGAGATCTAGAGAATTATAGAACAAAGAAGATTTGAGGCCGATTGTTTTTCACTATAAAGAAGAAGGAGAATGAGAAGCTGTTGATGGCTGATGCTGAAAAAAATTGTCGAGTGAGGGAGATCCGGATTGAATTTATAGACTTTTGAGGTTATATTGACCTCTACCTCCTGAGTCTGAATCTCGAGAAAACTTCAAGATGAGCAGGAGCTATACGCCGAACCGACAAGCAACCGTCCGACGTCTAGTCTACCTAACGCCAAGAAGGCACAAAAGGACCACGGTTAACGTTACCGATCAGTATATTTCTATGGATATTCACAAATATTCCCCTGCTTAGATGTTGACTATGCATAATTCAATTTCAGGCCTCGATCAAAAGCGCAGTTTGAGTTCATCAACGGTCCCATGCCCCGCCACCTTGTCGATATTGAACTTAACGTTGGTAGTCGGAATCATGCATGGAAGTTGCCATTTTTGTCAAAAGGAAATTCTGCACTGGGCAGAATTCATCTAGGGTCTTGTGTCAGGTTACTGTCGTGTGTCAGCATCGAGGATCAATAGGTGGAAAGATATCGGCGTATCGGTGTGGCGGACTAGATGAAAAGATACTCCTTGTGAGATAAAAGAATCTTGCATCGATATCTGCAGAAACGCCTTTCCGCTGCTCGGCTCCCATTGCTTCTCTACTTTTGACATGTACTCCGGACGTGCATTAGCGACTCGCTACAGCCCTTGTGCAATTTTATTTTAAGCTTCTAGGGGGTGTGGTTATTTTCCAAATTTTCAGCCTCAGGGATCGACAGTTCCTAAGGGACATCGTGGACAGGTGTCTATCAGGCCAACGGCCCTCGTACCAAAGATGTACTTTATAGGGCAGGTGGAATATATCCTAGTCCAGGATGTCGGTCTTGGAAACAGGCGCATTCCAGAAAACATAACGTTAGCTTGTGGTAATTTTGGATGGGGGATTTATAGATATTTAGCCATATGCATCTCCTCACCAGGCCAATAGGTTGTGTTCCTCGTTAAACGTTGGTCATAGTGGGTCGGGACCGGGGGGTTAACGTATCTAGGCATCAGATAGTCATGCAGGAGATTTTTGTCCGCGAACCTGTCAACTAATGCACCTTGTATACCCCGCATGCGCCGGTTGCAAACATCTATAGAACGAAAAGCTAGGACCAACGGCGTATTCCGCCGTGCGACACTAGACGTTTGGTCGGTAAGAATAGCCCGATCATCATTAGAGTTTGTAGACATTGGATTTTTTTAGAATCATAGATCTATAGAATTTGTGTACAGCCACCAACTCCAACATGGGGAACCCAGGCGAATTGTTGGCTTCCATTGACCGGCTATCAATATCCACGATTGATCGATAGCATTAGCTATTGATCTTGAAAAAATCTTTGAAGCATTGCCGTGGGCGGGAAGGCAGGCTATTATTGGTAGAGAAAGAGTTCGCGCTTGTCCAATGCCGTATCCTTCTAATTTTACTTTTAGGACTGTAGTAGCATTTCCACGAATCCGATACTGATTTTCAATGGGCTTCCTTTCGGGACGCTCAAAGGGGTAATTAATCAATCGGGACGTTCCACAGACTTGTGTAACAGGCGGCCAACTTGTAACGACGTTCGTGCTGCGGTGCTGGGTAACTTTCTCTTCCCAATCTTAAGCTTCAAGCGTTCAGCCGCAGAAACCCCAGGCCCCTAGAACTAAATTTTTTAAATTAAACAGTTCTTCCCACGGCGAATCGGATGGCTCGCTGCAATATATTCCAGACCGTAGTAGGCTGCCTCTGGAATTCGAATCAACAAAGTACAATATCATGGTGCCAGGGTTGAAGTGCAAGCATAAGTTCGTAGCAGTTGCTAGATGCACATATGCATAGCATATTGTATTGTAGAATATGCCGTCAAGGCATTTCTATCCACAGCACCACATTTTGTTCCCTGGAGCAAAAAATTTCTCGATCCCCAGAATTTACCTCACATGCCAGAGCCCAGATCCGCGGTTGGGCTGTTTTTGTCAGGTAATCCGTCACAATAACGTTAGTTGTCATTTTCCAGACCCGCTTGTCCTTGTGGCTCCACGGCCAATTCGTGGCTGAAAAGCGCCGCAGTCACTCTTATCCGCAGCAATATAGCTGTTGACAGTAATCCGTCAATTGTTTGCAAGGAAGTTAATATATTTTGAGACCAGGTTCTACGGTCGAATTCGACGTCCTACAGATGCGCGCCGTTGGTTGTTTTGGGTAAATTACGTAACGGCCGGAAAGATAAAGCTTCCGGTTTGACCACAGCGGACCCAGGAATCGCAAGTATTGAAGGTCTCCATCTGACGCTATGAAGGCCTCAATCCCGCTTCAAGCGCCATCTCTTTTCCATCAATTGGCGAGCCTGAGCTCCACTGAGCCTCATGATCATATCAATTCACTTTCGAACGCCTAAACTAAATCTATAGAGTGGTTGGGCTAGCTCTCGTACAGATTCTGTTACTAAGTTTCTCAATTCTGCAGTCTGCTACAATTGATAGTATGTCTTAAAAGAGCTGGCAGATTAGGCTTCATGTATTCAGCCACCAGGGAAATATCTTATCTATTTCTCAGTTCCAGGTTCCTCGCATTCGCGAAGCTGTTTGTCCTCTGGTCAATCCTAAATGCTTGGCTTGGAAGCTTCTCGTATAGAAACGACAAAACCGGCCGAGAGCAGACAACATTAATAATCATTAACGGATTGAAGCTCAAACGTACGGAGTGCGCGTACGGCGGTTTTCAGAGACTAAAGTCATGATGCCTCCAATTCAATTAAACCACCTCTTTCAATCCTTTGCGTAATAACCTCAACCAATAATTTTTCCGGTGAAGCTTTTTGTCGTTGGCGTCGAGATATATAATCAACTCGAAGATTGCGTAATCATCCAACAATGAGCCTTCCAACTCTCCCTAAAGACCTCAGTTTCGAAAACCAATCCGTCCTAATAACGGGAAGCAACACAGGGATTGGCCTCGAACTCGCCAGGGTCTTCCTCCGTCGCAAAGCCAAGACCGTCTACCTCGTTGTTCGTTCGCTCGAGCGGGGGAACAATGCAGCTGCCCTACTGCAGCAGGATGCGATAATTTCTAAAGAAAATCCCACGGCAGAAATTAAGGTTTACCAATGCGATCAGAGCTCCTTTGAATCAACCCTCTCCTTTGCCAAAAAGTTCAAGGAAGAAGTAAAGTCGTTGAATATCGCTATCCTAAATGCGGGTGTTAACAATATGAGCTTCGTGCCCACGGTTGATGGGTGGGAATCGAATTTCCAGATCAACTACTTCGGCGCAGCCTTTGTTGCGCTAGAGCTTCTCCCATTGCTTAAAGAAGGAAAAAAGAATGGAGTCAGGTCAAATTTGTTCTTTATGTCCTCGTTGATGCACAGCAAAGCCAGTGTATCCACAACGGCCATGCTGGCCGAAGATGTCAATGTGCTGGAGTATCTTGCTGCTAAGGAGAATCGCCCCTGGGACCCTAGTCAGCCTTACTCGATTTCCAAGTTTCTATTGACGACATTCGCAGAGGAACTCGCAAGGCGTGAAACGGACGTCGTAAGCACCAGTGGCTGCCCTGGTATCGTCTTGACGGAACTGGATAGAAACCTCCCTTTCTGGCTTAAGGGCCCAGTCGTGTTGATGAAAAAGTTGATTGGCAGAGAGGTTTTCAATTCTGCAGAGACGCTGACGCCAGCGATTATTACCGACAAGACGGGGACATATTGGGCGGATGGTGTCGTTAAACCGTAAGCCCGTTATCATCTAGGATCCCCGAAGAAAAGAAATTGTGATGCTGACTTGAGGCCATAGACACGCCTCCCTTCTGGACACCGAAAATGGTAAAAAGCTTCAACGGAAACTGTATGAGCAAACATTGCAAAAGTGCAAAGAGCTGGATCCTGATATCTCCCTACTCGCATAAGAGCCAGGGTCTTTGGATTGGATTGGATTGGGTTGGGTTGGCCGCATGTGGCTGCCTACATTATACAATTCGCTGTGAGCTATGATCCACAGATAACGTTGGATTATTGTGACATGTCCTTTCTTTCAAACACATATAATGCCTCATCCTTCCCTGCAAATGAAGGCAAAGGTACTTGGACAATCTTGTGGAAATCTTTCATCTCCTTTTCGAAGTACTCATTTACCGTCATGTCCTTAAACGCTGTATATCCGTTCGAGTTTTGAGTTCCAGCAATGCAGATGATATCCCCCGCGTACTCGGCTAGGACTTGCTTCGTGAAGTCTAGCGAAACGATTGGATATACGAGGAGTAGTATATCATTCTTTCCGGAGTTCTTTTGCCTAAGATATTTTAAGCCGTCTTCAACAATAGTGTCGTCGACCCACATCGTCCGCCAGAGTGATTGCATATTGTCGACAGCAGCAACCGATAGACCTGCTCGACGGAGCATATACGTCCAGTACCCGTTACCGCTTCCCATATCTATAATGCCGCATTTCCGGGCCTTAGACAAAACCTTCATGATCTCGATGCTTTCATAGCTCGGGCAGACACAACCAAAGTGATGCATGAAGATTGGGAGAACATGATGACTATTCTTTAAACTCGCTGTAGATTCATCGGGACCACACCACTCGAGATTATGGCAGGACCACCGCCAAAAGTCCAAGTATGGATTGACGTGAGACTTGCTACGAGGAATAGATATTGATGTTGGTGCTGGGAGCCGCAGGGATGTGAGATGTGAGCCAACACCAGCTCGGAGGGACAGCTTTTTTGCGTTAGAAGCAAAATTTGAGAAAGCTTTGTTTGAGGCGGTAGCTGAGTTGAATATGGATGTGTATGCTGCTATGTCACTTTCTGGAGGCGGCTCCAACTAATACATTCGATTTTTTGATATTAGCAAGATGTTGAACTTCCAAATACAACATATTAATATAAAGAAGACTCAACATACTGGTTCGCCCTTCTCATCTCGATACCACGCATGTAAACCTTTACTTCCGCCTTGTAAAATAGCATTTTGGACTTGTTGTAAAGTTACACTAGCTATTGCATGGTATACATAGTTATCCGACGGTTTGAGTCCGAATGCCTGGATGATTGCAGACCGAAGATCATGGTTGGGAACAGGATCCTTCTGCCTCTCGTCAGACCATGCTTCAAAGAATAAGTCTGGAGTGAAAGTAGACGACCCAGTGGTCACTGCTTTTGGTGCTGGTGGCATGAAGGCTACTTTGTTGGTATTGATTTTTGAGGTTCACAGTCTTTCGAAGGCTTTCTGGCGCCTGGCCCGTAGACCTGGCTTGGTGTCAGCGAATATTATGTCAGCAGCCAAAATACCACGCAACTCGCCGGTCACCTCCCTCAACCGGATTTTGGTCCGAAACTAAACTGGACCCGGAGCCGGTCTACCTAAGCTCGTATGGCAAGACATCTGCAACTACTAAACATATGCAGGTTGGTCTCAAAGCCCTAAGTTATAAGCCCCCTAAAGTTCGCATTCTGTACCAGTGCAGTAACAAAAATAGCTATGTGCTGGCCTAGGCGCTCGATCGAGAGGGCCAATACATACTAGTGCGCATCTCGTTCAATATCAGATTGGATTTCCGAAAATGCGAAAATAAATGCATGTTTGAACTTAAAAGAAATAAGTCATATAATTAGTCTCCATTCAGTCAGAATCACAAGATGGGACGTCCGCCATGTACCACTCTGTATTGCATCCGGATACCCGCCGCCACTAACTGGGATATCAGATGGTCTCGATCGGCCCAAGTGCCAAAGCTTGATTTTCCTTAGATCTCATTTCAAACCAGACTACCTCACTTCTACTATTTTTCTTTGTTACAGATTCCTAAATTGTAAGATTAAGCTAAGGGATTCTGTGGATCTGCGATATCGAAGCGGAGATATTGTGGCCGCTACTATCTCCACCTAGTGCTAAAAACATCGTACCAGCTATAGCTAAACTTCTTCCGGGCTTCGATTATGGAATTCGATTTGGACAAGATGCGATTCAAAGAACACCATTCTTTTCGGTCCTGCTTGCTTTGAGATCGATGTAGTCACAAGTACTCCATACACACATGTACACTTCCCCTAACCACCGGCAGTCCGAAAAGCCGTACGCGTCCCCATCCAATATCCACAAACCTCTACGGCACAGCACACACATCGGCCGCAACTACTCCATACTGCAAACTTTATCAAAAATTTTGAGACAGACTTAGAGTGGAAAAAAATAGGGTTTCGGAGCCATTCGATTCATAGGCATACCGCCCGAGGGAGCTGCAGATGTCTCAAAGCTAACACAGAACCAGCTTTTTAGATGGCTCGGTTAAGCCGGTTGGCGGATGATTTTTAAATGTTCTTCATCATCATCGCCATGCCATTACCATGCCGTTTCCTCGTCCCGTGTGCTTTGTGTATCGGATTAAGTCAAGGTTAGATGCTAGGGAGTTCCAGGTGATGGTCAAAACAATACCATTGTTCTCCAGCGAGTCAATTGACTAAAGAGCGCTGGTGCATGCGCTAGGGGCATGAAATAATAAAGAATGCTCTACGTAATATACATATCCGAACGCTCCCAAAAACGACGACCCTGCGAGGGGAAGGCTAGCGAACTAAGCAAGAAATATGAAACCCAGAAAACCTAGAGCTGAGAATCAAAGTTTATGCCTCTTCGCACCAGATGCAATCTTCGCAAATTCCTGTTGTGGGACGCCCTTCATAAAGCGCTCGACTCCACCAGCAATTTCTAAGACATTTGCTTCTTCGAAGCCCTTCATATAAGCATCCTTCACCAATTTCTTGATGAGCAAGATGCTTTCTTGGTTGAGGTGGTCTCCGAGCTCTTCTGTAACATGCTTGAGAACAGCTTCGTTGAACTTGTCGGCATCCTTCTCCTCGAAAATTTTGTTGACAAACCCAGCAGCAAATAGCCTATCAGCAGTAATTTTTTTCGAAGCTAGCAGAGCTTCAGTGGCAAGTCCATAGCCCATACGGCGGGTAAATGTGAATGAGGCACCGCCTTCCGCGACGAGTCCGAGCGAAGAGAACGGGGTGAGCAAGAAGGTATTTGGAACACAGTAAACTAGATCACAGAGTCCAATCATTGCGGCGCTCAGACCTACTGCAGGACCATTTAGTGCAGCCACTAGAACTTTAGGGTGCTCAAGGAAAGCACGTGTGAGTTCGAGGTTTTGCGCACCGACTGTATGGAACATTCGAATTAGCCCTAATTAAAGCAACGGCATTTTCCATGACGGGATCCATGCACTCACAGGTACTGCCGTAGGAGAATCTTGGTGAAACGTCAGTTGCATTGATAGACCTGCCTGCGTTGACGTCGGCACCACTATACATAGCCAAGGATAGCCGATATTAGTCTCAAACCTTCACTAGAAAACCGGAGCCCCACGGGCGTCGATATATGTGTAGCAGTTAACATACGCAGAAAAGAACCTCCCGGTTCCCATGATGAAAGTAATGGTGACATCCTTTATCTCTGCAACCTCACGAAGCAAGTTGCCGATTCTTTGGTAGTTTGCCCCGCCTAGAGCATTGAGCTTCTTTGGCTTGTTGAGGATGATTTTGGCAACCTTCCCTTCAACCTGAAGTAAAACTTCATCGTCCTGTGTCGACATTTTGAATGATATGTTATTTAATGCTGGATGAAAGAAGTGAAGGTCCGGTTGAGCCGTACTATCAGACGCGTTTAGCTGATCAGTCGTTGTACTGAATTTAATATGCAATCGATTGAAGAGTTGCAGGCTGGTACAGGTTCCTTGCTGAGCTGGGAAGAAAGTCAGGGCCGGATTAAATACAGCAAACTAAAGTATACAGCTTTGCCGAAATATCTACGGCAACTCGAACTGATGGACATCAACGATTAAACCGTCATCAAAACCACGAAGCCAGACTTAAGTTATCGATAGCCGTCTCCAGGCACTCTGCGACGGCTGCAATGCATTACCTCGCGTAAACCGAGATGCTGACATCCAGCTGGGTTGCGACTACCCGAGGCTTAAAAACTGGCTACCGAACCAGCATTTTGGGTTTCTTGGCCCAGTCACATCTCCCAATTGCCTTTTACTGAATACAAACCCCATAGGTACTTATACACTAAGTACAAGTCCTCTCCATGTTATATCAAAGCCAAATGATTCCCCGCAAATCGGTCTACGGAAGCTAAGAACAACTCTCAGTCTGGGGCCCTCAAGCTGGCAGAAAACAGACTAGCTCGGCATGTCGGTTCAGGTATCTATCACGTTCATTCAGATGGTCTCAAAGTTCCAACCACTTAATATATAAGTACTTACTCCGGGGTATATACAGGATGTCATTCTTTATTTTCGTGAAGCCCTTGGTTGCACTGGTGTTTGAAGTACTGCGCCGTGAAACCCTTATTCTTGCATGAAAGTCTTCGCTCCAATGCCTGTTGCATGCGACTGCATTCAATTGGACCTATTTAGCCTGAGCTAGGTCAGGGTGAATCGTTCACGTTCCAGTCCGGAAAAATGTTCGATTCGCTGCGCCCAAGAGCGAATGGTGCTCAATAGCGAGCCGTCTGCCGGTTTGCCGTTGTGACCACCAGCACCACGGGCAAAATTCGAGTGCTTTGTCCCCGGAGTGAGAGGCTTTGGAATTAACTTCTGGCTGTCTTGTCTGCACATGATGGAGTGGGGTGGAGTGGAGTGCTGTCGCTGCACACGTGAAATTGTGCAAGCTGCTTCATGCTTCAACTGGAATCTATTGCATATAGTACTGTCGGCTCGAGTACGCGTAGAAACCTAACTTTCGAATTCTATCGATATTGGCAAACATGTTAACACCTGAACGGCCAATAAATTAATTAAAATGAAGTATTGAATTCTTCCTACATGGAAGCCAAGCTACTCGATTTTCCCGCTTGATCTGTCAATGCTGACGAAATGATGCCGACTCTCAGCCCTGCAATGGTTATTGTGGACCCCGGAATAATCTGGAACGATGGCTTCATTGGCGTTCGCCCCTCATTTCGGTGTATCGATCGGTCGTTCTTATCCAAAACGTGGAAGAATTCAAACATGCTGGGATTCCCACTACAAAAAAGGTTTTGATCGGCCCACTTTGCATCCGCATTCGAGGGTTCGGGGTTTTCCCAGAAAGAGGAGGATGCGCCTTCGAATGTTCTGAACGCGGGACGATACCACCACCTCACATTTTAGCGCTACCTCGACATTATCCAACACAGCTAATGTGACGGCCCCGTGAAAAACATGCAGGAGTGTACTGATTCTTTGGAGTCCGAGCGTCCTAGCTCACTAGTTACGCACGCAAACTAACTTTAAAGCTTACTACGAGTCAATATTTCCCTTTGGTGAAAATATCATGAAGGCAATGAATCGTGCGAGACAGTCTGGATCATGCATGACGCCCACAGACCTTCATGCTAGCCACGAGGACTTTTAGAACGATAGTAATACTCCTTAACATCAAACGAAAATATCGATGTCGGGGTGGCCCGGGCTCCATGTGATATTACATAGTAGTATTTACGGCACTGGGGTACGGAATAACCATACACAGATGCAGGAACAGATATTGTTAAAGACTTGGGTATAATATACCCTGGCCAGACCCCATGCCTGAACTTGTCAGATTTTCGTCGAGTTTTGCCTTTTAATTTTCTACAGTGGATCAATCCACTGTCTCGGTGCCGATATCCATAAGTAAATATATACTTCCACGTTCCCAGCCCTCCTTAAAGAGTTTTGTCCTTTATAAAACTTCTAGAAAAATTGCGACACTGCACGTGGGTGGATTTTTTGAGATATGTCGGCAACAACGACGAGCGTATCACCATGGTCGACACTTCCAGATCATCTAAGACCGATGCTTGACCCGCCGGACGGTGTCATTCCAAATTTCGAAAACCCCTACGATATTGGATGGCAAATCATTGTTGGAACCGCAGTCACTCTCCCCTTAGCGATAATTGCCTGTAGTATGAGATTTTACACCCGTCTGGTGTTAATACGGAATTTTAGAGCAGATGATTGTAGGTTCATAGTCCCTTGCATCCACGTGTGTAAATCAATCGTAGAAATAACGTTAACCCTTGAAAGATTTATTATTATTCACTTTAGTATGTTATCCAACGATATGCGCATGCGTGACGACAGACCACCGCCACCACATTGAAGTATACGAGAATTAACCTGGCAATTTCTTGACCGCAGATATCATCTTTGGCATTTCAATCATGCAATGTTTATAGCGTCACTCTCGGATTGGGGAAGAACATGTGGGATGTCCCGTGGACAATAATGTCGCCAGTCCTGAAGGTATATATCTTACTATCTATCGTGTATCTTTATTGATAAGGAACTCATAATATCATGCATCACTTAGTGGTTTCTTGCGACCGAACTTACATATTTCGTGGCGATATGTGGTTGCAAACTCACAATCCTTGCCTTTTACCTACGATTCATCATGAACAAGACACAGAAATACATCATCTGGGGGTTTCTAGCTGCGATCATATTATATAATGTCTTAACCATCTTGATCCTCATCTTTGCCTGCAGGCCGGTATCGACACTATGGGATTGGAATTTGGATCAATCAAATTGCCTTGATGTCGACCCGTTATACTTTATTAATGCGGCTTTGAATACGATCACGGATGTTGCAATTTTGATACTGCCTCTGAGGACGCTATGGAAATTGAAGATGCCGACAAGTCAAAAGGTTGGCCTCATAATGCTTTTTACGACTGGAGGATTGTAAGTTGAGAATGAGCAAATCGTTTTATGAAATTAAATAGGAAAACGATGCTAACGAGTCAAAAGCATTATTATTATCACAATCATTCGAATGGTGCAGCTCACCAGTATACCCAACGGTGGGCAAAACATCACAAGTAATTCCCCCTACCCCCACGAATACCTTGCTACGAAAGCAAACCAGTTCTAACATTAATATTCCGTATAGTGGGATTTGTCGGCCCCTCTCTTTGGTCCGCCGTTGAAGTCAATCTCAGTATGGTGTGCGCCTCGATACCCGCGCTGAAGCCTTTCATTATTCGTCACTTCGGCAAATATTTCAGCAAATGGGCCTCTGGAAATGGATACTTCAAGAACAGTCGCGGCGTTGGGGAGTCAGGCGGAATTCAGCTTTCGGGAGCAAAACGTGGGACGAATAACAACAGCCACTTCAAGAAAAGTGGACTTTTCTACAAAGGCGGTGCTCTCACCACAACAGAGATTACCGCTACGCAAAGCGATGAAAATCGGTTGGTCGGTGGTGGTGGTGATGGTGCAAATGATGCCCAGTTCACCGATATCGAGCTGGGCAGCCAATCATCACTGCCAGATCACGGAAGGCAGATGTTCCACAACTACGATCTAAGGATAATGAAGACGAGCAACATCGTAGTCGATTCGAGACGGATCAGTGTCGAAACTGCCCGGTAGCATTCGAGGTCACGTTTCTCTTAATTCGACAAAAGTTTCATGATCCAACGAAAACGTTCTTTTTTCTTCTTCTGCTAATTTTGCTTCGCTTCATGGGTTTGCATTTTGTTCACGGTTTGGCGTCTGGTAAAGAGCGAAAAAATCTTTTGGTTGCTCGGCTATATTGTTTCATGTCGGTATTTTTTGAATGTTAGGTGTTTATGAGGTTGTGATATGTAATAGAATGTCATCTTATAGCCTATAGAGCGACCCAATTAACAGGGATAACGCTCGGCAAATTTCCCTCGATATTGAGCCCGAAAATAACCTGACATCCATCAACCCGAGTTCGGGTTCCGTGTTTTCTGAGGAGTTTTGCCGGCTAGGGTTTTTTTGTTCTCAACAAGGCAATCCCTTCATCGACGAAACCGCCTCTCCCTTATTGCTATGGTCTGATTCTCAGACAACCGGCAATCTGAAACGAAGGTATCGCTTGATGAACAAGCTCTCGATCAGATACGCATGTTTGAAAACACAATTTAACGATCACAAAGATCTTGATAATATAATTTCAAGCCTGCGGGGTATCGTGTATAACAATCAACAAAAACTTAGGATCTGTAACACCAACGGTATCAATAAATGCCCGAAATATATGAAATTTTGTTTGGCAAAAACCCCTACCTGGCACTATACATAGCTCATGCATTTTCGTCCTAACTCGGAGCAGTTTGAGAGCATCCTATTATACAGACTCCACGTTAGAACGGTATCAATCGGCATTTCGGGGCAGTACATGTATTCTCACATCTTCGTTCATCCCGTTCACAAGGTCCTCTGCCGACTTGAGAAAGTTCCATACCATCCCGGCATACTCAGTGACCAAGTCTTCGTTGGATCGAGAGGCAATGCTACCGGAGGAGCGGATTATGGAGCCAGTCTGTCTTTCAAGAACGAGGACCGACTGTACGGTCTGCTTCGTCTGCAGGCGAGATAGCAATGTCTCTATTTCTTCATTCTACATGCCAGCCAGTATTAGCTATCAAATCACGTGAATGAATAGTTGTAGATTTGGAACATACCGCGATGGAAGTTACCTGCGCCATCTTGAGGACGTTGAGATTAAGTAGAAGCTATGGAGCTTGTCTGCGGAGCTTGTCGCGTTATAATTGGGTCAATCGGGTATGGTGTACGAACGTGATGCTGTTTAGGGTTGGTGGGAGGAAGCCAAGCATCTGAATATAGCAGCGCCCTCGCTTCCAAACAGCCGGGCAGGAAATTTTTCTGTTCTGCGACACCAACATACCACATTCTCAACCACCAGTCCGAATCCTCCAGGACTCATCGCCAGTTATAAAAAATGGGATCAAGTAGTAAAAAAAAGAAGGAGAAGCAGAAGGATTTTGTTGTATGGGCGCCCGTTGTTTCGGACTCCCGATCATTACTAACAATATCCTTTTGTCGACATAGAAACCTAAGCTGAAGGTTGGAAAAACGAAGCCGAAGGCCGACAATCACACCTCAACATCCTTCAGAGCAAAAGGTATGCGGGGAATCAGTTATATGAATGATTATATCTAGGTTAAATGCTAAATTATCTGACTGGATAGCTATTGTCGTTGGTCACCAATCGTTAAATGCCGCTGCCCCGACTGTCCAGTCGCAATTAAAGCACAACCTTACTCTCCTCAATCACCATGCCTATGCCACCCGCCGAGATTCATTAGCTCATATCGCCTCTGTCTTGTCATCATCATCGGCATCAAATCCTCCAATATCATATTCTGTGCTACTTCCTGCCTTAGCTCCCTTGATCGTGGACTCGACGGCGCCGGTTCGTACACAACTCCTCACATTACTTAACAACCTCACAAAATCGAAAGACCTACGGCAAGATGCTATCATTCCAGTTGAAGCCATTCAAATGCATACACCACGGTTCCTTCTTTACATACATAGTGCAATGACCCATATCAGCGCCGATATTCGAGCAGATTCTACGAATTTCCTATCCTGGCTGTTAGACGTTGTGGGTGAAGAGGCTGTACGAGGTGCAAAAGGCTGGGGCAAGACATTGAAATGCTGGATTGTACTATTGGGGTGGGAGGGTGCAAAGTCCGGGAAGGGCGTACGCGGTAGCACAATTGAATTCTCAGATCCTGGGAAGAATAAAAAGGCATCCTTACAACATTTCGGAGTGTTGAAGCAGTTTTTATCCACAGGGATAGTTGAGGAAGAGGTGCAACTTTCCTATTTCGATATCAAGAACAGAAGTTTACTCTTGCCACATCAGTATTCCGATGCATATATGATGCCGAAAACCTCAAATATCTATGGACATCTGAATCTTTTCGGAATTCTAACCGAGAATGTCAACGAGGAAGATGCTGAAGGATCAGCTGAAGACTGCGACAGTCGCCGCCGAATAATAACAAATGTGTTTGAGAGCAGTCTAAGGACAGGTCTTCAAGCCAAACTGCAAGAAGGAGGGGAGGTTGGCAGAGCTGCTGGGGCTGTGCTCAAGGTGCTTGACAAGGCTTTGAAACCCGACAATAACGAAATGACATGAGGTCTATGCCTCGATTACGAGCCACACAAGGGATCGGTGGATAGTGAAAGATTTGGGGTTTGTCCCTCTCTGACCAGCTGGGTCGCTGAGTGATATGTGCCACGAACGGTATAAGCTGTGCCGAATCGTAGGATCTATCAACGATTCGCAGGAAGGGCAGCTATAATCTTTGATTCGGGTTTCCGAAACTCAGAACAGGTTAAACGCTCCAAAAATATCTTGGGGATCCAAATATTGCCTAGAAATTCTCGACGAAGCCGCCCCGTTAGGCGCGTAATGCAGACCCTAGCTCATGCATATGCCAAGAACCTATCGCGATGCAGGACTTGACTACCTCACGTGGCAATACACAAGGCCTCTAAGGCCGTGCGATTTCAGGGAGGCTCAATAAAAAGCTAGGAGATTCTGTGAAAAGTTATAGAATACAATGTTCATCGTTGAATTGTTAGAGTTAGTGCCTGGGGCTAGCTAGAAATTACCGTCCGAGATGTCGATAAGGTTAGCCAAAATAGTAACTATTCTACCGAGCTAATTGATGTATTTCTCTAACTAACTAAGCTACTTCGGAAAGCGGCCTCGATCGTCTTGAGAAGTCTATTGAGAACTTCAAGCTTAGTTTAAAGCCCGAAGACCACCATACCTTGAAGAATTATCCCGACCCAAGTGCCGAAGATGTTGCGGACTTCGTTAAAAACCTCGATGCGAAGCTTCAGCAGAAGCAGAAGCGGAGAAAAACGCTCCAGTCTTCCTCGTTTACGACATTCATTCGGGCTATGCAACAATTTTCCGGTATTATAGATACCTGTGTCCAGTCAAATCCTGAGATCGCTGCTCTGGTTTGGGGTGGAATGAAGTTTGTACTTCTTGTAAGAAAGCATGATTTTACTCCTCTGAATATTCTATATGCAATGAACCTGACCTGGCCTGTCTGCAGGCGTTCTCGAATTATACAAAATATCTAGAAGAAATAGTAGATATGTGTGACCAAATGGGTCGTCTCTGCCCTCAATTCGACAGATTTAGCAAGCTCTTCCCTAAGCATAAAGAACTACAAAGTGCTATCTGCGACTTTTACGCTATTGTCGTTGATTTCTTCAGAGAAGCATTACTATTCCTTTATAGTTCAGGTATGTCTGAAATCCCACTTAGCCAATTCCTTGATCTCAAACACTCCTCGAAGGCCAGCTGATTGAAGTATGTACATTTGTTTAGTTTTAAAACAGCTTGCAGTTGCGACTTTCCGGCCATTTGAGGAAAAGTTCAGCGATATCTTCAAATCTCTCGATCTAGCTAAGAACACAATCGACAGGGAGATTACTCTTTCTTCAGAACAGGAACTACAGGTTGACAGGGTAAATAATGCCCAACTTCGAACAGATGTTCGCGACTTATGTTATTTCACGCGAGTGAACTATCAATACTACCATGACGGTCAGGTCCAGCTAAACGAGGAAGCGCAAAGATCCAAACGAGAGCGAATCCTGCAGAACATTTCCAGATATTCTTACTACACTGAACTTACAAATAATCTCCAAAAAAGAATCGAAGGCAGCGGCCTCTGGATATATAAAACACCAGAGTACGAGTCCTGGGCCAATTCTCCTAAATCGTGCGGGTTATGGTATCACGGCATCCCGGGATTCGGGAAATCAGTCTTAACTTCTGGTGTCATAGATACCTTGCTCGAGCTGTCGAGGTCGTCGAGGCCGAAACAATATCGTGTTGCATATTTCTTTTGTACATTTACGACGGCTTCGAGCCTTCTCGCATATACGATTTTATCAAGCCTTCTCCACCAACTATTTTACTATTCGCATGATCTTCCAAGGGGCCTTGCTGAGGATTTGGAAGCTCGCTTCGAGGACAGAATCAGGGCTAGCCAGGTGGTCCTGGCTGATATTCAAAACTTCATAACGGAAATTACTAAAAACAATAGAGCTATCAACTATATAGTAGTTGACGGTTTGGATGAGTGCAACGACAAAGAGCGCGGAATGGTTCTTCGAGCTCTCAAAAAACTGCTTCAGGATTCCCCTAAGGCTGTCAGGGTTCTAATCTCCAGTCGGGGGTCCCAGGATATAGCCCGCGCATTAGTCTCCAAGCCAAACGCTAGCACTAAGGATGATCAAAAATTCCAAGGCTTTGGTCAGTTGAGCCTTGGAACTTCGAACCAGGAAGATGTTGAAGCCTTCATTTCCCAAACACTTCTCAATAAAGAGCTTGAAGGGCAGTTACCGGAACTGCCAAGTTATCTCTTCACCGAAGTAAAATTATTCCTCAGCAAAAACGCTAAGGGTCTCTTTATTTGGGTTAACCTCCTAATCGAGGAAATATGCAACGAGTCGAAAGCAGAAGATATTGAAATGGCTCTTTCTAAACTGCCCAAAGACCTTGACGGACTCTACAATCGAGTGATCGACCGTATTATGCAACATCGGCGTCCTGAAGTTGCCCAAGAAATATTCAAGTGGATAGCCTATGCGATACGCCCGTTGACCCTTGAAGAGCTAAAAGAGGCCACATGTTTGAAGAACACGCAGATACGTACTTGGGCAGAGCTAAGTAAGCTTGCCGAAGTGGATGAAATGAAGTGGCTGCAGAACTGTGAAAACCTTGTTATAGTGAACAAAGCATACAGAACTGTTCAGTTTGCACATTCTACCATAAAGCAGTTCTTGGAGTCCCGGTTATGCTGCAGAGAGAAATCCTTCCTCATGGATAGATATACTAATCACCAACTTGCGGAAGCTTGTGTACGGTACTACAAACTTCCAGAAATCTCCGATCCCAGTGCCCAATACCAACAAACCCCTGTTTCGAAGAAGGCCCTTAATTCCCTTGCCATGATTGCGAACGTTAACAATTCGGCACAGGGAAGCACATTTTGGGCCAGTACTACAGACTGGATGACTCGGAAACTATATCAGTCCACTTCGCTACTCACAAATCCAGCACCGGCTTCCACCGCTCTCGTCAAAACTGGAAACTCAAATATACTTATATCACAAAGAAAAAACTTCAAGGGCATACTACGAGCATATCCGTTCTTAGAATATGCTACTAGCTGTTGGGTTTTTCACTACATAGAATACGGCCGTGGTGAACTCGCACGCGATATCCAAGAGCCATCCGAGAAACCAAGAGAGGTTGTTCTTACGCCCGGAGGGACATGGTTTCATACATTAGATGACACAAACTTACTACGGGGAAAAATATCCCTTTTGTGGGGTTCTGTCCCTGCTCTGCGACCCTCAACGGTGGAAGATACACTGAGCCACCCAGGGAACCATACCCCGAATTCTGCTCGTACCGAATCTAATATAGCATTCCCGATGTTTCCGAGAACGAGACTATGGCTATCACTTGGCCTCGAGGAGAAAAAGTCATTCATTGCAATGAATATTCCGCAAGAGGAAGCGCAGAGAATCTGCAATCTCATTTTACAAAGATTCCCGTCAATCAGATTCCCATGGCAAAATTACTTCACACCGGAATCATTGACATTCGAAGAAGGACTATTTGATCTTTTGGATTGGGCGCTTGGGAATGGTGTCGGGTCGATCTTTGAATTGATTTGGGTTGGTTGTTGCATAGACCATAAAGTATACAGCACCCCGATTTCACATTTAAAAACGGAGCTGTTACTTAAGTATTGGCTGCCCGCATATGACGATTCGGACAATCTTTCTATCTCGAGATTTGAGAAACTTTGTGCCGAGAAGGACGCCGATACCGCTGGAATGTGGGCTTCAGTCTTTGGGGCTATCGTGCACGACGCGTCTAAGGGCGGTGCTCTTATTTCAGGAAACCCCGGGGGTAGACTATCCACAGAACCAACCTTCATTTTCGAACGTCTCCAGTCTGCATGTGGGGAAGCAAATACCCTCCTTTTCCATCGTCTGATCGAAATCTTAAGCTATCTCCCAAAGACCTTCGAAAGCGGTCGATTCCAACCCAGCAAGTACCTCGGGCAGATCAACTACCAGAAGATCGTCGGAAAAACCATCGAGGCGTATGCACACGGTATCTTGAAGGCTCTTCATCAGGAGGAGTATCAAATCTTTATAAGACAGGTATCCCCGGAGGATCAATTTCGGCTCCTCGAATTGGCGACAGAGCTTGGCTGCTCTGAATGTTTTGAGGAACTGATATCCCATTATAGGTTTGGACTGACAGTTTCAACGTTGAGTAAGAGTGGCCAGACCATTCTCCAAAGGGCCACGGAACTTAGGGACAAAGATATCGTCAGTATGTGCCTCGAACGAAGTACTGACTTGCTTTCTCGATCTCGGACAAATCGCTTCTATCCGTTACAAATTGCAGCCATGAATAATGACCTTGATATTATCAAGGTCATGGCACCATTCATCCGCGGTGGAGGTGGGAGGGTCATTGTGGATATGACAGCACCGCACACTTCAGATACTGCTCTCACCTACGCAATCAAGAATCTAAATACCGAGATTGTCCGCGTCCTGCTTAATGCCGGAGCGAGCTGGGACATGATGCCTGAAAGGCCACCTTCCCCTGCCGAGTTGCAGTTGTATGAAGAAGACGGCTTGATAGAACCTGGTAAAAACTACCCCATGTTACAATTTGCTACTACTCCTAGTGAAGAGATACTGGATTTATTCTTGGAAAGAGACAAAGCGGGGTTTTTTGAATGTCTACGCACACACAAAGTCGCAACTGAGAAGCTTATCCGCCTTGCCGAACGGAGTATCCGTAGGTCCTCTGGCGGGGCCGCCCAGGTGGTGCTAGAAAAGATTGCGAAGGCATTGGAGCGCTTCTTAGAGCTGGAATCTGGAGCCGAGCTCAGCGCGGAATTACATCCATCTGGTCTTCTACTCCGTCAGATCCAAGCTGGTCTACGCCCGAAATATAAATTCCAGGGTCCCCCGATAGGTATTAGGACCTAACATTTGCCTTTGCCTTGTTAAAATTTTCTTGACATCCATCTCCCAAGTTTATATATTAGGTTTTACGTACACTCAACACCCTCCCTAAACCGATTTAGGTCTTCAGACAGAGAACAATTAGGATACTATTCAAGACTTGAGAATGCATATGACTAGCCCTAATCTAGCTAAACTTCAATTCAGTGTGAATAAATATTGCATAAGCTTATGATAAACAGTCCTAGGATTCAAAATTGGATTATCTGGAGTGTGCCCAGTATTTGTGATTAGACCTGTATGAGACCTGGCAATCCTCGAAATCGGAGGCATAGTTGATTAAACTGGACTCGGGTTTGTAGATTGAGGATGCAATACTAGTCTTTGAAGCGACTAATCCCTACTGGCCTAAGATACAAGAACACTGTGACGAAACCCAACTGATTAGGTAATAAAGAGAAAAGTATCAATTATTACACGCATCTGTGCTAGATTGGAAAGAAGCAAAAGCGAGAGACTGAGAGGTAACATGCTGTATGTCGCAGCATCTATCGTTAAATTACGATGAGTGTTCTCTACTCTGACGGTAGCTTGCCTATTTTGGTACAATCTTTATCTTAGTATTGGCAGATACCTAAAAGTGATTTTAAAGTGGCATATTTACCTCCTGTTCTCTTTGAAGACCGTTGATGGATTCAGTAACATCCTGAAGGGCATCCACAGCAGCTTGGTGATACTCAAGTTGTGCATGGACCATAGCCGATAAGCCTCTCAAAGGCTCTGGTGTGTTCAATAGATCGTTCATGGCGTTCACAGCTTCCTCCATCGCAATAATAAACTTATCCTCCAAAGTCTCGATTTCATGCCTCAATTGTTCATCAGCAGCAGCTTCGTCGGCAGGGTTCTTCTTAAAAAGGCTGCCAATTCCGGGTCCGCCGCCGCCACCTTGCTCTCGCTGCCTCTGCTTAGTTTTAGCAGCATCAAGGAGTAGTCTTGAATTTTCAACATCTTGGCGCAGTTTGGCAACATTTTTGAAGGGGATATTGAGATTGGTTGTCCATGGCTTGACGAGCTGACCCACAATAACCTGGTCCTGAGCTAAACGTGCTTGGCCGATCTGACGGGATGCCGTTGAGAGCTTCTCAAGTCCAGAAGCAAGTGGATCCGAAGCCGGGAGGAGTTGAGATGATGCGCTGGCAGCACGAGAAATCGCATGGGCGAATGTCTTCGGTTCAGTGGGAGCCTGTGTCGGGGATACGAGAGCCTGCTGGGCTTCGGCTGGCGTAGCAGCGTTAGAAAGGGCCTGGATCCTGCCAGTAACGTTACGAGAGAGGTCGGTAATGGATTCGCGCTTAGGACAGTGTTAGTTCCAAAATCTATATATATTCGAGCTCGGCATTACAGTACGTACCAGATTCGGTGGATAATCATATGGCTGCATATAAGGTAAGCTTCGTCAAAACTCAGCCCATTGGTATACGGATATTTCATCATCTGCTTACCTCGTTTCCAAACTGGGTTCTATTTTATTAATTAGCTCCATCGTTCCGTATTTAAGGCGTATGCTAAGCTATAGGGTAGCAGGAGGAAGGAACTTACGTCACACTTAGCATCCTCTGGTGCACTTTATGAAGCGCATCGACACGGGCCTCCAATTCGCGATAGTCTGCCGGAAGCTGGGTCTTTTCGACCGAATCCCCGTTCCATTTGAGGAAGATGTCAGCTTCGGCCAGTCGAATCTTGAGAATCACGGCACCACGCCCACACCCGGGCAAATCACTTTCAACATTCAATTCATTCTCCTCAAGAACTTTGAATCATCGAGACAAACTTGAAAAACGATAGAAAGCAACTGGAGCACGTGAAAAGGCACGCTAACAACGCAAAGGGAACGGCAAAAAGAGTGCTAGGAACAATTCGATTTTTTTTCTTGTACATGCACATTCGGGTAACAAGAATGCTGGTTATGGAATTATAACAATAACTACGAACCTCTGCAAGTAGAAACTTGGGGGCGTAGAGGTGGGAGAAGCGCTGTATCTGACCGGAAACGACGACGGAAGCTTGACTGACCTTATCATCTGCTTGGCCGAGCTGCTCCTTTACGAACTGCGAAGTTCGGGCCGCGAAAGGGGTGAAGTTGGTACTGAAAGTGTTGCTGACGGACTTGCCGAAGCCTTGGAGAGTATCCATCTTGAATATGGTATGGTCCTAGAGGTAGGTAAGAAGAGAAGTTCCTGGTAACTGCTTCGGAGGGAGATGGATATCGAGAGATGGTTTAGGATGTCGCAAGCAGACAGTTGAGTTGGTGGATGGGAGGAAATAGCCAAAGGTGGTGTGGTCGATAGTGGGGCTGATGCTCCTGCAGCTGTGACCCTGCCCGCCAACGTTACAGAGAACCAACTTTACACGCAAGCCCATGTCAGCGCCTCAGAACCTCGGAAATATGTGCTTAAGTAGCTTGGATCGTTTGGGGGTCCGTAGTTAGCGCTTACCTGAGTTCGAGATGTCGTATTGAGGTTCTATTCGAGTTTTATAGGGATTCCGAGATGCTCTACTGAATCGAATTGAAGGCTGAACAGCTTCAGTCGAGCCGGCCCAGCTAATTAAGCTTCTGATATGATATCAGCTCAATTGTAAATCTTATCTGTGAAGATCTAATCTGATAAGGTTCTGAAATGCAACATTTTCAACACGTGCCCTCAGCCCACGGGCGGGTCACGGATCAGCCTAAAGTACCTCAGGTTCTGACTGAAATCCAAGAGGCCGCAAAATTCATCCAGCAACGCAGGCAAAGTCAGATTCAATTTCTCAAGGCTCTTTCTTGAAATGACGGACTTTCCAACGCTCGTATTCGTTCCCGGCGCGTGGCACAGGCCTTCGTGCTATAGTAAGGTCGTTAAGCTCTTGCAGGAGCAGTATCAGCTGAGGTGCAGCTTGGTCACACTCCCCTCGACAAGCGGTGACCCGGAAGCAACCTTCAAGCACGATCTTGATGCTGCCCGTACGGCTATAGCTAATGAAACGGATCATGGACGTAATGTGGTTGTTATAGCGCATTCGTACGGCGGCCTCGTTGGCAACAGTGCCATAAAAGGCTTTGCGAGGCCACGGCCTGACGTCGCATCAAACTCTCCTGCGACATCATCCTCTCCTGAAGCCGCAGGTGAAGTTCAGAGTTCGGTCAGTGGGTACGTAGTGGGCCTCGTACTCATAGCCTCTGGATTTACCTTCACGGGGCTATCATTCATGGACCCGTTTCTCGGCATTCCACCCCCGGCGTGGAAAATCAACAAAGACACTGGATTTGCTGATTTTGTGGTATCTCCTGGCGAGTTTTTTTATCATGATTTGCCGGCGGAAGAGCGGGAGTATTGGGTATCTCAGCTCGCTCCACAGAGCCTTAAGTCACTATTTGAGGGAGGCGAATATACGTATTCGGGTTGGAAGGATGTTCCCGCATGGTATATTGGTACTGTTGAAGATCAAGGTCTGCCCGTAGTGGTCCAACGGATGAATGTAGGCATGGCAAGGGAGATGGGAGCTACTGTCGAGCATAGAGAATTACAGACTAGTCACTCTCCGTTCTTGAGCCAGCCGGATGAAGTAGCGGAGATTCTAGTAGAGGCTGTTGAGGACTTTTCAGGCAAGCCAGTGGAAAGAATCAAGGCAGAAAGACAAGAGAACAAGGTAGTATCGCCAGCTGCTAGACTATGGCAGCCTCTAACATGGTTGAAATTTGGGTTACCGCTATTCTTTGGGCACATAATCGGAAGGGGCATTGTTGCTTTTAATTGGTGCAGGAGACTGTGGAGCGTTGGCCTACGCTAGTATATTATCGCCTCGACTTTTACCCTTAGACCAAACAACGACTGAGGATTATTTGTATATAAACTCAATAAACCCCGCTCTTAAATTTATAAACCCCAAAAATCTAGCAGACTTGAGCGATTAGCTAGACTCTAATCTGATGGTAGGTATGGAAAGAAATTACTTTATCAGTTTTACGTTCGTAAGTTTGCATGATCATATGATCAAAAGAATAAAACGCAAATATTTTAGGTGTCTCGATAATTAGCCAGCGCCGCAAATGACTTTTAAGAATTAGCTTTAAACAGTACTGTTAAGACCAAGAGTAACTATTTAAGGATAAAAGACCAGAAATAATGTTATGGAAGAAAAATTATCGAACCGTCCTACACTTAAGCCTTTGACCCCATCGACAAACAACCGTCGCTTCTCCACCTTGCAATTATTCCAGTAGCATATTCGCCTGAGCTAGTGACCGATGGCCCAGCAATCACAATCTCGCCCATGGGTCCATCTTCATGTTCCGCCGTGTATTCACCTGCATCCCTCAATTTGACCTCAACACAGCTAAGAGGTGCACCCAAATGAGATTCATTGAACGTCGCGGTATCCTCACCAGGCCTGTAATCGAAAGAAGTAGTTTGTGTAATCGCCCCAGCAGCCGCCGGCGGATACGTGAGTGCGTACACAACTTTGCTAAAGAAAATGGCCCTGATATCGTTAAGCCTATTGCATGTGATTGGCTTTGTCCCTTCTGCTGGGTTCTCAGCTACGTAAATTAGTCTTAGATTCCTGCCTAGGTTTGGTCGGTCGTAATCATTGAATCTTGCAAAAGCAGAGTGTTGGGGAACTTGGCCGTAGCGAGTGAGTTTCCTAAGCTGGTAGACATGCATCCATTCATGGAAGATCTCAACTTGAGCAGCTTTAGATAAACGTCCGATATCAGAAAGAGAATCCGCTGGAACCACAATAATCGACGGGAGAGCATTGCCACAAGAAGATTGGAGACTACCAGATGGTGGAGTCACAGCATTGATCGTTATTGTGCACCCAGAAAGCATGGCGGTGTAGGTAAGAATTCGGGTGAATTGGTCTGCAAGGGTAGAAGCTGGGGTAAAGATATCCGTAGGTTTAAACTGGTCCTTTGGAGCTGGAGCAGTGGCTTGTGCAGATACCGCGGCTACGATGTTGACGTGACTGTAAGGAACCGTGACAGCCTTTTGAAGCTTGAGGTCTTTCGAGAATACAATCATATGAGGCTGCGACTCGTCGATCTTTTCAGGTCGCGTGGCTTTCTGGCCATTTGCGGCGATATCATGCCATTCTTTCAAAGTTACTTTGGCATCCGGATCGGCAGCGAAGTCGAGGTGTCTGCTTCCTTCCTCGACAACGAGGATAACGTGTTTAAGCAGAGTGGAAACATTCAAGTCATTGATATCAAGAGAGGCGGCTGGCATGATCAAGATTTCGGCATTGGATGCTCGAAGCTTATCCGCGATAATCTCAGGTTCCGCAGGGTACTCAATTGGGACGAATGTGAAGTCATGGAAGGCACAGGCTTCTAATAGTTAGCTTCAGGTCCTATGACAACGGTCATTTGTAGGATTATCCCAGAACACTTACCGAAACCAGCGATCAAATTTTCGGCAGAATTTGGTAGATATACGGCAATGGCCTTTCTCTGGCTATTAGTTGGCAATCCAGAAATATAATGTCCCAGTGTATCAATTTCGGCGTCAAGTGTATCTAAATCTATGGTTAAGAAAAGGTTCTTACGATCTAAACGGATAGATTCGAAAATTACCAATGCTATGGACAACCTTATCATTTCCTAAGATAGTATGAAGGTGTCCGATTTTTTGCATGAAAACTCGCCAGATATCCCTCACATCTCCGTTCCTCTTCGAATAGCCTTCCTGAATCCCCAACCCTTGTCGAAGTGGAAACCCAACTGGTGTCTCACGTGAACGATGTATAGCTGATTCGTTTTTGTGACGAGTCGGGCCTACGGAAGACTGGTGGAGCAATGCCATAGGAGGTCCATCGGGCTCACCGTCAAGAAAGACCGGTACGAAAATAAGACCGGCCACAACGGCCAGCAGCGTGTATGTAACGTAGCTTATGTCGGAAGACATGGCGGAGATAGGCCTTCAAATCTAGGCTTCTCGGTATTTGCCGTGGACGTTGATATATTTATCTAATGGGCGTTCCGGTGGAGCCTGGTGAGAGTCAATGGAAGACCCACATTTATGGACACCGTAGTTTTTCTCGTGATGATAGTTTATGTAAATGGAAGAGTCGCTCGCTATGACGCCAGCCTGTTGGTCAGCACGAGCATGTGGGGAGCACGCGGTCTGGCCGGGGCCTGGAAGCTTACCGGGGTCCGGGGTCGATCCAACGCCACAACGCAAACTTCGTGGAACTTTAATGTCATTGAGCTGGGTCAGCTCGAAGCTATCAAAGGGTCCACAAACTGCCACTAGTTCAGCCGCCGTCTTTCAATTTCAACCCACAATAGCTGGCAGTAAGTCGGAATTCTGTTTCATATCAAATTTCGGTTATTGACAAAAATTTTCCACTGTATACTTTCTGTCGGATAATTTTGGTCACTTAAATTGATCCTGGGCGTCAGGGAGGGCGCTATTGAATCGAATCCCTTTGATTCTAATATAATCAACTAATTCCAAAATCAATCTAGAAAGTCTAAATTATATTCATCTTCTCGCGGCCCCTTTACTGGCTGCAAGTCGATGAGTTATTATATTTCCAGCCCATAATTCCGACGGCTGACAAGTTACCCAGTAGCTTAGCGAAGCCACTCTCTGGCTTGGCCCCACACACTCTGTCGTTGAACTATTTTGATAAAAAAAAATTCATGATGTTTTTTCCCTGATAAGCTATACGAAGCTAATCTAAAGCTATTAAACAAGGTCGGTGATACCTGGAGCTAGAAATGAGTGCATAATCTATCAAAACTACCTAGGCAGACACCAAAAGTCGCCGAAAGTTACTCCTATAATTGCTTCCAAATAGAATAGGAACAAAACATGAAAAAGTATAATCGTAAAACAGCAGAGGGCATGAAAATAGTAATCATTATAATTATACGCGGTAAAGGGAGTACAACTCGCAAAACAAAACAAAAATTCTAGGAAAGATGTCATACACTCGTTTGACTTCTATTAGCACTGTGGGTTAGTTTACTGCTATCATCTTTGAAATCGCTCTCATCTTGCATCTGAAGAATAAGTTCCGTATCGTCCTCCTCCCTATGAATCTCGATGGTTTGCGAGACCGCATGAGAAACTTTTATTCCCTTCATTTTGATAGATTCGGTATGCATATTTCCCGGCCCGCCAGCGATATGCGTAGTTGTTGACTGAAGTTGAGATTTTCCACCGCTTGTGATTTGTCTGATAGTTGAGCTGGTATTTCTGTAGACAGACTTCAGCATGGGAAGAAGAGCGGGTACACATGCGGCAACTATAGCACTAGTGTATTCCAAAGCCTCTGCAACAACTGCATTAAATATACTTCCTGTATAAACATTAGTACGGCGTGGTCAGGTCAAAAATAACCGAAAGAAACTTACTTGTGAGGTCCCCGTGTAGGAATTCGTGATACAGGGCGAGTTTGAGTATAGAAGCGGCGCAAGCAACAAGACCGAGCGTAAATATGCCGGTTATTGCGACTTTCTTTCTTGTCGAAAAGGTCTTAATATCCCAAATATGCTTTAACGGCAGTGCAAATATGACAACATCGAGAACCGTACGGATTGCACCAACGGCATAGCTGCCAGCAGCACCATTAGTACATTTAGTATTCGGGTCCGCTCTTAATTCAAGGCTCCAAAAGGCGCGGAAGGGTTTGCAGGTAACTGCTTGGGCGGCTAGAGAGATCGGACAGAAGATGATAACGAATACTATCAGGAAGTATACTATTCGTCTCATGTGTGTCTGCATTGAGTCGAATATCCTACGGTATAAGACCAATACGGACACTTTGACTGCCGTATTTGCGATAGCGAAAGTTGTAAAGTTGACGATGAAAAGTTTTAGACATTCATCGAATTGTTTAATCGTGAGATCGTATGTAAATCGTCCGAACCCTGCGTATAAGAAGGCATAAAGGTTGACAAAGGCGTACGCGATACAAGATACCTAGATAGTGGAATATTAGGATATTTCTTAGAAGTTGAAATGGTTTAAATTGTTGTTACGTACTGTCGCTAGAAGGACCAGCCAGTCGTCTAGTAATGGCCCGTTCTGAGCACCGTATCTGAATCGTGAATAGAATCTTAAAGATATCGACGATACCAGCCAGAATAGAACTATTACCGTCAAAGTAACGGCCTGCTTATCCATATTAGGGGGCTCATAATCTGGAGAAAAAAGCACTGCGATCTGTTCCTCTGTAAGGCTTGGGCCACTTGAACCCGACATCTTCGCTACTGTGCCTAGCAATTTGAACATAGCAGTTCGCTCCTCGGGCGTCGGTTTCGGAACATGACTTGGAAACTGTCCCATTATGGCGGCCTGTATGTCGATATTTATCTACCTTCGAATATTCGGGGTCGAAGTTTTAAAAGAATAGACCAACTGGCCCGCAAAAATAAAAGAGTGTCACAGTTGATTCTTCATGGAATAAGAACTCTATCAACTGTGTTGTTAAATGGTTGGAATTTTAAGTAACTGCGTGTGTAACCAAGGAAGAAGGCCTCGATCGAAGTCCGATATACCGATATGTATAATTGTGGAGAACTATAAGCACCGAACGCGAACTCCATCGTTTCCCTGGCTTGCGGATACATCTCAGAGATATATAGTGATCGGGAAGGATACCAGAGGCTTTCACGTTTCCTGGGTATTTCGCATTTCAGAATACGGTAATGTGCACAGTTCGCTAACCCACCCAGCGCTGCAGCTCTTGTTTTCGTTTTTTCTGCAGGTATTCCCTCGAGACATGGCTGCTCCACCCAGGGCCACAGGGAGAGGCTAGAAAACGATAGATACCATTCTTTTTTGGAAGTTGTGCTCAGTTCGCCTTTGCGGAGGCACAGGGGTCACGAATCCATGAACATTTACTTATCCAGTCTGAAGACCTAGGCAATCCTCAGCTTCGGTACCGATCATTAGGCCTGAAATCATGAGCGGGGGCGGTTGAGAAACAAGTAGACGAGTGGCTCAGAAAACCCATAAACAACATGAGAGCCACGAACGCTTTGACAGCAGAATTCAAGAAAATGTATCTAAGCTGCATCGTGCGGGACCGCCACCGGCCATACAGAACAAGTTAACATGCATCGTTCTCGGTAACGTCGAGGTATTTTTGAATCTAAGGCCTCATTTCCTTCAGATTGATGAGCTAGGTACCAGTAATGTAATATCGTCGACAGTGGGACGATGGCAAATTCTTTGGCCTAATCTGCGGGAATACGATTGGTGTTAAACCAATTCAAGCCTGAGGATTAGCGCTAAGATAGCAGCCAATGCAGAACCAAGCGATAAATTTGCGCTGTATTCTGGAAATGGTCAATCATTTACCGTTACAAGATGTCCAGAGATGATAAGCCGTTTTGTGCACAAACAACTCCTTCGATGCATCATGGACTTCCGTGTCTGCAGGTTTCAAGGCAGTTTTCATCCGAGAGAATGCGTCAAAAGGGTCCTGATTTGTTGTGATGAAAGGTTGCTGGGGTATGCCTGAGAAAATCTTGATGACAAAGGGATCTGAGGCCCAATGCGAGTGCGAGGCGAGAACCACAGGAGTTCTATGCGCCTAAGCCCATGTGCTGGTTAGTGGGAGGTCAAAGAGGCAGCGATAATTTGGTCATCCAGTTAGCGTGCTCTCGAGTTCGGGATTAGCGCCAACGTGGCGAAGGATGGGATTTTGATTTTCGATTTGTGTTAGGTATTCACAATCCAACATTCCAACTGTCAACTGTCGAGCTGTCAGTTAGTGTTCTAGAAGCTTAAAAGCAAGGCCCGCATTTATAGGGCCCAGGCCTGATAGAATATCAGCATTTTGTTAAAGATTTTGCAGGCTGGAAATATGGTCGAGTATTGGGGATATTTCGAGGAAGGGGCAGAACTCAAGATGTGGGAGCCCAAACGGGATTTGACAAGGGTCATTCCTGCATATCTGCAGTTAGGTTTCAAGGGCAAAAGGAGTGGCGCTCGACGTCCTCCCCACGGCTGGCCTCCTATCAAATTGGGAAGCACCAGTCCGTGGTCCCACCACGCTGCATGCTGTTCCGTCTTACCGAACAGGTAATACAGGCTAGTATTCAGCAAAAGATTCATCGAATGTATAATCGAATAATCCAAGAGGCTCTTCCTTGTCGATAGTCCGATTTCACGAAAGGAATAGGAGCGGATAGCGCAGCTGACCAATTTAATCAGTATGCGGTCGTGTGACGGGAAAGTCAACTCCTGCATCCAAGTGGACAGAACTCCGGGTCCAAGTCCTGCAACAAGGATTTATCGATCGTGAGAAAAGGGATCCGTGGTTCATGTAAAGAGACCCACTCCGACCTTCATTGGAAGATTTTAGGACTAAACATGTATCCTATTTATAACTTATGAAGGTTCTAACACTAATTGTCTAGAGATAGATATATTCGATCCTCCCCCAAGTCCTTGGCTTCGAAAGAATCAAGGGCATGCATATTGTAAGCATCGTCAGCATGCTTTGTCGATACTCCCGCCCCCGGTCATGAACCCTAGCTCACAGCTAGATATATACTCAGATCTATAGTATATGCCCTTTATTAATTAATTGACATTCGCACGAGTTGATGTCAGCCAGAGGAGCGCAGCCATCTACGAGTGCATTAACCTAGCGATAAGCCCAGGAACATAGTGGCGGGGAATCTGAGAACATACATATGCGCATGCATGATTCTACGGGATTACTAGAACGTATCTCGGCCTTCTTGTTAGTCATGTGAGTTATAAATGTCAGAGCCGGTTTCTCTCTTCGAGGTTTTACTGGAATGTTGGATGAGCATTTTGCAATGCACGACCCCCAAAGACCTCCCCAGATCTGGGATTTTCGAGTAGAGCGCCGAATGCTGATATGGCGATAGCAGTCGAAGAGCCTCAGACCCAGTCAGTATGTATCGTCTACACAGTAGTTCGTTTTACATATCGAAACACTCTGCATTGAACTACGCTTAATTAATACTATATAGATCGATGTTATAAGTTCGCACGAGTTCATTGGTAGCCTTGTGTCAGCAAGAGTCGACCACCCTCCAACTAGATTAATACTCGGTGCCTTGATCCGGTTTCAAGAGACCCCGAAGCCCGCATACCAAATTGCGGGGTTGCACATTTTTGACCTGAATATATAAGGTATAATATTGTTTACTTATATGTGACAAATTGTCTACTTGAAGTTGTGCGCACGTGTTATTAGGCCAGCTAAAATCTTTAATTGGGCTTAGTAAATCCTACGAAACAATGATGCAGCATATATTGTATGATACGACTACCTGGAATTAACAAAAAAGGCGAGTGAACTTCTGTATCTCGTGATCAGTTGGATAAGTATGAGTTCGGGCGTCGCATTCCACTTCGGATGTTCAGCCGCAAGGTCAAGGCGAACCTTCTTATCAACCCAAATAATTTAAAACATGCGAATAAATTGCGCAAACCGCATGTATACGAAAAGAGAGAAAAAAACCAAAGAGGGTTTTTCAAAATTTGGTCGGGGTACAAGGCGCAACCTTCAGCTGAACCTATAAAATAGATATATCTCAATCTCGTGGTCAGGAATCGTATTCTTCATTTTAAAAAGGTATTGGAAGTTCAAGATGCATCGATATCTACGAAGAACTTCCGTAATATAAAAGAATTATATAAACCCCGTGATGCTGTCCTGCTAACTACGCTAGTGTTAGCTCAGTCAGGGATTGTTTCGAAACATCGCTCCCGTAACGCCGTCTTTTAGTCTTTAGCTTATCAAGAAGAGTCGTCCCAAAAGTTGCGCTCCATGCATGGCTGCCATCTTTTCACACATCCGTGCGCGCAAAGTACCCATAATGGTCTAAATTTCAAGAATTCTCGACATTATGTATGTAGTAGACCCCACACACGTCTACCATATAATCAGATTTGGTGGTTTCACGAGGATGGCTTATACCAAGAGACGGGACGCGATATAGATGATGCATGATTTCCCCGTTAACCGTAAGTTGCGCACGCACATATGAGTTAGAATCCAATATAATGATTCGATTCGCTTCTAGTTTCTTAAGTGATCCAAGAGATATCGGTGGCGCTGAATTGACATGCTTGGAGGTTTCCGCCCCTTTTGATTTGATTCACTAACCAAGAAAGAGGGACCAGAGGTATAATAGATATTTCCTCATAACAACTTTAAGCTTGCGGGGAGGTATGATCTACTGTCATTGAATTTCTCTCTCTCCCTCCTTCTGTATCTCTTTTTTTCCCTTCTCTCTTTTTTTTTACTTTTGAAAATTTGCAGAATATTGCCATTAACTACGTGCGTGGTTCATGTGGAATTCGGGGCCTTAATTTAAGGTCTAATACTTCGAGTATTGTTGGATATCGTGCTAGAAAATGCGTTGGCTTTAAAACATGTTAGCAGCCAGCGCTGTAGGCATGCAGCCCCCTATTGATATTGACGTCCGTACGACATTTTACATTCAGGGTTTTGTTTACGTATTCCACTAATGTTATCTGTCAATTGGCCATTATATTAACCGTGGCAAACGGAAATAATTATCTTCGAATCGGACATATCAGAAATTGGGTATCAGAAAATATATACAAGTAAGAATAAGAAGAAAGGGGTTTAAACATTATAATGTGAGCCCCGACGCGATATCTGTCATTGCATTAAAGTCACAGGGACCATTAACAATCGATGATGAACTTTTAATTTCGAATAATCATCAATATAATAATATGCGTACTTCTGCAGTTAAATCAACCAGTGGCGACATTCTGCGCAATCTCTGCGAGTAACGCTGTCATCTCAATTATTGCGTGTCTCTTTTCTTGTTCCCCATTAGCCATGGCGACACATGAGACAACAGTCAACTCCCTTAGTCGCTTTCTTTCAAAGACATCGACCGGGGCTGGAGAATCCGGGAGCTTGGGAGTTGGGAAAACATGCGCATGACGCTTTTTAGTTGGAGGCGAGAACGAGTCTGGAGAGAGGTAATGGTCTCCAGAAAAATTTGAATTAGATCTTCGTCTAGGTAGCGGTGAAAACGGGACAGGTGATGCATCAACGATAAGCTGCACGAGCTTATCGATAGAGGTATTATCGATATGTAATCGCCCCGCTTTTCGCTTACCCCAGGTACAGGTGTATGTGGCTACCACGAGCTCTTTCTTTGGGGCCGTCGTTGACTTTTTTGAAAATATACTTGTAATGCTTGAGATACTGGATCTTCGACGAAGTAGGAAACCTGGCTTCTCAGCATCGTCTGGACTTAGGCAAGGAGACCTTGGAGATTTTGGTGTTATTGGCGTTACTGGCGTCTCTTCTGTCTCGCCTGGTAGTTCGGCTACGAGTTTGAGGTGGCTGTATCTGTTCAAAGCACCCCATTTTTTATTATGCTCGTCCTTGAGAGTTGAAGTTCCTTTCCAGGAAAATTTGATATCTTTATATGTAAAAGAATATTGCCGTCCAAGTTTATTTTCCCAGATCATTTGGACTCTGTCTGGATGACTGGGGGTCGAAGGAGTATGTGGAGGTGTTATTTCGCAGACCTTGGATGTATCAATGGTTAGGGTTGGTGTGTTTCGTGTAGTGGACGTTGGTTTTGAGGCCACTCCTGGTGTCTCCTCTTTCGGAGCCAATGCTCCTTTCTCCGCCTCTGTTCGGGGATCGCCAGTTATACTAATAGCGGGCACTGGGAGGATGGGTGCCGGTGCGATTATATCCTTTGGTTTCTCCGATGTTGATTTTGAACCTTTAGCAGTTTCCGCTTTCTTTCTCGATTCTCTTTCGCCCATCTTTTTGGTTACAGCGTTGATAATAGACGAACAGAGACATGAGCTCTTGATCTTGGGACCAACCAGGCTCTTTTCCTTCAGCATCTCAGCTTCATCCTGGTCTTCTTCGGTAGCATCCTTCCCAATATCTGAAGCCTTCTTCCATCCAGGCTTCCTAAATTTCCTTGGGTAGTCTTCTGCAACTACTCCTCTTTCGTCGACAACCCCCTCGCCATTGATATCTTCAAAATCGAAGTCCCATTTGCGCCAAGCAAATGAACCATCGAATTTGCAAGAAATGGGAGAGTGTCTATTAGGCCCAGCCCGCAGAGTATATGGGAGCGGCTTCCATCCAACGGGTAGACTAGGTTTATGAACAAAGTACGCCGCCATTCTTGGATCGAATTTTGGATGGTCAGGCCGCCTGGCGGTCCTAACATTGACAGCACCACAAGTACGCGACCACCAACCCGGTGTAGGTCTTTGTGTGCCATCTGCAAAAGTAGCTCGAGGTAAAGCTCCCAATGATTTATCCGCAACTTCATGAATCGACATATTCCCGCCCTGGGGTCCACCGATTCTATATAAGTGATAAACCGTCGAATCATGATCCTCTGGAATTGTGCGATATGACGGAGCTTCTGAGTAAACAGAAGGTGTCATGGAGTTACTCCTGTTCCGGCTACCGAATTGCCTTGTAGGGCTGCCGGGCCCGGAGTAAGTAGGCAGGGTCTCCATTGTGGAGATTGACGACGAACGTTTACGCTGCCAACCTGCCGGAATGTCGTCGACTTTCAGGGAGTCCATGCGCTTAGTTGTAGGCGAAGTCGGTACCGACTCGGCGTCCAGTATGGACACTGGTGTCTGAGGTCTTGAAGAATCCACATCTGTGATAGCGAGCTGTGGGATCTGGATATTAATCGTTGGCGCGACTGCGGGTGCCATCCTTGCTGAATGCGCAGATGTCTCTGCTTAACGTTAATGCAATGCAATAGGGTGAACTCAAGGTGGAGAGAATGCAAATTTGCAAAGCGCAGCAAAAGCCAGAATCGGAGGCACGGCGATAAAACTCCTCAGTTTTTAGAGTCGTTTACGAAACTATTCAGAAAATGGAGGAGGCTTGGAACTTTCGAGGGTTCCATGATCATTATTAAGTATCTTCTCTCTCTCTAGATTCCGCACATCCTGTTCATGAAGTTTATCACATTGGGCCAAGGCATTAGGCGACCATCCGAAATGTGGGTTTTGGAGGCAGTGTTCACATTAGCGGGTGGTTTAGCTGCAGGACCAGCCGGGATCATTACACAAGCATTTTGGAAGACCTGGACGAAACGTCCCGAAACTGACCAAAGAAAAGCTTCAGAAGGTTCGTGTGCTTCTCAGTCTAGTCACCTTGGTATCTTCACGTCCCACAAAAGGCCCCACATTGAATTTATTCCGTCGAGGCTCGAAAGTCTGTGCATTACTGTCAAAAAAATCACTCGTCTAACCCTCATGAGCTCAAAGAAGGGCACGAGGCGTGCTTCACAGCCCCAGTTTGTGGGTTCTTTCCTTACCAACTTTCCTTCATGGGTTCCGGGTACCATTTTCCGAGAAAAGTCCAATCAAACGAGCTCCCGCAAACGGGGACTCGACCATAGCCCGATGATCTGAAGGTATCGACAACGAGAATTCCTGTTTTCTGCGGGAAATCTCTCGTCATCGCTGCCTAGACGTCTAGTAGGCCCCTCGCTTACCTCCCACCAACATTTTTTTCGGGTCGACATAGCAAGTGCGAGGGGTACAAGCTTTTGAGGTGAGGCTTGAGTAGGTAATAAGTTACACGAAGAGTTTTTTAGTCAGATAGGTGGTTTGGTATAACGTTAGGCTAGTTCCGTCATCAAATGGCTGTACAATTGTATACAATGCATGTAACAAACAACATAAAGGAAGGAATAAATTATGTAAGTACCCTTCCCATGTTAATTCTAATATTCAAACAAGTGAATAAACCGTTCCTTTCCTCTCGGAACGAGCCGAATGGGAACGTAGCCTTTAATAATCCGTACTGTTAACCCGATTTGCGAGCAGTTCTTCATTACGGACCTAGCTGTCGCCCTCTGTTGCTCATAGAGTGCAATTCTCTCTTTCTCATCCATCTTTTCCACCGCCTCATCATCAGCCAGCTCATCAACCGCAAGTTCGACACTATAATTCTTGAATATCAGAGCAAGTAGTATCATAATCTCAACTTGCGCAAATCTTTTCCCCAGACAAGATCTCGGGCCGTCTGAGAAAGGAATATAAGATCCTTTCAATGGGTGCAATAAACGACCAGTCTCCTTGCTTGCTGACACATCCATTCCAGCCTCCTCACCATTAACGTTATCCTTGGTCAACCATCTCTCTGGAACAAAATCCGCAAGGTCATTGTCATCGCCCGTAACTTTTGATGGTCCAGTCGACGGCCAGTACTTTGGATTTCGTTGTAACGCGAGTGCATTCATACTAATCACAGCCCCCTTCGGCCATACCGTTTGTTTCCCTTGATACATAACGATTTGGTCACTCTCATCACTTACTTGTTTAGGGATGTTAATGACGGGCGGTATAACTCTCATTTCCTCTTGCATAACGGCACAGATCATGCTACTTTGCATTGCCGCTACGTCTTTATTGTAATCCCACTCGTCGACTGGTCTGTCGCCAAATATTCTATCGATATCCTCTTGCATGCGCCTTTGAGAGCCCATGTGAAGTGCAAGGAGTATCAATAGATAGTGTAACGCCCCTGCCGAAGTTTCGTGACCGGCTACTAAGAAAACGAATGCATTTCCTAGAATTTCAGAGTCTGTCAAAGTCTGCCTTTCGGGGTCGCCGTTCGCGGTGGTTTGTTTCTGCTTTTCGTCAAGCGGTTTATTGGGCCCATAAGAGTTTTTAACCAGAGCTCCCATGATATCCATTCCGTCGGCTTTTTCACTGGCGATTGCTTCTTTCTTTTTCTCGACGAATAATTCGTTCATGTAAGTTTGGTATTCCAGGGAAGCTTCGGCTGCTTTCCTTGCCCAGTTGAAAGGAGCATTGGCTATATCGGCATCATAGTTTGTTAGCCCTCATATGATCATGCATTATATTATATAACACCCTTCGACATGGAACATAGCCTATATGCATGTATTGCAAGCCAGACTGTGTAACCTCGCAGACAATGTCCAACGTACCGAGAAACCACTTGGGGAACACCAACACAACTAGTAAATTATGCAACAATCCCGCCAGAGCATCTATGAAGCTCAAAGTATGCCGATGTGTCGATTCACTACTCAACGGCCGAATCAAATCCGCATCCTCCGTCATCCCAGGCCATTGTAGAGAAACCCCAAACCCGGCTTTACTGATAACGTGTAAGCTCATCCTCATAGTATCCTTTAGCACATCCTTAATCGTAATCCCCCCTTTTCCATCCTCTCCAGCCCACTTCCTCAACATCATTTTCCCTTGTCGGATGGTTTCAGCGAATACCAATGCATTATTCTTCTCGCCGAATGAAGGAGACGTGATTTTTCGGTGGAATTTCCATTCAGAACCTTCCGTCGAAAGGACGTTTCGACCGAAAATGTTGACGGTATCGTACAACCAGGCGGCTTTTGGGAAGTCTTCTCGTCGACTGGTGACTTGGGTGATTACTTCGCGGTCTGCAATGTAAATGTGGCAGTCTACAGGACTAACGGTCATGAAGACGTCGCCGTATTCGGCGAAGGGTTTGAAGCCGTAAAGCCAGGCCCATTCTGGTACCATGAGTCTATATACATATATAAAATGTTGGTAAACTAATCCCCACATGCTGCACTGGATTGGTGTGACATATAGATCTAGGATAACTTACATAATATATTTTGAAACCCATAGGTTTGGATATTTAGTAACGAACCAGTTTCCAAACCTTTTGCCAGTAAGGAGCCATATAGGATTGAAAGCATAAACAGCTGTTTATTCGCGCACATTGCTATAGTCAGTCGACCAAGTCGAAGAATATACAATCGAAATCCATGGAATATAAGTAAGTAGGTATAAAATACTCACGAATAACTCTATACGGTAAACCAGACCTCTTCGCTACCTGGATATTCCTCCAAAGGCCAATAGCACTAGATGCTATATAATATGCCGGCAAGGCGAGAAAGAATGCTGCCACGGCAGACACCATTGTCGCTAACACACATGCACTCAGCCTTTCTCTCTTAAAGATTTGTTTCTTGGTCGAATCGATGTTTAAATTGATGGTAACTTCCAGGTCCTTGGACAAAGAATTATATTAGAAAAAGAAGGAGTGGGGGCTAACCTTTATATATATATAATCACAAAATTTTGGAACGACGATAAATCAGCACCCACCTTCGCAGATATTACCTAAAACCTTGTGAATTACAAGAGCCTCTCTACCAACTAACACGGGATCCACATCTGTCCGGTAGAAACGGAACTACCCATGCATGCGCATACCATGTACAATCTATGACAATGTGTTTATTCACCCAATTGCCAATCTCTCCTCTACCACCTTCAAGGGAGGGGGGGACTACGAAAGTTCCCTTTCATCATGCACCCTGGCAGTTATGAAGCAAAATGTACATTCCACTCCCATTCGCAGTCAGCGGTTCTTCGGAATATTCCTATAGGGAACAGAAAGAAATAGGGATTCTTCCTATCTACTTCTTATCTTTCATCCTCAAAGAGTGCACACGGAATATTGCAGCCGGGTTTTAGACTTCTCCATGCATTGTACATACAATAGTCATGATTGTCTCTTTCTTTATTCTTTCTATCAATAGAAACACCATTCGGATAGCCCTAAAAGAAATGAAAACCAGGCGGGAAAACATATTCCTTTCGTATATGCACGTGCACTTTTTGGGATAAATTGGAACCGGGACGAAACTCTTTAACTAGTGTTATTTCAGCCACGGCACAGTACTTACATACAAGCTAAGATAAATCCCCCAAGCTCTTTACACAATTGTGGAGGGGGAAAGAAAAAGAGGAATAAAGAGCACAGGCCAATTGGAACACTCGTTCCCATAGTCCCTTTGTGGAGACACTCCGGGTGGTGATTCCTCGTTGACGGGCATACAATCCATACTTACATATATTAATATTAGATATGGCGTATTTTAGCTAGGGCGCCTATAATAACTGTCGCATATAGATGGACCGGGAATCCCTTTCTCCAATAACCTTAAACGGACGTTAATACGAATCCAAGGCTTCTTAGGGCTGGTTAGAAAATGACCTGATAGGACTCGTTCCACCTTGTTGTTCCACTCGGGAAAAGTATCTGGATGATCAACTTTTGGGTAATATAAGACAAGCTAGCTGGGAAAATTGCTATCTTAGGTCGAAGGATACGAAGGACATCCATTTCGTCTAGCATATAGATTGTCGCCGAGAATATGGCATATTGATATTGCTTATCTCTTATAAAGAGTTCGAATTCAAGCCATGGGTTAAAAGTGATATATCATGAAGTTGAACGAATATTATCACCACAGCTTCACCTTTGATTTCTTATATATCTATGCATCCCCATTATATTAATACAATGACTCGGGGCCTACTGTCCTCTATATGTAATATAGGGTATAGCGACCGGGGACAACATATCGACTCCAAGTTGAATGCAATTGTATCAAACCAATCGAACAACATGGAATAACAATGAACCTGCATTGCATTGTATTAGCAGGTTTCGTGTTACGCCGCCTATTTGGGAAATCATGGAAAAAGCCCGTTCGAGAGAGTGTCAAGTTGTGCTATACGCACCCTCGTCTCGAGGTTATTTCTCCCTCCCTCGATAACGTGGATGCGTGGGTGGCGCGTGGCAGGGCCATGGATTTCACGGTCTCGTATTTCCATACCCTGATTTGAAGATAGTCTAGCCTAGGCATGCATGTAACTGAGGTAAGAGATCGGGGTTATTCTAGCCTTGAAGTCCTTTAGCTGGTCATTGAAAGTCTGGATCTCGGCATTGGCTCCCGGCTAAAACATTGGCCAAGTGAAAGGAACATGGGCCACCTTTTCGCAGCGCAG